TTCGTTTCGTTAATCTACCTTTCCTTATCTAGAGTCGAACGCTACCGGCTTCTAGGGTAGATATTAGTAACGTAATTGTATCTTTTAAACCTAAGTACTCTTTGTCTCTAATCTATACTTGGATTGTGTCTTTCTAGCCAAGGAGTGCCTAAAACGATATCGTGTCTAGCTATAGGCACGATATTAAGGACAATCTCCTCGTAGTATCCCTAGAAGACAAGTAATAGCGGTATTGTTTCGCTATTTACGCTAGGTAGGTCTAAGCCGTCTACGGCCTTTAGATCGTACCCGCCGTCTATTTTCTTTCGGATAGCTAGTCCGAGTTGTCGTATAATCCTTTCCGAGATAAACGTCCCGCTAGCTCTAGAGTCTATTATAGCGAAGGTATTGTGCCCGTTAATAATACATTTGGTGCGGAAGACCGTTCCTATCGTTGTTTAAGCGTTGTATAGCTCCTATCGATCGCTCCTATCGTTAGGGCCTACTCGTTTTTTAAGTAGTACTCCGGTCCTTCCTTCTTCTTACCCTAGGGTTTTCTTCTACCCCGAGTCCGACCCTTACTACCCTTCTTAGGTATTCGTTACGTGGCGTCGATCTCTATAGTATTAGGATCGCGACGTTACCCCCTAGTCTAGCTAGTAGGCGTAAAGCTAGATCGTCCGCGAAACTATCCTATATATCGTTTTTCTATAGATCGTTCGTATAGTCGATCGTCGATATCGATTACCGCCTTGATAATGTTTTCCAGTATCGATTAATTAGCTCTAGTGCGTATAAGTTCGTCTTTAACGGTATCCTTAAGTCCGCGGTAATATATAGTCGTAAGGGCGTTGTCGTTCCAACCTATCTTGCTAGCGAACTCCTTAAACTTGGTAGTATACTAAGATACTAAAGTGCGCTAAACTACGTATTAGATATTACGAACCGTAACCTATTTTTCGTTACTTAATCCGTATATCTCTCGGATAGCAAGTATAAGGTTTTGGAACGAGGCAAATAATCCGTCTAGGTCGTAGTTCTAAAGAAGCTTCTAAGTAAGCCTTAGGCGAATCTATTACTTAGCTTCTCCTCGAAGGTACGAGGTAGCGGTTAAGGGCTACTTGTCGTCCGAGACCCGTTCTATACGGAAGTAGATAAGTACTTGGTTAAGCTAGTTGTCGAGCTTGTTTCTATCTCTATAGAAGAAGTCTAGCTTAGTAACCTTTATCTTGTCGTCTCCGCTAGGTCGTACGCTAGAATCCCGATAGGTCGAACCCCGTTCCGATTGTCCCGATTAACTTATCCTAAGGGTATTTAAAGTGTTATAATCCTACAAGGTAGTCTTACGTAATTAAGGTTAATCGTGCTTCTTTAGAGAGTCAATTAACGATTAAATAAAGGTAAGGATACTAACTTAAGCCTAATTGGTTATAGACCTTTTAGTAAGATTGTAATATAAGTTGAATACAAGAATACTAGAGGCATTCTTAGTTCCTATATACTTCCCTATATCCTACTCGCTTAAGTAGCTACGGCGAGTACTTATCGCTCGATAGCTATCGAGCGTCGAGTGCTCGCTACTCGAAAACGAGCGAGCGTCGAGTACCCTAAGCTTAGACTCCTCCGGCCTAATTAGCTTACGTGCCCTTTCTAATAGAGAAATCCCGTGACTTCTCTACCGTGTCCGTAATATATATCTAATTACTTGTACTTCGGGTATCTACCCGTAATAGTATAATACTAATTAGTTTACCTTAGGTATTTTAAATTAGTTCGTCTTAGCCCTACGGGATAGTCCCGTAATATCGCTCTAGAAAGATAGCTATAAAGACTTATATAGAGATATATTAATTACTAATATAGTATTATAGACTAACTCTACTCTTACTCTAGATAAAGGGTAGTAGGGCATGCGAGATATAGCCTAGCGCTCTTTATATATTTATCTTCTATCTTATAACTTTTTAATACTTAATATAAGATCTTATTCTTTTCTAAGATTAAGTCTTTATACATAAGGGAGGCTTAGATAGTACCTAGCTAGAAGTTGATATAAACCGTCAAGTAGGTTATAGTTAATTACTAGGTATTCTAATTCTTATAACGTTGGTAGTAAGAGGGGTTTCCAAATGTGGCGAGTTTTGGCCGAGATCTCCAAAACATCTTCACTTTGTATCCATGCGCCTTCCGCAGTCCTCTAGACGTTACTACTGGAAAGACGGCAGCATTGCATAAGGAGAATTCTTGTTTGATTAGCCTGGTGAACTGGGAACCAGTGTCGTGCACTTGAGGGTCTTTCGCGGAGCCTTGGTGATCAACTAGACCATGTCACTTGCAATAAGGACTTATGCACCAGGACCGCCCTGACGCGATGAAACGCGTCGTCTCGACCAAGGAGCCGGTATCACAGTTGGCCATTGGACCAGAAATGCGAATGCCGAGGAACGCACGCGTAACACCATGGGCCTGAGACGGGTTGCTTGCACGGTAGTGCTTCACGAGAGCACTTTGTCGAAAGAACATGTGCTTTGCCCCTCCAGCCTACTGCCACCTGGTAGCGCCGCTTATCTGGTCGCTGCCAATACGAAAAGGCTCTGTGTCTTAGCTTGGGAGCCCTGGAACAATCCCGACGAGGTGTCTGTCCATGTCTCCCTCGCAAGGCAGCTAGGTTTCGACAACCGCATGAAAGCAACCATTGAAGTGGTAGAGGACATCGAAGAGGCAACGGCAACGCATGTGGAGCTTTTCTTCCGCGACCAGCACCTCTCGCGCAGTGACATGTGGCATTTGGAATCTCAAATCGATGCTACTGTGCTCTATCAAGGCCAGATGTTGAGCTATCTCGGCTCCCACGTCGCGAATGTTGAGAACGTTTACATTGCTGGGAATCAGGTTGACTCGGCCTGCATTCTTCATCCACGTACGAAGCTCATCTTCCGAAGCGGAAGTGCGAGATACATCATACTTGTGCAAGTGTCCCGAGAAATGCTTGAAGGTTGGAGCAACGGCGATCTCCTGTACGAGGGTCTGCTGAACGGCTTCCTGCCCGACTTATTTCGACGATGGGATAGCCTCAAGGTGCGCCACCATGTCTCAGTCATCTTGTTTGGAAGACGATTGCTGCAGCCCGGACCCGCGGAGCCCAACGAAGGAGGTCGTCGTGAGGAGAGCGAGGACTTCTTTCATGTCGCTGCATCTGACGTGCCCAGCCATGAGAGTAGCCAAATCTTGCAGACACTCAAACGGATCTTCAACGGAAATGAGCTACCTCGAGACGTTTGCCTCGCTGCCAAAGGAAACATGCTCCAAGCCATCAACATAGCGGCAGCAGATTTTATCCAGGTGAACTCGGATCCACATCTCGCAAGTACAGGTGCGGCCATCATCGCTGTCACGGCTGGAAGTGGCGTGTTCGAAACCGACCACGAGCTGCTCAGACGAACTACGCGGTTGCTGATGGGTAACAGCGTGGGGGTTGATTTGGTGTCATTGGGTCCTAGGCCACTTCATCCCGTGCCTCTCTTCCAATACAGCAAGGATGTAATCGTAGAATATGCGCTGCCTCATTGGGTACGTTACTCCAGTGCAAACGTCTGCCGATGTTTTAGACACTGCTGATTTGTCCACTCGACTATGTGCAGGCAGATATATCATACTGGCGCTCCCATACCAGCAACACTACGCATTGGCTATTGGACGAGACAGACGAGGAGACTATAGGTGTGGTATTGCCGTTTGTTGAGGTTGACAGACGTTCTTTTGAAGGGCAGCCTAGTGGCATGTTCGAAGATTTCGACAAGACCGTCTTTTCACACGCCGCCCGGAGTCCAACATACCAGGCACCAACTCACTCTACGAGCCGTTTCTCGACAGTCGGAGCGAACAGTTCCGATGTATCAAGCAACACCGTTCGTCCCATCGATGCTGACGGTGGAAAACGTCTTGCCAAGCGAAGTGCTGAGCACACTGCCTCAGAGCGGCCTCAGAGCCCTCGCCCAGAGAGTCTTCTGAGCTTTCGCAAGTCCAAAAAGACAGCAACAGCGCCACATCCTCTTCTACAGATGGGACGAACCACAAGTGCAGGGACAAAAACCGCAGCATTGAGTTCTGGCGTTGCAAGTGCGAACGTTTCCGTCCAGCATACTCAGCATGGACGAGATGCTTCCAGCGGATCCGATCAGTCCAATACGGAGAGCTCCAGCGGACTGGCCAAACAGATCAGAGCATCGCTGAGGAAGAAACCCTCACAGATAAGTTTGGCACATTCCCATGCCCCTGAAGCCGTCTTGCCTAGCGATCCCATTGCAATTCGAACTAGTCTGGAGCAGAGCGAGGAGGATCCTGCAAGCCAAGTAGAGAAAGCTGTCATGCAACAATCGAGATCAGCTGGACTCGACAACATAGACTCACTCTCCGCTACTCCACGAGCGCGTGGGAAGCTGCCGGAGGGCATGGTTCACCTGGAAGAGCAACACCACGCTGCCGTGTCGCCTTGGCTGACATTACTCAACCCTTGCAATCCACGAAAGGACAACATGCGAGTCGCTAGTGAATACCGACAATGGCAGAATGTGTTCCCGACAGCCGTCGGCCCCGACACGTTCAGGTACCAAACCCATGCGCAAAACTCTGCCATGTCTAAGACACTAGCTAACCCTTTTGCCCTTCTTTTTGCAGGTGGGAGTCGATGGTACCAAACCCATGGGGAAAACCCTACCATGTCTGAGACACTGGCTAACCCTTTTACCCTTCTGTTTGCAGGTCACACCTGCCATTCTGCCTTTACTTCGAGAAAGTCGCATCTCACTCAATGATCTCGAGCGGCGCTTCGAAAAGAAAGTCAGGAGGCTGGTTGCGACCATGGAGAGTGCTGAGGAGGCCATGAGGCAGATGATTGCTCTGCGCCTCTCATCCGGCTTCCAAGTTGTGCCTACACGGAAGCTGAGGGATACGCAAAAATCGTCGGAGAGGATCGAGAGAATGCTGTTGTCCATGGGTGACTATTACCACGACATTCGTTGCTTGTCTGAGATGGAGGTACAAGTGAGCGAGTATTGGCAAGACCTTCCAGACGGATTGGACCAGACAGCAGGTTCGCACTACTCTGTGAGGATACGGCCGGGCATTGGTCGTCGTGCGAAGCACGTGGAAGTCAACCTGGCGCAGGATAGCGGTAGCGCCGATTGGCCAATGCTGGATGATCAGGCTGCTAATCCGGAGGTCACTCACGATCTCGGTGCGAGATCAAAGCTGAGACTTGTACTGATACCGGTACCATTCGCACCTACTGAAGCTCTACGTCAGCTGTCCGATGAAGAGCGGCGCATTGATGGTATACAGAAGTTGACACAGCTGTGGCAACGCAACAGACATGTGTCTCACAAAGACCAACTTCATCAGACCTCGATGAGCAAGGCTCGTCCGCTAGGCTCAAACGACCGCGATCCTGACCCGCTAGCGATCGAATACCAGACTCGTGATCCGTCCGCCGTTGTTGGTGCATACGGAACGACATTGAGCAACGATCCAGCGGGCGGCGAAGCAACACTTTTCCCGAAATCAGAGACCTTTCACACAAGCAGTTTTGACATGGCTAAGCTAGTCAAGCATATGCAAGAGCCTCCTCCCTCTGGAGTAGAGATGAAGGATCGCCGTTGGCTGACGCGCTTCCACTTGAGGTGCTTTCGTGGCGACGAGATGACGAACTGGCTGCTGCATGTCTTCAGAGACCTTCAGACGAGAGAGGACGCTGTCGCTCTTGGCAATCAACTCATGCACAAGGACCTCTTCACACACGTACGTGGCAAACACGAATTTAGGGACGGCAACTATTTCTACCAGATCTTGAGTGCCTACCGGACTTCGGTTTATCCAGACACAGCTGGGTTTTTTGCAAAAGGCATGGGCCGCTCGATGCCGTCCACGCCAATCACGGAGATGAGGCAGTCACCCAGTATGCGTGCAATGCAGAGCGACTCCGATTCCTCTGGCAAAGGCTCGCCAGCCTTGGCTAAAGTGGACAGTCGCGAGAAAGAAGCGATCCTATTGAGCCAAAGCTTGCTGTACAACGTGGATCCAGCTAAGAAGTCGTCTCAACCAGAGCTCGTGACGCTGCACTATGGTATGTTGGTTATGCATCTTGACGTTTCGTCGCTAACGCGGTGTCAGATCGAATTCACAACCCTGACAACTGCTATCACATCCAGCTCGAATGGACGACCACCACAGCAAAATTGGTCCGAGAAGCTGTTGCGCGATGGTCAGGTCTAGTTGAAGGTCATGGATTGAAGCTGGTGCAACTGCCAATCCTCGAAGCCAGCCGCCTCCATGAAAGACATCCTTTGGAACAGGCAGTCTCTGTCAAACTAGCGATTCGACCGCACGGAAGAGCGCCAGCAACACCGCATCTTGACCCCAGTGCAGGCTCACCTCGAGGACGAGACGATCGATACGTTCATCATAAAGCAATCCTGAGGAAGATGGATTTTGTACTGGACCTTGAGGCTGCCGACAACTTCCCGTCGAAGCTCAACATCGCATACTCATGGGGCCGGCCTGATTACCGCATGACCCAATTCATACACAAGTCTGGCTTGCTACTAGCACAGATATCGAACGACGACAAAACCGACTTCCTGCTCCTCCGCAACCGACTGGCCGGACAGTGGAGCAGCCACTCGAACAAGAGATCTGAATTACCCTCCGCGGAGAACATTTTCAATGACTTCAGAAAATTCTGCAAGGACGAAGCGGCGTTGAAGCTGCTGTACGAAGAGGTGAACAAGCCTAAGGTCTCGCCAATGAGCCCGCTCGCGAGGACTCAATGGATAGGCGATGCAGATGTGCCGCCAATAGAATTACCACCGCATCTTATGCACCGCACGCAGAGATGACCACCGTCCACTGGAGTGCAGATCGGCTCTGGCTGGGCATCTCATACGCTCCTGATTTCTGGTAAAAAGCGGGTACTGTACGTTCTTGTCAAGCAAGAGTGCGAAAACACCAGATCGGTAGGAGCGCAACCAAATTCACTACTCGGTCAGCATTAGGGAAATGAGGGTATATAGACAGAACAGCCGTCCTCTACACCATTCTGAGGCCGCGAGATATGCAGTTTCTTGTTCGATAGAGACCATTGGCAGCTAAATGACCGCTTTGGTCGAATGGTCGATGACGGCACATTTTGTGGCGAGACCGACTTGGCGCAGTTTGCAACAAGCTTGTCATCAATAGTCATCACTGCATGTTATGTCTGCAGTCTTCAAGCCACCAACAAAACCATTCTCTTAAACAGTACAAGCCGACTCTTGCTCATCTGTGGCAACGTTCAAGGTCAAGTAACTGTTGTCGATAAATGCTTAGGACTGCCCTCAGAAGCAGACAGCTCACAGCACACTTCAACCCCAACCTCGCCCTTCGCTCTTTTGCAACCATGTCGGTAAGAGAAGGATCCTGGCAATTGTCCAAAGACAACATGGTACGTTTCTGACGAGTACCCAGTCCGAAGACAACAAGAGCATCCTTAACTGGGTTGACCCAAAGGACAAGTCTGGCGAGTTCAAACGACAGTCTTCTGTATTTCGAAACTGGATCGGTTCCGATGACTTCCCGGCGGAGAAGGATCGGTATCATCTATGTGAGAGGAATGATTCAGGCTAGTGGCAAGACGAAGCTAATTCAATACAGATGTCTCATACGCATGTCCATGGGGTTGGTATTCCAGCCCTAACACGTTGCAATGGCACTGATTATTTTCAGCCCACAGAGCCCTGATCGTCCGCAAGCTCAAAGGCCTCGAAGACATCATTCCATTCACATCCGTCCACTGGCACATGGGCGAGAAGGGCTGGCGCTTCGCAACCAAGGACGAGAACGCACCAGGCGCCAACACGACTCCGGATCCAGTGCATGATAACTACACGCACCTGCGCGACATCTACTTCGAGAACAACAAGGACTACGGCGGCCGCTTCACCGTTCCGACGTTGTACGACAAGAAGCAGAAGGTGATTGTCAACAACGAGTCCAGCGAGATCATTCGCATGTTCTACCGGGCCTTTGACGGGATTCTGCCGGAGAAGTTCAAGAGTGTGGATCTGCTGCCAAAGGACTTGGAGGCTCAGATTGATGAGACTAACGAGTGGACTTATAACGATGTCAATAACGGTATGCTCGCGGACTGAGCTGGTGGTTGTGAGATGAAAGCTAACAGGGCCTCAGGTGTCTACAAGAGTGGCTTCGCTACGTTCGTGCCTCTTCTATTACACGTAAGCAGACTGAAGGGCTGATATCTGGCAGAACTCAGGAAGCGTACGAGAAGGCCGTCAAGACCTTGTTCAAGTCGCTCGACCAAGCCGAAGCCGACCTTGCCAAGTCCTCCGGTCCATACTACCACGGCGACAGGCTTACAGAGGCAGACGTGAGACTGTACACCGTAAGCGTCTGCCAGAGTCCTGGTTCTGGAGAAATTGCTAACTCCAATGCAGACCGTTATCCGATTCGATCCAGTATACGTCCAGCACTTCAAGTGCAATATCCGTGACATCCGAAGCGGCTACCCAGCTATCCACAAGTGAGTGATCTGTACCTCCGCCCTAGATCCAAAGCTGACGATTATATCTTCAGCTGGGTGCGCAACCTCTACTGGAATGAGGACGCCTTCGGCAGCACGACAGAGTTCACGCACATCAAGAACCACTACACCAAGAGCCACAAGCAGATCAACCAGTTCGCCATCACGCCCGTGGGCCCGATTCCGAACATCCTGCCGCTTGACGAGGAGGTACCTGCTGCGAAGGCGGCGGCCGGTAGGTAGATGGCAGAGCGAGGAGCAGCCTGTAATTTGGACTTGAGCGTTTGACTCATTGATTTCGTGGCTGGAGAATAATATTATCGATGAGGCGAACACGATTGGTATCGTGCTCTCGACCAAGTTTTTCACCTTCCTTCGTGGCTTCGAGTGACAGCATGATGATTGCGCCGCTTAGGATCGCACCTCTGCTTTCGTCCACGTGGTTGATCTCCTCGAGTGTTTCCGGATCAGCCAGTGAGATGTAGTCCACCTCGAACCCTGCTCGCTCTGTCTCAGTCAAAGCGTCCTGCTCCATCATCATCCTATTCGCAACATTCCAACCCATCGCCAGGATCTCATCTCTGTCACATCTGCCCATGCTGTACGCCGCCTCCGCAGCTCTCAGCGACTGCCAGAGCACGATCCCAGTCTTGCGTCTGCGCTCTCCCAGATACACATTCCTGCTGCTCATTGCAAGCCCATCAGCCTCGCGGCTCGTTGGACCAACCCGGACCTCAGTGTTGATGTGGAGGTCCCGAACCATACGCTTAATCACAGCAGTCTGCTGAATGTCCTTCTGTCCAAAGTACACCCGCTCGGGCTCGACGACGTTGAACAGTTTCGTGCACACCGTTGCCACACCTCTCATAAAGACCGGCCTGCTCGCGCCTTCGAGCAAATGCGCGAGCGGTGTTATCGTGACAAAGGAGCCAACGCCGGGTAAGGTCGAGTCCGGTGGGAGCGTTGGGTACATGACTTTGGTCGTAGGTGCGAAGACTGCTTCAATGCGGCCTTTGCCGCCTTGTTGAAGCTCGGCGTCTAGAGCCTCCAGTTGCTGCATGTCGGTTTCCCATGTCTTTGGGTAGCTGTCCAGGTCTTCGGTAGGGCCGAACTGTGTGGGATTGACGTAGATCGACACAAAGACGCGGCTGTTCTCGGACGCCGCTTGCCGCATGAGAGACAGATGACCGTCGTGGAGGGCACCCATGGTTGGTACGAGACCGACGGTCTCGCCATCAAAGAGCATGTTACGCCGGTGCTTTCGCAACGGCGGGACATCGCGGAAGATGTGTATAGAACGGCGAACATGGGGCGATTGTAAGACTCTGGGACCGAGAGCGGAACCTGAGCACTTGGCCAGCAGAGTGAGTCCTTGCCCTCGTAAGAGCGTGTGTGTTCCGGGAGCCATTCCGGATCGCTGGCCACCCTCGTGCTATCCTCAAGGCGGATACCGCTTGCCGCAATATGACCCAGCGGGCCTGATGAGTACTTGACGAAGACCGCAGCCGGATCTCGTCTTTTCGAGCTGAAAATCATTTCATCCTGGCATATCCATGGTGTGAGGTGTTCTCCGGCGTATATTCGAGTCGAGCTGAAGCTCAGTCAATCGGCGCTAGACAGGGATCTGAAGAGTCTACCCGCCCCGCTAACTGCAAGGAGCGCTCTCGCTGCATTTTTCAACATCAGAAATAGTGACGACCACCGAAGACGACATTTGCAAGACATTTCGCGAAGATGGCGGACGACGGCATGCTCCTCAACTTTGAGCTGCCTTCCGATGCCTTTGCGTCAACTAAGTCGTTCAAAGGAGGCAACTGGAAGGACAGACTCACAGCGAAGAAGTCCTACCAATACGGAAAGAAGAAAGCACAGGAACGGGCTGCTACAGGACGTGGCTCGATACCCAACTTCCAGGAGGTCAGAAATCAAGACGAGGAGCTCATCCATCCCGATTCGCGCCCAGCAAAGCGACCCAGAACGGGAAATCCAGGTGAGGTGAAGACCGCACATCGTTCATCTTCGGGCAACGCTCGTCCGGCAGGTGGAGCGCCTCAACATGGAACCTCGAACGCTTCAAAGAATGGAGTGATTTCTTCACTGTTTACGTACAGCCCATCGACGTCTAAGGTAGAGGCAAACGCGCCCGCACCGCCCGCAGACGACAAGGAGGATGTCCAACCATCCAACGCGCCACTGAGCGATGAGCTTGCCAACTTCACCTCCCTTGGTCTGTCAGCTCCTCTCGCCAGCCATCTACTACGAAAACTCGATATCAAAGCACCGACAGCTATTCAGCGAAAAGCAATTGAGCAACTGTGTTCTACTCATGCAGACGCCTTCATTCAGGCCGAGACCGGTTCCGGCAAGACTCTTGCATATCTACTACCTATAGTGCAGCGGCTCATGCAGTTGTCGAAACAGATGAAGGCTGCTGGTAACGATTTGAACCGAGAAAGCGGACTTTTTGCGATCGTTCTGTCTCCTACCCGCGAGCTCTCGAAGCAGATCAGCGCAGTGCTGGAGAGTTTGCTAGCGTGCTGTCATTGGATCGTCTCCGGAACTGTCATTGGTGGCGAAAAGAAGAAGTCTGAGAAGGCACGGCTCCGGAAAGGACTAAACATTCTTGTCGCAACTCCTGGACGGCTGGCAGATCATATCGACAACACCGAAGTGCTTGATGTGAGCACTGTGCGATGGTTAGTGCTTGACGAAGGCGATCGACTCATGGAGCTTGGATTTGAGAAAGACATCCAGAAAATCATTGGCGTATTAAACTTGCGGCGGAGGAAAACACTGGATGCCTCGCTGTCAGACCTGCCTGAACGGAGGTGTACCGTACTTTGCTCTGCGACGTTGAAGGAAGGCGTCGAGCAGCTGAAGCATACGACACTGAAGGATGCTTCATCAATCGCTGTCGAAACTGATGGAACGAACGGTTCGCAAACGGAGCAGAAGGAGACTACTTTCAGCGCACCAGCACAGCTACGGCAGAGCTACGTTCTCGTACCTCCGAAGCAGAGGCTGGTGACACTTGTCGCTACGCTGAGACAGTCGTTCAAGCGAAAGGGAAGCGTGGCGAAATGCGTAGTCTTCATGAGCTGCGCTGACAGTGTCGATTTCCACTTCGATCTACTGACCCAGGAAAGCTTTGGTGCATCTAAGTCAGTCAACGAAGAGATTCACGAAGAGGCGTCCCGCACAAAGCCTGCAAAACTTACTCATTCCAACAAAATCGCTCAAGGCAACTCCATATCGGAAGCTCGAACACAAGGGCCCGCCACCGCTTTCTCAAGCACACAAAATCCTGTTCAACTTTTCAGACTGCACGGCTCCCTTCAACAGTCAACGCGCACTTCAACTCTGCTGGCCTTCACTAAGTGCACCGATGCAAGTGTGCTCGTCTGCACTGACGTGGCATCACGCGGATTGGATTTGCCGAATATCGACCTCGTCATCGAGTACGATCCACCATTTAGCAAAGACGACCATCTGCACCGAGTCGGTCGTACAGCTCGTGCCGGCAGAGAAGGCCGGGCAATGATCTTCCTGGCTCCTGGTTGCGAAGAAGGCTACGTCGACGTGTTGAAGAACAGTGGGCCACGACAGATCACCCGGCATGACGCAGATGAGATGCTGAAGAAGGGATTTTCGCCGTCTGCTGGCGTCGTACGAGAAGGCGATTGGCAGCAAGCCGCAACTGATTGGCAGCTGGACGTTGAACGGTGGGCACTGGAGCATCCGAAGCACCTGGAGCAGGCCAGGAGAGCTTTCCAGAGTCATGTGCGCGCCTACGCTACGCATGTGGCTGCTGAGCGGAGTATCTTTGACATGGGCCAGCTACATCTCGGCCATCTCGCCAAAGCCTTTGCTTTGCGTGATAAGCCCGGCAGCATCCGAGTACCAGGCCAGAGACCTGGTAAAGACGAGGGTCGAAAGACCAATGATGCTCGGAAGGCTTCTGCCGCCAGATCATCGGGAGCAACGAAGCGTGGACGGCAGGACGACGATGCCGAGGATCCTTCGGCCAACGATGAGCGGGAGGCACGGAAGAGGATGCACATGAAGATGAAGGCCATGGGTGGTGCGTCCGAGTTCAATCTTGGCTGATCGGTGGCAGCTTCAGTAAATATCCCACAACGAGATCTTGCCATCCTTGCTTCCTGCAGCGAGCCAGTGTGTTGTCTTTGCTTTTTCCATGCGTTGTTGCGAGACTGTGAGATCGCGTTTGACCATTGCGTCGCCTTCTTCGTCGCTACCGTTCGTCTGTTGGTGGTCCTCCTTGATTTCTGCGAAAGCAAGCGCATAGCAGCCTTCTTTATGCCACTTCAGCACAGCCAACTGCTTCATGCTCTGAGTACTGTACACTCGAGCCCTGCCATCCCAACCAGCCGTAGCGAAGATTTTCTGGTCTGAACGAAAAGCAAGAGCTTGCTGGCCAGCATGCTTCGTCTGCACGTATTTCGTCTCAACCTTGCTGCCGGGCAGAGGGTGGCGAGCAATGACTGCGTCCGCTGAAGAGGTGAAGAAACAGCTCGGCTGCGTGCAAATATCGAGTGAAAGTACCGGTTGAGAATGAGCTTTGTTGACGTATACTGTCTGCCAGTGTGAAGTGGCGTTCTGCTGCCAGACCGCTGCGTGCCCGCTCTCGTAGCCCGCGATGGCCGTCAAACCCCCCGCTTGGTGGAGGATGCTGACTGCCATAAGCATGCCGGTATTGACGTCCTTGAGGGTAGGGATGGTCGCGACTCTCACTTCGCCGGGGAGGGAGGTGATGTTGATGAAGCCGTCCTGTACTCCAGGCGTTGCTACCAGTATGCTTTCCTCCTGGGCTTCGCCACTACCCATAGCAGTCTTGCTTGGATGTGCTGGGCACATAGCAAACGAGCAGAAGTTCAACGTATTCAGCGTCAAGCTGTGCAGAAGCCATGGCTGCTTGCGCTCCGTAGTCGAGTCGTTGACTGGCAGCACTGTCGAGAAGTCCTTTTCGTCTTCTGGCCTCAGTTGCCAGACATGCAGTTTACTATCCCTTCCGTGCCTGGACAACTAGGTCAGCATCACATTTTCTGGAGAGTGTGAAATCAACCGTACGTAATGATCTTATCGTCGCCCCAACTTCCTACCCCCAAGTTGACATCCTGGTGCGCCTTCCAGACGGCGACAGGGCGCCTGATGGGAACGTCCCACAGGGCCACCCACCCTTCAGCATCTCCAGAGAGTAGTCGAAGGTTGTTTCTCAAGAAGTGCACCGAATGAATTTGCGCGGTATGGCCTCTGAGGACGTAGGCTGGCTGCGCTGGTGGGAGAGCAGAGCTTTGGATGAGGTGTGGCGCTTCAGTGGCCATAGTCTGATTCACCGCTTTACGGAGCGCACTGCCCGGCAATTTGTTTCATGTCATTGGTCGATGTTGGGAAATGCAGGAAGTAAAGAGCAATGGAGCTGTTCAAGACGTGAGGTTGAACCTCTTGGCACGAGATGTGCTGCAACGGACTACGTCTATACCGAGCTCTTCCTGATTTGTGAAGCCGTCCCATATCCAGCTGTCATTCGTCATCATACAAGGTCATACTCATCAACAGTCATCCTCCCAAATTCCAACTTCATAAGCAACCGATCAACCCCACCGCCTTTCCACGGCTCAAACCCACCACTCTCCATAGACATAGCACTCAAATATCGTCCAGACCCGATGCGCTCCTGATCAAGCTGCTTCAGCCTGTTCACCACGGACCTCAGATCACTGTCGACCTTCTTCCGTGCCCTGTCCAACTCCAGCGCAATGCGGGCTTCTTCCTCTGCAGTGTAGCCCGTTTCGCCTCCGGCGTCGTGCTCCATGTCTAACTTTTGCTGGATGTCCAGTAAGCGTTTGAAGAAGGCGATGAGGTTGTCCACGTTTCCGAGCAGAGATCGTAGCTCCTTTGTATATGGGATGTCGTTGAGTAGTAGTACATAGACCAGTGATGCGAGGAATGCTCGATGGCCGGCTGCCAGGCTTTCTGGGTCACGTGGCGCAACGTCCTGCTTCTCCTCCAATTCGGTTTGCGTCGACTTATGGAGAGACACTTCATCTTGATCAGATTGTCTGACCCAGCGCTCAAAGCACGACCATGATTCTCGAACGATCTCGCCTTCGAAATATGCTGATGTCTCCGATAAAAGGAATATAGCAGCGCTGCATGTCGCCCAGACTTTCCGAGTGGCCGTCCGCCGCTTCGCAAATCGTTGTCTATCCTCTGTATTCGTGGTCTGGCCATCTGCACTTCCTCGTGCGGGAGCAGTGTCCCGTCGTGCTACGGTCCTGCGCCACAGGTCTGCCAGGCGAACGTGTGCTCGCTTCAAGCTCAACAAGTAGGCGTTCACCGACGAGTAGGTCTTCACTTCCGTCGATGTTATGAAGAGGTCCAGTGGTTGCGTGATGTTGAGGCCCAGAATAACTGCGCTCGGGAACAGGAGATCGTTGAAGCCAACAGTAGTCAGATCTACAGCAGCTTCGTGAATGCTGTCGGAAGTCGATGGTCGTGAGTCGGCCTTGTCCGGTGTTGATAAAGTGACATGCTTCTCAGCGAAGTCCAACACCTCATCTTCAATGTCTTCATCCTGAGTCGCTAGCCTTTTCCAGACCTGTAATAGCGTCTGCTGAAACTCTGCGTCGTTGATGGAAAGACCTTTTAGTGCTTTCACAGGATCCTGCTGCAACAGACGGCCCATACTCTGCTGTCTTACCTGGAGTCGATTGTCTGCTTCGTTGATTAGCGCCACGGCAAACTCGCCCCTCTCGAGTAGCATGAACTGCTTGATGCATGAGAGCACATTGAGTACTACCTCCATAGGAAGGAGGTGCTGGAGGACGTTTTGTGACAGCGACAGGCGGATCGATGAGATGGCCCTCGATAGTTGTGAAGAGACTATGGGCAGTGACAGTGCCGAGAGATGCTGAAGGTGTTTCGAGACCAGCTCACGTTCGGAAAGTGATGCATCGCTATTTGCGGTAGATTGTGCTGGCTGCTGTCCGTATTTGCGTACCTGTAGCAGCGACTTCCCGATGAAAAGAATCGAGGATGCGGTTGGCGCACTGGCAAACTTCGGCAGCAGACTTCTGTCCTTTGAACATCGCTGCTCGCCATCCACTTCTTCGAGTTTTACGAAGAAGTCGCTCGCTCCAAACGTTGGTACCTTTCCGTATAGAACCCAGGAAGATGCCTGCCGTAGCCAGGCGGTCTCGGCAACCCGGCTTAATTCGAGCGCCGCCTGCTCGATGTCCTCAAACCCAGTCTGCATCTCTGCTCGCAGTCGGTCAATCAAACTAGCGCCAGTACATCCTCGAGCCTTGGAGCCATGACTCGGAAGCATGAATGTTGCCAGGTCCCAGTACCAAGCCATCCTCCTATGCCAGTCATCGAACTCACCGACCACTCCAGCGAGAGGGACGATGTCGTACGCTCCCACGACCGCGGCATCTTTGGTCAGGATCTTGCTTTCGACTTCCAAGATATGGTCCTGGAAGCGAGCCAGGTGTACCTCCTGGATGGAGGTGGCCACGGCGCGGCATATTGTTGAACTGTGTGCGACAGCTATCTGTTCTACGTGCCGCCGTAACTTACGATGCAGTTCTGACAGCTGGCCAATGGATGCTAGAAGGGCCTTCTCCGACGGCGTGAGTAGAGGGAAGTCATTCCTGGCTTGGCTGGTCTTTGATATACCAGATTCATGGTGATCGGAAAACAGTGGAGATGGATGGCCGGACAGGGCGAGCAAAACCTCGTGCAGCATGATGTCTTTCAAGGACCCCTGCTACGGGACCATTATTCTTAGTCCTCGCAGTCCGATTATCCCGTGTTTTCTCAATCGTGCTTTGCGATAACTTAGAAATCCTCGGTCTGCTCCGGTTATGCAGTCTTGGACGCGTGGGCCGACGCGTTCAGCCGCTGGGCGTGGTGTATGTCGAAAATCTGCGGGCGAGAAAGGTTGAGTAGTGAGGACGAAGCGTAGACGGCCGGGCAGATAGCAGATTCACTTCTTTCCTTCCGAACTAGTTAATGGGATGTTTGTGAAATAATCGAAAGAGGAAAGAGCTGCCATTGAGAATCGCGCACAGACATTGGCGATTGCGATTGCGGCTGCCTTCTAGATCAGAAAGTGGCGTCCCGGTCGGCGGGGTCAACAAGCACCTGCAGCCGCTTCTTACTTCCCTGCCACACCGCACTCACTCCACCCAGCTCTTTTCACCAATCCCTACGCTACCTGTACCTGAAGATCCTAGCTACCAGACACCTTTTATATCGCCATCAAGATCCATCAGACTCCGCCACGATAACGTCGACGGCAGCCAACACCACCGACACTGCCCCACCTGAGCAATACCCCTCCACACGACGACAGTCCACCATGCAGAACATCAGGGAGAAGCTGAAGCGGAAGCTGTCGATGCACGACAAGAACCGTGCGAGACCCTCTTCCTCTTCGTATTGCTGAACCACGCTGATGATGATGATGCTCAGCCAACCTTGACGAGGTCGAGACCGAAGACGACGTCGACGATGAGACGGCAGGCCACTTGCAGAGGGAGATCGACAAGGCTGAGCGTGAAGGCCACCCTGAGGGTAAGCCGGGTAGTTTCCTCAACAAGCTCATCTCGCATGGCAACAAGAAGACGGAGGAGCAGTTGCAGAGGGAACGTGATCTGTCCAGCGAGAACAAGTAGGTGGGAGACGTGAGAGAGGCCGAGAAGGAGCGTGTTTGTGGGAACGAGAATGTTACGATGAGGGCTATGGGAGGTACATACGGGCATATGACAGAACAATTGGAGAAAAGCTGCATTGAGTGAGGACATTTTCTACCCTATGAGTTGCATCTGATAAGGCTGTCCCATCCCCGTCTCCATGTTCTGAGCTTGCAACGTACCTGCCTCACGGTACCATGGTCTTTCGTATGCCCATGTTTCATATGCTTTGGTGCGGCCTGATACTTGGCAGAAAACTTAAGGTGAGGCTACAGGTACGTACTTTAGAGGCGTGTCGGCGAGGCTGCATGGCGGTCACCAATAGCAGGCGTTTCCCACCACACTTTTCTCTGGCGGTGCTGCTGATACAAGGGACCGCCAGCCTGGGCAGTGCGTGACCCGGCCGTATATGAATCCTCGTACGCCCTTCACGGATCCAGCCCACTTCACTAGCAACACACCCAAAGCGCCGCTCTTGCGGTTGCTTTGGCTTACACGTCACTCATTCCTATCCGCTCCCTCTGGAGGCGGGAAAAAGCCTCCAACACCCACCCATCAATCACAATGATACGCATTCAGACGATGCGTCGGCAGTGCTCTCCTGGTGGGGGCAGGACAACACCGACTTCCTGGAATGCGAATGGCCGTCGGAAGAGGACCTTGACAACCTCCTCTCCTCTTTCGAGGCCGGCTATCCTCTGCTAGAGGACGACGAAACCTTCAGCAGCAGCAGCAGTGGCAGCAGTGGCAGCGATAGCTTGAGCGGCATTGCACCAGCTCTACCCGATCATTCAGGCGGGCCGTCACGAGAACCTGATTTTTGCATTGGCGCCACAGTATTGCCCTACCTGTCGGCGTTTGGTCAGGACGAAGTTACATGTAACTTCCTCCCTGGAAGAACCAACGACTTCACTGCTGCTGCAGTCCTCCCTCACATCCAATCCGTCACATCGAACCCAACCAACCCACACAGAGTTAACACTTCCTACGCCCCCTTCGACCTTTCGACTCCTCGATATTCCAGCCAAGCTTCCACGGCATTGAAGACGCGTCTGTGAGCTACGGCGAAGACGCAGATATGCTCTACGATAGCTGGCCACTGGACGATGCGCGCGTTGCCGTTGAGATCAGACGTACCATCAGTATGGACAGCGTATGGACTCACAGCGAGCCCATACTGGACTACAGCATAGATGATCCCCCATACGACCTCCTGACTACAACAAACTGCGAAGAGACGTGCATGGTCACCGCCATCCCCGAGAGCTTAAATGCTTACAACCATCCCACGAATGACTCGACCGTCCGATCACGCTTTCATTGCAGTTTCATTGCTTGCGACAAGAGCTACGGCGACAAAAAGTCATTGACTCGGCATCACTTGGCTCAACATATGCCAGGACCAGGAGCGGTATGTCCGCACCGAGACTGCGTTCGCTCAGACGTCGGCTTTCGAAGACATGATTCCCTGATTCGGCATCTGCGAAGGAGGCACGTTCAGGTTCAGCGCGGATAGAGATGCCGGGGAAATTTGCCACGAGAGTTGAGCACTGTATTGCGGTGGCATTGGCTGCCCGGTGGCAAGCACAGATGAAAAGGAAAAAGATGAAGTGTTGTTAAGAACATACGATCCTTGCCTGGCTGTTCAACGAAGGCCGGGGGCTGAAGCTATCTGCCGACCCAGACAGTGACGCCCTGAACGAGTAGCCCGTTGGACGTGCCGGGCCTGCCCACACATACGCTCTGTAGCCCATAGCAAGACCATGAAGAGACTGATTTCGTTTTCTTGCACCATGATACCGCGGACCAAGCGTCCAATTTGATATCATTCTCGCATATGGTAAAAGATAACACGTCAGCGATCTAGCAAAGTTCAAATCAAATTCGGATGTTGTCAACCGTTCGAAGAGCAGAGATGTATTGACACAGTATCTTTCTAATACAAGTATAATGCAAACACAAAGCGCTCAATATGCCGCAAATGCTCGATGCCGTACGCCAGGCCGCTGGCGCCGGGGATGATGTTGTTGTACAGGGGAGGTGGTCGAATGCGGCATCTATTCGTTGATCTTTGCGAGCAGCCTAAAATCCCATCAGTATCGCTGTCGTAGATCGTTGAAGCATATCACACTCACTCATGGTCCCGGAAGATCGAGTACTCCTCATCGCCAACCTTGATCGGGCTTCCCCCAAACTGTATCCCCGTTAGCCTTCGTTCTCCATCACCATCGCCCAGCATCGCTCTTCAAGAGCTTTATCTCATACGCACCTGCGGTATCAGGACCTTGTCGCCAGCCGCGACGCTCATCGTCATCCTCTTGCCATCCTTATCCATAGCTCCCGGTCCAACCGCCAGCACCTTCGCCTCATTCAACTCCTTCACCGCGCTATCGGGGAGGAAGATGCCACCTGCCGTCTTCGACTCCATCTTTACACGCTGGACGAGCACTCGGTCGAGCAGGGGCGACAGGGCCTTGATGCTCCTGAGAATGGTCGACTGGTCGAGGCGCATTAGCTGTGGTCTTGGGGGTAGAGGGGGTGGGAGCTTACCATTGTGATGGATGATCGAGAGGTGGTGGAAGGACGATCTCGAGAAATGGAACGGGCTTGATGATGGTATGTCGTGTGGTATGGACTTGGGGAGAAGTTGTTGCTTGCGAGAATTCTAGAAGTCCTTGAAGCTCGGACTGGAGCTGGCTTATGATTGGCTGATCGAAAGCCTCACAGCCGACACGTTCGACGCGCTCCAACCTCGAACTTCCTTCTACTCACATCACAACCAGATGTCAGAGCCAATTGCCGGCCGCTTGATTCCTACAAACCGTAGTAAGACGTGACTGACGAATTCGTAGTGGAAGCACATGACAACTCGCAGGAGTAAGTGTGAATCTCAGTATTCTCCTTCATCAAGACTACCAGCGGTGCCCAGCTCCGCCGCTGCAGCACCGTCGAAATGGCCACCGGCCAGGAGAACATGGCGCCGCAGTGTATAGCCTCCACCAGCAGTACCGCCAGTCCCTTTACCCAGGCACAGTTCTCCGGCGACGGCACGACGATTGTCACACTGAGCGCGGATCACACCTTCAGGACCTTCTTCGTACCGGAGAATCTTCTCGATGCGACCAAGCAACCCCATACGCTCACCCCAAGCTTCACAACTCCCTCGCCTTCGGCTGTCCAGAGCTACGCCTTGTATCCCAAGTTCGACTACGACAACCCATCAACAAGAGTCTTCCTCACCGCAGCGACCGATCTGCCCATCACCCTTACCAATGTAGTTGAAGGCGCCACCCACAACATCACCTACCCGCTTTATGACGCCACGAACGAGAAGTACCTCGTGCCGAAAAGCCTGGTCTGGACGCCAGATGGTGAACGCTTCATTGCCGGCAGCCTCAACCAGATCTCCATCTTCGACGTTCGACGCTACCACCAAGGCCCTCTCCACGAGCTACCCACCACCAACAGCAAGAAGTCGAGAAAGATTTACGGACGAGTTCCTGGCTGCATTGGCCATATCATGGGTCTAAGCATCAACTCAACCAACGGCATGCTCGCAGCTGGGACTACCGAACGCGAAGTTGCGCTATATGATGGTGTGGCCAAAGAGTGCTGGAGCTCATTCACACTACCGAAACCCGTCCTCAACGAGTATGGTGCCGCGACAGGTATTACGCAGACTGCCTGGTGAGTAGCACGTGACCAGTCCCCTTCCTGTGATACACCATCTTTTCGTAGTCACCACACCTTTATAATCCCTTCCCCGTTTGTTTTTGCTTACAACACCTGCTAACGGCTTCTTCTCACGTGCGTACAGGAGCCCCGAGGGCACCTACCTCTTCGCAGCAGAACGACAGAGCAACGGCGTCCACGTCTACGACATCCGCAACACGCAAAGCCGCGTATCATTCCTCGCCGGTCGCAATGCAACCACGCCACAGCGGATGGGTTTCAACATCACCATGACTGCCAGGGGCTACGAGCTATGGGCGGGTGGTATCGATGGGTGCGTGAGGATGTGGAAGAATCCCGGCTCGGTCTTCGAGACACATCACTCCGACGCGGCGTTCAAGATGCATGATTCGCCTGTGAGCAGTGCTGTGTGGCATCCGGAGGGTTGGGTGATGGCTACGTGCGCGGGGAAGGATGGGAATTTTGCAGCTGACAGCGAGTCGTCTGGTGGCGAGCCATCTGACGGTGGTTCATCCGACGAGAGCGTTGTGGAAGAGGCTCGCGCGGATAACAGCCTGAAGATCTGGACGGTATGAGGTTCGTATAGACGATGAGCTGTCTACGACGGAGATGTGGGCGTTACAGGTGCATTTGAGGCTGGGAGAAGGCTGCCTACCGCGATGCCATAAGCGAGGGACTTGATTTTGCGGTGCTACGTCTTAAACGGCTTCCTCAAGAAATCATGCTGCGCCGCCCCTTGTACCTGCTCCACCCATCCATGTCGATGCTTCGTGAACAGCTCAAACGCCGGCGTTGGTATGCGCGGGAAGATTCCAGTGTTGAGGAAGACATTCTTCTCATCACTTTCCTCATCTACGAACTCGCCGACACTACTCCCGCAGTTCGAGCAGAAACTCCGTCTCAGAGCGTCTCCGGAAGCTGTGTCGTTGTCGGTGTAGGATTTAAGGTACCGCTTCGGATCGGAGAGCTCGACGTTTTCTTTTGGGACCATGAGGACGGTGGCGAATGCTGACCCGGTGAACTGGCGGCAATTTTTGCAATGGCAGGTATGGCCTGATGGTTTGGTGAAGAGGTCTTGTTGTGTGACTGTGACTTTGATGGCGCCGCAGAGGCAGGAGCCGGTCATGCCATCGTTCAGTGATTCGGTGGTATGGTCGGCGGGGTCGCCGGTGAGGTTTGGCATAGTGTTCCTTTTACAGAGATCGTCCTTTCCTACTCTTCTCCTCACAGAAGACGGTCCTTCTGTTCACCGAAGATTTCTTCGCTTGCAGCCCGCAAGACGTTGTGAGCTGCAGAGAGGGTCCGACATCGAGATTTTCTCCCCACCTCAGGCTCCGTTGCATCAACAGAAGTGGCAGAGTCCATGGCACGAACTGTAACAAGCAAGATTTACAGGGTAGAAGATAGTCTGAAGGACAATATGACAATGTGTGAAGAGAGCGTAGAGTTTTCAGGGCAGAACGGATCACGAAAATCTAACAGTATGCTTGATAGTAAGGAATCGTGTAACGGGGAGGGAGGCAGAGTGTGCCTGTCGGCTACAACGAAGCCCCATTGCTCGCAGCATGCCCGTTGATTGAACTCGTCCCGTTCGCCGTCTTCGAGTCAACTTTCGGTACGGCGACGATGAAGCTGTCACCATAGTCCGAATCGTAGGTCCAAACATCTCTCAACTGCAGCCCAGACTCGTTGAGGAGCTGGGAGAAGTGGTCTTTCGTCCGTTCCATTGCGGCGAGCCTGCGGAAATCGTCAGTAAGAGCCCGCCCACCCATGTCCAGTCGGATCGAGGACGTACATGGTCATCATAGCAAGATCCATGCTTGATTGCTTCCATCCAGCGCCGACTTGTGGCATGATGACATCGTCGACGATGACGACTGAATCCGAGGCCATTGCTTTGGCGATCTGCGAGAGAATGATCTTGCTTGGTTCGTCGTTCCAGCTGTGAGACAGTCAGTGCCTGCTAACCGGCTATGCATAGGTGCGGGCGAAGGCTTACTTGTGGATGACGTTGCGAAGATAGTACACCTTCGCACCCTTGACCGGCTGCTCTTCGAAGAAATCATGCGGCTGCATGGAGATATTCTCCTTCGCAAGGTCCTCGCAAATGGTCGAAAGCTCCTGCATCGTACCCAGGTCTTCGGTCACGATACGACCAGTCAGTTGCGGATGGTGCTTCCTGAACTCAAGACACTGATGCCCAGAGCCACCGCCGACGTCGCAAACAAGCACCCTGTCGTTGACAATATCTTCCCGCGAGAGCTGGAAGTCCTGCATCGGGACTTGGTTGTCCCAGACGCTGCGCTGACCGATCCGCTGGGCGGCCATGAATGCCTGTCCGGCTTTGGCATTTTCTGGGTTCGATTCGCGCCACTTGAAGACGGGAAGGTCGGTCTGATACGCCAGGTTGAATGGGGCCAGCTTGGTGGGGTTCTTGTAGGCTTGCTCCTTGAGGAACTTGGGGATGGCGTTGTAGGCTGGGGTCATTGTGAGAGAGCTTCGTCGTTGTCAGCGTTGATTCCCTCGACTCAATCATAGAGTATAACTTACTAGTGCTTAATACCTGCTGCCGTGCTAGGAAGAGCAAGATTGTGGGTAATGTTGGAGGCGGTGAAGGTATCGCTATCCACCTGCCGGACCATGCCATGGGAGGCATAAAAGCGCAACAAGCGGACTGGAAGCACAGGGTCAGCGACAAGAAACGCTTCCAAATCTTGGCCCGCGGGTGTAGCTTACGCAGTAGGTAGTGCTCGCAACCGGTGATGTTCGCCAGCTCTCTGGTAGAGAAGGAAGTGTTGGAGTGATCAGCGAGGAACCTGAATAAATTCAGATCCATGCCAGTCTGCGCTGTGGCCAGCGGCAGATGCTGATCCATGTCAGTGGTGGCTTGCAAGAGAACGCTGCTTACGTACACCATGGTATAGTCTCTGCGCAGTGTCCTGACCAGATTCGACCTTGTACATCAAGGACTGAGCAGCATCGTAGAGTGCCTTCCTCTCGGCCTCGTCGGTGGGTATGTGGTGTGCAGCGAGGTTCCGCAGAGAATCGACAGCGAAGGAAGGCATAATCATGGATGTGTCTGGATTAAATGAAAGGCGAAGGGATGGTTGTAAGGATTGAGGATAAAAAATGTGAAGATGATAGAAGTTCAGATTCCTACCTGCATATCTTACGGCCCCAGGGGGCCTTATACCTTGTACTCACGTCTGGGTCATCACGACCTTGGCGTACGATTGCAGTGTTTGGAATAACCCTTATCAGCAGGGTGCCATTATCAGAGGAGTATCGAATGCGAGCGGAGAGGGTCCAGCTCAATCCACGGGTGCTGACGAGAAACAGGCCCTTGCCCGAGAGGATTCAGGAGGCAGTGAGGCTCCGTAGTGCCATGGCGCGCTTTGCGATCTTTACGGCGGGCCAACGAGTGCGTTCGTGGGCGTTGCTGTGACTAGTGTTGAAGTTTGCCGACATTCAAGCCCGATAAGGAAACAGCTGAAGTTGCGAGAGAAGCCCCAAGGCCTGAGAGGGCATATGGGCCTAGCGAAAAGCTTGCCGAAGGTCTGATGGCACGGCCAACCTGATGTCGAATGTGGCGTTTTTGGAAGATCTGAGCATGTTCGAAGCATGTATGACAGTGTCTGGCGGTGGTGGAAATTGTTTGTCCTTGTCAATGGTCCTGGCACGACGACCCATTGCATCCTCGCTCGCCTTTGGATAAGTGGACTGTATGCTGGACGGGGCACAAGCGAAGGCAGTTGGTGTCACTGTGAGCGGTCTCGCGATCGGGCATTTTGTTGCACTGCCAGCCAAGTCGCGAGGGCAGCAGTTCAGGCGTCTCGGATGAGGATGGCGACTGCATGCAAACACGCATGCCGGCAGATGTTCAGCGGCCAATTGATACTCTCGAGTGGACTCTTTTTCAAGGTTGCTCGCCTGCCCTGCGCATCCGTTCCATCCTTCGGACAATTTCGTTAGGCCAGCCAGACAAAACCCCACCTCAGCATCGTCAGCACTAGACGCCATGCAGGTGTACCTGGATGTTGTATTCGTACCTCATCGAAAGACAGAACATGGAATCTAGCGAATGCGCCTGTTCCAGTTCAAAATTTCGAGGCAATTGCGGCCCGATGGTCAGTCTTGGTGGTTGTTCCTATGCTGCCTTGTACGGCTTAACAAACGAGCCCAAATCTGGCATCCCTAAAATTAGACATGACAGAGATATGTGTAAGGCGAAAGCGGACCCGACAAAGACCTTCGCATGGAGGAGGCGATTAAAGCGATCCCGAATTGACACGTGTGCGGACGCCTAACTGAGCTGCGCAGGCCCTACATCCATCAAAGGTAGTCGTCGGGGCTCAATGCGACCGCCTCCAAACAGCGTAGGGCTGAGATCCACTTATCGGCGGATTCCTCATGTTCGAAAAGCCCTGTTTCTGAAGAGAATGATGCAAGCAAGAGTAGTTTGAGCACGGAGGAAATGAACCAACGGAACTTGGCCAGACAACTTATGGAAAGACGAATCGAGCGTGTGAATAGTGTGATATTTCTGTGGGAGCTCGCGCCATCTCCGATTGAAGCATCGACAATTTGACTCGCTGGCCGGTTCCGGAGGGATTTGAACCACGGCCACGCCAGAAAGATCCCACTGGCATTCCCATAGATCGTGCCTAATGAGTTGGGCAGATCTGTTTGAGTGCGAGACCTCGTCGTTTGGCTGCTCGAGCTCCCGGGAATCTGTCTGCACCAGGATTGCAAGTAGCTTTACTCCTGCGAGAAGGTCCGAGTCGAACAGACGCAGTTTGAGCAGGTTGATGAGTTCAGCCATATGATCAGTTGTAGTCTCTGATCGACCTTGCTGTTTGTGGAGGAGGTATGAACGCGCCTGCGCGAGGTTTCCGTATGCTGGAAGTCTCTGATGCCGACTGAGACACTGTGTTGGTTTCGTCGGTTTGGCAGTTGGCACATAAGCTCGTGGTTGCATGAGAAGTTCGAGGTTGATACTCTTTCGGCATCGCCTCCATCCTTCAATCGGTCATGTCAACATCCTTCCCCTTACCCTTTGCAGCCTTCGGCGCCCCATTAAATGACTCCACAGCACCTTCGACCTCCAGACCCTCTTTCACAGCCTCCACAAGCACAGTCCGCGTCATCATGGCAGATTTCACCGCCTGGTCTGTGAGAAATTCCGTACCCTCTCCGACCTCACCCTTCATCCACATCTCTGTAATCTCATCCCTCGACTGTAGATACGCCACCACACAAGCCGCCTTGATCTCATGCTCCGGCGGCGACGGATCCAGCACAACCTCCTCCGTCTTCGACTCAGGATTCCTGACAAGCGCAGCAGTCCCACCAGACACCATATCGACGCAATCAATGCCAGCATCTATCAGCGCCGCGCTCGCCACCGTAATGCACCCGGCCAAAACACTCATCATCCCCCACCCTCCGCTCTTCTCGCTGCCTTGCTGCTGGTCGCCCCACCATCCGTCCTCCTCGCCTTCCAGAACAGTGATGACGACTTCACATCCACTCTTCGGCCAGCGCTCGCCGATTATGACGCCTCGCAGCGCAGTCTCCAGATGGACACCCAGATCCCGCTCGCTGGCATCGCGAATGTAGCCTCGCCGTTGCCGGGTAGCGAAGGGTGCAAACTTGACGTGCGTGCTTAGGAGTAGATTCGGACTGAACGCTGCGTTCCTGGGTAATGGTCGGGGGCCATGCACAGTACAGGTGATCTTCAGATTCGATGCCGCCGGTACCAGGTTTCCATTGGATGATGTGGATTTGGCAGGTGGGATCTCGTAGTAGGCACTGCCGCTTGCTGATGGTACGACTTTGGTTCTGAGGAAGATTTTGCGGTGCTCATCTGCCTTTCGCGTTCGTGTTGGCCGTTGTAGGAGGTCCTCGTTTCCAGTGAAGGTGAAGACCGGTGCTGCAGTACCGCCTGCGGGCGCATTGATTCTTCGGCGGTCTGCTTGCATTTTTGCTACCGTGACATGTCGATGCTGTTGCAGGCTTTCACGAGCATTTCTGTTTGGACTTATACAGGACCGATGCGGTTAGCGCGTAAATGTCACGTGTGAGGGTCCGGCTTGCTTCGTCATAACCACAGCCTCTCGTTCAGGCACCGATATACAACCACCTTCTCTCCTCCTCGTACGCATGCTCCTCCAACCGGTCTCCCACAATTGACAACACCACAATTACTACCACGAGCATCACCATGTGCGGCAGCGACATCTTCCTCGGCCTCATCGCCCTCCTCTTCCCACCCCTCCCCGTCTGGTGAGCAACCCCGCCGCCTCCAACCCACTCCCACACTAACACACTCTCCGCAGGGTCAAACGTGGCATCTGCTCCGCGGACTCCCTCATCAACCTCGCCCTCTGCTGCCTCGGCGTTCTCCCAGGCCTATTGCACGCCTGGTACATCATCGCCACCACCCCAGAACCCACCTACACCCAACTCCCACAGGACGCCGAGCAAGGGCACGTCACATACTACTACGTGCAAGCGCAGCCGCAGTACAGACGGCCGAGCAGCGCGCAGCAGGGCAAGCCGCAGGGGTATGGTACTGTGAGCAATGCGCCAAACGCGCAGTTCCCGGCGGGGCAGCAGGGACAGCAGGGGTTTGTGCAGCCGCAGCAGCAGCAGGCGGGGCCGAGTGATGGGGAGGTGCCGCCGACGTATCAGCAGGCGGTTGGGGACCATAAGGTGCAGCACCCGTGAGGAAGATGGTTATGAACGGCGCAATGAGGAGGGATGAGCAGGGCTCGGGAATGATGAGATGGGTTTAATGATGGGCATTCGTTGGGCATCCGGCTTGTACATATACTGTGCGTAATACAGTGGCTTCATGCGGTGCTCCTGGCGGGCCTAAATGGCTGATACGGCGTCACATGGTGTGGTTCTTGCGAGGGGTTACAAGTCCAGGACAATGGGAGCTGCGATCAACCTCTGCAGGAGCCAGACCGTTTGAAAAGGGTATATAATGGTCCACAATTAATTCATACTCCTCGTTATACTTCGTGCTGCTCTTTACATCATCATGTGTCTTCTAAATTCATCAGTCGTCGCTCCATGTTCGTATGGAGTCCATGCTCAGTACCACGTACAGCTCGCCAGATCATCTGGACCGCATGCAACGCCGGAAAAGTCACTTCCCGAAACTGTGCTGGTCTTCGAGACCTTTATCCGTCATGGGTGCTCTCCTTTGCGGGCGTCAAGGTCATCAGTAGTGCCGAATGCCCGTGTGTGGTGGCGCGGGTTCACGGACTGGACCAGGGCTGTTTGCCATCGTCTTGAGATCTTCGTAGACCCTCCAGCGGTCCCATATAGCGCCCGACTTTATTCACAGCGTACTCTGCCCTTCTGCTGTATCCGTAGGGTCATGATCGTAAGCCTCGCTCAGGCGTGGCGCAGCTGTGTGCTCAGGGTGACCATCGCATCGGCGTCTTCCAGGCCACAAGCATGCTGAACCCTTCCCAGGTCAGGTGAAGACATAGAGCGCCGCATACGCCAGCACCACGATTGGAACCAGTGGGAGCATTGCGAGATGGTTTCGAGTTCTCGCTTGGTAGAAGAAAGCTTTGTCGTCTGCTACGCTCCTATGTTCGCTTTCAACAAGGAAAGGCTCGAGTTGATAGGGATGTGTAGGAAGACGACCGGACAACGATTGCGCACAGAAGGCAGATGTGCAGAATTAAGCAAACATGAGAGGCGAGCAAGAGACAAATACTTATCCAGTCATCAGACCGCCCTTCCGCATGCCGTCCACATCCGCTCGCTCGCCATCGCGCAAAGGTAGGATGTAAGCGGAAGTGGAACGAGAAAACGGAACCGCTCACATGCACGAAAGCTCGTGAAACGGGTCTAGAATGAAACCGAGGTACGGCAAGCTGCAGTAGAGCTTCCCTCCGGGTCACGCAATTTTGTGGTGGTGTTGTGTGAATGATATGAGCTTGAGAACGGGAATGTGGGGGAGAGAAGGAAAGAGCGAGAAGGGAAGGTTGTGGGTGTGGACGTGCTGCCATTTTCCTCTTGCAGCGTGGAATCACCTTGTGCTGCCAAATCTGTTGCTAGCAGCAGGCGTCTTCGTTCTCTCGTGGTTGAGTAGTGAGACGAAGCGAAGATCTCGTGTAAGAGTTTTGTGATCTGCTTCAGATTCCACCGCTGGGTGGGTAGTGATCAACATGTCTCGGGATGCTGCAGATTTGTATGCTGTTGTGATCCCGAGCTTCCAGGGCTGGTATTTGTTGGTTCTCGCCGACAACATTGCCGCAAGCAAACCTCACGCATTCGGGATTATCGTCCAGGCCAAGCATGTCCCATAGTCTTGATGGCAAGTAGAGTCGTTCCATCGGAGGATTTCTTCAGCCTCCCTCGCTCTCCGCTCCGCTGCTCCTCCGCCTCTGCCTCTTTCTCGTCGCCGTCGGACTGCCTGCCCTCTTCCCGCTCACAGCGTCCAGGTAATCTTCACCCGCCATTGAGCTTTTCAACCTCACGCACCCGTCCGTATCCCTCACGAACATCCTCTCACTCCAGACCTGATACGCCGCCTCATCGTCCTCGTCCACAAACTCCAACCGTGTCCAAGGCTCTTCGGCTGCCTGCTGCAACGCACTTCTCATAGCATTCGTCTGCTCCTCCAGTTCGCCTCTCGGATTGGCCGAATTGCTCGACTTGTACGATTGATGCACCACCCTGCCCCTCTCAGCCGGGCCTTTGGACCCTGACCCCTGCCCACCCGCACCACCATATTGTCCCCCATTAACCCTCGCATCCTCAGCGTCCAGGTGATGAAACACCGGCCTCATCTGCGCCGTCCCCGTCACCCTCGACAAGTGCAACTCGTTCCCGCGAAACGCGCCCACAAAGTACCCGGGCTTCCCTTCTTCTGCTCCACTCTCGTGCTTCAGAATCTGTCCCCCAATCGTCTGCGTGCTCATCACTCGCCCCTCACTCTTCGCCTGCTCGAACTCCAATATGCCGTCCTGAATCTCCATCTCACGCTCCGCCTCGTCCTTCACCGCGCCCGCCCCACCTCTCCCAAAGAAACCCCGCCCTGAACCTTTCACCCTCCCACCCCGTCCCGACAAACCAGCGGCTAGCCCGTACGTCGGTGCCGGCGCAGCGCCCGCGTTCCCAGCGCCGTTCACGCCTTCCTTAGCCGTGCGCACAGCGTCACCCCACTTGAGTGCTTGATATCGGTTGAAGTTGTGTCCAGTGTGCATTGCCGTGTCCATCTCGAGATAGCCGGCGGTGGGTTTTATTCGGAAGTGTTCTGGGGCGACTCCTGCGCGCGCATTGTAGGGTTGGTTTGGATGCCGGTTCGGGTATTGGAGGAGGTAGATTTGGGAGGTGGTGGGGGTCGCTTGAGGGGTGAGGTAGATGTCGTAGGAGGCTGTTATTGGGTCGTCGTCGGGTGGAGCGGAGGCAGAGGAGGCCATAATGGCGGTGTCAAGGGAAGGTGGTGTTGTGGTGACGAGGTGGAGGTGTGAGTGAGTGGGTAAAAGAAGATGTATAGAAATTCTGGAGCTCGGACTTTGGAGCTTATGACGGCGCGTCATCGGAGCTCATATGCGTCGACAACGATCACCGTTCCTCTTCCACTTCAACTCATTGATGAAAGTAGCCAATCTACGAACTACTCAATCTCCTCGGCCGTACACCACGTCGAGCAACCAAGGACTCTCAATGGTATAACGACGACACCGTTCCAACGACCCCTCCATCACCACCACCTCCACCGCTATAGTGATTCAAGATGGCCTACCTAGCCCCCATCCACCGTCCCTCTTCCGTCCGACACGCCCTCAACCTCTCCTTCACCAGCTCTGATTCCGCTGACCTCATCATCGCCAAAGCCAACCGCCTCGAGATCTGGTCCCCCTCCCCCGCCAACCCCTCCGAACTACTACACGCCCACACCAAAACCGTCTACGGCAAAGTCACCCTGCTCGAGAAGATTCGTCCTGCTCAAAGCCCTACGGACCATTTGTTCGTCGGCACAGACCGCTACCACTACTTTACCTTATCCTGGGACGCTGACCGGAAGGAACTGAAGACGGAGCGAGCATTCACCGATGTAGCGGAGAAGAGCGCGAGGGACAGCCAGACGGGCGACAGGGTACACATCGACCCTACTTCGAGGTTTCTCGCGTTAGAATGCTATGAAGGTGTTATTACCGTTCTGCCGATTGCTCACGCTGGGAAGGGCAAGCGGAAACAGAGTGTAGGAGCGCCTCAAGATGTGGGGGAGCTGGGCGAGCCGATTCCAGTGCGGATACCGGAGCTGTTCATCAAGAGCACGTGTTTCGTGCACAAGCGGCAAGCAGGGCCGAAGCTGGCCAACCCAGAGATGGCGATTCTATGGGAGGACAGTAGTAGCGGGAAGATGAAGATCAAAGTGCGGGAGCTGGAGTATAGCGCTTCGCTGCGGCCGCAAGAAGAGCCTGGTTCGGCAGAGCTGGAGAAGGGGAAGGACGTGGATGGCGAGATTGAGGTGGGTTCAGGGTTTCTTATCCCGCTGCCTCCGCCTATGTATGGCTTCATGGTCGTTGGAGAGACAAGAGTGGCATACGTAGACGAGTGGGAGTATCAGGTAACACGGACGGAGCCTTTGGCGGAGGCGACGGTATTCGTGGCCTGGTGTGCGGTGGACGACCAGCGGTATGTGCTCGCGGACGACTACGGAAAGATGTATCTTCTGCTCGTACAGCAGAACGGACAGGGCGAGTACGCAGGACATCGCATAGATGCGCTTGGGATGACGTCGAGGGCTTCGACTCTGGTATATGTGGACGAAGGCAGGGTGTTCGTTGGAAGCCATCAGGGCGACAGTCAGGTGATTCAGATCTCAGAGGATAAGGGGCTGGAGGTGCTGCAGACGTTCCCGAACATTGCGCCTATACTGGACTTTACGGTCATGGACATGGGCAATCGGTCATCAGATGCACCGGTCAACGAGTTTTCGAGTGGCCAAGCCAGGATCGTGACCGGCAGTGGAGCTTTCAAGGATGGGAGTCTGCGATCAGTGAGGTCTGGTGTGGGCTTGGAAGATGTTGGAAGTATCGGGGACATGGGTGCGCCTGTATCCGAGATCTTCAGCTTGAAGAGCGGTGCAGGTGTGCAGGGTGTGGACACGCTTGTTGTGAGCTTCGTCTCGCATACGAGAGTGTTTGCATTCGACGCTGAAGGCGAGGTGGAAGAGGTTGAGGATTTCAGAGGATTTCAGCTGGGCGAAAGTACATTGTTCGCTGGGTCCTTGGACGACGGAAGAGCAGTGCAGGTCACGAGCTCTGGCTTGATCCTCTCAGAGGCTGAGGGCGGCGTAGTGACGGATAGTTGGCGGCCACAGAGCACGCAGAGCATAACTGCTGTGTCGGTCGAAGGCACCAACGTTCTGGTCTCCCTAGGCGGCGCTACGCTCACTGTCCTCGATGTCTCGGGTTCGAGCGTCAAGGTACAAGCACAACGGGACTTTGACGCAGCAGAGCAAGTCTCATGCATCACGACTTCACGATGGGTTCCCAATGCCGCGGTGGCCGGCTTCTGGAAGGACTCGCGCGTCTCTTTCCTCAACCTTCAGAATCTTTCTACCATCGTAACAACACAAGTTGCGGATGACACCTCCACAGACTCAACAATCGCGGTTCCCCGGTCTCTGGTCATCGCCAACATCCTCCCGCAACAGCCAGCAACCCTCTTCGTCGGCCTCGCGGACGGGAATGTCATCATCTACCCCATTCCCGAAGACCTCACTTTCGCCAATCGCAAGAGCATTATCCTCGGCACGCAGCAACCCAACTTCGCCCTATTACCGCGCGGCGATGGCTTGGAAAACGTCTTCGCGACATGCGAGCATCCTTCTCTGATCTACGGCGCGGAAGGTCGCATGGTCTACTCAGCCGTGACAGCCGAGAATGCTGCGTCCATCTGCGCCTTTGATAGTGCGGCATATCCGAATGCTATCGCGATTGCGTCAGATGATCAGGAGCTGAAGTTAGCTGTCGTCGATGAAGAGCGTACGACGCATGTGCAGACGCTTCCTGTGCACGAGACCGTGCGGCGAATTGCCTACTCGCCTGATCTAAAGGCTTTCGGGTTAGGCACGATCAAGCGGACGTTAGAGGCAGGAGAGGAGCTGGTCGAGAGTCATTTCAAGCTGGTGGACGAGGTAGCTTTCCAGGAGCTGCACAGCTATGCGCTTAGACCGGATGAGCTGGTGGAGTGTGGGATGCGGTGCAAGCTGGACGATGGTGTTGGAGGAGAGGCAGAGCGGTTCGTGGTTGGGACTTCTTTCTTGGACGAAGCAGCTGGTGATGCTACGACGGTGAGAGGGAGGTTGCTGGTGTTTGAGGTTACGGAGAGTAGAGAGCTGAAGTTGATTGCGGAGAAGGCGTTAAGAGGAGCGTGTAGGTGTTTGGGTATGGCGGGGAGTGGGAGGATTGTTGCTGCTATGGTGAAGACGGTATGCTATCCCTCCTTCCTCGTTTCTAGACACAGGTCGCTGACAACGTGGTTTGAAACAGGTCCTGATCTACTCATTCGACTATCAAACACCCAGCACACCCTTCCTGACCAAACGCGCCGCCTACCGAACTTCCACCGCCCCCATCGACCTCGCTATCACACCTTCCGCACACAATAACTCCTCCACAATCGCAGTCACCGACCTCATGAAATCCGTCTCCCTCCTCCACCATTACCCCAATCGCGCCGGCGCACCCGACACTCTGGAAGAAATCGCCCGCCACTTCGACACCCTTTGGGGCACCGCCGTCGCTTGCGTTGCAGAGAACACTTACCTCGCATCGGATGCTGAGGGCAATTTGACAGTGCTACAACACGACCTCAACGGCTTTTCTGCAGAGGACCGGCGCCGCTTACGTGTAACGAGCGAGATGTTGCTCGGAGAAATGGTCAACCGCATCCGCACAATCACCGTCCAACCCACGCCCGGCGCCGTCGTGATCCCGCGCGCCTTCCTCGCCACAGTCGAAGGCGGCGTATACCTCTTCGCGCTCATCGCGCCGGGGAAGCAGGACTTCCTGATCCAGCTACAAGAGCGGATGGCGGAGGTGGTGCAGAGTCCGGGCGGCGTTCCTTTTAAGAAATTTAGAGGTTTTAGGAGTGGTGTTAGGGATGCAGGGGAGGAAGGGCCGATGAGGTTTGTGGATGGGGAGGTCATTGAGCGGTTCTTGGATTTGGAGGAGGGGAGGCAGGAGGAGGTTGTAGAGGGGTTGCCGGGGGGGATGGGGGTGGAGGATGTTAGGGGGGTGGTGGAGGGGTTGAGAGGGATACATTAGAGCAGATATCTGAATGTGTCATACCAGCCAATGGGGCTTTCTTGAAAAGTCTTGGTGAGGATTGGCCATGAACGGAGGGTGTTTGTTGGACTCGGAGCGTTACTCTTCAGCTGTAGACGTCAATGAATTATTTTCATGTCCATTGCGGGTTTTCAGGAGCCTTCTATTCAGTAATAAAAATACGAATCAACGATTCCTAGCGTAATACAAGGCTGAACTCGCCCGAGGCTCGAACCGATGTTGGGCGAGACTGCCAAGAAATTTTTACACAGGATATATTGCATTAGTAAAATGTACACTTCAACCAAGTCGGTAAAACGACGGTTTCGTGGTGTAGTTGGTTATCACGTGAGTCTAACACACTCGTCGGCAGTCGTGGTCACACATGCCTTCGAAAGTGCTGGAACACTCAAGGTCTCCGGTTCGGTGAGTAAAATCAGCCATCATGATCATACAGATTGACTAATCAAGCCAAGAACCCGGACGAAATCAAAATGTCTCTCTTTTTGCGCTGTTGTATAGTCTACTGCTTCCTGGCTTTCTTTTGAGCTACTAAACGTCCAATTTGAGCAAGAACTCCTCGTTCGGCGGCCATGAGAAGGTGAGGTATGAGATGATGTTGTCACCATCTTCTATTCCTTTTCCCGGGGACTCTTTTTGGGCTACGACTGTTCGAGTCGACTCCGTGGCATCGTGAGTTGATAGCCCGTTGCTATTCGCAGTATCTACACCGTCGACTAGGCGGTGGTGGGTGGTATACCCTGCTGATGTTGTCAGTCGCCGCACACACGAGCCCCTGATGATGATCCGCTGGACCTAAGTACGATGAGTGCCTTCTCTGCTACCAGTACAGACATACCACAGTGCCAGGATAGGACTTGCGATGCCGTTGGAGAAGCCAATGCGATCTTGCCTTCTATCAGTATGGCATGAGGTCGAAGTTGACTATGGAGTTGGGAAGGAAGCCGACATGAACAAAGCGGCCACATTCCAACGATCAAGCCGCAAGCACCACTTGCTGTCGTAAATGCCAGCAGCCTCTTCTCTTGGTGCGAACACTGGGATGCTACTACATCTTTTCAGCGAAATATCTGATCCACACGAGCAACATCTTCGACCAATTCCGCACCGCAGGATATGCCAAGGCATGGATTCAAGAGGAATAGTGCTTCTCAACCTAGTTGCACGGATGCACTTTGAGCACTGAATGCACGTTTTGTGAGGAGGCTGTCAAGTCTCGTCGCGGTGTAGAGGGGTCTCTGTGGCAGCTTGCGGGATTCTATAGGGACCGCACGACATGCCAGAACACGGCAGACCATGGTAGGCCACGCTTGACATGCACTACGTGCAGCCTGGAGATTTCTCGAGTCGATGCTGCTGCCATGCTTCTCCGTCTAAGAAATACGTGGTGAGTACAACAGTCAGGCAATGAGTGTTATAAGCAGGAACGGAGTCACGGCATTGCAGGGTTCTGGCTCAGTGTCTGCGAGATGAGCACATCGTGTAAGGACAGTAAACGATAGGAGAGCTACCCTTCCGACCCCATCAAGCTGGCGAGTCAGCATCCTCGGCGGCTCAACCCAGATTACCTTACCCTCCTCTGGAACTTCGACAAATCCTCCGACTTCACGTCATCCACTGTCTGAAAGCGTACCTCCTAGCAGCCCTGGCTCATGGACCGTTCAATTCCCGCAAGGCCTGCACTGGAGCACCCATGAACTCCCAGTACTTCTTCTCAATGCTCCCGAAGCTCTGCTGCAACCCTGCGACGGTGGCGTCCACTCGTGCAAAGTGCAGCTTGCCGCTCACACGACCATTTAAGCCGATGAGATGCTTGTGGTACACACCCATATCCTTCTGGGTCTTCTGTACCTCTTCGGTCATGGTCTGGACCTTTCTGCTGACTTCTTCCGCTGTTTTGCGCAATGGCCCCGAACTGCAACATATATCTGGCACCTTCCCCCTCTCGCATGCTCCTTGGAACGACTGCGCAATGCCAAGGCTAAGCGGGACTGAACGAAAGATACCATAGTTCGTCGAGTACATCTGATTGTACTTGGCGCACTTGCCGGCGTTCTTCATTAGCTCCCTGTCTAGACTTTTGCGGAACGCATCGAGGTTCTTGGCCACGCTCGCTAGGAGGTCCAACATGTCGTCGAGCTGTTCCATCTGCTGTTGGACAAGTGGCACCAACTTCTCGGTGGATTCTGCGAAGCCTCGGGCAAACGCACCACTTGGTGTCCATCGCCGCGGAGCGAAATCATTGATGCCATTCAGAATCATTCTCGAAAGCGGCCCATGTGAATCATAGGCGTCCCGGATCCCTCGCGCTTCCTCAGCTAGATCTGCGAGCGAGTGATAACTCGAGGTAAACAGGTAGGCTGTACCGTCGCGGAAGACATCTATGTTGCCGAGAAACGTGGCTATGCCTTCGGAGGCTATTTCGGCGTGCAATTCCAGATCCCTGGTCTCCGCCCAGTCGCTTGCTAGCTGGATTCCGTATACCAAGGACGAAGCATTGCCGTATGCTGGGACAGCAAGGTTGGACCACTTGCGGCCGGCGCAACCATCCATCAGCCTTTCCAGCGCCTCGGCTGTAGCCGCCGCATGGTCAATAGTGTCCAACTGTAAGCCCTGTCGAGCCTCCCATGCGGCGCATATATCCCGTCCAATCCCATGTGAGGCTATGAAGGACATCCATCGCACAGGATCATTGTCGCAAAGACGGCTGCTAGCTGTTCCAATAGCGAGGATTGGCTGGAGAACGAGCCACAAGATGAGTCCGAGGGCGACGATCATCCCGGTCGGTGGTGCCAGAAAGCTGATACGGCAGAAAGGGAGCGATGCGACCAGTTTGAACAACTCCTTCCAGTAGAAATAAGGGGTAGGTACCAGCGTTGCTAGCCATGGCGGGAATGCGAGTCAGCATGGCGTTGGAATGTTGCTGCTTAGCCGGCATAGCAGCGGTGGGATGCGAGCACTCTTTGAAATCTGCCATGCTCTTCGACTTGCTTGCTGGTTGTGGGGGACGAAGGATCAATAGAATGCTGTACTTGATGTTGAAGACAAAGTTCGATTTGAAGGTGCCAAAGCGGCCACAAGGTGTGTGCATTCTCCATGCTCGTCGTTACTTCACCACCTTTATCTGATGCCAGGGCAGAAAGAGTCGCTACTTTTGGTTCCTCTGAGGGAATAAGTGAGATGTCTTATCGAGACGGTGGCCTATTGGTCGCCTGGTCCATGCTACTCACCCTCATTTCTCATCTTGCAAGTGCTGGATATGACGCCGACTCAACACTGCTGTCAGGCTTCTCCATCCAGAGACAGCGCGGTGAGTACAACCAGCAGGAAGCGGGTACCATGAGCCGGACGGCGTCACGATAAGGCAACAAGCAATCGTTTCGAGAGGTGAGTAGGGTGAGACACAGAACACAAGGCAGATTGTCAAAAGCAATAGGTCAGACCAGGTCAGTAGTACAAGTCGCATTCTTTTACTACATCAATCCTTCTCGCTGGCGCAGAACAAGCGCGCACATGAAAGCCATGCCCAACATCATCTCCGACAAAGCAACTCCCCATGTATCTTACAAGTCGCTCACGCGCTTCTCTCCCCGTCTAAAACACCGAGCACACTGTGTACGGAGCCTGGCACGGGCTGCACAAGCTGCACACTGTGGTTGAAGGTCCGCACACGGTTATCATGAGGATCTCGTTGGCGCCGTAGACAGGCTCGACGACGCAATTCGTGGCCATCTTGCGCTTGCTGTCGAAGAAGGGTGCTTGAGTCGTGGTGGCGGTTGGCAAGGCGGATGTGCGCGTCGCCGAGATGGTGGTGGAGATCGGGTTCGCGGTGCTGCGGTGAGGTTAGTGAGGCTCGAAAAGAAGGAGGAAGCTGAGCAACTTTCGCTGTGGCGGCCATGGCGGCGAGAGTGAGGAGGGTGGTCTTGATGGAGAGCATCTTGGTGGTTTGGTAGTGACTGTGGTAGTGATGTGATGGATGTCGGTGGATGACGGTGTTGTCGAAATTCGGTGTGCGGTTGAATGAGTGTTGTTGGAAAGAAGAGGGAGGAAGAAATGCGTGAAGAGTTTGCGTGCAGAAACTTGATGACTTCACTCAATTGCTGTCACATGCGTGATGAAGTGAGGATCGAGCTGCTCGAGAATGTAGGAAAATCACGGTCGACCTCCTGCGAGTCCACAAATGGACATATGCCACACAAAAAGTAACCTATCTTGACGAGAAGTAGTTATACCTTTAGCTTACTCCGACGGAGAGGAAGCGACAAGAAAAGGTTAAGGTCACATATACCGGATCTTCTGCCCAATGTTGTGAAATGTCTTGCCAGGTCCTCGAGTCAGGCCTCCGACTCGACTTAAGCCTCCACCCGAGCCTCCACTGGAAGCCGGCGTCGAATGGAATCAAACCTGGATTCCAATTTCAACTTCACATCACTTCATTGAGCAGCCACCCTTTGGCGACCCATCTAATTCACCCTCTGCCACACCTCTCTGTTGCCGCAAGGATAATTCGGGCTCATAAGGCCTTGGAGACACAGCATCGACGTACCTTGCTTGTGGAGATCTTGCATTGGTTTTGCCGCCTCACAGCTCGCCATGCCGGACTTCTGCGTTCCGAGCTCCGTGCACTATTGCCCCTGCGTCGCTGCCCTCGTCTGAAAAGTCGTAGAAGAAGAAGCGGGAGCACGTCACAATCTTCTCGGCCTGACTCAAAACCGGGGTCTTGATCTCGATTGAAGTGCAGACTTCAACCTCAACAATCGGAGAACGTAGGATCGGCATGGCTAGGAGGGAGGCGCTCAACGCCGCCGACCTATATGAGCCAATTAGCAAACTACTTCGCAAAGGTTTAAGTAACGACAAATAGGTACCGGAAGATCGCCGGGGCAACGAGTACGGATAGTACAAGCATTAAGATCGTCTTCGGCATAATGTCGTAGTATTGGATTTGCCGTTAGAGTGTGCGAAGCGTTGCCAGTACTAGTTGTAGTAGAAGACTGCGATTAAGACGTTGTCGAGGTCGGAGTCGAAGGTTGGAGGTCGGAAGAGAGAGTAGAGTGAGGTCGACGAAACTAAGTCTGCCTCGACGGTCACGTGCAAAGGCTACCACGCCAATGCAGCCCGACAGTCACGAAACATAGTAGGGAGAGAGTGAAGCAGTCCCCAGAATGCATTGAAGTGAACTGAAGATGAGAGTGAGGTGAACGTCATTTGGACAGACTCACGACTTGCGGTGAAAGGTCGCACCGCCATTTCCCGCCGCGCTATGCATTCTATAAAAAAGGCCCTCACAGTGTCCTCGTTATGCAACCTTAGGCTTCTTCGTGCCGTACTTTGACCGACTCGTAATCCTGTTGCCCACACCACCCTGCTCATAGTCAGCGATACCGTCATTATGCCGTCCATTGCTTTTGCAAGACTCACCAGATCTAACGCTCCTCTGACTAAATGATACTTCACCCCCGGACAATCCTGACTTCTCCCCCCTCTCACCAACACAACAGAATGCTGCTGCACATTATGCCCTGTCCCCCTTCATCAGCATTTCCCTTATATCCCGCGCAGCCCGTCCACCTCCGGTCTTCACATACCTTCTCCCGGAATATAAGCAGTAATCACAGTCCCACTACTCAACCTCACTCTAGCCACCTTCCTCTCCCCCGAATTCGGCTTCTTGGGCTTCACAACCCCTACCCTCAAACACACCCCTTTGAGTCCTGGACAATCTGTTCGCGAGAGGGCCGGCGAGGTGGGTTTGCGCGTTTTCTGGCCGACGCGGCAGCCGCGGAGGACTTGGTTGTAGGTTGCGGCGAGGGGGGAGGTGGTGGTGAAGGCGCGCGTGATCGGAAAGGGTAGGGGCCGGATGAGGGTTGTGAGGTAGGTTCGGGAGGCGAGAGGGAGACGGAGGACGGAGTTGAGGAGGGCGGACATGGTTGTATGGTGGTTAGTGGGTTGATGAATGGACAGCAATGGATGGTGAGGTTTGAGGTCGCGTGGAGGTTGGTCGGCAGCCGCTCGGCGTTTTCCCGGTCTCACACCCACCTCGTGAGAAGCCCAAGAACACCTCAGCAGAGAATCACGCAAATCTCGTAATATTATGAGGTTTTCCACGTTGTTTGATTATCGTTGTTGGGTCTCACCGAAGGCTCTTCACGATTGCTACGGAACGGACCAAAGCTGTCAAATGCTGCCTTCAACCACGAAAGTAATATACTCGCTGTGTAGATGCTGATCGCACACTCGCTCATGTTTCTCATACCATTGCGTCGTAGCCTCAGACGCGCCTCATGCCATCTTCATCACGCCATCGCTCGTCCATGTCGAAGTTTGAACGCTCATCCCACCACAGCGCCTTAGTAACTCCTCCCAAACATCACCCACTTCACCGCCTCCTTCCCACACTTCGGATTCACACACTTCGTCCCCTCCTTGATCTCCTCCGGCTGCTCAGCAGGGATACACAAACTCTTCGCTCCCATACTCGGCGCCCGCACATCCACCTCCTGCCCTTCCACATTCCCTGTCGAGTCCTTCTTGATCTGGTCCTCGCAGTCCTCCGTCGTGCAATGCGGCACCAGAATCACATTCTTGTCATTCAGCGTCGGCACAAAGTCCGCCCAGTCCCGTACGATCTTGCGGTGCGCCGCGTACTCGTCGGAAGCCTTCTGGTACATGCTCTTCTGGATCTCTTCGAGCAGTTTGGGGACTTCCGAGCCGATGTCTGAGACGGGGATTTCGCCTTTGCTGCCGCTCTGGTCGCGGCGGGAGGTGGTGACGATGCCTTTCGCGGCGTCTTTGGGGCCGAATTCGAGACGCAGAGGCACGCCTTTCATCTCCCAGTCGTTGAACTTGTAGCCGACGTTGTAACCTTCGCGGTAATCGCACTCAACGCGGATATCGACGTCTTCGAGGGTTTGCCGGAGCTTGTCGACTTCATCGTAGAGCTTCTGCTTGTCCGCGTCGGCCATCTTTGCTGTGACACCGACTGGAACGATAACAACTTGGACTTCGGCGACGCGAGGTGGGATAATGAGGCCTTTGTCGTCGCCGTGGATGAGAACCATGACGCCGATGGAGCGGGTGGTGAAACCCCAGCTGTTCTGCCAGACGTGGAGTTTGTCGCGTGCTTGGCCGTCCTTGACCTGCTGGTTGGGATCTTCGACAGTAATATCGAACATTTTCGCGAAGTGCTGGCCAAGGCAGTGAGATGTCGCTGCTTGAATACCTCTGCCAACCGACGGGATGAAGCCTTCCAGAGTAGTTGTGTAGTGTGCGCCAGGAAACTGCTCAGCAATCGTCTTCTTCCCTTTGACCACCGGCACCGCCAGCAGGTCCTCATAAATCGCAGCATAATGGTCCAGAATCTCCAGCACCTCCTTCCCTGCCTCCTCCTCGGTCATATGCGCCGTGTGTCCCTCCTGCCACAGGAACTCCCTCGACCGCAAGAAAGGCATTGGATGCTTGAACTCCCACCTCACCACATTGTTCCACTGGTTCATCTTCAGCGGCAGATCCCGATGACTCCTGATCTTCTTGCTGTAGAAGCTGTACATTGCGGTCTCACTCGTCGGACGCACCGCCAACCTCTTCTCTAGCTTATTCTTCCCGCCCTCCGTCACCCACGCGACCTCCGCTGCAAAACCCTCAATATGGTCCTTCTCTCGCTGTAGGTTTGCTTCCGTAATAAAGAGCGGGAAGTAGCAGTTCTTGACCTTCATCTTGCGAATGCGGTCGTTGAAGAAGCTCTGGATGAACTCCCATATGCGGTACGAGGCGGGCTGGTAGATGTAGCAGCCGGGAATGTCGGTGAACTCGAGCATCTCGCCCTTGAGAATGACTTGCTGGTACCATTCTGAGAGATCTTCGGATTTGGAGCATGTGATGCCTATGAGTGCTGGTTCTTCAGCTTTCTTCTTGGACTGCTGTTGGGAGGATTTGGCGGTGCTCTTCTGGTCTTTCCGCTCCTTGTCCTGCTTCTTGGGCTTCTCGGTGGGCTTCGCGGACTCGGCGGGGGTGTTGTTGGAGGATGCGGCTTGTTCTTCGGTCAACTTCATGGTCTCCATCTTGGGCTCGATGCCGCTCTGGCTCATGCGCTTGCCGCTGGTGCTCTGTCTCTTTTCGGATGTGCTCATTGCTGGGCAAAGTACTGAGTCTCTTTATATCTTTTTTGAAGGCAGAGTGAGTCGCGTGGTGAGTGTTGTTTATTGAGTCACGTCCAAGGCATTGGCAAAATGGCCGGCGGTGGGCTGTTTCGCGACCCCGCGTTACGCCTGACTCGCGCCTGGCTGGGTTGCAGGAGCTCTCTCCAACTCGCAGGTACGGAAGAGGTGCAGCACAACCCGGTATTAGAGTTCGCCTGGTGTAATGGCTTGCTTGTCTTCTCCTCATGGGACGAACGTCTCTTAAGACTTTACACATCAACAAGACACTGGCCATCACGACTCCGACGAAACTACAAGACAAGCAGCAAGACACCTCCAACTTCGCAATGGGTTGGGAAAGATATATCACGTCCGTACCCAGCGCCTTCAACACCCGGGATGATGGCAACCTTTCAGTATGATCCATGGTAATTACTGACCCTCATCATCGTAGCCGCCGGAACACCGTTCTGTTCTCATCCGCTGCTCTTGCCAGCTCGTGGCTCGCCGTACGCTGGAGGGACGACGCTGAAAGGATGCGCAATTCGCAGACATACCATGTCGAGCCGCACCGATCAGGTATGCTCGAGCCTCAGAAACGACCATGTGTCCTGGCTAACGGTGGAACGACGTAGGCGGAGGCGTGTAGGAACATCACCCAAATAACGGCAGTAATGCAAGCATTGGAGCTTGTCGGCGTTGCCGCATCGAAGGAGGACAGCTCGTCGTACCAACTCATGCCCCAATTGATTCAGTCCAGATGTTCAGAATCGTCACAACTGTTCTGCGCCACTTCGTCAACGCGAGCTACCTATTGCATAGCATACTGCTGCACCTGCCCTTGCTTGCTACAACCGGCTGGTGGTGATGCAACATCCGAGGTTCCAAAGTCTAGCACACCGTGGAGTAAAAGAAGATCCATGGACAAGGACATTGTAGAGAGAGAAGTCGTCCCAACTTCCGCGGCCTAAATGTCGTTTGATTACCACCCTTATCTTCCTGCCCCAGTGCCTCCGAACGTTCGCTCGCTAGTCCAGCGCCACAGCGGAGACGGGTCAAGTCCGTTTATTGCTTCTGCAGCAGTGGGTGGAGGTGCGAGGCAAGGGCGGGACGAGACGGCCTTGGGTCGTTGTGTCCAGTCTGCTTGCAATTCAGTAGAACTGAATAACATCTTCGTCAGATGCGTGATGTAACAAACCTGTTTCAGAACCTCCACCCGTAATCATGCTCATTGGCGCATCTTCCCGTGCGACCTGCTGCCTGAGCCGGGCACTCCTCGTCGTACTACCTGCACTGCTCAGCCGCAGTGGAACACTCGTCAACGCCGAATACGGCCTCTTCTCGTTCGTGTCACGACCTGACATTCACGCACCGAAATGGGATATCGACGTCTACGACGAGGCCGCGCTGGCGCCCGGATACTGGTTCGTAGGGCCATACCTCGATCGCAACAAGGGTGATGCGCCGGACGATGGATATGTGGGACCGCACATCTACGATCAAGATGGAAGCCTCATCTGGAGTCCGGTGGAGCTGGAGCCTACGTGGAACATTCGAAGAGTCGAGGCTTTCACTCTCAGTCAGGTGGACATGGGTACAGGCGGAGGGGTAGAGAGTATGTTGACCGCGAATGACATGCGCAAGGGCAAGGCCATGATCCTCGACAACCATTACCAGCTTCGCAGGCACGACTGGGCGAACGGAGGCTGGATGGCCAACTCGCACGAGCTGAATTTCGTCGACGACGGCACGAAAGCGTTAATCGTTTTCTCGCGAACGGGTCATAAGTCACCCCAGGAGCAGCTCGATGCCGCCGGGATAGAAGAGCAGTGCAAGGTTTCCTGCAACGGTATAGCAGAGTACGATGCCAAGACGTGGGAACGAGGATGGACGTGGAGTTCATGCGAAGGACATGAGGGCAAAGGCCATATCGACCTGGAGGAGAGCCAGCTCTACCGGGGACATAAGTGTCCGCACGACTATGTGCATGCCAATTCGGCCGACAAGACGGCGCAGGGCGACTACCTCTTGTCGTGCCGTCACACCAATGCTCTCTACAAGATCTCCAGGAAAGATGGGCGCATCGTCTGGCGGCTGGGTGGTACCAAGAGCGATTTCGTCCATATCGACGACTTCGTGTTTTCACGTCAACATATGGTGCGCTACCGCGGCGGCAACGAAACACATACCATGGTCTCCATTCTCGATAACGCTTGGTCGAACGATGGCAACATGCCTTCCACCTACGAGAACTCCCGCGGCTTGATGATCGCGCTCGATGAGAGCAGCACGCCCATGACGGCGCAGGTTGTCGCGCAGTACGACCACCCGGACGGCAATGGCAATTTTGCCTTCCGTCGAGGCGGCATGCAAGTGCTCCCAAACGGGAATGTTTTCATGGGCTGGTCGGAAAATGGTATACAGTCGGAGCATAGCGAGAACGGAACGCTGTTGATGCGGGCACGCTTTCGGCCGACATGGCTGGGAACTTACCGCGCGTTCAAGTATAATGGGTTTGTGGGCATGCCGAACGATCCGCCGGACGTTGTTGCGCGGTACATCGTCTCTAGTGATCGGAAGGCCAGCAACAAGACGCAAGTGTTTGTGAGCTGGAATGGAGCTACTGAGGTGGTGAGTCCTACTTTCTCCAAGATGCAACATATCTATCAAAGATCGCCGGACTAATCGCATTTCAGGACCAATGGAGGCTCCTCGAGACAAACAAGTACGGCGAACGTGGTACACACATTTCCACGATCAAGAAATCCGGCTTCGAAGGCAAATTCGAGTATGCCGGAGATCTGCGATATATTGTTGTCGAAGCACTCGCTCGCAACGGCAGCGTACTGTCCACATCTGACACCGTCATCGTTCGGCCGACGTGGTATGAGAAGTTACTGCACAACCCGATCTTCATCGCAGCAGTAATAATTACCGTGGCTGCGGCACTCATCTTGACAGCGACCTGGTGGGTGGTCACTCGCTTGCGGCGACGAGGTGGCACGAGCAAACTCGCTGGGCAGAGCAGGTTCTTCGACCGCTTGACGAAGGGACGGTATCAGAAGATATCGGACCAGAAGGAAGAGGGTGGTGAAGGGAGCGAGCCGCTTATGAGGTCGGATGAGGGATGGACTGATGATGTGGAGAAATGATCTGGGGATGTTTTGTTATGAGATCATGATCTGGTGGGAGCAATCTAATTTATGTATATATGTGCTAGGCTCTGCAGTGCTTTCGAGCGCCGTGTAATGAATCGTATTGCACGTGTTTGTTGGAGTCTCCTCACGGCAGCCCAAATGTGAGGAAGTTGCACCCCGGCTTCTTCTCTCCACACGCCCCGCAGACGCAAGTGCCATGCCTCCAAGTCCAAGCCTCCTCGTCTTCCTTTCGGCGCATCGTCGCATGTGATCCCGGCAAAATCAGGCGGTTCGAAAGAGGAAGGTTGCAGCTCGCAACGTGAGAGTGGGTGCCCGCCGCGGTACCTCGTTCAAGTACCTCTCGCTCCTTTATCCTTGGATTTCACTTCGACGTGTACCACGCGCGTCGTTTCCGAGATCTTATACCAGGTCATTGACGTCGATCTGTTCGCCAGCCAGGAACAGCAGCAGCACTTCTCCATCCTCGGTACAACGCGTCCTGGCCCCCGCAGACGGATGCTGACCTGCAGCTTTACCGGAGATTTGATGATACCTACATAGCTCTCTCGCCATGTGGCCAGGCTCGCGGCCGCTGAGGCTGTTCAAGCGCTCGCCGGCCCTTCGATTGACGTGTGCGAGTCGGATAGGCTGGATTGCGCAGCAAAGCCGGGTACTGACGACAACTTCACGATGGCGGCAGGAGGCTCAATCGCAGGCAGAAGCCGAAGCTGTCAAGGCGATTCCATACAGCGAATTGACTATTGGCGTTCCGACTGAAGTCCGGAGCGGCGAGAAGCGTGTGGCCATCACGCCAACAAATGCCGCTTTGCTACTCAAAAAAGGCTTCAAAGAAGTTCTAATCGAGCATGGAGCCGGCTTCCAGGCGGAGTTTCCGGCTCACGCGTACGAAGAAGCTGGCGCTACGCTGGTCAATGCCAGTCGTGTCTGGACCGACAGCAACATTGTACTCAAGATCCGGCCACCGAGACTACGAAGCACGACTCTCTCGCCTAACAATTTCATCGAAGGCTTCCGTGAGGGAGGCGTGATCATATCGATGCTTCAGCCGAATCTGGATCGCAACAAGCCGATCATTGATACCTATGCTAAGAAAGGACTGACGAGCTTTGCTATGGATATGATTCCGCGAATTACCAGAGCGCAGAGTTTCGATGTGCTGTCGTCCATGGCCAACATCGCTGGTTACAAGGCTGTATTGGAAGCTTCGAACCACTTCGGACGATACATGACTGGCCAGACGACCGCAGCAGGCAAAGTGCCACCTTGCAAGGTTCTGGTCATTGGCGCTGGTGTAGCAGGTCTCAGTGCTATTGCTACAGCACGACGAATGGGCGCTATTGTACGCGGCTTTGATACTCGCTCAGCAGCTCGCGAACAGGTGCAGTCGCTAGGAGCCGAATTTATCGAAGTAGAAATCAAGGAAGAAGGCTCAGGTGGCGGCGGGTACGCCAAAGTCATGTCCAAGGAGTTCATCGATGCAGAGATGAAGCTCTTCATGCAGCAAGCGAAAGAGGTCGACATCATCATCACGACTGCACTCATTCCTGGCCGACCCGCACCAACACTCATCACCGAAGAGATGGTGGCGAACATGAAACCTGGGTCAGTCGTTGTCGACTTGGCTGCTGAGGCAGGAGGCAACTGTGAGATTACTGTGCCTGGCCAGCTTTCACATCACAAGGGTGTCACAGTCATTGGGTATACGGATCTGCCTTCTCGTCTCGCGACCCAGTCGTCGACGTTGTTCTCCAACAACATCACGAAGTTCCTCCTTTCCATGGCGCCAAAGGAGAAACACTTTGGTGTTGACATGAACGATGAAGTCGTCCGGCGGTCTATTGTGACCCACAACGGCGAGATCATACCTGCGCTACCCCCTCTCGCTCCTCCACCTGCGCCTGCGAAGAAGGAAGAGGTCAAGGAGGCGGAAGTTGTGGCCTTGACGCCATGGCAGAAAGCCACTCGAGAAGTCACTACCGTCACTGGCGCCATGGGCTCCGCATTGGCACTCGGCAAGCTCACGGGTCCAGTATTTATGGCCAACGCCTTCACCTTCTCCCTAGCTGGCATGATCGGGTACCGAGTCGTATGGGGCGTTGCTCCGGCCCTCCACAGCCCGTTGATGTCTGTCACTAACGCCATCTCTGGTATGGTCGGTATTGGCGGCTTCTTCATTATGGGCGGCGGCTACCTACCTCAGACATTGCCACAGACCCTCGGTGCACTGTCCGTTTTGTTGGCCTTCGTCAACGTCTCTGGAGGTTTCGTCATCACCAAGCGCATGCTGGACATGTTCAGACGTCCGACAGACCCGCCGGAATACCCATGGCTGTACGCAGTCCCAGGTGTACTTTTCGGCGGTGGCTATCTTGCCGCTGCGAGCACTGGTATGGCTGGCTTGGTGCAAGCTGGCTACCTCGTTAGCAGTCTGTTGTGTATCGGCTCCTTGAGCGGCCTTGGATCGCAGGCAACTGCCAGGACTGGCAACTTGCTCGGTATTCTAGGTGTCGGGTCCGGTGTGCTTGCATCTTTGACAGCAGTCGGTTTCGACCCGGCAACACTCATTCAGTGCCTTGCAGTCGCTGGTATCGGTAGTGGTATTGGTGGCCTCATCGGCCGTCGCATTACAGCCACCGAACTCCCGCAAATGGTCGCTGCTCTGCATTCAGTTGTGGGACTTGCAGCGGTGCTCACCAGCATTGGATCGGTCATGGCCGCCATCAACCACATTGACATGCTCCACATGGTCACTGGGTATCTCGGTGTGCTCATCGGTGGCGTGACCTTTACCGGCTCCATCATCGCCTTCATGAAACTCGCCGGCCGCATGTCGTCCCGCCCACAAATCGTGCCCGGTCGCCACTTCACCAACGGCGGCATGCTCGTTGCCAACGTCGCGACCATGGGCGCCTTCCTCACCCTCGCACCTGGCGCCCCAGTAGTCGCCGCAACCTGCCTAACCGCCAATGCGGCCCTTAGCTTCGCCAAAGGTCTCACAACCACCTCAGCCATCGGCGGCGCAGACATGCCCGTCGTCATCACCGTCCTCAACGCCTACTCCGGCTTCGCTTTGGTAGCGGAGGGCTTCATGCTCAACTCTCCTATCCTCACGACCGTCGGCTCCCTCATCGGCGTCAGCGGCTCCATCCTCTCTTACATCATGTGCGTCGCCATGAACCGCAGCCTCACGAACGTTCTCTTCGGCGGCATCGCCGCGCCTGCGACAACATCGTACGAAATCAAAGGCGAGATGACCAAGACGACCATTGACGAGACCGTTGAGACCTTGAAGAACGCGCAGAAAGTCGTCATCGTCGTTGGATACGGGATGGCGGTCGCGAAGGCGCAGTACCCAATCGCGGATATGGTGGCGGATCTGAGGTCGCAGGGGATAGAGGTCAAGTTTGCGATCCATCCTGTTGCTGGACGCATGCCTGGGCAGTGCAATGTCTTGCTTGCGGAGGCGAGTGTGCCGTATGATATCGTGTTGGAGATGGATGAGATCAACGAGGAGGGCTTCGATGATGTCGATGTCACTCTAGTGATCGGGGCGAATGACACCGTCAACCCTATTGCAATGCAGAAGGACAGGTAAGTGCTGATCCTCTCTTGGCGGCCTTGTGGGAGTCGTGCTGATGATTTTGCAGTCCCATCGCCGGCATGCCCATCATCGAGGCCTACAAGAGCAAGCAGGTCATTGTAATGAAGCGTGGTGCGGGTTCTGGATACGCTGACGTGCCAAACCCATTATTCACAAGCGATAATACCAAGATGCTGTTCGGAGATGCGAAGAGTTCTTGCGACGCAATCAAGGCTGCGTTGGGGGCGAAGTAGAGGAGCTGCATTGCTTTGCGTTCGCGATCGCCGGAGGACTGTAGATAGGTTGCTGCATCTAGAACGAATCGTTGCCAACAAGCTCACTCGAGATGGCGAAAAGCAGCGTGCCGTGCTCTTGCGGCGAGTCGTCGTTCTCGAGCAGGTGTAAGATTCATCTACCAACCTGCTCTGCGATGATTACAGCTCGCTTCCTGCGCCTCGCGAGAAGCATATCATACATGCCGCCCAGCCTCCACCATAATTTTCAGACACCCATGTCCTCCTCTATTCCCGAAGACCAAAGACTAGGTCCACCAACCGTCCCTCCCCTTCCTCCTCCTCTTCCACCATCATCCCCGTCCCCATCCTCTCCCAAGCCTGTCATATTTCTACACCTGCTCAGCCCCCCACCCAGCATCCGCATCCCGCATATTCGCCGGCGGCTCAATGCTCGGCACAAACTCCAGCGCCACGTACGCGACGCCCGTGAGCCCGATGAGCGAGCCGCACGCGTACTTCCACCAGTGGTCGCCCATGACGATGCAGCCGACGAAGAGGTAGAAGACGCCGCGGCCGATGAAGGAGAACATGAAGGAGGCGTAGCGGGCGACTTGAGGGGGGATCTGGAATTCTGGATAGTGTGTTAGGAGGGTGCCCGGGGGCAGGGGAGGGGGAGGGGGAGGGGTTACCTAGGAGGCCGGTTGCTGGAAGGTAGGTTAGCGAGTTTTGGCAATAGGAGGGGAGAGGAGGCGTACCGAGACCGAATATTATCACGTAGACTCCCACGATGACATTTTGTCTGTCCCTTTGCGTCAATGGCTGTTCCCTAAAATCTCCTGGCTGCGCGCGAAGGCTCGTTGTAAGGATAGCTTACACTCCAATGGTCGGGAAGAACTGTCCAATGCCTCCCAGGACCATAAACACACCGACCGCGAGGTTCACGATGCGGCTGCGCGGTTGTCAGTACAGGCGCACAGTAATTTAGCCAGGCAGCTCTTTTAGAAGCTCGGGGGTGTCGCGTGGGTTTACTGACAAGATGTCGCTGAAGTCCATGATGGGCAGAGATCTGGTATATGGGTCGCGGGAGGTGTAGGAGTCGTTTGGACTAGAGTTGAGGTGGATTGAGGTGGTTGTGGGTGGTCGAGAGTAAAGTGAAGTGCTGGTAAAGGGAGTTGGCAGCTTCAATCAAGGGACGTCAAAGTCCGCCAAAAGCTCGGACCGATTGGGCACTTCGCGCTGGCAACCAAGGCTGCACAATTAATGCCTGTCGTATGTGCGAAGATGGTCAAAGGCAGCCATATACTCGTTCGCAAACTTTATCCTAAGACGCTACGTCGTATGCATTTTGATCACAGCCTCGCACGTTCCTGCAAAGCCTCCTTGACCAGCTTCTCAACCGCCGCAGCACACCCATACGACGTCTGATATCCATACCCTCCGTGCCCATAGTTATGCACCACAGGCACACCCTCGATGACCTCCTTCTCCACCCGGATACTACCCTCCCGCATCGGCCTCAACCCAACACCATGCCGGACAACACTCAGCGCCTCAATGCCCTTCCCTGCAGGCACCAGCTCCGGACACAGATCCACAGCGCGCTTCATTATGCGAGTGGCGAGGTTTGGATCAGGCTGGCTCTCCCAGTTACCCTTCTGCATGCAGCCGCCTAATATACAGCCTCCACCTGCTGCGCGGGACATGATGTATGTCGCCTCGTCCGGGCCGTCGTCGGTGCCGGAGGCAGAGCACATGTAGCCTGGATCGCTGCGGACGACGACGATCTGGCCGCGGCCGGGGTAGAGTGCTTTGTCTTCTACGCCGCCGAGGGCGTGGGAGGAGAGGCCGGTGCAATTGATGACCAGATCTGCACGCTTGCCGGAATGGTGCATGCTCGCTGCATGGACAATGTGAGTGGCGATGCCTCGACGGAGCTTGACGCCGTGTTTGAGGCACCGAGAGGCGAGCCAGGGGAGGTAGAGTGAGGTGTTAATGCATACGGAAGTGAATGATGTTCCTCCGTCCATGCCGGCTGGAACGTCTGCTTTGGTCATGACTTTGAACTGGTGAAAGGTCAAAATGTGTGCTGTGACAAAGGATGAGTACGTACGTTGGGTACGACGTCTTTGAACCATGCGTCTTCCCGCATCAGCTCAGCAAACCAGTCCCCGGTTGCAGAGCCGACGTCTTTCGATCTTCGGAACAGCTTTGTTGCTATGGAAGTCAGAACACGTGCTGGGTGCCGAGACAAGCTAACTTACGCTGAAAGTGAATACCAGCCTCTGGAGCATCATGGGCCAGTCTGCTCAGCTCTGGCCACGAGTCTCGCTCATATTCAGCGGCGTGCGTTCCATGCTTTCCAAAGCTACAGTCACTCGTCAATAACTATATGACTCAAGCTGTGGCTCGTTGAAATGACTGAATCTACATCTGCACCGTCGCCAATATCGAGATGGGAGTCATTGAACGTACGGCTGATAGTTCGCACCCGCCCAGGGCGAAGCATATTCTATGTCGTAGTCGCCGGGCATGTGTTTTGCAACAATCGTGATGTTGTAGTTGCCAATTCGTGCGAGCTGAAGAGCCGTTGTGAGGCCAGACACGCCTGCTCTGTGGTGAAGTCAGCGAGTGAGCCAGAAGTCGTCTGAAGTCATGCACAAACCCAAGGACAACGATGTTTGACATCTTCACCGGTCTTTCACGTGAAGCGTCTGAGATGAAGGCAAGCTGCTCCTTCTGAGCACTTCTTGAAGTGGCAAGCAACTATCTTGTCCTTTGATATGGCTGCATTGTACGGAGTATCAGATCTGGGCTTTCTAGAAGCGTTTCTTCGTACCAACCAACTTACTACAGATAGGTAAGCTCCTCTTCATAAACTCAAGTAGTTATACCAGAACCCTATAGACGAAAAGGTCACGCATCACCATCAGACGAGCAGCGATAGCACCTGTCGATATGCGGTTGAGTCATATGGGTTACCTCTCACTGCATGCGCAGGCCGTCACGCTTCTTTTGAGTGCAGCAGCGCTAAAACCTTATTGAAGGTGAAAGACGAACTCACATGAGGTGAAGTCGCGGTAACTGCCTATATAATTTGCTGCTGCCATCGGGATTGGTATAAACTCGACACACCACTTTTCACCACTGTCAAGAACACACGACAAGAAAACAACCCCATCCGCACCACCGACGTCGTTTGTTGATTCAAACTGCGAGCCACTGCAGTCAGGGTCGAAGCTCGGAAGAAGAAGTGAGCGGTCGGTGACGCTGTCTCTCGGTGAGTGCTCGTCCGGTCTAAACCGCAACAGGCATTCCCTCTCGTCTGCACGGCTGGCACAGAAAAGGGCAGCGGCCTGCTTGCTTGCTTGTCTTTCATATGCGTGTGCTGCCCTTTGCTGCTGTTGCTCTGCACGAGGCCAGGCTCCAAACACGGGCAGATGCACATTCACTCATGACTTCCACTAACGCTCCTCCAGTTTCGACACGTTCACTAAGGAGGAGAAGAAGAGGCAATGTTGGCCTCTGAGGAGTTCCCCCTGCTGTCGAGCCTGGGCTTGTATGCCGCGAACATTGTCGGCGATGGTAAGTGATTTCACCTATTCCACTGATCACATGGTCTCGTAAGACTACAGATGAAGGTCTTGTAATGTACTAAAAAGTCCTCAGGCAACTGTCTCTTCAACGCACTGTCGGACCAGATCTACGGAGATCAGAATCAGCACTCCGCCATCCGTGCTCGCGTGATCGAGTACATGCGTGAGCATGGAGACTACTACAAGCAGTTCATCGACGTGAACCCTGGCGGTGGGATCCGTCGCAATCCCAAGAGGAAGAATGCCGGGGCGTACTCGTCACCGGCGAACTACGTCCCTCCATCCGCCGACGAGATCGACCGTGTGTTCCAAAGCCACCTTCAGACGATGGCACGAGGAGGAGTGTACGGTGACAACATGGAGATTTCCGCCTTCTCCTCTGCGTTTAGCATCGATGTCAAGATCTATCAGAGAGACTTCGCGTACATGATCTCAGGGAGCGGTGACGGGGTGCAGAGGCAGGTAGCTCACATTGCATACCACACGTGGGAGCACTACTCGTCGATCCGCAACCTTGACGGACCTCACAACGGCATGCCCAATGTCAGCCCAAAGGTGCTGTCAGTCGAAGAGGAGCAGAAACAGAAGGAGAGGCTGGCAACAACCACACCCGTGATGCCATGGATGATCGACGTGGTGTCCAAGTCGCTGCCATTCCTGGCCGACAAACCCACCATCAAACGTCAGCTGGAGGCAGCGAAAGGAGATGTTGACCTGGCAGTCTCAAACATGCTGGACGCGGAGGAGAACGGCAGCGCCTCGTCACAGCAGGAGAGCTCCAGTGTGGAACGAGACCACGACAGCGACGACGATGCGAGCTACGCTCCCAACAAGAAGCAGGATCGCCGCATGAGTCGAGCCACCAAAGCTCACCGCCCACGCAGCCTCGAAAGCAAACACGCCCTCTCCCAGCTCGCAACGTACGACGGCAGCCAGGAGTCTTTTGGCAGCGGTGACTCCGAGTCCTCCAGCATACCCGAATCATCCCAACAATCCAACACCACCCTACCAACCGACACCGAAGACATCAACACCGAAGACATCAACACCGAAGACATCAACACCGACGCCAGCACCACCGCTTCTCGATCCCAATCTCCCGCTCGCCCGACGATCAAGCTAAAGCTCATCCCACCTAAGCACCCCGACCCGTCACCACGCGTCGGCAAAACCTCACAACGCCAGCCAGGTCCCCGCTCTACTGCTCGTGAACGCAAGGACTTTAAGAAGCAGGCACAGAAGGCCGCCCGAAAGGAACGCCAGCAGCTTGCTGCCAAGGGTGACACTCGCAGTGGGAGTCCGTCAGCTCCTGGACTGGCCTACAGACAGAAGGGCATGACACAGACGCCGCCGGTGGAGACACTGCGGACGCTGTACATCTGACCTGACTGCCGGCGGCAGCTGGAACGAACGATTACGCAAGACATCCCTATACCTGTTTTGACGGACTTTTGTCTGGGTGGGCAAATTGCGAGAGATACCCCATTCTGTTCATGCAGCCTTTTGCGACGGCGATGGGCAGGAATTCTTTACAAGAGCAAAGCATAGCGTGGCTTGGTTGAATCGGCATAGCATTGGCGTAGCATGGGAAACTGGGCGAGGCTTTTTGAGCAGAGCGATGAGTGCGAGCAATGAATGGCAGGTTGGTGCTCTGAAGTGCTCAGGCACCGGTCTTTTTACGAAGCAGGAGGTGCGATGGCATGAACGGCATAGACTCTTGGTAGAACATGCGCAACTGCAATGAGAGCATGGCGGCGACGCTGATGCCGAATAACATATTCATGCTGCCTTCTTCCCACCTCTCTCGTTCTCCCGTTCAAAGTCTCTACCCTGATATGTCCATGCCTGCCTTCCTTCGTAATTCTGTCGCTGTGCAAAGCATTCGCCCTTGGTATCTATAAGTCGGTCGCTATCAACATCCACATTTACTCCTTCCATATCAATTCTTCTCCCCCCTAGCTTTTGGCATTCATCACATTCACGCCCCCATCCGCCAGCCCAAAATACACTGCCACCGGTTTCTGCCCACCCTTCCCCTTCACCTCCGTCGACGCCACCTCATCCCCATTCTGTCCATGAAACAATCCCACCTCCAACACCCCATTGATCTCCTTGATCCGCTTCGCCAACGTATCAACATCCCACACCCCATCCTTCCCCCCTCCATCCTGTCCCTTCTCCACATCCGTCCGGGTAAGCAGCTGCTTAAACGGCGCATCAATAATATAGAAACTCTGATCCGTCTGGATCGGCCCCGTCTTGCTCAGACTATGCTCCCGTAGCTGCGGGGACATGGACCCCATCGCCTTCAACGCCTCCATCACACTCTTGTACGCTATCGGCGCCACTTCGATGGGGATACTCGGCCATTGCGTCAGCAGTCTGCGCTGCGCTTTGCGGTAGTCGGCGATGCAGACGAACTTCCTACTCCGGCACGCGACTAATTTCTCCTGGAACAGACACGCTCCGCCGCCCTTGATACAGTTCAACTCGTCATCCACCTCATCCGCGCCGTCGAAACAGACATCCATCATTGCATCCGCGGGCAAGGAGTCAAAGGCCAACGGGATGAGCCCAGCGGCTTCGATGACTTTTTTGCTATTCCAGCCCGTCGGGATGAACCAGTTCATGTGTCCCGCTTGGGGCGGGTTTTGTGCGAGGTGGGCTTTGATGGCTTCGACGCCGTAGACGATGGTGCTGCCGGACCCGATGCCGATGAAGGTCATGTTGCTGGTGAAGTGGTCGGAGACGGCTTGGAAGGCGGCTTTGCGCTTGGCGGCCTCGATGGTCTCGAGGTCCGGGGGTTGGATTTGCGTGGTGGATGAGGTGGCCATGGTGTGGGTGGGTGTCTGGGTCCTGGGCGAGGGCACGGAAGATTTCTTGAAGGGGGCGGCGGTCGGTTTCCTGGTCGCTGTGCTGCTCAGAGAGTGTACAGAGGCTTTTCTTTCTGATAGCGACTTCCAATGGCTGGTCCGGCTAATATGGTGGGACCTGGATGCGGGTGACGAAACAGAGCATAGGCGTTGTGCTGCGGCTTCACGGTCGTGTCAGTCTCGTAATCCTTCTTGTGCCTTGGTAGAGGTGTTGTTCACCCAGTCTCATCAGGCTTCATTCATCTGTATGGAAGTTTGAGGAGGAAGTTCTGGATGACTGCTCTCGTCTCGCGCTTCACCTCAGCATTCGGTAATCGCGTGGGCCAGCAGCCACACTCCGCCAACTGCTGCCCCGCAGAGTGTGGCGTTCCGTCCTTGGACCCTGACGTCGCCAAACGCCTTTCGAGCTTCGGACTTTCGCGATTGTGATACACATTTCCATCATCGCACAACATGGCGGCAGGTCAAGCAGAGCCTCCGCCGTTGCAGAGTCTTCCCACCGCGAAGGAGAAGAAGTATGACAGGCAGCTTCGTGAGTACCACAGCCCACTCTGGAGAAGACAGATGCTGACCACTCACAAGGACTCTGGGGAGCCAGCGGGCAAGTAGCTTTGGAAGAAACACATCTTCTCCTGATCAACTCGTCGCCTGGTGTCACCTCTGTCGAGACCCTCAAGAACCTCGTCTTGCCTGGAGTTGGCCAGTTCAGCATACTCGACCCCGCTGTTGTCTCCGAAGCAGATTTGGGCGTCAACTTCTTCCTCGAAGATGAGTCGCTCGGCAAGTTTCGTGCGGATGAGACGGTGCGGTTGTTGATGGAGTTGAATCCTGATGTGAAAGGGCATGCGATCAGAGAGGTGAAAGCGACACCCTACAGCGGGTCATCGCAGACTGGAGCTAACATGGTTACAGCCACTCGAGACCTTCATCGCAAAGGACAAAGTCTTTACTCCTTACACTCTCGTCCTCGTCGCCGCACCCATCGATTCGAACATACTCGCCACAATACGCCAACATGCCGAAGGATTGCAAATACCGCTCTTCTACGTCCACTCCGTCGGCTACCACTCACACTTCTCCATCCAACTTCCACCCGCCTTTCCGATCGTCGACACCCATCCCGACCCAACCGCGACTACCGACCTGAGGATACTCAAGCCATGGCCAGCATTGCACGAGTTCGCGCAAGAAAAGACGCATGCCATGGACAAGATGAGCGGCCATGACAAAGCTCACATACCCTACATCTGCCTCCTACTCCACTACCTCGACCAATGGCGGAACGACCACAACGGCATGGTGCCAGATTCATACAAGCAGAAGCAGGAGTTCCGGGACAGCTACGTGCGGAAAGGAAGCCCAGATGAGGAGAACTTCGACGAGGCGTGCGCCGCAGTGCTAAAGTCACTGAACCCACCTACAGCTTCATCTTCCGTGCGCGACATCCTCAACGCGCCTGAAGCAATGGAGCTCACGGCGAAATCACCACCTTTCTGGTTCATTGCGAGTGGTATCCGCCAGTTCTACGCGAAGCACGGCGAGCTGCCACTACCAGGAGCCGTACCAGATATGAAGGCACAGTCAGCAGACTACATCAAACTCCAGAACATCTACAAGACCAAAGCGAGAGAAGACTGCGCTGAAGTGGTCGCTACCGTCCGAGCCCTCGAGAAGTCATCTGGTCGTGGACCCAAGCTTGCAATCGACGAAAAAGAGATCGAGAACTTCTGCAAAGGCGCCGCGCACATCCACCTCGTTCGCGGCCGACCACTACAGGTCGTCCAAGCCGGTACACCCGTCAAGTTCGCTGACCGTGCAAAAGCGATGCTCTTCGAGCTCACGAACCCAGAAAGCCTGATCGGACAATATACCGCCTTCCTCGCTTGGGATGAATTCGTGGCGACCCACTCCACCACCTCCTCAGAGATCGGTGGCGAAGGCCTCCGCGTCCCCGGCAACAACGACGCCGACTTTGAAACCGACAAAGAGAAGCTCGTCGGCATCGCGCACAAGATCGTGGACGGCGTGATCAACGAAGCCGGCGACCGTATCGAGGATCCAGAGTACAGCGAGATCAAAGCCGGGATCGAGAAGGTTTGTGTCGAGCTTGTGAGGGCTGGGGGAGGCGAGTTGCATAATATTGCGAGTCTGACGGGTGGGTTGATTGCGCAGGAGGTGATTAAGGTGATTACGCGGCAGTATGTGCCGGTGGATAATACGTGTCTGTTTGACGGGGTAGGGTCGAGGGGGTATGTCTTGAGGGTGTGAAGCGGGAGAATCGTGATGACGGCGTTTTAGCTGGGAGTTACAACGCATACAGCGGGCAATATGGGCGCATTTGCTGGCGTTCAGCCATGATTGACGACTTCATGGCTGGCTGGGTATACAGCAGGCAATCTTCCTCGCTGGGAGGACTCCATGACAAGGAATGTTATGGAATACAGCTCCGCCTGAACTAGGTGCTCTACTGCAAACGGTCCGTTCGAGACGCGCTGCCTGCAGTAGCCTCACTCCAACCTTACCTTGGGAGATATGTTGTTTGTGGTTGTCTCACGTGAAAGAGATTCAATGCATTCGTTTCTCGTTCCTGGCGTTTGGGCGAATCATCGACTTTACAGTCAGAAATTAAAGTGGGGAGCAAGCCGTGCCCAATCACAGCACACATATAGGTAATCCACGTGGAAGGCCTCCTTGGAGGAAACATGCGACAAACGACCTTGACTCAACACACGGTTGAGTCTTGGTCTTTCTCGAAACGCAAAACGCTGTCGCAGACGTTCGAGACCAACGCAAGAATACTCTACCCGGAGGACGGTACTTTACAGGGTTTACAGGTTGCCAACGGACTTTCGCCATCGCAGTTGCCTGCACTCAACCACATCGGCCGAGCAGCGTCAGCGGAGGAGTTATCAGATCGGCTTGCATACACCTCCACCTCCGCACCGCTCGGAGGAAGTCCTCGCTGCCAATCTGCCTCTGTTTCACCCTTGGCGCTGGAGTCCAGTACCATATGCATCGATAACACCTACCGAGCCCCGGACTAAGATGGCGCAGACCGACGAAGGAAGACCGGCCGCGGAGCCTCCAGCGCCTCCATCTAGCTTACCCACCCAAATGAACAGAGAGCCATCGCAACAGGAACTCGAAGTCGCCCAGCAGCTTATTGAGCATTCTCAAGGCGTACCCAGTCATCAACCGGCGCGCGAATCTCATGCTTTTGCTGCTGTGAACTCCGAGTACGCTCAGCGTGGCGAAAGCGAACAGCGGGAGGATGGTGTGCAGGAGGCACATCACGATCTTGGAGAGAGTTTGCGAGCCTACAATATGGGTCAGAGGTACCCTAGTCCGTCGAGTGTCCAGCTTCCCCAGCCAGAGGCTCAACAGCGGCCGCCGCCACCTGCGACTACGCCGGGTGGACAGATGTGCAGGTATGAAGTGACTCTGATCCAAGTTGGAATCGAAGCTAACGTCAGCATAGCAACTGCGGCACGATTCATACACCATTATGGAGAAGATCACCTACTGGCGCCGTGATCTGCAACGCCTGTGGACTCTACTACAAGGCGCGGAACCAGATGCGACCAGTCGCGTTGAAGCGCGGCAGTGCAGCTCCCGCCCAACAACCTGAAGGCCAGGCGCACGATAGAAACACGCCGCCTAGCTCAGTCCAGGGTGGCGCAACTTACGTATCGGTCGACCAAAGCACAGCTGGTACCTGTCCTGGCGGTGGCCGCTGCAACGGCACCGGAGGTCACGAAGGATGCAGTGGCTGCCCTGCATACAACAATCGCATCTCAAAGACAGCACAGTTCGCTCTCCAGCAGGCAGACGGAGGCGCCCAGACTGTGGGCAACGGCGCAACTCCACCTCAACAGGCAACACCGGCCCCTTCACAAGCCACGAATGTGGTCATCGCGTGTCAAAATTGCGGCACTACCATCACACCCCTCTGGCGACGAGACGAAGCTGGTCACACCATCTGCAACGCATGCGGTCTCTACCACAAACTCCACGGCTCCCACCGCCCCGTCGGCATGAAGAAGGCAGAGATCAAACGTCGAAAACGCGTCGTGCCAGCGAACGTACAGCAACAGCACAATCCACAGAACAGTCCGTACCAGAGCGACATGACAGATGACGACCAAGCATATCCTTCAGACTCACAGTCATCGATACCGCATTCAGCGCCTACAGCACAGATGCACGACAACGCCCCCTATCAGCGACCACCATCCGGGCCCATACCTGTCGACTTTACAGATTCGTTTCGCGCTATTAACGCCCCGCGACCTTATCCGTCCGAGTCTGCAGTGCCGCGGAAACGTTCTTTCTCAGCCAGTGCTCCAGGCGGCGAAGACTACCCCTACCGCCATGCGCAGAACAAACGGACCCCGCCGCGAGATGAAAACATTGATCCCACCTTGAACGGATCATCAGCAGAGTCTATGTCGAAAGATGCGAAACGCGCCGAGCTCCAGCGAGAAGCCGAGGAGTATCGGAGAAGGATGGAGGAGACGCAGAGGCAGCTTGCTGAGCTTGGCGATTAAGCAAGGCAGCTGATCTGTTTTACGACATGATTCAAATGTTGATGAATCGAAGACCAAGTGTATCAGTATAGAGACCTAGCTCATCCGCACTGATGCGTCAGGCATACGTCCAAGGCTGTATGCTATGTTGAAGTATTCTAAGCCGTGATCTATCTCTATATTCATCGCAGTCTTAAAAATCAAACAACAAGCAAGGGGAACAGGCAGAAGTAGCGCTGAGTTCAGCCGGCGTTGCCATTGAGACCAACGTTGCCCTTCTGATACTCCTCGTAGCCTAGCCTCGCTGCCTCGTGGACGGTCGTCTTGCCCTCGACGATCAACTTGACCTTCTCCAGGATCGTGGACCAGTCTTCGAAGACGGTGAAGGGGACGTCTTGCTTGACGCAATAGCGGATGAGATCTATTGACATGTCAGAAACAGATTCGGAAGGGCTATTTGTTAAGATGGGACCTACCGTGGCCTTTCTTCGCGAACAGCAGATCGGTTTCCTGCGCGGCGGAGAGATCTGACACGCCATCTCCGGCATAGAACATTGTTGGTCGCTGGTCCGCAGGTAGCTGGGCGTAGGGTCGGATGGTGAGGCTCTTGTCGTGGCCGAAGCCACTATTGCAGCTATTAGTCGCCACCAAACTACCATCTGCAGGAAGTTCAAACTTACGAATCATCATGGTACTTAATCGTCCACCCCCCTTCCTGATCAATCGACTTCCCCGGCAACGCCATCACCTCGTTAGACACAATATCCATCATGACATGATCCTTCCCGACCAAATTCTTCAAAATCGCCCGAATAATCGGCTCCATCCCACTACTCACCACCACCGTCGGGATCCCCATACTATTCGCCCACTGGAAGTACTCATTGAAATACGGATCCAGCTTGATGTTCTCAACCAGATAATCAATGCATTCCGGGAAAGGCTTGTTGACCGAATCGATCATCTCCTGGAAGCTGTCGCGGAAGGTCTTCTTTCCGTCCAGTACGTCCCGATTGCCTTGCTTGCGCAGCTCGGTGCCGAAGCCGATGTTGTCTGTCTGGTTTGTTGGTTAAACTTGTTTTTAGTAAGGAGGAATAAGGGGGAAAGGGGGCTTACCATGTAGTCGTTGCTGTCTTTCAAGGTGATTGTGCCGTCGAAGTCGGTGAAGAAGATGAAGCGGGGGTTGGGGAAGGGCCAGTTCATGGCTTTGAGGTGGGAGGTGGAGGCCATGATGTCTTGTTGTGTCCAGTGTTGTGCGGCAAGAGAAGGGGTTTGTATGTTGGTTTCTTCTTGAAGTTGAGATGTGCTTTCAGACATTTTTCGGTGAGCCGCAATCGCCCGGCTAATCTGGCGACTGCCTCATACGGAAGGCGCATGGGCCAGCTCATGCCCGAGGCTCGCCGCAACTTGCTTCTATCGTGCTGGCATTGAGCTTCTGAGTAGACGACAGCTATGACCTCGACCCTTGGCCTTGCAGCTGCTCGAGCGTTCAGGTCACATCAGAAGAGCCCAGATGTTGCCGCGATAACGTTTCAGGTGTTGCGTCCGCAGCGCTCGGGACAGAAATGGACTTGCTCGGACTGCCGCTCTGCGATACGGCAGCAGGCTTTCTCGAAGACGACTGGGAGAGATAGTGGACCTGGGATAAGGCAGTTCACAACATCTCGCATACTCCGCGATGAACCTCGAAAGCCCATACAAGACATTCCCACTTCCTCACAACCCACGCCCACGCCGAACGACTCTCCAATAGCGAACCACGAGTCTCTCCCCTCCACGACAGACCGCCGGCGCTCGCAACTAACCAAACGACTCACCCAAATCACCGACTCCATCCTCGCCCGCGCCTCCATCGCCGGCCAGCACATCAACGCCTACACCGGCACCGACTACTCCGGCATCGAGGCTCTCCGCTCGCGCATTGCCGCCCAGGAAGAAGCCGTGCGCTCCAAAATATCTACCGTAGACTCCGCACGCACCCATCACCAAGAGGCGCACGCGGAACAAGGCTCCGCGCAAAAAGAGATCGTCGGACTGCTGGAGCGGAAGTCCTCGTGGTCCCCAACAGATCTCGAGCGGTACATGAGCCTTGTGCGTTCCGAGCATACCAATGAGCAGGCAGTACAGCTTGCGCGAGATGGGCTGGCGGATGCGGAAAGGGATTTGGAGAGCGCCAGGAGTTTGTTGGAGAGGTTGGAGCGGAAGCAGTATCATGAAGAGCAGATCTGGAGTGATACTATTAGGAGGAATAGTACGTGGGTGACGTTTGGGCTGATGGGTGTTAATATTGTCTTGCTGTTGGCGCAGATTGCCATTTTTGAGCCGTACAGGAGGAGGAAGATCGTGAAGGAGGTGAAGAAGGTTATGGATGAGAGCTCCGTAACAGCCGGGACTGGCGCAGTAGTTGAAGAGGTGGAGAGGCAGATTGATGATGTCGTGCAGCCGCAGGCAGTGAACCCTGAGGCTATTGAGGAGTCTGCTCCGCCGGAAGCTGTGACCGGCGAGCCGTCTATGGAAGATGCGACGTTGGCATCGCAGGATGTTGGAGAGGCACCGTTGGCGGCCGGCGAAGTGCTGCCTCAGGAGGCTGCCGATGCTCCTGAAACATCTTCCATCCCGCCGCCATTGCCGCCGAAGCGGCTCGATACGTGGTCTGCCTTGTGGGAAAGCTACGTCGAAAGCTTCCAGGACTTATTCAGCGAGCGAATCGTTCAGCTGAAGAAGGTCGACGTGACGACCACAGCCCTGCAGGGCGCCGCGACTGGCGTTGCAGCCATGGGCTTGCTCTTCGTAGTCTTCCGGCCTCGATGACCCTGATATAGACACGAAATGTATCCAATTATCAAGCAGTGGCTGGGTCATTGAAACTCGCCAAACTCTCCGTCGTCGAACCCTAGCTCTTGAGCTGTCTTCCCACTTGCAGCCGGAGGAGGGGCAACAGATGGCCCATCATTCTGCGCTTTCGCTGTAGACCCAGGTGGCGGCGCTATCGAGAATAGTGCAGCACTCTCATCCTTGCCAGTCGCACTCCCGCCATCCTCTTCCGATCGTCTAGCCCCTCGATTGCCCACCTGTATATGGATCTTCTCGCCCTCCTTCAGACTCCAATCCTTACCCTCCTCCACCTCTGCCTTCCCGCCCTTCCCTTCACCCTTCTCAAACCCAAGCACCTTCCTCATCTCCGCCAACGCAATGTTAAAATCCAACGCCTCCCCTCTCTCCTCGAACCCAATCCCCAGCGTCGCCTTCATGCCTCCCTCACCCACAACTCTCACAGCAAAGAACCTCGAACTGTCATTCGCTTGCTGCACTACAGCGGGACTCGTATAAGGTGCTGCGGCGAAGAGGTCGCCTGACTTGGGGTCTTCGAGCACGATGTCGGCTTTGAGCGTGTTGGAGAGGGAGGTCTCGATTACGCGGAGGCGGGCGGTGAAGATTTCCTGCGCGGTGGGCTGGGTTGGCGAGGTCCAGGACGAGGCGCTGAAGCCGCGGGTTGATGTTAGGGGTGGGATGGTGTAGACTCGGACGGCGGAGGTTAGGTGGACGATGCGTTGTATGGCGGAGTCAGGGAGGGGTTGGTTGGTTGCTGGGTCGGTGGGCATGGTGTGTGATCTATGTGTCGTGCTTCTCGACAGGTCGAGGAGGAAGTCGATGTGGTGTGTGTAGGAGTGAGCTGAGTGAGAGTGAGCTCCATGTCCGCGGGAATGCCCACGTGGAAGCCACAATTCGACGCCACATCTGGACCCCTGCTGCTGCGGGGCAGATCCTCAAATCTTTCTCGTAGATCGAGAACAACCACACCTCCAGCTGCAGTATCAGATCTCGAACAGCAATAATGGCCGCCGACAACCAAGTCAAGCCATTGCGTGACACCCTCACAAACGAGTCTGCGGCCCTCGCAGCCCGCTTCCGCGCGCTCTTCTCCCTCAAGCACCTCGCCTCTCAACAGCCTGCCACATCACAAACGATCCCCGCAATCGAGGCCATTGCTGCAGCTTTCACGTCGCCCTCTGCACTCTTGAAGCATGAGCTCGCGTACTGTCTTGGCCAATCAGGCAATGAAGCGGCGATACCACATTTGAGGGCGGTGATAGAGGACAGGCAGGAGGATGCAATGTGCAGACATGAAGCAGCGGAGGCACTCGGTGCGCTCGGTGATAGTGGAAGCTTGGGCTTGCTCAAGGAGCGATGGCAGGACAAGGACGAAGAAGAGGTGGTAAGAGAGACTTGTGAGATCGCCGTCGCGAGGATCGAGTGGGCGAATTCGAAGGGAAGGACAGTTGAGGAGTTGAAGCAAAGCGATTTTGCGTCGATAGACCCCGCGCCACCTCTTCCGCTACAGCAGTCGCAGCCATCGATACCCGACCTCCAACAGACGCTTCTCGACACCTCGCTCAAGCTCTTCCAGCGCTACCGAGCCATGTTCGCGCTCCGCGACCTCGCCTCCCCACCTGATCTTCCGACCGCCAAACCAGCCATCCTGGCGCTTGCACAAGGCTTCAAGGACCCTTCGGCGCTCTTCCGGCATGAAATTGCATTTGTGTTCGGCCAGCTCTCACACCCGGCTTCGATACCCAGTCTAGTGGAGACACTCAGCGACACGAAGGAAGCAAGTATGGTTCGCCATGAGGCCGCGGAGGCGCTCGGTAGCCTCGGCGAGGAGGAGGGTGTTGAAGACGTGCTGAAGAAATTTCTCAACGACCCGGAGCAAGTCGTTCGGGAGAGCATTGTCGTTGCGCTGGATATGGCCGACTTCGAGCGCAGTGGTGGGATGGAGTATGCGACCGTTCCCGCGGCTCAGGAGGTTGCTGTCGCGTAGTAATCATCCGCGCAGACGTCGTTAGGGCATAGCGTAGGCGTTTGAGAAAACCAATCTCAATATCCACCTTCAATTGTTCGTATTCCACTTATGCCCGCACTTCGGACACGTATAAAAGATCGTACTCCCCTCGTCCGCGCCTCTCAATTGTCTCTCGTGGTACCGTACCTCCTCCGCGCCGCAATTCTCGCACGTCTGATTGATCGTCGCCTCCGTCTGCATCTCCTCTTCGCTCATATCCTGCACATCCGATCGTAGCCTTGTTCGTAGTGATGACGGAAAGGCAGAGGGTTTGGAGTGGGTGACGACGACCTTGGAGGAGGTGTCTTTGTTGGATGTGCCGCAGATGTCGCAGAGGAGGTGGGCGGCGCGGCCAGTGTTGGGTTCGAGGAGGTTGCCGCAGGCGGTGCAGAAGACGAGGGAGCCGATTGCTGCCATTTCGTTGGCCTCGTGATCGCGATCTGGAAGATCAAGTGACTTCAGAAGATCATGTGTCAATTGATGGATTGAAGGACGTGTGCTCCTCTGGTGAAGCGCAGATCGGAGAATTTGGGATGGCAGCTTCCTTTCCGGGACGTGATGGCCTGCAGCACTAGCGCGGGATCGACAGACGCGGGGCGCGTTAACTTCTGGGGGCCTTGGCGACCTATCGAGAGACCTCTTCTCATCAAACACCATCGTAACACGACTGCCACAACCGCTTGAGCCTTACCGGAGTATGCTGGATCTGCTCAGAACGAGCTGATGCAATGGAGGGATAGCCGCTAGCGATTGCAGACCTACAGCGCCACCGCTACCACCGCTATCACCAGCGGCCTCCTCCGCTCGTCCTCCGCCGTGCAAACACCATCTCAAGGCGATGGCAACCGGCTCTACGACCTTTGCGCACACCTTACTGTCGGAGGACTGCCCGAGATGAACGGTTCCTGGCAGCCGAATGGCCAAACGGCGAGCCGCAATGGCCAGCCGCAAGACAATGTTCCCAGGCCACGCATGCCCATCGTCCAAGAAGCCCTCCCGTACACTCCGCTGAGTTCCATCATTCCGTTCAGCCCAAGTACGCCCCGCCCTTCACCCAAAGTCACCTTACGTCATGGCTTGCTACACGTGACGGGGTGACCTTCTGATGTGAGCTAATATTCACGCCTAGATGTAATACCTCCACCACTCGCTCTTCCAACCGACGCTCCTTCGCTCTTCACAAACCTCAACGAAGCTCAAACTGGTCGGGATTTACTTCAACGACTAAGTTCTGGAGCTACAAGCGCTGAAATCGCTTCGAAGCAGTGCCGGCAGACTCTCGACGATGTGCAAAGGTTGCTAGATCCTGGTACCTTGACGGACTACCACTTCAAGAGTCGCAAAAATTTCCTAGCACCGCCGGCAAACGGAACAAGACCAGCGTTGAAGCTGTCCACAGCGAAACTCACTCCGTTCGCCAAGATGGCGCTCGATCAGGCCGACATTCCGTTCCGATACCTCACGCCGGAGTCTCCAGAGCTGAAGCCAGCGAAGCCTGCGGCTACCCCGATCCCGGCGCTACAGCCACAGCAGGTCTTGCAGAATGGATATCAGACAGCACCCTCCTCTCAGCAACGTACGACTCACGCTGTGGTCGTCCCGAACAGCATCACCCCAGTAGAACGTGCGCAGTACCAATACATCCCGGCCTCCGACGCTGCTAGCGGTGCACATAGCTCGTCTGCCAATAGGGTCAGCATCTCTCAACAACAGAAGGGAGATCAGGCGGTGCAGAACCTTCAAAATCTGCTGGGCGAGATCTTTCAAGCGGAAGATGCCCTGGAGCCCGACACATCTGGAGCTATCTCGACCATTGCTGCCGAGTTCTTTACTGCCAGCGATGTCGATGGCTGTCCTACACCATTCCTGCAACATCCGATCCAGATCAAGCTGGTTTCTGCAGTGCAAAAGGCTGCAGTGTGTGGGCGCCTGGACAATCTAGAAGTCGAACATCTATCTCGCGTGCAGAGGCTCTGTGAGCGTCCCATGGCAGCACTAGATTCTCTGTCCTTGTCAGTTGGCGACGAATGGTCCGATCAAGACGTCGAAGAGTGGCTATCGAGACTGAAATCGGCATGCAGCGGCCTGGCGGCCATGCGGACTTTGATGTTCATCATGGCTGAACTGGCGCACAACAAAGAGCTGCAGTCTGAAGACTACCTCCGCGTCATCCTCGATGGCCTCAAAGCTGTGGTTGAAGATTTTATCACAGGGGTGGTGCAAGAACCTGCTGCTTTACGGGAGCGCATCCGGGGCGAGAAGGAAGCGCCGCCAGTGAATCCAAAGTTCGTAGTTTTGTCTGGCAATTCAGAAGAAGTGCGCTCAGTCTTGACCGCCGCCACAAAGAGTATGCGGGCACTGGGCGATCTTTTGGTGAAGACCGAACTGGACGAGACCGCGATTTCTAGCGTTGAGGCTCTTTGCAAATCAGTCATCTTTGCAGAAAATGCAAGCACCGAGAAGGACTCTGCCATTGGGATACAAAGATTCGAAGAGTTGCGCAGGTGTGCTATGGATGTGCTAGCAAAGGTCTTCACAAAATACGACAACCAACGCAGATACATTTTTGACGAGATCCTGATGTCCTTGGAGAGACTGCCTGCGACCAAGCAGAGTGCTCGCCAGTACCGACCGACCGACGCCAAGCCCATCCAATTGCTCTCTGCGCTGCTGATGCGTCTGATTCAGACAAGCGCTACTAAGAGTAGTGAGGCTCTGAAGCTGCGCACCACTAACCCGCGTGATGAGGCTGACAGCGAAGAAGAGAGTGCGTCTGAGCAAGAGTCGGACGAAGAGGGCTCGGACGAGATAACAGTGTCGCGGAAGAAGCACACGGGAGGCAGCGGTAGTCTGCTATCCATCACCGCCCCTCTTCATGAGGCTGCTCAGCGCAACGCAAGCTATGTTGTCAACATGCTTATCCAGCGCGCCCTCTCGACGTCGAAGTCTAGCGAGGAGCCATACCGGAAGCTGCTCGACATCTTCACCGCCGACTTCCTCAATTGCCTTGGCTTGCCGGACTGGCCTGCCGCTGAGTTGCTGTTGCGCACACTCACGATGCGCATGATCGGTATCATCAACGAGGAGTCCAGCACCGCCCCGCAACGGACCTTTGCTCTCGAATTGTTGGGCAACATGGGCTCAGGCATCTTGGAGCTGCAGATCGCTGCGCGCAACGCCGCAAGTGCCGCCGATGTCAACGAGTCGCCTGCTGTCCCTCCGTTGCGGGACATGGTGGCTCAGCTCGAGACTGCCGGGCTCGACTCATCTTCAGCCTTGTCATACCATGGACCGCATCATATCGTTGTCCAGTACATCGACGAGCGCAGCGCGAACAAGAACGACGCGCAGCTGATAACCGCCAAGGGCTATCACCTCATGCAGTGGGCCCATCTCCTGGTTGGCGGTCGTGAAGGCTCAGCAGAGTCTGAGTCCAACCTGGCATCCCACGAATCGAGAGATCTTCGGTCCAAGCTGAGGAAGATGCTCACAGATCCCCATTTGTCTGAAGACGACCAGGGGACTTACCACATGACCACGCCTACCAGCAAATTGGCCGCCATGGTGATTACCTTGAACTCTGCCTTCTGCCGGGCGTTCAACAAGATGTTCTACATCCTCTTGACGGCAATGAGCAGCGAGCAGTCGAGCTCCACGGTCAAGAGCCGCAGCCTGAAGAGCATCGTTACGCTACTTGAGAAGGACGCGACTCTGCTTGAGCGGAATGCTTCTGTCTTCCAACACATTGTCCGCTGTGTGGGAGACAACTCGCCCCTCGTGCGAGACTCTGCGCTGAGCCTCATCGAGAAGTGCATCTCTCTTCGACCGGCCCTAGGCTCGAACGTCGTGAGTACAATCATCCTTCGTACCAGAGATGGCGCGATCGGTGTCCGCAAGCGAGCCATGAAGATGCTCAAGGAGATCTACTTGCGCAACGAATCGACCAACGTCCGCTCAGCCATTGCAAACGCTATCATCGCTCGCATTGAGGATGCAGAAGAGAGTGTTGTGGAGATTGCACGCACGACCATGGAGGAGATCTGGTTTCACTCGCTGTACGCCATGAAGATGGAAGGCGAAGGAGCCATCAAAGCGAAGCTGGCCTACACGGCCCATGCAGCTCTATTCATCAAGACTGTCGAGTACGATGACAACGCGCTCAGTATCCTGGAAGCCTTGCTCAAGCGCCTGCTCACCAGATCGAAGCTGGCAGAAGCGAACGGGAGAGTGTGCCGCACGCTCATCGCTGTGTTGTTCGACGGGATCATTGACACCAGCGACATACCTGGTTCGCCCTCGCAGAGTGGCATTCTACGCTCGTTGACGGTCTTTGCCAGGGCCAGTCCGCAGCTGTTCACGTCTACTCAGCTTCAACGCCTGGAGCCGTACACGCAGAACCTCAACAGCAGCGATGACCTGGATGTCTACCGCTCTGTCGTCATCATCTTACGCTACGTCCTGCCGCACAGGAGCGTCATGAACCGGGACGTTCTGACTCAATTGCATCGGACACTGCTCAAGAGTGTCACCAAATTGCAGAAGGCGGAGCTCAACGAAGCTGTGCCTTGTCTCTGGACAATCAGCGGCTTGATTGGCGAGACTCATCTAATCGCAAACTTCGTCATCTCCGTCCTGGAAAAGATTGCGTCTGTAAGCATCGCAGAGCTCGCCACGGATGAGAAGAAGGCTACGACTGTGTTCAGACTGGCGAGAATTGCTGGCGAGTTCGGCAATGCATGCGACCTTGACAGCTTTCTGGCCGACTTCACGAAGAAGTTCGTCAAGTACAAGGGGCATTCTGTCGCTGACCTTATGGTCGAGACTCTGTGTCCCTTCACCAGCCCGAAGTGCCCGTTAGTAGTTCGAGAGGTTGCATTGGAGGCTATCTGCTCGGTCGCACAGGCGTGGCCTAAGCTGTTCACGAGGAAAGACATCGAGAATGCTTTCGACACGGTGTTTAGGGAACACCTGCCGGAACTCGAAAAGGTTCTTCTTGACGGACTGGAAGCTTTCTTCGTCGCGCAAGAGACTCCGGAGCCTGGCGAGGATGGACATGAGCTTGGTACCGGCGTCGCCAGCGGCTCCGACCGCCTCAGCAAGACCTACGTCGCCTCAGACCAAGATGGTGCCGCGATTGCGATGGCTCAGCGCTTCATCTCCCAGATCATCAGCATTGCCGTCTCATCCCGCGCCGAACAAGCATTCGTGGCGGCGAGGCTTGTTGTTAGTATCAACAAGCAAGGCATGGTGCATCCGAAAGACAGTGTGCCTGTACTTGTGGCCCTTGAGACTTGCCCAGACAAGGATGTTTCCAACGCTGCGTTCAAAGAGCATAAGTCACAACATGCGAAGCACGAGAGCATCTACGACAAGGAGTACATGCGTGCTGTACAGCGGACCTTTGAGTACCAGCAGAAGGTTATCGGGGACGCGGCTGGCTTCCAGGGCTCGCCGTCGACCGCGAAGATGCACATGACATGGGAGGTCCTGAAAGGTGCGAAGGCGACGGTACGGAGGAAGTTCTTGACAAATATGGCGCAGAAACTGGACTTCGATCCTACCAAAGCTGCTCTGGCGCAGCATCTCGGGTTTGCACGCTTTTGTTTGCAGAATCTGGCCTTCTTCGAGTACGACCGTGTGGACGACTTACTGCCACTGCTGGCTGCACTCGACAAGCTCTTCGCTGGTACAGGCTCCACCGTCGCCCAGGCTATCGAGAGCGAAGTGCTCAAGATGGGTGTCGAAGGCTTGACCGTGCCGGGCAGCCAGCCCAACGGAACCTCTGATGCCATGCCGCCAACCATGGCCGTCGACCTCGACCCGCAGCGACTTCATCAGCTGGCTGTCTCGTCGCAAATCCTCACGCTGGCCCACGAGACGCGCTCGTTCTTGATCCGCATCTGGAACATGCAGAAGCACTTGACGAAGACGAAACAGCAGAAGGACAAGGACACGAATAAGGCTCCAACCCGCTCCACGAGCGCGCCTACATTTACTGACGCCTTTATCAGGCGTGTCGCCGACGTCGGCAGGCCGCTCAGCACCGAAGACGAGTGTCACGCCATGTGCAGCGCCTTCGCCGAACTGCACTCAGTCGACAACGAGGTCAAGGCCGCATCTGAGGGCGAGGCCGACGACGCGGAGCTGGCGAACGGGTACGACACGCCGAGCGATCGCAGCAAGAAGAGCCCTTCCTTGCCGCCGGCGAGCGGTGGTGGAAAAGGCAGGAAGAGGAAGTTGTCAAATGCAGGTACTACGCCGAGAAAGCGAGGACGTCCGAGTATGGGTGGGAAGAGGAAGAGTGGTTCTGCTAGGGTGGGGGATGACGAAGATGCTGGGTGGGATTGAGTTGCTTGTTAAGATACCCCATTTGCTGGAGAGGAAGATGCATGATTGCTTGACTTGAGTATATTTAGCGTTGGCGCTGGAGGGACACCGTAGCTGAGACTACATATGGGCTCTGCAATGGGCATTGAACATCAGGTAGCTGTGGTATTGGCTGCTCATTTTGCTCCTGACTGTGGCCTTTCACACCCTATGATACTCTGTCACTGTGTCTTGACCTACCGCGTGCGCCTTGGCGGGCTGCTTGCCCTCCGTGCCACATAACACAGCTTCTGTTTGCGCTGGACAACACCTTTGAGCTCGTCTCGCCCGTCCATCACCAAAGTCATAATGGAACCGTGGAGCTTGCTCCTGACCTTGAGCTTTCTCCTTTCAACTCTCAGTCCGGCGATCGGCTGGTCCTACTTTTTCCCAGAGCCCGCTTTCGGCATCGAATTCACCTTGGATCACGTTGTCGCCTCTGTCTCCCTCCCCAATAAATCGACCTACGGCCTTGCAAAGGTCCACGGCGGAGAGGCCTACCGGTCGCTTATGCGTCGGAGTCTTGAGCTCTGTCACAATGTCTCCTTGACGCAGGCACTTCCGTTGAAGCAGCTACGCAGCTCCTGGCTACGTGCTCGAGAAGAAGAAGACGCACGACAAGCGCGCCGGGCTCCTCGGTCAAGGGAAAACTTCTCTGTGTGACTCTTTCCGCGTCAACGTCCTTCGCAGATCGGTGCGCGAGCGACATAGCACGAATCTGCCTGTGCCCTCGGGCAGCGACGAGTTTGGAGGTGACGCCGACGTGAAGATCCTCGAGCGGTCGGTCGGTCGGTTGAAGGACGCGATAGAGCTGGAGATGCTCGACAAATTCGGTGTAAAGGAGTATGATCTTTTCCCGTGGTCGTACACCAGAATCGTCGCTCCGGACTTCTTCTTCACCGCGTTGGCGCCACAGACGGACAAGAGCATCCAACCGGAAAAGAATGTGAGCTGGATCGAGTACTTCCCCAAAGACGAGGAGCTACTTTGGTACTCTTCCATCGCCCGGAAGCTCTCGGTAGCGGTCTACCGCAACACCTTTCGTCAAAGCGGGTCACCGAGGTGGCTGGTCGTATCCACATCAAGGCCGCCGCAGTCACAGCTTCGTCCTGGGCGACGTTATCCCAGACGAGGCAAGATCACTGCATCTCTCCAGAAGGACACGGACAGGACGGGTTAAAAGGAGCCTGCGAACCAGCATTACACTCACCCACAAGCATTGTCGTCGGCCTTAACAACGCTACTCTCTCGCTTTGGCTGGATGGTTCACCCGGCTTGCGGACTCCCTGGAGCACCTTTCCGAACCTCGGCGGGCACGCCCTGCTCAGTCGCGCGAAGAGTGACATAGATCATCACTGGGACGAAGTCGTCTCCAAGATCGACTCCTTTGGCGAGCGCACTGATGGCGCCGTGGACTTGATCTTGAGTGGAGAATCCTGGTCCGAGCAGACGTTCGAAGGCTTCAAGAGTAGACTCAACATGGGCGAACGGAAGGTCAACATAGCGAACGTGGTCCGCCAGCCTGATGATTTTGCTGCGAGTAAGCGGGCAGCGAGATTGGGACGGGATGATCTGGATGCCCACACGGTTCCTGAAAGTCCCTTGGTGTATGGCGATGAGCTATAGGCTCAGTCCTTCTATACTGTGAGAACTCGATAGTTTTTCCGGTCAGCATTGGTTTCTATCAAACATTGTAATGAAGTCAGGGATGTGGTGTTGTAGTTGCTTGAGGTACGGTTCTGCTATCCAGCTACTCGCATAGACTTGTCGGACATGTTACCAGTAGATTCGCCTCGACTCTCAACAATAGCTTCAAGTTGCTCGTTGACGTGATGATGTGTGCTCGATAGGTAGAAAGGGAGAAGGAGTAGAGTGAAAGTGATGTTGCCAGCTCGTAGAATACCACAGACGTCACACTGCCGAGCCGCCGAGCTCACGTTGTCCCGCCTGCCAGCTGCCTTCATTCTCTACTTGCACTCTACAACAACGAATGCGCCTTCGCTCATAGTAGCACCTGATCGATAAATATCAACACAAAACATCCAGCGCATCGATCTCGCGAACCAGCACTACCACTACCGCCACCATGGCGTCCTCCTCCACCCCAGCATCGCCCCTCCTCTACAGCTGCATCGCCTACGAATCCACCATCCTCGCCGAACACACCTCCTCCGCCGTCTCTGGCGCCAGCTCCACCGCCAGCCTCATCCTCCCCAAAATCCAGCACGAATCGGCGCAGAAACTGACCTACCAGCACGAAAGCTCCAACATCCACTTCATCGCCGACGCGCCGCCCTCGAACTCCAGCCCGGACAACCTCAGCGGTGGCGGGCTCACGTACCTCGTAGTCGCGAAAGGCGACTTCAGCAGACGGATATCGTTCGGGTACTTGGTGGAGATCAAGAAGCGCTTTTTGAAAGAGTACGATGCGGAGCGAACGAACTTCTCCTCGCTACCGGCATACGGCGCGGCGGCGTTTAACTCGCAGCTCAAACAGTTGATGATGGAGTACGGGACGACGAAGGCGGGGCAGAACGATGCGTTTGCGAATGTGCAGAGTGAGATTGATAATGTGCGCGGGATCATGACGGAGAATATTGAGCGGGTGTTGGAGAGGGGGGAGAGGATCGATTTGCTGGTAGATAAGACGGATCGGTTGGGTGGGAGTGCGAGGGATTTTCGGGTAAGGAGTCGTGGGTTGAGGAGGAGGATGTGGTGGAAGAATATGAAGTTGATGATTCTGTTGGCGGTGGTGGTGGTGTTCTTGGTGTACTTGCTTGTGGGGTTTGGGTGCGGGTTGCCTGGTAAGTGAATACGACCTGCTGGATGGAATGCGGACGATACTGATCTTTGGCAGCATGGGGACGGTGTGTCGGCCACTGAAGTGGCAAGTACTTGGCAGTCACTGTGTGGACCACTTCTTGACGTCCAATGATCGATTCAGCGGCTTGTACAGTGTATCAACAGCAGTATGGAAATGTCCTTATTCTGTCCGTGCTTTCCCTCTGAACGCTTTATCGTTGTTGACGAGCAACCTAACGTCCGGCGTCGACGCTTGGCAGAATACAGCATCATGAAGGTGTTCATATTGCTTCTGGGCATAACATGTTCAAACGAACTGCTCACATCTTTCCAGACTTGATACTCACATATCACCCACGACTCGAATCGGCACTGAGTTTGAAGCGACCCCGGAGATGTCATTGTGCAGCTGACAGCTTCAAGCTCCAAGGAAGCTCCACACAGAACCTCACAACACCTAGCTGTTCACGTAATCGCCAGGCCTCGGTCAACCAGTCCACCGACACGGGCGGACGGCTTCCAGCTTACTGCATATCAGCCTGACCTTCATCATCCTCCGCTCTCTCAAGGCTCACGACCTTACAACGGTCTAAGATTACCACCTAAACAACACCACCACCGACCTCCACCATGCCCTTCTACGAAATCTACCACCACTGCCCCCTCAGCATATCCCAGCAAGACGAGCTCGCCGCCGCCATCACCGACATCCACGCGCATAAATTCGGCGCCCTCAAGAACTTCGTCAACGTCTCCTTCAAAGACATCTCCACCGCCCCACGCTACATCGCCGGCAAACGCCAGACCTCGAACCAGATCTTCGCTTGGGTCCGCACCGGCCCCTCACGCACGCAAGAAGACTGGAACGACCTCATCGAGCAAGTGACGAAGGCATGGGATAATATCTGCGGTACGCCGCTACCGCAGGCAAAAGGCAGGACGACGCCTGATACGAGTTTGAGGATGGTTGCTGTGATGGGAGGGCTAGTGGCGGCGATGGAAGCGGGGTTCGTGATTCCGCAGGCTGGAGGGGATGCGCAGTGGATGAGGGATAACTGGGAGGCGTTTAAGCAAAGAGCGGATGCGGGGGAGCAGGAGTTTGTGGATATGGTGAAGGATGCGCAGGATAGGGGGTTGGTGGAGGGGCAAGGAGACGCGGACAAGAGGGCGCAGCAGAGGTTGGAGGAGATGCTGGGGTGGGGAGACAGTGCTTGAGTGTGAGCGTGCACCATACGTGTGCGGTGGTGCTCAGGCCAGCGGTGAGTGTTTGATCTGCGATCTTCTTGAGGTGGTATTGTACACGCTTACAGTAGTTCATACGGTCAGTATTAGCATCATCGGTCTTCTCCTTGCCCAGTGCATCCTGTCGCGTCAATTCGGTTTCTCTTTCGGTGCTGGCACGGAATCAAAAGAAATCTTCCTGGGAGGACAGAAGAATAAATCAAGAGGGTGGGCGTGGGCACGTGAAGGGGTGTGCGTTTTGTTGGAGAAGGCGTTTGCATAGTGAGGTGAGGGAGCACCTTGATTGAGGACGTATGGTCTCTTTTATATATGGTATCCGGCGAGACCGTCGAGCTTGAGGAGCAGCTGTAGTGGTATCTGCGTGAGAGGAAGGGCGAGAGGCTGAAGGACATCTGTGGAGGACATTTCGGAACGCCTGGGGTCGCGAAGCAGTGAGAAAAGAGCAAAGATCACACACTGAATGAGCATTACAATAAACTATCAAGACATTCTATGCCGTCTATGCGGTGCCGAGGAGTAAGACACAACAACCGCCCAAAGAAGAAAGAGCGAGAACGCTTCACAGTGCATGTGACCATGAACGCAAACCGCACGTGCAAGCCCAGCCAACCCGAAAACGCCTCGCCATATGACGCATTATCACACTCAAGCACTCCTCGTCCCAGGCTGCGGCGACCTGATCGCAGTACCGGGCCTCTCCGCTCCACCCTCCGTACCCTGCTCCTCCCGTCTCGCAATCTCCGCCACCGACCCAACACTCTCCGGACTCGGCGCCTCCCGCTCATTCTCCCTCACAGTCTCCACAGACTTCGGTGCCGCCTTCACCTTCGCTTGCTGCCGCTCCCGCTTCTTCGGACTCTTCCTCACCTTCCCGCCATCCCCACTATACCTTCCCCCCGGCGTCACCGCCCCACGCGCGAGCGCACTCGGGCCAGCTTCATCGCCGCTGTCCCTGCGCGAACTATTCGCATTCGACCGCGACATATCCTTGATCTCCTTCAACACCTCGCGGAAGCCCTCCTCAAGCGTGTGCATTCGCGCCAGCATGATACGGTTGACCATGCCTTTCTCCTCTTCCGCGCTACGGCGGCGCGCTTCTTCTCGTTCGCGCTCGAGCTCGCGTTCACGGAAGAGCTGTTCGCTGAAAGAGGCCGGGAAGCCTGAGATACCGCCCGCGTCGATGCCTCCGGCGCGATTGTCGCCGATTTCGGAGGCGAGGTCGAGGGCTCGGGCGTTGAAGGAGGGCTTGCGGATATTTCGGGGCTGGATGTCGAGGAAGGACATGCCGAATCCGCCTATGCCGGTAGGAGCGGTCTTTTGCCTTGCAGGCATGGCCGGTCGAGCTTTCGGTGGCTTGATCTTCGGTGTGCGCTGACCGGGAAGGAGGTTGACAGGATTTGGGGTCGTTGTGCCGTCGGTATGGACGTTGCGGTTGGTAGTAGGTTTGAACGGACGTGGAGCGTTCGTTGAGGACGAGTCGTCAGCTTGAGTATACTTTGGGTCGAACAGAGCAGTGTTAGTAGATATTTTCCGGTTATGCGCTCTGGCCTTCTGAGCTGTCTTAGTCTGCAGTGGCGTGCGAATGCCTAAAGACGCTTCTGGCGACTGTCGGAGCATTGCTTTGCCATTGGAAAGCTGCATCATGGGTGAGCGGGTGGTAGTCGGGGTGTGGAAGAAGTCGTCCTCGTCACTCTCCCTGTGTGGAGTTGGTGTAGACTTTTCGACGGTCGACAATGCGCTCTCGCCCAGGAATGGCCTCGCCAGGCTAGACTCAGCATTGATCATCTCGTCATCGCCATCAGCATCCGTCTCTTGAGGTACTATCTCATCGGCAGGCAGCGTGTCTTCGCCCTCTTCGCTGATCTTGTAAGGTCGCCTCGACGGTAATCTCTGCCGTACATCGGTCTCGCTTGCTATACTCCTAGTATTCGAGAAGTCCCGACTCTGCACCATCCGCAGTCGATCAGCGGTCGCCGCACGCCTGAAAGATGGCCGCTGGTTCTCTAGCCGCTCAACAATGCTCATTGGCTGCTCCATTGGTGGACTAGCGCCGCCTTGGTTCTCTGCCACCTGCATCCACTTGTCAACAGCATTAGTAGACTGACGTCGGTTGGATCCCATGTCCCGAGCTGTGGTCCGCACAGTACTACCCTTGAAAGGCCTTCTGAACACTTCATCGAGAGCCTGATCCTTGTGGAAACTAACCACAGATGGCTCTCGAAGCAGTCGATTGCCTGGGCTGAAGACGTCCGGTGCTTTGTTGATGCTGAACGCCAATGGCTTGCTCTGATGTCTGGACGTCTGCTCGAGAAGGTCTTCCGGGCCGTAAGTCGCATGTGAGAGTATCAAACGTTCGTAGCCGAAGATGACGAGCAGCATCGGAAAGTGCGTAGCCTTGATCACTGTCCGATTGATCTTGACGTACTGCCGGAATGGCACCAGGTAGCGTAGAGGGCTCAAAATCCAGCCAAAGATGTTGGTAGGCGCGATGTAGCTGAACAGTGCATCCGACTTGACCGAAGATATGGTGTTGACAGCGAACAGGAACTGATGCTCCTCGTTGGCGTTCTGGACGATGGCCATGAAGGAGTTGGTGAGCACTGTAATCAAGATAGTCACAATGAGAAAGTGACAAAGGATCAGGAAGATGGTCATGATGGCCTGGCCGAGTATGTTGTATGTCTGCCACTTCTCCCAAGCCGCTGGTGTAAAGCCCATGAGGATCTGGAAGAGCTGGTAGATGACCGCATTGCCGTCGGTTCTCTCATCCGCGAAGGAGAGCGTGAAGGCGATGAAGAACCCGGAGCACGAGATCATGATTAGTACTAATATAGCAGCCAGGTCTTGCGCCATCATGCGAAAGGCGATGAGCAACTGCGAGAAGTAGCGGTAGTGGTCCAGAACACTGAACAAGCGCGGGAAGAGCAAAATGGCCGTCGAAGCAAGGACGTCGTATGCTGCGTTGGCAATCTGATGTTTGCCTTGTTCTGCAACAAGGATGCCGTACAGTCGGAGGCAGTAGTACATGATGAAGAGCAGCAGAATGCCTAGGTCGAACGCGTTCCAGAAGCTGAGGATATACAAACCAAAGCCTTGTTCCGTGAAGCCGACAATTTCATCGAGCATGTAACCAGCGGACCAGAACCAGAAGACGACTTCGAGAGGAGTGATGTAGAGACTCCGCTCAGCCAGTACAGCAAGAAAGAGACCGAGCATCGTTGCGAATGACACAGTGCTGAAGATCTGTCTGTATCGAGGGACACGCAGCCGACTTAGCTTGAAGAGTGAAGCATCTCTCGGATTGTATATGACCACCGAGCGGCGAGCGAAGGGCTGCTCTGCCGGCTTTTTGTTGGCCCTAGTTCCGTGAGCCTTGCGGGATAACACAGAGTCAGCTGGCAGCGCGCTGGGTGAGTGCTCGTTAAGCGTGCCGTAACGTCCGCCTCGACCTGATGGCTCTTCTCCAGCAGAGGGTTTGCGATGTAAGTTGTCAGCCTCAGAGTGGAAGACGACAGCACCAGCCCAGATGGCTTCCAGATGCTGCACGACAAGTTGATGAGCTAGAAATCGCTTCGCTTGTGCCTTGATGGCAACCTCGATGGTGCTCACTCTTGCAACTTTGCCGCCAGATCGTTGTCCATATACGTTACCTGGAGCCTGTTGAGTAGGCCAAACTGCCGCTCGGAGGTTGCCAGCCGCGGTTGGCGGGGGAGACATGCCTTGCAGAGGATCGAAGTCGTATGATAGCGCATCGATAAGCTCGCGTGTGCTGAACTCCTTGACCAGCCTCATCGCGAGCAGTTCGCTCATCAGCGCTCTGGTCCTGAGCACACCGACATTGCCAGGCTGGAGCTGGGCTTCCTTCTGGAACTGCAGACAGTTGGCGATCAACGCGCATAACGTAGCGCGGTTGAAGTGGTTGGTCCGTATCTGATTCTGGAGGGGCTTAACGAGGAACTGGCTGACTTGCGGACTGCGCAGCTGGTCCCACGACAGCGTGGTCTCGCACTTCTGCACGATCAACAGCCGGATGGCGTGCGTGATGTTGTACAACGGTAGCCTGTCAAGGTGCGCGGCTGAGAATATGGGTAACAGTGGCGTGTCTATGTCATCCTCGTCCTCGATTGCTTCCTGCTCTTCCTCCTCTTCGTAATCGTGTTGCGGTCTGTCGAAGTATGAGGTCTGCTGCGTGCTTCGCCGGTTCGGCAGTAGGCGTGCATCCTCTTCGTCCTCATCCTCGTCCTCGTCGTCGTAGTCTTCATCCGCGACATTTCTGCCAACCACCCTGTTACGCGAGGCCTCGGGGGAGCCAGCAAAGGGAGAGTATTCCCTGGTTCCATTGTCCTTGCGACCTCTGCTCTTGGACCTTAGTAACGAAAACATGTATCCCTGCACCTCGCCCAATGTGGCTATGTAGACGTCCAATCGAAATGTTGCGCGGATGCTGTGCTTCAATGGCAGTTCGAGAGAGTATACAAAGCAGAACGCCGCCGATACCAGTCACTTGAGGAAGGCAAAGCAGTATCAATAGTGTTCCCTTGCGTTATCTCACCGCATCGTAACCCGTGTAACGTCAAACGGTACCTCCTCCCTCGACCTAAGGTACAAATGGCGCAAGCAGGTCGGATGGCATCCCGCGATGCGAAAGATAACCTGGGTGTATGGGGAAAAAAAAAGCACAGGCCCCCCAAGCAGAAGACTAGACTTATCTGGACCGCCTTAGCACTCATATCGGAGATTCGCTCTGTCCGGGGCGAAGAGATGGCAACAACCTCGCCGTTAGCCGCACGGCATGGCATGGTGACGATATGAAGCTGTTGCGATATGGAACTAAGCTGCCCGTGTGGCTCAAGAGGTGGATGCAGGTCGCTTCCTTAGCGCGAGGTGGGGGTGGATTTCTGTCGAGCATGTGAATATTTTCCAACTTCCTCTTCAATCCATGACACCCTTCACACTGTCACCTGAACACATATATGCACTCCGTTGGGAACGCCACCAGGAAGACACCCTCGATATCATTGCCTTGCAACCATTACAACATCTTCAACCACTCAGCGAGACCCTCCAAGTACACTGGACGCCTCTCGCCGCGGGAAGGTTTAATCTAGCTGATCCCTGCCGCTATCTGCAAGCTTACCGCTCGACTGCCACCTTCAAGAGCCCACCTCCAGATTGACCAATAATGCCTCGCAGCAAACGTGAGCTGCACGCCATAGCCGATGAGACCTCGACACCGCCTGCCGCGCTTCCAAGCTCCCACATCATTGGCCAGGTGAAGCAAGCGGCTGGCAAAAACCTATACCAGCTTGAGCTCGCGGATGGACAGACCATTCTGGCAGAACTGGGGTCGCGCTTTCGATCCACCGTCTGGATGAAGCGAGGATCGTTCGTCGTGGTCGATACCTCCGCACTCGCCGACAGGGAGAACAAGCTTGGTGGCGAGATTGTGAACGTGGTGCGGGATGAGCGGGCGTGGCGGAAAATGTCCTGGTGGCCAAAGGAGTTTGCTACAAAGAAGTCGGCTTATGAAGATGACTCTGATGACGAAGGACCAACGATGCCGCCTTTGGATTCGGAGGAGGAGGCGAATTGAAACTCAGTCGACGTGCTCTGTTTTGTCCTGACCGGCAATACGAGCATCTTCTGGGACCTCTGTTCCGAACCAGATACTCAGAACTGTGGCTTTGATGCAAACAACCACAACCAGCGAGCTCGTGTCAGTACTGGGATATACATTCCAGGCCCACTCTTGTGCGGCCCAGACAAGATATACCAGGACTGGATGCAGGCCACTGCGCCAAAGCAGGAAAGGCATTGACCAGGCAATGTATGCGTAGAACTGGTAGTGCAAGCTCCGCGCAAATTGGCATCCGATCATTACGGCAGTCAAGATGGTGGCCAAAATAAAGCTTGGGGTCGTCTTTCGGGCAAGCTTAGCCTGCTCTTGCAGCGGCGGTGGTGAGATGAGGTATCGAACCGCCTCTTCGGGTGTCATTCGAAGCCACCGTGTGCAGATGAAGATGCCGAGCACTGTCATGTGACCAGCTAGTAAAACGAATGCAAAGTGCTTTGACAGGAAGCGCTCTTCGCCAACGAAGCGCCAGTTGACCGTCCATTTGAATAGGAACTGGCGGCTGAACTCGAAAGCTCTTGATAGATAACCCCATGGATTCTTCAGCAGGAATGGGAAGCCTATCAGTATCTGCTCAAGAATCAGTCATAGGTCCCGTCGTCAACATTGGCGAGAATTGCAAACCTGAAACTGCCCAATGAACATAGCCTGGCGCAATGCTCGGTCACGACCAATAGCCTGCCAAAGCACCACTCCTATCCCGGGAAGAGCGAGCAGCAGGCTCATCTTCACCCCGAGGCCAATGCTGTATGCGAGCGAACCCACTGACCACAGCCGTCTCTGATAGCAATAGATCGCCAAAAATAGGAAGAACACAGCGAAGCAATCGTTGAACAACCGCAGCAGAAACACAGAATGCAATCTCTTGCTCAGTATTAAGAGCGGGAAGACATACGGCGGTACCTTCGCGGCGCGGTAGCACTGCATGACCAGCCATAGAGTGGCAAGGTAGAGCCCAATGAAGATGTACTGGGCCAGCTTGATGTCTTGTCCTTGGTTGGTGATCGCGTAGAGGAACCGGTAGATGTAGACGTGCATGGCTGGGTACACCAGGGGGCCAGTGTCGCCGTAGAGTTTGATGTAGTCACGCTCACCGTCGACATACTGGGAAATCTGTTGCATGTAGGCTATCCAGTCGATCTCGGTATCTGGTCTTGTGTTAACATGGGCCCGTACAAGAGAAAATTATCGACTTGTCGAAATGTAAAGAGGTGGAGACTAACAGGCAATCTTCAACACTACCGCGATGGACAACACCGCGTCGCCGGCGAGGAGCAGGGGGCATATCCATCTTGTTTGTCTTGTGTCTTTGGCAACATTCAGAGCCTGTTTGATCAGATCCATTTTCGTAAAAGTGAAGAGATGAAGTCAATGCCAGCCGCAAAACATCGAAAGAACCGGCTCACGCGCTAATGCAAAAGGTTCGGCACGCGGCGACAGAGAGCTAAACCTCTTCTTGTTTGGACCATTGCCTCGGTTGACGGAGGCGAATTCATGTTTCTTCTCAAGAAGTCTTGACACCTTGATATCGATATCCTCAGGTTCGCCGTGAGACAGATCCGAGAGAGGGATAGTTGGATAGTGCGACATGGCATTGGGGCTGGACCTCGCTGCGAAGCGTCAACGGCAGAGGAGCGACTACCCGTACCACGAGGATTATAGGACACGATGGTATCGCTCCCATCGAATGCCGACGCCCATCAGAGACTGATCCCCTGTACAGGAACGACAACGACATGTTCCACCATCTGAATAACCCAGTCTATGGAGTTCTGATAGATAGTATCATCAATTCCTACCTCATCCAGCAAGCCGGCTACAGCATGGCAAACTGGAAGCAGATCGGACTCGTCGGAAGCACCTACTGCGATTATTTTGGCGCAGCGCAATATCCTGGAATGCTGGATGTTGGTCTTCGGGTGGTGAGGATGGGCAAGTCTTCGATCATGTACGAGGTCGGCATCTTCCAGGAAGGCAGCGAGCAGGTGAAGGCTGTTGGAGGCTTTACACAGATCTGGGTTGACAGAGCTTCGAGTAAGACGCTCAAGGACGGGATACCGAAGGAAGTCAAGGAACCTCTGCAGCCGTTGCTGGAAGGGAGCGGACAAGACTCCAAGACAGCAAAGCTATAAGTTTTTCTACGCATGCTCTGGCTCTCGCGGTCCCTTTGCGTCTGTCTCGATTTCTAGCATTCGACCGAAATGGCAGCAAGGTAGGATTTCCTGTTTCAAAGGCGTGCTTCTTCCAGCCGCTGCATTTACGTACGAGGCGCTGCGACTTCCCAAGCGAGTTGCGATGCGCAAAGTGGGGAAAGAAAGATACATGCAGGGCTCATCAGGCAACACTTTTAGAGCTGAACATTTACCTTCAAGAGCCCGATCTTTTACTTCACCACCGTTCTCGTTCATATTCAAGACACAATGGCGGTGCTTCGATCGTTGTTGTCGTTGACAGTGCTGGCCGGGTTCGGCGCAGCAGCCCCGGTCATATATCAGCAGACACCATTGCTGACCCCAAGCAAGGTCATATATCAGCAGACACCATTGCTGACCCCAAGCAATATTGGCGTGCTTGACGAGCAGGAATGGATTCTGAGAGTCAACACCACGGTGAGTGTGCTCCGGAAGCGGACCTCTTCGGCAGTCGTTGACTCAATAGCAGTTCGACGCTGTGAACCTTAAAGACAAGCCCATCCAGCCTTTGGAGAGCTACGGCTACCTCGACTTCCACCACTACTCAATCTTCGACCCAAAAGCAGCAGCTGCTGCTGGAAAGCTCAACAAGAGCGATGTCGACTGTGCCGTAACTCAGCCTAATGCCCTCCTCATCCAGCCCGGAAACCAAACCACATCAGCAATCATCCAGTCAAACGCCACTGCCCTCGAGGGGACGAACCTCAACCCTTTCTTCGACTTTGTCAGCCTGTCGTTCAAGCCCTTGGCTGCCGACGTCGATGTGATCTTCATAGACTTGTAAGTGTGCTTCCTCGTTGCTGGTGCAGCTCGCTTACTTGTGCCAGGTTTTCTTGGACGATCAAGGATGGCAAAGCCGAAAATGTCGAAGAGCTGTACGTGGGATTTTTGCCAGAGAGTGATGGGTCTTTCCTTGGTTGGGACTTGGAGCCTAGGGCATTCATTGACGGCTGGGGAAAGGGGTCGAACTGGGTTGAACTCAGAGGCTATGATGAAGATTTCAATCCGATGCCGTTCTGTGTCGACAACATCGTGGTGGAATACCACAAGACTGGCAATGATGAGTAACAGGTCTGGAGGGACCGTGTGGTACGCTGTTAGCAGATGTCTTGTTTGTTATCGATGCTTGTGATTTCATTGACAGCTAGCAAGCTTAATACCCGTGTTTGGATCAACGCCTTTTGCACTACCCTCTGCGGTGCGGTTCGCCAGATCCGAAGTGGCTGGGACGTCAAGATTCTGACAATGTCTGGTCTATTTTCTAACAATATAAGCATATACAGGTGCATGGCGACTCCCGATCCCAGTATCACGACCTGGGAAGGCATTGGCCATGGCGGTGGGCTGTACGAACAAGGCTATATTGGTATGGCGCACGGCTGGTCGACAGGCATCGTCAGTCTGATGAGTAACTATGTGCTGGGAGTTGTTCCGACAACTCCTGGTCTCGAAACTTGGATCTTGAGGTGGGCGAAAGGAAGAGTGGGGACGCCGCAAGGTGCTATTGAGGTTCATTGGACTCTGGGCGAAGACGCAATGAGCGTGCATCTTACCGTACCTGCAGGTACGAAGGTGAACGTGCAAGTACCGGTCAAGAAAGGACAATTTGTGCTGTTGAATGGTGAGCAGATTGAAGCTCTGATTGAAGAAGGCTACGTCAACATTGGAGACGTCAAGTCCGGTGTCTATACTGCGGATGTACGGCAGCGAGGCTCAGTAGCCTGCAAGCCGGGCTGACTTACGAAGTCAGTCCAATATGCTTCGATAACGCCTCGCTAAAATACCGTCAATCGTAAACCATCTTAGTCCTCTTGGTGGTCTTGCTTCTTTTCGCTCTCGGATATTGGCCTTCTGTTCGCATTTGACGACTAGTATCAACCCTCCTTCTTCTCCCCTTTCGCTTTCTTCTCCTTCGGCTTTGCCTTGGCCTCGCCTTCCGCAAACTCTCGCACCACAATCTTGACTCGACTAGAGTCCAGCTGCTCAAAGTACTCCTTGGGATCCGCCGTCCCGTCTTCCCTGTTCACAGCCCTGCCCTCTTCTTTCGCCTTGTTGAATTTGCTCTCCTCGAAGCCGGGGCTGATTGCTATCGCCAGCGACTTTCCATCCGGCGAAATGTCCAGAGCCGCGACGCTAGCTTCGAGATTCTGGTAGACTCGCACTCGTCGCTTCGTCTTCGCATCCCAGAGCGCCACGCCACCATCGCCACCACCGGTCGCAAAGGTGCCGAACGTTGGGTGGAACGCCAATGCATTCACGGGATACACTACGTCGACTTCTTCTTCGCCACCTTCTGGGGTTGGAAGATGATGAACTTGGCGATGACACTTGAAGGCGTAAGCCTCGCCGTCCGTCTCAGGATTGAACCATTCGACACCGACTCGTCCTTCGATAGAAGAGGTGACAAACCCGGTGCCGTCGGGCATACATGCTACAGCACGCGTCATGAACTTGAGACTGCTGTCCCTTTCCTGCCAGGGCTGAATTTCGAGATGGTCATCATGCTCTGCCGTGTTGCCTGTTTGGTCGAGTAAGGTCCGAAGCGCTTTGAGGTCGTAGATTGACACCTTCCGCTCAACCATCGCCACGACTACACGCTCTGCGGTAAGCGAAAGGGCCAGTGGTTTCGCAGCTAGCCTAACACTGATGAATCTTCCGCTATCCGGGTCGTGCACGTGCATCGTGCCGTCCCAGCTGGTGGAGATGAGAACGTTGTGATCGGGGCTGTAGTCGACTTTGTTGCTGGGTTCGTCGTGTGAGCTTAACACTGACTGAGTGCCGGCGTCGAAGTCGAACTGGCGAACATCGCGCTCAACACCGACAGCATAACCCACGTTAGATCCGGGCTTGCCCCAGCAGACATCGAGCCGTGGGTATTCGGTGGTCACTTTGTGCTGAAGTGAGAAGGTGTTTCGATCCTCAGCGTTCCTGCGGTATACCCGAACATCCTTGCCCCAGGACCCAACGAGAAGTGAGTTGCCATCGTGAGACCAGCGGAGGCTTGTGAGCGCATCCGAAGGTGGATCTGGGAGTTCCTGTAGTGAGCCCATGTTCTTCTGTTATGTAGTGGTTGAGAGGGTGGATATTCTGGTACTGAAGGCGTGCAAGCCGTGAGTTGAAAGTTGAAGTTTTGGAGGTGCAGGTTCTGGATATCAAAGAAGCGCACGGACCAAGTGCAGCATACAGCACGCTTGCCACCGAATGAAGAGTTGAACTTCACATAACTTGTGATCGCTTTGAACACAATACAAACGTCCGACAGCAATGACCATGAGAACCTGGCCGTCTCAGAGTATCTAAATGCTAGGCCGATGAAATGCGCACAATCATACTTCCCATCGGCCCACCCGGCTCTGGCAAATCCACCCTTTGCAACGGTCTCCAGCAATTCATGACAGCAATAAATCGGCCATGTTCTGCAGCCAATCTGGATCCGGCGAACGACAACGTACCCTACGATGCTGCATTCGACGTGCGCGAGCTGGTGAGCGTGGAGGAAGTGATGGAACGCGAGGAACTTGGGCCGAACGGTGGGATCTTGTGGGCGATGGAGGAGGTGGAGGCGAACTTTGAGTGGTTGGAGGAGAGGTTAGAGGAGTGTGGTACGACTCATTCGTCGGAGACAACTCTCTTAGAAGCGTTGGACTAATGTACGCGACAGAAGAGACGATCATTCTTGATCCACCGGGACAGCCCGAGCTGACGATCCATCACATGGCTGTGCCCCGAATACTGCAGCGCCTCGAGAAGCTGGACTATCGTGTACGTTTTGACACAAGCAGGAGAACGACGCCGCTGACTGACCCGGCAGTAGATTGTTGTGGTTCAACTGCTCGATTCGGTAGTCCTCACGCGACCCAGCCTCTACCTAAGCAGTCTTCTGCTGTGCTTGAGGGGCATGCTTCACCTTCCATACCCAGTCGGTAAGTCTTAAATCCAGTGGCAATGATATCAAAGTATGCCAGCTAACGTCCCAAGTCAACGTCTTGACCAAAATCGACAACCTCAAATCCGTCGGTGGGACAGACCTCCCCTTCAATCTCGACTTCTACACCGAAGTCCAAGACCTCCATCAGCTCCTCCCAGTTCTCTCAGCCGAGCAAGCCGTCAACATTGGCGGCAGCGCCAAATGGGAAAAACTAAACTCCGCCCTCATCGAACTCATCGAAGACTTCGGTCTCGTAGGTTTCGAAACCTTAGCCGTCGAAGATCGGCATTCCATGGCTTCGCTTCTAAAAGCCATCGATCGAGCGAGCGGCTACGTTTTCGCCAGTGCGAGGGGTACTGATGAGCAGGGGAGGACGCTTGATGATGGAGCTAGTATTTGGGCGCAGGCGATGAGCGAGCAGTGGGCTGGGAAGTTGGAAGTCAAGGATGTGCAAGAGAGGTGGATTGATCGGAAAGAGGAGTTTGACGAAGCGGAGAGGAAGGAATGGGAGGAGGAGGCGAGGTTGGCAGGGGCGTTGCCAGAGAAGAGTGCTGCAAGTGCTGTGAGGACTGAGCAAGCATCTAATGGAAGTGGGCAGATGGACGAAGATGACGAGCTACTGGCAGAGCAACGAAAGTGGGAGCAGGAAAGCTCGCAAGGCGCTGACGGGCCAACAGTCATGAGAAAGGGCTAATCTAGAGTGGGCGCGCCTCCAGCGTCCCAAACAAACCAGGGATCCCAATTGCCAATGTCCTGGCCGCAGAGGCTGTTAGACCAATCGTCGTATAGCAAATTATCCCACACGCCAAACGGAAAAGCCGCATCAGACGGCTGCGTCACTGTAGTCGATTGTTCTAGCCCAGGCCACTTCTCTGCTTCGTGGCAGGCCTGATACACATCCACAGCATTGTTGATGTGGTTGGAAGGCGGCTCGCAGTCCGTGGACGGCCCTGTGCTCGTCGCCACCGTACTGGGAGTCGCGTACTCGGCATCTTTATCCCGTCCACGAAGCAGTCCTCCGAGCCATTTGATGTTGTACATGATGCTTGCACCCATCCGAGTGGTGACATAGTTTTGTACGTGTGCCCGGCCCCGACCAATCGCTCGACCTGCCACCTCCAAGGTCTGACCAGCGCGGATGTGTTCGTCGGACAACTCGCAAGAGCGGAAAAACAGGTGGGCCATCTGAAACGCATTCCGGACGTCTTCCTGAGCGGCCGCGGGCTGATCGCTCTCATCGTCAAGGTATTTGAGGAGGACTGTTGCGGCGATGAAGACGATTCGTGAACTGTGTTTTGGGAAGCCGGGCAGTCGAGTTGTGTGTTCTCGAAAAGTACCTTGGCCCTCGGTTGAGACCTGACTGCTCAAGGCGCACATGTAAGTGACCAGGTCGATCGCACGATCCTTCGCATGGGTGAGGAGCTCCTTTCCGTATGCGGCGGGAAAGGCGGTATGAGTGTTGGTCTGAGATGATCCCTCAAGGAACTTGACTAGACCTGTCAAGCAGATATACAGCATTGCCATATTCGAGACTACTTCGTTGTTTCCCGACCAGGTCTGACTCCGGTCTGCTTTCATGATGGCAAGATCTGCTATGAAGGTCTTGCATAGGGACCACGACAGCTGAGCGGATTGTGTCTCATCGAGCAACATCAGGTATCGCGTAGTCCGCACATGGATGTCCATGGTATTGGCAAGATCCCGCGGAATGGTATGATCTCGACAGAATTCTATGACAGCTTCGAGGTGGCGGGTTGCCGCGAGCGTAGGCAGATTGCCGTGCCATAAACTCAGTTGGACATCAATCTCGAAGCACTTCAGCCAGGTCAACCGGAGGATGGTTCTCGGGAACTTGCTAAGTTGATTCGCGGCCTTTCTCATCCCGAAAAAGACCTCGTCGTGCCGCTTGTCGAGCCCCATTTGTCGAGCGCAGCTGATAGCACTCCCGAGATGCATCCAGCTGGAGTCAGACCATTGGCTGCGCACAAGAGGAGGCCACATGCAGAGCAGCAGAACTGCTTGGAGGTCGAGAGGGTTCTGGATCGCTTCGCAACACGTCATTCCAAAAAGTTGCTCATGCGCATCCCGAAGCTCCTCGTAGCGGTGGTGGAGCCTTTTGTGGTGCCGCGAGGCGACCATGACAATTGTCCATAGCAGCAGCCTGCTCACAGTTGCCAGTCGAGCCGGTTCAATGATGTCGCCCAAAAATTGACAGTGAGGTAGATTGTAAGTCGAGAAATGCCTGGCTAAGTCTTCGACGTCCGACCAAGGCAGAACGCAATTATAAAGGATTAACGGGGCTGGGCCGGACGCCGCATCAGGATTGACGACGCTGCCACGATGCTCATGGTCCTTGGCGGCAGTGACTGTGTTGGCCGGACGAGCATCCCCAATACTCCCGTCCTCTGAGCTGTTCTGCAAAGGTTGCGGAGTGTGTCCGTTAAGATGCAAAGGGAGACTCAGTACATGTGATCGACTCAACTCTTCTACTTGCGCTTCGAGAGCCTTCAACCGGCTGAAGTAGGGTCAGCGCATCCACGTCGCACACACGAGAGCAGATCAGTTACCTTCGCGATGCCACGCGCTTGAAAGAAGCATCGACTCGACAATTCTGCTTGTTTTGCTCGCACCTACTGCAGGATGACGGGTACCGTTCCCTCAGGTTGCATTTGACCTGCGACGAAGTCAGACGGTGTCTCAAGAAATCTCGCATACCCTTCACACCTTAGCCTGACGGCATGCAGTACACGATTTGGCTCTTGTTGTATTCTCCTTTCCGATGGCGCGGGCACTGGTGCTGGGCGACATTTCTCCAGTAAGAAGGCAAATGTTGGAGACGATTGCATTTGTTCGACACGCCCACGATTGGAGTGTTCGTACGAGAACGTGTAAATGTATCCATGATGAAAAGAGATGTTGGAAGGATGGATGAAGACAGTCTCCCCGGTGCCTATCCTGTACAGCCCTGGACGCGTTTGACAAGCTTGGCAGCCGATCGGGGCTGCAGGTACGCAATCTTGTGCCTCCTGACTACATCCACCTCCTCATTAATATCGACGTGTCTAATAGATTGAGACCCTCACCCTCACCCTCACCTGCTCCTCTTTTGCATACCAGACGAGCCGGTCGAGTTGAGTTACTCCCAAGATGGCCGACAGTACATCCAGCCAAGACGAGCACCTACATCACCCGTCAATGTACCTTCTACGTACAACTAAGAAGAAAGACAACGTCTGTCCGCATCAAGCGACCGCAATGAAGTCATTGCAAGCCTCTCAGCCACGTCAGGTATGCGCGTGCCGTGCGTTTATCGCAGTATAGATCCTATCTCCTGGAGGAGCAACTGCGGTTTTCGCAGTTCGCGCGCTTGATACCCGACTGACGCAGCAGACCGTTGTGAACGCTCTTTTCCTTCATTCTCCAAGCTGGCGAGATGGACGTGCTGCTGCGCACTGGTACAGATATAAGACCATGGCAATGTGCTCTCCATTGCGGTATGAGCACCCAGAACAGCACGACACGACACCCGGGACACGATGAATGCAACGACAGCCAACTACACCGCCGAAATCGCGGCATTCGCAGCCAATGCTACCGTTTCAACCATTCCAACTGCTTTCCTCACTTTGCTGTCAATATACTTCCTCGACACGTTCGCGGCCATGCTGGCTGGAAGCGTGCAGCCGGTTTATCACTCTGCCGCAAAAGCCATCAGGTTCACGCATGGACTTGGTAGCCCGGACGCATCCTATACTGCTCTCGACGGCATGAACACTTCCCTTTCCGGCCAGATGTTCCTGATGGGACTCGCAGCCGGCGACTTCGAGTTCGAGCACACCATTGTAAGTGCAGGGACGAGGAGGAAGTGCGCAATCCCATCACAACATTTGCTAACAAACTTGCTTGTGTTTCACAGGAAGGAGCAACACCCGCATCCTCGGTGTTCCCAGCTCTCTTGTCACTGTCGGCCGCCTACAATAAGACCGGCGAGGAGTTCCTTGCCGCAATGGCTGTTGGCTACGAGCTGGCTACGAGGATTGCAGCGGCTACGACTCTGGAAGTGGAAGATGTCTTGGGCTTCCACCCTGCAGGCCTTGGGAGTCCAGCCGCAGCAGCAGCCGTTGGGACCCTTTTGCAGTGGGACGCCGACACGATTGCCTCGGGCATGGGCATTGCAGTCAATAGCGCAAGTGGACTAGTTGACTACCTCTCCACCGGAGCTGACACGAGAAACACGCATGCGGCTCGTGCGGGCCAGCTAGGCGTCGAAGCAGCACTGATGGCCAAAGCTGGAGTTCAAGGCTCAAAAGACATTTTCGAGAACCCCGAGGGCTAATTCCATGCCTTCTCCAGGCACCCGAAACCGCATGAGCTGACTACCAAGCTCGGCAAGGACTGGACCAGCGAGGGTATGGCTTTCAAGCTAGCCCCTGTCCACGTTTGGGCACAAGGTTTTGCTTACGCCCTCGACAAGCACCGCAAACAGCACACCTGGAACGCACGAGACATCACAAACGTGACCGTCTACGCCGGCCCCTCGATCATGGAGCCAATGCGCTGGATCGAGAATCCCATCTCACTCATGCAGGCACAGTACAGCGTACCTTTTGGCATCGCAGCGGCGTTGACCACGGATGTCAACACCAATCCTCTGCGCATGAACGAGGCGCTGGTGTCCAACCCTACGACCCGATGGCTTGAAGCTACTATGAAGAAAGTCAAAATCAGCGACGATCCCGGATACATGTGGGGATACATGACCTTTAATCTTAATGGCGAGACTGTCAATATCACGGCTGATACTTATCCTGGCATTCCTGGTGCACTGTGCTTTGATAAGGCTGTAGAGCGCAAGTTTGCGAACGTGGCGAAGGAGCTCGGTGTAGGCGATGAGGTCCAGGATGTCAGGGACAAGATTTTGGGCTTGAAGGATGTGGAGGATATGTCGTTGCTGTTGATGATATGGTTCACCTGGGCAAGAAGGCCGCGGCCAACTTTGCTGCACAGGAGTAGTGTGAAGGGCTCTTAGGTGGAATATACAGTGGACGTGCATCCTTGACTTCAATTTCTTGCTTTGTGGACCGTTTATACAATAGTATGTCATCATAGCCTACTCCATGTGCAAAGTCTTTATTTGTAGCCAGGGATACGACTCAATACCCACCATCAGGCGTTTGGGGACTGCCTGCTGAAGCAATGGAAAAGGTGCTATCTTCTAGCGACTATCTTGGGGAAGTGATGAGCAAGAACCAAGTGCATGCCTTGCGAAACGATGCCACCGTGTTTGACGAGTTCGTGCTGTCGTCATCACATATTGACAAGGCGGTGCAAAGCCGGTAGAGGCCACCATACTCATAGCCCTAGAACGAGCTTGATATCTGAGCCTTTGGATGTGTCTGAGCATTCTCGGTCAAGCATGTATTTACACACATGCTCCGTCAAGGATCGTCACCCTCGCACCTTTCCGTAGTACTGTCCGCTGAAGATTGCTGGTTTCGAAACATATACCGCCACAAGGGAGAACAGGCAGAGGACGGCCACCACCATAGTGTACAACCACCATTCCGTCCAGTCACTGTACTGCTCTCCTCGAACATCCTCCACGAGGCGAGCGGGGTCTTTGGCGACGTAGACTATTGCACTACTTTCGTGTCTTGCGCCGACCGATCGGACGTCCAATCTTCTATCGAAGTGAGCCATCATCTTTAACGTGTCGCCGCGCTGGACTGTAATACACGGTGTGCAGGACGGAGACCTTTCGATCGAACGGCGGCCACTGTTCCCTGGTACTGTAGCTCGTTCCAGTTGATATGTGGCCTGCAACGAACGGGTAGTTCCACGGTCCTTCTCGAGCTCTAGGTGCGAGCGCAGCTGGCCGATGATAAGGGCAACCACGCCACTGAAGTTCATTCGATGTTGCGCGCTCGTGCAGCTGGGTGAGGCGCTCGTGCTGGACGGTTCCCAGGAGCGGCTCCTCCCTCTGGAATCGATGTAGTAAGGTGTTGCATGCTGTGAATTGCTCTGCGGCCGCGGGATGAAGTCCCAAACGACGGACATGAGGAGATTTACCGGCCATGGACTTGAGTTGATGAATCTGCCTGCTATGTTCAAGGTGTCGTTTTGATCGATTCTGTATCCTTGGTGTGCTCTGACGCTGTCCAAGGTTAGTCTTATGATTGCAAAGCTGACCTAGCCCGACAGACCTTTCAGCGTCGCCAGACAGATGCACGACATCGCTTCCACTCCCTGGCACCAGGAACCGCTCGCCAAGTTGTCGTTGTGAACATTTGATGTCTTTGCGGCCGGCGTTCGAGAAAGTAGCATAATATCCAAATTGAGACGAGTCGGCGGTAGTGCCGTCTGACGTGTTTGTGAGACGTATCTCAGCTCTGGTGATCATACAGTCCACGCAAGGCATGGCGGCTGCAATCGAAAAATCTTCCACCTCGTTGCCACTGACCAGGTACTCCCCATATTCGCTTGTCACTCGAGTTTTAATAGCTGGGGCGGGCGTAGGGAGAGCAACAGCTGTAGACCACAGTATCCAGACTGGTAGGAGACGCATGGTAGAAGCGAGGGTATCGTCCGTCGAGCTCGACAATTTCGCCAGCAGTACACCCTGCTTTTCAAGAATAGGAGCACAAGACAGTAATGAAATGAGCACATGATAAATGGCTCAGAGTTATGGGGACCATTGTACGGTTTTTGTTTAGCTACGTCCTACCTTGGAGGCCGAACTGCGCATTTCGCAGTTGCGCCGTCAGGGCCGCTTCGATGGATGAGAAGACGCGCGTGTGACACGGCACCTAATGCGTATGTTTGCGACACCGTTCACTTACATGTGTAGCCCGCAGATCGAAGGCGGCTGGTACTGGTGCCCTTTAGGCATACCTTGAGTGCTCACAGGGTCGCTTTGGAGGATTCGGACGTGTCGAATCTTTGGCCGTGGACCGTAACGATGGTGCCCCTCGCAAGATAACCGCCATACTTCATCTCGAAAGACACCTTAGGATCACTCGTGGCCATGAGTCTGCAGATGTACTCTAATGGATGAAGGTCGGGACGGAGACGGCATATCTCGTGCTCAATTTGCCCTTAGTCCGACAACGGTCCGACCAGGGGCCAACCTCGCAAACGCTTTCGCTTCCAGCTGAAGTCGAGCAACTCCAGGGCATTTGTGCTGACACGCGGGCATCAGCGTGAGCGTAGCACGATGTGAGTTACCATGATATAGACATGACCATGTGTAGCAACGCAGTCCCAAGCAAGACCACCGTCGCCATCGTAGGAGGTGGCCCGGTAGGCCTGATATGCTCGATCCTCCTCTCCCTCCAAGGCATCGAGAATGTCGTCCTCGAACGGCAGCCGGACACCTCAATCCACCCAAAGGCTGTTGGTCTGAATCAAAGAACTGTGGAGATTCTCCGCAAGATTGGAGTGGAAGATGAAGTCCTACGACAAGCAGCGCCTCCTGAGATGAGCGGCCGGACTGCCTGGTACACCAGCTTCGGCCCAAACGGACGTGAGATTTGCAGTCGTGATGCCTGGGGTGGTGGGATGTATCAGGATGCGTTTGCGAAGGCGAGTCCTTGCCGTTATGTGCTGTTGCCACAAATCCGTCTCGAACCTATTCTCAAGAAAAGAGCTTTGGAGCTCAACCCTCAAGGTCTCTTCTTCGGCCACGAAGTAGATGGCTTGGGGGAGAGCGGTGGCAATGTCACTGTCAAGTACCACGATCGACGGAACAAGGAGACTTCGTTCCATGGCGAGCTAACAGCAAAATACGCCCTCGGAGCAGACGGCGGCCGAGTCATCACGAAGCAGCTTGATATCGCTATGAACGGGCCTTCGAACATCGTCGACATGGTTTCTGCGCATGTAAGATCACCAATCAGTCTACATCGCCCAGACCAAAGGATCTTCCTCCACTGGTTCATCAGTCCAGAGCTGGGCGGGTCCTTGAAGACAGGCTACCTGTATCATCTCGGTCCTCACCCAATGGATCCCGCCACAGAGGAGTGGTGCTTTGCTTGTGCAAGGCTACCGCACGAGCAAGCTCAGCCATTCACCGAAGAAGATATGCTGCAGAGGATGAGACGAACTCTCCAGATTCCTGATCTGAGCATCGAGCTTCTCAGCCTGAGCCACTGGCAGGTGAATGCCATGACCGCTGAGCGATACATGAGTACTGCTGGACGTGTCTTACTAGTGGGTGATGCTGCTCACAGGGTCCCGCCATGGGGCGCTTTGGGATTGAACTCTGGCATCCAAGACGCTGACAATTTGATCTGGAAGCTGGCACTGGCTCTGAAGCAGCCCGAAATTGAGTCTGGCCGCCTGCTAGCCAGCTACGACGCTGAGAGGCGTCCGATTGGCGAGCGAATAGCCAAGACCAGTCTGTATAACATGCAGGCGCATGCGGGTGTTCTTGACAAGGCTCTTGGACTGTCTCCGGACAAGAGCCAAGAAGCAAATGTGGAGGCTATGAATCAGTACTTTGACCAGGCGGATAAGGAAGAAGGCGCCGGGAAGAGACAAGATGTCGCCAAAGCACTGGACGTACTGGACATCGAGTTCTATGCCCACGCTGCTGAGGTAGGCTTCTTCTACGATCAAGATTATGACGGCGACTATGGGTCCAACGGAACAGTGGACAACCCGCAGGTGGGCAACGACGGTGAGATGAAACTGTGCGTATACCATCCTAGCACGAGAACGGGGAGCCAGCTACCGCATGCCTGGCTTCAGCCCGGGGACAGGAAAGGCAAGCAAATTTCGACCAGGGAGCTTGTGAGGCCAAATAAGCTCGTCCTTCTGGGCATGTCCTCGCAATGGACGAGGATACAACATGCTCTTGTCGAAAACTTGGGCATTGGCGATGACGGGCAGTATATGCCATGTGACAACACATGGAGAGAAGTCTGTGGCGATCTGGCTGACTCCGGAGCTCTTCTCGTCCGGCCGGACGGCATCATTGCATATCGCTTCAGTCACGACATGCTGCCGCATGAGCGTGACTGCAATGCCGACTTCTCGACGATCGTGGACATCGTACGGGGCCTGCATTGAAAGGCAGCATCAACAGGCTTCGACGGAAGAGCCATACTGCAGGAGACACCTCCCGTACAGCGGTGGAGAACAGTTGAGAGTGTGGAGGTTAAACCTACATCTCCGTACTGTGTGGCAAAACTCAGACTTTCCACAATCACTGTAGTGACTCGTGGACCAGCCCAGCCCAGCTCTCGTAGAACTGTTCCCTTAGCTTGGCTTTGTTCTCCTCGTCGGTGTGCTGCCGGCATGGCCAGACCGAGAGGCATTGTTGTAAGTTTATATGTTCTGATAGCAAGCCGCTATTCCGAGGCATATGTTCGCCAAGTCCGTATTGCAGTGGCGAGGGTGGTTGCCCCGTGGGAACCGGTGGTCTGTGACAAGCACATCTGATGAAGCACAGATGTTTCACCGAGATAAGCGCTCATTTAAGATTTGGCCGTGCCGCCGATCCATTGGCCCATCGCGACGTCTCGCTTCAAGATATTCTGCCGCAATCGCAGGAACAAGGAACTTCTCAAGTCCAACCGCAGTCCAGGCGCACGTCGGTCCTCTTGTCTTCGTTCGCGGCGCGTTGGACTTCGTTTGGCACACTCGTTCATACCGCATTCATTCATACGTTCGCTGGATACAACAGCAGGCCTGTTTCCGATCGTTGGAACAACAAGACAGGGAATAGAGAGAGGTTGGGAAGACTTGCAAGCTACATATACTCTTTGGGAGCGTGGATCAATCGAGGGAGGCACAATGCAATACGTATGAGATAATTTCTACACGTATAGGCCGACAAGCATATCACTGACACTTCCAAGCTTTTCCCAATCCTCGGCGCCCTCGCGGCAACAGCGGCCGCATTGAACACGATCGAGGTGAACAGGCAGGAGTTTGTGGATTCGAAGACAGGAGAGCGGTTCATGCTGCTTGGGGTGGACTATCAACCAGGTGGACAAGACGCATACGGGACTGGGAATGGCGACCCTCTCAGCAACCCCAAGGCCTGCCTGCGAGACGCAGCTCTCATGCAAGATATGGGTGTGAACACGATACGATGCTACAACGTGGACCCGACACTCAACCACGACGAATGCGTGTCCATCTTCAACACCGTCGGAATTTACATGGTCATCGATGTCAACTCACCTCTGGCCGGCCAGTCCATCGATCGCTCGGATCCGTCTAGCTCGTATAACAGCGACTACTTGACACACATCTTCAGCGTCGTGGAGGCCTTCAAGAACTACCCGAACGTTCTCGGCTTCTTCGCAGGCAACGAGATCATCAACGATGTCCCCACCGCGAAGGACAATCCTGAGTACATTCGCGCCGTACAGCGTGACCTTAAGAACTACATCAAGAACAATGCACCGCGCACCATTCCAGTCGGCTACAGCGCGGCGGATGTACGTGATGTGCTTGTAGATACCTGGGCCTACCTGCAGTGCCAGATCGGCAGCGGCGAGGACATGTCCCGATCCGACTTCTTTGGCCTGAACTCGTACTCCTGGTGCGGCGACGAATCCACCTTTCAAACCGCCGGCTACGACGTCCTTGTCGAAACCTTCGGCAACACCACCATCCCCGTCTTCTTCTCCGAATACGGCTGCAACGACCCACAGCCCCGGTACTTCGACGAAGTCCCTGCCCTCTACGGCCCGCAGATGACCACCCTCTCCGGCGGCCTCGTCTACGAATGGTCCCAAGAGCCCTCCGACTACGGCCTCATCTCCATCAACTCTAACGGCTCCGCCGAGCTCCTTGCCGACTTCAACACCCTTCAAACGAAGTATGACACCCTAGACATCAGCCTCCTGCAACACGAGAACACCACAGCCACCTCACTGCAGCCTCCACAGTGTGATTCCAGCCTCATCAGCGCCGACGGCTTCAGCACCAACTTCGACATCCCTGAGTGCCCGCAAGGCGGCGAAGCGCTGATCCAGAACGGCATCCGCAACCCGCCGTCCGGCAAGATCGTGCAAGTGCGCTCGACGGTCGTTCAGTTGCCCGTGTACCAGACCAACGGCGCTCAGATCAAGAACCTGCAGATCACGCCTGGAGCCACTGCGGCCAACTTTCCTGGCAAAGTGAAGGGTTTTGCTACGGCGACTGGAGGGAACTCGCAGCCGAGCGGGAGTGGCTCTGGCTCTGGCTCTGGCTCTGGCTCTGGCTCTGGCTCTGGGGCATCGAGTTCTTCGACGTCGACCGGCGCGGCCGCGGGGCCTACGTTGGCGGTGTATGGGAATGCGGTTGCTGCGGCTGCGTTTGGTGTTGTTGCGTTTGCGCTGTAGGATTGCTTTCTTCACTGCATCTGGGCGCGTTGCTGGTGTCTGTTTACAGAGCATGGGATGCGGGAGTCACGGCATGATATCCAATGTTTCATAGCATTTATAGCGGAGCGATGTGAGCGGGCACTGCAGGGAGCGAGGTATACGATAGATGTACATCTGCATCACAGCATACCATCTTGCTCTTCACTGTTGCTTGTAAAACACTGCGTCCATTATACGTTATTACTACATGTAGGCATCCAGCGTTGGTAAAGATTCCTACTCAACGACAAAACCCACCAACACCTCGCTAATCCAGACAGCATGATCATACACTCAAACAGCTCAGTCGACATTTTCCTTCGTCGGCGCAAAGAGCGGACTTCTTCGCGGACTGCCCGTTCTACTCCGTCCCAGCGAGCTCGGCGCAGGCGATAGTCGTTCACGACTCTCGGTCCGCACTGTCAGACCCCCGCGGTCGAAGGGCATGATGCCCAAACCAGCTGCACCACCTGAGGACTCGGAGAAGTAGCCTTTCTTCGGCGAAGGGCGCGAGACGTCAGGAGACAGTCCTCGAGTAGCAGGTGTAGCCCAGCCCGAGCTTCGCCCCGTGCGGCTGTGACTACTGCTGCTGGAGTCGGAGTAGTGAGTGTCGTCTGACGGGACATCAGCCAGCTCGAAGTCGTCCGGGTTCGCAGCGTCTTCGAGCACGCGTTCGTAGGAAGGCGAGTGATTGCCGAAGAACTTGCCGCCTAAGAAGCCGTTGGCAGCGCCTTTCCGCCACCTTGAGCGCGAAGGCGAAGGTCGGCGACCTGTGACTTTGTGCCAGAGCGATTGCCGCCGCTCACGGCCACAGAGGAGGTACATCGCTAGTGCGAGGATGAGGAGGAAGATGAGAAGGCCTGGGATGCGGTGGGAGGGGCTAGAGCCGAGGAGGCGGTCGTGCCAGTCTTTGCTGCCCGTGGAACTGCTAGATGTTGACGACGGTTCGGCGAGCTCTCCGCTAGGGTGTTGGAAGTCAGGTGGTAGTTTGCTGCCGGGTAGGTTGCTGCCGAAGCCGACTGCCATCGCGTTCTTGGCTGGTGGCATTTGGGAGGATGCGTACAGTACCATTTTGCCGAGCGTCCAGCTCACATCCGTTCCATCGATCTTGTTTACCGCTTGGAAAGGATCCAGGAAGCCTTTGTCGGCTGCACTGTCGACAAGCTCGGTCGTTTTGTTGGACTCTCCACTTATCGGGTGATGGCCTTGCTCCAGGCCAACACGGGGTACACCGATGCCGTCGTGCAGCATGTTGATCACCCAGCTGGCTTTGAAGCAAACCTCTTCTACCGTCTTCTCGTCCACCTTGCGACCCCATGTTTCCTTCTCGATATCCTTCTCCAAGTCATCCCAATTCCGTGAGCATAGTTCGGAAACCTGCTTCTGATAGCTCTCAAAATCGTATGCACGGTCTTTGTGTGCCATGGCGAAGATCTCGTGCGTGGTATGCCAGAACTCAGACACACCGACAAAGTGGTTGACGCCAAAGTCAATGGCAGGAGTGTGGACGCCACTGAGCAAACATGGAGGGTCATCGCATTTCTTGTCCTTCTCGAGGAGTGGGAAAGTACTCCTAACGCACTCTGAGAACTTTCCGGTGCCAATGAGGTGGGTTTGTTTGCCAGTCGCATCGGACGAGCCGGGCTCAATCTCCTCCCCGGTAGGCTTGATCATGAGTCCAACCGGTAGACAAGGGTCTGGGACTTCACGTTCTCCTGGTGATGCCTCTAGCAGGTGCTCCACATACCGCCGCCGAGCTTCGTTCACGCCAAACCGCAGCCATGTTGTCACAAATACCTCATACTCCAGCGCCTCTCCCTCCACCGTCCGTAACCTCAGCAGTTGCAAATCATTGGCATGCTTCTCCGCCTCAGTTGCATTCGGCGCGAACGCAATCTGCGCAGATGCGCCGCCCATGTCCAGAAACCCATACGTATGATGCCCGTCGCCATGTCCATTTTTCTCCGGCTTGTCGAAGCCATCCAGCAGGTAGTTGGCCGCTATCCATCCATACAGCCCTTCCGTCTCTCCTGGTATGACTTGGATATGCAGCCCGCAATCCGGTAGTTGGAACTTCGAATGCTGCTGGAAGTACGAGCAGACGTTCTCCAGAACCGCCTCCCGCTGGTCTATGGGCAGCAGTCGCATGCCCGCCGTCGCCAACAAGAAGATAGGCGTGTTCTCGATCTCGTCCTTCGGCACCGTCTCTTGGGCGAACGCAACTAGCTCTTTCAGGTGCTCCTCGCCCACCCGCTCTGGCTTGTCGCCGAACGTCGAGATGCCCGGTTTGACTTTGAAGTTCCATGATTTCTTCGTCTCGATCTTGGGCAGTCGGCCCAATTCCTTCGTATTTTTCTTGCCCTTCACATACTCGGCGGTCTTGTAGCGGTAGACGTAGACTCGGCTGCCGCTGCTCCCAGCATCCAATACGACTCCATATCTATACTTGTGGCCCATGATGTTGCATGACCTCGGATTTGCGACGCACGATCGCTGGCCTGCTCAACAATCCGGTAAAGTCTTCACAACATCAACAGTGCGTGTCAAGATCGAGAGAAGCACAACACGTCTTCGATGCGCCAGATGTAGAAGGCCGCGCAACCAACGCCGAGCGCTTGACGTGCGTCGGCTCCACAACCATTGAGTTTCCTATTCATCCCTGTGTCGATCCATCCATGGTCTTGTCACGAATTCGCTGCCAGACCAAAATGAATTGAACGAAGTCGAGATATCCAAGGTATCTAGGTAGAGGTCTATCGTCTAATCATATCACCACAAAAACGTCTCACTTCTCCAACAAGAACTTCAAGAACGCCGCCCCAACAGCCGTGCCATCGTGATGCTTCTGTACTCTGCTCATGCCTTCGTTGTACATCTCGTCGTTGAAGATACCCTGGTCGTGTCTTCGTTGCAGCAGCTCAGACACAACCTCGCCGTTGAACTCTGGGTGTCCCTGCACGGTCATGAGGCGGTTCTTCACGTACATGCCTTGCACTTCGCATCGATCTGTGTAGCCAAGGTGCTCGACTTCCGCTGGCCATTCGAAGACGATGTCTTGGTGCATCTGGTGGATATTCTACCCACAGCATTAGCATGGAGATACGCAGCAGCCGAAAACACCTTGACATACCAAATCTTCAAGTCCAAACAACTCCTTCCCTCGCCCGGTCAATGCAACCTTGACTACACTGACCTCCCAGCCCTTCTTGCTCCGATCGACCTTGACGTCCATTGCCCGTCCGATGATCTGGTGCCCGAAGCATACACCTATCAGTCTTACTCGCTTCTGCTTCAAAACTTCTCTCGTGAATTCGACAAGCCGTAATATCCAAGGGTCATTGTCGAATGAGTTGAATTCTGTCCAAGCCATGCCGTCCCGTCAGCCAAACCGTGCTATCGACTGCCTTGCGCCCAGTACAGCATGACAGAGGATCTCTCACGTACTGCTGCCAGTAAGAAGTATTCCGTCCACATTCTCTAGTTTAGGGTACACCTCCTTCTTCACCACATCAAAACTCGAGATCTCCAGCTCAGGCTTCTTTCCGTGATCTGACTCTGCCAGTCTCTTTGCTCCATTCTGAAGCAGCTCTGTAAACAGCCCGCCATATGACCCGTACTTCTCTTTCGTCTTGCCAACGGGCTCATCACACTCGAGAATAGCGATTCGGAGGCGCGGGACGATCATCGTTGTGTAGGTCGAGGCAGTTGGTCAGTCGCGGAAGCGTAAGATTCGTGTTGAGACTTGCTGTTAGTAGGAATGTTGTACAGTAGAAGTTGAATTTCAATCGTAACATTCACATGTCATTCTTGCGATAGGGCAACGACTGCTGAGTCAAGCTTCAAGGGTCTCGCGTTGTTCCTGGCGGTTGATGTTCTCGCGACATTGATTGTAGTCCAGCGGCTTTCAACCATCAGAGGTCGTTGATTCGCCTCACCTTTTTCGAGAAGGCGTCAAGGCGATATCATGCAGGCCATCTCTCCTCTCGTATTGACATGTCGCTGCCGACCTGATAGGACATTCTGGACTGCGCTTGCGCTTGGACTCTCTGCCCGATAAAGCAGTCCCATGCGAGGAAAGAGCGACCAACTACCAAAGTGAATTACAGTCTTGACCCTTCTTCTTCATATCACCAACATAGAAGAATCAGATGTGAACAACGCCCTTGCATGGCTAGGAAGACTGCTGCAGCACCGACATCGATCGGAATATGGGAAGCTGAATAGAGCAACCCAACGGCAAGCCTCGTGCCCAGCACGCCGCCGTTATACCAGTGGGGCCGGCTAGACCGGGCTGATTGTGACCACGCGCGGTAATGTGGTAACAGCGTGGGGTTGAGTTTGAATGGTTGGTCGAGTGCGATACGACGGCCGATATATGAAGGTGAGACTGCTCGCCTCGTCTCTTGCTTTTTCCTCTCTTGTGCCTCCTTAAGCTACACACCTCAAGAACGTCTCGTACCACCATCAGACTGTCAGACTCCTCGAGATCTTGACCTGGCACTTTTGCTGCTTGAACACAGTACTCTGTTCGACGACCTTCAGGGCATGTCGGTTACCGTACAACTTACCCAAAGCAAGTCCGGACGTACATTCATCCCGTAAGTCACCTTGTTCCAGCAAGTTTCTCGCAACAAGAAGCTAACAAAGGAACAGGCTTAGTAAAAGTAATTACACCCGTAGTAATAATAGTAAACCGCAATCATGGCGGGCAACAGCACTACTATCGCCACAATCGAGCAGAAGCCAGCCATGAACTCCCTGCCAATGGCCAAAGTGGATTCTGTCATGAACGACGACAGTTCTGCTTTGACCGGCAAGACCACCAATATCGTCACCGAAACAACGCTGCCAACCGACTCGAACATCCGCGTCCTCGGCCTCCATGAATACAAAGAAGCCGCCCTCTCCCTCGCCCTCGCATTCGAGCACGACGACGTATCCCGCTACTTCCTCGACACGCCCGACCGCGCCCACTGGACCAAACAGCAAAAATGGGACCTCCACCTCAAAATCATGGAATACATCACCTACGCGCACCTCCTCAAAGGCCTCGTGCTCAGCGTCGGACCGAACTACGACTGCGTCGCCCTCTGGATGCCGCCGGGCAAGAACATCGACGACTTGCCCACCATTTTCCGCTCAGGCCTCTGGCGTCTCAACTACCTCCTCTCCCACGAAGGCCGGAAACGGTTCTTCTCCGAGTTCTTCCCGCTGCTGCATGATACGAAAGCCGCGGTGCTCGAGGATCGGGATCCGTCGAGTTGGTATCTTGTCTACATTGGCACGAAGCCGGAGGGCAGGGGGAAGGGGTATGCGAGGAAGGTGGTGGATTTTGTGGCGGAGAAGGCGGATAGGGAGGGGAGGGCGTGTTATTTGGAGAGTAGTAATGTGGTGAATGAGGCTATTTATCGGAAAATGGGGTTCGAGGTTTCGAGGAGGATTTATTTGCAGAGGGCGAAGGAGGGGAAGGTGAGGTTGGAGATTATGGTTAGGGAGCCGCGGAAGTGAAAGCTGCAGGTCGCGAAGAATGGCGGTGAAGCTGATGTTGAAGCTTGGATGAGATGGAGATTGTAAGGAAGGGCACTGGAAGAAGGCGCATTTGATCTATGATTACAGTGTCGCAAGCTCGCCTATGCCTGCCAGCTAAGTATATAGCAAGCTCGCTCTATATGCTCTGCTTCAAACGCCAGAACGATGCTGCCTCGAACCTCCACCATCCTTGTTCAGCCGCAAGCTCTTACGGGGCTTCCCAGTCGGGGTTCTAAGAAGACGTGTCAGCACGTATCCACTTTCAAAGGACAGAGACGACTAGCTGCTCACCTTCCGCAGTATACAAACACCCTCCATGACATTCGCCAAGCAGATCCATTCCTCGTCCTCCAACTCCGCACGCTCTCCATGACCAAGCAACACCGGCGTGCTCTGAGTCTGCCATCCGGTGATAGTCTTCGGCCGACCTGCTTGGCCAACCACGTCGACTGCTTGACCAACTCTGACATTGACCTGCACAGGCTTGAGGTCCTCATCCAATGTCACCAGGAAGCGCGGGTGCATTGCTGTGACGAGGTAGTAGAGCAAGTAGTGGTGGTCTCCGAGCACGAAAGCCTTCGGGTTGTCGATGAGTGACATGGTGACAACAAGCAAACCGGCAGCAGCCACACGCGACAGTACGCCGCGGTCGGTGTGGAACGGGCTGAGCGTGAGCGTGCCCTTGCCCATGTGCAACAGACCCTGCGCAATACGCACCATGAAGAGCGCAGAGGGGTCGCGGTGGTAGTACGATGCGAGCTGGCGGAGAAGCTGGGCCAGACGCGCATTATTGGTGCCGGCGCCTAGCATACCCATGGCGAAGATGGCGTTGACAGCGACGTCGATGTCGTTGTCGTGGGAGTAGCGGGAGAGGGTGTCGTAGACTTTCATCTGCGGGTTCGAAGGGCTGATGAGACCCATCGCCAGAGGTACTGCCTTGCGGATGTTGGCTTCGCCGTAGTGCATCAGGTGGCCGAATTGGCGGAGGACCATTTCCTGTCCGACATCCTCGCCCATGGCGACGAGAGACAGACCCATGACGGCGTAGGCTTGAACGAGCTGGTCGCCTTCAACGTCGCGCTTCTCGGTGGCGCCGTTCTCACCCTCTTCCTTCTTGTCATCTTTCTCGTCTTCCTTTTCTTCAATGTGGTCGTTGCAGATATGGAGGAGTTGCTGGAGCTTCAACACTGTGCCCGTGCCAGCCCATGCGCAGATCTCGGCCAGCACAGAGGCGGGCTTGGACATGGGATGCTCGATTGCTTTCAAGGTCTCCAGCACGACGTCGACTTCCTCTTGCTGGTGGAAGTACAGCAACGCCAGGCCGAGGGTCATGAAGCGCGTCCACTTGTCCTTAAGCTGCTTTTCCCGATCTTCGTCGAGGAAAGTCTGGATGATGGCTTCGGAAACGTCACTCTGCGCCGATCCGACGAAGATGAGACCAAGAGATAGTGCGGCCATTGCGGAGATCTGCATTTCGAGGCTTGTGTCCGTGACAAGTGGTAGAAGGGTCTCGAGAAGCTCCTCCTTGTTTGATCCAGCGTATGCGAGCCCGAGACCCATGATGCTTGCGACCTTGACTTGTACAGGCTTGTCTTCAAAGTCACTAAGCAAAGCCAGGGTAGGGTCGCTGTCCAGCCGCACGCCGCTGTTCATGATACCCATTGCCAGCGCAGCACCGGCCTTGACCTCGTTCTCGGGCACGTAGGTGTATGAATCGACTTTGTCCAGACCCATTTCGACGTCCCACAGCAACAACATACCTGCTGAAGCAGCCGTGGACATCATGCCGTCATCTTTCACCTTCCAGGTCCAGCTCTGCTTAACACCACCCTCCACCATCATCAGCTTGTCTTGACCAAACCCAGCGTTGACGAAGGCATTGACAAATGCAGAGGCGAGATTGTGACGAGCGGAGTCAGTGTTTGTGAGGCCGGCGGTTCTTGACGATTCGAGGTGGGATTTGTAGATGTCTTCGGGCACCTTCGGGTCCAGCACATTGAGCTCTTTCGCAAGGGATTTGAAGTGCTCGGGTAGCTTCGTGTTGTTCAAGCAGTCCTGCAGCTCTTGGTCCTCCGCATCTTCGCCTTCGAGCTCAAGGCATATCCGTTGCCGTCCGAGGATGAAGGCTAACTGGCGCTTGATGGCCTTGTCGGAGGTGGATGAGAAGTCCGACTTGATCAGCTCCATGTCGTTGAGTCTGATGGCGAGGGACATAGCTTGGGTGAGCTGGTTGTACTGCAGGTAGATGTCGTGCGCGGTGCGGAGGAAGCGATCGTTGTCGGGGTAGGTGAGGAGAGGAACCATCGAGCCCATGTACAAACATACTCGCCCGTATGTGTTCTCATCAAGATGGTCCTTAATCGATTCGATCATTTCGAGCTCGGAAAGAATGTCGACTGCATCTGCTTCGGCGTTGTGCGAAAGGAAGAAGGGTACGAGCGAGAGGGTGAGTTGGGTGAGATCGTCGGTCTCCTTCTCCTCATCCAGTCGCTTCTCTCGCTCTTCGCCTATCTCGAGCGCAAGATGCCGCATGTACTCGTGACCCCAAGATCCGATGTCAGTCCCTGGCGCAAGCAGCCGGTACTTGAGCGTATCTCGCCTGTCCTCGTCATCAGAGTATGTCATCCCGAGCACCGACAGCGTGTCTGCCAGCGAATCCTTGTTCTCCCCCGCTGGCCACTTCTCGTATGTCTCGCAGAGCTTTGCGTAGTGCGGCCGTAAGAACTTGAGAGGTTTGGGCACGGCGGTCATGGAGCTAGTGCTGGTCTTGATGCTGGTCTTGATCGCCTCCAACGCCGACTTATAGAGCGACGCATCGTCTTCTGTTAGTCGTTCGACCAGCATGTCTAGCTCATCCTTGAGCTTCTGATCCTCCTCGTTCAACTCCTCTGGCTCGAGGTCGCCATCTTTCTTGCTGTCCTTCCCATCTTTGCCATCCTTCCCATCCTTCTCTGCTGTGCCGTTGACGCCGTTGACTTGTTTGGCATCATCCACCTTTCCCTTGCCCTTGTCTTGCGTCTTGCTCTTCTCCTCCTCCTTCGCCATCTTCAACCCCGACGATGGTTACACTGCTGTACCGCGGTTCCCTTGGCCTTGATTTCCCTCTGGGGACCTAGACTTCCCGCTCAAATCAAGCGCTGCTCTTCGTGTTCAGATCCGCGGCGAGCTGGGTGGTTATGGGAGAAGGTGTGAGGATGAAGGTGTTGTTGTATGATGGAGGTGTTCGCTGATGCTTTCGCGTCGTCTGTCGCCTCCAAAGCTTCCACGAGAAAGTGACGCTCGGGCCACTTTCGTCTCCCGAAAAGTCGACGGCCACACTTCACTTTCTAACGTCACATCTGCAATTCTCACATGCCATACATCGTCTCAACCACACGCCCAACCTAGTCGCCTGCACCGTCTACTTCGCCATGAAGCTCGACACGCGCGCGATCCGCTACCTGACCAACGAGGACTGGCGAGTCCTGGCAGCCGTAGGTCCACCACTCTTCGGCAAGCTGCAATGCATGCGCTAACCACATGCTAAAGATGAATACAGGTTGAGCAAGGGAGCAAGAACCATGAGGTCGTTCCCACGCCCCTCATCACCCAAATAGCCGGTCTGCGCGGCGGCAGCGGCGTCCACAAATGCATATCGAGTCTGGCCAAGGTGGGCTTGATTGCAAAGGTCAAGAATGCGCGCTGTACGTCTGATGTATCCTTTGGGCCCAGATCGCATGCTAATTTCAAGGACTGAACATAGATGACGGCTACCGCCTGACATACGGCGGTCTCGACTACTTGGCCCTTCACACCCACCGTCTCCGCAGCACCATCTTCAGTCTCGGCAACCAGATCGGCGTCGGGAAAGAAAGCGACATCTACATCACAGCCTCTCCCACCAACCGCCAACAAGTTCTCAAACTCCACCGCCTTGGCCGCATATCCTTCCGGAGCGTAAAAGCCAACCGTGATTACCTTCGCAACCGATCTACAGGGTCATGGATGTATCTGAGCCGCTTGGCAGCACAGAAGGAGTTCGCGGTTATGAAGGTGCTGCGGAGAGAAGGGTTCGCCGTACCGGAGCCAATTGGCTGGAGCAGGCACACTGTTGTGATGGAGTTCATCGATTCGTTTCCACTGAGGATGGTCGAATCGGTTCCAGAGCCTGGGAAACTGTACGCAGAGCTGATGGATATGATCGTGCAGCTGGCGCGGCGGGGACTGATACACGGCGACTTCAACGAATTCAACATCCTAATCCAGGAGAACACCGTGCCTGCAGCAATGGATGGTGGAGAGGAGAAAGTACAGCTGAGACCGGTACTTATCGACTTTCCACAAGCTATCAGCACGAACCATGCAAACGCGCAGATGTACTTCGACCGCGATGTGGGGTGCGTGAAGAGATACTTTGAGCGGAGGTTCAAGTATGAAGCAGACGAAGACGGACCTTTCTTTCAGGATGCAATGAAGGGTAGTGTGATCGAGCAGAGACTGGACGTTGAGGTAGAAGCAAGTGGGTTCTCCAGAAAGATGGCTAAGGATCTGGAGAGGTACGTGGAGCGGGCTGAGGATGGCGTAGATGAGGCAGAGCAGGCCGATGCCGCGGAGGAGGACGAAGGGGATGTCGAGGACGAAGACGCTGAAGAGGAGGGTGGGGAGGCTGTACTCCCACAGGACCCGCAGGTCGACGATCCGAAGCTCGCTGAGGAGATCGGCGGACTTTCTCTGGGTGATGATCTGGCGGTCAAACCTCTGGATCGTGGACGTGACTTCGGCCTGATGCCACTCGAGGTACCCAGCGAGCCTGACATTGCGGCGGAGAAGGTGCATAGCAAGAAGAAGGCGTCTGGTTGGGCTATCTAATGACATGACCGATTACTGTTCACGACTGCGAGCTGCTGAGCGAGGGCGATGTGGTCGCTGAAATGACATCAAACGGAGAGAAGGCCGTTGTGTTGCAAATGCTGTTCTCGATCTCCGCGTCAATGCAGAAGATGCACTCAGGCTGTCCAGGCTTCTCCTTTGGAACGAGTAAGTCACAACTTGCTACTATCCGTCCTCCTCAACCGTGTCCCGTCATCAATCTCCATCTTATCTCCCACAGTCAAGATGCTAGTGACGTTGAGCTGAAAAGCGGCTAGCAAACAGAAAGGGGCTTGGCAGTCTTCCACCGTGACTCGATTTGTAAAGTTTGATGTTGCACAGCGACGCACGACACGACTTAACCAATTTCGCTTCCAACCTTTGGCAAAAACGCTTCTTCTTCGATCAGCGTGCTGCACCACTCCTCCACTCCAAGACACGCGAGAGCAGCACACGCAACGCCCATTCTCCACACCTCAAGTCAAACGAAACAACGCCGGCAGTCATGTCTTCTGGACAGGAAGCTGGTAAGTCTAACCCCTCACACGTCAGTTCCTCTCGTGAAGCAGCTGGCATGGCGGCGGACGGCATGGCGGCGGGAGGACAATCAGGCACGGGCAACGGAGGTACGTCGTCGTTCAGGGGTTCTTACAGAGACGCTCTTGTGAACAACGGGCCTCAGGGGCGGAACGCGGCCAACCAAGGTACAGTTTCGGCTTCAGACAAAGAGAAGGGCAGGGCCGTTGATGAGGTCGGGCCTGATGGCGGCGACAAGTTGGCGGATAGGGTGGGCAAGCTCCGCATCGAAGACAAGCAAGAGCAGGAGCCAGCTGCCACCCCCAACTCTCCGGAGGCCGAACAGCAGGCGACTCTCACGACAAGCCCTTGCAGCGCGGACGGTTCTGCCAAGGGGCCGTCAGCATCGTCTGGCAGCTCCGACTTGAACCCGCAAGCCAGTGCGTTCAAGCCAGTCCCGCCACCCGCGGCTGCATCGTCACCAAGCGCCGGAAAAGTGTTTGAAGCACGCGAGGTCGCATACGGCAACTTGGGGGTCTTTGCAGCCACCCGCATTCCTCGTGGCACACTCATCCTCGTTGAAGAACCGCTCCTCGCGACCACGAGCCTAGTTGCGCAGTCCGTGTGGGTCCCGTACTGCCAGCTCGACGACTCGGCAAAGGCGGCTTACGACTCGCTGTTTGCCTGTGCGCCTGAACACCTCGACCTCGAATACATTAGCCGCACATGCTTGGTTGAACAGCACCTGCTTGCAGACGAGCTTGGAGTCAGGTCCATCGTTGCCAAGCACGTCCGCGTCATGAGCATCTTCATGAACAACAACATCCAGACGCCATTCGGCCAGTTCTGCATCTACGTGATTGCTTCTCGCTTCAACCACTCCTGTGTGCCGAACGTGTACCAGTCATGGAACAGTACCACTAAGCAGCTCCAAGTCCATGCTGTTCGAGACATCGAGCCAGACGAGCAGCTCTACGTCACCTACCTCGGCAGTCAGGGGAATTACTACCTTCGGTCCCAGCGCATCGAGATCCTGCGTTCGAACTTCGGCTTCACCTGTCATTGCAAGTCGTGCGCGGATCCGACCAACAAGTCAGACAAGCGTCGTGAGAGGACTGCCTTGGTGGGTTGGGGTCTCGAGCAATTCGAAGCAGGGATAGACGGAACCAGCAACCAGTACATCCCGAACAACGCCGACATCGCGCTGCTGCAGGCGAAAGATTTTATTGCGCTTCTGCTCAATGAAGGCATCCACACGCTCGATCTCGCCAAAGCCTACCACACGGCTTCCGTACGTGCGCTTGCGGTAAAGGACTTCGACAAAGCGATCGATTTCTGCCACAAGGAGATCGAAGTGGAGCGCAACTGCCTGGGCGTGGAGCGGGAGGGGTTGTTCACCATGAGGATGGCGGCTGAGTGCTGGAGGGCCGAATTGCTGTACCGTATTCGCAACGAGGCGGGATACGAGCAGGCGATTAAGTACATGACTGAGGAAGAGAGGGAGACGATCGAGGGAGCGGTGGAGGGAGCGCAAGAGGAAGGGCGGAAGAAGCACAAGAAGAGCAAGCGCAAGCCTAACAAGAAAGGTCAGGGGGAGGTGACCGGGTGGGAGCAGGGCGGAGGTCAGGGCGGGGAGACGTCGGCGCCGCCCTCCGGGTGGTGAACTGGTGGAAGGGTCGCGTGGGGTGCGGTGTGGCCTTGTGGGAGTGTTGGTGGATTGGAGAAAGCGGGGTCTTGGAGGGGGTTAGGGGCTGAGGTTGTGCCGTGTTCTTCGAAAGCGAAAGGCTAGGATATGGTGAGAGCACTGCCGTTGTGGGCTTGAATGCTGTCGCGCTCCGTGAGAAGGATTGTCCTGCGTTCTGCGGAATGTAACTATTGAGAGGTGTTCTTGTACTTGATTCTGCCGCTCTGTTTAACGCCACAGCCGCCCAGCATCGCTTGCGCTTAGTTTGACCTCACTTCTGCAAGCGCTAAACGCCCGTGCCGCGCAAACGCGCTGTCAAGCGCGCTCTTCTCCTCCCTCTCTTCTACTTGTCATACAATGTTTCTCTTGCATGCAAAGCATTTCTGAGCCCCCAAATATGCGAACCAGTGCGCTCTTTCCCCCGGAGATCGCTGGGGATGAGTCCTTCGACCAATTGGCGCGGAAGCTGGCGACGTACGTTCTTGCCTCATGCGCTTGAGCGGCGGCTAACGAGTGCTATAGGTATGTCACGAAAGCTATAGAGTCTCCGCATAGCTTCGATGAGCTGAAGAAGGTCGTCTACGGACGCTCGCTGAGGCCATTGGTGAGGTATCTGGTGGATGGCGTCCATCATGAAGGCGTTGTTTCCGCGCTGCTGTATGTTCCTACCCAGCGCTCCGCTGTGAAAGCTGTGGGCTGCTTATGGAATTCAGAAGAAATACTGACTTCAAACAGAGCACTCCGCTGGCGCTTTTCGACATGCGAGGATGATGATGACCGAGGCGTCAATGAAACGAGGGCAATGGCGTGTGAGATCGTGGCATGGCGATTCGTCGCTCACTTGACCGAGAGAGAAGCCATTGACTACCTGTGTACGGAGCTACCACTGTCCAAGGAAGGGTTCCAGAGTGCGGACTCTGAGACGGCAGAGAATGGCGACAGTCAAACTCAGCTCGATGACCCTGATGAACGTACACCACTTCTTGATGGAACGGAGAACGAAGACACTAGCCTCTATGACGAAGACCGGAATACTGCGGAGTTGTCATCCGACTCATTGGCAGCCCAGTTTGTAAGCCTCAACGCCCTGGAGATTGCTGCTGTCGTTGAAGCGAAGCACTTCATGGGCGAGAAGTCGATCCAGCGGGTCATCAACGGCATCTGGAACGGCGACATCATCTTCTGGGACTCCATAAGTATGCACTCGACGAAGAAGGCCCGGCTCTACAACAGGAATAAGTCGGATCCATACTGCCGCCTGCGAGTGCCGCTGTACCTTAAAGTCTTCGAAGTCCTCTTCTTCGTCACTCTGCTCGCAAGCTACTACGCCGCGCTCATCCCGAAGCAGTCCGAGCGCTTCATGCCTGCGGAGTGGTTGCTCTACATCTGGCTACTTGCATTCTCATACAACGGTGAGCCGAGACCTGTCTTAGGAGCGAACGTGTCGATACTGACCTGCCATCCACAGAATTTGGAGAGTTCTGGGACGCTGGCTTGACGTTCTACACCACTGACTTCTGGTCAAGTTGGGACCTGTAAGTAAAATGACCAATGTTGCGTGATGCCACGGACACAGCTAACGTAAAGCCAGCGGCATCATTGCCACCGGTTTGGCTTCCTTCATCAGCAGGATGGTTGGCATCTTTGGTGACAACGAACGAGCAACCACTGTATCCTTTGATATCCTGTCGGTTCAGGCGCTGTTTCTTGTCCCTCGGTGGGTCGACTGATTTAATCGCCTGCATTCTCGCCTACAGACATTTCACTGACTTCTTCTACAGGGTGTTCTCTATCCTGAGCTTGCATCCATACTTCGGCATGCTGCTTCCGGCACTCAAAGAGATGGTACGACTTTCGACATCGAGAGGATATAACGATCACTGACAGTCTTCCAGACAAAGGACTTCATGAGATTCATTGGGCTCGTAGCGATACTCTATCTCGGTCAGCATCTCGTCGTTGTCGTTCCACTTCATGGAGCTAATGTCAACAGGCTTCGACACCACTTTTACCTTCCTCGCTCGAGGGACGTACTCTTTTGCGAAGATGAACTGGCTGCTTGTCAAGGTCTTCTTTGGTTCAGGTTATCTGGTAAGCAAGGATGTACTACCTGCTCGATGGAGATCGTTCGTTGACACCTGAGGTAGTAAGTCCAACAAGCTCGAAATTGATTGCAATTCTCACGGCCAGGAACACTTCTGACGCTACTGCAGTGGCTTCGTGAGTTTACCCAGTAATGGCATTTTGGAGATTAGCTGACAACAGCTTTAGGACGTTGCAGACCAAGTAAGGAGACGAAGTACTCTCGGACATCGACCGATAGAACTGAACGATTGCAGATCTCACCCATTCTCGGACCGCCACTCATGTTGGTGTTTGTCTGCCTGACCAACATTTTGTTGATCACCTCGTTGATCTCCTTGCTGTCCGCAAGCCTGAACCGGGTACGTACTCACGTGATGTGTTTCAGCGTCTCATTAGCCGCCGGGATGACATCGATTGGCTGACATCCTCCGCCGACACACAGGTCATGGAGCATGCTCGAGATGAGTATCTCTTCGTGTATGTAGCGCCCCTTTGCTGCGCATCAAGCAGCAGTGCCTTGTGTGGCTTGAGTGCAGGCTAACGGACACAGGTATTCGGTCTATGTCCTGGAAGCCGCGACCTCCAATCGCTTGACCTACTTCCTACCTCCACTGGTAAGTTTCACGTATTTCTGTACGCATGAGTGTGCCGTCATTCGGTATAATGGCCAGATGCGTTGGTAATGCACACTGGCCGCCTTCACCAGCATATTGCTACCTTGGGGGTGTCTGGTCCGCTCTCCAGCACCCTCGACCTGAGCCACGACCGCAGGCAATGCTGGAGGGTCGTTGTCGTCGAATGGAAACCGTCGTTGGGCAGGCAAGGCCTCTCTGCGGGCGCAACCCTGTTAAGATGGCTCTCAAATCTGCAACACGCAGTGGAGCAACGCCTCGATGCGGAGTACAAACACGAAAGACGCCTCGCTGATAACCCTGCACAGAATCTGGTACCGATGGTGTTGCGACCGCTAAGATTGATTCTCGGAGCAGAAATTCTGAGGTCTCTGAGGATTGTCTTGCTGAAAGGGACCCACGTTCCGTTCGTCGCGCTAATTCTCGCTTACGAGAACGGGCGGCTATACCTTAATCAACGCCGCAACGCTAACTCATCTTCTCGATCTCTTCGAGGCCCAAATTCGCCAAAGGGTGTTCACGGCTCGTTAGCGGCAGTTCGCAAGCCAGCATTATCAAAGCGACCTTCTCCACCATTGGAGCGCGAGGCACGCACCGGCAGAAAGCCGATGGCACAACCAGACCCACCGGCGGCTCTGGAGACAGAGGAAGATCTGGGTGCCGCGGTGGCTGCGTTACAGATGCAACTCGAACATGTCGCTTTGATGATTGCGAAAAGGAAGGAAGCAAATCCTGCCTAAGGTTCAGAGACAGCCGCCGATGCCCATGACTTTGCATGAAATCGGACGAATAACAAGCATTTCCGCGCATGCTTATGCATGGGACATGCATGGGAAGACTGATCTGCCGTGTCGGGACATTGGCTGGCAAAACGGCCGAGCACGTCAGAGTCAACTCGAGAAGCAGCGATGGACAAAGTCTTGTGTCGGTTCCGCCTCGATGGCACGCTAATTGGCGCCCAAGCGAACAACGCGGAGACGGCGCTGTAGTTTCTGCATAGCCGTGCATAGCCACGGGCCTAGCAATGCGCCTGCACCGTCAGTGGCCGCTAGGATGAGAGATGCTTGATGGCCGCCAGTACTGCCTGGTTGGTGTGGGTCATCCTAGATGGCCGGGGTTGCTCTGCTCGCAGCGTCCCGCAGCGTCCGCGGTGCCATATGCCTACTCTGCGCCATGAATTGAAGAAGTATGCTGTCCTCTCTGGCCTCACCAAATAACCGCTCTTTTTCTCAACGAACACTGCCTCTTCGTTTTTGGCATCAAATCACTCGTTTTCCTTGACGTTCTTACGCCGCACACTTTCTGATGATTGCTATATCTTCCATTCCGTTTCGGGTCACGCAGACCTGCATCAACCAGACAGATCTTGGACGCCATGAGTTACTTCCCGAGCGGTGATATACCCATACCTCCATCTTCGCACTTCACGACTCCGCAACAGCAAGCTTGGAACGAGGACAATGTCTCCGCGGACTACACATACGCTTACCAGCAGCAATCGCCGTACAGGACTGGCCGCCTGTATGGCCTTGGTCTTCCTTACTTGCCGGGTACCGCTGCTCAGTCATATTTGGAGATGGGCATGGCACGCGACCCGGCTCCTTTGACCTGGCCAAGTCAATTCGGCGTCGCCCAGCCAGCCCCGTTCTATCGACAACGGGTTCAGTCACAGCAATGGAACGATGGCAGCTGCAATCCGCTTTCCACCTTGATGCCTGACGCACTCTGGGACCATGCCCAGCTTGCCCCTCGTCAAGCAGCTGTTTACGATTGCTCGCCCGCCGTGTCGGAGTATGTCCCAAGCTCGCACGCATCGGCTGTGTCCTCTCCATATGCGCGATCAGACAGTGTTCTGCGCTCGGCCGACTCTCCACAAATCAAAGTTGAGCAGTCAACAGAGCCGTCAATACCACGAATCCAATACCCAGCTGAGAGAGCATATCGAACTCGAGAGCTGGTAGTGAATCCTGGAGACCTTATCATGCAACCTCCCGAGGACGTCAAGCCTGAGCCTGCAGAAGTAGCTTTCCACTCTTCTGACGGTGCTCTCGGATCACCAGTAGCACGAATAGGTCGTCGCAGAGCATCATCGGAGGACGAAGGCAGGGACAGGAAGAAGCGAGCATACACGAACCCAGAGACGGCCACCTGCTCCTGCGAGCAGTGCGGTCAGCTCTTCCAGCGAGCCTATAATCTTCGAGCGCACATGGAGACGCACGATCCTCACCGGAGCCATCCACATTTGTGTCCTTACAGCTCTTGCGACAAACGCTTCGTGAGGCGGACAGACCTTGTAAGGCACCAGCGAAGTGTAAGTTTCGCAGGCAGCATGACGTGTGAGCCATCACTGACTGTTCACAGGTACACCTCAAAGAGCGCAACCATGTCTGCCATCGCTGTGGCAGCTCGTTCGCGCGCAGAGATACACTGAGGAGGTATGCGATGCCTTCTAATCTCTCATCTGCACGATCGCTGACGTTTCTGCCAGACACGAGGACGACGGCTGTCCGCAACGACTAGACGTCAAGAAGCGCCCTTCCCAAAGCCGCCGGGCTTCGAGCGCATCAATGGTGAGGAGGTCAACACAACGGTGGAAACGAGAAGACTCTTCCGCGCCACCGAGTTCGTGGGATCAAGTCCCGGAGTTCGTCGGCTAGAGCAACAATCGAAAGCGCTCGCCTGACGATCAATAGACGGGAGGAATCATTGCAGCGGCTCGATCTCGCTTGAGCGGCCGTCGGTGTTTTGGGTAGAGCATGGACTGGCGTCAAATTGGAGAGGCAAGAATTGATTGTTCTTTTAGCGAATCACAAGACTAGATTTGAAATGATTTCACAATCACCATGTTGGAAGATCGCAACTTGGTTGGAATGAAGAAGGGCACGCCCACGACATTGTTCCGTCTGCCGGCCGTTGGGTTGTGTCCCTGCGACCGCTGCGATTCAAGCTCGGTGTTAGACCAAGCTAAGAGAATGGCGGCGCTGGGGTGGTACGACGTTCCGTTCTCCCCGTGCCAGGTTTATCGAAGCCCAGACCACATGTTCTGCTGTTCTAAGCGCCCGATGGGAGGCCTTGATCTCTGGACACATCGTCCTGATTTCATAGTATATGGTATGACTACAACAAGGCGAGCAGACGGAGCTGGAATTGTTCACAGCTGCGCTCTGCATACTCTCTATGCTCCGACCGCAACATGAAACCTCTTGGCTTCAATACAGCTTGGCCACCTTTGGCGTTGGCTTGACTGCTCGGGAGTCACGCCACTAGATCGAAACCTCTGATTTGCTCGTAAGAACGACTCACGATGCTGTGTATGGGGCAATACGTATTGGCATACTTGGCGGTATGGCAAGGCTACGAGGCTACGAGGCTACCAGGTCGTGCTGGCATATAAGAAGGGCCACCGCAAGCGGGGGCAGCCAGCCTCGCGTCTCTTTTGACTCCAAACCTTTCGAAAATCCGCTGGACTGCCACTTGAACCATCTCATCTCTCCAAAGAAGGCTGAGAAAGTAGCAACATGAAGCTCCTTCTACTCGCACCACTCTTCTTCGCAGCCTCGACTTTCGCTGTCGCCGTCGACACCGACTGGGGCAACACTCTCGACGAGTTCCTCCCGGATGCCGCATGGAAACGCAGCAACCTCCCCCATCTCGATACTTTCGAAGACCAGGAGGCGTTCGAAGTCGATGGCAACGCCGAACCGCTCGACATATCTCTCAACCGCAGGTCCACAGAGGCTCTCTTCGACACCCTCGACACCAGAGCTTCCTGTACCTGCACCGGGAAGTCTTGCTGTCCGAACTGGAATCGATGCTTCAACGTCCCGAAGAACAAGTTGAGGTGTTGCGCGGTGAGCCTGCAGACTGTGGCTTGCAAGAAGCCGGCGAGCTGCTGTTACAATGGATGTTGCAAGTCCGGGTACAAGTGCTGTATCACCAACGGAGGCGTTTACTTTTGCGGGAAGGGCGGGTGCAGTTGACGAAGCGTCATGTCTAGCATCCTAGCGTAGTGGTCGAGTCACCTACTAACCTAGGAGGAGGCGGTCCGGGAAGGAGACGTCGTTGGAGTATATTGGTCCAAGCAGGTTTATTGATCTAGTACTTCATTGGCCTTTTTCTGGTCCTCAATCATCCTCTCTGTCTCACTGAATCATCTTACTTGCCATGTCGAGGTTGGCTGTTGGCATCGCCTGAACCTCTAAGCCGAGATGGTCCAGCAACCTCGCGAGGCCGTCCGATGCATCGTTCTTGTGAACTCTTCCCAGGGCCAGGCGGCTGTCGTGTGCCTATCGTTATCGACTGCAAGCATTCGCTTGCCCTTCTCATCAGTAGTCCATGCAAATACAGACACAACCTCCTGTGGTCACTCATTCACTTTCTCCACGCATGTGACAATGCGGGGACAAGGTTTTCGCTTATCGTGCGCTAGTGTTCGTCATCGTTGTGGCCTACGCTTCTTCGATCATCACCAGTAGCATCACTTCTATCTCGCCTTGCAAACACAATCTGCAACATCAGATCGTCGAGTTCCACCAAAACAACATCCCGACCTTTGACAAGAAGCGAGAAGGCCTCACATAGTCACCTAAGACACCGCGCGAAGCCGCAATGGCGAACAACTCCTCCCCCACCAACGTCCTCTCCACCACATCACTGAGCCGCTACATGGCCCAGTCGCTCCCGCGAGACGCCTCACCACAACTCAATAATGCCTTCGATTCCATCGCACTGGCTGCACATGCGAGCATGCTAGCAGTCGGCTTCCGCCTTGTTGGCCTGGGGGAAGACCACCGCATCGAAGCCGACTCAGATCCGTCAAACCCGCAACCTTTACCCTCAGAATGGAACGCCAACAGCGGAAGCTACAGCTTCAGATATGCTCATACCCAGAGTAGCATGCAATACCTGCTCAAGATCAGCAGGATGGCCAACAAAGCGATTATCATGGGCATGGGAATGGGCGACGACAAGACTTGCAGTTTCGACATCACAGCACGAGATTACGTGTCAGAGGGCAATCTCCCAGCCACCCCGGTATCAGAAGAGAAGAACCAAGAGGAGGCGAGCAGAAGTCTGACGGATGTGTTCATCTCAGCTGGCAGGTTGAGCGATTTTGGCAGCATGATGCAATTGAACGTGATTCAGAAGCTCATACCGAGCTTGCAAAAGGAGGGCTACGAGGAGAATAGGGCAGGACAGTCATCACGAACAGACCCACAACGCCCGCGCGAGCCTCAACAACCTATCTACGACCCACTACGAGACGATCGAGATCCGCCAGCTCGGCCACGGCCACTCCACGATCCGCTTGCGATGCCACCACGCAGACCGATACCAGAGCCGATGCCTGGGTTCGAGGACGAATACGAGACACTGCGTCCGCCTCGAGGTGGAGTGCCTGGACCTGGCCTGCCCCATTACGGCGACAGAGACTTGTACCCGCAAGGGCTGGGACCACGCGATCCAATGTATGGCGGTGTGGGGCCAGGGCTAGCACGTCCAGGCGGTGGAGGTGGGATGCATCCGACGTTCGACGATCCGCTGTTCGCAGGGCAAGGGCAAGGAGGCTACGACCCGCGAGCGCCGCCGGGAAGCAGATATGATCCAGTCGGGCCGGGCATGGGTGGTCATCCACGCGGTGCTGGGATGGGTGGCAGGCCGCCAGGAGGTGGACCACCTAATCCATTCGGCGGTTTCGGAGATGGAGACTTTATATGATTACGGCGACGAAGCTTGCTGCATGATGTAGTTAACATTGAGTAGCTGACAAAGGCTGTATCATACGATGTCCCATGTCCTCTCTAGCGAAATCCCGCTCATGGCCAGTCCTCTTGCTGATCACCAGCTCATGTCGCTGCTCGCCCTCATCACTTTGCTCGTCGATGCGCTCACATATCCAGCTATTGCACGCTGCGTCTACGAGGCCCGTCTCCCACCATGAACCTTGCGAGATGCTGCTTCGACCTCTCCTTCTTCAGATTGTCCTTGCCACAGTTCTCGTAAGTGTCCAGTGCTTCCACCACCTCAGCCGTGAAGCCAACGACGCCTTCGAACATGGAAAAGATCTCCTGGAATCCTTTGGCGCCATCTTCCTGCCGTACCTGATCCGCCAGTTCTTCGGCCATCAGAGTGCGAAGGGGTGAGCCTGGCACAGTGTTTTCGAACGCGAGTTTTGCTGTTCGGAGATCTAGCACGTTCGTCTCCAGGTGGACAATGATTTCCAGCATCAGGTCGTCCTGGAAATCCTTGATATCGTACTTGTCGCCCATGATCCAGGCTTGAACGAATGTCTCAGTGCGAAAGTTGCAGCGCGGAGTTGGCACATTGCCCTTGGCCTTCCACCAAAGCAGCATGATCCAAGAGCCAGCGTTGTCGTCGGGGAAGCGAAGTGTGTCTGGAGGGTCGCCTCCGAGATGCTGATGTTGCAGAGCTTTTACAAAGACGGGGGACGTGTTGATAAGCGTCGACTCTGGGATTTGGCAGGCGTCCGTGTTCTTGCCAATGTATACGTCTATGATGCGGTCGACTCGAAGGCCCCTGCGAAGTAAGGTGTCAGTTCACGAAGACCAGTAGAGCTGGGAACCGACTCACGCCACGAAAGCCATCATCTCCAGGTGCGATGGCTCAGAGCTTGTCGCGCCTGTTGTGTTCGCACTGTCTTCTGCCATTATGGTTGCGGGCAGACTGGAATGGATCCTGAATAGGCGGAAAGCCAAACCAGTAGTCCAGTAGTGAAGTTGCGATGAACGCCAGATAGTTCGTTCTCTTTCGAGAGCGGCAGACATGACCCACGCGCTTGTTCCAACGTCACTTCATCTAAGCATTCGCTCATTGAGATGGGGTTTCTCGGATTGCGGTGATACACCGAGCCTCCTCTTACCAGCCGTCTCAAATACTGAAAATGCTGTGCTCAGAAGCATCAGCAAATCTCCACAGCCCACTCTCCTCTGCCGCCTTCTTCACACTGTCCACCTCATCCATTTTCACAGCCCGATTGATCTCCTCGTACCTCACCTGCTTCTTCCCCTGCTCACCAGCAGCCTGTCCACCCGGCTCTACCATCCCCTCTGCAACATCCTCCGCTCTGCCAATCCTCGACCGCTTCTCCTTTCCAACATGCGCACGCGGGTGATACTGATCCATAATGTGCACATAGAGATCCTTGCTCACGTTCTCGGAGAGCCACCGAACAATGTGCTTGCCTTCCTCCTCGAAGCCGGGCATGACCAGATGCCGTAGTAGTACACCCTTTTTGGCAATGCCATCAGAGGTGAAGCAAAGGTCACCGACCTGATCGTGCATCGCTTTGATGCTCTCCATCGCGACAGTAGCATAGTCGTCTGCTTTCAACAGCCGCTGGGAAGTTTTGGCATTCCAGACCTTGAAGTCTGGCAGATATATATCAACCAAGCCGTCCAGCAGTTCTATAGAAGCCAGCGAGTCGAACGAAGAGGTGTTGTAGATGATCGGTACTTTCAGGCCAAGCTCCTTCGCATGCAAAATCGACAGAGCGACTTGAGGCACAACGTGCTCCGGCGTAACAAGATTGATGTTGTGCACGCCACCGACGTCCTGGAGCTTGATATACCAGTCTGCGAGTTCCTCAGGCGATAAGTGGAAGCCATTCTTCTGGTGCGCTATGTCGTGGTTCTGGCAGAAGACCTAACGCGGGATGTCAGCAGCAGCTCCCTACGTGATACGTATCTAAGTCGTTCGATAACAGGGAATGCGACGGCTCTTGTGTACTCCATTCAGGAAACTCAAGCGTCTTGCGAGTCTGTTCAACGTCTCGGTCTAACGTCGAAGCAGAGGCACATCGTACAATCCACACTACTCGTCGATGAGACTTACGCATCGTAGATTGCAACCGGAGAAGAAGACGCTGCCACTGCCATTACGCCCTTGAATAGTAGGTTCCTCGCCGAAATGGGGCGCCACCGTGTTTACCACTACGTCACTCCCTATTAAGCATGTCCCAGTTCGTTCGAATCTGTTGACGCCGCAAAGACGAGGGCAGAGGTTACAGTTCCGAAGATGCGCGTACGCCTCGCTACGTTTCCTTGCTTCTTGTTGAGCCGTGAGTAGTTGATATCGCGGGATGTAGGTGTCCAGGAGGAACTGAGGAGCCAGTGCCGACTTTGCGCGGTGTTGCCCACGTCTGAAGGACTGAGCGACAGAATTAATCTGGCTGCAACGAGCTGATCGCAGCACCATGCTGCCTGCTCTTATTCCGAGCATTGTGTGCCATCAGACGCCTTTCGGTAGTGATGACATTGGTGAGATAGTTGTTGATAACGAAGTGGCGGCTTCCCACATCATCACCACCAAGACCCCACCGCGGGATTACCAAGCAGCAGATATGACCTCAAACTTTTGCTCAATCTCTCTTCCATTCTGTTCCCTCTGAATCACAGTCATACAGTCTTGCGCGAGGAACGACTACAGCGCATCGAACTCCACGATAGTCATGGCTCCATCACTCGAAGAGCCGATACAGCCAGTCGACGACGCCCTCGATTCGCACCTTCGGAAGCAGCCCGCTTTGAAAGCAGCTCCCCCAGAACACTGTCCTGGTCCTGAAAGTGAACAGGCGGGCAAGCAAGATGCCTGCGCGGGGTGTCCTAACCAGGCGATCTGCGCCTCTGCCCCCAAAGGACCCGACCCGGATATACCTATCATCACCGAGCGACTGTCGGGCGTGAAGCATAAGATACTAGTACTAAGTGGCAAGGGTGGTGTGGGCAAGAGCACTTTCACGACCATGCTGGCGCATGCATTCGCAAGCAATGCAGAGAACGTGGTCGGAGTCATGGACACAGATATCTGCGGTCCAAGCATACCCAAGATGATGGGCGTGGAGACCGAGACGATACACGTCAGCAGCACAGGTTGGGAGCCGGTATGGGTCAGTGAGAACTTGGGCGTCATGAGCGTGCAGTTCATGCTGCCAAACCGGGACGATGCTGTGATCTGGAGAGGACCGAAGAAGAATGGGCTGATCAAGCAGTTCCTGAAAGATGTGGAATGGGGTGAGATGGACTACTTGGTCGTCGATACGCCTCCTGGAACGAGCGATGAGCACCTCAGTGTCAACAGCTTTTTGAAAGAGAGCGGTGTCGATGGAGCAGTACTGGTGACAACTCCACAGGAAGTCAGTCTACTGGACGTCAGGAAGGAGATTGACTTTTGTCGCAAGGCTGGCATACCCATTCTAGGACTCGTGGAGAACATGTCTGGCTTCGTATGCCCGAAGTGTACGCATCAGTCGGAGATCTTTCGACCGACGACTGGTGGTGGTAGACAGCTTGCCAAGGATACCAACATTCCTTTCTTGGGCGCTGTGCCTCTTGACCCACGCATAGGCATGAGTTGCGACTATGGTGAGAGCTTCTTCGACAACTTCGGGGACTCGCCTGCTTGCGAGGCCTTGCGAGACGTCGTACGTAACGTGGCCGAAGTTCTGGGGATGAAGGGCGAGGATGTATTGCCGCTGGACGATTGACCTGGACGACTAAGCCGCGAGACCTTTTTCTCGTCGATTGAAACCGATAGCATGGCTTCGTACACCTTGTCTAAAGCAATGTCCCAGCTCAGCGATGACGGCCGAGTATGTACGGCATGGGATGCGGCCCTGCTAGCAGTACCTCCATCCGCGATGAACCACAACTTTCCAGGCCATTGTCCGAGCGGATTCGAGCAGACTAAGGACTTTTACGTGGAAGCGGTCCTCAAGAGCCTCTGCGTCACCTTCGAGCGGTGTTTCCGTGGTTGCAGAGTCCTCAAAAGCTGGCCTGAGCTTGGCAAACCTTGAGTGGTTGCTTGTCACTGGTTCGACCACCCAAAGGAGCTTCCATAATGATTACCACACTTCACTCTGGACCACCCAACAATTTTGCTTCCCCTCTCAAGTGCTTGGTACGAAGTTAACATCTTCCTGGTACTGTGACACTCTGGAACATCATACAGTCGCCCACCCCAATATCGGAATCAACCCATGGTCAGCACGTCTCTGTTGAAGAAGGCCCCGTCATGCCTGTCTGCCTCCAGTTCCTTCGCACCTCATCCGCAACAGCAGTCAGTCATGCTGGTGATAGATTATATATGGCGCTGGTCCAAGAAGTCATCGACATGTTCCGAATCCCTTCCGAGATATTCACATTCGAGGACCTAGACGACATCCCCTCCGATTGCGAACCGTCCTACGAACCGTCTAGCGACGAGCACGAGAACCCGAGCGATGGTGAATCAAAGGTCTCCGAAGATTCCGATGACCTCTACGACTCGAGCGACTCTGAAGGCTGCCCGGATGTTGAAGACTGTACTATGAACAGTCAGTTGAAACTCGGCGAAGTCAGTGGGCTCAGCAATCGACATCGCAACAAGAGCAGCCTGATGCTGTTGGCTTCCGCTCGTTCTCGCGCCCCGAAGATGAAAGTACGGCCTCCGCCAAAGACTGAGGAAGAAATTGCACTTCGAGAATTGCGCATCCACCGGAAGAAGGAAAAGCGAGAGCTTGCCTGTTTTCGGCAGGAGGTCGAGGACAGGATGGAAACATATCACACTTCGGTTATTCACAATCCAAAGATGGAACACATCTTGCAAGGCGACCGCAACTCAACCAAAGCCGTGGTCCTCGCAAAGGCGAACAACCCGATCTTCCTCCGACTCACCATCGCAGAAGTCGTTGAATACGCCGATGTTCTGGCGGCCGAAATCCAAAGGCTCGATCCTGGAGGTTGGCCTGCAAGGAGTACAGCGGCCCGACATTGCGATCAGAAGTCTCTGTTCAGGCGTACCAGACGGTCTTTGGACCGTATTGAACAACTATGCAGCGAGAAGAACGCCAAGGAGCGGGCGAGGTTGAAAGAGGAGGCTAGGGCACGGTTCAGGAAGGATAGCATGTTAGATCAATGAACTGGAATGTGGCACGTGTCAAGCTCGCTGGCATGTCCTTTGTTCCGACTTCAAGCTTTCCCGCTCGGGTTTCTACACACGATCTCACACTGAACGGCAAGTGCACTTGCGACGTCTACAGAGCTGCTGGAGATGATAGCAGACGATGCTAAACCAAGACGGATCCTTTCGTGAACAGCCTGACTGCGTATTGCTATCACGTAGACCTGGCTATTCTGAGACACAGTAAGGACAATGAAAAGGTCGCTTTGTCCGCGTCCGGTAGCTTTGGTCGACTTGGCCCGACGAATTGCTATGATGTCGAGCATCAAAGAACCGGTCTCGAGACGCTTCCAACTGACCTGCTCGTAGATAGCCATCGATCACCATCAGCACCCTAGCCTACCTCATGCCATCGTGTGACGAGGGACACTGCCTGAGCAATTCAATTAACTCCTCAGAGCGAAGCCATCGGTTCCCGGTTCTTAGGCGCTCCACTCACGTCTTGAGGACGACCAGGAGTGCGACATGCTCTACGCCGACCAGCAACTGGACCTCCGTGACCTTGTCCACCAGCAGTACAGCTACTATGCCCGAGAGCTTGGCAACACCCACAAAGCGCTCAGCACACAATACATGAGGCTTGCCGAGCTTCAGAAGAAACTGGATGAGCGGGAAGAACGACAGCTGTCAAGAAAGGTTAAGAAGAAGACTCAGTGGTCGCGTGCTTTGACCAAGAAAGCGATCGAGAGCCTCGAATCGCAGCAGGCTTGGTTGTATGCCTACCTATGTCAGTGTTATTACGTTTTATCTACGTATGAGAGCGATGGACACAATGCAACACCAACACCGCCCGGCTTTGATGCAACGACAATGCCGATCTTTGACAATCGCGAGACGTATGGATGTACGACACCTGCACATTTTGAAGACACGGGCCGAATGCGGTACTGGGACCACTCGATGATGACAGAACGACGAATGTCCTCTCCATACGGTTCTTCGACAGACTTGGGCTTCTTCGAATCTCCTACGCATCACCCTCTGCCGTGGGACAGCGGCCAGTCGCTGTTGTTCCCAAATGTCTACCAGAACACGGATCCGTGGTCTGGGGATGCACCACGGGCCTCCTTGAGCACACTTTCGTCATCTTCTGAAAGGGACGTTGTGCCCGAGATGATCAACCCAGCACCGCCTCCTTCAACCATGAAACCAAGGAAGCGACGCTACTCTGAGAACGCTATACAGCTCATCGAGAGTCGGCTCCCGGCGACGAAGACACATCGCAGAGGCCAAAGCGTTGATCATATATCTGCGTCTTCTCGGACACTCTCGGTCGGCCACGTTGCCGGAGAGTTCGGCATGATCGAGAAACGATAGCAGTCATTGTGTCGCCATCACCCGTACATAAGCTTTTTTAACGCAGAAAACGGCTCACATACTCACAGTTCCGTTCCCAAAGCTGCATGTCCTGCGCTACATGTGCTGTCCACGGCACGTTGCTTCCGCAAGCCCTGTCCCCTGCCCTTGATGCATCTCACAACCCACACACCTGTTTTGCAATCAGATGCCTAACCCAAGGACCAGGGTCGCACCCCTCTGTCCCTGCGAACAGCGTTCGGTTGCTCGGCCGTTGTGTAACGGTGGCGTTCGGCTGTGGTCTGAAACATCCAACAGTGCATCCCTCCTTCCACCTGTCAAATATGTCATGCGAATTGTCCTCTTGAGAACGATTGGTATCCGATTAGGCATGTGATACGCTTCTGAGCGTTGCAGTATCGTCACATAGATGAGCACAGCGACCAGAACGGCAGTGGAACGACCAAACGACCGATCCGGCTTCATGCGGCCTCTAATGGCGACGACGTGATGGTATGCGAAACGTCAATCGACAACGAAGGCGCATCTGTCAAATGCAAAGGCGTCGTCGCAACGTTTAGTCATGCCTCTCACTGTCCATCGATCGACAGCTTCTCGAAGCGCCTAAGGACCTGTCATTCGTCACCCACCGTCAGCCACAACGATGCAAACGATCTGGACGTTCGTAAACCGGTAGCTGGGCCCGTGGAAGTGTAGATCCGGATGCAGCCTTGCTTGAGTCGGAGCGACGTTGAAACGACTGCATCCAGAAATGCTCCGGTCTCTGGTCCCTGCGTTGGGCTTGACAGGTAACGGTTCTGACTACGTCTGCCGAACTCCATAGCAAGCTGCATACGGTGAAAAAGAAAACAGCATCGTGTCTGCACGATCTGAACACTGCGTGGAGAGGATGGAGAATGTTGGAGTCGTGGTGAGACGGAATGTGACATGCTCATGTACCTCCTCGCTCAAAGACCGATACTGTAACAATTGGCAAGACAGTTTCACTTCACTACTCGTCACTCTTCCCATATCGATGCCCCGGGACTCCACTTTCGACAACCGTTCTTGCTTCACAGTTTGGTGCAACGTTGGCCTCGCCGTTTGCGATGAGGGACCTTGCAGATATCCTTGCACACGTCTTGAAACCTAGTTTAGCAAACAGATATAAGAAGAAGACCTTTCTCGTGGCCTTCGTCACACCTGGGAGTTACCTTATCTGCCGACGACAGCCGTCACGTTTGAACTGTGTCTTGTTCCTCAACTTCACCTGACGCGCCTTCCAGCAGACCAAGTGAAGTTCTCGGGCATCCGGTAACCGCGAACGAGCATGAGATGTGTTGAATGAAGAGACTGTCTTTGCCGAATCTGCGACTTACCTCTCGGATCAGACATTGAATAACGACCACACTCGCCGTCACCATGACGACTCCAAGGCCTCCTGTCGACAACCCACCTGCATTTTTACCACCTAGGCGACCATCTTCACTACCGAACCTCACGACATCCGGATCAGCATGGCCAATTCCGAGCCCACGACCTGTCAGAGTATCACCGAACTCACCACTACCATTGCTACCACTTCGCCACCCGTCGCCAAGTAGGCCAACACCAGGCCGGCCGGCCTCAATACAGAGCGTCTCGACCGCTGATCTCTCCCGACACAACTCTGACAGCTCGACCAGGCATCACCGCCCACAGAGCGTCCTTGAGCCTATCCGTGATGGCGAGCCACTCAAAACCACGCCAGCATCGAAGGCCATCCAAAGGCTATCGACGATGCCCAGACAGTTGTCGTTGAGGACGATGACCAGACCGTCGGACGACGAGTTGCGGCCTCCGATGCTGCCTCCAGCTCTTCCCACCTCTCGGTCTGCGCCACACATCAGGCTCGAGAGACTACGACCTGTCACACACCCGTCTTCTTCTTTCGATGGGCAGCCCGCGCAACCGCACATCAACCCTCGAGACCTGGAAACACTTCTCGACGGCTACAACGAGAAGCAAAATCAACCTTCGCAGCCGTCAAGCCGTCCATCAACTCCAGTGCTCAGCCCAAAGCCAAGGAGATCGTTCGTTCGGCTCTCCAGTTTGGACAACCTGATGACCTACCGCGAGGAGATGGCTGAATGGAGGAGATTATCCAGATCATCATCACTGCGCAGACCAGGCGCTCCGGACCCATATTCGGAGGACGCCAATGGCGAGCACAGGAAGACCTTCGCACTTCTGGACGATTCGGCGACCTCCAGTATCCAGGACGAGAACATGCGTGCGAGCACTGTGGCCGGCTCTGAAGACGGCAACGACGATGCCAATAGGCACCAAACCACTACCCCAGCCATCAAACGCAGCAAGTTCCGCCATCGTGCCGCTGAAATCGGCTTCTGCTTCACCATCGCCATGACGCAGTTCCTCGCCGAATATCTGATCTCCGGCTTCGCGATCGAGCTCCCTAGGCTAGTTGGCGGGCCAGGCGGAAGCGAGTCGATGGGAATCTTCTGGCCAGCATCGTTGCTGTCGCTCATCTTGAGCGCCACGCTGTTCCTCTTCGCGAGGTTGTCGGACATGTACTCCGGATACTTCATCTTCATGTCCGGTGTTGCGTGGCTCGCAATCTGGACAATCATCCCGGGATTCTGTCGAGACATCATCTGGCTAGACGTCTCGCGAGCGATGCAGGGACTTGCCATTGCTGCGTTCACGCCGTCCACGTTCTCCCTGGTCGGAGGGATTTATCCTGAAGGGCCGAGGAGGAACTTCGTGATGGGACTGTACTCCGGTTGTGCTCCAATGGGCTTCTTTGCTGGCTTCCTGACTGCTGGTGCTCTGCCTGTCGACAAGCCGCAGTGGTTCTTCTTCATTGCGGCAATTCTGGCGGCAACGACCTTTCTCACTGCATTCCTCTCATGCCCGACTGATAGAGTAGACAGGAAGAAGCTTGGCCTCAAGATGGACTGGATCGGAGCCTTCTTGATCATGTCTGGTCTGATCCTGGTGTCGTACGCACTGGCCGTGGAGCCGTATGCGAACCAGCATCGCCAGGACAGGAGCTCCTTCGCTTTTCCCATCGTCATCGGCCCGTTCTCCTCTGGTATGTTCTGCTTGGCTGCGGCGTTCTGGTACGAAGGATGGCGCGCCACCTGCCCACTCTTGCCATTCGACTTCTTCAAGCCGAAGAGCGTCAAGCCGTTCGCACTGGCCTGTCTGTTCTTCTATGCCAGCTATGGAGTCTGGCTGTACAACTCAGCTCAGTACCTCAAAAGTCCAACAACGGCGGCCGGAGGGATTGGGAGGAGTGGCATGACACTCGCGTTATGGTACACACCCACGGCGGTTGGCGGCATCATCCTCTGCATTATCGGCGGATCACTGGTGCACATCGTCCCGATCATGGTGCTGCTGTTGCTGTCGGCCGTCGCCTGGGTTGCCGCGCCGCTGCTGCTCGCTTTGGCTCCTCTACCGCTCAACTACTGGTCCTTCGTCATGCCATCGATGCTGTGCGCTACTGTTGGAATCGACCTGACCTTCACAGTATCCATCGTCTTCTTCTCATCGGTCCAGCCAATACGGTACCAGGGCTTGTCGGGTGCGGTCTGCTCGAGCTTGGTCAATCTGGCCATGTCATTCGCACTTTCGATTTCCGAAATTGTGATGAAGCAAACAAGCAGCACGCGGACTCTGCCGAAGGATGCCACCAACTGGGGATACAAAGCAACGTTCCTCTACGCAGCTGCATCTGCTGGCGTCGGCCTGGTGCTCTGTGTCGCGTTTGTCAAAATCTCACGCGCCGTGGTACAGCAGCAGCCCCTGGACGAAGAACGACAGCTCGGACCTACCTTGTCCGACTCAACTCTCGTGGAAGGGGATGAAGAGCGTCATGGGGGGCATGCTTGATAGCGGACTGGAGAAAAGAGGATTAGATTGACAGTCCGCAAGGACAACATTGTTAACATTACGAGACGCGTTCATGTAAAGAGTACTGGCATGGGCGTGGGAGCAGACTGAATCCTGGGAGCTTTGGAGAGGACTGCATTATTTTATGATGGCATTGTTCAGCGTGGTGTCCATTGGACGCGGCGGTTCCACAGCATACTGGCGAGCTGTATGTACAGAGTCGATCGAGGTACGGAGGTAGAGCAGCGCCCTGTGGTGGGGTGAGCAAACATCATTTAACCGAGCATGTGATATCCATGTTTCCATTGGAGTTGACGGCTTCCGCGGATGGATACACTGCTCCGCCGTGTCCGCTAATAAGGGTGAGGTGTGGATCGAGTGAGTTTGGTTCCAAGAAGTAGTGGCCTGTTCTATCTGGTGATTGTGAGCCTCAGATGTTGTTCGTCTCGTCTTCGTTCTGGAGGTCTAGAAAAGCACACGTTGATGCTGTGATCACTGTAGACAGAAAGAACGAGCGAGCACGTCAGTATCACATGCAATGATCCGGTGTGATGGAAGTACAGAGTACAAGAACAAACCCCCATGACTTTCGACCAGGGGGCACGTCATGCTGCCCACCACCTCGCTGCCCACCTCGCCAAGCCCTCGCAACAGACACCTCCGAGCAAGATGCAGCCTATGATGTTGTGTTTTGACGACACAACTGCCGGCCTGGCGGGTGGCAGAACAACATTCACTGCAAAAGCGACGATTCACCTGATCGTGCGGGGACTGCCGTTCAGATGTTCCTCAATAAAGACTTCAATGCGGTACATGTAATTTTCCGTTCTTCATCTCACCTCTCAGCCACTCTCTATACCTCTACCTTCCGTTTCTTACCACCACGCCCGCACGGCACTGATCCACAAGCATGAGCCAGCCGGAGGGCAGCACCGGTATAGACGCCGGTGGGCTTCGAGAAAGACTACCACAGAAACCTGATGCCCCGCAGAAGGCCGAGTCCGCGGAGACTGCCCAAGAAGCAGTGAGACAACTGAACGAGGAAGAAGTGAAGAAAGGCAAAGACGAGAAGAACACACGGACATATGGACGGACACCCGATGGCACAGGTGAGTACCTCGCGTACTCAGGACCTGCTCGCCCTTCCTGCACTGTACTCGTAGCGTGTAGTTCAAGTGCATGTATCAGCTAATACTTTCCCGTGTAGTCTTCACTGTGCCTCACACCGAGGACATGGTCTCACAGCTGTTCGACCCCACGCAGCCAAAGAACGCGTCCGACTTTGCTATTGTGTTGTCGTTAGGCTCGATGTGTCTGCTGTTCTACCTGCTGCCCCAGAAATGGCGGATACCCACGTTCGCTGTGACGACCATCTTCTGGAGACTGTGCTATAATGCCGGCATAGGATGGCTCCTCCACAGCCAATCCCACCACAAGCGCCTTGTAATCTGGGCGAAGAAGTCCAAGATCTTCGAGAACCCGGAATCCGGAAACCAGCCTCGTCCCGGATTGTATAAGTTCTTGAAGCGTGAAATGGAAGCCAAGATTCCCAAGGACTACAAGTTCGAGGACGCGCCACTGGAATACAACACCTGGCTCTTGTTTCGCCGAGTAGTCGACCTGATCCTGATGAGCGACTTCACTTCCTACTGCCTCTTCGCTCTTGCGTGCGGCGGCCTGCCGGAAGGTGAGAAGCTGCCAATGACCATCGCTCGCTGGATTGGCGGCTGGCTTCTGGTAGCTTTCAATTTGTGGGTGAAGCTTGATGCGCACCGCGTCGTCAAGGACTTTGCATGGTACTGGGGCGACTTCTTCTACCTCATTGACCAGGAGCTCACTTTCGATGGAGTCTTCGAGCTGGCACCACATCCGATGTACTCGGTCGGTTATGCTGGCTACTACGGGATCTCGATGATGGCGGCGAGCTACAATGTGCTGTTCATCTCGATCTTCGCACATGCGCTACAGATGGTCTTCCTCTCCATCGTCGAGAGTCCCCACATCGAAAAGACTTACAACACGCCACCCCCGATCAAGCGACCTGACTCACCAACTGAGACGCCCATTGAGCAGCAGGTGCGGCCGCAATACAAGTCTCGGTTGATGAGCTCCGGCAACATCAACGAGTATCCTCCGATCACTTCAAGCGGCAAGCCATCACAAGTCCATAATCTCCTTGGCTGGCAGAACATCGATCTTCACCGTGTCACGGATGTTTCGGTAATCGTCATGCAGCTACTGATGTACACACTGGCCATCCTATCACCGCCAACCCGCACATGGCAAGCCTTCTTCGTCGGCAGCGCCATAATCTGGCGACTGTGGTTCTCCATCGGCATCGGCATCCTCCTGGACAGACAATCAACTCAGAAGGCCTGGACCCGCCACTTCGTCAAGTACGGCGAGAGCGCTGAAGAAGCCTGGCGGCAATGGAAGGGAATCTACCATATCACCACCATAATGTGCTACACCAGCTTTGTCTGCGCTGCGTGGAAGATGTATGGCCTTCCCGAGGACTGGACTTACGGCATGTCGACTCTGAGGCACGTTATTGGTGTGGCTTTGATGGCTTTGCAGATTTGGACGACTACTGAGATCTACGAATCGTGAGTATCTACTTTCTACTCCTATTTGAATCCCCGCTAACTGAACTACAGCCTTGGAGAATTCGGCTGGTTCTTCGGCGACTTCTTCTTCGACGAAGCGCCCAAGCTCAACTACAGCGGCATCTATCGCTTCCTCAACAACCCCGAACGCACCATTGGCCTCGCCGGTGTCTGGGGCGCCGCCATCATCACGTGGAGCAAAGCCATCTTCTTCCTCGCCCTGCTCAGCCACGGCCTCACGCTCTGCTTCATCCAGTTCGTCGAGCGCCCACACATGCAGAAGCTCTACCGCCAATCCATCCGCGAGACCTCCGGCGTCTCCAAGAACCTGCAGACCGTCATCCCCTCGCCCATCCAGAAATGGTCTGGCAGTGTCGACCGAGCATTAGACGAAAGCTTCGGCTTCGTGGAAGATCTCCTCGACGCCGCACGTCCTAAGCTCACAAAAGGCTTCAACCACTTTGTCAAAGACTCACGCTCCCTCTTCAAGCAATTCCCCGCCCGCATCAGCATCAAGCGCCTCGCCCCAGACCTCGAAGGCTACGACCCCGACGACTACTCCCTCCAAATCGACATGACGCAACCCGGCATCTCATCCGGTGAGCAAGCGCACAGCGGCCGCGAAGGCCAAGACGGCCAGTTCCCGCAAAAGCGCAAAGACAGTTTCCGCCGTCTGGTCGTCGAGTACGGCGCTCCGATCAAAGTCAAGTGGACCGGGCCGTTGAACCACAGCAAATCAGACTGGATCGGACTTTACATGGTCGCGGACAACGCCAGCAGGGAAATCACCAAAGTCTCCTCGCAAGGCCGGTGGATCGCTACGAACAAGGAGCGTCTCAACTACGGCAACGCAGACACCGGCATCCTAGTCTCCGACCAACGCGTCTCTGGCCAACAGCGCACCGACGGCGAAACCAAAGACTTCCTATCCGGCGAAGTCGAATTCTCCGGCGACAAGCTCTGGTGGACCTCGGGCGTCTTCGAGTTCCGTTACCACCACGACGGCAAATACAACGTCATGGCCATCTCTCTGCCGTTCGAAATCCGTATCCCGCACTTCCCCTCCGACGCCCAAGAGAACACGATCGAGGAATTCGACTTCTCTACCCCCGTCTCCCGGTCCGCCGTCGAAGACTCCCTCTTACCTGTCGTACAGAACTGCTTCGACCGCGACCCGGACGTCGCGCCACGAACAGTCGATGAGCATTTCGGCCCGACGCTGGAGCGGGAGGGCAAGTACGCGATGCGCGTCGTCTACGCCGTGAGCAGGATGTTCGGCATCGAGTTCGCGCCGGAGGTGGTGCAGGCGGATGGGACGGTAAGGAATTTGAGCTGGCGGATTTGCGGGGCGAAGAAAGTGTTGGCGCCTTATAGTATGCGGAAGGGGACGGGGGCGGGGACGCCGACGGAGAAGGAGTGAATGAGCAGATAGATGCTACACGGTATAACAGTGGGCATACAGAGATATGAGACTTGGCACGCAACTGCCGAGCGAGTGAGGGTGGTGCATTTGTGTTTGGGATACCCCATGAGGCTGACACGGCCGACGGATGTGATACATGAACATGAATACGAAAAGGATTGTGGAAAATTGGGATGTATAGTTGAGCGCTGAACACACAAAAGTCGCTCCTTTACACTTCGGATCGGTGATATTGAACATTACTTCATACTTTCGTGCCTGATGCTTCGTTGAGTGATTGTACATTATGCTTCATGCAATGATCGTTTCCTTCTGTCAGCTCATGCCTCCTCTCCCAGCTCGAGACAGTGACAGACTGACTCAGTAACACCGATGCAGCAGAGCTCAGATGTACTCCGGACAGAGGTACACGTCCGCGCAGCTCTTCGGGGCTGGGTAGTCGTCGTAGTAGCTCAGGCGGAAGAAGAGCTGCGGAACGCCGTGCCCTGTCAAACAAGCGTTAGCATCACTACCCTTAGGTCCTTGAGAGGGTGTACATACACCAATCACACACCAGCCACCCTCCGAACTCATTCGTCGGGCTCTTCGGCCTCGCCTCTGGATTGCTCGCTATGTCATGTCAGCTTACTACCCTCGCCACTCAAGAGCACGAAGGTGACTACTCACTCCACTGCAGCCCCGTCCCGTTGAACCAGAACCCACTGTCGCCCTCCGGATCGCTCGGTCCTTCGCCAGCGTTGACCTGCACAGGCTGCCAGCCAGAGTAGAACTCGACATTGCCGGCCATGATGAGGGACCAGCCGAAGTCGGTGCCGAGGTCGAAGACGACGTTTTGGTCTGCAAAACTCATCATCAGTACAGATTCTCCCGTGGCGAATTCGAGTGGAGGAAGGAGAGACTTACACTTGATGTCTCCCTCACGACCGTTGGTCCCGTTGAGGAAGCCTTTGATGCCGCTCTTCTTCTTGGGCACTAGGACGGCATCGTCGAGACCGGCGCCGGTGTGCTTTTCGAACATTAGATCCGTGGGGCTGGTGATTGACTCTTGGTTGGGGGTTACTTACGTAGGCTTCGAGGTAGAGGTCGCTGTAAGCTGCCTTGCCCTTCTGGCCGGGTTTGACATGGGTCTTGAGGCGGAACTCTTGGGTGGTGTTCTTGACTGCTTCGGCGGTGGTGAGGAGGGTGAGGGCTGCGGCGGCGAGGGTGGGGAGCTTCATGGTGGGTGCTGTGCTTGGGGTGGAATGGGTGACGTATGAGATATCGAGGGTGCTTTGAGGTCTTGTTGTTGGAGAGGTGAGAAGTGAGGAGGATGAGAATGTGAAGCAGATGACGAGTTGAAGGATGGAAGGTTCAGACGCAAGGAAGGCGCCCTTGGGGAAGCTATATCGAGCCCAGTAGCTCTTGCCTTACTTCTTCTCACAAACGGAAGTCATGTGGCACCATCGTCCTTGAATCTCGGCTTCGTACGTCACTGGGCTGATACGTGCGCTTGTGAGGTGGAAGAGATGGAGAGATGCTGCACCCATCCGCGTGGTACATGTAAGCCATCGTCGTGCCTGCCCTTGCTGAGAGTATTGCTTCGTGTCAGACTGCTTCTTCTCCGCGGCAGCGAGCATCCGCGCTATCGAATGGATACGAGCAGGTGTGGTAAGGCGGGAGGGGTAGGTGCGATCCAGTCACGCATCGGTGCCTGCTAGAGAAGGTGAAGCTTCATCTAAGCTCACTTTACGCCACTTCTCCCGACACGTGATCGCGTCAATATCGCGTTCGTCAATTAACCCAATCCGGACTCTCACTCCACCACACTCACTACCAACGACCACCCCTCCCAATGGACGGCGCATACGACATACCGGACCCTACAGACTGGCTGGAGACACCGCTGAAAGACTTCTCACCTCTCGAAAGCGCGCTGCATTGCGACATATGCAAAGAGTTCTACGAAACGCCGATGATCACGTCCTGTTGTCACACCTTTTGCTCGAAATGCATACGAACCTGTCTGTCCGCGAATGGGAAGTGTCCGTCTTGTCAGACAGCAGATCAAGCGAGCAAGTTGCGGAATAATTGGATCCTACAGACGGTGGTGGAGCAGTTTCTGGCTGCGAGGCCGGCGGCGCTGGAAGTGGCGCGGAGGGACAAGCAATCGCAGGAGCAAGCGAAGAAGCCGGGGAAAAGGAAGAGAGCAGTGCTGGACTCGGATGATGTGGCGGAGGTAGAGCGAGATGGGAGGACTACGAGGAGCAAGAGCAGACGAATAGCTGCCTCTCAGACTTCAGAGCCAGAGACGATCGAGATCGAGGACAGCGACGGGGAGGATGCCGCCTACTCTCCAGAGAAGGAGGCAGATGATGGACTGGTAGAATGCCTCTTCGGCTGCGGCAAACGCATCAAGCCAGATCAAATGGACGCGCATCTGGACCGCTGCCAACAAGAGCAAGAAGCAGAAGCCGCAGCCAAACGCGCCAAATCCCGCACCCCCATATCCACTACCTCCCGCAATCGACCGCCCGACAAACCCGCCCCAGAACGAATATCCGAGCTCAACTACTCCCTCCTCAACGACCGCAAACTGCGCCTCAAGCTCGAAGACGCCGGCATCCCCAACACCGGCTCCCGCCAACTCCTCATCAAACGACACACCGAGTGGGTGAACCTCTGGAACGCCAACTGCGACTCCGGCGGGAAGAAGACGCAGCGCGAACTCTTACGAGATCTGGACGCGTGGGAGCGGACGCAGGGCGGAAAGGCGCCGGTGGTGAATGGGTTAAGTAGTACGATTATGCGGAAGGATTTTGATGGGGTGGGGTGGGCGAGTAGTAATAAGGATAATTTTAGCAGGTTGATCGCGGATGCGCGGAGGAAGAAGAGCAGTCCTGCCGAAGAGTCGAAGGAAGGGGGAAAAGGGACGGAGGTCGTGGATATGGTCGACGCGGAGCCCCAGCCAGGGAAAAAATTACAGACGGACGATAGGAACGGTCATGGAAGCCCGGCCGCAGCGCAGCAAGCGGATCATCCTATGGAGAACCACGACACCATACTGGAGACCACCAACGACCATACCTATGAGCAAGACCACCCCTACGAAAACAACCGCACCGCCCTCTCCTCCGTCCGCGCCAAAGTCGCCGCGGCCAACGCCAACGAGCCCATCGAACCGCACATCAACGCCGGTTTCGCCGCTCCCACCTCACCATTTTCCCCTTCACACCCCAACAACCCTACCGGCCGAGACCCTTCCTCCCTAGCTCCCTCCGGATCAGACAACCCCCCTCTCCTACAGCAATCGCACTGGGGCCAGTTGTCGCAATCGCAGCAGCAGCAGCAGCAACAACAACAGCAGGAACAGCAGCAGTGGACGACGACGACGCGCGACGAGCACCTGCTCAAAGACAACACGCGTGAAATGTGCGATTTGCAGAGGCATCACGTCTCGAGCTCTCCTATAAAAATGCCGATGTTTGCGGTGCCGAGTCGGCCGGTTTGCGACGTTGATGGCGGGGAGGCTGAGAAGTAGGCTGATGAGGAAACGGGGGAGCGGTGGGATGATGGATAGCTCGATGTTCGTATGGTACTTATGTAGAGGGGTTATGCAGCTTCTTCCCGCTGCTTCGCTGCATTCTCTTCCTCTTCTGTCTTGCTGTCCCCCTGCTGGTTCTGCTCACCAACAGGCGTCCCAGCAGCAACGACCCGATCCAACTCCGCAAACTTCCTCCTCGTCTCCTCTGCCTCCCTCTCGTCCCTCTCCTCCCTAACCTTCCTCTCTTCCTTCTCCCTCTCCTCCACCACTTTCCGTTCCTTCTCCTTCTCCCCCCTCTCCATCGCCTCAAGCTCATCCTCCACCTCCCCCTCATCCACCGTCCCAGCCGAAACCTCATTGATCGCGCCTCCAATCTCTTCTACCGTCGTCATCTCCTCCCGCAAACCATCGGCTACATCCTGCACCTTCTCCACCCCGCCCGTCTGTTTGTTCAAACTCTTGAGAGTGCTGGAAGAAGCTTCCATGACGCGCACGAGCTCGACTTGGTCAGCAGCTTGTTCGATCTTGGCGTAGATCTCTTCCATTTGGGACAAAGTCGCGGTGCGGGTATCGAGTTTCGTTTGGGTGAGTTTCTTCGAGCGGAGAGCGGATTTGGCCATGGCTGGTTGTTTTGACGTGACGGCTTCGCGGGCTTTTTGGTCGAGGGTTGAGATCTGGGCTGTGAGTTGTGTGGTTTGTGTTTCGAGAGAGGCGATGAGGGCGCGGAGGTTGGCGATGGAGACGTCTTCGTCTGTTATGGGCGAGGAATGGGGTTCGGAGGGTGAGGCGAATTTGATCGTGCCGGTTGCAGGGGAGTAGGAAATGGCGGAGCGGTCGCGGGAGAGGTGGGTTAGGAGGACGGAGAGATCGGTGGGGGAGAGATTTAGGATTTCGAGGGCTGGGGCGAAGGTGCTGGTGAAGAGGGCGGGCGTGAAAATGCGGGAGGGATGGGAGGTGGAGATCTGAGAGGCCTGGGATAGGACTGCTTTCGCGGCCGACTGTGATGGGTCAGTCAAGGTGTACAACCAGTGGAGTATGGATCAGCTTACTTCCACGTTCGCCATGACCACGAACTCCCCTTCAACCAACCGATCCTCTCCTCCCTCCCCGACCACACCTAACTGCCGCAGCGTCCAACTCACAACCTGCCAAGGCGTGGGTATCCAACTCCTCGCATACACACTCCCCTTCGCATTCAAAAACCCCTTCAACCCCACAAACTCCCTCTTCCTCACCGCCTCCTCGATCGCCGCACCGAGTGCTAAAGGTCGTCCATACTCCTGCGTCTGCAGCGCCCTAGCCAACTCCTCGCCAGATCGCAGAGTAAACGTATTAGCTTCAGCGCCTGGGGGCCCGGGGATAAGGCCTGCTTGCGCGGCGGCGGAGAGAGCGCGGATCCATGTGGTGGTGTTGGCGGTGTAGCCGTCGGGGTTGGAGGCCTTTTGGAAACGGAAGTCGGAGTAGAGGGAGGCTAGGCGGGCGCGGCTGGGTGGTTGTTAGTTGGGGATGAGGGGGGTTGGGAGGGAGGTGGATTCACCTACGGAAGGCTTCGTCGAAGTCGCGGAGGAAGTCTTGAAGCGTGGGCATGCTGTACGTACTGAACAGGCTGCACAGTGTTTACGGTTGTAGTATGAGCATGGAATCGCGAGATGAGAGTGACGTGACGTTGCGCGCTAAGCTGGAGACATGTTCGACTTTGGAAAAGACGAGATCGCTCTACTGCTCTCAGACATGTGAGCCTAAACGAAATGTTTCACAAAATTCACGTTCTCTCTAAACCAGTAAATGTGGACGATTCATATGACTAGATTGAGACACGTGAGGTGACATGTGATTTCAGCCTTTTTGCCTTGATGCCTGACAAAGCGGGACAGTCGCTCGTCATCGTCCCAAGCTCACGGCATGGCGGGCGGCAAAAGACATTCCACGTCCAGCTACAACACCTTCTCCAAACCTCACGAGACTCGTTACAAACAACCAAACAGGTACGTAAGCAGCCTCACTACAAGATCCCAGTACCACCGCCTCCCTCGCCCCCCAAAACCCCCATTCGCCACTCACCACCGAACGAGCACCGCACGGCCCGAGGCAGAGGCTCAAAGAAGCCATCGTACTCGTTTACAAATCCACCTCACCACCACCTCATCACAAACACCAGCACTTTCTAGCTTACACTCTCCCATTTACGATATCAAATCATCCTCTTCACTACATAAAACCCCTCCCTCCCCCTTCTTCACAACATCTTGAATGTCTCTCCTGCGCACATCCCTCAAACGAACCACCCAACTCACCACCGCGCGCTTTGCCTCCAGATCCACCACATCAACACCAACAGCTCTTCGACCAGCTACCCGAAGTGCCTTCACACCCCGCACAACCACTCCTACCTTCCAAACAGCTCGAACTTTCACAGCAACAATGTCCAAAGAAGGCGTCCACAACCTCCAGTCCAAGGCCGACTTCGACGCCGCCATGGGCGAGAAGGGCACGCTGATGGTCCTCGACTGCTTCGCCACGTGGTGTGGGCCGTGTAAGGTGATTGCGCCGCAGGTCGTCAAGTAAGCACCCACCAAAAAGCCCCTCAGGCGTGGCAGTCGATGCATCACGCATGAAAGCTTGCTAACCGCTCGCACAGGATGAGCGACACATACACCACCGCCCGCTTCTACAAACTCGACGTCGACGAGGTCCCCGACGTCGCGCAGGAGCTGTCCGTCCGCGCCATGCCGACGTTCATGCTGTTCAAGGACGGGGAGAAGGTGGGCGAGGTCGTGGGCGCCAACCCGACCGCGTTGGAGAATGCGATTAAGAACCATATGTAAAATACCTCACCTACGCGTATGGTGAGAGGATGGAATGATGGGAGGAGATGATATTGCATGCATGCAGCGGCGGTCTATTCGGCACGACCTGGATACGTACTGCTGTCTTGATGAGTATGAGACGAGATGAGATAGAGGACTGAAATACGGGCGCTGGCCCGATTGATGCTTCACCACATTTTAACGTCGCAATCAGACTCCGTGCAAATTGTCATTTTGAACCTTGCGATTACGTGTCCTTTCTCCAGACTCTCGAGATCTACCATACAACAAGAGGCCCGTCCCCCTCCCTTTCCCATCCCCGAGCCCAGCAGCTATAGCCAAGCAGCCCGCCCATCTTTCCTCCCCATCCCTCCTCCCCAGCGAACGCCCGTTCGAACTCAAAAAGGGGAAAAGTGGTATCGTATCGAATGAAAAGCTCCACAAACACAACAATCTCAAGCAATCCGTCCTCCATCTCCGACGCCCTCGTAGACGGTAGTTGTGACCGTCCGGCCGCGACTACGACCCAAAAGCAGCCATAATACTCGGCACAATCGCCCCCAGAGCCAAACTCCCCGCAATTCCCACCAGCGCCCTGCGCCGCAACCTCTCCTTCCGCAACTCCAACTCCGCCTTGCGCGCCCGCTTCGCCGCCGGGCCCATGCCTAGCTCCTCCCCTTCTTCCCCGAGCTCCGCGGCCTTCCTCTTTCCCCTCGTCGACCAGGCGCCGGGAGAGGTGATGCGTCGGCCGTCGACTTGGTTCGCTGCTTCGACCATTGAACGGGCTTGCTCGAGCATTCCCTCCGCTGATTCAGGGAGTTCCAGGTCAGGGTGGGAAGCGGGCATTTCGATTTTCAGGTTGGTGTGGTCGATTTCGTCGCCGTCGCCGGTGGGGGAGGGGTGGTGTTCGCTTTCGATTTGCACTTTGACGTTGTCGTTGTCGCTTGCTTCTGGTTTGGGGGATGCGGCTGAGCCATTGGCGTCTGCTGGTGCCGGCGCAGGGAGGTCGGGTTCAGTGGATTTGCCTCTCGTTTTGCGCGCTTTGCGCGGCGTGGCTTTGACCCGCGCGGGGGTCTTTTTGGCGGGCGATTCGGAGCGGGTGGCTGTCGTTGCTGGTTTCGTGGAGTTGCCGCGGGTGGAGCGGCGGCCGTCCACGACGGGTTTCTTCTTGTCGGCTTCAGGGGATTTGCTTGCGCTGGCTCGGGGGCTGCTGGTGCCGTTCATTACGTCCTTCGTCCGGAAAGTGGGAGGGGAGGTAATGAGTTTTTTGGGGTCGGAGGTGCCGTGGGTGATGGGTTCAGGGTCCAGAAGCGCATCGATCCAGATGCGGATGCCGTATTCGTCGGCTAGGGAGAGGGCTGGTCGCGAAAAGTCAGCAAACTCAACTCTCATCTAAAGTTTGCGCGCCAACGTGTTTGCGACGGAACACAATGCAAATGCGCTGCATCTCATTGGTCATCATGACGTCGACGTACCTTGTTCAGGATGGATCCAGACGTTCCCAGCAACCTCTTCACTCGAAGTGTTCTCCAGGCTCTTGATGTACTCCTTCTCCGCGTTCTCTTCCTCGACCTGCGCCCAGGGGAAGGCGGCCTTGAACATGCCCGTGGCGCTAACGTAGCCGTCGGTGGACCGTCTCTGTGGATGCGCCGTCAGTCTTGTCGTTTCCTGCGCCGTTGTTCGTATCGCGCTCGACGTACCATCAAGAAGTATGCTTCGGGCCACTTGCGATTGCCCTGCTTCGTGAAGATGCCGCTATTGGTCAAGTCGCCGGGCAGCGGGATGCGAAGGTGCGCGTAGTCCAGCTTGCCCAGGTTATCAGGCTTGGTCGCATTCGTTGTGCCGACATGGTCGGCCTTGACCTTCAATTCGGTCTGGCCGAGGCAGCGTCGCTCGACGAGAATCTCGTCTGTAGTGCGATGGCGTTAGTGGTCTGTACTGCTGACTGTGTCTTCGTGCGCCGGCTCAGGGCGATGCGACAACTCACATGCGGGCGCATTCTCGTCTTCTACCAGAGGGTTGACGTCCTCGGGGAGCTGTCTGGTGGCCATTGCGCGGGAGTATGCAAGCTCCTGTCTGCCTGTGGCTGCGCTGGGGTCTGTCTTGCTGCTGTCCGAGACACGCGCCGTTCGATCGCAATGGGCTCCACGCGTGCCGGTTTCGCGCAGACGTGGCTGTCTTCGTGTTCGCTGGTACTGGCGACTAGACTGTCGATGAAGGATGTCTTGACGATGCGACGGTAAAGCTATTGGGATAGCTGGACTGGCGTGGCGGACGACGAGCAGGGGTGGACTCGAGAGTTCGTGCGAGTCGAGTGTGGAGAAGAACTGGCGGCACGGGCTGGGCTGGCTCGCTGGGGGGAAGCAGACGTGGCTGGGATATGACCCGTGCCAAACTCAATGGTAATGAGGTAATCTGTTCCAATATACTCATACAACGACTGCGTCTGTCATGTTACATATGATGGAGTCGTACATTACATCGCCTCCAGCGTATCTCACAATCCCACGTGATGCGCCCAGTGTTCCTGCCGTGATGTGGCCATGCACAAAGGCTGAGACCCGAGAAGACGCGCCCCACTCTGCATTCGTGTTGCTCGAATTGACCTCACCCCTTCGATATTCCGCCGTAAGCAAGCAATCAGAAAGACTTCCACCCTCGTTCCCAGCAGCATAGTCTTCTACTTGTCGCCACCATGTCAGGAGTAGGCGCCAACCCCAACCCGGACGACCTGGAGCCCGAGCACACCGAAGGCTTCAAAGTCGGTGAGAAGAAGACGATTGAGGAATATCAGAACTTGGGTATGAATCCACTCTCTCATACCAATACCCACCAATGGGTGGCGAGAGCGTCTGCACTCGACCTTCACACTCTTTCCAAATCCCCTTCGACATCTCCCCAAATTCATTACTCCACCTCTCACTGACATGCGCCACAGACGCCAACGATGAATCCCTCCGCAAATGGAAACAGTCACTCGGCCTAGGCACCGGCTCCGACCTCAGCGACCCCGTAAGTCCTCCCAACCACACCAAGCCTCTGCTCTGCCATCGACTCCTGCTTACCCGCAGGTCCAAGAATGACAAACGCCGCGTCATCATCCTCTCCCTGGGCCTCGAAGTCGCCGGTCGAAGCGACATCGTCATCGACCTCTCCCAACCTGGCGCCCTCGAGGACCTCAACAAGCACCCCTTCACCATCAAAGAAGGCGCCACCTTCCGCATGAAGGCGCGTTTCAAGGTGCAGCATCAGATCTGCAGCGGGATGAAGTATGTGCAGGTGGTGTCGCGGATGGGGGTGAAGAATAAGATGCAGGAGATGATCGTATGACCTTCCCTAACCCATTTGTGCCTTGCCGTAGCGACTAATCTAAAATTCTCCCAGGGCTCTTATTCCCCCAACACGACCGATAAGCCCGAGTATGAGAAGAAGTGTTCGTCGTCTCCCCACCCTGTGTTTTCTGCCCAATAGTGCTAACATTCCACCAGTCGAGACCGAGACCGCCCCCTCGGGCATGCTAGGCCGCGGGCACTACGAAGCCGTCTCCAAGTTCGTCGACGACGACAACCAGACGCACCTGCAATTCAAGTGGGCGTTTGACATTAAGAAGGACTGGTAGTTCAAGTTCTTCATCCACCCGCCTCGGTGGTGATGAGGACGTGCTGTGAAGAGTGCATGGTGAAGGATGAAGCTTGAGTAGATGTCAACGGGCGTAGCATAGCGGTGAACTTACTGCAGACAGACACTGAATTTGGAGGTACGAATTGAGATTGAGATGAATTGCTTTCGTTAATGCCATACACGTCGTATCTTTCATGGTAGAGTAAAGCTGCCGCCAATGAGGGGAAAGGGGACGCTTGAACGCTTCAAATACCCCAAACCAAAGCACCACCGCCTCCGATGCTCCTAATGCTTCCAATGCCTTCGAACACACCTTTAGCTCAATCCTCCACTTCCCCACCCTTCCGATGCTTCAGCCCATGAATATCACTGTCCCCTCAGATTAGCACCTGTCCCCAAGATCCATACCCAAAGGTCATACATACTCAAACCGCCTAACCATCACCCCCTCCCCACCCCTCTCCAAATCCACACTAAAAACATAAAAATCCCCCCCCTCGGTCGCGACCATCACCTGCGGCACCCGCTCCCCCATCGCAACCACACATCGTACCGGCTGTCCGTTCGCTCCGCGCGGAATCCGTAGCCATGCGAAGTCCCGCTGGGGCTCCCAGATCTCGGTCACGGAGCTGGGGAGGTAGTTTGCCGCGCGCGAGACGAGGGAGGTGGAGACGCCTTGGGAGGTGCGGCGGAGGAGGGACATGAAGCCCGGTTGCTGCCGTGCTGCGCTGGTGGAAGACGGGGCGGAGGGGGAGGTAGGATCGTCGTTTAGGGTTGAGGAGGTTGCGGAGGCGGAGGGAGAGGTTGAGCGGTCGCGGCGGGAGAAGGAGGGGGAGTCGGGGGGTGAGGTTGGGGAGGTCGCAGTATTAGAGGTGTTGCCGTTGGAGGGCAGGGAGCCAGGAGGTGCCAACTTGAAGACATGCACGGTCTCCGTCGCCGAAGAAACACACAGCAAGGTCGACGTGGCGTTGAAGCTCATGCAGTAGATGCGGGCGGGCATGCTGCCGCGGCGGAACTGGTAGAGCTTCTTGCCCTCTGGTAAAGAAAAGATACGCACGACGGTGCCTTTCTCAGACGCCGTGGCCATGAGGGTGCCGTCGTTGTTGATGGCGATGTAGGAGAGCGGGGTCTGGTGGGCTTGGATAACTGTAACTTCTTCCATTTTGTTGAGGTCGTAGAGGAGGACGTCGCCACTTATGGGCTCCTTTATGACAGACTTCGGGACGTGCGATTGCGAGGGCGTGTTGTTGGACGGTTGTTTTTGGTAGTGCGGCAGGGCGAGGTAGTTGTGGTCGGAATTAGGCGAGACTGCGCAGATGCCGCCGGGGTTGAGGGGCGTGACTTGTTGGTGCAGCAGCTTCATGTTGCTGATGTCGTAAATGAAGACGATTTCTTCGAGCATGACGACCAGGCGCTTGCGGTTCATCTTGACAGCCACCACCATGCCGTGGAAGGTGAGTTCGCATATTGTGGAGTGTTTCTGCCATTTCGTCAGAGCTTCGCCCTGTCCCCTCGCTCGTGGATGTGTACCTTTGTGTTGACTATTCTCAGCAACCGCGGCGTTAATACTATCGCAACGAGGGAGGTGGAGAACAGCTGTTCGACGAGCGATATGTCCTCTTCGTAGGAGTGGTTCGTGAGCTCGAATGGGTCGGTCCCGTAGATGCGAAGGCCACGGGAGGTCGCTGCATCGCCTCAGCTATACTCTCCAGCAGTGTTCTGGCATGCGACTTACCCACAGCCAACAGACTGTGGTCCTGGTTGAAGTTGACGTAGTTAAGTCCTGCCATACTGACGTCCAACCAAGTCAAAGATCGTCGCCGGCTCGAGTTTATGAGGTCTGTGACGGTGACCTGCGTTGCCGGTGGTGCAGGAGGTCGATGTTAGCTCATCTTGCGCGTCGTCTCGTCAAAGATTGAAGGTGTCGCTGCACCCGCCATATCAACATTCACGATCTCCACAACTCGCGATGACTAGCGCCGGTTCGGAACCGCTGCAGGAGCCAAGCCACCCATGCTGTTTTGGGGGAGATCTGACGGCTAGAACTATTAATGGGTGGTTTTCAAGACAACCTCCACGCAAATACGGGACGCTGGCCTGACATTCGGATCATCCATCCCCTTCTCCTGGGCCACAACAACCTCAGCCCTTAATCCTCCAGGACGTATGTACTGGAGATGCCACCTTGATCGGAGATCTCTGGATGTTGTCATAAAAACTGTTTCCTCTGGATAGGCTCGGACTCTGCCAAAATTCCCGGGGGGTACTGTACAGCTGCTCGCGTGCACCGCATGACCACACCCCCAACCATGCCCGAGATGTCACAAAGCAACGGAGACGAAGGCGTCTCGCCCTTCCCCTCCCAACCAAAAGTCGGCACCGACTCCATCCCCTTCCACCGTGATGTCCCGGACCGCACCCGCTCCCCCAAGGCCGTGGATCCCAAGCAAAAGAAAAACGACGAGTACATCATGGACACGAACAACAGCAGCATCGTCTCCAAACGGTCCGTGGAGAAGCTCTACTATGGCGGCGAAGCAGAGTACTTTCGTTATTTTGTGAGCAAGTTCAAGCGGCGGTCGCCACTGATCAATCGCGGGTATTGGTTGCGGATGAAATCGATTGAGCATTCGGTGACGAGGTTTCTGGCGGAGCAGACGCCGAAGAGGAAAATTGTGGTGAATTTGGGGTGTGGGTATGATCCGATGCCGTTTTCGTTTTTGGGGAAGCAGCCGGAGTTGTGTGATAATACTACGTTTGTGGACGTTGATTATCCGGTGCTGATGCAGAATAAGTGTGGGATTATCTCGAATACGGAGCAGCTGCATGGGCTGTTGGAGAACTTCTACCGAACGAGCAATGAGGATGGGGTGTTGGGCGCTGGGAATCCGTATCTGGCTGTTGGATGTGACTTGCGGGATCTGGATCTGCTCAAAGAGACGTTGCAGGATGCCGTGGAGATCGAGGATGAGTCTGTCGCTATTTTATTTGTGGCAGAGGTGTCGATTGCGTACATGGACCGAGACGCATCACAGGCTGTGCTCGAATGGGCGGCAACATATCCCGATGTGCGATTCTGCCTCCTCGAGCAGCATCTTCCCGATGGCATCGAACATCCATTTGCAAGAACTATGCTTGCCCACTTCCAAAAGCTACGAACACCTCTGCACACGATCGGAACCATGGACGAGATGAGGCAACGTTTCGTCAATGCTGACTGGCCTGAGAATGCATTAGAGATGCACTCACTGTGGGAGCTGTGGTCAGAGCCGACGTTCATCAGTCCGGAGCAAAGGAGGATTCTGGACGCAATCGAGCCATTCGATGAGTGGGAAGAATTTGCGCTTTTCGCCTCGCATTACTTCCTGCTGCTAGTGGAGAGGAAAGCGGATCAAGACTACACTTACAGGCCACATCGGATGTCCCTTGCCGCGAATCGCGCTTCTCACGTACCCAGCCCAGTGGGCAGTGCTGGTTCGAGAGACGATTCTGACCCTGAGTACCGCCTCTACGTGCAGGAATTCAAGGGCTCGCAGGTGCCGCGCAGATTTGGTGCACTGATACCGCCAGCACTGCGAGGTCAGGATGGTGATGCTATAGGTCTGCATGCTGGGCTCGGAACGCAGGAGCGACTTGACGATTGTGATACATACTCCTGGTTCGACACAGCGCAAGTGATTGATGGGCCGCCGTTACGGCAGGGTATCATGTGCCATACCATCACCAGACTGGGCGGAACGAACAACTGCATGATGGTGGGTGGCAGGACATCGCCAGATAGAGCGATCGCAGACTGTTGGCTGCGGCAAGATAGCCAGTGGCAGAAAGTCGAAAGCCTACCGGAGGCTCGATATCGGCATTGCGCTGTGCCGGTCCGACTACCCACTGAGCCACGGCCAGCGCACACTCTGCTGGTGTACGGAGGTCGCACTGGAGATGGTCACGTTCTGGACGAGTGGCTACTTTGGGCTGGCGAGCAGGGGTGGACAAATCTGCGAGTGGTCGGCGATCATCCTTGTGCTCGCTTTGGCGCTGCGATGATCACGGACCACAAGGAGAGCATATCTGGAGTCATCGTTGGGGGAATGACGAGCGCTGGACGAGTGCTGAACGATTTCTGGCACTGGAACCTGCAGCCGGATATGAGCATTACTTGTCAAAACGTCTCTGCTCGCGCGATCTCGGTGCTGAAGCAGAATGCGACTATACTGGGCAGGTTCGGTGCGCAACTTGTGCGAACGGAGCATGGCATTCTGCTTGTTGGTGGTGTCGCTGGCGGACGGATGCTGACACGAAACGACGAGATTTTGAACATGCGGAGTCTGCGGCCTTTCACAGTCAAGAATGCACGACCGCTCTTCGTCGGCGCTTCAGTGCAAGAAGTCGACGGCGGCCTACTATTGCTGGGAGGCGGCGCTACCTGCTTCTCATTCGGCACCTACTGGAGCAAGAGTTGCTTCCTGAGCACCAGCTCACGACCACAAGAGGACATGGCATGGCAGCTGATTTCGAGCAAGCAGCCCGAAGTCCGCAAGACGATCATGGCATCTCCGTCGATGTCGACGCTCAACCTGCCACAGGGTGCAGATAACCGTGCTTCGGTCTTCTCCTACCATTCCGCACATTCCACCGTATCGCCTTCCTCGGCTGGGGCGAACCCTGATCGAATCTCTATACTGCCGCCGGTACCGTCGCCTTCAACCGCACGAGCATCCGCTTACTCAACTGCCTCGCCTTCCATCAGATTGGATACGCCTGCCACACCGGTGGTCAACGGCCATGGCAGCGGCCTACCTACCACTCTCAACGTGCCCAAGGTACGCCTGTCCGGCAACAACAACTTCATGAAGTACTTGGACGCTGGCCAACCCGTCATCATCTCCGGCCTCTCTTTCGGCAGCTGCACCCAATACTGGAGCAACGAATACCTCAAAGAAGCCATCGGCGCCGACCGCAAAGTCAGCGTCCACGTCTCCCAAAACGAGCGCATGGACTTCGCCAACAAGAACTTCACCTACGAAACCCGCGACTTCGGCTCCTTCCTCGACGCCGCCAACTCCGGCGAAAAACTCTACCTCCGCTCTCTCTCCCAATCCTCTCCAGCCGACACCCCCGCAAACCTGACCGACGACTTCCCCGAAATCGCCCACGACTTCTCCCTCCCCGAGGAACTCGCCTACGTCGTCGCAAACGCCCACAGCACACCCCTCCGCATCTCCGGGCCCGTAACCATGTGGCTGCACTACGACGTCATGGCCAACGTCCTCTGTCAAGTCCGCGGCACGAAGAAACTCATCCTCTTCCCACCTTCAGACGTCGCACACCTCGGTTTCGAAGCCGGCGCCTCAAGCTCTAGCCTCGACGTCTTCAGCCCCACTGCTTCAGCGGAGACACCAGCGCTCCGCAAAACGCACCCTCGCGAAGCCCTCCTCGAACCAGGCGATATCCTCTTCATCCCCTCCACCTGGCCGCACACCGCCGCCCCTACCTCTGGCATGTCCGTCAGCGTGAACTGCTTCTTCCGCAGCCTCGAGGCGCAGAAGTACGCCGCGGGACGCGATGTCTACGGCAACAGGGATCTCGCGGCTTATGAGCGGGGCAGGAAGGATGTGGCGAAGATCGTCAAGGGGTTTGAGGGCGTGCCGCCGCATGTGGGGGGGTTCTATTTGCAGCGGTTGGGGATGGAGTTGTTGGAGCAGGCGAAGAAGCAGAGGGAGGCGGCGGGGGAGGGGCTGCATGAGGTTTATGCTGAGCTGGGGTCGTAGGGTGGTGGACAGGTTTGACGGCGTTGGGAGGGTTTACGGGTGAAGAAGTCTACGACTGGTGATGGGCTGAGATGGTTTTTGTTTAGTAATGTGGGCGCTGGGAGAGTGGAGCATTAGAGAGGTGTGTGCATTGCATGTACAGTGGTCATTTGGTTGTGAAGATGTCAAGATGTAGATACTGTAGAACGAAAATCCAACATGAAGTTCACAGAAGGCCTACCGCAGAGCCAGAGCAGTCTAGATCGAAGCCTCGTCTGACGCCACCTTCGCCAAACCATGCAAACCGATATGCACGTCGTTGCCGCCAGGCCGACTTGCACATCCAGAAGGTCCTGCTCGACTCCTAACGCCGCCAGGAAGGGAGAAGCAAGCAGACATGACCTCGATGCTCACCACATGATCGCACGGTACAGATAGAATGAAAGTCCACGATCGCGATGAAATGCTCCTTCCCTCGAGCACGAAGACCGCATTGGTTGGTCCGATAGCTGCAAGCGCTAGCGGCTCACAAGTCTGGGGAAAGAGAGCAGTTGAGCTGCATGTACATGTACCTACATGATGTACCTCGATCGGCCTCGAGACGGCGTGGTGCGGAAGCTTGAGAAGCGTGGCTTGCGATGTCATTCTGCGTTGGGTTCGCGCCGTGGCGTGCTCGTGCGGAGTGGTTTGGGAAAGGCTGTGGGCGTAGGTATCTGGCTAAGCACAGCATGCGAACAAGTACATAAAAGATATGAGAATTGAGCAGTCGGTGTTGTGGTGTTGGAGCGAAGGCGTTCTTTGGGGAGGGACTTTGAGAGAAGGGTCCGGGGGTCTGGATCGCCGATACCGTTGTTTAGAGCCTCGCAGGGACGTTGGTACTGTATCTCAGGGCCTGGTAGTCCCTGCGCGAGCTCTTAGATCTCGTCGAGCAAGCCATTCCGCTCTGGTATATGGACTTGACTGATGCCGACGCTCGACTTGGAAATCGTGACCTATTGACGAGGAGCTGTATTTCATTCTGGCGTTGGAGATTCGAAAAGCATATCAAAGATTCGAGACGTTGGACCAGGAGATCGGCACACAGCAGCTCGGACTGAGTTTCACAGCTGCTGATCCGGGAGCATTAGCGGCCTCTCGCCATTGGCTTTCTCCACACCCCAGCCGCGGTGGTGGGGCAAGTGCGGGCGGGCTGATAGAGGGACCAGACACCAGCGACATCAGCTTGCGACGACGTGCAGATGGCTACCCCCCCTCCTCTGTCTGTAATTCCCACGAACCGGATGAGGATTGCTGCTTCTTGCGTGTATTACTGACAATTCGGCGGACATTGGCAAACGACTTCCTGAAACGCCACGGTAGCACAAGACACCCACGCGACAGCGACCAAAGCAGCCCAACGTGCATGCTGATACATTCCTTGCCCCTCCTGATAAGGTCCCGACAACAATTCGTCCTTCCATCTGATCAATTAATGCGTGTCTGTATATACTCTTCCTCCACGGTGCCATTGGCCCTCGTCACCACCCTCAACTGGCTTTGAGCGGCATCGCGAACCCGAAGACGCCAATGTAATGGCCACAGCCGTGTGTACGACTCTGGCGGCCACCACAGTCCCGAGCCGCACAGCTACACCACCTCCGCACCTCAGCATCAACACCTCGCAACGCGGTACGCCCGCAGCGGTGCCGAACAAACATATCCCCTTCTGTTCACCGGGTCCGAGGCCGGGTTCGCGACATGAACCAGCTACTCCTTCCCCGCTCTCGCCGGTAAAGCCAGCTTCGCTACTATATCCACCCAATGGGTTCCGGAAGCCGTTCAATGACTCGCCAGTATACTCGATCACGGCAGCGCAGCTAGAGCAGGCGCTCAATCATCTGTCCTCGCAACCGCTGCCGTCAGCACGACAGGTGTTTCCATGGATGCACGGCTTACACGCCGAGAACCAGCTCCAGCTCGCCTTCTTCATAGCACGGAAGAAGTCCCTTCGACGCACGCCGAAATGCATTCGCGGGTTGACGGTCGTCAAAGCAGGCGGAGACCTATCACACAGCAAGATCAAAGGCGCGGTCGGGCCGGAAGAGCTGCTGAAGGCTTGTCAATGCATCAAGAAGGAAAGTTGCAAGGAGTGCGATTTCTTGGACATTGATCCGAAGGATGGGTTCGGGGTCAGGAATTTCCAGATTCAGGCTTGTAAGATGGCGACGGTGAGCGATGTCGTTGTCTATGGGGATGATCGGACGCCAGCTCGGGAGGTTGCGAGAGTGGCGAGGCAGATTGCGAGGGCGCAGGCGACGTGGCAGAGGAGGATGGAGGGGCCAGGTGTGGAGGACAGGTTGTTTAATACGTTTTTGGTCGAGGGTATGTCGCTATCCATGCTCCCGATTGACATGTCGCTGACATGCGTGAAGATGATTATACGGTCATCGAGGCCGACCACCCTAACATCATCGCCCTCGACTCCGAAGGCTGCATGACGAACAAAGTCGTGGACTTCTTCCACTGGGAGCGAGTTGAGATGTGCACTATGTCGGCGCCAACAGAGATATGTCCCAACGTCTGGCTCGGCCCTACACCAGACCCAAACGTCTCCTTCGCCGCAGACGGCGAATGTCTCTTCAAGGACTTAAGCTTCGACATCCAAATCGAAGCCAATGACCTAGCACAAGTCCCAGACCCAAGGTCACTACAAGCAATGGAAGGCTTCCTCTCGCGCAAAGACAACGGCGAACTAGCCGACCACGACCTCCCCATGCTCGAGTTTCCCGGCTCTGGCGCCATCCTGCCACCTACCTGGTCCCAGACAGAAGTCGACGGCCTCATGTCCACCCTCGAGTGGATCCACCGCCAAGCGACCGGCCAGCCCTCCTCCGAAAAGAAGCAACGCCGCGACAGCAAACTCTCCCTCACCCCTCCCGGCCGTGACTCCGACGGCGACAGCTTCATGCACGCCACCGACTCAGAAAAACATCCCGGCCGCAAAATCCTCATTCACTGCGCAGACGGCTACACCGAATCCTCCCTCCTCGCGCTGGCCTACTTCATGTACGCCCACTGCGTCCCCTGCCATACCGCCTGGCTCGAACTGCACCGCGACAAAGGCCGCAACTTCTTCGCATACAGCTCTGACGTCGCGCTGCTCCGCGCGATCCAACCGCGCATCCTTCAAGCCTCGCCCAGACACTCAGGCGACCTCAAACAACTCTGCCCCACCACTCCAGACTGGATCGAGCGGATGGACGGCAGTCTACCGAGCAGGATCATGCCGTACATGTACCTAGGCAACCTCGGACACGCGAACAACCCCGCTCTGCTGAAGGAGCTGGGCATAGGCCAAATCCTCAGCGTAGGCGAGCCCGTAAGCTGGAGCAAACAAGTCATCGACGCCTGGCCGGAGGAGAATCTCCTCTTCGTCGACCGCGTGCAGGACAACGGCGTGGATCCGTTGATGGAGGAGTTTGGGCGGTGTTTGGAGTTTATCGGTTCGTTGCCACATCCCTCCGTACTCTACCGTCTGCTAACGCACGAGTATCCAGAGAACGGCCGCAAAAAAGGCACAGCAACCCTAGTGCACTGCCGCGTCGGCGTCTCCCGCAGCGCAACCATCTGCATCGCCGAAGTCATGAACGAGCTCAACCTCTCCTTCCCCCGCGCCTACTGCTTCGTGCGCGCGAGGAGGCTGAATGTCATTATTCAGCCGCATTTGCGGTTTTGGTGCGTCGTGCTTCTTCCTCTACCTACCGCGCAAGTGCTAATGGAAGAGCAGTTATGAATTGTTGAAATGGGAAGAGTTCCAATGTCAGAAGCGCGGGAGACCCGTGCGCAGGGAGTTGGAGTGGGCGAGTATTGCGAGGGAGATTGCGGCGATGAATAAGCCGTATTCGCGGCAGAACTGATTCTTCTTCGTGGAGGGACGGGGATGTGTGTTGATGTTGGAGGACGAGACGTGTTGATGTTGACGATGAGATGATTGTGTTGATGACGACGGGACTGGAAGTCGAATGTTCGACTTTGTGTGACGTGACGTGTGATGGATTTACGATCTTGTGTTTGGACTGTACTAGTTTACTATGCTTTGCGGGCTGGAACCTGTTAACGATGGTACGAGGAATTGTGTTGATGAGAAGTCTTCTTGGTTTGAAGCTGGGTCGTGAGATGTTGGGTCGTAGAGCTGCTGCTCTTGGAGTGAGGAATTGAAATTTGCCATCAACAGCGTACATGTGCTTCCTTCATATAAAACCTCTGCGTCTACCACTCTTCCACCCTCAGCATAAGGGGGAGTTCATTAGCAAGTACATTCGGCGGACATGTCCTCCAAAGCGCTTGAGAGCGGGCACAGCAGGCAATTCTCCTTGCATCAAGCAAACATCTCGAACTCATTCGACGTCAAACTCATTGAGTAGATTGCTGACTGTACTTGTACCCCTCGCCAAATGGTTATGCGATACGCTGGATTGAGGTGTAGCATCCCCGGTACCATCCAGCTGAAACAGCCCAATGTCCGTGTTTTGAGTTGGCCTATGCTCCATGAACACTTGCATGTAATCCTGGCATTGCTGCCTCTTGGTGGACGACGGCATGCTGGGAGACTGTCCTTCACGAGCGCCATTGTCAGACTCGGATGACACAAAAGTATCGCTGTAGGGTAGATCTCCGCCTGCCCGCCGTCTGTCATAGCCATCGTCGGCTTCAGGTGAACGTGGCTGAGTTATGGCCAACGCCTCCTCGAAGTACGATGGGTGGGGGTCGTCCTGCTCTGGGTCATCCTGCTCTGGGTCCCAATGACTGGTCTTTGCTGCGTCCGTCCCGGCGAACTCAGGAGCTTGCTGATAATCCTGCTCTGCTGTGCTTGACGGATGTCGAGGAGTTCTGGACATCTGTCTGCATCGTGGCTTTCGGAGTCGCGGGGAGCACAGCAACAACAGCACGCGGGTGAGGTTGAGCGGACGGTGGCAGTATGTTGGCCTCGACATAGGTCGAAGATCCACGAGCGCTGCGAGAGTTGCTTGGCTGTGGTGGGCTATCACTCCGGTCACGCTCAGTATCGTGACCTTGCGTTAGGCGAGAAGACGCCATGTTACCGCTCTGAAGGGTAACACCGCCCCTGCGCTCGACGTTAATTCGAGCGCTTTCTTGTTGTGTGCTTTTGGCCATCGAAAGTGGTGTCAGGCTCTGAACTTCCGCTCGCACTGAAGAAACCTTTTTCACGCCGCCCTCATCCACAGGAGAATCTTCATTCGAGGGCGGCGCGCCATCATCTCCAGAAGCCCCAGGATCCACAGCATCGTCGCGCGAAGAACCTGATGCCTGCAGGCTGGCTTCTCGAGACCCTAGTCGGTTTGGCGGCGGCTGCGAATGCTCAATAGCCCACTGAGCATAATCATCCGCATCCGAGAAGGTGTCGTTCTTCTTCGAGGCCTTCTTGCGCCCCCGGCCTGCACGTTTCCTTGATCGCTGCTTGGCCTTCGATTCGGTTGCGCGGTTGTCATCAAGCACCCTCAGCTTCTTTCGTGGTGGAGCTTGCGGGGCCACCTCGATAGCATCGTCTTCGGCGTCCGGCTCGTCATCATCGACTTCAATCGGAGACTGCGAATGCACGCCAGTACTTGTCGACTGCCGGCCAGTCTGCTTACGCTTGAGCCGCAGTGCTCTCGCTTTGTGCTGATAACCGGGAAGGTTAGAGTCCTGGGGGTGGTGCTTCGCACTCTGCAATATCATCAGCTTCAGTCATCTGGCAACGCTATAAAGCTTGGCAGTAGGCGTGACACTTACGTAGTTGACCAGAGTCTGCGCAGACGCTCTCGAAGACCGCCGCGTCGCCCCTGGGTCAGGCTCACGGACCAGAGGCACATCGTCCTCATCATCCTCATCAGAAGCTGGATCCTCAGACTCCGAGCCATCCTTGGCCGACGAAGGTAGACTCTCCTCGTCGGTCTCATCGTCAGTCCCCGGGGTGAGGGTTAAAGACCTGGATCCAGACAGTCGCTTCGCCGCCCACGCTGGTCGTTTCGCGCGGTCGAAATCCGGATGGAACTTGAGATCACATCAGTGATGGGCTCTCCGAGCAACTGACAGGGAGCTCACCTTCATGTCGTAATTCACATTGGTCCTACCATGACGCGACTGCCGAGTGGTATGCTTCTGCTCCTGAGCAGGCTTGGGGTCCGCTTCATCGTCGGGCATCTCAATGGTCTCCTGCGGCTCAGGTGCTGGCAGCATGTTTTTGGCATCCAGCTCACGGAGGAGGCGACTGCCACGCTTCTTCTGAGCTGGCTTTGGCTCGTCGCGGGCGCCATCTTCATCACCTGCACCGTCATCGGCTTCCTCGTTGAAATTGGTTTGCTGGTCGTGTTAGCTGCTGTGAGGCTGAGAGGAGTCGAGCATGCGCGTACTGGCTGGTCATTCTCCATTGATACTTCAGCGGCTGTGCTTTCCATCCCTGCCATTGCGGTGTATGAATGTTTCTGCAATGAGAACGAACGGCAACAGGCGCAGCAAGTGCAGACAGATGAAGTGAAGTGAAGGTGTCTTGATGAAAGAGAGGTGTACTTGTCGAGGTGTCATGTCGCCTCGCTTGCGCTTCTGAGGAAGGAGCGGTCGATGGAAGCCTGCGACGCGACTCCACGTGAGCACGCGAGACGACATCTCTTGAGCTCACTTACTGGTTTCATTCAATCGCCATTGAACGTGCGGAGATAAGAAGTAGATGAAGATGCAAAGATCTTCCAGATGCTTTTGAATCAAAATGTGCCCCTGTGAGGCGCCGCTGTTGCCAAAACCCAGACGCCTACGCTTCCAAAAATCAAAATCAGCAGTCGCTATGAACGCACACTCCACCACATATCCAAAAACACTTCACATGCGCGAGATGGTACCCTCAGTGAGCCGTCAGACCTGCTCGTCGAAAGTAGGGCTTCGTATATTGCGGGCCACCGAGGGGAGTGAAGCCTTCATCGTCATCCGCCTCATCGTCGACTTCGATATCAGGTTCCAAGGTCGAAGGCGGCGTGGGCAAGTCTGCAGCGGTCAAGAGGCGTTTTTCGGAGGATGTTGCTTTGGGTTGCACAGCCGTCTCCTTCGCCGCCTCGCATGCTTCACCATCCCGGACTTTCTTCTCAGCAGCCTCGTCCGCTCGCTTCTGCCAGGTCGTCTTCTCATCTTCGCCTAGCTTACGAGCGTCCGCAAAATACTGCTGAGCATGCTTGATCTCCAAAGCACAATCGCCGTCTCGCAAGATCTGATGCGCCGCCCGCTCGCACATCATCTGAGCCTTCTCCAAGAACCCATCGATCCGATCGAAAGCCTGCGTCTCATCCTTACTTGTTGACGAAGCCTCATTCTGTCTCGCCCTTGCCGACCTCACCACCATGGTGGGGATCTCAATGTCGTCGTCGTTGTCTGAGTCGTCCGTCTTATCATGCGGGGGTGACTTTGACAGCACAATCTCCATTCTCGCATTCATCTTTGCCTTTCTCAGTGCATTTCTGCAAGTGCTTATCGCCCGTACCATCTCTTCGAACCGCTTTTGTGTGTCTCCATCGTAATATATAACCACCATACTTCTTGATCGGTACTTGTGCGGACCTTCCGCCCTGTCTGAGCATACTGAAGCTGTCTTTCGTTTTCGCTGTGCCAATCGAAGAGCGTCTGACTGTGTCATATGCGGCATTTGGATCTCAACAGGAGAAGCTTGGTTGTCGTTCGCCTTCGGGCCCTCGGCTTCCTCGACTAAAGATCGTTTCGAACGGAGGGAAGACGACTTCGACGGTCGTCGCGGCGGATCATGGCATGAATCGATCGGCTGTTCATCTTGTGCCGGTTGGTTCTCGAACAGCATCTCCTTCTGTCGTTTGGCTGCCGTCTGCAGTGTGTCTTCTAGGTCCGCAATCCATCCCGGTATGCTCTCGAGCAATGTCGTAAAGCATTTCAACGCTTCGTCGGCCATAGTGCGGCACAGTAGCCCGCACACATTCGACCAGCATAAGTTCGAAGCAAAGGGTCGTCCGTTCCTCCGGATTGCAGACCTAATGTAGCGGATGTTCCAACCAGTCGCAATAGATTGAAACAGGCTGCTTGCTATACAGAGCTGCGACCATACACATCAAGACAAGAGGTGAAGTACAACAGAGAGAAAGGCCAGAAGGAGCGGAAGCCGAGAGCATTTACCTGGTCGAGAGAGACAGTGTTTCTCCGCTCTGGCAGAGCCAGAAACAGGAAGATGTGCGCTTCCCACCACCCGACCTCTCCAATGACACACGTGGGAATGACAAGCATCACTTTCAAGGGAGATTTTACGTGAGGCGCCGAGTGGGAGCTTCAGCTTCTCAGCTTCCTACGGCTTGTGCCGGGCGAGATTGACTTTCCGCCGACCTGTGCGACATCTGTCAGAAGCGTCTCGGGTGCGTGGTCCGCGAAACCATGTTTGATTGCTTTTCATATCAACGCAATTCAACGTTCTTCTAGCCGGTTTCTAGCGACGATCAGAATCCTGTTAATACAAAGGTAGCATCAACAGATCTCGACGGGTCATGCCGTTGCTCCAGATAACGCAAGGTCCAACGTCATTTCACAACGACAGGGGCTGGAGATGATGGTTTACCAGCAACGCAGCCAGGCGATTTGGAACACGCCATCGACCTTGCTTGTTCTCCTCGAGACGTGTTCTACAATGTTTTCGCCAACGTCACGCCATGTTGAAGTACAGAATTCCCCAGTGCTCGAGATCGCAGATAGGGCAAAGCATGGGTACGTGTGGCAGCAGGGGAGGTAAGAACAGGGGTCGGCGTGGAGAACGCTACAACACAGCAGTGATCGCACAGTGATAAATACGAAAGCAGCGTGGGGTTGCGCCGGGACAGTTCATTGCTTTTTGCTGGGAAAGCGGCTTTTCGACAAGCCATGGATGTCGTCGGAGTGCTCTCCCTCTAAAATCAGCCACCATCAAGACGGAGGACGAGCATGCAGCCTTCCGCCTCCCCCCCCCCTCAGCCATGTGCTTCTACCCTGTCACCAAGCGATCTTGTGCAACAACACACAAGGCTTTTTCCAACCGCTCGCCAGTTCCGATACTGCCAATGAGCTGAGAATCGCGTAACGTTGCGCAACGATCTCGAATTCGACTGAACTCGTACAATACAACGACGTCTGCTGCAAACCGCCCACGCACTCTTCTCTGCTCAAGGCCAGCACTCTTGATGGGTCCATTCGCCGCTCGAGGCATCATACTTGTACACCTGTCGTCGAGACTTTGCCGGATCCGAGAGATCAACACTTTCCACCTCATCTGGTCGGATCACGACAACTCGGAAATTCTTCCTCGCAACGGGGTGGTGGTTGTCCTCAATCTTCATACCCGGAGCGAGGTTCTTATCGTCGTATGGCTGGTCCACTGGCTGTCCTGGCGGCGGAGCTGCGAACGAGCCTGGAATGGACAGTCAGCATACCACACTCATACCGCGCAACGGCAAAGACTCACCTCTCATGCCCGGCGCCAAATTCCCAAAATGTGCAGTAAGCTCCCTATTCCAAGACCACTTATCCTGATCCTCCTCCTTCAATACCCGCATCCGCCCTCCAACCTCACTCTTCACCGTCCTCACCCCACTGCTCTCTTTACTCTGCTCACCCTCACCCTCAATATCCGGACCAATAATGAAAGCATCCCCCTTCATCCTCCACTGCACCATCACCTCCTTCGCCCAGAACACCGCCTCGCAAGGCCCACCGCCTCCAGACCCTTGCACCAACTCCGATCTATCCGCATGCCCGCTCGAGCTGGCGAAGAGCTCATACTGCTTCTGCATCCGCACGTCGGTGGTGAAAGTGGGTAAATCGCTGCCGTATACACGCTCGTTCTGCTCCGCTTGGTTGTGCTTGTTCTCCGGCAGCTCCGCCCAGCAGCCGCGGTATATGCAGTATCTTGCTCTTGGGACGTAGGGTGTAGGGCTGCCTTCAGGCGCTGGGTGGAGCGAGCTGAAGACGAATTCTGGCTTGTCCATTTGATTGAGGTGCTCAAGGAAGGTGGCTTTCCATGGTGCTGGCTGAGGCGCCTTCGTGCTTGATGTTGAGGCCATTGTGCGCTGGAAGGTGCGCGAGATCTGGTTCAGTCGTGAAGCTATGGTGGAGGGTGTTGCGATTTCCTCGTCTGTTCGGTGTACCGTTTGAACTCCAGCAACGAGAAGACTGGCTTTGAAGTCCTGAAATGTGATCTGCCTAGGTTGTGTTATCGACGTAGAAGTGAGTAGGAAGTAGAAGGGAACAAGAACTGAACGTCCGAATGGATGGTTGTCATTGACATTAGTGACGTATCGAATCGACAAACCTAGCGCGATCTCATCAATCCCCGGATCTGATCGATTTCAATCTAGGCGACGTAATACATAGAAGAAGTAGCAATCTTCGCAGTCTAGACTATGAAGATGGTATATTCAGAAGCCTTTAGGTAGGAGATTGTTTAGCGGAGAAGGGGGCGAGGAATAATAGGCGGACAGCATAGTTCTCCGAGATAGTAGGAACAGTATGGCCTAATAGCAGTCTTTGTAACAGGTGATTAGCATCACGGAGAAGCTAGAACCTGACTGCTACTTCTTTTGCTACGTCGCCTGCAGTGGAAGCGGCCACCCAGGCATACCTGCCCTGCAGTCTTCTCTGAAACGAGATCGTGGCCAAAAAGGCAACATCACTCTCGTCAGCGGGCGGTCATTGTCTTTGAAAAGGGACGAAGGTCCCTTAGACGGCTCACTCTGACCTAGTCGGCCGCTTTCATTGTCGACAGCTTGCGCGGAGCTGATCGGTTTTAATAGAAGGGTAGGTAATCAATTCATCTGCTTGGCCAGCCGTTGCTATGATACAGAGCGCTGCTCGCAGCGAGCGGGTATCTAAGTAGTCATACATTTATCGTTACACATGGCCCTCCACTGCATGCCTCTGCATCAACATCAACTTCGCCCATCATGTCATGAATCCTCGCTTGCGGAACTGTTCAAGAACGTCATCGGTACCTTTGGCGGCAGCTTCGGACTCTTCAGCGGGAGACTCGTGGTAGCCTTGAGAGCCTCCCTGGCCTCTTTGGAGTTGCTGCTGCTCGTGAGCCGTCTTTGTATCGCGCCTCTCCACCCCGGCTTGCTGCTTGTTGTCGGGGGCTTCGGTCCGCTGTGCATGTGGTACGGCTCGTCGGCCGTGTGAGCTCGACCGATGGATGCTTCGTCGTCGGAAAAGGGTTCCTGCCCATCGCTCGACTCGCGACTCACCGACATGCCGTTCTGCGGCTGCCCGCGTCCTTGCTCGATGTGCATGACTGGAGTGGTGATGGATCGGTTGTGCAGGCCAGGTCTGACGGGCAGAGCCTCGTTCTGCGCAAAGGCCGCTGGGTTCATCACTGCGGGCTGTTGTGGGTAACGGAAGTCGGCCAGCCCGTGCTGGAACGAGGTCACGCTCGTGTTTCTCTTCAGCGACTTGTGCAGAATTGGCAAGGCCTGCTGATCATACAAGGCCTCGCGCTCTTCGATGAGTGTGCTTGGGTGTCTCGCCAGATCTGGCGTCCGCAAGGGCGAGGGCGTCTGATCGTCGAAAAAGTCATCTAGATCGTCAAGTTGATCTGCAAGCTCGCCCATGTTGCCGTCGATAGTGGATGCTCCAGATATAGCCACCGTGCTCCGAGTGAAGTACGAGTCGTGATCATCGGCTTGGAACTCGAGCTCCGGTGTGGATACCGTCATACTGGTTCCATCCGCCACCATCATGCTCTGCCCAAGCCGCGATAGGAAGCTGCGCGTCCGTGTGGAGTATATCGCGGGAGTGGGCACCGACCAACCCGACTGCTCGGGAATGCCGTACAAGCTCTTGGTGTTCTCGTACTCTTTTCTGGTTGCCAAGCTCGAGTGCGAGCCTGCCATGCTCATACGGAGATGCTTGCTGTCGTTCGGAGTGCCTGACATGTCCATCACATTATCCAGTACATCGAGCGCTTGCTGGCAATGTTCCGTCTGCAACAGACGAAGCAGTGGTGAGATTAAATCTGGCCCATGCAAAGCTATCTCCGGACTGCGCATGTCCATCGCTGGCATGATCCTGCACAGCACTTCCATTGTCTTCACCTTGAACCAAGAACACTGATTGTTGGCCATGCCCATCAAGAAAACTAGGCTCGAGAATTCTTGGTCGTGGGTATTCACCTTGACAAGCGCTGCTGTGCACTGAGCCAAGAAGTCATCCCCCAAACGATGCTTGGACTGTGCGAAGCCTCGAAGCGCTCGTCCCAGGTTGATCAAATTCTGACCATCGGCAGCTGCCGCTAAGACTTCAGCTGACTGCAGTATCGAGTAGTCGGCGCGGCTCTCGTCGAAGTGGTTCAGGTATCTTGGCATATTTGCCAGGACCGTGAAGAACAGCCGCTCGTCTCTGCCAACTATGTGACTCCCTGGGAGCTTGGTGAGTCTTTCCATGGTAGCCAACGACTGGCCCATCGAGTTGCTCGACCGCATGCCCTTGCGAGCTAGCTCGTGCAGAGTTTTGAAGGACGATTGGCCCTCCACAGCCGGCCTAGCTTCCACCAGCATCTGCAGGACCGTTTCATCGCTGAGGTCCACCTTGTCGAGAAGCAGGTTGAGGATGGCCAAGGCTTCTTGAAACTCTTTCTCGTACACTGTCTCGAGGCACGCGCAGCTCGCCCAGAAGACTTCTGGGCACAGCAGAAGCTCTTGCGTAGTCAGAGCAGCGACAGAGGTGCGCAGCGTGGTAAGAGTTTCCTGCGAGTATCGTAGGACATGCCGCGAGTCCAGGTCAGCAATGGTACTCGACAGCCTTCCAACGAGGTCCGCAAGCATGATCCGGTCGGCCTTTATCTCCATGCACCGGAACACCTGGAGAGAGCGGCACGCAACATGCACGTTGGAACACGCCGCCCAGTGCATGCTAACCTTGGCCCACTCTTCCCTGATACCAGTGTACGCCGTCGAGAACATCTTGACGAGCTCTTCGATCACATACGCCATTGCCTCCGGCAGTAGACTCGTATCGTCTTCTGCTGCGCGGCCTTCGACATCGCCATAAGGCCAAGCGATCTGCTGGTCTTTGCGGCGCACCGACTCGATAAAGTCTTCGATGCTCTTGAAGTCGATATCTGGCCTTTCTGGTGAGACTTTGGAGATGACAAGCTCGTGGATGAGATGTACCAGCATCTCCCGCGCTTGGTCCTGGACGATGTCGATCTGGCTGTCCCACTGCACAAGGACGATGTGAAGCAGTGGGACGAATTGCGTCACCGGCAGCGTGAACGGTGAGACGACGAGATCCACCATCAAGGTCATGCATAGCTGGCCAAGCGACAGTCCGTGTATTTTGCCACCACCAGGAACGACGTTGCTGATGTCGGCGACGTACGGCAGGGCACCCGTCTCATAGGGCACTTGAACGTGATGCGAGCTGTCGCTTGCCATGTTCCGCGGTCCGATCTGCAGCAACAGGTGGTCAACGACTCTGAAGCCAGCAGGCGTCTGCGACAAGAACACCACTATCTGCTTGGCATAGTGGATGAAGCCTTGTTCCTTCTTATCAAGGCAGATTTTTAGGATGAATTGCAAGACAAGCAGCACGTTGCCGCCATACTCGCCAGTGGCCAGGGCTTGCCAAAGTGCTTGAATCTCATTGTGCAGTGTTATGCTGCTCTTGGCGGTGATCTCGAATAGATTTACGAGGAGCATGTAGGTTGTTGCGGTAGGAACTCCAGCCGGGTCCACCTTGAGATGTATCTCTTGGATCCAGGGCAGCATCGCCGTGACCATATTACGTTGATGGTCAGGCTCCAATTCCTTGAAGTATGCAGAGAATTCAGAGAAGATGTGGAAGGCGAGCCCTGGGTGCTGCTTCGCCAGTCGGCGGGACACTTCGAACTGCGCGAGCTTGTAGACCGCTGTTGTCTTGTCGGACACACTGATATCCAGATCCTGCAGCTTAGAAGTGGTGTTCTGGCGTTGCTCGAATAGCCGGAGAAGCCTGGCAGACTTCATCCTGATGTCGCTGTCCTCATTTCCAAGAATGAACAGCGCGGCGCAAAGGACCTTCCAGTACGGAATTGGGGTGTCACCCTCCTCAGTAAACACCCGATTGATGACTTCGAAGTAGCTGGCCAGACCTTTCGGGTTCTTCGACGTGTAGCACATCCGCATAGCCTGAGCGATCAGAGAAGGCTCGTCTATGTTATGGACGATCAGGTTGTGCAGCGCTTTGCGACCAATGTTGTGGTTCCGATCACTTGGAGTTTCAAAGATCATGTGTATCCAAGCGAGCATGCGTCGAACGTCGAAATGCATCAGTGTCCGATTGTCAGCGGTGAAGGTGAGCGGGCCGGAGCACAATGTCGCCATGGCGTTCAGCGCAGCAAGTTGCAGCTCACTCTTCTCTTTCTCGAATGCTGAATTCATCACGCCCCGATTCTTCAGGTCGAGCTCACGTTCGAGGATCGAGCGGCGAATATGGTCTTCACGCTTTCGTATCTGCGATTCGTTCGGCGAGAATCCACACCAGTTCTCGATGAGCGAGAAAGTTGCCTGCCTTGACTGAAATGACATATATCGCGACGGCTCCTTCACTTTCCGTACGTATTCATAGATGCCTTCAGTCATAGTACAGAAGTAAGTTCTCAGCTTCTGAAAGTCAAACTCGGCTTGTACTTCGGCGTCGCTCAGGAACAGGCGGGTGTACTTAGCATAGTCAACCAGATACGTGAGGGCGTAGTCGTCGTTCTCTGGCTGATCATGTAGGTGGTGGCACAGAAGGCTCAATAGACGAGTCGTCTCAGTCCGCAGGTGATCTGTCTTCCGACTTCTCATCGGTGGGTTGGTGTTGCGTTGATGTGCTGCATTTCTGGCTTTGACTTCCGCATTGCAGTCGGCGACATAAGGCTGCAGTGCCTCGAGTAGCGTGTGGAACAACGTGACGTTCGTCGCCCCAAGACCATCGACAGCTGCGCGCCGGACCTGAGCATTCGGGACCGATAGAAACCGTACCACTCTTGCAAACAGCTCTGTCGCCGATGCGATCTTGTCCAGGCTGGAGCTAGTAGATGATTTGGAGCTCTTTCGCGTATGCTGAGAACCCATGCTTGTCTTAGGAGGCTGCAAATTGTTGCTGCCGATGTTTGTGAGAGTCGTGCAGGCGAAGATGAGGTGGATCTTCCACTGCTCGATGACCACATCAGGCGAGGAGACGATAGGCCGCGTACTCAACCTGCCCATCGGGAAGGCTGGGTCAAAAGGCACTGCTTGCCTGGTCGGGTCGGCAAGAGCATACACAGACCTATGGCTGTGCGACAGTCGTTGACAGACCAGTTCTCTTGTCAGAGCAACGGCGTGCAGGCACTCCTCAGAACTGAGGCGGACCAGATTTGGAAAGATCTTCATCCACAGCTTAGAGTCGTTTCCCATGTCAGTGCTGCAAAGCTCGACCAGCGTACTGTTTGATGCACCTCTTCGCAAGCCGTTTTGCAGACGACTCCTCTCAGCGACCGACAAACGTTCATCATTGATGCTGATCACCTTGTCCGGGCTGCCTTCAAGAATGTCGATGATTCGAGGAGACGGTTTTCCCAGGGCCTTGTCGAAATTGGTCACCCGGCGCAAGACGCTGACAGCGATCGCTCGAACAACTGGTGAAGGCGAGCACAGGAAGAAAAGGCCATGCGACTCCACCTCGTCAACGTGGGCCAGAATACTGGAGAGGTCCAGGGGCAAGTGGCGGGTGCTCTGCTCCTCGCTTGAAGGCTCCGAGGCTACCTTTCGAGTGCGGTCTTCAATCTCCTCGATCCAGATCTGCAACAGCTCGACATATAGCTGCAAAGTGTTCTCAATGTGACCAGGTCCAAGTAAGCTACCGTCCGAGACGGTCCCATATCGGTCGTCGAAGTTGAAGATGAATCTAGCAAATCCAATGGTGACCGGCTGAGCGTGTGACTGGCGCGCAATTGACTTTAATGACTGGGCCGAAGAACTCGCTATGTGAGACTGAACGTGCGCGGTCCCGGTGCAAAGAAGATTGACGAGTGGGTTGATCTGGATCTGCGAGGAGAAACAGCGAGGTAGTGCCTCGACCGCCACAGACAATAGATCATAATGGTTCTGTCGCAGATCAGTTGGGTTCGACAATTCGTCTCGCCGGTTGAACGTAAACGCTTCGGCCATTGGTGTCTTCGGTGTGTGTGTGGCAAGCTTCTCATCCAGAACCGCTTGCCCACCGAAAGTGTTGTCGCAAATGATGGTGAGATTGCCCAAAATCTTGCAAAATGTTGCGTAGTACTCTCTCGAGACTTCATTGAAGTTCTCGGTCATGACAGGTCGTGATAGTCGTTCAGTCCGGCCGGCGGATACTGCAAAGCCTTGAGATTTCGTTCTGCGGTGCGTTATGGGCGAACGGGAGGAAGGATCAAGCAAGGCGTCACACTCGAAGCTTTGCGGAAAGGCAGGCGGCTCGCCTTTCTCGAGATCGCTCATTATCGCGAGGAACGCTCTGATAGCAATGACCGTCTTCTCAGGATCCAGGTTCTCGATCTTCAGCTGAGAGTCCATCAGCTGCTCTGAGTTCATCAGAGGGAAGATGATCGACCTGAAGCACAAGTCCTGGTGCTTGAAGCCAATGATCCGTATCAACTGGATCAGCGGATCAGCTATGATCGGATCGGTAGAGATGAGAACCCGCTTCCCGCCTTGGAAGACGAGCTTAATAACCTCGTCCAGCTTCTTCGCTATCGCGTTGTGAGACTCGTTGTGGCGGTAGAGATAGCGCCAGACCAAGCGGCAGATGGCTTTCAGGGCGTGCGATCTCGCTGATCTGTCTCTTGCTTTGGGTTGGAAGGACGCCACCAAGGGCAGCCATTGAGTCGCAAATTGGTCGGCTGGCGAGACGCAGAGCAGAACAGCCTGTAGAGGAAACACATGAGGCCAATGATCCGCCTTAGGGAGCATCTGCGACACCCGTGGCTGGACGATGTTGAGCACGTCTCGCCATGTCCGCACGTTCAATTCAGATGTAGCTGTCCCGGCGATGGGAAGCAAGAGAGCCTCGAAGAGCTGAGCGTACGCATACTTCATGACTCGGCCGTGGACCTCAGTAAAGTATCTGGCGAGTGTGTGCAGCATCTCGCACGAATTTAGCCAGGCTTCTTCCGGAAACGTCTGGACCTTCAGCCATCGCATGCTCTGAACCAGCAATGCGGTCTTCGCTGCAAGTCGGGTGTCGTTCAGTCCTTTGATCGATAATCTTTTGTGGGCCTTGTCGAGATCCGCAAGATACCTGTGCGCGACCTCTTTGAACCTGAGGCCGCTCATGACACCGACCACTTGACCTCTTATGGTCCAGTTTGCTCTTTTGTACATGGACGACATTTGCTGCTCCGGGTCGGCGAGCTGGAGCTGACCATAGATGACCTCCTCCAGGCGTGCCGCAGTATTGTCACGGCGGTTGAGGTCTTTCAACGTTGTCTGTCCCAGGACTGCAATCAACACCCGACAGAGGATGTAGATAGACGTCAAAGATCTCCGTTCCGCCACTGCTGCGGTGTATTCGATCTTATCGACGTCCTGCGGTACTGGCGGGGAAATTGGCACCGACATGGAGCCGTTGGTCGGTCGCTGCGTTGGATTGGTCGACTCCCGCATGACATTCGCCTCCGCCAATTTGTTCATGACATCCCTCTTCTCCTTCCTCCAATTGACCACGGAACTGATCAATGAGCTAGGGTCTCGCCGGCTGACATGACCAAGAGACGCAAGCAGTTGGTCGAAGGCAGGGTCGGCACCCGGACCGCATATATTCTCAATAGAAGTATCCACTCTCCCCGGTTTTGGTAGGCATCTTTCGATACGTTCCTCTGCTTCGGCAATGAACGCAGTGAACATGTGGTGAAGTGCGAGCTCGCCGACCGTCCGCATCTCCGGAACTCCTGGTGCTTGCATCCTTGAATGCGATCGCTGATGCTCGTAGTCCCGCTTTGACCTTTGACTGTGCATTCTGTCCGCACGCCGTTGCGATTCTGCTCTTTCGAAGCTTCCATTGACGTTCATACTTGAGCCGTTTGGCTTGCTACTGTGGAGCGTAGACATTGAGGGACTTTTCTTCAAGCCAGGCACGGCGCCATGCGTGGGCCCATCTGGCCCTGCCGACTTCGCCATGGCCTTCTGTGGGCTCAATGGGGTCACGTTTGTGGTGGACAGCAGGCTGGGGTTTCGTGAATGCTGCACTCCATGCACAATCGACGTCTGTCGGTGGTGGCCATAGGATGCGGATGGCTTCCGTTCGAGCTCGATGCTTTGGTTCGCCCGTACTTGCGGTGCAGGTGTTATTGTTCTCGGCGACGCATTGTGCGGACTCGCAGCGCTCAGCGCCCTTCCTCTCGTTGAAGACGGCTCGCGCGACGCTGGGTGGTACGACGTGGACGGTGCGCCGGTCGAGCGCTCGGGTGATGGGCTGGAACTCGTGTACTGAAGGGATGGAGATACCAATGCTCGTCCATCCGACGGCAAAGGCGCGGCTGCTCACATTCGACAACTCTGGTCAGCAAAGGACGTCTTCCACGTTTCTCGGCGCCTGCATCCAGGCCATGTGGCCGCGGAAGCCCACGCGGCTTCTGGAAGCAATTGTACAGGGAGATTGCGACGTACTCATCCTAACAATTCGGCCTCTTCATTCATCGTTCAGCCTGTGTTCCTACCAGCCTTCGAGGTCGTCAATGTGGTGCACGAGCTGGGAATATGGAGACGGTTTCGAAAGACCCAAGAGACGGACCCTTGGGCAAACCCAAACTCGGCGTTCCTTGCAGGAACACTTCTAGCGTCCAATTTGAAACTGTCAAGTCGGAGCCGTTGTCCGCCCCATTATTCGGCATCTCCAAAGTGACAGGGGATCCATAGCCGCGGACGAGCCGACCTTTCAGAGCAGTAAGAAGGCCATGCGGTCGTCACATCGAGCCAGGTATTCGGGTCGAGCACAGCGGTTGCTTCCTCTTCGACTTTCAATCAACTACGGTTCGTAGCTCTCGATTTGGTGTTGTTATAACAGCATCAGCGATTGACTCGTTCGTTCGGTGAAGGAACATGCGAGGCAACAGAACCGTGTCTAGGTAGATCTTATATCGGTTGACCGTTACCAGGAAATCAACCAAAGTAGTTAAATGTTGCATCTACACCAGGAGGAGTCGAAGTATCTATGTCAAATCGTTGGTGTATTGCTACATGTATACATCGTTGAAGACTGCAAATGGTCTCCCGGCCACGCTCAAAAGGTCGTATTGCTAAAAGCACATCGGAAGCTGGATCACATGTCAAGAAGCAACCTTATAGGAATGTGCATAAACGCAAATTGGGATCCAAATGCGTAACACTCTATGTGAGCAGTGTGCTTCCAGATATCCATCAACTTAAACCCGTTCGCATGATATTACATTCAATCACTGCCAACCCCAACCCTAACCCTGCTCACACGTGTGAAGAAATATTTGCCTTAAGTGAGTCGGCTCCGAAGAAAACCGATAAGCAGAAATGCAGGAAGCAGTGGAGAACGCGCGGAGCTTCCGTATAGGCTACATGTCCTGTATATACACATCGTAAAAACGACTCCTTTCTACTTCGTCCTGATCTGCTTCAACTTCTTCGGCTGATGCACAAACTGATTCGCATACGCCTTGGGTATTATCCGCCTCTCGTTCGGCTCCTGCACAAAGTACTCGTAGCCCTGCTTGTTCGCGAACATGATCGCGTCATCCCTGCTCTTGAAGTTGAGATGGGTGCCCTGCATGAAGTCTGCGCTGGATTGCCAGCCCATGAGTGGGTTCTCCCAGCGGTGGCCTTTCGACATAACATCCCAGTCCATGCGCCAGTGTTGGTGATGCCAGTCCCCGGATTGCGTGGCGGGTTTGGCGGGGCGGTAGATGCTGTGGTGGGTTAGGACATATGTATGTCAGGGAAGACGGATATGACCTACCGAACAGTACGGGCCTGGAGCTCCACCGGCGCACCTGAAAGCACCGCTGCGGGTGTGGTCTCTCCCGGCTCACTGCCATCCATTACTCTCGCAGGGATCGGGGAGAAGTTGCTGTACTGCTTAGCCATTGTCTATCCCGTTCCTCGGAACCCGACTTACGACGTCCTGTAGTCCACCGCCACATTGTAGTCTGGGTTGTCTCTTATCATCGACGCGCTCGGTGTTTGGACCGCTTGGCTGCTCGGAGCTCTCGCTATAATGCCGGTCATTGGGATAGGTGGCTCGGGGACATCGGCGGCGGCGCCGGTCTGGTGACGGCACAATGCTGGAACTCGTCGTGAGAGTGTTGGCCGAGCCGCTGTCCGCATCGTGTGAGCCGCAACTTTGTGTAGCGACGCCATAGTTGGTGGTGGTGTGGATTGCGAAGTGTGGTTGTTCGTGGAGTGGTGATGTTGGAGATCGGGCGGGATCAGCCGAAGTGAAGCTCTCTCCCTTCGCTTCTTCGCCGATACCACACCCCATTGCCTTGCCCTTACGACCGCTCTCAACACCACAATACTCGACAAACAGCCATGGTCTCCTCATTAGTGCCACCGAAGGTATGTGCTGGCTTCATACCAATTTGATGCGAACAGCGACACTGACAGACTCCGCCTAGGTCGCCTCGCCCAACGTACGTCCTCCTCACGAGTCTTTCCACCCCAAATAGCCTGTCATGTCGCAAATCAAGAATACAAGAGGCTGCAATATCCCCGGCGCGGAGTTGAAGGGCTTTTGTGACAACCAGGTGGCTGACAATGGCTTGTGTAGGCCATCGGCGGTGCAGCGGATGCCGCTCGCATGCAGAGAGTCGTCTCCTTCTACGAGAAGCTACCAAGAGGACGAGCACCCGACCCGAAGCCGAGTGGACTTCTGCAGAGGTACCAGTTCAGGTACATGGGCAAGAATGCGTCTGCGATGCGTACGTCTGCCTGTATGGAGCCTGACAACCATGGACAGTACTGATATGCTTTGACACAGCGCTTGTTCATCTCATCGGCGGTGTGATGCTCCTTGGCTACGCCCAGAACTACTACTTCCATCTGCGTGAGTATTCGGTGAGGCCACGGCGAAAGCAGCAGAAGCTAACGTTTGACCAGGTCACCACAAGAATAACGCTCACTAAGAGGTGCAAGCTGTGTCGGGGATGGCGTTGACAAGACGGAGGAAAGACTATGTGTACATAAGACAAATACAACTTCCAGTTGCACCTTGACATCTCCAGTGAAACTCACCGGCGGGCCAACGTTGGCGCAGAGAACAGAGAGACGTCAGACCGCTTGCAACTTATCCCATACTGAACACTTCTTCGTCTGCATGTAGTTCACTGCCGTATTAGAGTAGATCTGCGTTTACATCCCGATGGAAGCTGTATTTCGCTGTAGACTCTAAAGTCACGTGCGTGATCTCTTTCCCGAACGGCAAGCGGAAGCGGAGCCGACAGACTGCGACGACACTTGACCTTGACAGCAGCGAACATCTCCTTTCGACATTCACACACCTCCCCATCAGCGCGAGAACCGCAATCTCCTCTTCTACCCTGAGCTGCTCACAGCCAGAGGATCTCTTTTCTACCGCCTTCCGCGAACGCGCCCACAAACAGCCCTTCGAGCTCGCACGCGAGCCTGACGTGGTCCGACTCATCGCCTTGAGACAAGCCACTCTGGCGGACGCAGACATCTGACATTAGGTACAGCCCTCCACTTCACCTCCATTCGAGTCATCGCACAGCGCAGCGTGCTTTGTCGCGTGACTTCGCCTTCATCGGCGAACGCGCGGCGGCACGATGCCCCCCTCTCCTACCGACCCAGTCACCTCTCCATCGCCAACTAGCTCTAACGAGATCATCACTGCGAAAACAGTCTCGGAAACTGTTATGGCAGAGCAGACAAGCCACCATGTGGTAAACAACATGTCGACGAGTGCTTCGGCACCAGTCGACGTCGCCGCGAACCAAACCAGTATCGCTTCCGCCGAGCAAGGCGCCACCAGTACATCGATTCCTCAGACGAATTCCGAGCTTCAGGCGACTCAGAGTATCTACGAGCATGCTGTGAAGAATAACGGGATGAACGCCGTCGACGCTGTAGCTGAACCAAGCGCTGGTGAGGTTACAGGTGCGGCAAACCCTATGAACACCGCAGTTCCAGCTTCAAGCACGTCACAAACTGCCCAAACCGATGGTTCCATTGATGTGAGCAGCGGCAACCGGCCGAATGGAGTGATAGACGGTTCGATCGACCAGGGAAGCGTGGCAGAAGGATCGGTGGATGCTAGTGTACACTCCGACACCGAAGGTAGCAGAGGTGACGCCACCGAGACGAAGAAAGACGAGGAGAACCATCACACTCGCACAAACTCTGTCAAGAAGCCGACTACATTCAGCAAGGTCTCCATATCCAAGAACTACCTCGCGAAATCAGCGGCTGCTCCCCAAACTGCGAAATCCGGCGACAAGCCCAGCCCAGCAGGGACTCCACCCACACTACAGACCGCCAGGCCTCGTTTGATCGCAAAGACTGGCGCTTCCGCACGCGATGGGCCAAAGACTCGCGTAGGCTCAGAAGCAGCAAGTGGACCTGATGCGAGCAAGGTCTGGAATAAGAACCGGCGTAAGTCTCCTCTCAATCTGAGTGAACGATGTCCGAATACTGATACCAACCCAGCTGTCCAACCTCCACCTCCAAAGCAGTTCACGGACGAAGAACTCAAGCAGCAATACGGTATTCATCTTGCGACGCGACTGCAGACCGAAGGCGACGGCAAAGACGCGAAGTGGGCAGACATTGACGACGATGAGGACGATTGGGCACCAGATGCAGTGGTCTGGATGGATGGCACAAAGTCAACGCTCACGCCACAGGAGGCTGCTACTCCGCAGCCCCAGCAAAAGCCTACCAGTCCGCAGCCGCCAAAGCCCGCGGAAGCTGTTCGTCCTACGCTCGCTGCAAAGAGGACCACCGAACTCGGCCCGGCGAAGACGATCTTGAAACCTGGAGCGAGTGCGGCGGCAGCCCAAGCGAAGCAGAATGGGGCAGCTTCTGCAACACCAGCGGACAAATCTTTGAAAGCACAGAGCCCTGCGCCTCCAATGAAGTCACCATGGGCACCTTTGCCGCCAATGGATAAGACGTCGCCCATCAATCCACCTGTTCAGCAACAACAGCCTCCGCAGCCCAGGCTCGCTACCCAGGACGCACGTGCTTACGGTCCGCCAGTGCCACAGCAGCCCGCTAGAGAGATCGCTGCAGACACGTTTGACAGGTCTTGGCGGGAGGGCGAAGGAGGTGCAAGGGAGCTGTTCAACTCAGTGAGCGGGCGTTACGAGCCAGTAGCGGAGGGCCGACGATCTTCCATCAAACCGGACTCTTCCATGCGAAAGCCATCACTCCTGCAGCGATCGTCGCAGTCCGTGACATCACCGGCCGAGCCTTCAGCAGCCTTCCAGACTCGGTCGTCGATCCAGGCCGATGGATCTTGGGCTGGTAGGCGTGGCTCTAGTGTTAGCCACTCGAGCATCCCTCCTGGAAGGCGTGTGTCGACCTCGAAAGGCTCAGACATGTCGCCAGCTCCAGAGCGACGCACAAGTACAGTCGTTGGACACGATATGCGCTCTTCGCCGCAGATGGCTCGCGCTGAGCCCGCCCAGCCGAACTTCCCACAGCAATCAGCATGGCAGCAGCAGATGCCCCCGCGACCAGAACCAGGCACCGAGGCAGAAGATCCGGTCAAGGTCCAGGAGCGGGTCATGCGAGAGAAGCGCGAACTGGCAAAGAAGCGCCGTGTGGAGGAAGAGAAGCGCGAGGAGGCGGAGAAGCAGGCAAGGCTCAAGGCAAGACTTGCGCAGCTCGAGGGTGCCGGCAAATCCAGGAGTGAGCGCGCAGCAGAAGCAGCTGCGGCTGTTCCCGCCGCCAAGCCCTCGCCGCCCCCAGCCACTGAATTGTCTGCTGAAGTCACTACACCGACTGCGAAAGCTGAAGACACTCGCGCACAGCCTTCACAGCCTGCTCAAGTGGCAGCGACCGTCGCACCAGAACTTGAAGCGCAAACTCTTCCAGCGGCGCCAGCGAAGCCTCAGCCAAAGCAGACCAGATCCGACGACAAGCTACCGTCGCCGCTTCCACCGAAGCCTCACTTCACGAACTTGCCAGACAGACCAAATTCATCTACGGAACAGCAGCGTCAGCAGTCGCGCAGTCACCTGTCCCCGAGAGCAAACAACCGAGCGCCGTTCCAAGGTCAGCCGTCGCCTTACGGCCAGCCGACTTCTTCATACTCCTCGCCAGGTGATCGCAAGCAACATCAATTCAACCGCTCACCGCTGCCGAATAACGATACGTTCTCTTCCTCGTGGCCTACGACTGGGCTGAATAGCAACGTGTGGGGCCATTCAGGTATCGGAAACGGCACCTTTGAGAGCTCGAGCTCATTTGCGCCGATGCAGCAGACCTCAGCGCTTCCACCGCCGCCTGGCATGTCACGCCCGTCACCCTCAAACAGGATCTCGCCGCAGTCACTGGCTCAAGGCTCGCAATCTCCGAACATGCAACAACAGACACTCCAAGAGCCGCACCGTGGCTTCGCGCCACCCGGCTTTGAGCCCCGCCCGGAGTCTTTCGCGAACCATGCACGAGTCAATGGCACGTCGCCGATTCCCGGACTCGCTCGTCCACCTCACCCGCCAGGCCCAATCGGGCCCCCGTCACGTGCGCAACCACAAGCTGCTGGACAGCGCGAGGACAAACTGAAGGCATGGAACGTGGCTGCGGAGAGTCTGCCAGAGCAGTATCGCAATGCTGCTGAAGCGGCTGGCAAACCAAAGCCGGCTGCCACCACCAGCGCACCGCGCGATGATACTATTAAGGAGACCTTCAAGAAAACCACGATTGGTTCCAGACTCGGTGGCCCTCGCCGATATGGAGAAACCGAGTTTACCGTTCACGATAGGCAGGGCTCAAGATCTGTGCAAACGCACAGCCCGGCGCCACCGCATGCGCAGACACAGCCAACAGGCCCAGCACCGATCGCTTCGCCCTCACAGCAAGACCCATGGGCCAAGGCCGGCGAAAGCAAGGTGCGGCTTCCGGATACCTCACTCAGCGCCGCGCAGGGTCCCACACCGAGTCAGCAGCCACCAATCGGCCGTCCGAGCACAGAGAAGGTTCAGCAGACAGCCGTGCAGCAACAGACAGACCACGCCGTCAGCGCCGTGCCCTTGATGCCAGTCGATACCGTCCCGTCGCCACCTCCGCCGGAGGAGTCTTCACACCCTGTGCATAGCGGCAACATCAGCCACCCACTCGTCAAGCTTCCACTAGGAAAACCAAAGGTGAAGCTGCCTCCAGCGCCAGCATCTGTGGTCGACCAACAACAGAGTGTGGTGATGCCTCAGCGTCCGATCTCCAACCTCGCCGTACCTGGTGGCTCCAGACCGCTCGTGATGCAAACTGAGTGGCAAGCGCGGTTCAACGGGCTATTCAACCGTACCACTGTCCACACCGAAACTCCACCCTCGCCGCCCAAGACCCCACCGAAGATGCAGAGCCCTGCTCTCGCCGTAGCCGCTTCTAGCAGAACGGTGATGGACGAGATGCCGGCTGCCACGGGGGCCATGGTGTCGCTGCCGCAGGCGAAGAAGCCGACGAGTCGTGAAGGCTTCACGATCGACGATAGTGCGGACGTGATCTCCAAGCCTGGCATCGAGCACATGTTCACGGAAGAACTGAGCTTCGGATCGAAGCCGAAGGTCAGCGTGCCACGCCACGCGACCTATAACGAGGCTCTTTATCATCAGACTGGGCCCTTCGTCATGGCGAATACCCGCAACGAGTTCTCTGTCGAAGCAAACTCTATCGTGCCGCTCGAGTTCAGGAGCGTTCACCGCAGGCATAGAGATGGCATCTTCATTAAGATCCCTGCTCTAAAAGTCGGCAACAAATTCGTCCGCGACTCCCGTAGCAGCCGCCCAGCGAACGCACAGAGCGACAACCGCAAGTCATCTGGCAAGTTCAACAACCCGAAGGCAAGGGATGGCGCTGCGGTTGCCAACACGAACCAAAACAACGGACGAGAGAACGAGAAGAACTCGAGTCCGGCCCCTACGACGAACTCGAACTCGGCGGAGGACACTCGCAAGAAGTCGTCGAACTGGGCAAAGCCCTCGAGGGGCGGCGGTCGCAGACCTCAGGTGCAGCAAGCAGTGGCTGTCAACAGCGGCTGGTAAAGCAAGTGGGAAATGACTAGGGACTGTCGAGCACATGAGGACGAGAGCGGTCTTGGACGCGGATGGGATGTTTCAAGTGTGATGTTATTGCGGCTTGCAAGGTGAAGCAGATTCACCACCCGCGGACGCAAAGATGTGTTCGGCATTGAGCAGATGTGAGATGGATGCGATTGCTCTATGGGATTATGCATAGCAGTGACGGCGTCAGTGTAGTCAGTACCATTCCAAATCAAACAGATATTCACAACCATTCTCCAGTCTCTCCTACATGCAGTGAGCGCGCATGAATAAACGCCAGACGTAACAACCTCAGCCGCCGTAATCTATTCCGAGACTTCCCGACCCGCATCACGTGTCGCTGTATCTCCAAGACACGGCCCGTTTTTGCAGACCCAAACCTTTCCTCTTCCATCTTCCCTTATCTCTGCCTTGACGACTTCTAATTGCCTCGTCGCGCTCCCACCTCGCTTCACCATTCTTGACCACTCAGGCCAAGCATCTCGGCGGACTGTGTAGTGCCTCGTGGCAGTGGGGTCGCGGTATACAAGGCGCGTGTTGCAAGGCCAATGGACTGACTTCCGTGGTTCCGGGGTGTCTGCTATCAGTCGAAGCTTTTGAGAGATCTGGAAAGGCAATCTTGGAGGATGTCCGGAGTATTGGGATGGTGGAGGGTTGGGGAACGGGAGTTACGTGGTCGGTGTTGGCGGAGAGGATATGTAGGTCGTGGTGCGCCTCGAAGGATGTGAGGTTGGTTTGAATGAATCTGTGTTGATCGCTCCATCTTCTGTCTCTTTGTTCATCTGGAAAGCGCATTAAGTCATGTCTTCTTCTGAGCCTCCGTCGTACAACCCTGCTGAGCCATGGGTAAGACACTATACTGTAACGCGCGACAGGAGAATGGTGACTGATAGTGCAACAGGGCGGCAACAGCGAGGGAGCCGCTGAGGACGTCAACGCCCAGTACTCGGGCTTCGAGTTCCATTATGTCTACCTCATCATCTGTGCCTTCATCGTCTGGCTGGTTTGTTCCCTCGCCGAGAACTGTACCTGTGTTGGAGGACTGTTGAGTCAGACGCTAACATGTCTTCCTTCTCCAGATCATCCCTGGCATCGGCCTTTTGTATGGAGGTCTCGCGCGCCGCAAGAGCAGTCTCAGTCTCCTCTTCCAAAGCTTCATGACAACCGCGGTTGTCACCTTCACATGGATGTTCTGGGGGTACTCGCTCGCCTATGCCCGCGATGCCAGCCCCTTCATCGGCACCCTGACCAACTTCGGCATGATGAAGGTACAAGCCGCACCGAGTCCTGGTTCTGCCTATATCCCAGAGATCGTCTTCTGCCTCTACCAGCTCATGTTCGCGGCCGTTACGGTGCAGATCTTGATCGGCGGCGCGTTTGAGCGTGGTCGGATCGTACCGTCGTTGGTGTTCGCGTTCCTGTGGACGACAATCGTGTACTGCCCAGTGGCATGCTGGACTTGGAACGCCAATGGATGGTTGTTTAACCTGCCGTCGCTTGACTATGCTGGAGGGGGACCTGTGCATATTGCCAGCGGCTGCTCTGCCTTGGCGTACGCGCTTGTTCTCGGAAAGAGGAAACACAGGGGCGACGAAGGTCATGGCAAGCCTCACAACACGACGCTGGTTTTCTTGGGAACGGTCCTCATCTGGTTCGGATGGTTCGGGTTCAACGGCGGTTCGACGCTCAACGCCACGGTAAGTCCCTCGACCATTGCTGTTGCGGATCAATGCTGACGACGAGCTAGGTCCGTGGTATGTATGCCGCCTTCAACACCAACACTGCCGCCTGCTGCGGAGCAATCGGCTGGGTCTTGGTCGACTTCATCCGCACCAAGGGTCGCTTTAGCGTTGTTGGCATGTGTGAGGGAGTGATTGCTGGGCTTGTCGGCATCACCCCTGCCGCGGGTTACGTTTCTTGCTGGTGAGTTCCTTAACTTTCCGATACCACATCAAAAAGTCGAGTTAACATTGCGTAGGCCGGCTGCGCTTATCGGCTTCCTCACCGCTGTCGTATGTGCCTTGCTTCAAAATCTCAACAAGTGGATCCGCATCGACGAAGGCCTCTACGTCTTCAAGCTTCACGGCATTGGCGGTATTGTCGGATCCTTCCTCACCGGTATTTTTGCCGACTCAGCCATCTCAGCACTCGATGGCTCTACCCTTGCACCAGGAGCCTGGAACGGCAACGGCGTCCAAGTTGCCAGACAGCTTGCCGACATTGCCGCCATCAGCGCCTACAGCTTCGTCGTCAGTTTTATCCTGCTGTTCGCCTTAAAGTATATTCCTGGCATGCATCTGCGTGTTAGCGAGGAGGCTGAGATGAAGGGGCTTGACATCGATCAGTTCTTTGATGAGCAGATTGGCGATTGGAGCTTCTTCCAGGACCTTGACAATGAGAGCCACCATATGCGTGGTATGACGCAGGATGGTATGCCTATGAGCAAGGTGCCTAGCTCAGACAGAAGTGGAAATGGTGAGACTAAGCAGTAATGGAATGAGTCAAACGGGAAGTGGGAGGAGATAGCAGATAACATTGGTACTTCAGCTCAACACAGTCAGCACGGAGACTCCGAACAGGTCCACCTACTTCCCATGGTATCGAGACCACGAGCCATCAATGGCCGCCGGCGTCTGCTTCGTTAGTCCTCGATCGGGCCACGTTGATGGCTAACAGCCTCTTCATCTCCGTCCTTCGAAGCTGAGCGTGTTGCCCTCGCCCCGGTGCGAAACGGGGAGCGCATTCAATCGCATGCTTTGCGCAAAGAAGCGCCTGTTTTGCAATGTGTTGATTCTCTGTACCACCAACAACGTGTCGCAGACGTGGCAGCACGGGTTGAGCTCGTCCCGGCTATGAGATTCCGCTGCCGTGGCGAAATACAACCACCGCGAGACGGCCGTAGTTCCGCCCGCATGCAAGTCGAATGCGAGCGGAAACAACCAATTTCGTGAGGGTCGGCGCCTGTCAGCTCGCTCGTGGGTCCCTGTGCCGTCGTTCAGCTGGCCGTCTTTCTTAAAGCGCGTTCGAATGTCATAGTCATCACAGCCATCCTTCTAAGCGTTCCACCTTCGGAGCACATGTACTGTCGGTTTCCCGCTGTGACCATTCGAAGACACGGAAGTTGAAGCAGCCGGGCTAATAGCGAGAGTGCAGTGGTGGGCGCCGGCATTTGATCTTCGGAACTGGACCCCACGCCACCAACGACGACTGTTCATAGACATCAAGACGACGTCCCTCGTACCACTTCGAACAACGAACACTTTCACTCTCTTCCTTCTAGGCGACCCATATAGAGCAGACCATTCTTGGGCAGATATTGGGGATCAACAAGACCATATTTGCGACTGGTCACAACCCATATCATCCACCAACTCCCCGCAGTGTACGGCAATATGGCGCAACTCGACACTCTCGATATAATCGTTCTGGTGGCATTGCTGCTCGGCACAGTCGCTTACTTTACGAAGGGGACATACTGGGCAGTACAGAAGGATCCCTACGCCACATCACTCGCCAATGGCAGCGCTTCAAAGGCGGGCAAGAGTAGGAACATCCTCGAGAAGATGCAGGAGACGGGGAAGAACTGTGTGGTCTTCTATGGCTCGCAGACAGGCACAGCTGAGGACTACGCATCGCGGATAGCGAAGGAAGGGTCTTCAAGATTCGGGCTCAAGACAATGACAGCGGACTTGGAGGAATATGACTACGAGAACCTCGACCAGTTTCCGGATGACTGCTTGGCTGTATTCGTCCTGGCTACCTACGGCGAGGGCGAGCCCACGGACAACGCTGTGGAATTTTACGAGTTCATCGGCGGCGAAGATGTGTCGTTCAGCGAGAAGGGCGGCGCGGATGGCGAGCCTCTGGGCAGCATGAAGTACGTCGCCTTCGGTCTCGGCAACAACACATACGAGCACTACAACTCCATGGTCCGGAATGTTACAAAGTACCTCGACCGCCTGGGAGCGAAGCGCATTGGAGAAGCTGGTGAGGGCGACGATGGCGCCGGTACCATGGAGGAGGACTTCCTAGCATGGAAAGAGCCAATGTGGACCGCTCTCGCAGATGCGATGAACTTGGAGGAGCGTGAAGCGATCTACGAGCCGGTTTTCGAGGTCACCGAGAAGCCTGAAATGAGTGCTGAAGACGACACTGTATACCTTGGCGAGCCGAACAAGAACCACCTCGAGGGAGCGTCCAAGGGACCGTACAACGCACACAACCCTTACATCGCACCTATAACTGAGTCGACAGAGATCTTCCAAGACAAAGAGCGGAACTGCTTGCACCTCGAAGTCGACATTTCGGAGTCTAATTTGTCCTACACTACTGGAGATCACATTGCCGTATGGCCGACCAACTCAGGCAGAGAGGTCGACAGATTTCTGAGGATCATCAACATGCAAGATAAGAAAGACACCGTCATCACTGTAAAGGGCTTGGACGCAACGGCGAAGGTACCATTCCCGTCGCCAACCACGTACGAGGCAGCTGTTCGGTACCACATGGAGATTGGCGCGCCTGTCTCCCGCCAGATGGTTGACTCACTTGCGCAATTCGCACCCAATGAAGACATCAAGAATGAAATGTCTAGGATCGGCAAGGACAAGGACCTCTTCGCTGAGAAAGTCTCCAGCAAACGCTTCAACATCGCGCAGTTCCTTGAGTCTTTTGGTCAGAAGTGGGACAAGATTCCATTCTCATTCTTCATCGAAGGCATCCACAAGCTCCAGCCTCGCTACTACTCCATCTCGTCATCCTCGCTCGCGCAAAAGAAGAAGATTGCCATCACCGCTGTCGTCACTTCGGAAGCAAGCGAGGGCTCTGACCACGTCGTCAAGGGCGTCACCACGAACTACCTGCTCGCTCTCAAAGAGAAGCAGCACGGCGCCGCGAACCCTGACCCTCATGGCCTGGAATACGCCTTGACCGGCCCCCGCAACAAGTACGACGGCATCCACGTCCCTGTCCATGTCCGACACTCGAACTTCAAGCTCCCCTCAGACCCTGCTAAGCCCATAATCATGGTCGGTCCTGGATCCGGCGTCGCGCCCTTCCGCGGCTTCGTCCAGGAACGCGCCGAGCAGAAGAAGAAGGGCGAGAATGTCGGCAAGACGATCCTGTTCTTCGGCTGTAGGAAGGAGAAGGAGGATTTCATTTATCGCGAGCAGTGGGAGGTAAGCATACCCCATCCCCATCTTCTCCATCCCACTGTTATACTAACGTACATCCACAGCAATGGGGCGAAGACCTCGGCGACTCCTTCGAGCTCATCACCGCCTTCTCCCGCGACGGCGTTAATAAAGTCTACGTGCAACACCGGCTCAAAGAGAAGGCCGAGGAAGTCAACAAGCTGCTCGAACAGAAGGCGTACTTTTACGTCTGCGGTGACGCGGCGAATATGGCGAGGGATGTTAGTGATGTGCTGTGTGGGATCATCTCGGAGAAGAGGGGGGTGAGCAAGCAGAAGGGGGAGGAGATTGTCAAGGGGATGCGGGCGGCGAATCAGTATCAGGAGGATGTTTGGTCGTAGATGGTCACGAGGATGAATTTGAAGTGGTTGTGAGGGTTGGAATGGACCTGGAAATGGGCTGGGCTGGGCGTTGTTCTGGTATACGAGGCGTTGCATTGGGTGGTGAGAGCGTGGTGTTTAGATCTTGGGGTAGATTTTGTGCTTTCTCTGGCTGCTGGCGTAGATTTGTCTATAGGTGAAAGACTTTTCTACATGATGCATCTGACGAGACAACTTCTGCGTGAGTAGATAAACCACGACAAAGCTCTTTCGGACACTCACGTACGTGACCTCAAACCCAAAGACGAGATGGAAGCGATCCGTGCACCTCTCGCTCGCTTACCCACCTCCGAGCATCTTCGAACATCGCACACTCAGCACCACTGCACCTACCCGCGCGCGCTCTGCGTTTGCAAGGCATACAGTACAAATGTACAGGAACCCGTCTGCTGTGCTTGACGCCTTTGCGCTCGGGGAAAGGGGACACGTCCTACGGTGCTAATGCACTTCTTGCTGCCGGCTGCTGGGTGCCGATGGGCCCCGGGTTCCGGGAACCGGGTTGCGGTGTTGCTGCGTTGTTTGACAGGTTTTCTTGATGTTCGGAAGGGGGCGAGGGGGTGATGGAGCCGAGAGGTCGATCTTTAAGATGGAGATGGGATGATGATGATGATGTGCAGCTCTCTTGGTGGGCATTCCGAGATCTCCACATCCAGCGTTTCTGGAGACGACAGAAGACAGACGTCTAGAAATTCTGCTGCAGGCTTCTGTTGCACAGCAGCGCCAGCGCGATTCCGTGGCTCCTTGCATGGTTCTTGCTCTTGGAGCTGACAACGCAGACAGCTGAGCTGACGAGAAGGAGAGCAGCAGATATGACGAGTTCGAGGCGAAGCACTGGTGCCAATGAAATGAGAAGCAGGTAGGTAGCAATGAGAGATCGTGCTCGACACGTCGGGAGAGCAAGATCTGAAGAAGCACGAGAGATGAGTGCCACTTACTGTATCCCACCTGCCGGGTTGAAGCCTGTAGATGGCGCAACCGGGACGCAGGTACAAGGCGGCTGCATTGAGCGACGAACGCCACTGCTTTCTGGTGATCGCTGCACGATCGAATGTGGAAAGCTGTCAAACGAGGATGCGGTGTTGAGAGCGTCACGATCTCCACAAGTGAGTGTCCGTCGCGCTTGCCTTTGTTGTGGACGGCTTAAACTTTGGTGAGGAAGGAGCTGACTTCACCTACTCAGATATCGGTCTTGGCAATGTGATAGATCAGATGCAATATGGAGGGAGCATGATCCTGACCTGAGGTCCATTGGATGGTAAGCAGCGTTTGTATGCATCCTGCCATGAGTCTGCAACGGAGAGGTACCGGCAGTCGGTGGTAGAGGGGGGCCAGGATGTTGTCGTGCGACCCGACTTGCAACATGCTACACCGTGGCTGCGGTTTCGTAGCACCACCGCCGGCAGTAGGCGGCGGGGCAAGCATTCAAACAAAGGCAGAGTGGCTTGCAGTCCGTCAAACAATTGCGGCCCCTGCGTGTCACCCCGACCAGACGTGCTGCAGATGACAGCAAAAAGGGCGGGTCTGCCCTCGAAGCCGGACGTCTTGAACACCTGAGTCTCTGTCTTTGTGTTGAAAGCGTGTTGTGTTCCATATTCTTCACAAGACATTGCTATCCATCACCACCATCACCACCACCACCGCCCATATCCAACCTCCCATTGCGCCGACGAGATCGAGTTGTCGTCTTGGTGCCTTCCTCCTGCCTGGTCACCAGATCTGAAGCTTCCACACCTGGAAGGGTGACTTCGAGTCTGACCTGCCATTCGACGATACTCGCCTTCCTCCACCATCACCACAGCAGCAATACCAGCAGCGACGAGTCTTCGGCTTTGCCGTGCTCGAGTCCGAGTCCAAGGTACGCTCCTTCCTTCAACTCATACCCGGCAACCACCGAAGATCTAGCGTCAGTCTCTGTCCATGTCGACCTGTTCTTCTCTTCTTCCTCTTCCTCTTCCTTTCCTCCTCACACATCCAGCTTCTACTCCTCCCACAGCACCATTTGCACTCTTCATTCTCTTGCATTGTCGTTGACGAAACAATCTTGGTAGAATCCCATCCACTTCTCGCCACTCCTTTCTGCTGCTGCTGCATCCCACCTCGACCTCACCGTCACTCCTCGACTCGGCAGCCTCCGGCAACAACGAGCTCAAGTCCTTGAGACATCTTCAGGTGAGCATTTTCTTCCTCCATCCCTCCATTTGACATGCCGTGGCTTTGGAGAGTCAGGGGAGGCCACTCTCACCGTCATTTGGCACTTCCACAACCTCACTTTAGGCTCAACATCACACAATGCTGACTCGTGCAAATTCAGACCCACGGCCCCCTCCATTCAATACGACCTTCAACTCCAACCGGCAGTGTCGGTAAGAGCTCATCCTGCTTGCCATTCCACCACTGCACCAGCACCAGCACCAGCACAGCATCTCCTCGCAGCACACATGACCTCGCTATCCACCCACCAGCACGATCCTTATTCCTACCCCTCGAACCAGTGGAACAACAGAATGGTCCGCCAAAGACCTCACGGCCCTGCGGCACCACACCCTGCAATGGCCTTTGTTAACACCAGGTCTGCAGCAATGGCATCGGTCACCGACTCGAAGAACACGGGCTACCCGCGGGCGAACAACGGCTACGGCAACAACATGTACAACAACCAGTATGGCGGTCGCGGTCACGCAGGACAAGGCTACGGCATGCACAACCCCGCTGCTGATATGGCAGCCCTCACTCATGGCTTTCAAGGCATGAACCTTCCCAACTCGTCCTTCGCTGCTCAGGCCAAGAACGCCATGATGTCGACCGCTGCTACTAACTACAACGGACTCCCGGCGGTCACCTCGATGCCTCCTGCAATGTACGGCGCACCCAACCAGTACATCTTCCCGAACAACTACGGCGGCGCTGGCAACAACCAGGCGGCCAACATGTACACTCCGCACGTCCAGCAGTACATGCCGCCGATGACCTTCCAAGGCTACAACCCGCACGATAACAGCCCGCTGTCTCAGCAGAACTGGACACCCACCACTGGTGCCACCGGCGAGGTGCCGACGCTGATCACTCCTCGTCGTGACTCCATCTCATCCAACGAGAATGACCAGCCAACCACACCGTCTTACGCCGGCTACCCTACCTTCGCTCCGCGCGCCGTCAACATCAACCGCTCACCAAGCGGCGTCTACACCCACAGCACACCGTCTCCGACCTCCATGATCGGTCCGTACGGCATGCCATTGGCGAAGCAGCTGGAGCAGAGTGATGTCTCGCCAGAGATCAAGAGGCTCGTGTCACAGGCACCCAGCATCCCGCCGGCGATTCCAGCTCCGTCGTCGCCGTTGAAGCCACTTGACCGTGCTCTGGAGAACCAGCGTGGCGAGACCAACGTCTACATCCGCGGACTGCTGCCGGCGACCAGTGATGAAGTGCTCGAAGGCTGGGGCAGCCGCTTCGGTGACATCAAGAGCTCGAAGTCGATCATCGATCTCAACACTGGCTTGTGCAAGGGGTATGTCGTCCTCTTCGATCTTTGTTGACACCGCTGACCCTCAACAGCTTCGGCTTCATCAAGTACCACAACTACGAGGACGCCGAGAACTGCATTCGTGGCTTCCACTACCTTGGGTATGAAGTCAGCTTCGCCAGGGTGAGTCTCACTGTCGTTCTCATCATATCCATCCACCATGCTGACACCCATTCAGGAGTCGTTCTACTCGAAGCTCAAGGCCTTCTCCGACGAGCACAACACCAACCTCTACGTTTCGAACCTGCCCAAGACCATGAACGAGCATGAGCTCGCTCAGCTCTTCGGCCCGCACAAGGTGTGCTCCTCTCGCATCCTCCGCATGAAGAGTGGCCACGGCCGTGGTGTTGGCTTTGCTCGGTGAGTACCGTCGTCGCCCCTGCCACGCTTGACCTTGCTGACCACGACACAGCTTCGAGACTCGTGACGCCTGCGAGCAGGTCATCAAGGACTACAACAACTTCACCATCAAGGACCCGAACGGCGAGGAGCTTCAAATCCAGATCCGCTACGCCGACACCCAGGAGCAGAAGTCGCTCAAGCAGCAGACCCAAGCTGCCCGTCAGTTCCGGTCTGCCGAGTACGAGTACGCCACTCAAGCCTGGCGCCAGGGCAATCTCCCTTATGCCGGCAGCAACGCCGGTGACAGCCAGGACGGCAACGAGTTCGAGCAGTACCTCGGGACCACCGCCAACGTCCCCATCCAAGGCCAGCGCTGGGCTCAGTACGGCGGGGGTGGTCTCCCCGGCCGCAGCCCTCTCGGCGGTCTGCCGGCCAACACCTCTCAGGCGCCCATGGTCCAGATTAACGTCGCCTCCGACGCCGCTCACGCTGTCACGGCTGCTGAGGCTGCTGACACCAAGCCCGCCGTCACCTCGCCGGCCACTGCCCAGGCAGCCAACAGCCCTGTCGACTCCGGTGCCGCCTCCGGGCAGGAGTGATGGCCTGACACCCATCAACGACAACGCAGCACCGACGCATACTTACCGTCGTTACCAAACTCTGGATGTACATTCGCAACGACATCAACGATTGCACTACGAAGCTTATGAAGCGTTACGACTGCATGCCACCACCAACTTCATCGCCTGCTGTATCGCTACTGCATGCCTGGCCCCTTTCGTCCGGCATCGACGCTCACTGTTGATACAACATCACCAACGCATCATCATCACACATGTCGACAAGCACATGTTGGCCTGTCTTGGCTTGGCAACATCATACCTATCTTCGCACAACAGCAGCCCTGCAGATGTCTGGCATCTGTACTTTTAGCTGGTGACACATGGTTTATGGGTACACGGGTTTTTTTCCTTTGTTCGAACTTGCAAGGCAGGCGGAGGTGGAAGAGAGCATGCAAACTAAGCCTTCACGGGCGTATGGGGAGGACTGTTTTGAGCGAGCTTGTTGTTAATGTAATGACCTCACTGCTGCTGCTTGCTTGTTGTTCCGATCGCTTCAATGTGAGTATCATGACTTTGATGCGGCAGGTTTTGAGGTGGGAAAAGTTTAGGGGGTAGATGTGGCAGTGTGATGGATTTCCTCGCACGATCATCATTCTGCTCCATCGTTCCTCTTCGTTATTACATGTTTAAGATGGTTTTGCGGATGTTCTGAAGATGGGTCAATGGTAAGTGTATGTACAGGCAGGCACCTGCTCGACCTCTGCCCATCCGCATCGGACAGCTCGAGCAGCCGAACAAGCCTCTCCTCGACCGCAGGTCTGTACACCACTCCCAACCAACCATGCCCACACCTTCTCACTTCTTCCCAAAAAACGACATGATGTTCCCCTGCCCGGGCTTCCCACCCTTCTTCGCCGCCGTCTTGCCACCACCGCCCGCATTGGCATTGCTCGAAGGCAGTCTCGCCTTCTTTGGCGGCGGCTCGTCTTCGGAGAAGGACTCCCAGGCGGGTTCTTCTTTCGTCACTGTGCACAGTCAGCATCGGGTTCATTCTGTGTTGTGTGTGGGATATGGCGATCATACCCAGGTAGCCTTCTTCGTCTTTGACGGTCTTCTTGATCGTTATGCGTCTCCGTCCGCGACGCCGGCCGTTCTCTACTATGACGGTCTCTTTTGGCTCTTCTTCCTGAGGTGGAGGGACGGGTTTGTCTATGGCATTGCTCGGCTCCTCCTCCGCCTCCTCAGCACCAGTCGTAGGAGTGGGCGCCGCATCCTCCATCTCCTCATCCTCCTGGTCCATCATCGCCGCCAACTCCGCTGCGCGCTCTTTCTTTGATTTGCCTGTTGGTGCCGAGTCGGAGGCTTTTTCTGCTTCTAGCATGGCAGCGTCGTCGTCATCAGCTTCGTCTTCGGAGAAATCGGCCATGGGTTCGTCTTCGGTTGGGGCTGGAGCTGGGGAGGCGGAGGCGGAGGACTGGCTGTCGTTTTTCTGCTTGGGCTTGGAGGTGGATTTGGCGAAGGACTTGAAGATGTCGGAGTTTTGGCGCTTGGTTGCGGGAGGTTTCGAGGTTGGCTTCTTCGACTCTGGTTCGGGTGTTGGTTTGGCAGAGGGGGTTTTGGAGGAGGGCTTCTGCGGTTCTGAGGGTTTGGTCGTTGGTGCTGCGGGTTTGACTTTGGTCTCTGCTGTCTTTGCTACTGGCGCTGGTGGTGGAGGCGCTGTACCGCGTTTCCGACGCTTTACGTTCGGGTTCTGGATTGTACCGTATTGCTTCCATGCTTCCAGCGGGTCTTCTGATGCGTAGTCCGCGGCGACTTTGCGGTTGCATTCAGTGAGGACCTGCACGTCGGTCAGGGCGTGAGGCTCAAGGCTGTAGATGTGCGTGCTGGAGATTGTGTCGAAGGTCGCTTTGGCTTGGTCGAGGTGTTCTTGCTTGACGAGCAAAATGGAGCGGATTAAGGCTGGTTCTGGAGTCGATTCGGTCGAGGGTTGCGGGATTGAAGAGGAGGGTAGGACGGGGCTGCTCTGCATGATCGTGTCGTCGCCATCGGTCTCTTGACTAGGGGCGGCGCCATTGCCATTGGATTGGGGAGGGTCTGGGAGGACACGACGTATGCCGGTGAGGAGGTAGGTTGCGTGGACGCTGCTGGGTGTCTTTGCGTTTTGTTTGCGGTGAAACTCGTAGAGCATCCTGGCATCCTATCAGTCTCTGAAGGCGTGTATTGCATTGTTCAAGAGTCATACTGCTTCGCAAGATTGACATGTACTTTCAATGCTCTGCTGAGCAGTCTGTAGCTGACCTGAACATTGTTAGCTTCTGATCGTGTGCTGCCATTGCGAGCGTACAATCTGCTTCTCATTCAACACATTTACTGCCAGGTACTCTGTGTAGTCCTGCGCCATCTTTGCGATCTTTATGTATACCTCGAAAGACTCGGGTAACTCGTCCGATGTCAACGCGTCGAGGCGCGTTAAGCACTTTGGAAGAGAGAGACAAAAGTCGTGGCATAGATTTCATCCCAAAGAGGAAGTTACTCTTCCTGAAAGACTATGGACGGCATGGAAGGTCTAGAAGACGAGGACGATCTGAGACTCGTACAAGCATCCGCTGGCCTGCTCAATGACCTGCAAGAGTCTCTACCAAAACTCCTCTGGAAGCCCTCAAAGTCGGGTACAAGACATGGCCCAGTCCATCGACAGGTAAAGAGGCGGGATCTTGACCATGTGATCAACTTGGTAATAGCTAGGAATCTCCTACGGCTGGCAACTTGTTAACTCTAACAGTCTCCAGATAGAACCCTTCCAAGGCGATCCGCAACTGCTTGATACCAAGTTGAAGTTCATCCTACCACCTATTGTTGAGGCCTACCTGCAGTATATAAGCCAGCCACTCAGCAGCCGGCCACTGGAGCATGTCGACCTACAAACTGCGGTCTGCAAGATCTTGTACGTCCTCTGCAAGGTCAGGGGTTACAAAGTTATCGTTGGCTTCTTGAACAACGAGCCGCGATACCTGGAACCGGTCCTTGACAGAATGGAAGCCTCGCTCGCAGCCAAGGGTGACCAGTCGTCTGAATGGCAGGTACAGTACATCCTGCTACTATGGCTGTCCCACTTGATGCTTACACCGTTTGATCTGGCCTCGATTTCACCTGCTCGACCGCCTGGAGATGCGGCGCCCATTCCCATTCTGGTGGAAAGGATTCAGGAGGCTGGAGTGAAGCTACTGTCTTCCTCTACCAAAGCACAAGATGCTGCGGCTACGCTGTTGGTGCGCTTGGTCACTAGGCCTGACATGCTGAAACTTGGGCTATGCACTTCCTTGAGCCCAAAGCTCTTACGCGACATGTCCCCTAAACTGTCGTCCGACAGCACGAACAACATATACGAGCTCCTCGGCCCATTACGCTTCTACGCCGGCATTGCCATGGCATCGGCTGATAATCGACTTGGTGTTGTGGATATCTACAAGAACTGCTGGAAGCTGTCCGAAGAGTCAGACTCACGCCTGGCCAACAATGCGGTTGCAAAAAAGCTATTTGTGAAGATTTTCAGGAACACTGCCATTACGGCACTACGGGCTGCTTCTGTCCAGAGCAAATTGACCTCAATGTTAGAGACATCGGGCCTTATCGAGGATGTTATCGACTACCTACTTCGGTCACTCGGCGATAGAGACACACCAGTCCGGTATGCTGCCGCGAAAGCGCTCAGCCGGCTTGTGCTGGAGCTGGAACCGGCCCTGGGGCACGAAATCATCCAAGCCGTCCTGGACATGTTCAAGGAAGACACGCCTAGGGACGCTGAAGCTTTGAATTTCACTACAGCGAATGCTCTCAAGTGGCACGGCTTGACTTTGACTCTCGCTCACATGCTATTCAAGCGCTCTGCAGCTCCGGAACAGCTGCCAGACATCGTCAATGCCCTGGTTTCAGCTCTGCAGTTTGAGCAGCGAACAGCGACTGGTAGCAGCGTTGGGACAAATGTGAGAGATGCTGCAAACTTTGGCTTGTGGGCATTGTCGAGGAGGTACACGACCAATGAGCTCCTCTCCGTCGATGCAACATTCCTGCAGACAGCTCTAACAAAAGGGGAAGACCATTCAATCATACAAGTGCTAGCCACGAATCTTGTGCTCTCCGCATGTCTCGACCCCGTAGGCAACATTCGCCGCGGCTCTTCAGCAGCACTCCAGGAGCTTGTCGGGCGGCATCCCAACCAGGTCTCGGAAGGGATTGCGTTGGTGCAGGTAGTCGACTATCAAGCTGTTGGTCTACGCAGACGGGCAATGGTTGACGTGGCCTCACACGCAGCCGCCCTTTCAGGAGATCAAGGCAGCTACTGGACTGCCTTAGTCGATGGTCTGCTCGGCTGGCGTGGTGTTGGATCTCCTGATGTGCCATCCAGAGAAGCTGCTGCTGGTGGAATAGCAGCACTGAGCCATTCGAGCTTCGAAGCTATCACGACTTTGATCAAGACCGTGAAGACGCCTTTGCTACGTTGGCAGAAGGCCGAGGAGCTCCATGGCCTAACGCTGTCACTGACATACCTCCTTCTGAACACCGAGCGACGAGGTTTCACTAAAAAGGTAATGGAACGTGGTGAGGTCGGCGCGCTACTGTCGATGGTCGACGTCTACAACATACTCTTCCTCATTGCGAAAGGGACCAAGACCTTCACCGCTCGAAGCATCCGGTCGGAACTGTCAAGCGCTATTGCGAGGTTTCTGGCTGCCCTGTGCACGTCCTTGATGGGCGTTGGCGAGCTCGCGGATATACCTATCCCGCATATCGACCTACTTACGGAACGCCTCTTCACACGCTACGAGGACACCATCCAGCAAGCGATACCTGATCTCGCTGTCGCTCTTCTCAACTTGAAGAGGAGGATGGAGATACACCTTACCTGCATTGCGTCGAAGGCTTTGAGCAAGCAGGTTGCTATCGACAGCTCGAAAAGCACATTTAACGGTGCTTGTGGGGCCGTAGCTCTCGGTGCTCTAGCGGCTCGGTATGGAGATGGGCTGAATGGGGAGGGTGCCGAGGCGGCGGTGTGGACGCTCGCAGCGTTGACGGATGCTATGAATGTGGACTGGCGTGTTGTTGGAATCAAGGCGCTTCGTCTTGCCGTCGAGGCGACTGCAGAGGATGCAGCGGTTGATGAAGAACTGGCGGGGAAACTGATGAATGCCGTGCACCGCGGGATGAACGACTACACGATTGACGAGAGGGGAGACGTTGGTTCTCTCGTACGGCTACAAGCTATTGCATGCACGTCCGCTATATTTGCGAAACTTGCTCTTCTCGAGCAACAAGAGCTTTACGAGCTGTTGCAAGCGGACATTTATCGGCTCTGCTTTGAGAAGCTGGATCGTGTGCGCTTCGAAGCAGCGCAATGCTGCTCTTACCACTTTGACTTGGAGGTCAAGACTGGCGATGTGGCCAGTGTGTCGTCAGAAGAGTACTTCATCCGATGCTTGGAGCCTTTGACCCGGGAAGAGCCTGAGTGGAAGCACCGAGCTCTGCTCGAAGGCTGCATCTCGTGCGCCGGCATCAGTTCTGAGTCACTACTCCAAGCCTCTCGAGCCGCACTTGTACACACCCTCGGCGCCGTTCCTACGGCGCAGCTGACAACCCTGCTCGCCATCTTCGCCGTCGTCCTCAAGACCCTGCTCCTCGACAACAGCACCAACACAATGCATCCCGCCCTCGAACTCCTCTCCTTCCTCCTCGACATGCAGATCCCACAATGCCTCACCAACACCGACTTCAAATGGCGCAACCTGCTCTCCACCATCCAGAAATCCCACCACAAGTCCAACGACATACCGAAGATCCTTGCAGCCGTCCACGTCTACCGCGGAATGGCGGATGTTCCGGCTGTGAGGGCAGAAGTGCTGAAGAAGTTGGTTAGTATGTTGAAGACGAATCCTTATCCGAGGGTACGGCTGGCGGTGGCGGAGGCGCTGTGGGTTGTTACGGGGGAAGAGGGGTTGAGGGGACGAGATTGGATGAAGGGGGTTAAGGAGAATGGGGACGTGTTGAGGGAGTTGGAGGGCAGGTTGGTTGGGGGATGAGGATCATGCTGGGAGCGTGGAAGATGGGGACAGGTCCTGGGCGATACGTCCAATCACTGGCGGATCTCAAGAGGCTGATGGGATCCTCGTACAGATTTCCCCGGAGGTTCGGAGCACCAAAGATCACCTTAGCCACGTTGAATCCATGGCAGCTCTGTTCCTTCGGCCGGAGAATGTATATATTTCCACGCTTAGTAAGACTGGGTTGGTTCGCTCGCCCATCTACACCAACACGTTGCGCAGCCTGACGTATGCAATTCCACCTTTGCAAGCAGACTTACGAGCTTCTCATGATGGACGCAGCATTTTCCACGCTGTGTTTACATTGCGCGCAACATGGATGACCCGTCCTCCGTTCCCACGCCTCCAGAAACGCCTACTGTTCCACCGCAGAAGAAGGACACTGCGGCCGAGCTCGAGCGCCTCTCATGCCTGATCATCCACGCGCATAACGAGCGCGACTTCGAATTCCAGGGCGCGGACACGCAAGAGCTGCAGGCCCATATATCTCCTCAGTGGAAAGGCGAGATAGACACCGGCGGCCCGCGCGACCGACCCATCACTTGGGAAGAGCAGACATCAGCGTGGAAGCAGCGCGCAGAAGAGCATCCAGACGTGCGCTTCGATATCAGGCACGTCTCCTCCCAGGTCAATGAGAGAAGTGGTGTCGCGAAGGTGTACATGGAGATGGAGGTGTCGGGCATTGGCGGGGTCACGTTGCACGCTATGAATGAGCTTCGGTGGAGGAAGGTTGAGAGGTTGTGGTTGTTACATTATACGCTTGGTATGCGCGGGAGTCCTGCGAATGCTGGTATGCCGTGACGGCCGACTGCCTTCTAGAACCTCTGAGGAGACGGACCGACAAAGATGAAGTTCCAATACACGCAGCTGCAGCGAGGCAGCATTCGGCTCGTACGATTCAGCCAGTATTGCACGCCCAGTTTCATACATGTGTGGATGGAGCATCTGCCGGACTTTCGCAAGGACACTTCACCCTACAACGTCTTGTCGTACAGCCCGGACGATCCGAAGTACGAAGACCTGAAGTCCATCATGCTCAATGGCCGCTCCTTTATGGTGCCATCGACCGTTCACGAGGCTCTCAGCGCCATCGTGGAGCATCACAGGACTAACGAGGGCTACTGGATTGACAGAGTGTCTATCAACTGCGGCGATCCAGCTGAGAGGACCGAGCAGCTTGCCTTAATGCCCACCATTTTCTCTCATGCGGACCGGGTGCTGGTCTGGCTTGGCCCTGAGGACGATCAAACGGAGGCTGCTTTCAAGGCGATGCGTGAGCGAGCTGCACATTGCCCATACCCGTCGCTCGAAGAGTGCAATGCTGGCGGCGAGCATCGCGTGGTCTCCTCTGAGCAGGAGCAGAACGCTATGAAGTCTCTCCTGGCGAGAGACTACTTCCAGAAAGCGGGAATACGACCGGACGTTTTTCAAAAGAGGAATGGACATTTAATTTGCGGCAGATTCATGTGTGAGGTCGGGCTGTTTGTGCACTACCAACGCACGTCGGTCGGCCCTTCCGAAGCTGCGGAGCCTGGATCGGTGCTGTAATGGCCAACTGCGGAGGCATATTGGAATGCCAGAACCACTATTGGTCTCGAGAGCAGAGCGAGACATGTGCATACCTCCGTACACACCATCCGGAGTTCTATCACCGGGCCGCTGGACGCTTGGCCGGCATTGCACTAAGTAGAGCAAGAAGGGGAGCCGGCCAGCAACACCATACCTGTCGCAAGGCCAAGTAAGACGCCAGCGAAGTCGAGCTACGCAGACGACCGCTTCGATAGCCAGGTGTAGACTCCGCGGCCTTGGTCCAACCAGACAACCGTCGTCAACATTGGCTTGCCCTATCCTTTCAGCCTCATCACCACCGGTCAAGACTCAAGACCCGGCTACCACGATAGCGATCCGGCAGTCCTCGCGGCTAAAGTCAACAACAGCCCGGAAGGCATCAACCTGAAACTCGAAGCGTCGTAAAACATCTCGGACTACTTGGCAACCACGTTTACAGATCTCGGCGCTAGTTTTATCCCTGCGACACGTCCTTTTCGTTGTAGGCCAAGGACGACTACTACATATCGAGACTGCTCCCAAGTCCACCTCCAAGATGTCAAGGTCGTGCAATTCTCGACCTCAGCAGACACGAATCAACCATTGTTTCCGACTGAAGAGCTGCTTTCGCTTTATGTTTCGTCCTGATTGTTGCAGGCAGTATGTGGTACAGCCTCGAGCGGCAATGGCTATGGGGGTTGGTAGGCATACAAAAGCCTGTGCCGGTCGCAGAGATGTAGGCTTTCGTATACCAGCTCATTTTCATTGTTCAAGACGCTCATTCTCTTCACCAACTCATACACTCGTTACCTATTCAAGACTTGTTGATCAAGCATCCATTCTCCATCCACAATGTTCAAGCTCGCAACCACCCTCACCACCGCGGCCCTCTGCGCTGTCGGTGCCCTCGCCCAAAGCTCGACTGGTCAGAGTGGTGGCTACTACTACTCCTTCTGGACTGATGGTGCAGGTCAAGTCGACTACCAGAACGGCGAGGGCGGACGCTACACCGTGACTTGGTCCGGCGACGGCAATTGGGTTGGCGGCAAGGGCTGGCAGACGGGCACGGACCGCGCCATCTCGTTCTCGGGCGACTACTCGCCAAATGGCAACTCGTATTTGTCTGTTTATGGCTGGACCACGAACCCGCTTGTTGAGTACTACGTGCGCCGACTTATCCTTCCCTTCACTCGCACGAGATTTGTTCCTGATGCGGAGAACAGATCGTCGAGAACTTCGGCACCTACGACCCATCCAGCGGTGCCAGTGAGCTCGGAACGATCGAGTCTGATGGCTCGACTTACCGCATCTTGGAGACCACCCGTACGAACGCTCCTTCGATCGAAGGCACGTCCACGTTCAAGCAATACTGGTCCGTCCGTGAAGACAAGCGCTCTGAGGGTACCGTGACGACCGGCAACCACTTCGAGGCCTGGGCTTCGTATGGCCTGAACCTGGGCATGCACGACTACCAGATCATGGCTACCGAGGGCTACTTCTCCTCTGGATCCGCTGATATCACTGTTGGAGAGGGAACGGCTGATTCGTCGGCCGGCGATGGTGCTTCTGCTCCTTCTGGCGTGGTCTCTGCAGTACCATCCAACGTCGCCATCAATATCCCGTCTGCGGCTCCGGCTAGCTCTGCTGCGCCAGTCTTCTCTGCACCAGCTGGATCTGGCATTGCTCCCGTCAGCTCGGTGCCGGCTTCAACGCCTACTGCTGGGCCTTCTGGCGTAAGTTCTAAAGCATGACCCGGTGGATTGAACAGAAGCTGACTTTGAGCTGCAGTGCGTCGTCCAATACTTCCGGGCTTAAAGAAACCGTGTCGAGGGGTGTCCCTAGCGAGTGCGAATTTGCAGTCGTAATTGTTGGTGGTCCTGTCATGGCAATGGAAGTGATGCCGGGGGTTTGGAATGCTTCCATAGCCGAAGTTGCGATACTCGGTACAAGCTGTAGTCAGCGTTGGATGGATGGCTGCGATTCTTTTCTCTTCATTCTTCTCTTCATCAACATCAGCGTCGACACAGTCCAAGCCGCTGTTTCAGTTTGATTTCCAAAATGTAACATGGACGTTTCCAGCCGCATGAGCTTGCCGCAATTCATCGTTCGGTGACTCATACCTGCTCGGATGTGCTACGATGCAGACATATAGGATAAGGAACCTCTTGAAGATGGGAGATGAAACCTCATGAATATGCCGGAGAAACTCATCAACGGCATCCCCGTGGAAGAGATCCTCAATCCCATCATTAACAATCTTGAGCTCGTCGAACGGATCTCCCATCGCAAGAAAGCGCAGGAACTCACCATCGTTGACCCGGATCCGCAATGGCCGGAGTACTTCAAGACCTTTAAAGACCGCATCCTCAAAGCCTTCGATCCGCAAGGCGATGAGCAAGGTGGCAACGACGGGATGAGAGTCGAAATCCTCTCCATCAACCACGTCGGCAGCACCTCCGTCCCCAACCTCCCCGCCAAAGCCACCATCGACATCGACCTTGTCCTCTCCTCCACCACTCTCTCCTCTGAACCATTCTACGTCCCCCTTCTAGAGAGCGGAGGCTTTCAGTACGTCCTCCGCGAACCCTCATGGTACGAACATCGTTTCTTCGTCGCCTACGAGCCTATGCCGTGTAATCTGCACGTTTGGGGCCCGAAGTGTGCCGAGGTAGAGCGGCACCTCATTTTTCGGGACCGGTTGAGGGAGAATGATGGGGATCGGGAGTTGTATGGACGGACGAAGAGGGAGGCTATGAGGGTGGTGAGGGAGGGAGGGGAGGGGATGGTGGAGTATACTAAGAGGAAGGATGAGATTATTGGGGGGATTTTGGGGAGGGCTTTCCAGAGGTTAGGTTATTTGATTGATTGATGAGGGATGGGGATGTTCTGCTGTGTGGGACGTTTCTCAGTATGACTTTAGTTTACCACGTATTAAGCATAATTAGCAAGACATTCGATCAGATGGCGCTTTTGAGACTCGCTACTGAAGAACACAATCCATTTCGAACATAGACAGACCAAATGTATGAGCCTTGATACCAGGCGACGTAGCAGAGGAAGTGGCAGTCAGGTTCTGGCTTCTCCGTGACACTACCGCCTGCTTGGAAGACTCCTGATAGGCGATGCTGTTCCTATTATCTCGGAGAGCTATACTATCCGCCGGCTCCTCGCCTCTTCTCCATAAACAATCTCCTCCGAGTCCTCCCTAGAGGCTTCTGAGTATACTTTCCTTAGTCTAGACTGCGGAGACTGCCACTTCTTCTACTACGTCGCCTGGATACTGATTTTGCGCTGTGCGGCCGCATGTAGATCATCGTAGGGCTGACATGGGCACATAGACAGCCTCCAGGTGCCTTGCTGACATTTCGATTCAACTGGTACCAATCAAACTCGTCTCGCCCGCTCAACTTGGTGGCATGGGCGGTACATAAGGCCACCCTAGGTCTGCGCCACTCTCAGCTTCCCACTTCGAGATTTTGTATTATTGTTAGAGCTGACTTCATGGGGCCAACTCTATGCCTTGCGAGACGTCTCCAGATGAGACAAATGCGTTATAATGATCGATGAGTAGCCTTCGAGCCATGGTTAGATCTTGGCGATATACCACACCTTTCTTTCACCTATTTCCTCGTTATCCTCGTAAAATGAAGTCGATACTCGCCGCTCTCCTGTTCCTTCGCCTGGGGGGCTGCAGGCAATACGCCGGCATCGACAACTTCGGAGGCTTCGACGATCCACAATTCGCCATCGCCAGTCGCAATCCAGACGCAAGTGCTTCAGCCCAGTTCGGCAATAGCCAGGACTTCACTCTTCGTACGCATATCACAACCACTTCTGCCGGACAAAGCAGCTGATAACTCTTGCCAGGCCTCAACAGCACCAGAGTCAACGTCCCCGATGCCACGGACAGCAACGGAGCTCCCATCGAAGGAGCATACATCGTCGCCACGAGTCTCGATATCACCTCGCCTCAGGATGCTGGCTTGAACACAGAGGCGACCGAGAGTACCGCGAACAAGACCTCGAACAGCGGTCTGCTATGTGCCGGTATCGTGTCCGCTGCTTTCCCATACAGCGTGCTAGCTGGATACGATGCGAGTCGGCCAGGAGACTGCACTGGCCCTTTCGGCAAGGCTTGCGCAGCTGCGATGCTCTCTGCGATGACACTTTCCTCGTCAAATTCGAGCTCATGCCCGAACCCGGGTGCCATTCTTGATCTCGAGGAGTGTAAAGACGTCGTCCGCGCCGACGAGGGTTTGGTCAGTGCGAGGAGTCTTCGTAAGTAAAGGTTTCTCGACCGACGCTTGGATACGCTGACGTGCGCAGGTCTCAGCGGTTTCTCGAACAGCACAACCCCAGCATATCAAGAAGGTGAAGTCATGTTCGGACGCCAGTCACTGCCGCTCTCTGCCAGTGAAAGAGCCGAGGGGGAGGCTGAGAAGCATCGGCTCAAGCTCGCCTTCATCACGACTCTTGAGTACAGTCCTGGTGGCGGGGGACACAGTGCGGTGTTTCCGGTGTGTCTGACGGCAAACCCGGTCAAGCAGAGCTCGAATGGCACCGCTGGTACGTCAAACAGCCCTGGGGTAGCTGGACCCACGGCGATGGCGGCAGTGGGAGCCATTGCAGCAGCGGGTCTTGGGTTTGCGATGAACATGGCTTGAAGTCGGCCTCGTCCTGGAAGAGCGCAAGGAGCTGTGATGTATATCGGCGCGTTGAGCAAGGATTCGGAATGGCGTCATAGTCGTGGACATATCACTTTTTCTTGTATTGTAAGATATTCACCTATTGCACCTCAATGATAACACGAGCGTATCTCGTGAGCGGGAAATGTCCATCGTCGGTACCCTCCAAAATAATCGAGATCGTCTGCCCGCTCTTCGCATCTTTAGGCACCTTGACCATCGCTTCGTGTCCGTCCATACTATTCACTCTCACTTCGTCTTTGTAAGTTCCCTCCTCAAAGTACTGCCACCACTTCATCGTGACACGGTCGCCATCGGGATCGCTGACGACACCTTGCAACCGCACGTTTGAGCCAGCGCGGGCTTGGATGGTCTTACCGTTGGCGACCTCGACAGACGGTGGATGGTTCGCCTCGCTGTATTTCGACGTCATTGTCCATTGGATACGAGCCGCGAAGTCGTTTTGCACAGCAGAGATGAAGCGTTCGGTTCCCCAATCTGCCACCTTCGTTCCATTCGGAGCCCGCTCGCGGGACACTGAGACCCAGAGATTGGCCAAGCTGCTGATATTCTGCTTCATCCTCCCACCCCAGCCTCCCAGATTGGGATCAGATGGGTCCTGGATGCCGGAGGGTAGGAAGGGAAAATAGGTTCCGTCGTCGCCTTCACCCAGGAAAGCATAGGGCCCCAGCGGCTTGCACCACAGATCTTTTGGGATAGGGTGTGCGGTGGTGTTACCAAACACGTCAAGCGGGTCTCCTCGCATGTGCTGCCCGTCGAGCCAAGAGCGGTAGAGGCTGCCGTACGGTCCGATCTCGATGTTCTTCCGGATCCAATCGCCCGTGAAGTAAACGTGGGCGTCAGGCAAGCCGCGGACGTTGCCTTTGCCCAAGTTGCAGTTGTATGTAGTCCAGAGGACGCCGTTCGCTCGGACTTCAAGCTTCGGCCAGAAGGGAGCAATGTACTCATCGTATGTCCTGTCCTGAAAGCCGCTGGCCATGATGACGACTTTCTTGACGATTTTGGCTTGAAGCTGTTTCCAGCCACTGGTACCATAGTGCTGCTCTTCGATGGACTTCAGGGCGCGAGCGATGGTGTTGGTTCCGCCCCATGCTTGTAGATAGAGCGTGCGTGGGTCGTCGTCCAGGATGAGAGAGCGGATGTGGTTGGATCCCTCAGTGTCGTGGTCGAATTCTCCTTCGAAGTCTACGTTGCCAATCTTGACCAACGACATGATCTCGTCTGGTGTCGGGAAGTCGGGATCGTGGACGCGGAGGTTTTGATACACCTTAGAATAAGCCGCAACAACGGTGTTCTGCATCGTCTGATTGCCCACCCAGCGGAAGGAGGTTTGTGGCCATTTGTACTCCCGGTCAGGAAGGTAGAACCTGGTGCCATTGTAATCGCCTTCCCAGTGGAAGCGGCTGGATGAGTAGATCAGGCCTTGAGTGTCGAGGGCAGGAGTGTATAGCATGTAACGGACGAGGGAGGTCAGATCATCCTGCTCCATATCCGTAGTGACAACTGTGCGAATCTTGGAAGATGTGGCTCCATACTGGCTTCCAGGCTGGTGTGCATGAACTGAACAGGATGGAACGGCTGCAAGTAGGCAGAGAACAACTGAAGCAGCAGGGAAGTACATGTTTACAGACCTTATGCGTGTATGTCAAGATGGAGGAAGGGCGAGCTCACCTTGCTACCTATATACTCACCGAGTGGCCACCTCCACGGCAGTGTTCTTCCAGTGTCGGCCCATCTTTCTACCTCTAGCTCGTCACCGGCCCCGAGTCGAGTCATGGTGTCCTGCGGGGAACCCTGGAAGTGTTTGTAACGGAATGCAACTCGGTGGAGGAGTTGAAGTGTAGCTCCGGCCAAACTTCGGCTCGAAGCAGTGACGTCCAGACCACAGCTCTTCCACTGCTAAGGTAGAGGTACATACACCATCACCACCTCCGCCGCATTATTCCCTCCTCAACTTCGCGATTGACCAAGACACACATTCCCGCCAGTCCCCAGACACTCCTCGATCTCCCTATAACATACCTCCGCCCGACCACCACACAACCGCTCACCATGTCGTCCGGCGCAGTACTTACTCCCCCTCCTCTCTCTTCTCACCAACTAACACACCAAACCACAGGGCCGCGAACCAGTCTTCCCCACCCGCCAATCCCTCGGCGCAATGAAGTCCAAACTCAAAGGCGCCCAAACCGGGCACGACCTCCTCAAACGCAAGTCCGAAGCCCTCACCAAACGCTTCCGTGAAATCACCAAGCGCATCGACGAAGCCAAGCGCAAAATGGGGCGCGTCATGCAGATCGCCGCTTTCTCTTTGGCCGAAGTCACGTACGCGACGGGGAACGATGGGATCAAGTACCAGATTACCGAGTCGGTAAGGCAGGCGAAGTTTAGGGTTAGGACGAGGCAGGAGAATGTGAGCGGTGTGTTTTTGCCGCAGTTTGAGAGTTTTCAGATGGAGGGGAGTAGTGAGTTTGGGATGACGGGATTGGGGAAGGGTGGCCAGCAGGTCGCGAGGAGTAGGGAGACGTATACGAGGGCTGTGGAGACGCTGGTGGAGTTGGCGAGTTTGCAGACGGCGTTTGTGATTTTGGATGAGGTGATTAAGGTGGTGAACAGGAGAGTGAACGCTATGTGGGTGAATCCCGCTCCTGCAAGGTGTGTTGTTGCTGATGAGAATGATAGTGAGCACGTCATCATCCCCCGAACGGAGAACACGATCAAGTACATCAACAGCGAGCTCGACGAGCTAGATCGAGAGGAGTTTTTCCGGCTCAAGAAGGTCAAGAATGTCAAGGAGAGGGCGGCGGCTGCGGAGGAGGCGGAGAGGCAGCAGAGGAAGCGGAGAGAGAGCGATAAGGAGAATCAAACAGATGGCGCCGACTCGGGGCAGGGCAATGAGAGTGGTGGCAAGAACGTGCTTGGGGATGAGGGGGATGAGGATCTGATATTCTAATTCTAGCGTGTGTTAACAGTGTTTGTTTGGCGGGAGTATCGGCGAGGCGAACGTTTGAGTACTTTCAAATGTACATTCCGAGGAATTGGAGGCTGAACACGTTCATTTCTGTGCTTTCGCTTGTCTTGCAAGCCCGTCTCATGTGCTCAGCTCAAGCTGTCTACGACCGCTCAACCTCAGAGCAAGCCAAAACAATCCCCGAAAAAACGCCATCGCTCACACCATCTCCGCCAGGGTATCGTCAAAAAGCCACATGTATATCCTCCCATTTCCCATTGTCCCGTGATGCCATTCTCCCATATCCTCCATCCCTCGGTATCCATTCCCATCGGTCCTGTATACCTCTATCCCCTGGATCTAGTAGAATTGCTGTTGCTGCCCCTGGCCCTGATTATGCTGCTGATTGTGCTGCTCACTCCCATTCCCACCCCCATCCCCCCAAGCAGCCGATACGTGATTCGGCGCCACGTAAAAGTTCTGATACGGATGCTGCGGCAGGTTGAAATCCGCCTTCGCGTACATCGGATTCGGGATGCCTTGGGGCATTTTGCGGGGCATGCCTCCTCCTCCTCCACCTCCTCCTGCACCTCCACTTCCGCCACCGCCGCCAGGGTTGGAAGTGGCAGGATTCATCATCGGCGGCCCACTGGGCTGAACATTCGGCTGCAGCGTCCCCATCCCATTAGATTGTTGCGCGTTAAAGTCGAAACTCTGCTGCTGCTGCTGTGCGAGCATAGCATTCTCCTGCATCTGCCTCTCCCGTGCCTCCTTCGCCTCGCGCTGCAACCGCGCCGCTTCGTGCGTCTGCGCGTACTCTTCGGCCGACATCTGTTCCTCCCAGCCCCATTTCTCCTTCAGCTCTTTGTACACGTACCCGACTTTCCATCCGGTTTCTTTGTTGATTTTCGAGAAGACGCGGAGCACTTCTTCTTGCTCGTTCCGTTGGGTCAGGACCTCCGCGGCGTGCGCGAGCGAGCGGATGGCGACAGAGGCGACGCCGCGGTCTTTGACGTGCGCGGAGATGCCGCAGATCATTTGGGAATGGCGGGATTGCATGTCGGCCATTTCGGGGCTGTTGGTGGGGCTGTAGTAGGGGTTGGTTTGGGAGAGGAGGAGCTGCGCGGTGTGGTAGAAGAGGCGAGCGACGACGGTGCTGCGCTTGATGAGCCAAACTTCGGGGAAGTTGGATCGGGTGGCGGTTTGGTGGGGATAAAGGAAAGCGATGGGGTGCATTGTGCGCGGGATACCGTTGTTCCAGGCATCGGCCATGTCGCGAAGGCGGAGCCATTCTTCGTAGCGCTGTTGTGTGCGCATTTCCTTAAGCTTGGGGTCTTCACCTTCTTTGTAGCGAGGAGTGGTTGCGCGATAGTTGCAGACTTTGGCGATGATGTAAAGCATGCGGTGAGTCCAGATCTCTTCCCGTCCGTTCTGCAGTTCGCGGCTGAAGTCCATGTCCACGCCCCAGTCGTCGGGATCCCAAGCGGCTTGCCAGTTGAAGTGTAGACAGCTGAGCACTTCCAGACCCACGTTGAGCCAGAAACACGCCGCGCCAACTCCTGTCGACCGAGCGTTCCAGCCGCACTCTTTGATCAGAGCTCTCGCACCCGCGATGTGGTTCATTCGCTGTAAAGCACGCTCGGACATGATTTCGTACACATTGAGTATGACAGCTGTGGTCGCACATATGACTGTATCTCGGTTAGGATCTTGCAGGTTCTTGAGCAGGTGTCGCGTGGCGGTATCGTAGTAGTGTAGCGCCTTTTCCTCGTTGTAAGCCGGGTTGACGAGCTGAAGATGCCGCGCGCCGCAGGCCAAGAAAGCGTTTAGAAGCATCGGCTCCGACAGAGAGTGGAAAGGAAGTAGTTGCGAGAAGTGCTTGTGCGAGTCCATGCTGTCCATCCAAAGGCCGACTTCTTCTACGAAGACTTGCATGAAGAGCGTTTCTGCTTGATGTCAGTATGACATGGACCCACATTCTGAACAAGGCCACTCACCTTCTTGATCATCAATGTAATCCTTCCGCTCCTCATTGCTCGTCTGCAACACTCCATTTGGACCGACGTTATAGCTCCCGACAGACCCAGGGTGCAGACTGCTGTTGTCTGAATTTCCACTGTGTCGTGACTCGACCGTAGAGCCAGAAGGCGGTGGTTGCAGATGGTGATTATGCTGGTCCTGCTTGAAAAATGGGTCGTACATATTGCCCAGTTCTGGCGCGGGAGGAGGCTCCGGGTACGGATTCTGCATGTTTCCATGCATCTGCGGCAATGGCTGATGCGCCATGTTAGGTGCCGGAGGCGCAGGCTGGGCATACTCGAAGGTCAAGCGGGGGTCCATCGGCACAGCTTTTGGTGGATCGCGCTGCTGCTGCTGCTGCTGCTGCTGCTGCGGTCGCGGCCGCCTGTACAGCTGCAGTCCACCCTGATACTCGCTCGCTATCTCGCGCGACTCGTCCAGAAAATTGACCTTCCATTCTGAAGTGCCAAAGGCTGTCAACAGCGTAGGAGGCCGCTCCGCCCAGATGTCGATGAAGTTCAGCCTTACGCCGCGCTTGCATTCCCGGTTGCTTTTCCTGCAGTTGTTACAAACCGGTAGTCCCTCGTCGCATTTCAAGTGTCTTTCCCGACATGTCAGACACCCTGTTCGCACACGTTTGGCCTTGCTGAGAGGCTCGCCATCCTGCTCTGGGTTCACAGAGTCTTTCTTGGTATCTGCCTTTGCCTTCTTGACCGGCTTCTTGCCTGTGGGTAGTGGAGACTCCTTGCGCTTCTTGCTCGAGATAGTGCCGTCGCCATTGATTGACTGGTCGGAGGAGGCAGGCGTCAGTGCTGTGACTGGATATGGCCCGTACTGTGGTTCCGAGCCAGGCTGCATGTATGCAGACTGGTCTGCCGTGGCCGCCAGCGTAGCCGGAGTGTGGGCGCGCAAGTCGAGACCTGCGCTTCGGTCTGGGCTATATATGTTCTGCTATCGCAATATGCACATTATGAGGCAATTGAGTCTGTCGTGATGCCGGTATTCACGTCGGCGCACTGTCTCCGCTTGGAAGCCTGCTGGCAGACTCTTCGCTCGTTTCCGCACGTCCGGATTGCGATGGTGGTTTCTTGGTGAGCAGGAGTCTTGATCAGTCCTCCAGTCGCCGCGCTGTTGCAAGTCTTGCGCGCGTAGGGTTGTTATGTGTGTACCGGACTGGAAGTGATGTTGAAGGTGAGGTCTGCAACACGCGAAGCCTCGGAGCAGATCTCGTGTGGGACTTCCCTTTGACTTTGACACGGACAAAGCGCCGTCCGTGCGGTCAGCCAAAACCCGCTCTCTCGCAAGAATATTGGCCTTAGAAGATATTGAAGAAGATTGTCTTATATCACCGCGACATTTGGACGGCGAAACCTGGAAATGCAACGCGAGCTGCACCACATCATTGCGGAGCCTTAAGACAGGGGTGTTATACGACGACCGATCGCCGACCAGCGCCTGCATGTATCTTCTACTGATCGTCCCGAATTCCAAATCCTCGGGCCTGGAGTGGTGTGCCGTCTCGTCTTTCGCGACCAGCGACGATCAAGAAGCTCACCAATCTGTGCTCGAGCATAGCATCGAGTTTGGGAGATGTTCGCTCGTTGCAGACGATCGCCGTGCATTGTTGTGGCTTAAGCCACTCGGCAATACTACCAGCTGCCGATGACAAGCAGTGAAGGAGTGTTGCAGTACGCAATGATCGCTCCGAGGCGTAATGGAAGCGACTGAACTTTACGATTGCATGGCAGTCTGGAACGTGACATGTATACATATCTACAGAACTGACTCCACGATACCTCCCACAGCAGGCAGTCCTCGAACTCGATGCTTCGCGGGTAGCAGTGCAGAGGCTCTCTTGTGCCATTGGCTACTTTCAATGGCTGGCTTGTCCCGCAGACCGAGCAGCCGACGCAGCCTGGAGCCTCACCTCCACCATGGCACATCGCTAGCTCCAGCAATGCGCCTATACCCCTACGTAGTCCTAGCAGAGGCAGTCCATGTCCGCCAAGTATGAACCTGTGAGCGAAGGAGAGGAGCGACCGCCCGGCAGCGCTGGCTCCAATGACTCCTTCAGCGGCACCCACCTGACTCCCGAGTCGGATTCTGACGACGATGATGAACTCGAGCACCTGGAAGCGGGGGAAGGGTATGAACTGAAAAGCCTGCCCAAGTATGGCGAGAAGAGTCGGGAAACCCAGAAGGGTGCAAGCGCAGGCGCAGAGGACGACGATGAAGACGACTCAGATTACGATGAAGCAGACACCGCCCTCGGCGGCCGCAAGAGCACTAGGAGAGACAGTGTCGCCTCCTTCGAACTCTACACCCCCGACGAAGAGCGCAAAGTACGGCGCAAACTGGACACCCGCCTTGTCCTCTTCGTAGCTGTATTATACCTCTTCTCGTTCCTCGATCGTAGTAATATCGGCAACGCAAAAGTCGCTGGCCTGACGGAGGACTTACACCTTTCGAACGACCAGTTCGAATGGCTACTTACGGCGTTTTACATCACATACATCCTTTTCGAATGGATGACATTGTGCTTCAAGGTGTTCCCTCCGCACATCTACATCTCGGTCTGTGTCTGTGCCTGGGGCGTGCTGGCATCATTACAGTCTTTGGCGACTAGTTGGGCCTACATGCTCGTTCTACGAGCTTTCCTCGGCATTGGAGAGGCAGCCTTCGTTGGCATACCCTTCTACCTATCATGGTTCTACAGACGCGAAGAGCTAGCCCTGCGCGTCGGCCTCTTCATCGCAGCAGCACCTCTCGCAACCACCTTCGCTAGTTCCCTCGCCTGGGCTATAGTACGTTTCGGCGACAAGACTGGCATCGCCTCCTGGCGCCTCCTCTTCCTCCTCGAAGGCTTCCCCGCCTGTCTGGTAGCCGTCTGGGCCTGGTTCTGGATCCCAGACTCTCCCTCCACCGCGCGCTGGCTCAACGCTCGAGAGAAGAAAATCGCGACTCTCCGCATGCGCAAAGAGAACATCGCCGCCACCTCGAAATCCGGCACACCATCTGCGTCTGCGCAGGTTCCCCGCCACAAGCGCAAATTCCAATGGCACCTCGTCCTCTCCACCCTCCGCGACCCGAAATCCTACCTCACCGCCGGCATGTTCTTCTGCTGCAACGTCGCTTTCTCGAGCATGCCGGTCTTCCTCCCCACCATCGTCAATGGGATGGGCTTCTCGAAACTCGCCTCCCAAGGCCTCGCCGCTCCACCCTTCCTCTTCGCTTTCGTCTCCGTCCTCCTCACAGCCTTCATCTCCGACCGCATCCGCAGCAGAAGCGGTCCGATGCTCTTCCACTCCCTCCTTGCCCTCACCGGCTACCTCGTCGCCACTATCGCCGGCATCCTGCACGCTGGCCCTACGATCCGCTACCTCGCCACCTTCCCCATCTGCGCTGGTTTCTTCTCCGCCGTGACGATCGTTATTACCTGGACGATCAACAACCAGGTTTCCGACGAGGGTAAGGGGACGGGGATGGCGGTGTTGAACGTTTTCGGGCAGATGGGGCCGCTGGTGGGGACGAGGTTGTACCCGGAGAGCGATGCGCCTTTTTTTGTGAAGGGGATGGGGGTTTGTGCGGGGGCGATGGGGGTGGTGGGGTTGTTGGCGTGGGCGTTGAGGGTTGTGTTGTCCAGGGGGAACAAGAGACGGGGTAGGGGTTGGGAGAAGGGCGGGTTTATGTATATTACCTAGTTGAGGGATTGGTGGATCTGTTATGAATTTACGATTTCTATTTGGATGAGAGTACGGCGTGTTTCCTACCGTGTTGTGAAATGTAGTAGATGTGTTGGCGACTGGGACAGCAGATATGTCTTGGCGCTGCTGTCACCTCACTTCTGCTGAATAGCTCGCTACACTTTGGATCTTCCTTCAATGAACCTTTACACCACATCAAGTCAATACCGAGAAAAGGGCACCATATTGAAGACAGAACTAAGTCGATCTTTACGACCGTGGACGCGCCCGAAATGAGTATTGAAGTCGGACCATGACGATGACCCGGTGTCTAAGCCGCCGCTATCATGGACTCTGGACCTGTCGACGCGGCGCCTTACGCTCATACGGATTATGATGACCCGATTCAACCACCGTCGCCGGAGCAGGAGCGCTTAGAGAAGCCGCGGAAACATGCGTTCCGTAGTACTTCCACCAGACGGAGCGCGGGCGATGACCTTCGGCGGACCATGTCCGAGTTATCAGTGAATGGCACTCTGGATGGCGCTGCAGCAGAGCAGGCGACTAATGCAGACGCTGGCCCCCCAGAGGATACGCCTCAGTACCCCAGAGTAGGCGCCACCGACGAGCAAGTCAAAGAAGCAGTAGCGGACGAAGACGAGAACCCCGAGATCAAAGCGCCATCACGAGATCGCTCGAGCGAAGCTACGCCGCGAGAACCAAGTCTCCACCGCATTTACAAGCTCACGCTCTACGAGACGAACGCGCGATACTGGATTACCGGCGCCGACATTGCAGACAAGCAGTTTAGAATGCTGCGCATCGACAGGACGTCTGCGCCGGGCCAGATCGCGCTGTTCGAGGATGACACGACGTATGACCGGCGGCAGATGAATGAGGTCCTCGCCAGTATCGATGAAGGGAATAAATCGACAGGCGGGTTGAGGATGAAGTGTACTTTCTGGGGCTTGCTCGGCTTCATCAGATTCACGGAGGCGTACTATATGCTCATCGTCACGCAGCGAAAGCAGGTTGCTATGATTGGAGGGCACTATGTCTACCAGGTAGAGGGAACGGAGCTCGTGCCTTTGACGACTGGTGCAAGTAGCAGGTTTGTTCGCGATCGCAATCCGGAGGAGACGCGGTTCTTGAATGTTCTGAACAATCTGGATTTGAGCAAGTCGTTCTACTTCAGTTACTCATACGACATCACGCACTCGCTACAGCACAACATCATCCGGCAGCGGCAGGCTATGAATGAAGGCCAGCATCAAGCGGATCAGGCGTTCAACAGCATGTTCGTTTGGAACCACCATCTGCTGAAGCCGGCGATATCTGCGCTGAAGCATCCGTTCAACTGGTGTCTGCCGATTATCCATGGCTTCATCGATCAGGCTGCCTTGGACATCTTCGGAAGAGCGGTATACATCACCATTGTTGGCCGACGGTCACGGCATTTCGCTGGTGCGCGGTTTCTCAAGCGCGGCGTCAATGACCTGGGGTACGTGGCGAATGATGTCGAGACCGAGCAGATTGTCTCCGAAAAGCTCACGACGTCCTTCCACGCCCCTGGTCCGAGACTGTACTCCAGCCCTACCTACACCTCCTTCCTCCACCACAGAGGCAGTATACCGCTGTACTGGACACAAGATAACAGCGGTGTGACACCCAAGCCAGCCATTGATCTCAACCTTCAAGATCCGTTCTACCAACCCGCTGCGCTGCACTTTGACAACTTGTTCGGAAGATATGGCTGCCCTGTGTCGGTGCTCAACCTCATCAAGTCTCGTGAGCGCACACCGAGGGAGTCAAAACTCCTCGTCGAGTTCGAAAAGTGCATCGACTACCTCAACCAATCATTACCAGAGGGCAAGAAGATCATGTACAAAGCCTTCGACATGAGCCGAGCTTCGAAGACTCGTGGAGGTGATGTTATTGGCAGCCTCGAGGTTATTGCGAAGGAAATTGTTGCGCAAACCGGCTTCTTCCGGAATGGGGACGAAGGGTTCGACGAGCCGGTTGTGCAGAATGGGATTGTACGGACTAACTGCATTGACTGTCTTGATCGGACGAATGCTGCGCAGTTCGTCATTGGGAAGCGAGCTTTTGCATTGCAACTACAGGCTCTAGGGGTGATTGATCGGGATGAAGTCGACTTCGACACCGACGCTGTCAATGTGTTCACTCACATGTTTCACGATCACGGCGATACCATTGCTGTGCAGTACGGCGGCTCGCATCTGGTGAATACGATGGCAACGTACCGGAAGCTGAACCAGTGGCAGAGCTCTTCGAGAGACATGGTTGAGAGCTTCAAGCGCTACTACCACAACTCATTTCTGGACAGTCAAAGACAGGAGGCGTACAACCTCTTCCTAGGCAACTACGTCTGGGCCCAAGGCCAGCCTCTCCTCTGGGATCTACCAACAGACTACTACCTCCACCACGGCGACCCAAAGGCCTGGCTCGAGCGAAAACGACGCAACTACATCTACTGGTTCACCCCCGAACACCTCGACACCCGCACCCTGCCTCCAACCCTCCACCTCCTACGCGACAAGCCGGAAGCCAAAGACGACATCCGCACCTACGACGACTACTGGCTCGAATGCTACCGCCCGGCCGCCCTCTCCACCCTCGGCAAAGTCTACTCCTACCGCCTCAACAGCTCCAACAAATTCCTCCCCGACCGTCCACAACGCGACAGCAGATCCGACTTCAGCCCGTTCAAAACCCGTCTCGACCCGCAACGCGCCGCCCACGACGCTACAGAAAAGAAAGCCCAACGCCGTGTCAAAATCGCCGACGGAGACCCAACAGACTCCCCTCGTCCGCCGACAGAATCCGCGCATTCCCCACCCGCAACGACGACGAACAACGAAAAACCCAGCATCCTCCGCGAACCCACCACCGACCGCCACTACCACCCCTCCCCTCCACCACAACCCTCAACAGAGCTTGGCGGAGGAGGCGCCGCGGTCAAACCGGCCGATAAAGCGCAAATGCACCTCTGGACCCTCAACCAATTCCACCTGCAATCGCTGCACCCTTCCGTCTCACCATCGGAAACTGCTGAGTATACACGTTATATCTCCCACCCGCTCCATCTCCCCCTCGTCGTGTCCACCGAGTTACCCTCGGACGCGAATCTAGACTACGTAGAGTACGTGCACAAACCCGGCGGCAGCGCACGAGATGATTTCGAGGACGCCGACGAGGCGGGGTTGTTGGGGCAAGGGGTAGGAGAAGCGGATTTAGCAGCGTATGCGGAGTTTGTGGGGGAGAGGGAGGGGTTGACGGTCGGGGAGGAGGATGGGGGGACCAAGCGGTATAAGGCGTATCGGCAGTGGTTGAGGGGGAAGAGCTTGTTCAAGCAGAGTAAGGTTGATCCGGAGTATAAGGGGGGGTGAGCGGTTGTTAATGGTGGGGGTGGGGGGATGAGCGCGGAGTTAGGCGTTCTGCATGTTTAGACGGAAAGGACGAGCATTTGTGATATTTTGCCCTTCCAATGCCGCTGGGTATCAAGCACCACCAACGCCTCGCTAAATCACATCTCCCTTCCCACAATCCTACATGTATGTGGACATACTACCAATTCCACGTCCTAGCCGCGGCCGTAAAAACCGGCGGCCGCCACTGCAGCCTCTCGGCCTCAATGACCCGCCTCCCCTTCACCCGCTCCTTCTCCTTCTGCTTCTCCCGCTGCGCCACCACCCCGTCCGTCAACACAATCACATGGTTCTTGTTACTATACCGCAGCATGTTCAAATTCTGCAGCGTGTGCAGCACATCGTTCGTCGTCATCGCCAGCGCCTGGCCGAGCTCTTCTACCGACATCATCGGGGTCCCCTCATTTTCACGCTCGATGAGCAGGTCGACTATGACTTCTTGCCAGTAGGCGCGGTAGCCGAGCAGTCCGAGATCTGAGAGGGGTTTCTCCGGGGAGCCGAGTTTGTTTTCGATTTTGGAGAGTTCGTAGGAGAACTGGATGAGCAGTTTGCCGAACCCCTTGCGCTGGTATTGCGGGAGGGTGAGGATACAAGCGACGTTGTAGCCTTCGGCGCATTCTTTTTCTTTGGAGAAGTAGCCGATGAGGTGGTGTCCGTGGGCGGTGCGCTCGGTCATGCAGTAGAAGAGGAAGGGGTCGACGTCGTAGTACAGCGTTTTATGGTCGAGGAAGAGTTTGGACAGCAGGCAGAGGTTGCGACACCATGTCCTCTGCCGCCGGCCGTCGATTTCGAAGAAGCTGACGCTGTCGTCGCGGTAGATTTCGTTGCCCGGCGGGTGCAGCAGGGTGCACTTTTTGCGGTGCCGCCCGAACTGCGTGCTGTTGCCGAAGTAGGAGAGGCAGAATTCGCAGATGTAGACGAGCTCGCTGTCGGCGAATTCGGCGGGGTAGGGGGAGAAGTACCACGGCTCGACTTCGTAGGTGCCCATTTGGATGCGCTCGAGGTTGCGCACCCGGGAGATTTCGGTCTGGTTTTGCGTCATGCTGCCGCCCGTGCGGAGCTTTTCGATCTCTTCTTCGCGGGAGTAGGGGACGTGGGGAGGTGCGGCTTTGGCGGCTGCCGCGGCTTCTTGGGTGTCGACCAGGTCGACGAGGGATTCGTCTTCGGGTTGAGGGGTGCCCGTGGAGTCGTCGCGAGTTATGGTGGCAAGGGCTGGGTCGCGATTCTCTTTGCCGCCAGTGAGGGAGGGGCGGCGGCTGGATAGTTGGGACATGTCCATGGGGGTAGCGGAGGCATCGCGGCTGTCTGATACTGTTCGTGGTCGTTTCTGGGATCTGCCTGTGTCCGGAACTTGCAGGTTTTTGGATTGCTGGTTCGTCTTCTGCTTGTTCTTCGTGTCTGGCTTTTCGGGCAGAGGCCATTCCACTTCCTTGGAGAGGTTCAGTCGCTCAGCGGCGACCCATTCATCCAGACGCTTGTTGAACTCCTCGTAGTGGACGTAGAATGTTGGCTTGCCCCGGCGAGTTTGCATGGAAAGGATTTCTGCTTTCCGTTCCTCGCTGTCCTACGTTGTGTTAGCAGTTGTATTGTATTCCGCAATCGCCCGGCCATTATGGAGGGAGTGTAGTGTCTGGCACAAGAACGTAGCAATGCTCGCCATCGCCACGCCACTGAAGCCGTCCTAAGGGGATGCTGCTCACCTTCTCAACCCAGACCTTGACGCCGATTCTGTGACAACCACCATCAGCAAGTCGCTCAGAACCATGAGTATCATCGTCGTCGTCTTCTGTAATCATTCATACCTCAACGTCGCCAACGTCGCATGCCCTCTTTCTGGCTCTCGATCATCGCCGCCACCAGCGTGATCATTTCGCGGCGCCATGATTATGCGCAGACTCTTCAGCGAGATCTGAAGTTATGAGTGTGAAAATGTGAGTTTTGATGTCGCTGGGAAGAGATGTTGTCGCCTTCGAAGACGCGGCTTGTACAAATTGCGCCCGAAGGCTTGGCTGCGACTGCCTCTTCAAGAAAAAGTTCCAGATCACCCCAGGCTTGGGGCATTCAGGGCACTTCCACAACAACATGCCCCTTCGATAACCAGAGGCGATGTCAGGCTTGAAGGGGACAGAGGTGTCGAGCAACTGGAAGAAGCTGCAAGAGAAGCTCCAAGCAGAGAAGAAGAATCAACCGCAGCAGAGCAATGGCGTGAAGCGCAAGAGGCCCGACAACGACAAGCCAAAAGCCGCGAATGCATTCAAGAAGCCAAAGACCACAGGCGCAAGACCACTCAAGCCAGTACGACCTCACAAGATGGGCACCACCACCTCCACCCCCACCTCACAACCCCCCCTCCGCTCCTCGCTCACCACCACCCACGACATCCCCCCCTCCGACTTAACAGCCGCCTACGGCACCCACTCTTCGACTCCTCTCTCGACTCCTCTCAAACACAAGGATGAAGTGAACGCCGGCCTCCACCCCACCCACAAGATCGGCAAATACCTCGCCCTCGACTGCGAAATGGTCGGCACCGGGCCCCCACCCCACTTTCCCGACCACATCCTCGCCCGCGCGAGTCTGGTGAATTTCCACGGCGAGCAGGTGTACGACTCGTACGTGCTGCCGCCGCCGGGGTTCGGGGTGGAGGATATTAAGGACTACAGGACTTTCGTGTCGGGGATTAGGGCGGAGCATATCCGGCCCGGGGTCGCGAGGCCGTTTGGCGAGGTGCAGAAAACCGTCGCTTCACTCCTCTCCGGCCGTATCCTCGTCGGCCACGCACTAAAGAATGATCTTGTGGTCCTGGGACTCAGTCATCCGAAGAGGGATCTAAGGGATACGAGCCGCTACGCGAAGTTCAGAATCGAGAGTAAAGGCAAACCCCCCGCGCTGAGGAATCTGGCGAAGCAGGAGTTAGGATGGGCTATTCAGGAGGGGGAGCACTCGAGTGTGGAGGATGCGCGGGCGGCGATGGGGTTGGTGAGGAAGGAGAGGGTGGGGTTTGAGGAGGAGAGTCGGAGGGTGTTTGGGGTAGGGAGGAAAGATGACGGGAACAAGGGGAAGGGGAGGGGTGAGCTGGATAGGGAGGAGGATGGTGGGGAGGCTGATGAGGACGATGATATGGATTTGCTGGATGGCGAGGAGGGCGAGGACGAGGTTGATGGCGATGAGGCGCCCGCGAAGGCCAAAGTCACGGCGACGGTGAAGAAGAAGTATAAGAAGAAGAAACGGACGAAGCGCAAGTAGCCCTCCTGACAGTGCTCTCAAGCAGCATGTGCGGCCTTCTGCCAACACCCTCAGAGCTCTTGTGTCACCTTTTCCTGTGCTCTCATCCGTCTCGAAGCCTTCGTTCTATGCCGCTTCAGCCCACTCCTCTTCTTACTGCGAGCTGAGAGAACGGGACGCTAGAGAACTCACGTGGGATGGTGAGTTCATTGCAAATGTCATGCTCATTCTACAAAGCTACTGAACTACCCATCATCTATGCCTTCCACCATGAGCAGAGCAACAATTTCCGCATCAGTGTATGGCAGCCATCGAACACCACACTCCATCATTTCCCATCCAGTCTTCTCATTCTGAACCTTCCCATACCCATCCCCACTCTCGAAACTCCACTACAATGCAATAGCCATATCCATATCCCTCACCCCTCACTTTCCATCTTCCATCTTCCGCTTCCTCCCACACTGCTGCACCAGCAGGCCATCCTACTTCCCCAGCTTCAGCATCACATACGGCACCTCGATATCCTCCTCCGTCGCGTCCTCGCACGTAATCTCCAGAATCACATTCTTCTGGTGCGCCGGGATGTTCTTGCGGGAGATGTGCTCGACGAGCTCGGACATCCTATTCCAAAGTCAGTGCCATGTCGCGTGTAAAGAGAAGGGAGGGCCTGCTCATTCTTCGCAGGAGGGGGGAAGGGGGAGAGATGGAACTCACTTCATCGGCAAGCGATCCTTATTCCTCGCCGCAGGGTAGAAGCTCGCGTACAGCAAACTCACCCCCGAACTAATCATCGAGATGGTAAGCCCCTTTTTCGCGAAATCGTCAATGAACTGCTGCAACGTCACATCCTCCGTCTCAAACCGATCCCACAACTTATCAATCACCACCTCCCCGTCCGGCCCCTGATACGTGCCCTTCGGACTCGCAATCGGCTCACTGAAGCCAAAGAACGGCAGCGCTAGGTTGACGAAGCCGTTCTTGTACTGCTCAATGTCCGTCTTGCCGTCGATGATCTTGTACAGCTCCAGCACCACCAAGCCCGTGACGAGGGCGGTGGTGGTCGCGATGGCGGGGATGATCTTGCCGGCGATGAATTTGGTCTTGTGCCGGTCCGCGGTCGCGATCTTGTAGTTCTCCGCGCGTAGGTTGGAGGCGGCGGTGATGAAGTCGATGTGGAAGTTTGTGTCGTCGTCTTTTTCGAACTCGACGGGCGTGAGGCGGAAGGAGCCGAGGGTCTTGGGTTGCGGGAGGGATTGGGCGATGGTTTCGAGTTGGGACTCGTCGTCCGCGGGGCCGTTGGCGTTGGGGTCGGGCTCTTTGTCGTCGGCTTGGATCTTGACGTTCGCATCGGGCTTGAAGTCGGGCACCATCATGTTGTCCAGAATGTTGGTGATTCGGCTGCGGTCGGTGGTTGGCTTGATGCCGTAGTTGAAGGCGTGGAGGTTGGCGGCGGCGAGGACGAAAGTGTAGTGAGTGGAGTTGTTGGGGTCGAAGGTAAGCGCATCAGGGGCACGCTTGGGTCCGGACCAGAAGGGCTGACCGGAGGAAGTCTGAGAGTCCTTCGGGAAGTTGTAGAGGAGTTGCTGGATGGCGTTGTTGTACTGCTTCTCGAACTGCATGCGCGCCCATTTGACACAGTCTTCGAACGATTCCGGCTTCTCTGTGACGAGGAAGTCGCGCAGAGTCTCCAGCGTCTGCTTCTCGTTGCCGGACTGCTTGAGTGCGCTGCCAAGATAGTCCTTCTGAGTGAGGTAGGTGTTGACGATCTCAGGCGGACCCGCGAAGTAGGTGTGGAAGAGGTCCTTGGCCCACGCGATGGTGTGCTCGATGCGGTTCGGGAAGGAGCGGAGAGTACACATTGGGAACGACTGCTCAGGAGGGTCCTGCGAGCTGGAGTACGATTCCGTCTCACGCGGCAGCACAACCTGCGTGTTGCCTTTTGTACCGAGCGTTCCGCTGTCTAGCAGAGGCTTGCGGAAGAACACACATCTCCTGTCGACGTATGTCCTGGCATCCACATTGTCCAGAGCGTTCGTAACACCATCAAGAGACTCCCAGAAATCTTCGTTGAAGATCTCCTCCGTCTCCTGCGACACACGATCCTTAAGCATGTTGATGTGGCCGTTGAGGTCCGGGTTCATGGCCTGGACTGCTTTCGAAGCGCATTCGCTCTTCAGCTCGCCAACATCCTTGGGACGGAACAAGAACTGCCGGTTGAGATTGCTCCTCTCGATCTGGTCCATGTCGGTGACGCTGATCTTGCCTTTGGGACCAGTCGCCAGTCCGATCATAGCCCAGTTCTTCAGCATCTCGCATCCGATCGCACCTGCGCCGACCAAGAACTGCTGCACGTTGCTTAGCTTGTCCTGGTACTCCTTCCCAAACACCGCGATCTGCCCATCGTATCGTGTGCCGAGCGGCTTGCACTGCTCTTCGCTGCGAGTGGTGGAAGTTGGTAGCGACTCAAGCGAGTCGAAGTAGAGCCACTGCTTGACAGGGTGAAACTTGCCAGAGACAGACTTCAGCACCTCCTGAGCGGCCAGACCACCGAAGAACGCTGCCATCGGCGACAAATCTCCGCGAGCCTGATACGACAGCTCCTTGATGATCTTCTCGTCCAGCTCAACCTCTTCTCCACTCTCCTTCGCGATGTCCTGCGCCAGCTTCATGACCTCCGCCGCATCCGCATCGCTGTGTGGCCGTGGGAAGCTGCCCTCCTTCTCCGCAAACGCATGCAGCGCCTGTACACCCACATGCAACTGCCCTGGCCGGTCGAACTTGGCAAAGTCCGAGATCAACTGCTCCGGCTGCTTCAACTGCTTGCTGAAAGGCTCAAAGTCCATGATCTTCGGCATCTTGACCTGTGTGTACAGTCCTCCTCGCTTGTACTGTCCGAGCCCTGACACGTCGCCGATGGAGAATGTGTATGGTCCCTTCACAGTGATCTTGCGCGGGTTCCCATCGTTGAGACCCTCCATGCCCTCCACTTCTGAGAATGTAACGAAGTCCCCATCTTCTAGCCCATGCCGTGTCTCATCCAGTGCCGACACCAGCCCATCCGAGTCGACACCTGCCACGATACCGCTGAGTGGGTTCTCGCCGGTAGGATCGCCGCATGTGAAGTTCTTCCCGAAGTCCGTGAACAAGAATCCAAACAGCCCATACGTATCCGTAATCACCACATAGATCCCATTCTGATGACAGTAATCCGAAATGGTGATCTGATCCTTCAACGCCGTATCCGTCAACACCACCACCTGATACTGCTTCAACGCCTCCAGATCCCCCGTCAAGCTCTTTCCCTTGTGCACATTCACCGGCGTGTACGGGTTCAGCTCGCTGACCCGCGGCGCCGTGACATCTGCTCTCCCCTTGCCCACGTCCTCCGGGTGCAGGAAGAACTGCGAGCTCAGGTCTTCTATCGCCGCCGGCTTGGGGTCGAACAGCGTCAAGCTCTTCACGCCCGCCAACGCAATGTTCTTCGCAATCTCCACGCCCAGCCCGCGCATACCGCTGACCAGCACGTTCGACGAGCCCATACGCTTCATCGCCTCATGACCAAGAACGTACAGCTGCCTGGAGTACAGGCTCTCGTCGATGTCGCCGTTTGCCTGCTGCTTAAGCTGCTGGGCCGTAGCGTGGGTGTCCATGCCGCCGCCGTTGCCATTACCGGCGGCGGCACCGTTCAGGTGCGCGTTGCTCTGCTCAGTCATGGCTTTCTTGTGTTGATGCTGATTGCTGCCCACTGGCTCCTCGCCGGAAAGACGACGTTTGGTACCCAGCTTGCCTGCTTCTCTGGGTGGAATGGTGGGTAGGTATTGTGTGTTGTGGTAAAGGAAGGGATGAGTGAACGCTAGACTGAGGCTGTGCAAAGCAACAAGTGTCGAGGTGTCAAGGTGAGGTGATGGAGTGGGTGGAGCTTGGTGGCGGTTTTGTAAGCGCGAGAGAGGTCCGACGTGTTGGAGCAAGGCAAACGCTGGCCTTGGCCTCAGGTTGCGCCTGCCTGATGCAATGACGCTGCTTTCTAACAGTTTCTAATCAATTCTCAACCAATGACGGGTCGAGAAGCATGTGACAGCCTGGAGGGTGAGACATTGCAGATATGAAAGGCATAGTTTGGGTATCACTGTTAGACATTCATACTACAGTATAATAGGATCGTCCTGCCTGAAGCGCAGTCTCGTGGAAAGTCCGCCTACAGGCCGTAACTCGCTCGTCCTCCAAGTCCATCAATCGTGCCGTCGTAAAATCTTTAATCATATCTCCTCCTGCCCTCCAGTGCCATCACAAGGGAGCGAAGAGTGCCTCCATCCCGGAGTACGGTCCTAGCTCGTTGAACCCACTACCATCTGATGGTATTGGGCCCGAAGCATCCATAGCCTCCTCCATATTCTCCCTTGCCGCACGCTCGGCCAACGCTGTCGTCTCCTCGTACCCTCCTTCCACCTCCCACATCGAGACCGTCCCGTGAGCCGACCCACTCTCCCCATGAGCACGACGAGTATCATATGCTGCAACGCAATCAGTACCCGAAGTCCGCTGCACCTCAACAAACCCGTCAGCAGCATACCGCTCATGTTGCAGCAATTGAATCGCTTGCGCCACCTTCTTCGCCCGATTCTCAGCCATTTTCGTTTTCCTTTCCTCCCTCGCAGCTTCCCTCTTCGCAAAATGCGCCTTCAAATCCCCGTGCGCTAGCTTCGCCAGCGCCTCAACATCGCTCCGCATGAACATCGTCGTGACCACACTCGAGACCATGTACGTCCCGTATCTCAAAACCGGCAAACCACCCGGATGCCGATTAAGCATTTTCGCTGCGGGATGCTGGTTCGGCAGTAATTGGTTCTCTTTGAGATCATACTGCGCTTTGGCATCCGTCTTGGTGATTTTTTCCGGCCAGTGCTTCCCATCGCAGTCCCGACAGCAGCGGAGCCCGTTCATCATGATGGCGGTCCGGATGCTTTTCTTCCCACAGAAGACACAGTGGCGGTCCATCCAGTTTAGGAGTCCTGACGGGCCGCCGCGGAGGAAGTCGCGCTTCTTCTGTAGCTCTGGCCGTGCTGGGAGGTAGTTCGTGATTTCCTGGTGGCGGATGAGCCAGAGGCGTGCCCAGGAGAAGGTTCCGTCTCGCAGGGCGTGGCAGGTTGCCGCGAGAGCATCGAAGGAGTGATGGCGCTTGGTGTCCGGTTGATTGGAGGGCGCGACGTAGTTTGCTTTGGCTGCTGCGTCGGGGTCGTGAGTGGGGAAGAGGTAGTCTAGGATTTCGTGCTGGAGCTCGGAGGGGAGTGCTGTGAGGTGGTCTTTTGGCTCCTTGGTGAGGTCGATGGTGTTGGATGGGCCTGCCATCGCGGATGGCTGGGCGGTCCACCAGTACAGGTTCCAATTCCAAGACCTGGTGCTTCTAGTATGTCACACAGGGTGTAGTCGTCCCGTTTCAGGGATCCAGCGCGACGTCAGCCTTCGTGAGCCGGGCAGCCTCCGTGAGATCCAGCAAGTGGAAGGCAAATGGCTCACTCAGCGCATCGGTCGTGTTTCCTTTTGTTGAGCTCGTGACAAGGTACGTGTACGCGAGACGGTATATCTACGACAAGTGGATGTTTGTGTCAAGAGTATCGTCGAATGGAAGAAGAGATGGAGGTGAGCGTGAGGGGTGGCCGAGCGCTGGAGAAGGACTTGCTGCCTCGACTTCACTTCATCTTGGACCTCACTTTATCAACAACATCCAACATTTTCCCCTTCCGCGTGTTTCCCACACGATACCTACAGATGCAATCGCTCTCCACGCATGTGATTGTAGAAGCATCCCACGCGAACCAAGGATGCTACTCCCCCAGCGGCAACGCAGGGAAAATTGGGCCAGCATGATGCTAAAGCGACGTCCAGCTGATACGGCGCCTCTATCTTGCTACAGCATGCATCTTCTGGTAATAACATCGTGATGATGCCGGAATCCTCTCCAAGGACTGGACGGCTACTCTTCTGCTTATATGTAGGTGAGGTGAGCTATTGAACGAGTACAGTATCTTCTTCCTCCATTTCGAAACCCTTTGACCTCACCAATTAAAATAACTCCAATCTCGCAAGAAATACAGCAAGACACAAGACTCATAGAAAGACTTCCAACTCCAAGATGTCATACGCCAGCCTAAACAACGAAGGCGACGAAGTCTTCGGCCCCAGCAATGAAAATGTCGGACAGAAGCGCTTCGCAGATTTCGATTTGAAAGAACACGTCTTCGTCGTAACAGGCGGAGCCAGCGGTATCGGCCTAGCCATGGCCGAAGGACTCGTAGAGGGGGGCGGCAAAGGCAGGTCCCAAACCCCGTGATCTTTACGTATGGCTGCTGACCCCCTCCTAGTCTACTGCCTCGACCGCGCCCCCTCCCCCACTGCCGAGTGGAACGAGGCACAGAAACGCGTCGCGACCGACTGGGGCGGCGCCCTCGACTACCAACGCGTCGATGTCGACGACACCGCGGATCTAGACAAGACCATCACGGACATCGCGAGCAAGCACCAGCGACTCGACGGCTTGATGGCCGCAGCGGCGATCCAGAAGATCCAGCCAGCTGTGGAGTATGGCGCGGAGGATCTAATGCAGATGATGGCGATTAACTACAAGGGCGTATATATGAGCGCCACGTCGGCGGCGCGGCAGATGATGAAGTATAAATGCCACGGTAGCATCTGTTTCGTCGCCAGCATGTCCGGGCTCATCGCGAACAAAGGCCTACTATCTAGCGTCTACAATTCAAGCAAAGCCGCTCTAATCCAGCTAGCGCGGAATTTAGCAATGGAGTGGTCGCCGATCAAGGAGGATGGGACTGGCGGAATCAGGGTTAACTGTCTGAGTCCCGGGCATGTGTTGACGCCGATGGTGCGGAAGAATCTTGACGACGATCCGGGATTGCAGGGCATGTGGGAGAGTGAGAATATGATGCATCGGCTTGCGAGGCCGGATGAGTTTAAGAGTGCTGGGTTGTTTTTGTTGAGTCGGGCGAGCTCGTTCATGACGGGGAATAATTTGGTGATTGACGGTGGGCATACGGGGTGGTGAGGTCAATTTGACCGTCGAGTTGTCGAAGGTTGAGTCAGTGGAGGTTTTTTCGGATGATGCAAAAGCAGCGACGGCGTAGATACGTTTTACGAGCATAGAGATGGCCCTTCGCCAGTCCTTCCGCCCTCAGTCCGTACCAGATCCGCTCGACATCAAGTGGCGAGTTGGCCATGCCTTGTAGGCTCAAGAGTTTCCCCAAAGCCAGTCAGTCGAACTTGATCAAAGTCATATGCATACAAATCTATCACCAATAGGGTATCGCAACTATACAGTCCCCAAAATCGACAATTCAGTCGTCGTGCTAGAGAACGCCCCACTCTCTTGGACCAGTAATGCTACAACAAACGGACGGCAGTCGCTCACACCTGTACGCCGTCTTGTTGCCCCTCATCTGCTCCATCATCGTCGTCGGCCCCGGGCCCAGTGGGAGCCCGACTGCTCTTCTCGTCGTCCTCTCTTCTTTCCTCCGCGCCTGCAGCTTCCCCTGATGCTAACGCCGCATCAGCACTGGCATCATCACCATCACCTCCCTCCTCTTCCTCCTCTTCCCGTCTTCCCTCGTCATAATCATTAGGTATACCAGCCACACAGAACAAGTCGTCCGCGCTCAACCAATGCACCACCCTCTTCCTCTGTGCAGTCGCCAAGTCGCAGCCGCCGATATGCTGGCGGAACCACGTGAGATATGTGTCTTGGTACTCACCGCTCTCGTAGGGAACGAAGACCTTGCCATTGCGGTAGAGATGCGGGAGGGTGCCGAGATCTGGAAGGTTCCCGTCGAACGGTAGAGTGTCTGAGAGTGACAAATGGCTGGCTGGCTGGTTGTGTTCGACGTGCGGTTGAATGGACGGCGGGGTGTCGGCAATGAGAAAAGGCTCGTCTTCTGAATTTTGTGGTGGAGCGGTATTTGGCTTTTCGTCCTTGGTTTTGGCTTCGCGAATGTACTCTTCAGGTATCCGAGCAAGTTCATTATGCACAGTTCCCATTGGAGAAGCAGGATGCAGCATGTTCCAGCCTCTCGCCGTCATGAGTTCGAGCAGATACTCCATCCAAGCTGGTTCGGTCTCGGCGACTTGCTTCGTGTGCTTTTCTGCCACGCCGGTCTCAGACATTTCCAACCGCCGCGAGAGGAAGTTGTGGAAAGTCGTCCATTTGTCGCCAAAGATTAGGCTTGAGGTCGACGAGGGGGCTTGATATAAGAAAGGCACAGGATCCGACTTGGCCAAGGCTTCGTACTTTCGATCTTCATCTTCCTGCATATCTGCTGCTGTTGGCGGCTCGAAGCCGGAAGAGCCGTTGATGAAGTTCGTCGGCACGTCCAGAGAAAGGCCAAGGAGATCCTCCGTGTCTCGGCTCCCGATCAGAGAGTAGCGGTACTCCAAGATGAGGTAGTACAAGTACTGGAGGTAGAGTTGATCCACCTCAGCTTGCGGTGAGAGTATGAGCACATGATCGTCGATGGTAGAGGCAGGGAAGAACGACTCCACAAAGCGGAGAGACATCTGCTCGGAGTTCAAACGTGAAGTCGTGATACGATGCCGCAGTGATAGAGCATTCGTTCTTAAAGGCGAAGCCCTCTCATCAGGCGGCCAGTCCAAACCTTCGATGTACCCTCTCGCGAAGTGCTCGATGTCATTGGGCAGCTCAATGGACAACCGCGGCGGCCGCAGTCCTGTATAGTCTGCTCGTTGAAGGCTCTTGAGCAGTCGAATAAGACCGCCGGAGCTCTCTGGAGGTGCGTGTATGAGTATGTCGATACTTGGACTAAACCAATTTCCAAGACTCCCCGAATCCAGCCGAGTCATCCAGAGGAATTCTTCGTACTTACCGGCAGGTACCTCGATCAGTGCGCGCCGGTACTCCCCTGCTCTCCTTCGCATCGCGCGTGTGAAGAAGCCATCCTCGACAATGCTGTCATCCATGACAATCGCCTGCGCATGGATGAAGTCGTTTATATGCTTCATGGCGCCTGAAACCGACACTTCTGCTCGCGTCTCCGAGCTGTACTCGGAGTAATCCCCGCGCGCATCGTGGAAGAAGACTTGGCATGATTTCTTGTCGAAGCCGTTGATCTCCAGTATATCATTCAGAGGTAGAGCGTCCCTTCCAAGTAGCGCCAGATGCACGTAATTCCTGTCCGCCTTTGCCATCGCGCAAGCCATCGGTATGAGGTTCGCAACACTCTTCAATGACGAAGCTGCGAATAGCACGTTCCGGTTGTCCACTTTTGACCCTCCTGTCCGCGAAATGCCTCGTAAAGTGGTAGCAAGCCGGTAGAACTTGATCGGTCCGTTGTAGTAGTGCGGTCCCTCGTCGTCGTTCGCAGACCGTGGAGGTGCGCCCACCGGCTCTTTGAGCGCCCGCACATCTGATACTGGTACGACGTGCCCTGGGCGTGAGGGCCTTCCCATGCGTTCATCAATCGTCGGAAGATCTGTGGGCATGTTCTTTATGAAGAGGTAGACCAGCATAAGCCCGAGTAGGACGAACACGACCCTCCTCTTGCGCCATCGCCATGGCAGGCCTGTCGAAGACGTACTTGTCCTTGGCCGGTAGTCGTCGTCTCGCTTGCCTAGCTCGGCGTCTCTGCTAGGTGCGCGGCGGTGGAGGGGGGCCATATTGCTGTTCTTCGAAAAAGCCCGAGTCTACGGGCGGGGACTCGTGCTATAAGGGTGGCATTGTTCGTACTTCTCCCTACCGACTTGACATGTGCAGTGGGTTGGCGCGTCTCGAGTTGATCCTTCGTCCCGGATCCTGCGCTCGAGAAGTGAAGTGTCGCGGGATCGGCGTTCCCGGTTTGTCGATAAGCTTAAATGTTAAAGTGAGACATCGAGGAACGCCAAGCATACCGAGGAAGCTCGGATCAGGACAAAAACGTATGGCAGTCAACAAAGCATTGCCGGAATCGTTACATACATTGAACAAAAGTAAAAAAAAAACGAGAGGTCTTGCCCAGATTCGAACTGGGGTTACTGGAATCAAAATCCAGAGTGATAACCGCTACACTACAAGACCGCGGAATGAAGAGCCAAAATTGGAGTTACGGTAAATGTACCACTATTAATTTTGGCCGAAGTATTGCCGAGGATCGCAGTCGACAGCATCGTAGAAATGTCTGCGACAAATCTCTAAGGCATTACATGTATTGTCCAGTGCTGGGAATGTTGTGCTGATGTATACCACGAAGGTGCTCAGACGACAATCGCGATCAGACCAAACGAAACATGCATTCACTTCCCTTAATTGGACCTAGCCCCAAACGGCCATTGACGACCTCCGCCTATCTCTTCTGCTCGCAACCTTTCTCCAAGATCAACGATGCTATAAACACCGTCCCAACTCGAGGCAATGCCTCCAAAAGCCGTTTCTAAAAAGAAACATGCCCTCCCAACCTTCAACATCCAGGCTTTCCCGACTCCCGCCCTCGAGTCAATAGACCTCCGCATGTCCTACCGCATCGCCCGCGGTGAGCAGGGAGTACTGACGTTCGAGCCCTACAAATCTTTCTTACTGCCGCATTGGCGCTTCGCTACTCTGCCTGTCGCCCATCAAAGCTCCAGCAACTTGAACCAAGCATTCGACCACTATGTCAAAGCGGGAGACCTTGTGGGCGCGGACATGGCGCGGAAGTTCATCCAAATGGGGATGACGCGCGCCAAACGCTACGCAAATCACAAGGGCGGACGGAAGTACGATAAATCCGTCCGCGAACAGGAACGCAACGGTGGGGAGCGGACGGAGCTTGCGAAGAGTGACGGGCATGAAGGTCGGGATGAGAAGCTGGAGGTTAGCGAGCACTTCAAGGGGATATGGAGGCAGTGCACGAGCGATGAGGGATATCTGGCGCTGAAGGAGGAGTTTCAGCGGGAGCAGAAGGAGTGGGACAAGGCGACGAAGAAGCTCAAGAAGGAGGTCAAGAGTGAAGAGGATGGGGATGAATCAAACATCAAGGGTGAAGTAAAGCGAGAGGACGATGGCGACGGCTGAGACTTCAGGAACGTGTTTGCTGCCAAACAAACATCTCAAGCTTTCAGGCCATATCTCGCCGCGCCATAATGTCGAATATAAGGCCATACACTGCGATTACGACGGAGAGCAGCCGACAGGGTAGACTTCTGCTCTTGAAGCCTTCGACCGATGCACCAAATTTGGGCAGCCGGACGAAATGCTTTCACGCCGAATACGCGATCTTGAACCACTGCCGTCGCTGGATTCGTGGTTTTGGACGTCCGCAACGAGAGTTGACGCCACGCAGGGACAGCAACGCCACTATCAAGCTCGAAATAGTGACCCGAGCTCACCCCCTATGGCAGCTATGACAGAGCTGTATCCGCTGGTGTCCGTTCCCAGCTACCGGTCCGAGAAGGCAATGACGCCCCGTACGTTGCCACAGTGATGCTGCATCTGGTGCATCTGGCGCTATACTGCCTTGCCAAAAAGTAACACCTTCCCAACAGACCTGGTGATCCCCTGAGGCATGGTACAAGCATGGTCAGCCTCAGCGTTCAGCTGGGAAAGGTGCTCAATCTCCAGGCGGCACGAACCTGTAAGGTCTACATTGTGTGATGGAGCTGTCTGCCGGCGGAGTGGCTGAGCTAGCGGCGGCTGGGGTTTCGAGCGCAGTAAGGTGCCGTAGCGCTCGTTTGTAAAGGGGTGGTCCAAGTTCATCTTATGGATCTCAAGGCGGATGCTGAAGGTCCAGGTGGTCGTTGATAGTGTCCGAATCGAGCTTCTCGTCGCATATAGGACAGCTCACCACCTCAAGCTTCGCTTTCTTCTTCACAGGTTGTGTGGTAGCCGCCTCGCTGTCGGTATTGGTTCGTTTCGTTGGTTGGATTGCTTCGCTTTTCTCCTGAGAAGGTTGAACAGACTGGCCACTCCCGACCCAACCATCAATCTTATTCTTCTGCCTCCCAGCCCTCTGCAGCCCACTCATCTTCTCCACCTGCGCCTTACTCATCTCCGGCTCCGCGACTTTCGTGAACGTCCCTCCGCACTCCTGCTGATGCCTTTGCCACCAAGAATCATTCTTCCCAGGAGCACGATTCATGCTCCTCTTCACCATCCCAAAGAACGGCGCTTGCGTCTGACAAGGTCCATTGCATTGCCAGACATGCGTGCGATAGCTGTCTACCTCGTCGTGGAAAGTGTGGAACACAGTCACCTCGTAGCCTCCATGGCTGTTGATCGCATCGGCGAGTAGCAAGAATCCAGCTCCATGACCTGTCCCATCGTCTCCGCGTGAGTGCCGCCAGGATGTCGTGATGAAAAAGTAGGCGTGGATGCTTTCATGAAGTAACGTGTTGATCATATCGCTCCGCGGCCGGAACTTGAGTAATGGTTCCGAGAGTTTGAGGCGGATGCGGGTGTACTTGTTGCCATTTGAAGGATCTTGCATGAGCTCGCAGATGCCAGCGCAGAGGGTGAGCCGAGAAGACCAGGAGACCTCGACACGGGGAAGGAGGAGGCTGCGGAAGTAGAGGGTGTTGTAGTGCTTGAAGACTTCATGTATGTCCAGAAAGGGGTCCGAAGAGGCCAGTAGCGATTCAATTGAGGACTGAGCGGCTTTCTGCTCTTTGGATGGGTCCGCCAGTGTGGTGATGGCTGCTAGGGCTGCTTCTCCGTTGGTCGGTGGCATGTTGTTGGACCATGGAAATTTGGCGGAGTACTGGCATTGACCACACATGCCATGAGATATATGCAGCGACTCTATTTGGGTTGCTCTTGCATGGCTATATGAAGAGCTTACGGTAGTGCAGCCAAACGAGGAACCACAAGGGACAACCGAAGGCGACTCGAGTGTCAAGGTCTGTGCGTTGAATATGATAAATCACACGCACTTCTACTTCTACGCTGCCAGTATTGCTCGTCAGCACTATGCTATTCAGATTATATTGCCTCTTCTCAAAGCGTTCCGATTCTCCTGTAACCAAGGCCCACAAGCAAAAGGACAGTAACACTGCACCCTCTTCGACTTATCGCAGTCTTCATCTTGCTTCGAAGTGGCCAAAACCTCCTTCCCTCAGTGACAGGCTCATGGCAATTGTGAAGCAGCCGCGAGAAATGTCAGGATCTCGCCATTAGTACCAGAAATCGTGGAGTTTGCGTGCAGGCCGTTCATCCCAAGTGTACCAACGCTCTTTGCTCTTCGGACTCCCAAATGATTGGAGGATAGCAGGAGCTCCGAGCTGTGTCGGGGAGACGAAGTGCTCCGACGAGCTCGGTTTGACAGAGCTGCGAAATTTCTCTGCCTGGGGTGCGAGGATGATGTCGTAAATCTGGCCGCTGGCGCGCGAGCATGGCTGTTGCCTGTAGGTGCAGTTCCCGCAAGCAACTTCGTGTACTGACCTCTCGCTATCCTTGAAATAGTACCAGGTCGTCTCCCTATTAAGCAACTTCTGACGACGGCAACCGCCCTTGTGAGACTCTTGGATGTTCTCGGGATGCTTGATGTAGCTGATGAGGTCGTAGACGGCAGTCACCACCGTTTGAGGCACAATGCTGGCATCGAGAGGGGTCACTGTCACCTCACCCTGCTCGCTGAAGACGTAGACGCCAATCGTGACCACAGGTATTCGCGAGCGGTTGCGGGAGGTCAGGTTCGAAGGGATGGAGTCTTGCGTCGAGCTGCCGCCGCCCGTGGTAGACAACCTGCTCCTCTTGTCGCCGGGTGATCCTATGCCCATGTGCCGAGGCGGAGTACTGTCGTAAAGCTCGTCCGTGGTGCTATCCTGTGATCTCATTAACTAGGGAGTCAAGCTAGTCGTAGCTTTGGAGTTCTTACCGCGCTCACTGACCGACGTCTCTTGCGTGACTCGAGGCCAAGAACACCTTCTTCGGACTCGGAAGAGCTTCTTTCGGGATGCGACGCATGAGTCTGAGTAGTGGAAAACAAGCCTTTAGGATTGAGCCTTCGAATCTCGGCTTTGAGCTGTCGAACCTCCGCGGTGAGGCCTGTGACTTTTGCCTCTGCTTCGTTGTGGTCGGACCACGCCTTCGCTGTGGACTGTAGTGCCTCCCTCCTCTCGGCGTTGGCGGCGACTACCTCGGCCGCGAGAGCTTGCAGCTGAGCTTGATAGTCCATATCGAGGTTCGTGCCGGAGGTGTGAAGGTTGAAAGAGAGGATGCAGAGAGGTTTTATAGACTTGTGTGCTTCTGATAAGTGAGATTTGGCCGAAGGGGGCAAAGGTGAAACAAAGCATGGCCCACCCTCAGGCATGCGACGTTGGAGAGAGCAACTCACATGCAGTTCAAACTCACTTACAGTTCTGGCTATGAGTGGCTATGAGAGACGACGAGATCAAGGGGGTGAAACCTGATCGCATGATGAACTAGTATTTGCAGTGAGCGAGTACTATGATTATCATGGGAAAACAGCAAGGAAGATGGCAAGCGCGTACTCTCGTTACCTACCATTCATCGATCAGAGGAGCAAAGCAGCCCAACCACAGCCATACTGAGCAACCCTCCGACTTGCAAGACATCTCCGCCGGTATACAACTGACCGTAAAACCCTCCTGAGAATCCAAACACTGCGAAAATGAGTCCAACCTTCCTTGTCTTCTTCCGCCAGAGACATGCAGCTCCTATCAGGTCGAAGGCGCCGAAGATCCGTCTGAGCTGCTCAGACCATCAGCTATGCTCAGGAGCGATCTGTCCATGGTGGACATACGGCAAGATAGTCCAGCCCCAGGAACCAGAAAGCTGCATGCGAATTGTGGGTCATGATCTCGATGTTCTGTGCCAGACCTGGTGTCAGCCGAGGGGTGAAGTGTGCTTGGCCAGCGAGACTATAGAGAGTGGCGATTGTGAGGCCGATGCCGTCGCTCAGGAGGGTGGTGTAAGATGACATGACTGTTAATAAACCCCTCTCTACAGGCGGAAGGTTGAAGGAGACGAGGGGTCGTGGCAGCTCATATAGAAACATGGCTGGCGATTACCATCTTGTAATAAGCAGTACCAGACGACAGAGACAGCCCTAGCTTGACTCCAACAAGAGGATGCGGCAGGATTCGGGTACATTGTGGTGCCGGTCGCACTACTCGTATTCAGCCCGCGACAATTTAGCCATGAGATTCTAGCCAAGATGACTGCGAGAACTGTTCAGCAGCCTCAGCGGACGTGAGACGGCTAAGCACGTGAAAGGCATGAAAGGGTGAAGCTGAAGTGAATGTAAAGTTCATGGTGAGGTCATTGGAGAGGCCCGAGCTCCTAAAGCTCACCAGTGATCATTGACATTCATATCCGTACTACATCGCGACCTTAATGCCTTGCCATTGACCCTCCCCTCCTCTCCCCACCGCAGCCATGGTCCTCGAAGAAGCCTCCACCTCCACTGAACCCAGTACCTCCTTCTCCGACTCTTCCATACCCAGCTCCGATCTCGACCCATACTCCTCCAGCGACAACTCCCAACTCGCCGCTCCCAGCTCCTCCTATGTCCGCGTCAACCAACCTGGCGTACCCCCCATAGATATCAACATCGAGCAAATTCCTCGACCCTTGCTGGTTCCCTCCTTCGACACCTACGCCGGCTCAATCGCGAGTACCGTCCAACAAAACGCCAAACTTGCTGCCCAGGTGCTTCAACGACCCATTCGGCAAGATGAAGCTGAGGCATTCGCGTGGCATATGGGGAAGGCTTTGAGAATAGGCTCATATGGCACGCCCGTGGGAGTGTCTATCGCTACACTTTTTGCGTATCGAAGCACTGGGGAGGGCTTCCGCTTCCCAGGCTGGACGCCCATGAAGGAGGGAGGAAGGTTTAGTCCCGACATTTTTGGCCCGCTGAAAGGGCAGGTGGCTCGAACCGCGTGGCAAGCGACGAGATACGGGGCGTACTGGACCGTCGGGGCATTACTAGGTCAAATCTTCTTTGGAAGCTATGCGATCACTACGTCTATTGCGGGGAGGATGCAGGATCCGCGGCTGAAGGACTTTCTCGAGGCTTTGAAGAAGAGGCAGCAGGAGGGTGGAGGAATGCCAAGGCCACGGGATGTGCAGAACCAAGGCGATGGGGCGAAGATGGGGGAGACGCAGGAGATGGCGTGGCAGAGGAGGAGGGTGCAGAGGGAAGCGGACGACGCGACAGGGCAGTCAGCGCGTATGGGCCAGCAGGGGCAAGGTGGGCGGGGAGGGGCTGATGATGATATGAGTCCTACAGGCGGGGCGTTCGAAAACGAGCTCATGGGTGGCCCGGCGGATACAGGGTTGATGGATGATCAACAGGCGAGGCCGGACTATGGACGTGGACAGCAGTCGTCACAATACGCAAACAATGGTGCAGCGACCGACTCCTCGAGACCAGAGAGGAGACGACCCGAAGATAACAACTCAAGACCAAGCGGCACTTCCTGGGACCGGTTACGAAAGGACGCCATGTCTGGCAATCAGAACCAGCAGTCTTCTAACTCGAGGGATTCGCGCTCAGCGAACTCGCAGAGTAATTCTTCTGGCAGTGACAGCTTCAGCTTCTCGAATAGAGACGAGGACAAGCAGTTGGCGAGATCACAAGCGCAGAAGGAGTTTGATGCGCAGATTGAGAAGGAGAGGAGTGGACAGGACTTTGATGACGGGCGTGGTGGGAGGCGGAAGTGGTAGTTATTGTAGTCCTATAGCCGTGTACCTACCAAACGAAGTATGTCATCAGGCATTGAATCACGCAGTCTACTTCCTTTCATAAGCCAGCCTGCATCGACCTCATGGGTAGACCGACCTCGCAAGTACACCCCGGATTAACACCACCTGCATGCACCACACCCCATGTCCTTGTCAAGCCACCAGGGTCCAGATCGCGGAGGGTCACAGAATTCAGCGGCTCACGACGGCAGCCGCAGCAGCCAGCTGCAGCTTCCATCGGTCCAGAACTTAGTCAAGATGGCTGACCTGAGCACGTCGCGAAAGCGAACACCTCTTGAGGTAGCTGAGCCGCAGAGCTGTTGTACTGCGTGCTCTGTTCTGCCTTTAACGTCGCGGCATGGGCGAGATGGGTCGTCCGCATAGCCGCGAGATGCCCGACTTGACTGCTAGCCAGCCTCACGGCAAGCTGCCGGCGGAGCTGCGGGCGCTGGTGGACTTTCTGGATACTGATGGACGGCCGACTGCTGTGTGGGAGGATATCAACGGACCGCTGCGGATATGTGGTGGACAGAAGCTGGTGTACGAGAACGCTGCGTTTAAGAGTCTGGGGCTTGGGGAACGGTATATCAGGCAGCTTGTGAAAGACATCGAGGGACACGGGAAGCTTTTCGCAGGTCAGGATGTCAGAGGCAGATGTGAGAAGAGAGGACAGAGCATTGTTGATGTGCGGTCGTGGAGAATCACGCCAGTTGCTAAGCATTGGAAAGCACTGATATACGAGGGCGAGGTTCCCAATGGGTCTCATGGCGGGAGTCCGGCAAAGTCTGAGAACGGTACCAATGGCCATGGATACGAGAACATGAGACATGATCCTCAAGACTGGACACGATTTCCTGTGGACGGTCTCAGTCAGTGGGTCGAGTATGTCCGTACCTTCGACTGGGCGTCGACGGCTATTGGGCCAATGGAGCACTGGTCGGATCTCCTTCGAAGCTGCGCTCTGCACGTAATGGCCCACCCGCATGCGAGGCTTGTTGTATGGGGCGAACAGAGGACAGTCATTTACAACGAAGCGTGCATTCCGCTGGTTGGACAGCGACATCCTGCGTGCCTGGGACAGCCTGTTGCTGAAGCATGGGCCGAGCTGTGGACGGAAATATGTCCTATGGTTGAGCAGTCGTTCAACGGAAAGACTCTCAAGCTGGAGCAACTGCCTCTCCTTACAAGAAGGAATGGCGCGCCGGAAGAGACGTACTGGGACGCCGTTGCGCTTCCGGTAGTTGGAGAAGGTGGCAAGATCTTCGGCCAATTCCTGGAGCTCACTGAGATGACTCGAGCGGTGACTGGCATCCGGCGACGGAATATGGTCGTCAAGATCCGGCAGAAGATCAACACTGCAGAAACATTGCCAGAGCTTTGGTCTTGCTTCCTGAATGGCTTGGAAGAAGTATCGGAAGACGTTCCCTTCGCTCTGGTCTACGCGGCCAGCGATCTTCCGGCAGCAGACGCTTCCGGCGTCTCTCAACCAGATCCGCAGTGCTCTGGCGCTCGACTCGCTGGTACCGTAGGCCTTGCCGCCGATCACCCAGAGATACTTGAATCGTTCAATCTGGTAGGTGCAACGACTCCACAGTTTACACTGACAACGCATTGCCTGAACGCTTGGAAGACTCGGAAGTCCATCACGATCAAGTACGATGACGGCACTCTGCCAGACTATCTGTCAGCTCCCACTGCTGGCCGGAAGATCACTGACCGTGTACAAACCGCCGTGGTCTCCCCCATCACTTCACTGGGGGGTAACGACGTCCTTGGTGTGCTGGTACTCGGCTTCAATCCTCGACAGCTTTTCAACGAAGAGTACAGGATGTTCGGATCATTCCTCAGCGACTTCCTGTGCCAAGCGGCGTCTTTGATCTCTCTGCCGCAAGAGCAGAGGAGAGCGCAGAGGTTGGCCGACGAAATGAACACCACGCTCGCTCAACAACTACGCCTCATCACGCTGCAAGCGGAGCGACAAGAAGCAAAATTCGCGAGAATGGCCAATGAAGCACCAACAGGAGTTTTCGTATTTGACCCTGACGGACGACTGCTGTACGCAAACGATGCGTACCTGAGAGTGCTAGGTGAGACCCGGGAAAGCCAGGCATCGCGAAGCCCGCACACATTGGCCTGGCAAGAACACATCCATCCAGATGATATGGAGCATTTCTCCGACATCTGGGAACGTGGGGTCCAGCAGAAGATGCCTTTCACTATTGAGCATCGCTTGAAGAAGCCGTGGATTGCCACTGAGTCTGGGCAGGAAGTCAGTGGTGAGACGTGGCTGCTTGCCAACGCCTTTCCGGACGTGGGACCCGATGGCAAGATCACGTCTGTCCAGGGGTGGTTGACCGATATCAGTCACCGGAAGTTTACAGACGGGCTCGTGGCGAGGAAGCTAGAAGATGCGTTGGAGTCAAGACGCCAGACTGAGAATTTCATCGACATGACCTCGCATGAGATGAGAAATCCTCTGAGTGCCATTCTGCAGAGCGCTGATTCTGTTGTGTTGACACTGGAGCATGCCGACGCTCATGGTTCGAAAGCAGTGACTTTGCCGCACGATGTCGTGCACGAACTCGTCGACTATGCACATACCATCATCCTATGCGCCCAGCATCAGAAGCGGATAGTCGACGACATTCTCACCCTGTCGAAGCTCGATGCGTCCCTACTGGAGATATCGCCAGACAGAGTCCAGCCGCCCGAGCTGCTGTACAAGGCTCTTACCATGTTCGAGTCGGAGATCAAACGAGCTGGAATTACCGCAAAAGTCGACGTTGAGCCTACGTATGAACTGCTGAATGTTGACTGGGTGATTTTGGATCCCAGTCGTGTCTTGCAGGTGGTCATTAACCTTCTTACTAACGCCATCAAATTCACTCAAGACGCTGCGACACGGGAGATCACTGTCTGCGTTGGCGCCTCGTACGAGAAGCCGACGGGCAAGCATCATGGGGTCGATTTTATTCCCACGAAGCATATCAGGAGAGCGGAGAGTCCGCTTGATGAGTGGGGCGATGGCGAGATACTGTACCTACAGTTTGCTGTGACTGATACTGGCAGGGGCCTGAGCGAGGAGGATATGCAAGTCCTTTTTCAGCGGTTCAAGCAGGCGTCGCCGAAAACTTATAAGCAGTATGGTGGTAGTGGGCTTGGACTGGTGAGTACTCTCTTCCTTCCATCTTGTAAGTTGCGCTAATGAGTGCACAGTTCATCTCTCGCGAACTCTGTGAGCTTCAAGGCGGCCAGATCGGCGTCTCGAGCTGCAATGGCAAGACGAGCTTCACCTTCTTCGTCCGAGCGAAGAAATGGGTACCTGATGCACCATCCGAGAAGGCACACCGGCCTACGTTGCCTCGATTCACAAGTACTTCTGCCAGTCCAATGACCTTTAACCGCAGAGGCAGCGTGTTACCCAGGAGTACAAGCGCAGGGACCGACGAGCTCAGGCGGATCCCTTCTGTCAAAGAAGATCCACACACTACCGCAGGCGCCCCACACCCTCTGAGCCGATCTTCTTCGATGCAGGTATCCCCAGCCACGGAGACGAAACTCCACGTCCTCGTCGTAGAAGACAACCTCATCAACCAAAAAGTCATGCGCCAACAACTCACTCGCGCCGGCTGCATGGTGCATGTCGCCAACCACGGCCTCGAATGCCTCACCTTCATCGAGAAGAGCATTTTCTGCCGGGCTGAGACGCATCTTTCGGTCGTTCTCCTGGATCTGGAGATGCCTACCATGGACGGCATTACCTGCATCAAGCATATCAGAGAACGGCAGGGCAATGGGGAGATCACGAAACATGTGCCTGTCATTGCTGTGACGGCTAATGCAAGATCAGAGCAGATTTCTATGGCGATTGAGGCGGGGATGGATCAGGTTGTTACGAAACCTTTTCGGATTCCGGAGTTATTGCCGCAGATGCATGCGTTGGTTGAGGAGGTTGGGCGGAGATGGGAGGATGGTTGAAGATTGATGGATATTGCAAGCGCTATAACCTCGCTCTGGAGCTCTGCGACTTCACCAAGTTCTCGTGGACACGCAAGAACTCCCGCACGACCTCGACGAAACCATCAAGCTGCTCCTCAGTTAACGCAAGACTGAGCGCCAGGAACCCACGTCTCGCGATATAATATCCTCGCTCTAGCATGAAGAGGTGGAAGATGCTGCTCAGCGTCTTATCGTCATCTTTCAAGTCCTGGGGCGAGCGAACATCTTCGACGGTCGACTCGGTGAAGTGGAAGCACATGATGGAGCCATAGCCGGTTATCTTCATCAGCGTGCCGCGACTGGCGTCTTGGAGAGCTTTGCGGAGCTTGTCGCCTCTGGCGTGGAGTTGGCTTGCTCGTTCGGGCATGAAGACTTGCTCGAGGCCGACGCGGCCGGCGGACATTGTTAGGACGTTGTTGTTGAAGGTGCCCGCGTGTTGCAAAGCATTCGGCTTGCGAGGATCAAACAGTTCCATGATTGCTTGCTTGCCACCAAAGGCACCGAACGACATTCCGCCGCCGATATACTTTCCCAGAGTCGTCATGTCCGGACAGAGATCAGCTGGCATTTGAGACTGTATGCCACCGCCAGAATGCATTCGACTCGTCATCACTTCGTCGAATATCAACACCGCCCCAGCTGCCGTCGCAGCCTCCCGCAGCCCTTCAAGAAAACCGGCAGTAGGCGGAATGGCACCTCCAGACCCGAGCATCGGCTCAACGAGTATAGCAGCAACCTTTCCAGCATTCTCTTCGCTGTCAAGAAGCGCACGCACAGAAGTCAAATCATTATATCTAGCAATCAACCACTCATGCGGCGCATTCACCGCAGCACTCTTCCCATCCTTAAACGTAAACGCACCACCATGATACCCCCCATCAAACACAACAATCTTCTTCCTCCCCGTAAAAGCCTTCGCAGCCGCCAACGCCATTAACGTCGCTTCCGTCCCCGAATTCGTAAACCTCATAAGATCCATACTCGGGAATCGCTGTTTCACCAGTTCAGCGAGACGGACTTCGTCTTCATGCTGGCTCCCGTAATTTAACCCGCGTTTCGCGGCTTCAGTGATGGCAGCTAGGATTAACGGCTCAGAGTGCCCGTAGAGTCCGGCTGTGTATTCTCCTAGGAGATCGATGTAGGCGTGTCCGTCTACGGAAAAGAGTTGGGAGCCGGAGGCGCGGGACATGGAGAGGGGGAAGGGGTGGTAGTAGAGGACGCTGCGGGTGTTGCCTCCCGGTAGAGAGTTGGTGGCCGCATTGTAGATGGTTTTGCTTTTTGGGTTGTTCCTGGTGAAGGCGTTGGCCAGATTGTCGTAGGTCTTCTCGGCTGTGGCGGAGGGCATTTTGGCGGATGATATAGTCTTTTCGTGATATCTTATATAGTTCAGACGACGTTCGAAGATTAATCTCCTAAGCTTCGAACTTCTGCCGAAGCTCTAGACGTGCTGTCGGCCTATCGATAGCTTAGCTTGTGAGGTACCACAGGTCTTGTCTCTATACAGAGTCGCTTCTGATCGATAAGCCTGTGGACCATAACAAAGACACCGTCAAGACTTCCCTCATATGTCCAGAGCGATATCATGACCGATCTCGCAATTGCACGAGTCAGGAGAACGGAACCAACTCCCGAGCCTGCATCTTCGCGTGGCTTGCCGCCAACGACCCGTTGCGAGGACCACGAGGACTCATCAAGCCTCTTCCTAACGTTCGAATTTCGTGCTGCATCTCAAGCACTTCACTCCGCGGATCCACGTCGATGTGTGGCTTCAAGCTTCGATAGGAGCGTACATACGCTCTCCGAAAAGGACGTGGATGCATCACTAGAATCACCATCGGAAAGATCTCCGTAAGAAAACTGGAGCCAGATCTTGACGCATAGATCTTCAACATGGTTCATGGATGCATGCCAATGCCCTGCAACCTAATGAACACCTTCCGACTCGGCGAGATTGTGGACGACTGCGCAACCACTTGGACTTTGGCGACTTCGTGTCTCATGGTACGAGCATCTTAGATGAGCCTTCAGTGTTCTCGTGTATTAATCCCGAGACTTCTTCCCTTTGTCCAACGAAAACAACAGCCTCGCGACCTTGCATACAGCAATATCTGAGTAACAGCCTTATCCGGCAACTGCGCCTAGATGAGGTCCAAGCATTTTCGCGCAGTGGATCCGATCGATATCTATGCCAGGGATGTCCAAGCACGCCCAACAGCTCGCTGACGACACGTCGACTCTCAAATCGAGACCGTTCCTGAGGATATGACGACGTTGAAGAGCAGCTTTGATTAAAACGCTGGCCAACGAGGCATCTCCGGCGATTTCTGCTATCCAACCGGAGTCTCTCCGTGGGTATCCAACTGCAACTTTATCTACTCCTGCAGCGAGGATCCGGCCATGCGGTGGGCTCGAGTCGCTAGCCGCGAGAGGTGTGCTTCGAGAAGCACGGGGATCCGGCGATGTGTAACCCACAATGGTTATTTTCCGGGAACCCTATAGAAGATGGGTCTCGCTCAATGGTAGGTCGGAGGTATTCAGTGGCGCTCCTCAGTTGAAATCGAGCGTGGGTGTGGTTTGTGACGCTGGAAGTGTTATGTCTTGACTTGTTTCATGCCTATGTTGTCTGTCTTCTGCCTGAGTGATGGCTTTCAGAGGGACGGTAGGACGAACGTTGTCCTCAAAGAAGAGCACTGCTAATGAGATAGCAGCAGGATGGCCCGCCGTATGAACCTCGATACCAGACATTGGGTGCGATACCCGCGGTAGTGCCTGATGTGCCTATCGATGTGGTGTTCCTGGTTCTGTTCCTGGTAATCGGCATTGGGCATGGCGTTGTCTTCTATTGGAATCTGGTCGGGAGCAAGAGGAAGTTTTTGGTCAATGCAATGGTTGCCGGTACGACATACTCCATCGAAGGATGTGTATAGCTGCTAACCGGACGTTCAGCATTCTGCTTCACTAGAGTGATTGCTACATCCCTTCGAATAGCATGGGCCTGCGTAACATCCAACACTCACCTCGCCATCGCAGCTTCGATCTTTCTATACGCGGGAGTGGTCTTACTGTACCTGGCGAACCTCTTCTTCGCCCAACGGATCCTCCGAGCACAACACCCGACCTTCGGCTGGCGAAAGCCCGTCTCGATTGCATTCACAGCAACATTCGCTATCACAGGCGCAGTAGTAATCTGCCTCATCGCGGCCGTGATCACGAGCTCCTACACCGACAACCTCGACTCCCTCGACGCAGCCATCCAACTCCAACGCCTCGGAGCCACAATGCTCGCCATCATCGCCACCCTCCCGCTCTTCATCGTCGGAGCCTCCAGCCTCGCCCGCCGACACCCACACATCCTCTCCACCAAAACCTGCGACAAATTCGGCTCTGGCTCTATGCGAACCAAAATCATCATCGTGATGGCTACTTCCATCTTTCTCGCACTTGGGGCCTGGTTCCGCGCCGGCGTCGTCCTCAGCAAACCCGTCCCGGCATCCGCACCGCAGCCGGGATATCTGTCTAAACCAGCCTTCTACATCTTCCTCTTCACCTTCGAGTTCGGCATCTGCCTCTTCTGGCTCCTCGTCCGTGTCGACAATCGCTTCTTCACGCCCGACGGAGCGCATGGACCATTCAGCTACGCCGGCGGTTTCGTCTTCGCAGGCGAAGCGGGCAATGAGAAACGCCATTCAGCCCATCGGAACTTCAGCCGTCCGACTTCCACCATCTCCAAGCCGACCTCCTCACGCCCTACGTCTTCCGTGCACAGCCCGCCCATCTCCCCGCTCAGCCGCCGCTCCTCATTCGCCGGCAGCTTATCCTCCCGCGCCTCGCAGAAGCAGATGAAGCTCGCCCACCTCGAGCAACGAGTCTCATGGGGCGGAATCAGTCGGGAAGACGTCCGGGATCACTTGGATGAAGAGGGGAAGGTGCTGCGGTATCAGGCTTTTGCTGGGAGTTGGACGGGCGGGGACACGGCGGCGGATACGGGGGTGGAGGGGATGGAGAAGGAGATGGGGTTTGATCCTGAGAGCGGGCTGTGGGCTGTTAGGCCGATTTCGGGCGTGAGGGGGGAGGGGGTGGAGATCGGGGAGTTGGGGGAACAGTCGGAGGGTCGGTGAATGGTCGATGGTCTGGCGTGTCCACCGCGACAGGGTCAGCAGAGTAGGAGAGGAGGATAGAATCGGAACACAGGCCTACGAGCAGGTGGATGAGTTGACGGCCTAATCATGAATGGCGGCATCGGTTGATGCACCCATAGACGAAAGCATAGGCGTGGGATGACGTTTTGTATTGTACACTTAGCGAGTCCTTCCAGCGTACCTTAGCCTTTCCTTCATCAAAGCTTTTGCGTATCAAGCGCTTTCGTTCCTCATGATCCTTCTGGCTGGCGACATCTGTGACCTCGATGCTTTTCGATTCCCTGGGATATCATAACAACGCTTTCGGAGGCTCAATACCCCGCCTCCTTCTCGTCCTCCTCACACTCCCCTGCCCCTCCCCAACCGCCGCCTCTCCCTCCCACAACTCCCTCCCGACCAGCTCAACCAGCCCCAAAACCCTCCTTTTCACAGTCCCTCCATCCCGCCTTCCCTTCCCCTCTCTCCGACCAAGACTCACCCGTTCGCACAACTCCCACAGCTTTCCTTCAGCCGTCAAGTTGCCCTCTCCGTCTCTGCGTGGCAAATACTCCTGATCCAGCCGGACCCGCGGCGGAGCCTTACTGTCTTTGCTTCTGCTGACCAAAATGACGCCGGCGTCTTCGCTCCGCTGGAAAGCATTCTTCAGCGCTTCCTTGTTCACCGCCTCGAAGTAGCTCAGATCTCCTTGATGATAGAGCGTTTTGCCGAGGAGCTGCGCGCGGGATTGGAGGGTGTGGTAGTCGAGCCAGATTGCTTCTGTGTCGCCTGTCTGGCTCTGGTGGCGGGGTGGTGGGGTTAGTAGGAAGCACGACACGAGGCCGAGCCAGCAAGCGTCGATGAAGGGCCAGATGAGAAAGCAGTAGAAGTCGAAGTCTTCGCGGCCGGAGGCGCGTTGGTGTGGGTGCAGTTCAACGGCCTCCATGGCCGAGTCAGGGGATGAGGTGGAGTGGGTGCAGGATATGACTTGATCGCGTTCGAGACCGCGTAGCGCCCCTTGTAGGTTCTCGTCCAAAGGCTGCGTGGAGAATATGAACTCGGCGCGAAAGAGCTGGGAGAGGAAGGAGACGTAGTAACTCAGCTCGGTGTACGAAAGGCGCTGATCGTTCGCTTCGCCGCCGGTCTTGACTCTCGTGTACAGGGCCGCGCAGATCAGGCTTTCGGACACGAAGAGGTGGATCGCAGCGTTGCGGTAGAAACTCATCTGGAAGCGGTCTTCGGCGTAGAAAGTCTCTTCCGGAAGGCCTGAGACTCGGCCGACGAGTTTGGGTCCTAAGACTTCGAGGGCGCGGTCGACGACGGTTTCCGTGCTGAGGCCGGCGAAGTGCGCGACTCGGCCGCCTTGCGCTCGCACACGGTCGCAGAGCCAGTCGACTCGGCGGACTAGCTCTGATTTGCCGACGCCGCGGCCTCGGAGGGTTAGGAGCACGGTGCCGATGAGTGCTGTGGGCATTACTACTGATGCTTTGTTGATGTCCGCGAGGACTTGGTATCCAAGCGTCTGCAGCAACTTTCGTCTCAACCCCTCTCCAGCCATGACATCCGCCTGGACCGACTGCCTCTCCATCCTACCCATCTGCTCATCAATGAATCCTCGCAAACTCCAGGGCTCATGGAACCTTACATCCACCCTCCCCAATTTCAATGACAGCACATTAGATGCCGACAGAAAGCTCACCAGATCCTCCTTCGGCTTCGGCGTGCCCAGCAGCTCACTGACATACGAGTCGACTTCAATGACCTTGTCGTACTGCGTGCTCACGGGACAGATGATGGCGTCTTCGACCTTGCCAGACAAGACGCTCTCCAGGAAGAAGCGTAAGATGCCAAATTTCGGCTGCAAAAGCTTGCCCGTCCTTGACCGACCGCCTTCGATGAAGCACTCGACGTTGTGTCCGTTCTGTAGCAAGGTGTCGATATACGACTGCAGCAGCGTAGGATATAGCTGATCCTCTCCAAACGAACGGCGGATCCACATGGCTCCCGCATGCTGCAAGAAAGATCCAACCAGAGGGAAGTTCAAATTATCCCCCGCCACCACAGTAGGCAACGCCATCCCCAACCGATAACAAATCAGCTGCAAACTCACATAATCCACATGACTCCGATGACAAGGCAAAAACACCAAACTCTGCTTCTTCCGCGCCGCCTCCTCCGCCACGCCGCGCAAATGCCTCACCTCCTCCGTACTGATATGAATCCCCTGGTGATACGCCCGCGTCAGGAGCTGCGTAGCAGCGTAGTACGCCCCGCGGATGAAATAACGCGAGTCCATTTTACAGATCATCCCATCCAACCACTCCTCCGAGACCTCCCGTAACTGCCCCTCGATCTCCCTCCGTCTCCTTTCCCTCTTCTCCCGAAACTCCGGCGCCTCCCCTTCAACCCCGATCGGCCCGAGCAGTCCTTCGTACAGCTCAGCTTCCACCCGCTTATTCGCCAACACCCCCATCTGTCGCCGCAGCGCCTCCTGCCGCATCACCATCCCCTTCATCTCCTCGCTGAAGCCCGGGTAGAAAATCTCCTGCCCGATGATGTGGGAGTAGGACCGCCATCCTTCGCCCCAGATGTGTTGGCCGAGTTCTTGCAGGGCGTTGAGCGGGGCGGAGCGGAAGCGGGCGTAGGGTTCGAGGAGTTTTTGCTCTTGGGCTAGGGGAGCCGTGGGGTCTTGGGGTGCTGGATTGTCGTCCATGTTGCTAGGCTCTTCGCTGGTTTTGCGCGTGGTCATCTTGGTGCCATCGTTGGGCTTTTATGATCCGTCTGTTCTCTCTTCGTGATCTGGTATAGGGCCAGGAGTCTGTCAGCCGATTGCCATTGTCCGGAAAGACCACGTTTCGTTAATGCCCATGACAGCTAGCTGAAGAGCCCAATCAGTGGAACAGGAGCACGACCGGGCGGTTGGGCCTGATGTATCGGAAACCGTACCTAAGCTCGTACTCATTCTCGACATCGAAGGTAAGGTGTGGTTGTCCGTAGCCTCGGTCCCAGTGCCAGCTCCTGATTGGTCAATGGACTCAAGTCCGTCCGTTCAGTAAGGTAAATGCCATGTTTTGGGAGACATTCGAACAGCAGCGAAAGTTCATACACATCTCAATCATATCATTTCAAAGTAGCGATCATCCCCATCTTTCCCAACGCCTCGCCAACACAAAGCCATCCCAAATTTAAGCCTCGCTGCTACAACAGCAAGCAAGCAAAGCAGCAAGAAGGGTATCTTCTCACGAACATAAAGCAGACGCTTCAACGCAGCAGCACCAAACCACCCCACGTCCACCATAAACGTCCCATCTTTCTATATCAAGCCTCGCCATCATCGTCCTTTTCTTCTTTGAGAGAAGGACTTATAGCGGCACATCCTCCATCATCCCCACCGCCCCCTCCCGTCCCACCGTCAGAATCACATCCCCCAACGTCTTCGTCGCGAACCCCGCCTCACAGTACGCGAAATAGTACTCCCACTTGCGTCTAAAAACCTCTACGTCCTCCTCTCCAATCCCTTTCCCCGCTTCACGGCCCATCGCGCCGTCTTCTTGGTGTTCTTGTAATAAAGCCGGACGGATCTTGGACGAGAAGTTCTGCATGAAGCTCTGCCGCCACAGACGGAGCGTTTTGGCGTAATGAGGGCCGATGTTCTCCACGCTCTCCGGTATCAGTGCTGGAGGAGATGAGCGGGACGACGACCCCTCGCGGATCGCGTCGAGGAGTTGCGTGACCGTAGGCAAGTGCCCGCCGGGGAAGATGTAGCGGCGTATAAAGTCGTCTGAAGCCTTGTACCCTTCGTACCGACTCTCGGGGATCGTGATGCACTGGAACACCGCCACCCCGCTCGCCTTCTTCAGCAGCGCGTCCACACGCTCAAAGTACGTGGGCAGGAACTCAGCGCCGACAGCCTCCAGCATCTCGATCGAGACGATCTTGTCGTACTTCTCTTGCTCCGTCGCGGGGGTGGGCAGGGAGCGGTAGTCACAGAGCAGGACTTTGATGCGATCTTGGAACCCTGCTTCGCGGATGCGGGACTCGGCGAGCCGTTTCTGCTCTTCGCTGAGGGTGAGGGAGGTGACGCGGCAGTGCGTCTTCTCGACCGCGAGGATGGCGAAGCTGCCCCAGCCCGTGCCGATTTCGAGCACGTGGTCGGTGGATTTGAGGCGGGCGTTGGTGATGAAGCGGTTCAGTTTGCGGTATTGTGCTTGCTCCATTGTTTCTTGCGAGGACGCCGGGTTGGATTTGGGCAGCCAGATGGGGCAGGAGTAGGTCATGTCTTGGGAGAGGAAGGCGGCGAACATGTCGTTGGAGATGTCGTAGTGGGCGGAGATGTTGAGGCGGGCGTTGTCGAGGGTATTGGTTTTGCGGATCAGGCCGGCGACTTTGCCGCTGAGAGAGGAGAAGATGGTGCTGCCGTTGGAGAGGTGCTGGCGGTTGACTATGAAGAGCTTGAAGAAGGCTGTGAGGTCTGAGCATTCGACTTCGCCGAGCATGTAGCTTTCGGAGAAGCCCATGTCTGCGAAGAGCAGGAGGCGCACCCAGAAGAGGTCGTTGAGGACTTTCAGCTCTGCGTGTGGGATTGCGTAGACGCTCTTCTCGCCGTCGCCGGCTTGCGCACGAGGTGGGCTGCCGCATATTGTGAGGGTGCCGTCTGCGTCGCGGATCTGGAGCGAGCCGATTTGTATGTTCTTGAGGAGGGCGAGGATGGCGCCTCGGGAGACTGATAGTAATGGCGGCCACGCGAACGAGCCCGCGTAGCTCGCCAGCGCAGTCGCGCGATCGTAGACTGGTGTGAGGATGGCCATGGCGGGCGCTTTCGAGTAGAATGCCGCTGGAGAATAGCAATGAACAGTGAATGCGAGAGATTAGATTCTTGCCATGCTACCAACGCAGTAAACAATGAGGCAGTCCTCGCGCAAGCGTAGAATGAAGGCGTAGATGGTGACGAAAGACGAAGCAGAAATTATGAAATCACCGGCCAGTAGTCCCTTCCTACCTTCCTACCGTACGGCCCCCGGAGACCGGTGCGATTGAAGAAGCCGACTCGACTGCACTGCCGGAGCATGTTGCGTTGGAGAGTTGCGCCGGACGCGAACGGAGGGAAAGTGTAGATGAAAGGTCAGTGTGGTTCGCGTCATCGATTCGCAAGTTCGAGCTGCAAGGGCGAAAAAGGTACAGTAGCTTCGGCTTTCGGGGGTTTGGCGTGACCCCGCTGTCGTCGATCTAACTGTCAGTCGGGTGCATTGCGCGAATGGTAGTGGAAGACAGGGAAGAAGAACCGTCAAGTGTTGTATCTCAGTAGCATACTGGTGTTGTTTCGAGGTGAGGTCGTCTTTGGCTCGTTTCAACACACGTTTTGTCTCCGATCTGCCATGTGCGATCAGGCCCCGCAGTGGGGCACCAAGCTTCGTGGCTTCGTGGCAGGAACCGATCTCGACATCCCCGCGGCCTCTACTCCGTAGATTGATCGCGGTATATGAGACATGAGGTCGCATACATCGTAATGAGAGGTCAAAGACGGGAAACCTGGTATTGAATTCAGGAGCAAAACAAGACGGCACCTGGAAAGATTCAATTTTCGAGACTCTCGGGGGCAGGTTGTTCCGCTCCGGCCAGAACGCGTGCTGCTTAACGCGTTCCAAGTCACTCAGTCTTAAGAGGTATACAGCATTTCCAGCAAGACTTTCCAACACAACAACTCATAGAGCACATTCTACCACCCTCATTCCTCCCATCCACAGCACCACACCACCACCATGCTAGCCATTCAACCCCCCACCCCCCCTTCCAATCCCTCGAAAACACGCAAACTAACACCCAACCTCCTCCCCTGCGCAATAAAACACTCAGGTCCCATCTCCATCCACCCGCGCTACTGGGCGCCTACCACCTCTATCACAACCTACGCCAGCGCCAACGGCGTCAACAAACCGGGGCAGAAAACATCAACCTCCTACTTCCGCGGCCGGAAGCTACTGGGCAGCCATGTGCCCCTCCCGTCCGGGTATCATGGGCTCGTGCTCAGCAAAACCGAACGTGTGTTGCCAGTCTCTCTAGCGAACGACGCACGCGCTGGTGCCGTAGGCCATGCTGAACTCAGTATCGTGGAGAAGCTGAGGCGGATGGAAGGCGAGATACCGCCCACGTCAGCCGACGACGAAGACGATGACGATAAGGGTGGATTAGACGAGCCGCTGGAGGTCAAAATCCTGGAGGAGCAGGCACGGTTTGAGGAGGTGGTGGTCTGGGGACACGAGACGCCGGTCGGGGAGGAGGATGAGTTTGTGCGGGGGTTGGGGGAATGGCTTGGGTTTGCTGGGGCGGTGAGTACACTTCCCCTCTATCATACGGAGCCGCGGGGCGATGGGAAAGTAGAAGGTGGGATGGGCTGACGAGGGAACAGATACACGCATACGATGACGAGCCAAAGCAAGGCAAGGCAGCGACTTGAGCCAGAGAAACGGGATGAGGTGGTGTGAAGATGCACAGCATTACTTTCCCCCGCCAAAACGAGCCAAAATTCTGCCGGTCTAGTACAGCAAGCAATGCCTGCCGCTGCTCTATCAGAAATGTCGTGCCAGCAATGCCATGCCAAAGACACCAGCCAACAGCAGTCCGCCTTGTAGCCGCACAGCCGCAGACCGATGGAGTGAAAGGGGAGACTACAAGAAGTAGTCCGGTGTGCGGCGGGAGACCATGGGCTCGCCGGCGCGGGGGCAGGGGTCGAATTGGAGGCTGGGAGGTGAGGTGTTAGCAGATGGCGTTTTAGGAAGTGAGGGGGGAGACGTACAAGGTGTACTTGAGGTGCTCGTCTATTTCCATGATGGCGGCTTGGTTGCCACATCTGTAGCAGTAGTTGGGCGCTGTACACACCACATTAGCAAGCAACCCCCACACCTCCATGGTTGACGTCTGGTCTCACCCGAAAAGATCGTCACGACATTCCGATCCTGACTCCAGTTATACCCCTCCATCACCAACTGATGCGCCCTCGCCACCAGCGTCAACCCATTGTTATGATTAAACGCCTCACTGATATCCTGCCCGAAAGTATACCCAGCTCCTCGCGGCGAGATCCCCCATCCACACCGATCATCCGGGTCACTCCACAGCAAATCACACATCGGCCCCTCATGCGGCACCTCCTGAATCCGATCGAGCGCACGGATATTATCCAGCGTGTCGATGCTCGGGCTCAGCCCACCGTGCAGACAGAAGATCTGGTTATCGATCAGCGCCGTCAGGGGCAGGTAGTCGAACAAGTCGGTGAAGAATTTCCACACGTTGGCGTTGCCGTACTTGCGCAGGCACTCGTCGTAGAAGCCGTAGACCTGCGTGATCTGCCGGGACTCGTGGTTGCCGCGCAGGATGGTGATGCGGGAGGGGTAGCGGATTTTCAGCGCGACGAGCAGCGTCACCGTCTCGACGGAGAAGTAGCCGCGGTCCACGTAGTCGCCCATGAAGAGGTAGTTGGTGTCCGGGTTCGGGCCGCCGATCTTGAAGAGTTCCATGAGGTCGTGGAATTGGCCGTGGATGTCGCCGCAGACCGTGACGGGGCATTTGACGGGCTGCACGTTGGATTCTTCTTGCAGCACTTCGCGGGCTTTTTCGCACAGGCGGCGCACTTCTTCTTCAGAGAGCTGTTTGCATTGCATGAGGCTGTCGATCCAGCTGTCGAGGAGGGGGGTGGTGGGTGGTTCGGTAGAGGAGCCGAGGGTGTGTTCGACTTTGCCGGCGTCTTCCATGGCGGTGTCGCCGCCGGCGGGCTGCCTGAGTGCGGCAGCCTCCATGTCAGAGGGCGCAGTGGGGACGGGGAGGAGGTTGAGGTGCTTCGGTGGGTGGGGTCAGTGTTTTGCGGTTGGTGTTGTGAGGTTGGTGACGAAGGAGGTGGTTTTGTTGTTGAGGGCGGAGGGTGTGTCAGAGGGCTCGGTTGGAGTGGTGGTGGGTTCTTGGGTATCGGAGTCGAAGTTCGAGGCGGGTCTGGACTTTGTATTGTCGCAGTGAGGTGCGTGTTGTCTTGTTTCGACCTCAGACGTTTATTTTAGGTTGGTACGTCAAGCTTGCGGCTGCCCTGAGCACAGGGCACATTTGGTATACGGGAGGGAGCAGCCGCGCGCTAGTGCGACGAGGCTTCTTGGACAGCCCGCGACCTCTTGCCTACAAGACGATGACTTACAAGTAGGCTCCCAGCAGTTGAGCCTGTCTACTACTAAAAGCCAAGTAGGCCGTATGCTGAAGGCTGAACTGGCCATTGATTGTCCTACACAGGCCTGGAAGGATTATTGACAAGTCGACCAATGTAGGCCATGACATCGACTCACAGTGTACGAACAGCACGACAAGATAGGCGGTGCAGGCTCTCGACAGCAGGCAAGGACGTCTCTGTGAATATTCTCCTACTGTTCACCAGCTCGTCGCTCAAACCTACTGGACGAAAACACTGGAAGGCAGGAATCTTGATGATGGCGAAAGGGCTAATGGAAAGATAGTCCATAGTATGCCAACGTACTATATGCTTCCGGCTTCCATTCCTGGTGCTCAGTCTACCCAACAGACGCCAATACCACCGAGGATTAATCAGGACGCGAACGGCTTTGCATGGGAGCCTCGCAGCAGCTCCTGTGCGCCTCGTCGGTTGCCGACAGTTACAGTCTGTCCAAGGCACCCTACGCCATACGATCCTGCACTGTTATCCAAAGGATTCCATACCTCCCCAAAATCACCGCTCGGCTGGAAGGTACCAGTGTAATGGTCGAAGCTCGGAGCCCAGTAATGCTGTCCTTCTCCAGCACCGCAGTTGATGTTAAGCGTGATGCCGACAAGGTTTGAAACTTCATGAGTACTGGAGAAAGAGATACTGGCGCCTATAGTAAAGACCTCGAAGGAATCTGCGCTGGCCTCAAACGACGTTTCGACCGTCGTCGAGAAGCACTCTTCGTTGGTGACCTGGTACGAACTGCCGCCCGGGAAGGGAACCTCCCATGTTCGATTGGCTGCCTGGTTTTCAGACGTTGTGATCGGGTTCCTCCACTAAGTACTGGTTGTCCTGAGATGCGGCTAAGGATTAGCATGAGCTCTCCATGAGTTGACCCAACGACTTACTCCTTGTTCCTGTCGCTTTGCCTTCGACGAAGGTTTGTACTGTCGAGCGCAACCCCAGCTTCCTCTACCTCTACACCGACAACACCTGCAGCAACTACGAAGGCGTCGCCGGCACCACCTCCGCCGGCATCACACCATCTGTGCATCCAGTCTCTCCGGCGGCGGCTCGTCCAGGCCCAAAGGGTGCAATATGAAAGTCACCACCTGGGCGAGCAAGGACTATACTGGACGTGTTAACGCGCAGTTCATGGTGAACGATTTGATATGCGAGCCGAAGACGGCGTTGCGGTATGGGAGTGCTGTTGTGCAGGGTGTTTGATTTGGGCTGCATTGTCAGTCGTTATCTCAGCTAGAAGCTCGTCACAGCAATACAGCAGTATAAGTTATCGACACGCATTCATTCGTTCGTTCGACGATGCCGGATGACAAGTAGAATTTCTCGCAAGCTCGATTTCGTTGTGAGGCTGAGGTATAGCCGGTCAGGCCTAGATCTGTTGACAGTGAGGTATGCCACACGTCCGACATACATGTCTTAATTACCAACCGCAAGCACCTCAAGGCAGCCTTTGTGCAACCAGGCGCCGAGACGCAGATACAGAAGATTTGTACAGTGGTACAGTCGCAGGGACAGGATGGGATGAGGCAAAGCGCCAGAATCAAAGCGGTCAAATTTCAGAGCCAGTACTGAAAAGGTATCGTATCACCCAGCAGCAGCCTGCTCAAGCACAGAAGCGAAACAAGAATCGGCCTCGACAATCTCGAAATGAAAATGCACCCAGCATCTCTCAAAACCTCTACTCTTTCCCATTATCGCTCACCCAGCTCTCCCTTTCCCCTTCCCACCAGCCTCACCCACCTTCCCTTCGAGCGCCGGATACTCGCCCTGCTGCCCAGCAGCCTCTGCGTCCTGTCGACTCTGCTCCTCGGCCAGACTAAGCTGAATCGCAAAATCTAAGTCCCCTACTTCGTCTGCTTTACTCGAGCCCGCAGCAAGCGGCGGCGAAGACTTCGGCGATTGGCGAGCTGAACCAGACTTCTTGCCTTTGGGTTTCGCCTGCTTCATCGGAATCTCGAAAGCAGGTGCACTGCCAGGGGAAGAGGCCAGACTTTGGCGAATGGCTTCGGCCATATCTGCATCGAGCTCATCGTCCGTCTTGGGAGTGGACTGGACAGGAGAGGTGCTGTTGGTTGGCGTGACTTTGCCAGTGGCAGAGGTGCTGCTGACTGCTGTACTGGGGTCGGAGGAGCGCCGAAGAGTTTCCTGCTCGAGGGATTCCTGGCTTAGCAAAGCGGCGTAGGCAAGCATCTCTTCTTCGCTGCCATCAAGAAGCTGAGTGCCGAAGCGACCAGCGAAGCGCTGCGATTGCTTCTTCTTCTCCTGCTTCTCGCGATCGAGCTCGAAGCGCTCGTTGGCGATGTAGTCTTTCAGGTTGCTGCGGGTGGCGCCGGAAAAACGCTCGCCGCCGTTGTTGCTGCCTCGCTCTGAGCGACGGAGACGGCGCTTGTTCGACTTGTACTGGTCGGCGGCAGAGGAGCTGTAGGACCAGTAGCGCAGATGGGTACCGAGAGAGACCATGCCGCGAAGCACAGTCGGGTCGGGATCAAGGCAAATTGCGCCGGCCGCAAACAGATTGATGCCAACACCCTGTGGAGAGGCTTGAGCTTGCACGAGCCTGCGTCGAGCGCGAGATGAGAAGCGGGAGTTGAGCGTCCGAACAGGCTGCATGTTCGAGGCGAGTAGATCCCAGGCCTGCACCAGACCGTCATTGCCACCGTGAACGAGGTACAAGGCAGAAAGACCCAGGCACGAAATCTGAGGCGAGTCCGTGTAGATGATGCGGACTGGCTCGACAGTGTTCGCGGTATCCCCGGACCTCGCCACCGGCGCCCGCATGTTCCAGATCACAACACTCCCAGTCGCAGTGCCAGCAGCAAAGAGACGAGCGCGCTGGCCTGGCATGTCGGCGGGGCTGGCGAAAGACTCCGTGGGCGAAAGTGGCGTGAGCGAGGGCGAAGACGCAGTTGATCGACCAGTAAAGCTTAGCAACGGATCTTCAGATATTGTTTGCGTCGCAAAAGTGGAGAAGTCGATGCTTGTAGCCAGGATCTCTACGCCTTTGAGGTCGCCGAAGCTCATGTGAGATGTCCGCCATTCTTCGACCATAGGCCTTGGGGTGAGGGAACCAGCGAGGTCTTCTTGAGAAAGCGACTCTTCCAGGCCATCGAATGAGAATGACTGTAACGGAGCAGTTACTGGAGACCCTCCACCAAACATTGACGGCGGTGTAGATGACTGCGTGCTGCCAGTGGTCAGTGGTGGCGTTGAAGCGGCATCGTAGCCTGACCGCTCCTGGAAACGGCAACGAGAGTATCGCTTGACGGCTGCGGTGCTGTCCTCTTCCAGACCACAGTCGAAGACCACGACATTCTCGCCAGCGTTGTTATTGTCATCACCGGCGAAGTCCACTACCATCCGGCGTCGCATGTCCCAGCCATGGCACAGCTTCTGGAAATCTCTCGGTTTCCGAGCGGCGAACGCCTCGATTTCGCGAGTCTCGGCCTGGATTTGCTCCTTGCTCAAGCACATGCCGTTCCAGGATGTGCGAGGCGAATAGCTTCCATCGACAGAAGACTCCGCATATGGGTCTGGCTTTGCAGTGCGACGGCTTGGCTCAACAACGTTCCAGTAGACGCTTCGTCCAGTGAGCCAAGCGTAGCGCTCAATACCTTCGTCGTCAAGCTTGGTGCCACGCTCGATCGGCGGTCTCTTCGGGAACTTGGTGAGGTAGAAGACCTCGCCGAGAGCGTCGAGAACCACTGCCCAGGTGCGGTTCTGAGCATAGCGCTTGATGCTGTACTCATTGTCGACGGCGATGGCGATTAGCGGAACGCCGGGGCTGAGGACCCACCGAGCAGTCATCTCGCCGCGTGCAAAGCGCTGGTCGCGATTGCTGGTGGTTGAAGTCCCCAGACTGTATGCAGTAAGAACACCCAGTGAAGAGCCAGAGAGCATGCCGACAAGGCCATCGCTGACAGAGGGTATGGCGGCAGACTTGGCCATCCAGATCGCAGTCATGGCCTCAGTTGTAGACGAGATCCGGGGTATGCCGAGGTCGGGCGTGGACATTGCAGAAGAGAAGAGTAAGAAACGACCACGCATTTCCTCGGTGGAGCGATAGTAGACCATGCCACCGGGAGAACCTTCGCCGTGTACCATGCCGTACGCCTGGCTGACGTCCATGACATTTGGCACACCAACGACCTCGCCAGGTCCAAGACCATACTGAGCATCACCAGGAAAGCGCTCCGAGAATTGAAGAAAGAGCTGTGGGTCAGACAGACCCCAATGGTCGACCTTGGCGGCTGTCGGGTCACTGCTAGTCGCGGTACCTTGATCGTCAGCTCCGTGGATGAAGCGCGGCGGACGTTTGTTCAGCCCATTGCCAAAAGTGGCGTGTAGATGATTGATAGTCGTGAAGAGCTGCGAGTTGTACATGACGATGGGCACAGCTGTGTGAGCATGGCCTGCGCGTGCAGAGCTCGGAGATGCGATGGCTTGGACCGGTTTACCACGAACCAGGGAGCGCAGTAGGCGGGTACGCACAATGTACTCGCTCCGCCAGGAAGCAAGCGCAGTCAAACGCGTAAAAGCGCGTCTCTCTGAGCGGACCACGGCCTGCTTCTCGTGGTCGTCATCGTCGGCCCAAAGATTCAGCGACTCAGAGCCTGGGAAATAATGCGCGAACGCGCTTCTCCATGCTTGAGGTCCGATGACCAGATCGTGAAAGCGCTTCGAGACCAAGGAGACAGAAGTGAGATCGGATGGAGTCAAGTGAGCTAAGGCATGTATCAAGACCTCTGCGTCAATGTCAGCCAAGTCACCATGAGATCTAATTTGCTCAAAAGCATACCGTTCGGCAACTCCAGCACAGGCGACCTTGTGTCACTAGGACTTCTAGCCTTCTTCAAGACCTCGAATCCAGGTCCCTCTTTCTTTCTAACCGGTGGCGTAGAGGCGTTCTCATACTCTGTAATCCTGTTGTATCCAATACTATTCGATGGCGGCGAGGGCGTGCGATCCGGGCTCAGTCTTCTGGCCGTCTCAGCACGCCCGCCGCCGTCCTGCAGTGAAGCGGCAAGCGCGGCGTCTGCGGCGATCTGCTCTTCCGCGCTGAGTGCAGGTGTCCCCGACCCTGCTCCAACATCGTCTGCTGGAGTCGCGGGGACTGCTGCGTTGTGCTCGCGTCCATGTTGGGTGGGGATGGTTGTGTCGTCGTCGTTGCTGCTTTCTGTGGGCTTTGGGAGTACCGCAGAAGGCTCTGGTTGCATATAACGGCTGGTGGTGAGATGTAGGTGGTGTTCAACTGAGCCAGAGTCTCCTGGGTCAGTCTAAGCGCTTGCGAGCGGTAGTGTGAGTGGTGTGGTGTTGGTGTTGGAGGAAGAAAAGGAGATGAGGTCGTGACGTGTAATCTTGGAGTAGAGTGCCAAGACGAGAAGTGGATGGAGATATCGCGGGCTTAACAGATGTCACTGAAAATGCATGTGATTGAGAGAGTTGGTAACGGTGACCTCTCTGACTTGCCCAAATGTGCAATGAGTGGTACGCATCCCCTATGTACAAGTATATCCCATCGGCTCGAATGACAGAAAATCCATCTAATCCAACTTCCTCACATACTCCACCGGCCCATCGTACTTCTTCCGTCCCCAAACGATGTAGTAGAACATACTAAAGAGAATAACCCCACCCCAGACCACCACAGCCCAGTTCATATCCGCCGGAAGCGGGTCAGGGAACAGTGGGAAGAAGCAGAAGATCAAAACGACAACCATCCAGCCCAAAGCAATCAGATTGACGAGCAAACCAAAAGTCTTCCCCATGTTGAATCTCGATGGCAGAAGTTGCTGTCCAGTGATCTTCCGCCACGTCACGATGGCAATCGTAACGATGTACGAGAGCGTAAGAGTGCCGGTGCCGAGGGAGGTGATGATGCTGAACGCCAGAGCGCTGCCGATGTTGATGAGCGACAGCAATACGGCAACGCCAAAGATGACCAGGATAGCGTTGACAGGTACATCCCAGCCTGGACGTACTTTGGCGATCCAAGATGAGAAGGGCATAGCGCCGTCGCGGGCGAAGGCGAAGAGCTGTCGACTGCTGCCGGCGGTGATTGTGATAGCGGTAAAGAAGCTGAGGATGATGATGATAGCTGTCATTGCGTTGGCGGCCGCGTAGGAACCCGTGGAGTTGTAGAACAGCTGAATGAACGGATAGCCAGTCGGCGAGTCGAGGACCGAAGGGTCGCCCATGGTGTAGCAAAAGGTGATGCACATGATGAACATCAGGCCGCCGTTGATAGTTGTGGCCCAGGTCAAGATCCGAGGCAGGGTATAGGATGCATCTTGAAGCTCTTCTGCCATGTGTGCGGCAGCGTCTGCTCCGAGCAGGGGAGCTACACTAGCCACTGTTCCGACCATGCAAGACAAGCCGGTGGTGGGCCAGCCAGGGGTGTTGGAGAAAGTTGTCCAGACGTCGTGCGAGTTTGCGGTCGGCGAGAGCACCCACAGAGGAATCAAGATGCCGAAGAAGCCGCAAATGTGGAGGGCAAGGGCACAGCCTTCGACGAGGTGAAGCCGCTGGGCAAGAAATGTGTTGAAGAGGACACACAGCACCAGTAGGAGGATTTGCATTAGGGTCCCGTGCCATCTTTGCGGAACGTACGTGTCCGGGTGGTTCAGAATGATAAGACCTTGTATCTGCGCAAGGTCAGTTCTGCCGAGCAGGTACCTTTGAATGGCAATCATACCTCAGTAGCCGCAAGATAGCTCGCAAACGCAACGCCCACCTGCCAGCCCAACACGCCGAGCCAGCCAACCTGGTAGCTCAGGAACTTCTGACAGCTCCGGGGCGAAAATTCTGAAACCCAATGGTATTGACCGCCAGAGGTCGGAGCCATGCTGCCCTGCTCGCCGAGCGATGCGTAGACGCAGATGAAGCCGAGCCAAGTAGCCAAGTTCGTGTAGAGCAGGCCAGCAGTACCGCCGTTCAACAGGCCGAGAGGCGCGGTAGCAAGAATGACTTCCCACGAGGCCATAAGAATGACACTGAAGCCGAACATGGTCGTAAATCGAAAGTTTCGCTGTACATCATCGAGTCAGCCTTTGAAGGTTGGAACGTGTAGGCGTCTAATCGTACCCTCAGTTGTTGAGGCTTGTTCATGCGTATCATGTCTCTCTGATCCGTCGCCGTCGACTTGTACACATCGTGCATCTCGTGGGCATCCTGCTCGTACATGATGTCGCCGCCCGTGTGCGAGACATTGGGGGATTTGTCGTAGAGCGCCATGATGAAGTTCGAAACCACGCAGAAACGAAAGACGAAAAATCCAGACCCTCTGAGCGTACAGAAGTGGTACAGCAGAAGGAAAGGAGCTTGTGAAAGATACAGTACTGCACTCTTTAGGGCAACGGGCAAAGGAAATTCATGCTTGCCGGACAGCTGCCAGCCTGGAGCTCGACCCCAGCCATGGCCATATCGGATGAGGGACTAAGGAGAAGCGAGCTCTCTTTCCCTTGCAGCGTCGGCAGATTTCCTGCGCAATGGTTGGAAGCCCATTTCTCCGGACTCGACGATCGAGACCAACAACCCCCGGATAGTGCTCGCACATCCGCCCTGCCGCTCCCTTGAAGCCGGCTCCCACGCGAACATGCTTGTGCGCCATGCTTGTGCGTGCATGGCCTGCCCTAGATTCGCGGGGGTGCTGTGCCTCACGAGCTCGTGCTTGGGCGTTTTCCAGCTCGGTTCCTGGCGTTGTTGCGCGCTCCATGCCGGCATTTTCGAGCTCACGTCTGGCGGTATCATGATCATTCTGGTGGCTTGTCTCTCCTGCTCCCCGTTGACCTCGATGTCCTGCAACTCGAGAGCATGCGCACGGTTTAGCCGGTGCTGCAGCGATAGATGAAGCCACGTCCGAGCGTGGTTGGTGGTTGGATTCCTTGCTCAACTGGAGACACTAGACTAGCCGGGTTTAAGGGACAACTAAATCTCTTCCCCGAAAGTCAGACGCCAGGTTGCAAGCGAGGTGAACCTGCATTTCTGGACTTCATCTCGTCCTTGCTATTGGTGAACAACCTCTTACCCTTACCGACACGAAAGTACCTCAATATTTGACACGGACGCGGCTTGTGAGGTCGCATGCGTGACTGTGCCTGGCATGGATACTGGTTTTACTGTTCGGATAATATTTCATACACTGCGCCGAACGAGGTACAGCAGACAGCCATGCAATGTCCCCGGATGCCAGGCCGGGATGCCGAATAGCCAGAAAGGCATAACGAGGCAAGCAGAGCAAGGCAACGAGAGCAGGGTGATAGCTTTCCTCACCGTCAAAGTAGTAAGTCTCAGCCCCTTGGTGGAAAATTGAAGCTTGCCTTCCCAAACATGTGACGGAAAATATCCTGGCGACCATCGGGCCCAGATGCAAAACGCGATCCGCTTCCCCGGCAGTTCACAGCCAGTGCCCAGCGAGTGAGATCTCCTCAGTCTCGCCAGGTTCTATGCACAACGCCCTGTGGCTTGAAGCTAGCAGATTTGATGGCGCAGGACGGGGATTTGGTACCTGATTGTCAGAGGACTTTCCTTTGCGGCGTGGACAAAGTTCGAGCACAAGGAGGTGTTCGCGTAGATGGCTGAGTGTGGTTGCTGCAGTGTTGAGGATGAGGTTATGGCTGGCCAGCCTGGCCCTTGGGGGGTACAACATGCATGCTCGTCCAACACGATTGATGTCTGGACTCTTGTTGCTCTTTGAATGTGAACATGTCTACATTTAATAAACCATTCGCTTCATCCTCTCCAACGGATCACCGAAGCGCGATATGGGTGTCAACCCTGCTGTGCTTGACATTCGTCGCCTTGGGCGTTGCAGCGAGGGTATGGACACGTTTAAGAGCCTTTGGAAGCGATGACTATGTCATTGTTGGCGCATTTGTCGTTGCTCTCGTGGAGTTCTGCACTGTTATTGGGGGCTTGACACATGGTCTTGGACGATCAACGGGCGAGCTGTCTTCGGATAGCGTAGCATCGGCGGGACAGGTGCGCTCATAACTTGTGAATGACTTCTTGATGCAAGCTGATTGATACCAGGTGTTTCTGGCCTCAGAAGCAATCTTCGTCGTTACGATCTATGTCATCAAGCACTCCGTGGTCTGCACCGTTGAGCGACTGCTCGCCCCTGATCAGAAGCTCCAACGGATGGCATGTTGGGTTTTCCACGGTGTGCTTGTCGTGTGCTTGATTGCATCTCTGCTCGTGGTTGCGGTTGATTGCTCAGCGATCGACCTCCTGACGCGCAGCAGATTCGACTCTTGTCCGAGCCAGGTATGTCCTATCACACACTCGGACGAAGTATGATCACAGAAAGGATTTAAATGGCTGAAATGTGACTGCCAACAGACACCTCGCTGGATCGCCATAGCCACCATCGACAGCACTCTCGAAGTCGCCGTCTTCATCGCCTTCACAATCTTCATCTCCACCCTCCAACTCCAACCCAAGCTCAAAATCACCGTCACCCTCCTCCTAGCCTTCCGACTCGGCTGCATCGCCTTCGCCGCCCTCCACGCACATCACATCGCTGCCTTCGATACCCGCTCCAACACACAGGACAGCGGTCTCGCAGTCGTCGGATCCGTCGTCTGGCAGCAGCTGAACCTAGGCTACTCGCTTCTGTCCGCGCTCCTGATAGCGTTGAAATCCTTCCTCGCCTCCTTCGAGACGAATCACGGCTGGGGCGAACACGAGACTTTCAAAGCGACGTCTGCTGGCCAAAGCGGGAATGCTAGGGACGCGAGCGCTCTTTCGTACGGGATGAAACCGCTCTCCAAAAGCGGGAAGAAGGGTAGTGTGCTCCGTTCTTGGGGCTCGCGCAATGATGACTCAGGGGAGAAGTTGGATAGAAATCGGGCGGGCAAGACGGGGTATAAGGCGAATGTGGAAGCGAGGGGAAAGGAGGAGCGGGATGATGGGAGTGTGGGGTCAGGCAGAAGTGGGATCAGCCAGCATCCGATTATTAGGTATGAGCAGAGGTTTGAGGTGACGAGTGAGAGCAAGTCGGGGCAGGAGGCGCAGGTGTGAGGGGTGGGCTGGTAGTTGCGGTGGGTATGACTTGACGAGGGATGGGACAAAAGCTCGTAGCATGTAAGATATACTTCGACAGTCAGCGTTCACCAGAGTGGACACCAATTTGCGAACAGGGAATTTTGGGCAATGGCAATGTAAATAGAACATCAATGTACAAAGACGCAATACATTCAAACGATGCCACTACTTCTTTTTTGCACTACGCTCATGGCACATAAAGCCTCGAATACGCCGCAATCTCCGTCCGACAACAGATACACTTCGAAAAGTTCCTCGAAGCCAACCCAACCCTACACTCATCACACATACTCAAGCATCCACACGGCCAGACCAATATTGTTCGCGGCGTGCTCTGGCAGACCACGCACTGCGGTCCACCAGCACCCATACCTTCGGCGCCGGACTCCCAGGTCCCGCTTTGCCGTGCTTGCGTACCGGCTTTCGAGCGCCGCTCGAGGATGAAGTGCTCCAGGTCTCGCTCCTCTTCTTCGTCTGTGAGGGGTTGAGCGGGCTGTGCGCGGAGGCCGGCAAGGAGCTGGGCGCGGATGCGGTCGGTGTCGCGGCGATACTGCGAGCGAGTCATCGGACGGTTGGACTGTAAGGTATGTGAGAGGAGGCGGGCTTCTTCTCTGTCGTCTGGTGATTGCGGGTTGAGCAGGCGGGCGAGGTGGCTCAGACCTTCTGGTTCGGAGGTAGGTTCGTAGCTGCGATCGCCATGCGGGTCGAGTTGAGTGGGTGTGCGGCGGCCGCTGTCTGACATATCGGACCAGTCGTCATCCGTGCTTGCATTTGTTGACATGGAAATCATGCTCGTCGTGTCGTCGTCATCAATGTTTGATGCTTGGTAGTCGTCGCTTTGGTCGAGGTCGCCGAACCATCCTCCCTTGCCCCACCAATTGTAGAGAGTCTCGCTCAGGCTCTCCTCGCCAGCGTAAGTGCCTTCGCGCTGGAGTCGTTTCCGCGTTTCTTGCTCGACATCAATAAGACGATCGAGCGGCAGCACTAGGCGCCCTTGATCATCCAGCATCTTGAATGCTCGCTCACTCTGGCGGCTGTCCGGTATAGGGTTGGATGGGCGCCGTTGTCTCTCGCCAACTCCAGCAGCCTTCAGTAGCCAGCTCGGCTGATATGCGATCCCTGTCTTGCGGAGAGCACCGAGGACGATGTTCGCTTGAATACCAACAATCAACCAGAACATGCCCGCGATGAAGTCAGCCGTCAATTGCATCCTGTTCCTACGGTTCGCCAGACCCAAGCCACTGTCAGGCTCATTCGCACTAGGCTTCTCCGCATCACCCTTCTTCGGCTTTGACTTTCGCTCACGAGCATACGGCGAAGTGGAGATGGCGTGGTTGTGATGATCAGTGAACTCAAGCCCTCTCGCAATGTCCTCATCCAGCAGCTCCGAGGGCACAGCAAGCTTCTTGCGTTCGTCCATGCTGCTGGCAAGCTCGTCGATGCGCTTCTGCTCCAACCAGGTCATTTGCGCGACTTTGATGCGATTGCCTTCGTTAAGGTAGACGGCCTCGCTGGCAGCGGTGAGAACCGCGAAGCCGACTTTGAGCAGGGTGTTGTAGAAATCGTCAGACATCCGTATTTGGATACGAGAGCCGGGCGAGAATTGGACGTTGGCTTGGAGGTTCTCGTAGGCCCAGGCGAAGCGTTCCCGAAACGACATACCGTTGCCAACTTCTGCTGGCACCGAGAGGGTGGTGACAAGAAGCGCGACAGCGTAGATGACGGCACAGGTCATGATGCCGATGAGTATGAGCAAATGTGGGATGAAGCCGACAATGCATACGGTCGGGAATCGCAGAACGCCCAGGTCTGCGATGTTGTCGATGGGGTTCACGATGACTTTGGCAAAGCTCCAGACGAAGGCAGTCATGTAGCAAGAAGCCCATATGCCAGTGTTGACGAGTCGAACTTTGTGTCGGAGGCCTGTGACAGCCAGGATTGAACTGCTGAGATGGCTAAGGCAGGATATCACGCAGACCAGCAACACCTCAGGCGGCACGTTCAGTCGCTGGAGAAGCTCAGCGCGAGAGACCATCGGACCGTTACTCTCTTCGGCTCTGGCACTTGAAGCACCGTCAAGCCGTAGCTGCCCGAAGAATCCAAACCCAAGGGCACTGCTGATCATGGCCTCGCACTCTGCAAAGGCAAGCGAGTGTTCGAAGAGAGTCATGCCCGTTTCTGGCCTTGTGCGTTCGCCCTGCAGCGAGCAACTCAGCGTCTCAAAGAGCTGGTAGGTGCACAAGCTTAGGAAAAAGCCAAACAGTAGAGACATTGAGCCCCGTAGCAGGCTACGATCGTTGTCGATGGCTGGCAGCGACATGCCGCGCCGTGTGCAACTTTCCATGTCGTTTTGCCACGGGGTTAATGTTGAGCTCAATTTGTACAAAAAGCCACCCTCAGCGCCAAAATCGATGGCGAGATTCTTCAACGGATCGCCGTATCGAAGAAGAGCAAAGTCCGGCGATGTCTGGCATCTCAACGCCTCCAGCATGATCTGGAGGTGCGCCAGAAATACGCAAATTGGAACGACATACAGCGCCAGCCGCACGTACCACGGCAGCCGTAAGCTCTCCCTGCTCGAAGCGTAGAATTGTGTCCGATTGAGTATGATCGCCGCCGTAAATGTAGCCAGAGCCCATCTGCTCGTCAAGTACGAGAACATACCGCCCATGCTTCCCATCTTTTTCATGCCCTGGAGAATCATCCCAAACATTGACGATGTGGCGTCCTCTGCCCCCTCCTTGAACCAAGACTCCACGAGTTCCGGATTCAGTACGAAATTAGTAGCCTGCGCGAGATCATTGCTGGTGTTGGTGATGGTGGAATTGATTGTCTGCTGTCCCGTGGCGTCCGCGATCACGCTGCCGCCGTTGAAGATCTTGCCCGCGATGTTGTCGACGGCTTCTGGCATGTGGCCCAAAGCGAAGTGGCCTGCTCGTTGCGCGAATCGTGGTACCGCCAGGAGGATGTCCATGGCGGCGGAGGGGATCAAAGAGGTGTTTGAGGCTACTGTCGTCTGATCCATCGCGGGTCTTAGATCTGGTTTAGTAGTTGTTATCTGCCGTTTGCTCGATGTGTTGACTGATGGCGCTCGACGTTGGCTTGTTGTCTTCTTCTACGTTCTGCTGGCGCTTCAAGCAGATCGCAAGACATCGCGAAGTCTCTACGATTGACTGCCTGGAAACGGAATTGCACTTAGCATTTGTAAATGTGTAGTTGTGGTAGAGACAACAGGCCTACCGACGTCAGGTGCGGTCCAGACCCGCCCGCGCCGTCTCCGCTGCCGTCTCCGCTTCCGCGGCATCTTGAGACAACATCATCTTCATTCTCATCCCAAGACATGTACTCGACCAAGCACATAGTTGTTCCCGCAATTCTGTGAAGTTCGGGGAAAAGTCATCATCGTAGGTAGCGATAAACTGGAAGAAAGAAACTGGTACGACGTATGAATGACCCAAGAAATCTACTATGGCTACACGAAAACACTTATTGAGAACCGCCTGATGGAGATCTGGACCACCCTCATTCTTTGGCCAATACTCAAACAGTGCATCTAGAAAACAGCCAACAACATGCCTCCTTCAATACGTCGCCGTGTATCTTGGGAAACAATGGTCTTGACGCCGCGAGCCTGCCGTGACACCGACGACACGGCCTGAGTGCTGTCCGTTCTGAAGGAAACATACTGCAAGCTCTATTGACTACTGCCGGCGGATATGACGACTAAAATGAACCCGAGCTTACAGGGTCCGAAGGTCAGGTCGCCATTCACGGCACTGCATTGTAGCCGTTGTGCCCTACTCCGGCTGATCAATCTTCGATAGCTGGAATCAAAGTACGTGGTAGGTGGTGAAGCCAGTGCCAGAACAGAAGAAGCACGACGGCGAAGAATTCAGCTGGCACAAGCTGCTGGTGAATGCGGGTCATAGTACCTGAGTCGACAGTCTCAGGGACTCGTGGCTAAGGTGAATGAAAGAAGTTGTCCGACGTGGTCGGTTGCTAACTGATATTCATTGCGGACGCAGGCCTTCAAGCATACATTCAATATGGTCCTATGGCATGGGCGTCGTATAAGTGCTTCTTACTCTTCGCCGCAACCGTAAGTTCTTCCGCAACTTCCACATATCCACATACCATTCTCGCCTCTTCAGCTCGAAAGACACCCACACCAACTTGTACTCAAACATCGAAGCCGTCTCCCAACCACAACACACCAAACGCACCTTTCTTCCTCCGACCAACCGCAACGATGAGCGACGATAACCCAGCCCAGGAGGTCGCAGAGGATTTCATCAATGGCCAGATAGACTACGTGGACGTCAACGCGCTTCGCAACCTGGGTGCCTCCGACGCAGACATGAAGCAGGCCATCGTTGATGGCGCCAGGCACATCGTCGGCTGCTGCAACCGGGTTCTACACATGACTCGAGACAGCGGAGGTAATGACATCTCGACCGCCGGGAAATCGAAGTGGCAGCAGATCGGGCAAGATGCCATGAATGGCGTTGTGCGTAACGAGTCCACGGTAAACGTCTTCATCGCGTGCATGCAGGCTGTGTCGAAGGTTGGTGACTGGGAGCGAACGGGGCTTGTTCGAGCCATTTGAATGGAGAGGCTTAAGACGTCGGTGGTCTTGATCGATGTAGGATAGTTGAGGCGGCTGCCGGGTGGTGGGCTGTGCTCGTGGGTATGTAGTCTTAGCTTCGCACCTGTACGAAAGGCGTGGTTCGCCGCAAAACGTCGACAATTCTTCCTCGCTGATACTCGAGCTGGTGGCTACGGTTCGAAACTTTGCGAAATCTTCGACGAGCTTGAGCGCTGGCTGTTACTGATGAGCAGACTCTTAAGCCTCCGTCTTCACCACTGAGAACCAATGCTCATCCATGACAAATCCAGGCCACTCTGGTGAGCAGGTGGAATACACCAGCCCAGCAATACCCAGATTCGAAGAATTAGCATTAATCGAAACCTCAATGATCCTCGCCTCCTCCGGCACATCGCTACATCTCAGCGGTGCCTTCTCGGACATGCCGTTCATACGCCTCGCCCACTGCTCCTCCAGCACGACGACTTGCTCAGTACAAGGTGCCAAGAGGACGCTTGAAAGCAGCCCCTCCTGGAGCTTGATCCGGTCGAGTAGCGAGACTGCCTTCCATCTTACGGCAGAGTCTCGGCATTTGGTGGCGATGAGGTGAAGGGCCAGGATGCTGCCGGTGCCGCGCCCGATGAGGCGCCAGACGGATCCTTCGCCTTGTTGTTGTTCGATGTCAGGGCGTTCGGGATTCGGGCGGAGGGTGAGTAGGTGCTCGATGTTGTTAACGGTGTTGCTAAAGACGGGCAAAAAGCGGTCGTATCGAGTCTCGGGGGCGCTGCGCCATGTAGCTGTTAACACCCACGCCTGGTTGAAAAAGAGACGAGTTAGCATAGCCAAGTAATCAAGAGAGAGTAATGTCAAGATCAGACTCACATGCAGGAACTGTATCTGAAGTAGCATCCGCAACGCCTTCTCCGCCTCTCCAACGGGCGGCGGCATGCAAGCAAAGCTCGATGACCAGCCTGCGATATCTCCCTCCACAGCAGACATACTGGCCTCAAGCTCGGGATAGTCGTCTAGAGTTATCCTCAGGCTCCTGCTTTGATTCCAGCAGCACCCTCGGTCGGTCTCGTAGAGTTTTAGAGGCATGATGCGGTTTTTGATCATCTCCTGCTTTGCCATTTCCTCCAGCTGTGATCGAACCCTGTAAACTGAGTTCACCAGGACATTGAGATGGAGTCTGGCTTCATCCGGCGTCTCGAACGCGGGTGGTGAGGACTGGTCCTCGATAGTGGCATATAGCTCCGGCACCAGGCTTCCCGACATCGAGAGGTCGTAGTCAACACAAACGAAGGCTTGTGAGAGAATGTCGATGGCAGAGCTCGGCCGTGGTTTCAGACGGATTTTAGGTCGAATTCCAGTATCTCGAGAGTACCCTGCCACATGCTCGCCGAGGATCTTGACACCAATAGCTCTATGCTGCAATGCGACGCCATACGAGCCTTGCAGCAGTTCGAATGTCATGAACATCAAACAAGCCAGGAGGGTGACTTCAACATTCTCGGACCTCTGCCCAGGACTGGCGCAGGTGAGCCTTTTCTGGACGTCCGAGACCGCTCGAGCGTAGTGCTGAAGAGCGAAGCTATACTGCTCGGGCTCAAGAGTCGGTGAGGTTTTGTTAGGCGGCTCCAAACCTCTAGCACGATGCATGGAGCCGAGGGCTATGATCGCTGACCGGATGGCAGGTTCCGAATGGCTGAGTCGCAAGGCCAATGTCTCCCAGGAGTTCACCATAGAGCAGCCCGGCAACTGGAACACTGACTGGCCACGGAAGAAGTCTACAGCATACCATTCCCGTGCTGCGTATGGACTGGAAGGCTCAATCGTTCGCTTGGCCACGAAGAGCGGAGCGTAGTCATACGAACGGCTGATGGGCAATAATGGCCGCTTGATGCACTCGCTCCCAGGGAGGTGTGCAGCAGGCACCTCGTAGCCGCCGCATTCTCGGCCAGAAGAGCTGCACTTGCGGCAGGCCGGCCGCGCCTCATCGCATTTGATACGTCTGCTTCTTGAGAGAAGTCAACCTCATGCTCTGCGGTTAGATATGAATACACACAGATGCCATACTTGCATGTCCGACAGCCTGTCCTCGTCTTGGGCTTCTTAGCTCGTTGGCGGTTCACCGGCACCGTCATACTGGGCTACTATACGAAGGCGTTTTCCGAAGCATTTGGGCTTCCTCCTGCCGCAGGAAGAGTATATGAGCCATGCTCGGTCGCAACAACACGAAGCCAGCTGAACATCTGCCAGGATACTCGCATCAAGACGTATAGCAGCCAATAGTACGGCCGGCAACGTCCCGCTGCATCAGTTTCAGCCCTGGAGTCTTGGCCGAATCAGGTAGCTCACGTGCTTTTTCGCTCTCTATTTCCCGATTTGGCTTTCCTCAAGGCGCTCTTCCCTTACCCACCAACGACGAGACTTCTAGTCAAGCCAGAGGATGTTTCGGTCATCAGTCACTGTCATTGGAGAAGAGCTCATCAAGCTGTGGTCTTGCATCGTATGCGGTGGTATGCTTCTGGGAGTCACAACATTCACCATATTGCTGAGAGTCCGCCACTGGTTGCACTGCGTTGAAAGATGGTGTCGGCTTTGGTCTTTGCAAGGTGATGAGATTCACGAGATCTCCATGCAGGATTGTGCTGCTGGTATTCAGACTGGCGAGAGACACTCTCGGACGGCATTTATCGACTCTGCATTGTGCGTACTTATGCCTTCATTCCTCGTACGCTTCTTGTACCTTCGTCTATCACGCTTCGTTCCGCAAACATTCTTCTTCTATAAGCGTCTTCCACATCGCGAGCTTCTCGCCCAGCACGACCGATCAGATCTAAGGACGTAGGTCGTGATACCTCCATGACGGAGGTCCGGACGTAAAAGCGTTGAGCAGGCCGTCCATACACTTCCGCCAAAAGAGAACACTGTGCCGCTTCTCCCGTCTTCGGGCAACAACGCATATTGCTGACAGGTGTGTCCAGTGCCATATGAGTATCACACTCTCTTTGCACTGGCTGTAGCGAACGTTCTCCGGCTGCGGTTATGAAGACTAGGTTCTCGTGGATGGCGGAGAAGGTGGAAACAAAGCTCGGGCGGAAGCTGAGGCGGGATAACCATTAGGGACCGATCAGAGCGTATGGCGGTAGTGGTATCTGTCGCCGTGACCAGATATAAGATCACATTAGCTCGGTAGCACACTTCTTGTTGGTGCCGTCGGAAGTTGCTTGCGTCGATCTTTGATGCTGTTCACTGGCCTGGTGGCCGTCGACCGCATCAGAAGTCGAATGATTTGGTAGAGATGTTGACTTCACCGTCTTACTGTTCTTGAGGTTGTGACAGCTCGTGACTTGCTGTGCCGCACTCGCTCGAGAAGGGTCTGACGCTGCTGTTCAGAAAGTTGAGAAGTGGAGGTTGCTGGTCTTGTCAGTGCCGCCATGGTTATCCCAACGGCGGCGAGCGACGGCTCGCCGAACGGTGTCTTCCGCGCGATGCTCCTTCGCAAGATCTTCGCCGCGCAATCCCGGACCGATCGTACTGTGGGACGCACCGCATGGTGCTGATTGGTAGGAGCAGGCGGATTTATGGACGTACGAGCTGCGTCGCTCGTGTTATCGGCGGCTTCTGTCGCAGCCCGCTAGGTTATCTCTCGAACACAATCGATGGAAGTGCGACGACGGCAAAGCCATGTTGTGATGCTTGCGCGGAGGGTATGCGGAGATGTAGTGGGTACTGGAAGGGCCGGAAAACCCAGTTCTGTGAGCTCAAGGGTGGCCAGCAGTAGGTGGCAGTTATCAGTTCAAGCTATTGGAGCTCTTGAACATCGTGGAGCGGTGCACGATGGAGGGTAGCACCTCCGCTGCTCTTCCAACGTATCTCCGTCACCTCATATCGTATGAGAAGCGGTGGTGTGCGTGCCGCGCGTGCCGACATACTCTTGGAGAGGAGAAGAAGCGGACATGGCGGGTTGCCTGCTCTCGTGACTCAGAGTGTTTGTTCCTTGCCTTGCGCAAATCTCTGCCGCATCGTCGCAACTTCAGTGCGTTGCCAGGCAATGCAATGACTTGAGGGTGGTGTCAGGGGGTCTCCGCAGCGCAACAGTACCGTGCCATTGCAATGCATCGTCTTTGTGCTTTCCCGCCGCAAGGAGATGGGAGACATCGCCGTCGCTGGTTTTGTTTCGAGACTGGGAGGTTTGGAAGGGGCGCAAGTGAGACCGGATTCGGTGTCGTCGCAATCTTGCAAGTCGCCGCAGCAAGACCTTTCCGCTCTCTGCCGGTGCGAGGCACATTTCTGCCGCTTTTCATGGTGGCGGCAATGGCGGTGGAGGTCCTCTGAGGCATTTGCAAGGTGGTGTAGAGATGGCAGTGCGTCCTACTGATGTCGCGATCCGTACGGTGAGCAAAAGCGTGGAAAGATCATCGTCCTTCGCAGTACGGTCGCGACCGATCGGCGTTGTTGATGAATCGAATACCGCCTGCCTCAACAACTCAACTCCGCCCCTCCTCTTGCTTGCGCGAGAGGGAAAGATGTCTGCTGTTTCTCACGCCGTCAAGAATGGACGAAGAGGGGAAAATGAGATGTTTTGGTGGTGGAAGGTAGTTGATCTGAAACGGTGGTGATGGGTTGAAAACTTACGCAGCGCGACGAGCAATGTACGCTCCTCAACAACGGTCGTACAGCGTGGAACACCTGTCTTCCACCCAGATAGCAGCAGAAAGAACAACTCAAGAGTAATTTCACTGTGACCGTAGGCCTTCTCACCCGTGTCTCCACCGCGGTCAGTAGCAAAAAGGTGTATCAGTCTCACCGTGATCATCATACCCTCCCCTCCCCTCGAGACCACCCACCCAAATGAATCAATCAGGAGCAAAAGCAACTGCCAAAAGAGGAAAAATATGATCATCGCCTACCTCCAGGCCAAAGACCGGGCTCGAACCGATCTCGAACAGACCAAAGCGTTGAATAGTCAATCAACGCTACACTCAGAATTGAATAGTCAGCAGGTGAACTCTAACAGGTGAATAACAGTAAAGCACAAAGGAAAGCTAATTGAATGAGCTGGCAAAGCTCGACGGGGGATGGCGGCTTCATTCTTTATCTGTCCTGCTACTGAGGTCCCCCGACCCCAGCACATGCAACGAATTTTGTAGCATCAGTATAATTGTTTAGCTTGGCGCGCTGACTGATAGGGGACTTGGTCGTGATGCGTTCGGGTTTGGAGTTGGTGAGGGAGGGGAGGGAACAACATTGCCTTGATTTGATACTTACTAAGGACTATTGAGGGAGAAGGCAGGGTGAGAAGGCATATTGTAGAGCACAAGGAAAGCTATTACCTCGTTGACTACTGTCGGTGTTCCTTCGTGGAGTGAGTGCGATCGGTGGTGTTCCTCTTCGCCGAATGCATGGTATCGGAGCATGTACCTAAGCATGACAGCAAAAGGAACAACACCACCCACCACGTGCGCACGACAGTCACGGTGATACTTTCCTGTGTATCACGGGGCACTGAGACATACAATGGAGCAAAAGGTAAGGCCTTATCTTCGAGGACCTGTAGTCAGAGCAAAGGGAATACAATCACCGTTACTTGACAGTTACCGCGATACCGCCGTCATCAACAGCAGGTCATTGGGGGTAGACATTGGAGCAAGAAGAAGACCATACAGAGCGTGATAACAACCATCAGCCGCAATGAAAAGCCCAAAGAGGAAAAAGCGAAGGAGAAAAAAAGGATTGAAGGAATCAAACCTCCGAACGTCTGGTGGTTGGAAGCCTTGACCCCAGTAGCAGTTTATTGATTGAAGCTTGTGAAAGCTGAATCGATCAGCTCTAAGAAGATGTTAGCAGGGCGTAATAACCCAAGGTACGTTAACAAAGGAAAGGCTATCTAAAGGCTAGCTAAAGGCAGCTGACATGGCAATGGCATGGCAGCGGCAGGGTTAGTAGATCCTCCTCTTGCGACTGGGTCACGCCGGCCCCCAGCCTGGAAGCCAAATTTTTGGAAATGAATATATAGACAGCAAAAGAGGTGGCGGACGTACCTGGCTGTGGCTTGCCCCCTGGCCGGACGTCTTTTGTTACAGGAAACGGGGGAGGATGGGGATGGTGCGAGGTGAATGGGCATTTCCTTCTGAGCAGTCGCATTTACTTTACGAACGAGTCGCCACTGTGGTTGTTGAGCTCTGGTGGTGCTGGGCTGGCGTGGTAGTCTCATGTTGTGGCGCTTCGGGCGATCTTCGGATGTCTTGGCGGTGTGGTATGTTTGCGACCTCGGTGCGGAGCTTTGCTTGACGACGACCTTGTCATCGACAACGCACCCACAAAGACGGGAGTGGCAAGCTGAAAGGACTGCCAGGTCCAAGCAAGCAGTTCCATTGATCAATGGAGAAGGCGACTGAAGAGACGGCGATGGGCAACAGGACCAGCCACATCGCCGCTGAGATCCAGGACCACGCTTCTTTTCAGGCGATAACAATGCGATCGAACGAGCAGGGCATCGGCAACAGCAGCGGTCACATCGGTGCAAGGAGCCAGGCAGAAGAAAGTCAAGCCGTGGCAGATGGTGGGCAGGAGGCTGAAGACCGCAGCAAGACGCCGCCAGCGCAGGCTCTCCAGCCCCGTGAGGCCTGCGAGGGGAGTACAGCGGGTGAAGAGGTGGCTGTCGCTCGTCTAGACGCACTCGAGAGCCGAGCGGAGGCCGATCGTCAAGCGGCGGCGAGGAGTCAGCAGCTGGTGAGGGAAGAGCAGGATCGTAGGAAAATGCCGCCGCCGCCACAAGTTCCCAAGAGGAAGAGGGACAGACATGCCATTACGGCGGATGGTGATGTGCTCGTTGCTTTGACAAGCAGATTGAAGCGGCGTAAGGAAGCAGAGCAGCAGTACGGTGTGCGCCGAGGGCACCTCAGCAACCTGGCCACATCGATCGTCACTGCATGGAGTGCTCCGTTTGTACTGAGCGTTGACCGCGTGGAAGACGTGTTTGATATGCCGCTGAAGCGTGGACTCCAATGTGCCTGTACTGTCCGCAGACCTCGCGCGGCGATGCCACTCTTCCTCCTGGACACTGCAATCAACTCCACCAGAAAGCGCGCCGGCCAGAGCAAAGTGGAGATCAGCCGGGAAAAATTTGATCCCAGCATTCCACTCATCCGGCAGCTGGAGATGCAGCTGGGTCTTCTTCGACGGTTTCGATTCTCAGCATACGCTCACATGGAGATGGACTGGCCGAAGCAGTCGTATCTGGTACAAGACTACTTCAAGCAGCTGGCAGAGGAGGAGCGACTGAGCTTTCTGAAGACGTGCGTAAACGCCGGAGACCATGATAGGCTTCAAAAGAAGCCAGACGATCCATTCAGCAATGAGCTGTGTACCTGCGGCAGCTGGGAAGCGAATGTGGCCGCATACCAGCAGGCTGTAGACCAGATGGAGCGTTACCAGGTCCAGGCGTCGCTTAAGAGGTCCAGCACAATGAGACGTGAAGGGACAGAGTCGCCTCCAGTGATCATCCAGGATTGCACCTGCGGCTCCGTTCGTACAGAGCGACGTACTCCTCGCAAGGCGGTGGCATTGTGGATGGTGGCCGCTGCCCTTTTCCATGTTCGAGGTGTGGACGCATTCGTCTTGGACACAGGATATCCGTCGGCCATCGATCTCGACCCCGAGTATGACAACGTCTGCGCCGTAGAGGCTGCGCTCGAAGCTATTCGCAAGCGTGATCCAGATGTCTTCGACAGCTTCACAAAAGCGCAGTGGGAGTTGCAGCCCAGGCGGGTGCAGAACCACTTCCAAAGCTTGGCTCAGTACGAGGAAGGCGTGTACGAAGAAGATCCGTGGTACCAGCACGAGGCAGTGTCGAATGCCGATGTACGGTTCGGGAGCCTGGCTTGCATCTGTGGTGCGGTAGAGGTGAACCTTGCGGCGAACGGAGTGGATCTGGGAGAGCTTGTGGATGTGTCGCCAGCTGTTGATGGTGCCGCTCTCTCCGCCCTGTAGTATGTCTTTATGCATCAGACGACGCGGCGGCAAATCATTGACGCTCTAGCTTGAGTGTCTAGGCGAACAGCTGCAGCGTCTGCAGTGTAATCTTTTGACCATCCGCCTTCTTCGAAAACAGCGGCAGTCTCGCAGCGTATCTTGTGCTTATGTTTGTCTCAGCATCCACCAATGCATCATAGCACCACCCACTGCATCTTGGATCCAATGCTGGTCAAGCGTCGTCTCATATCTTCTCCAGCGAGGTCTGGCCATCATTGCGCATTCTCCAGCTCTTCGCCGTCGACTCCAGATAAGTTCATCATCATTTTAGCTTTTCCAGATACCATACTGATGGTATAGAGTGTAGAGTAGATGGAAAGATTCATCTGGTGAGGTCTGAAGTCGGGACGGAAAGTGGAGTCGTCCCGCTTGGATCTTACGGTGAGCTTTCCATCTTTACCACCCACGCCCCTTCCAACGGTAAGGTCTCTCCATATCACTCTCAGTACCTCCTCTCTTTTACTTTGAATATGTGTTATGGGCTAGCGAGTTGTCTGCTTCGTTTCGAGGATCGTAATTTGCCGCTTCGTTTGTCGGTACGCTTCCATCGTTGGCGATCCGTACAGTCGAGCTTCTTGGCGTACACTCTGGCCGGGGTCTTTGGAAGCAAGACAAGATGAGACTGCAAGGACATCGCCAGTGCTTCTAAGTCCGATGAACATGGCATGAGAAACCGGTGGTCATGTTCCAGCCTTCCAAAACTGCCTTTGCCGAAGAAGAACAGCTCGCAAGGCTCCAGACCCCTGGGGGGCGGCACAAGCATTGCTATCACGACCCGAGAACATGGTATTCTGCCGAAGCAGTGCATGTGTCTGAAATCGACGAGCTGGTTTCAATCCATTCTCATTGAGACAGCGGCTGCCATGCTTCCTTGGCAGTGCTGACGGGGTTGTAGCATGGACTGGTGGCCGCCTCCTGTTTCTTCTGCGATGCACATGCCTTCGATCGAAGCAGCACAATTGGGAACATGGTCTAGTTCTGGGAACATGCTGTATGCCAGCGCCTCCTGCCGCTGTGGCGGCAACATGCGGTGAGCGATCGTGACACTCCAGTCATTCTTCCATGCCTTCTCTTACTGGGTATCGCGAAGCCCGTGTCCATCTGATGGCAAAGCAAGACTTTTGAGCCTCTTCTGAGTTCAAGCATGCCGGAGTCGAACGAGTCTCTTATTCAGTGGCCTATCGCACGACCGCAGCCTCTCTTGGCTGCTCCTGCGCAAGGTGTGGCTTGTCGGTCGGGCGTCTGCTTGGGGATGCTTGCCTCTCAGGGCTTGCTGGCGTGTCGCCGCGGGACCAGCAATGGTGACGCAGTCTTCACGGATGAATGCGCCTGCCGATGTCTACGTGCAGCGCGGAGCTGGTCTGTCGACTGTCTGCTGTCGGTGCTTGCCGCTTTGAGTACTCTGGCGCGTTCATGCACGAGCAGGAGGAACGGATGGCCAGCCGTGGCGCAGTGTTCCTGCTAATGCTTTTGCGCCTGATGGAGGTCGCTCGCCGGCTCTCTGTGGGAGTTGCTCGCTGCTTCAGGCTTCTTGATATGTCGCCGCTCGAGAAGGCTCGATGGGTCGGTTGCTGCGATGGCGCCTAGCACCTCTGTTTCTGTTCCATCGCTCGAGCCGCGCGCCCGCTGTAAGGTTTGTTGAGGCGCCGAGGTGCTCTGGCGCGTTGCCTGTAGCTCTTCCGGTGCCGTTGCTGGGCGGTTAAAGCGTTCTACATGTTGTAGAGACCATGAAGGGGGTATTTTGCGTGCAAATCATCGGCAGGGAGGTGGGTGTTGCTGTTGGAGCGTTTTCACGGTGTTTACCTGATGCAGAGACTTGCAATATGGCTATTTTTAAGGATGAAGTTGGCGGCGGAGCCCGGGCAAGTCGGTCGGGACGCTTCTGCACGGCCTGCACATTCACAACGGTATCACGCAGGGCCATTTACTCGGCTGATATGCTATACACAGGTACAGAAGCATGTGCGTCTGCTTCTTCGTTATTCCCTACCGACCATGCCTCCAATCTGACCTGTCACGAGCTCTTTCGAGGGATGGCACGGCGGTGAGAGGCAAGCGAACACCAGGGCGCACGTGCGAGCTTCACTTCATGTGTTGACCGGCTGTGAAAGGGCTGTGATACGCAAGTGAGGCTTCGGTGAAGCATGCGCGAATGGCACAAACCGCGCCTGATGCCTTCACCTCGTCGTTGAGATCGTTGGACACTTGTGCTGGGGAGTGAAGAACATCTGGTGGTGATTGTGAAGGTGCTGAAGCATGTTTGAGGCCATCCTGGTGGTTTGCGCGGAGGTGCAGTGAATGCAGAAGCAAGGGGGGTTGGGCGCATGCCAGGGCAGACTCAATCAACAACGGCAGCAGCGGGAAGTACTTGACAGCGCCTTGATCACAACACCTCCAAGTACCACCACGAGCTATGAGGGAATATGAACAGTTTGCCAGAGCAGACAGACAAGATTTTCGAACGTCGCAGACAGGGTGGCGAAGGAGGACTAAGGTTGAGGCGCGAGACCGATATCGATATGCTCTAACGACCTCGAAGAAGCCGCGACGAGCACTACTGCGCCTGCTAACAAAGCATATAAACATGTTCTCCTATGCAGGTCGACCTGGAAAGTTCGACTCGACGGCGAAGAGAATCACATCAGCACCTACACAATCTTGGAAGACATACCGCCACTGGGTTACCAGCGACAACATCAACGAGTTACGGATGAGCCTCTGCAAGCAACATGCTCGACTGTGAAGGCGATCGGAGACCATGAGAAACTTGGGAAGGACATCTATGGCACACCATTGGTTGGTGAACGAGGTCGAGGCAAGACTTGGGCAAGGAACTCGCAATCGAGCTACAACAAAAATCATCGACGCCGCGACAGCAGAAGAAAAGTATGTACACGCTCGTCCCGCAGACATCAACAGACTTACGCCTGCATCAGCTGAATCGACAAGGAGGTCGGGAGCATGGTGACCGGAGCGATGAACGCACTATACGCAGGCATATATCACATCTGCACCGCGAACCGCGTACTCCTAGAACACGTAGGAACGCTTCAGCTACAGCGGGTCAACGTATAGATCCCTCTGGCCGAGTCTGGTTGGGCTGTGAATATATTTGGGTAAATCCTAGCAGGCACCATGTCGGCGGGGGCGACTCACGCTGAAAGAAATGCAGCGAAAACTTTGCGTCTGTTCATGGCTCCTCGTGGACTGGCTCGTCACCTCACTTGAAGGAAGCCGCGGAAATCGGAAGGGATCAACGATGGAACACGAGCGGTGGTCTGAGAGATGATGAAGATGCTTGATTGGGGAAACGGGAAAACTAGCAAGTTGGAGACGTTTGTGCCGTAGAATGCGGCCCGGATATAAGGAGCAGTATGTCAGTGATGCCGGTGGGCGGCTGCCATATTGGGCAAAGCTGTAAGTGCGTTGGTACATCAAGCGGTCCAAGGACCAGCCCGTGGTGAGAGACGTTCTGTGTCGAGAGTTGAGGAGGCTTGTGGTGTGTAAGTCTGCTTTGCTATTTGTGCTGTGCTGCTCGATGCTTTCTGCATGGTGTGCATGTATGCCATGCCTTTATGCTATGCTTTCCTCCCATGCTATGCTTTCCTCCCATGCTACTCCCACCTCCCATGCTGTGCCCACCTCGCTTTGCGAGCAAGAAAAACCCAAGAAAAAAGACCGCTCCAGGCTCGTGTGCCTTCATGCCGGCACGCGCACATCTTCAGAGCTGTAATGCCTCTATACTGACATCTGTTGTACGGCCAAGCATTGCCACCCTTGATTGCTCCCGAACACCACGCTGAACACAATCCTAGCCCGCCGTCGCCATGCCCGTCCGCCATCACACGCTCACCGTTCCGATGCTCGACCTGATCAATGATGAACAGTCCATTGAGTCTCCTCCGCACCTCCGATTATGTCTCGATACTGGAACTCTTCGAGCTCATCGAAATCAGTCTCAAAAGGCGCTCCACCCTCTGCGACATACCGATCTCCGAACGCGCCGCCTGAGTCCTGCGCACCTCCCACCGCCTCCCCCGTGTTGAGACTGAAGCTACCATTGAGCGGACCAGTTGAGTTTGCACGCCGATAGCTTTCGTACAAGCTGGGTCCCGCATGACTGCTGCCGTTGGACAAACCTGAAGAACCGCCGAAGCTGGACGCAGCCCCGTATTCTGCTGGAGCGGCGTAGCTTGACGGACTGTTGAAGATGAAGGGGGTGCCTGAAGGGGTGCGGTAGGCCGGAGGTGCGGCGAATCCTGAAAACTCCGCTGTTTCCAGATGGACGGCCGTTCCTTGATGGACCTTGGGTGAGAGAGTTGAAGAGATTCTGTGATTGTTCGACCCGAAAGACGCCCTGCACACCACCTGTGAAGCTCTCGCTGGGAGGACGGAATCCGTATGACTGATTACCTCCGGACTGGGCACCATAAACCGCTTGTCTGTCACCGGACCCAACCATGCCGTTGGCGCTGAGACCATGCTGAGGGTGCACGAACTCCAAATCCTGCCGATACGATGGCTGTTGCACCTGCTGAGAAGGGTGTGAGACACTTGTGGTCCTGCGTCGCGTGCTCCGGAAGCCCTCTTCAGTCTCAAGGTCATACGAGCTGTCCGTCGGATGGGCCCGCTTTCTTCCTGTGCTGCCCACTACAGACCCTCCTGGTTGAGTCGACACCCCTCCAAACGATGCTGGCTCAAACGGCGGGTCGACACGACGGGATTGAGTTCCGCATACGGCGGGGTCGATGTTCTGGTCCGCTGCGATGTCCGACGACTGGACCCGCTTTCCCGTTGCTCGAAGGAGAACCGAACCCTCATCGCCCTGCCGAGCCTGCAAGCCCTTAGCCAGTTCCAGGTTGTCTTTCTTCTTCTTGTTACCGCCCAGGTTTCTGGTCTTCTGATTTGAGGCTTCGCTTGGGTTTCTCGCCAGCTTATCGATGCTGACGCCCTTCGCCAGATCGCTCTTGCATAGCGGATCATGCCGGACGACCTCGATCATCTTCTGTACTCGAGCCAGACAAGTCAAAGTGAAGTCCGGCTTGAAGCCTCTGGGATCCTGCAAGGCGACCTTGGCAATACCGAACTCGTGGATGGCCACAGCTGTGCTGACTGCGACCATTACGTGCGCTTGCACCATCTTGATGCCGTCTTCCGACCCCAGCTTTTCGGCAAGGGTCTTCATGCACCTGTTGAGGGCTTTGATCTCGCCTTCGCCCGCGCCTGGTGGAAGTGGGGCGGGAGGATCACAGACTGCCCCCAACAGCCGCAAGCACAGCTCATCGTAGTATGGGCCTTTCGCAAGCGTCCAGTCGTCATCTTCTGCCTTGACTTTGACTTGCATACAGTCCTTTACCGGTGGCTGGATCGCGTACTGCTGGGCTTCGTCCACCGAGGCGTACAGCAGATGATGTGCAGCCAGTCCGATGTCGATGGCGACGCGAGGCAGCGGAGTGACAACTTGCTTCTGGCTGCTTGCGTGCCCTTGCATGCCGTCTACTGGCGTGATTGGCGTACCGAGACCATCATCGTCACCGAGTTCGCCAAGGGACGGGCCAGTGCTGAAGGAGCTTCGTTTAGTGATGCTGGCGGACCAGCCTGTTGCTGGAGCGGCGGTGGAAGCGAGGTCTTGCGAACGCCTTTATACGTCTTCGGCTCCCTGGGAACCTTTGTCTCGTGTGTACCTTTCTCTTCGTTGAAGCACTTGGTACACCGAACGCCATCGTTGTTCCGGTTGATGGGGAGTGCGCGGAAGCAACTCTGGCACCTCGCTCTGATGGTTTTCTTGTCTTCACCGACGCGTGGCGGTACGATCATCGCGGAAGCGTGAGCTTGTGGCGTCAAGGGAGCTGCCATGAGGTATGGTTGAGGCAGCGGCCGCTCTACACCTGGCGGCTGTCCAGGCAGGTTGAGGGACCGCCACGCCATGAGCCTGTTAGTGATGCCAGCGCGGGCGAGTGGGCAGCTCGCGTACACCTCTGCGTTTGTGAGTACGTAAGGCTCGCCGTCGGCCATGTCGAGGGGGAAGGTTTGCGACCAGAAAGGGATTTCGGCAGGGTCGGTAGTTGACTGGAAGAGAGAGTGGCCAGGCGTGTTGAACTGTGTCTGACCGGCTTGGTCTGGCTGAGTACCAAAGACAGGCGTCGTCGTGGTCATGTCTGAACCGAAGCATGAGGCCGACATGGTGCGGAACATGGTGGTGGGACGCGGTAAGGCGTGTGGTATCGAGCGGTAAGTTTGAAGAGCTGCAGAAGCAGAAGGGGTGACTTGCGGTGGTTTGGGAAGTTTTGCAGGAGTGTGGTTTGTGTATAAGGTTTTGGACGCGTCTTGAAGCTCAGGGTCCGGATGGTCCGTTGCCAGGGGTCCCGGCTTACGGGCATGTGACGACCGGCGGCCGGGCTCGGACCGCTCATATCTCGCCAACGCGAACTAGTCTGTCGATGCCGTTACGGACAAGGTCGCCCTCAGGATGTACGAAGCTCCACCAATACTCGTCGCTCGAATCGAATGGGCGAGGTGCTCGAATCTCCAAGGACAAAGAAAGTGGCACCAAACCAAGAGGGCATTCTTCCAGACAAAGGGTATGATCAAACCGAGGCATGGCAAAGCGGATGTCAGCAGTCGAGCAGAGGTGGCTCCTCGACGTTATATCAGAGGACAAACGATCGACGTGTCTTACGTGGTTGCTCCGTTGGACGGCAATCACCGTGTCAAGCGGCTTGAGGCTACCACTGTGCATGTCGCCGGCATCCCGACTCGTCAAACGTGTAGGAATTGGGTCGGTAGATTGGTAGGTGACCTACCATCTGTTTGCCCGAACTGTTGGTCTTCATTGTTTCTGTCGGCCTGGCTGTGTTAATATATGAGAAAGTTTGCTATCATTCCGATGCAGCGTGAACAGTACGGACATCCAACGCATGACAGTGGCGAGCAATGCAACGTTGACTTTCAAGGTGGGTGTACTGCAGACATTCCAAGCAAAGTTGAAGTCCTTTTAGTTTTGCGCTGAGTAAGGTTGATCGGGACGCCACCCGAAAAGGAGAGCAAGATGCGCACCAACACCTCCCAAATTCTCCTTCCTGCTACAACATACCATCATCTTACGGCATCGAGTCTTCTTGTGCTCCATCTGAGCCTTCTGCCAGTCTGCCAGCCATCAACATCGATCATGGCTCACGCTGAAGTCTCCCGGCACTTCCTTCGCAATGACTTTCTCGCCGCCTGGATCACGGATTGCACGATTCTCATAGACCTCTGGGATCCCACAGCACGGAGCCGGCTTAGATGTCTGCCATGCACTTATAGCCGGAGAGTGAAGGCGGCGGCAACAGAGATGCGAGCGACATATTGCATCGAAGGCCGTTGACCTAGAATTGCCTCTCTGCCATATGAACGCAGCAATGGAGGACAAGGTCTGGTGTTGGCTTTGCACAACAGATATGCCGATGCAGGCTTGCCAAAACTGTACCGGAAGATGGTGATTATGGGAAAGTCCGAAGACGAGAAAGCATAGAAGTGTGGACATGAACGCAGCGAGTTGCTCATAAGTAAAAACTGATGTAAAATGAGGAAGATGGGTATGTCATGCGATTGGTTCTATCTATGCCATGCTTCCTGCTCAGGATCCCTCCGGAGAGGGTAAGTATGCTTCTCGTTGCTTCATGCCTTTATTCTCTTCGTGCGATGCTTTCCCAGCTCCGCTCCCCCTTTCTCCTCACTATGCATTAAAGGACACGCAAAATCTCAACGAAAGCGCCTTGTTGCGCAACAAAAAGCAATCCCAAACTCCCAGAACGCCATACTGACGATCTCAGTTGTCTCCCGCCTTCGCTCGCTGGCGCTCAAACTCTTGCCTTCCGACCCGTTTGACCTCCAATCTCACGGCTGTCCGAACGCCCATCCAGACGCACCCTCAACGGCCGACTGATTCAGGTACTCCTCGAAGTCCACGTCATCCATGGCGTTCGGGTCGTACTTGAAATCGCCAGAGGCATCTCCATCAGCGCCCGTACTGTCAGCAGTCTGCGGTCGCTGCTGCATGATGTCCTGATAGCCGTGGCCGTAGCAGGACCATGCAGAAGCATCTCCGAAAGCTCCCTGGTACGGCTGATCGATTGGAGGTCCTTGAGCATCTGGAGCCTCACTACGCGGCGCCTGACCGTAGGCATCTGCGACTGGAAAGTCCGTGAAGGAGCCGGCGCTGGCCTGGCCTTCTGCCGTTGTCGCAGCTTCCTCCGCTCGTCGCTCCTGCATGTGCCGATTGAGTGACGGCAACCAGCTGGCTTGGTCTGGAGCTGTTGTGACTGAATACGGAGCTGGACCGTATGCGGAGTTGTGGGTCGGGGTGTCGATGAAGGAGTCGCGCTGCTCCTGAAGGCGACGCTGAAGATCCGGCTGGCCGATCATCTGTCCGAAACCTTGGTCATGTGAGACCTTTGCACGAGGCAAAAACCGACCACCTTCAACCTCGTCCATATCTGGGCTGTCATCCTCACGGGCTCGCTTCGGACCGCGCTTGGGTCCGCGCTTGCCTGCCAGCTTCCGGACAGGGGCCTCCTCGTCTTGACAGGCCGCGGACTGCGCCCGACGACCTGGATTGCCCTCCACCAGAGCGGTCACTTCAGCTTCCATGCCAATCCGCTCCTCCTTGGTCGGCGGACGGTCATGCTCATCCGTGAACGACTGAACCCTCTTAGCCAACAACGAAGCAATCTTCTTCTTGTTGTTGGTGCGCTTGTTATTGTACTTCCGTTCCAGAACATCGCTTGGATTCCGCACCAACTCCTCCAGACTCTTGCCCTTGGCGAGATCCTCCTTAATCTGTGCGTGCTCCATCACCACCTCAATTATCTTCAGCACCCGCTGGTGGCACGTCAAGGTGCAGTCTGGTGTGAAGCCCCTCCCAGTCGCCGACTTGTCTGTCACGATCTTGGGCACGCCAAACTCGTGGAGGGCGACGGCGCTTTGAACCGCGACCATGATGCGAGCTTGCAGCATCTTCTTGCCTTCGAAGGTCTCGGTGGAGCGGCGTGCGTTGGCGAAGGCGTTACGTGCTTGGTCGTTGTCGAGGGATGGTGGGTGGCAGAAGGCGGAGAGGAGTTGGAGGCAGAGAGGGTGGAAGAGGGTGGTCTTGACAAGCAGCCAGTCGTCTGTGGGGAGGCCGAGCTTGTTGCAGTCCTGGGATGGGGGGTGGATGGTGTAATTGCGGGCTTCGGTTGCCGAGTCGTGGACCAGGGTGGTGGCGTACTGGCCGAAGTCGATCGCATCCATGCCTGGAGCCGCTGGCATGGTCTGGACTTGGGCAGCCTGAGATGGTGGCATCATAGAGGGGCCTGCCGACTTGCTACTCGCCTGCAGCCCTGCCGGGACCAAGTGCGGTAGTGTCTGTGATTGCTGGCCCTGCTGCACGACAGGAGTGGAGACCTCCGAATCCTGCTGAGCCTTTGATCCCTTTTTCGGCTTGGAGGGAGCTCCGTACTCCTTCTTGAAGCATTTGGTGCAGAATACGCCGTCGTTCTGCCCGTTGAGTACTAGGGCGCCGCTGCACTTGCCGCAAGTCGACCTCAGGGGTTTGCCGGCCGTATCTTTTTGCGCCGGTGCCAGCGCTGGCCTGCTCGGTGGAGTCGCTGTTGTCGCCGATGCCTGCGGTGCGGCAGCAGACGTCGGACGGGTGACGTGCGTGTCGGCTGAGGCGGGAGTTGTTGTGGAAGAAGACGATGGGTGAGGAGTGGTAGAGTAAGAGATGCCAGCCGGCGGTGGACCGTGTCCGGGTGAAGATGCTCTGGACGGCCCAGACTGCTGTGGTTGCGCCGCCATCTCGAGCTGCTTCGACCGGACCTGGTCGAGCCTCTGGAGCAGTTGCTTTTGGAGGGAAGGATGCTCTTTCCAGAGTTGCGCGTTGCTTCTGGTGGCGACCTGGCCCTGGTTGTCTCGGATGCGCGTGAGCTGCGACCAGAACGCGACCTCACTGCTGGGGCTTGGGTGGGGTTGCGGTTGCGGTGTCTTCTTCGAAGGCGTCTCATCCGCGGCGGCTTGCGAAAGGTGCGCGTCGCGGAATCGGCGCAGGGGGAGAGTGGTGGGTGGTGTGATCGGTGAAGCCTTGATGTTGTTCGCTTGAGAGAGCGCGGTGGTGGGTGGTGCAAGAGAAGTTGGAGCTTCAATCGCGTCTTGTTGTTCGGGGGACGAAAGAAGGGGGCTGGTAAGCTTGTTTACGCTCGGACCAGGTGCGTTTGGAAGCATGTGATTTTCGAGCGAGAAGTCCGGGACCGGCGTGTCGAGATCCGGGTTGGATGCGAGCCACCGCTCGAACTCTTCGCTTGGTGAGATGAGGGCGCCGTTCTCGTCGAAGAGAGAGGCGAAGGTTGCGGCGTCCATCTTGCCTGAGATGGTATGGGGAGGTGGTCTGGAGGGAGTGTTTGTTCTACGGAGGGGACGCTTGGTTGGTGACTTGGAAGGTTGCAGCTGGGATTACGGTAGGGTTCTGGAGACGAGAGAAGATGCAACTGACCACGAGAAGGTTCATTTTGAAGGCACCAGAAGAGTTCAAGTGTCGGGCTTCGAGAAGGTGTCGTACGTAAACGTCACTGAGACATTACGGAAGTCGGTCGAGGACAAAGAAAGCGATGTTCAATTGGACAATATATTGTTCGGAGGACTGAGATATCTCAGACGAGCCTCAATTGACTTGATGAGTGAGGCCGAGGGGTATACTGGGGCGATAATGTGTGGTATGGAAAACGAGGCTGACATGCTGTTACAGAGCCCGTCGCATCGTGAGGACTGCGGAGGAGCAGGATTAACTATGACCTGAAGCCATCAACAGAAGGGAGGCCTGTAAGTTCTTCTGTCCACTATATCTGTCCACTATGGTCCCCAGATCTATGTTTAAACAGAACGTGAGCCTATCAGCAATCGTGCTGAGTGATTATAACAGTCAGCAATCAACAGTACATCACAACGGGTCTGTTCGATGCATAACGACTTCCACCCTCAAGTAATCCTTCCTCAATGCTTTCTTCCATGGCACCAATCGTTAGTAACGCAACGCTGCAGCGCTGAAAAGGAAATGTGTCGCAGTTGGACGGCGTCTGCGGACAGCCGAGTGCTTACCACCTTGTCTGTAAGTTTGCTGTCATTTCAATCACAACGACGGAGATGAGGCGGGAAGTATGGTTTATTAAGTTCGCGGTGACTATGGAAGATGCTATCACAACTGTCCTAGCGAGGAGCAGTCCAGAAGGTGAGGTCCCGTCACTTTTGGGATGAGTAACGATCCCGAACTCACCCGAGACCAAACCGAGCAGCCCACAATCCCGAAATTCCGCCTTCTTTCGATCATCCTGCGCGTAGTGACTAGTGAGCCCCTCTGTCCTTTACCATATACTATGTAAGTCTGATGCCCTTTCCACGACGGTGAGCCATTTCTACGCCTTCTCACTCAAATACCGTGCTTCACCGTTTATCTTCGTAGCTCCATCACTTATCACTCCTCTTGCGGCGCTTCGCCGGCTTTCCTACCAAGACGATGATATCGCTCCTCATGTCATCGTCATCATCTTCCTCTAGGTATTCGTCGGCAAACTCGTCCTCGTCCTCGTCCTCCTCATCTTGGACCTCCACCTCTTGAGTAGTCTTCGGCCCTCGCTTTCGCTTCCCGCCCTTCGGCTCGACAATCCCGCTCTTCCGCTTGAGGTCCTCGAGCTCAGTGTAGGTCTCGTCTTTGGTAATTTTGCGGCGGCCGTTGCTCTTCAGTGATCCGACCTTCTTCTGCAGAACGTAAAGAGGGTTGCGCGCAAGGTCGTCGAGGTTCACCCCATCAAGGAAGTCCTTCGCAACAAGCTTGTTGCTTGCGATGACATGAACTATGTTCGCAATCCTGGCGCTGCACTTCTGGATGTGCAGAGGGCTTTGCGGCACATCCTTGTTCTGCTGCTTCGGTTTGGCGACGACCACGTCCAGAGTCTTTTGGCTCACCCCATACTTATGGATGTTCACCGCCTCTCGAACAACAAGAACGCCTAGGCATGGACAGCCTGCCTGGTCTCGGCGTCCTCCATCTTGCCTAGAGCCTTCGCATATGCCTCCTGCTGTTGCTTACGGTAGCGCTTCATTCCTTCAGCGCTCATCGTTTCGCAGCCTGCGGGGCTATGGTCCCACTGCGCCGTCACCGCGTGGAAAATTGCCTCGATATGACGCTGTTTCAGAGCGTCCACCTGGACCCAATCGTCGGACGCTTTGATCGTCACAGACTTCGCGTTGGCGATCTTGCGACTGGCGATGAACTCCCTGCAAGCCTGGGCGTTGATCAGGGAAGGGTGCGGCGCGTACTGGTATTGGCCTTGCCCTGCTGTGGTGTTCGGGCCGGGTTGAGCAGTCGGATGAGGCGCCAGGTTGGTTTGAGCCGGAGCAGGTTGGGTCGGAGCCGTTGTGAGCCCGTTGTTGTATGGAGATCGAGCTTGAGTTTGATGGAGATTGCCGCTCGAGCGCGTAGTCCGAGTGGCTTTGGGTGCAGATGAACGCAGATGGGGACCGATCTGGTTTGGTGTCTCAACCGCAAGGGTGTTGTTGTATGGGGAGGCGGCTTGTGTCGAGGGAGAGATGTTGCTGGGACGCGTGGCCTGGGTGATATTCTGCACGGGTGAGCGCAGACGAGCGTCGATGTGGTTACTGTCTTGATGAGGTACTGAGAGAGGACGCCTTGCTGACGCCTGTTGAGCATGCTCCCGTGGCTGTCCGAGACTCTGCTTTTGCATACGCTTTGCGCGCAAGACACTTTCGACCACCGCTGGACCTGACAGAACTGGATTCGCGAGATTGTTCCCACGCGACGTGTTGGTGCGAGCCTGGGCTGGATACCTGTGGGTGTGGACGGTCCTGATCGAGACTGGTGCATGTCGAACATGTCCGTGTGCAGATGCTGATCCGGGAATGGACGCACAAGTGGCTGCTGGTTCAAGTGTTCGAACCGTGGAGCCCTGCCCATCTGAGTGTGTCGCGTGCCGTACTGTCCGTTGCTTGTGTTGGCATAAGGGGTGGCGGATGGGTGATAGTTCATGCCAGGCGGTGGGTACAATGGGTCGACACAGACCACGTTTGGCATGTTCCAGTTGTTGAAGGACTGCCAGCGCCGAGGTGAAGAGGCGACTCGGTCAGGCAGAGCAGGTTGAGCGTGAGGGTCAGGCGCACCGCCGCTGGTGTGGTACGGGTTTGCGCCGAAGTGAAAAACGTCGGAGAGGTTTCCAGTGAGGTCAGGCGAATGGTAGTTGGGGAATTCTGAGTGGTGTGGCATCAGGGACTGCGCTGGGGCGCTCGTGGGATGGTACGTGTTCGACAGGTTGCCGGCAAGGTCGAGCGAGTAATCGTTGGAGCCGGTTTGGCCTGGCATCAGCGACTGCTGCGGTGCGTTCGTGCTGGAGGAGTGTTGGTTTGGGAGCATGGAATTTTAACTGACTTCGGTCCAGTTGTTGCTTACGCCTTGCAGTGGTGATCGCCTGGAGCCAGCGTCGCCGAACTGATCATCTTGGTCGTTCTGCGGCAGTGGACCGCTGACATACGGATCTAGCTCGAAGTCGGCTAGGTCGAGGAGAGAATTCTGATCGTCCGCCATCTTAGGTGAAGTGTCACTACTATGGCAGCGACGAAGGTTGGAAGTCAGAATCCTTGAGGGCCCTGGTGGTAGTGATCCGCACGGCGCTTCGTAGAGAAAAGTGCAGGTTGCTGAACGATAGTATTACTTCCGCGCAGCAGAAGTCAGGTTCGATGAGGTACGATGGAAGGCATCGTAGAAGGGGGAAGGTGATGTTGTGTTGGTGAAAAGTTTGGTTGTAGAGACAGGATGCTTCGAGGCGGTAAGTATTGTTAGATTATCCGCGACCTCACTTGGAGTTGTTTACGGTCATATGACAGGGGGCCCGGGCCAAGTCCCAATGTGGCAGGCACAGCAACCGCATGTCACGTCTTGGGCGCCTGAGCGCGCAACACGGCTTGACGGCGACATCCCAGCCTGTATACGGGCTGAGAACAGAATATACGGTAAATTGGCAAGTCGCGCGAATACGGGACGACCGCATCGCGAACATGATCGATCAATATAGCGGACTACTAGGCATGCCACGGTTGCAACGAGAAAGACGAAAAATCAAGGTTGGATGCACTTCTGCGACGTTGGAGAGCGTGCGCTTCTCGAACCTGCATAAAAGAACAAACCACTGCCTTTGTCTGCCGCTCAAAGAGGCAAAGCCGACTAGACGCTGTTCGAGATGAAATGCGTGCTGCGAGCTCCAGCTTCGACGCCCACTTCTAAGACGGCCGCGACCATGGACACCAGACTGAGATTTGACGGCCATGGTGGAAGGATAGGAGGCGATGAGCATCTTGCTTCCCTTCGTTACGGGCCCAGTGTTCGGAAGCCGCCAGCCTATACAACCAGTCCGGGCGGCAGTCCCCACATACGAAGACCGGTCTGCTGCGTATTATATGGGCGATCAACAACGACACGCTCGAATTCGGCCACAAGGTGGAAGGTTTCGCCATCGCTCACTCTTTTGGATCTAGCTGGGGATGATTCCCTATCGATCTGTTCATTCTTGCTTGAAGGGTTTGGGATCCGAGAGCATCCAAGGACATGCCTGGTCGGTCGAACGACTGCCCAGGGACTGGAATCTACAATTGGACAGATAGTGCAGGAGTGTATCGGTACTCCATACCAGACTTTCGAAGCATTGGCCCTGGAACTTCTTTGAACAATGCTAGGAAGGAAAGAAAAGAACAAAGGACGATTGTTGCAGGATGTTTACGATGCATCGCCGGATCCGACACGTGTACTGTATAACTTCGACAATGGACATCTACCTTGCAGTCTATTGCCACTGTAGTGATCCCACTACAGACCAAACGCCTACAATGCCAAGCACAACGGTCTTCCCGATGGGCTAGCGAGGTAAAGCATTGATTCGTCTAGAGTGTTTCGGGGAGCGAAGTCTTGCAGGGCTCCTTGGAACCACGTTTCTATTGTTTATGGTGGTGCAGCGAATCTCATTCGAGTCCTCAAGAGTGAGTTCCCTATATATGTGAGATTCGGTAGGGTAGTACTGTCGATAATGTGCCTTCCTAGAATATGTCTTCAAGAAAGCCGGGCTGCCGTATAGTGACGGGGTAAGGCATTCCGCCCTATAACGTGCATACTGAAAACACAGCTAGCTGCTTTTTTGTCTTGCATAACGATGCTTGCTTGCTCGCTTCGTCTTGGGCTGTTGCTCAATCCAGACGACTACACTTGAGAGAAGAGTCTACATGATTTTAAATTTCAAGAGCATTTATCATCAATTTATATCTACCGTGATGAGACCCTTTGCTACGGGCTGTGTCAATTCTCATACTATGCTGTCTATCAGAAATATGTATAAGCTGTCTTGCAATGAGGCCGGCAGCTTCGCCTGTAACGGTATCGGTAGCCTCCTGCGTTTGTCGCGGATTACTGCTAGGTTTATACAGCCAGCGAGGACGTTACTATGCTTCCAGATCCTTAATGATGCCCCTCGTCTTCTGGAGATGCAACTCTTACGGCTACTTCCCGTCTGGGTGATTGTGGCCCGTGCGCTCAGCGCCCGTATCAACGCGACTCATGTTCCCATGCCGACCACTAACCCTCCAACCTTCTTCTTTACATATCACCACAACCTCTCCGAAAGACTTCCCAAGCAAACCGCAGATTCAGAGCGACTCGACCTTGGCAGAATCCTGACCGAAAGGCTCGCTGCAACGGTCCAGTGTGTACAAGGGACGTCACTCCTCGACTTGAACTCTGTTCATCAAACTGCTTTGCTACCAGGCGCGGTATTCAGCAAAGCGACTGGGGGCGCGTCCAAACACAGGCACTGCTCGCGCAACGCTGCTAGCATTGGTCAACGCGACCACCCGTTCGCTGATCATGGCGTACAACTTCTGGTCTCAGCCATCAAAGAACGATGGAGCTCAGCTCCAGTATCAGGCCATAGAAGGTGCGGGTCCGGAGTACCCGTCACCTGAGGGCTCGCGCACGATCAAACCAGAGCTACCCGCTCACACCACCGGCGGTGGGAAGCCTAGACAGTTCTCTCGGAGACCCCAACAACTATCCGGTTCACCCACGTCCTTGAGCGAGGAGTCGCTCACGCATCATCTGGAAGGCCAACCCGCGAGCAAGTCATCTTACTTCCGTCACCCTGTGATGCACTTTCAACATCATGACTCACAGATCTCTTCTGAAGACGCAGACATGATGTTTCCAGGCTTGCTGCATCCGCAAACATCCCAAAACCTGATTTATCGCGACGCGCCTTGCCACAGCCGACCGTCCAACAGGCCACGCTGCCCCAAGGCTTCTTCTCTACGCATTCGCTTTTCCCGTCGAACGCCTCGCACAGCCCAGTCGGACCTCTTTGCTCTGATCCAACTCCAGCTGCATACCCATATCTGATTCACCAAAGCTCAGCACGGCCACCATTCATCGAAAGCCCAACCCATGGTAATCAACTCCCAAAGTACTAGCTGCGTACCACATCAGCAGCAGATGCTCGTCTTCACGCAGAACGTCGCGAAAAGCTATGCATCGACGGTCAGGACGACGTAGGGACCGTGAATACGGATGCTTCTGCAGTCTGGGTTTCTGCCATCGTGGCGGCAATCTGCACCAAAACGTATGCGGGCCCGCCTGGGAAGAAGAAGAGCAGTTCAGAGGAGCAGCTGACCGACCAGGAAACTGCATGGTGGGAGCGATGGCAGCAGAAATCGCAGGTGGACGTCAAGACGCACGAGACATCTGATGATGACTTCATGAATACGGTGGAGTTCAAGGCCTGGGAGGTCTTCCAGAGCGCTGTGGACACTTCCCACGCTGGATGCTTGAAGGGTTACGTCCGCAATCGCCCTGATCTGAGGCTCAAGTGCTCGGAGCGGATCCTTGGGATGATCGACGGGTTGGAGAAGTACCCCATCATCCGCTCTTCCGCGCTCAAGAACCTCAACTATGCGAAGTACGCCGCCAATCCTGATGCATTTGCCAACCGCAAGGTGGTCAGCTGCTGGAACAACTGGAACAAGATGTCGTCCGATCAGCAGCAGACGTTCTTCGACAAGTTCCGGCAAGACGCGACACCCGCAGTACAATCGGCTATGATGGCGCCATCTTTGATCAGAGATACCGCTGGAGGCTCGGGAGTAAAGCGGGTTGCGGTGGAAGGGTCGGAGGAGTCTTCAAGGAAACGGAGGATGCTTGATATGAGCGAGAAAAGGAGCCTTCGCCTTCCGCAAGACAGCGGTGTCTCTCGTGGTGGCATGGAAAGCGAGTTCCTCAAAGATAGCGAGCTCGCCGCTGCCGGCATCGGGAAGCAAGACCTGACACCGGCGCCAACCTGGGACGACTTGCTCTTCCTCGCAGCAGTTGCACGGTCAGGGAAATATGAGAGCGCCAGACGCCCCAACCAAGCATTTTCCGGCGCCTTCGGACGGAGTCGCGCCATCTAACCCGCCGACGGTAGAGACCCCCGGTACGCAAGTTTTAGCAACATTTGCGGTGCCAGCACCCAGGCCCACAATAGGCATCGCAGCCTGGCTACCTTTTTCGCTCGAGGAAGAAAGTATGCTGGATGAGTTGCTGATGTAAGAAGCTGCTTGGAGAAGCAGGAAGATCTCTCAGGGAGCTTTTGTACCACAACGCCTAGGTGCTGCCTTGTGAGAATGGATTCCATTCTGTGCAACAAGAGCTCTGATGAGAGGGTCTGATAAGGGGGAGAAGGCAAGCACCCAATGTCGACATGGCAGCTTGCGCAGCAGGATTCCGGATCTGCGGTCAACGAACAGAGGCGGCCAAGGTGCAGGATGGGATTGTGATATAATATTACAGCGGGAGCGTACTTGCTGCAAAGTGCCAGGCCTTCGAGATCGCTATGTGGGCTGCTTTAATTTGCTTGATGGAGCGATGGTTTTGAGGCGGCCAGGAAAATGTCTGTCGAATAGAAAACTGTAATGACTTTGAATCCCAAGGCGGTGTCTAGCGCTAGACCTGTATGATGTCGACAAAGAAAATAGACGCATTCGGCCTGCACTTCTCTTCGCGATCTCCCTGACCACTCTGTTTTTCATTGGTAATTTCTTGAACCGCCAGTCTCCCTTGCACCTGATGCAATAACAGAAGCAGGGGTCCGCACAACTAGAAGCTAGTGGCGACCTGTTCTAGCTCATCTCGACCCAACCCAATGTGCCATTGCTCGTCGCCACGCAGCAATAGCCGGTAACAATTCGTCAAATCGAGATCTGCCTGCAAGATCTGCGACATAAGAGCAAGTATTTGGCCGAGTGTGTTAGCTTTGCCAACGTTCTTGGTAGTTCTTTTACAGTCAAACCTGCCTTAGGCGGTCTCGGACCGGACGCTGTTGGGCCTTGTATTTAGTTTGCCGGCCTGCAGGCACGATACTCATACTAAACACCTGCTTCATGATTACTTCGTATGAGGAGAGTACTGCTGGACCTCCTACCTTTAGTATTCTTGACGGTCTCCACGTATAACTCAGTTGTGGAAAGTATATTCCTTGCCTGCAAGGCATCATCCCTCTCCCTTTGTCTGCCCACAATGCTGCACCTACATTTTTTGCCCCCCTACCAAGTATCTGGGGTTGAAGCAGAGTGGTATTCACTCCACTCACATGCAAAACGCGCTAGTGCGCGGGAGCTTCCGCCCCACCCTAAACGGAAGTAGCAACAAGTTGGCCGGACCACGATCCTCACTTTCTCAAACGCCAACCTACCCCCTTCACTCGACAACAATCTCAACTTTTGATGGACCCGTACCAAACCACCATCGTTGACACCGCACCGCCTGCATCTCTTGACGAGAGTCATTACAAGTTCCATCACGCGGTATGTCGTCTGTGATGTCGCCAGCAAGGTGAGGAGCAGCCACTAACAGTGACAGCAGCACTTCGCAACACGCGCAAACTCACGCCATCGCTCACCATCATGGGGGGCTTCGGTGTGATGTCACTGCCACATAGCATGCAAAACCCGCCGATGTCGAAGAAGCCACTCCGACCGACCACGTCGCTGCTCGACAACGGCGCACACCGCAACCACCGCAAGGTCGACCGTGCAGTGGACCCGACATTGACAGACTTCGCAGAAGGGGCCGACCTTCCCGTCCCTCCTGCTGACCAGGGTAATGGCGGTCTTGGATATGACACCTCAACCGACACCGGCCTGGCCAACCACGACTTTGACTTCGATATTGACCAGTTCAACGAATTCTTCCGTCCGCAAGCTCAACAGTGGATCCACGACGCAAACTCCCACGTCGCCTCCGGCGATCTCCACGAAGCTCAGCATGAGTTCACCTCCAACAATTTCCCTGGCCACCAGTCAGTTCAAGACCCTTCGCAGATGACGTACCGCGGAATCATGACTGCGGAACAGTTGCATAGTATGCAGATGCAGTCGCCCTACTCCGTGACCATTCCAACAGGACTCCAGCAAAACTACGGCAGTCAGCCATCCTCAGGAGGCATTTACGTCGCTCACCAATTTGGACAGCATGTCCATCACGTCTACCAACCGTATGGTGCCTATGGTGGCGAGCCTGACTGGATGGCACGGCCCAACTCGGGCTCCGTTCAAACAGATCCACTATCAGGTCGCGACTTCCAGCATACGCGACAGCAGTATGAGTTCGGCGGTCAGCCCTCCCTAGCATGGAGCCACAACTCCGCGTACAACATCTCCCAGGCGACTCCGGACGATAACTTTCAGGCGACGCCGGGCGCGCAAAGTAGCCTAAGCGATCTCAACTTCGGCCAGTCGTACCACCCGCAAGGCACGGCGAACATGGGCACAAAAGGCCACGGCCACGGCCACGGCCACGGCCAACGTGGTGCTCCTGTCGGCTTCGGGGCGTATGGTCAGATCCCAAAGCGTCATGACTCCACGAAGGACCCATACGCGAAAGCGAAATCCGTGAACTCACTCGCTCCGCCATCTCCTACGAACGCGTCTGTCTCAGGCACCGCGCTGGCAAAAGCGGCCGTGACAGACCTCCTCCGTCCAAATCGGACCATCGCGACCTTGCCGGCTGGTAACTTCCAGATCAACCGGACTTCACTGGCGGATGCCAAAGCACTCGTCCTCCGCCGTGCGCCCTTCACCATTACCGACGACGATGTCAACGATGTGGAAGCTGATCCAACACCGTACGTTCGGGAACTGATGCGCGCCGTGATGCACACCGGAGATTTCAAGACCGAGCCAGAGACCATCTGCCTCAAGAAGGACCAGGCTCTTGCGGTGGACTGGACCGAAACTCAAAGCAAGTTCAATCGGAAGGTGCGCACAATCCTGAAGATGCCTTTTATCACGGCCGAAGTTCAGGCTCGCGCGGAGATGATTGTGCACGCTGCCATTACGCTCCACCGAGACGGGCATCGCCTGCTCTCCGTCAAGGTCGAGAAGGCTCTCAAATGTTCCCAGCGCCTAGGGAGAACCATCCAGATTCTTACAGACTTCCCGACCATCAGGTACGACGTCCTCTCGGACGCTGAACACTTCGAGCCACTGATCTCTGCTCCATCTGGGTTCGTCAACCGGAAGGAGAGCAACTGGCGCGGCAACTTCCGGAAACCCGGCAAGGGCCAGAAGAAGGAAGAAGATGATGATGACGACGAGGTCGAGGGAGGAATTGCGGATGCTGATTCACTGGTGCCGCAACTTGAGAAGGCAAGATACACTCGCAGGTTTACCGTTGAGGAGCGAGGCGCGATGAGGGTCCTGTTGAAGGGTGGCGAGCTCCCTCCGACCCCCACTCCGACTCAAGAGATTGCGCCGGCCGGTCCAAAGAAGTCGAAGAAGTCAAAGAAGAGGCCTGCGAACGCTACGTTCGAGCCATCAACCCAGGTCAAGCGCGCCAGGCGCAGCAAGCGGATCGCATCTCGCGAGCCAGCGGAGGAGCAGAACGGTGTCGAGAGTGGTGACGATACAGAGTCCGTAGCAGATGCCAATGGCGAGGTCGGGGCCGGGATGTACCGTGAGGCTACTGAGGTCGAGTCCGAAGAGTATGTGACGGAGTTCGGGAAGCAGAGGAGGTTGAGAGCTGCCAAGAAGGCGGGCAGACCCAAGCCTCATCCTGTGCCTCGCAAATGACAGATCAAAACTGACCGTGGACTCCTATCACCATACCAGCGGAAAGGTTGTAGACAACGACCTTTCCACGTCGCGATTTGCGAGCTCCTTGTGAGAGAAATCTGGACATCTCTGGCCATCGCGCTCTTCTTCTGGAAATTTCTGGTGCACCAAAAGGTGGCATTCACCGCAGATGCATTCACCTCACTGGAAATTGGCGTCCGTGGGCTCCAGAAGATCAAATTTTGAGTACAACATCTTTATCAGTGTGTCATACATCCATCAGACGGCAAGGCGTCGTTGAAGGAAATCCTTCTTCGAAATCTTCGGCGAGTCTTCGTGTGGTTGCTCGGTGAAAAGGTTGGGAGGAAAGGACTTTGATCGGTGACGTCTCTTCAAGCTTTCACCTGCCGCAGGCACGGACCTCAGCATGATATTCTTGATTTACGGCATGGCATGGGAAAGCGTACATGCACTTCAGCAGAATTGCCCCAAAAATCTTGTTCTTACATTGCACCGCTTCTCTTTGTTGTCACAAATTTCAATGCACTTCCGCATTGGGATTTTGTTCGATCTCCCACTGTCGCTGAGTACATCCCTCCCGACACCCCAAGCGCACGCAACTCAATCTACAAGAAGATTGTATCATTTCAAGCACAACACAATAACGTCCTGCCACCCCAATCTCGACACCCCCACCCCCAGCAACACGTCTATCCCCACGTCCCACCCCCGCCCCTCCCCCCCCTTCTCTGCGCCGACAACCGCCACTCATCCTCCCCAGCAAACCGATTATGCAACGGCTGAATCCGCTCCTCCCTCTTCCTGCGACTCAACTCCCCCTTCGTCCCCGCCACCCTAAAAAACGTCGGCGCAGCTTCAACAAGCCACTTCGGCTCGATGGCGGTCACATTATGCATGTACTCCCTCGTCGTCTCTACGAGACTATGATAAATGACGTGCTCCGCCGCTTTGCCGAAGAGCGCGGAAGCAGGGTGCATGTACACGGGCGTCCCTTCGACGAGCGTCTTGTAGCCTTCCTGCGGGTCTTTGCGCGCGGAGTTGCGGAAGAAGCCGGCGCATAAAGCCTGCCGGACGCGCAGGGTGTCGCGGCCGCAGGACAGGATGCGGAGTTTATGGCGTTCGAGGATCTGGACGAGTTGCTTGCGCACGTCTTCGGCGCGGCGCATGTTGCGGGGTTGGATGAAGTTCTCGAAACACCAGGGGTCGGCTTTGCCTGCGCCGCGCCAGCCGTTGTAGACATTTAATAAGGTGAGGTGGTCGCCGGCGGGGTCGTTGAAGCGGGCGCGTTTCTGGTCCGCTTGCTGCTGCTTGTCTTTGGGGCGGTGGAAGACGGTTTGGACTGCGGAGATCATGGCGACGATGGAGAGCATCTCGTCGGCGCACCCGAGGTCCACGGAGGCGATGAGGGATTTGGCTAGGCCCGGGTCCATTGGCATGTCGGCCATGCGGCGGCCGAGGCGGGTGAGGAGGCCTTCGTCGTCGAGAGCGGAGAGGGCGTAGAGTTCTTCAAGGGCCGTGAGCATGGTGTTGGTGGGTGGCGGGTCCATGAAGTCGAAGCCTAATAAATCGTTGATACCCATAGCCTTCAGCATCAGAATCGTGTTGCTCAGATTCTGCCTCTGAATCTCAGGAATTGTTGTGGGCAGCATCTCCGATTGGAAGGCGTTTTCGGTGTAGAGTCTGAAGCACTTCCCTGGTCCTGTACGTCCGGCTCGTCCAGCACGCTGTTTAGCCTGCGCTTGCGATATAGGCGTGACTTGTAGCCTGTCCATGCCAAGCTTAGCGTCGTAGGCGGTCTGCTTTACGAATCCTGGGTCAACCACGAAGTAAATGCCATCAATGGTGATCGAAGTCTCGGCGATGTTGGTAGCGATGACCACCTTCCTGCTACCACTAGGCGTGGCCTCGAAGATACGACTGGCTGTCTCGGAGGGCAGAGCGCCGTAGATAGGGAGAATGATGAGTTCAGGCACCGAAGGGCCAAGAGCTTTCATCCGCTCAAACAAGATCTCGCAGGAGGTGTCAATCTCCTCTTTGCCAGTCAAGAACAGGAGGATATCGCCAGGCGGCTCCGTAAGATGGATCTGCATGACAGTAGTCAACGCCGCATCCAGATAGTCCGACTCTGGTTCCCTGCTATACATGATCTCGACTGGATACGTCCGACCTGGGATCGACAAGATCGGACATTCGTTGAAGTACGAGCTGAACTTCTCCGCATCGAGCGTCGCACTGGTGACGATGAGTTTCATATCCGGCCGCTTCTTCAATGTCTTCTTGAGCAGCCCAAACAGCACATCAGTGGCGATGGTCCGCTCGTGCGCTTCATCAAGCATAATGACCTTGTACTTGCTCAACTCCGGATCGAGCAAGATCTCACGCTGCATGATACCATCGGTCATGTACTTGATGCAGGTTTTGTCGGAAGTCTTGTCCTCGAAACGGATGGTGTAGCCGACTTCTTCGCCCAAGCGACAGCCGACTTCGTCGCTGACACGTTGGGCGACGCTCATGGCTGCGACGCGGCGAGGTTGCGTGCAGCCGATTATGCCTTCGTCCGAGAAGCCGTCTTCAGCCAGGTACTGAGTGAGCTGGGTGGTCTTGCCTGAGCCGGTGTCACCGACGACGATGAGGAGCTGGTATTGTCGGACGGCATCCAAGAACTGCTTCCGCATCTTGAAAGCTGGCAAGGATTCTCTCTGCTCCTTGATCGACATTGAAGTCCTCTTCCCCAGCTCACCTTTGCCAGAAGCGATTTTCTTCCACTCGGGCATGTCGTTTGCGCCGCCGCCCTGCTTGGGCTGTCGCAAATCAGCAGCGAAGCGTCGCTCACCAGGTTGCACCATTGGGTCGTTCCACTCTTGGTTGAGATCGGTCTTTTGAGCCTCCTGGGCGGCCTTATCCTGCGCTTCCTGCTGGCGAAGATCTCGACGCTCTTTGGCAAGTACATCGCCCTGCATCGCCGCACGGTTCATGCTGCCATCTGGAGCTTTGATGACACGAATCGGGCTGAGTTCGAGACTCTGCTTGGTCTGACCGGCGAGGAAAGGCGGCTCTTCTTCCTTGACCTCAATGTCGACATCTTCTTCTTCCTCGATCGTCTCGCCGTTGATGGCGGCATTGTAGTCATCGTCAAGGTCAGGGTAGTCGGCGGCTTTGATGACACCCGAAGCGATGAGCTGCCTGATCTCCCATCTCTCCGGACTAGTCAGTCGTTTGCGCTGGCGCTTTCCAGCTCCTGCGCCCGTCTCCACTACCGGGGCCATCGGATCAAGCCTTGCATCTGCCGCACCATTCAAGCCAACAGCATTCGCGCCAGTAGTAGGCGCCTGGATTCTGCGTCCTGGCCTTTGGTCCATTCCAGTAGCTTGATCAACTTCACTCATGCTGAGACTGACCCGCCCTTCCTGCGCCTTCATGACCTTGATCCAGACTTCCTGATCCCGCGCCACCAGATCTGACGGGTGGTTGACTTTGTAGTCTGCCATGGCTGATACATGTACAAGACCGTCTACCTTGCCTTTGACGTCTCGCAGGTTCACAAAGACGCCGAAGTCCTTGACTCCAGTGACTCTGCCACGATAGATCTTGTATTGCACCGGCGCATCATCCAACTCCGGCTGAGGCGGCCTATCGAAATCGTCGCGTCGACTTTTCCGATCACTCTTCCCGTTGCGGTCGTGCCGATCAGAAGGTCGGTGCGGTACGTTGCGCCCAAATTCGTCCTGGAACACAAAGTCATCGTTCCTGTCCTTCCTCCGCTCTCTCCGCTCCTTTCTTCCCGGGCTTCTGGATCGTGATCTTGACCGTCTATGTCTCTTGATACTCCTCTCATCCCGCTCCCTCTCGGCACTTATACTCCGCTTCCTGCCGTTCGCCGGTTTCTCCGCCTTCCCACCAGCTTTCGGTGGTCCAGCCATAGACTCGAGCAACGCAAAGGTATCGTCCAGCTCTGCCCCTCCATCTTCCGCACCACCTTTCTCTTCCTCTACAGCCGGTGGCTCCTTATCTGGAATGCTCAAGCCCTTGAACTTCTTACTCTTCCCCCCACCATCCACTTCATCATCGATCTGCTTCGCGCCATTCTTCCTGTACTTCGGATGAAGGCTCTTGATCAGGCGGTCAATACTCTCCGCCAGACTACCGGGAAAGTCGTAATCCTCGAGCTTGGCCTGGAAGTCCTTCACATTTGCGCAGCTGGCGTGTTCGGCGATGATGAATTCGGCGATGGTCTTGTCGCTGGTGCCCATGTAGTTATTGATTTCGCTGGTGACTTTAGAGACCAGCGAGAGCAGCTCCAGTTGCTCCAGGTCGTCCATGTTGGCTATCGCCCTCGTTCCAAGGCTGGTATACTCAGTGAAGGTGTGGGTGTCGTCGACGTTGAAGGTCTTCAAACTCTGGCTGACTAAGCCGGCAAAAGTCCGCTCCACGCTTCACGTCTCCCAAAGTTCGCGCCCAAACAGATATCAACTTGCGACCTCACTACATCCCCTCCCCAACCCCTCCGCCGTCCCACCGTTACACCGACGACCTCACCTCACTCCCGAAATAGCGACGACAATAGCAAACCGCGACAATGGCCTTCGGTCGCTCCAACTCGCTGAGCATTAACACCGGCGCGACCAACTCTCTCTTGTACGTACTACTTTTCATTCTACTCATATCACACTCCACAGCAACACGAAGCCGGTATTCGAGGAGCGTACTGCAAACAGGCACCATCTTGTCACATCAACACATCCTCTACAACCACAGCAAGAACCAAAAGAAAGAATGCCTCCAGTTCCTCGCCCGGCCTCTGCGGCTGCCCCTACGCTTATTAGCATGACACGAGTTCCTACTCCGGCCTCTGCGGCCGATACCACCCCAGTCAGCACGACACCAGTCCCTCGGCCAGCCTCTGCGGCCGCTCCTACTCCCATCAGCATGACACCACCTGTACTAACGCAAGCTCCAAGCAACACGCAACAGAATCAAACATCGCAGCCACCAGCGCCTTCCGGAGGTCTTTTCGGTAGCAACAACACGGCAACTTCGCAGCCACAGCAGACCGGAGGAGGATTGTTTGGAGGTGGGAACACAACGTCGCAACCGCAGCAGCAGGGTGGCTTGTTCGGCAGGGTTGGGACGTCGCAACCACAACAGTCGGGAGGACTCTTCGGTGGAGGTGCAGCAACATCACAACCTCAGCAGTCTGGTGGTCTATTTGGGAACACGAACACCTCGCAGCCTCAGCAATCAGGGGGTCTCTTCGGCGGCGGCGCGACTTCTCAACCCCAGCAATCTGGCGGCTTGTTTGGCAATACTGCAACCTCGCAGCCACAGCAGTCTGGAGGGCTGTTCGGCAATACTGCAACTTCCCAACCACAGCAGTCTGGAGGCCTCTTCGGAAACACTACTACCTCGCAGCCGCAGCAATCAGGCGGTCTCTTCGGTAACACCACCAACAACACTCAGCAAAACACCGGCGGAGGTCTCTTCGGCGCAAGCACCGCCAACCGAACAGGCGGCGGCCTCTTCGGCGCATCCACCACGAACAATGCACCCAACAACAACACTTCCTCCCTCTTCGGCGGCGGGGGCAACAGCCTCTTCGGCGGCGCCTCCACCCAACAACCCCAACAACAACAGCAACAGCAAAACCAACCCTCCAACACCTTCCTCGGCATGACCGCCACCGCCCCACAATTCAACCAGCCCTCCCTCCTCGGCGCCCCCCAGTACCGCCAATCCCAAACCAACCCCTTCCAAGGCCGCCTCACCCTCGGCCAATCCGGCTCCAACACCACCACCGTCGGCGGCGGCGCCCAGTCGCAAGGCGGTCAGGGGGCTGTGCAAGTCAACTACGATAACCTGAAATCCACTACCCGCTTCTCCGACCTCGTGCCGGAGGTGCAGCAGACCCTTGAGCGGATCGATGCGATGATCCAGGCCCAGGAGCGCTTTGCGCGGCAGATCGAGGCTTTTGTCCCGAAACATGGACAAGATGTGGAAAGCCTGAAACCGGACGTCGAACTAGTCAGCGAGAAGAACGAAGCCATCGAAACCGCCCTCTCCCTCGACGCCCGCGGGGTCGAAGGCGAGAAGGGGACCCTACAAAAGGACATCTCCGACGGCGAGCGCCTGCAGCGCGTGATCGACAACCTCCGCCAACCGCCGCAATTCCACTCTCGTGGCGGGGACCCTGGTGGTCGGGACCTCGACCTCATCGGAAACTTCTTCAACCCGCTTGCGGGAAACATGTCCGGTGCGATCGATACCTACGGCGCTACTATCGCAGAGGTTGAGGCGCATATGCATATTCTGGAGCAGAGTGCGATGGCTAGTGGTGGTAGTGGGGCTAGGGGTGGTGGGATCGGAGGCGGGTTCAGCAGTGTGAGGGAGCTGGCGGAGACGCTGGGGGCGTTTGAGGAGGGGATTTTGGGGGCGGCGGGGGTGGTGGGGCAGTGTCGGGAGGGGGTTAATGAGTTGGTGTTGGGGGGGAGGGGGAGGCTTTGAGGGGTTTTGTGAAGGGGGAGCGAGGGAGGATGGGTTGGTCGTGGATGGAGGGAGCATTGAATGAAAAGTGGACATGATTCAGGGGTGCTTGAGAGAGTTCAGTAGTACGAACATTAGGCCATGAGTTTGACCTTCTTGACTCGTACAACTTCTTTTCTCATGACTTCATTCCATCATATCGCCTGTTGCCAGATTGACACAGAACAAGTCTACGCCGCGCATTCTGCCCTGACGAAAAGGTACGGGTATCCCCCGGCGAAATTCATCAGAACGCTTTGGCGAAACTCTAAGCTCGCTCGCTGTCCTCAGTCCTCTAAATTTCCCCCGTCAAAACATCTAATGCTAGCTACACATTTACACGTACATGTACAATTCATACCTATCATCCCTACGTCCCATCCCCCACCCCATCCTCCCCATCCCCTCGAGTCCCCGCTTCCTCCCACCTAGCTCCTCCGCCTAACCCGACTCCCCCGCCTCCCCTCCTCCTCAAACTCAACAAGATAATCCACCGTCTGCATAATCCCCTGCCCCTCTCCCATAACCAACCCCCTCTTACTCTCGTCGTCCTCACTCCCTCCTTCCCTCGTATCTCTGTCCCTGTGACTGACGTAGTAGGCGTAATCTTCCTCGCTCCCTCCGTGTCCACTAGCTGTGGGTTTGATATGCTCGATTTTGGAGCGTGTATGACTCCGCGGATGGCTCATGGGATGGTTCTTGGGTGTATGACTCCACGGATGGCCGGACGAGCCGTTTTGTTGGTTAGAGGAGTGTTGAAGTTCAAAGGGCTCGAGGATGCCGGCGTTGGACATTCCCGCCGCCCAGTCGGTGAGGACGCGTTTGATGGAGGGGAGGCAGGCGGTTAGGAGGGAGGTGGTGAGGGACATTGTTGTGTAGATTGTTGGGAGGGTGGAGGCGAATGGGCGGCGGAGGGTGGGGGAGGCGTAGTAGGGGGAGTAGGTTGAGAGGGTGATGGCGGTGAAGATGGGGGTGCTGTTGGGGAATGGGTTAGTGTATGGTGGACCTTAGGGGGTTGGGGAGGAGGGAAGTACATGATCCGCATCCCAAACATGGCCGACACCACCAGTTTCCGTTGGAGGCCCGTCTGCACATATCCCATCATCACCGCCGGCAACACACAAAGCGCCACGTCGGTCACGATATCGACCAGACGAATCCCGATCTGCGCGCCGTACTGGTCGATACAGGTATTCGCACCCGAGGGACCCATGACCCAGCGCTCTGGCCCGCATTGGAAGGCCACGGTGAAGGTCGCAGCGACTCCCCAGGCGATCGAGACGCCGAGGACGGTGTACAGGGCGAGCACGATCCACTGTCGCGGGGGTTTGAGGGCGAGGATAAGGAGGGTGATGGCGGCTTTGGAGGCGGTGGTGGAGGGGTAGATGAGGAGTTGGGCGGCGTAGTAGTGCTGGAGGAGGTGTTAGAACATGATACGTGGTGGGAGGGGAGTGGTATGGACTTGCCTTGCTCACTGTCTGCATTTGGGCGTCTGATAGAAGGGAGGGTGCCTGACCGAGTCCGTGGTAGACGGCGCGGCATATTGAGATTGTGTATGCGAGGGCGAAGACCTGTGGTGGTTAGCCTTGGTTAAGACCTCCCAAGAGATATATTCTAGCATACCAGAGCTGTCACCAACGCAATGTCGTCCCTCCTCAGCTTCCGAAAAGTCGACACAGTCATCTGCAACTTCGTCGCAACGGTAAGGCCGACAATAACAATCATTATCACCGCCGTGAGCAGCACATACGCTCCATGATTCTTCTCCGTCACCGGGTGCGCAGGAGGCAGCAAGTCCTCGTAGATGCCCGTCTTCGACATCGCAACTTGTCGTCGTAGCCTCGTCGAGCGTCGCAGCAGAGCATCAGAGGCAGGAAGGATCAAACCAACCCAGACATAAGCACAACCTTCTACCGGCCTGCTTATCACAGGCGAAACCTCGCAAGATCGACCCCCTGATGCCGCAGACAGCGCCTAGATGCCGGGCCTACGGATTTGTACAAAAGCTTTGAACTTACATGTGAAGATGCGCAAAAGCGCGCAGGCAGAGATACCGCACCTCGCGTACCGACCCAAAACCTAAGGGGTGGGGGGTCAGCCTGGTCCATGGAGCCTGTATGTCAGGCACAGTGGGCTCCCGTGTGATGTTGAGTGTGGCCATCGACACGCTGCATCGCTTACCCTGCTTCATCATTGCAGGGCGAGGCGAGTGGGTGGAGTGAGGTGGTCTTGGGTGGCTTATACGAGCTGACATGCCATGGAGCTACGTCCGTAGCGGGGGGTGGGGTGGCAGTTGTGGTTGGTGGGTGGTTGATAGGGCGTCCTTGGTATTTTTGCGCGAACGCGAGATGAGAGGAATTTTTTACTTGCCTTTTCATTCAATGAGTCCTGGTATAGAACCGATTCCGTCGAGCAAGTTGTCGGTGTTCGCGGCATGAAAACGGCCTCAAGTCCGCGTTTCTACAGACGATGAAGTCGCCTTGAATCCTCCCGATCCTTCTGCCCACGAGGTTGGTTTTGCAGCGGCCTGGTCCCGCCGTCCACTAACAGCCACCGGACTGTCTTGGACGTTACTTCCCGCCCGCCCCCCGAAACGCCACGCCCCTCCCCCCGGTAGGCTCTCGTCGGAGATGAACCTAGCAAAGACCTCTCGCCGTCCAGACTCCCAATCTCATCTGCAGCACCACCTCTCGGCATCCGGGACTTCGTTCATCCTATCGATCCTCTCTCCTTCCACGTGCTAACCGACGCAGTAGTGCTCACGCGCAGGGGTCTCTGTATCGCTCGCTTGCGCTCTCAGCATGAAAGGCGCTGCGAGCCTGCGAACTGCCCTGGCGATCGCCGGTGCGACGGTAAGTCGAGCGTACCTTGGCGGGGGACCTGGTCTCTCCTCTCCTTCTGTCGAGCTGTGCCATTTCTGCTTCTTTTCCTCTTTCAGTCTCTCGCTCACCTACCTGCGCATTGCGAAGGGTGTGTTTGTTCTGCGGTATGGCGACCTACGAGATGAAGTCTATGGAGTCGGTGAGGGCTGGCGAGGTGTCGCCTCCGAATCACAAGCAGGAGACTGGGAGGACCGAGTCGAAGACGGCTGTTAGGGTGGGTACACTTTGGATTTGAGATGGACGGTTGGTGCTGATATGCGCAACAGAGGGTGTTTAGCTTCACGCAAATGTTCTGCTTTGCGCTGAGCTATATGTCGTCTTGGGAGGCACTGGCGACGTACGTCCAACATTCAACAATCAAGAGAAGCGACATCTGACGGAGATCCAGTTCATTCGGCCTGGCCTTCTACAACGGCGGTCCCAGAGCAATGGTCTGGGGCTTCTTCATCGTCATTCCCGGCGTGCTCGCTCAAGTCGCCTCGCTCGCGGAAATGTCCTCAGTACAACCCATCGCAGGCGCGCAATACCACTGGACATGGCATCTTGCACCACCGAAACACAGAAGGTTCATCACTTGGATTCAAGGGTGGATTACATGGTTCTCTTGGATCTCGCTACTCTGCAGTGTGGTAAACACTTGCGCGAACATCACGACGGCTTTGGTCGGCATCAGCTACCCCGACTATGCTCCGCAGGGCTGGCATACACTCTTGATCATGTACGCCTACCTCATTGTTTTCGGACTGATGAACATGTATCTCTTCTGGATCATTCCGTGGGTGGAATTTTTGGCTGGTATACTTCACGTCGTCTTGTGGATCGTGTTCACCACGGTACTGCTTACCTTGGCTCCCCGACATTCAAGCCATTTCGTCTTCTTTGAAGGATCCAAGGTCGGCGGCTGGCAGAACGACTTTGTCTCGTTTAATCTTGGTATAATCCTGATCACGTGGGGTTTTGTGGGTACGTACTTTCTCCCCCCATACACTGTCTATCCCACTCTGATTAATCTGCCAGGCTTCGACGCCGCCGCCCACATTTCCGAAGAAACCCGGAAAGCCCGCTTCGCCATCCCGCGAGCCATGTTCTGGTCAATCTGTATCAACAGCACCCTCGCCTTCGGTTTCGTCTTGGTCCTGCTCTACTCCTTCGGCGACGTCTCAACCAACATGTTCGCCGCCTATCCGCTCGCAGTCATCTGCTACATCGCGACCGCCTCCGTCGCCGGCGCCTCCGTCATGATCGCCGGCCCCCTTACAATCAACATCTCCGTCGTCCTCGGCACCATCGCCTCCACCTCCCGCCTCACCTGGGCCTGGGCCCGCGACGGCGCTCTACCGGCGTACTTCTCCTACGTCTCGCCGCGCCACCGCATCCCCGTCCGCTCGGTTTGGCTGCCGATCTTCATGGTCATGCTGCTCTCCCTCCTCAACCTGACAAACTCCTACACGGCCTTTGGTGTCATCATCGCGCTCTGCACCCTCGGACTCTACCAATCCTACATCATCGCCATCGCCTGCATGCTGCACGCCCGCCTCACGCACCGCATCGACGTCGCGCCGTGGTCGTTGGGGAGATACGGGGTCCCGATTAACGCGTTCGCGATCGTGTACTCTGTATATCTGGGTTTCTGGATGGTTTGGCCGAACTACCTGCCTATCGATGGGGCGGGGATGAATTACGCCCTGCCGATTAATGCGGCGGTGTGGCTTTTTGCGTTGGTGTTTTGGTTTGCGTGGGGGAGGAAGAATTGGGCGGGTCTGGATGCGAGGGTGATTGAGAAGGTTGTTGGGGATGCTGATAAGGATACTGTGGATTAGAGGGGTGGTGTTGGGTAGGCTTGTTAGCATACTGAGGGGTTGATACCGTATGAGCAATGGCATGTTGGTGCTACTGTAACTTGCTGCCTAGCTGCCATGCTTGGTTCAAGAGAGCTCCCATCAATAGCCATAGGGCACCCTTCAGACATCCGTCTCCGAAGCTCGATTCCGAATGGTATAGTCTGGATATTTAGGTCACGGGACGGTACTGCGTTCTGCGTATCTGTCTGTCGCTCGGCTGCAGCCGGGGACGTCTCGGCGTTGGGTCCGTGTGACATGAGTAGCATCCTACTATAACTTCGTCTCGTCACTCACATCTAGTGAAAGTCGTCAAAGACTTCACGACATCCTCTGCTAATTGTGACAAAGCTGAGCGATGATCCACTACTCCGGCTACGAACGAGCCCGACTACAGGACTACAAGTGTCGATTTGTGCTCTCCCAATGTCCACAAACGACGTCTCTCACGCCTCTTTGTTGACTTGCCGGTACAGGATGGCAATTTCGTTGCAGGCAGTCCGGTAGTCTGCCAGTCCAAATTCTGAGCTGTCTAGAGACGTTCACGGACTGGACTGCACGGCTGAGAACTTGATGAAGACGAATGTGGTCAGCTGCCTCGCATATGATGATATGACCAGATGCAAATATGCTCAGGTAAGCTGCTGGTTCCGCCTCGCCATTGATCGCCGCTGCTTGCTTTTCACACTGAGTGCACCACGATCTCGACCCCAACGGCGATACAAGGTTCGACCACAGCTACACGATGCCTATTATCCTGCGGGTGGCTTGCCGTATACCAGCAGTATCGTCTAGACGCATCGTCGCTACAATTGCACATGGAGCCCTACTTTCCGTAGCGTTGTGAAGACTGGACCATGATGCTGCCATGCATTATCACATCAAAGAGGGTGTGCCCGTGGGCGTTTAAGACAGTCGATCATCCGACAGGTTTAAGAATCGAGACTCTCCCATCTCCGGCTGCTCCCCCACTGGCGGTCCTTGAGGCCATCTCAGTCCCTCCCCAGGCTCAACTATGACATTAGACCACGATTTCGCTCCATCGCAGGACGCTCATGCACCAACGACCAGTAGCACTCACGGCGACTTTTCAGAGCAAGACAGCAGGCTCACGACGGACAGCGACGCAACTCAGCTTGGGACTCGACCACAAGATGGACCTGATCCGGTGCCACCTGCCAACAGTGACCATCCAACCCCATCGACGCCTTTCTCAGCACCGGAGGTCCCGAGCAGGATGCCTGTGAATACGACGGCACTCACTAAATGCGCCAATGGAAAGGTCACTGTCTTCCCCAATCTTGACACACCTTCGTCCACTTCGCCGTCCGGACGATGGCAACACACTCAGCCTCGGCGATGGCGAACGACACTGCTGCGAGCCGGACCACTTTCTGGCATCGCAGCTATGCTGTTGGCCATAGCGAGTATTGTGGCCTCTTTGGGTATGCTCATAGCCTCAGACGGTATGTAACGCCGAGCAAGAAGCTTCATCGCCTGATACAATGCTGACTCTTTGGATGTTTCCTGCGCAGGCGCTTCCGTCTCAAGCTGGGCCGTGGAACCTTCGATCTATCTAGCAATTGGCACCGCCGTGGCAAATTTGTCGATGAGATATGCCTGCATCACTGGGATAGCAATCGCTTGGTGGCTTAGGGCGCGAAAGGGTACAGCAACAATTGAAAAGCATTATCTTGCCACGTCGTCCGCTGACCTCTTCCCCCTTCTTATTGTAGGCTCAACTCTCCAAAAACTCCATTACGACTGGCGTTCGGGCACCACCGTGGTAGGTGCGATTACGGCCGGCAAGCATCTCGGCCTTCTAGGACTTGCCACCATCTTCTCGACAGTGGTGGTCATAGACGGACCGCTCCTCCAGCGCTCAAGTCTGGTAGTTTCGACACCATTTGAGAAAGACTCTCCATTGCTCCTCCATGTTTCCATGGCCCAGGAAGTCCCGAGGCTTTATACCGGGTTATGGGCAAGGAGTAATCAGACTGCATATGGCTATCCTTACAACTGGCAATTCAACGAAAGCATGCCAGGTGGTAACAATTCTGACGTCTCTAATGACAAATGGGCCGCAAGTGATCCCACATTCGACGAGGCGGTGAGCCGCCCGTTCTACGGAGACGAGCCGATAGGAAGAGTGGTCACTGGATGCAAAGACACGTGTAAAGCAGCAATGAGAGCTCCTGCGCTAGCCATCGGTCCTTGCACCACACGTGCGATTCCAGTCAACTACATCCACGCCATGGCATCACCTGAAGACATGCTGTATACTGCTTCTCCACTCGACCAGAATGCCTTCGTAGTTGCTTCATCACTGGTGGTCGAGCACCAAGAGAACGAGGTCATCAATCTCTTCACCGGCTTTGGAGACACTACAAACTGCGTTGGCACGTTCACCTACACCAGCTGCTACTTGCGGTCGACCATTGGCGAATACAACATCGCCATCGCCGGCGCCGAATTTACGATCGAGAACCCCGCGAGCCCTCGCATAGTAGCGCTGGCGAACAACACCTTGACGAACTATACCCCCGACTATCGTGCGAGAGTGCAGCGATCGACTCTGGGTGGAGTCGTGAACATCGTCAACGCAGACTGGCGGAGCCGTTACACCGCGTACAGGGCAAGCGGCAAAATACAGTGGTCGTCGTCTCTGGCCCCGGTGAATCTCCGGTACATGATTGGCAACACAAGATGCCCTTCGTTCAAAGACTCGTTTGAGGACGTACTCGCTGCGCTCAACACGGCGATGGTGTATACCGGTGCTGCCGCTGCCCAAATGGAGCCTTATTATCTTCATGGCCATGATGGACCTTGGCATTGCGGAGCAAACGAATACCACGGTTATCGGCTACAAGACTGGTGACCACAACGTCTACCGCACGGCGTATTGATGGTTCTTCGCCGCGGCTTTTATGGAACTGGTGTGTATCTGCTTCGTCGCGCCGACGTACTGGGGATGGTGGAGGCTGGGACGGCCGGCCTCTTTCTCGCCCCTTGAGATTGCGAAGGTGAGTTTGCCAGCTTGCGGCAGTGGATTCTACGAGCATGCCTGATTGAAATAACAGGCGTTTGAGGCGCCGATGTTGGATGGATGTTGTTCCAATTCAACTGGGAGGGACGCTGCGAAGGCGATGGGGGAAGTGAGGGTGAGGTATGATTTCACTGGCTCGGCAGACACGAAAGTTGCTTTTGCGTACGAGGCTCGTACTTCTCGCTCTGAGGCGTCCGGCAAGGAGGCCGCGGCTGCACAGCACTGAGCTCATGGTCAGTGTCGTTCAACAACGACTACAAATGCTTGGCTTGATGACATGCGGCTTGACTCTAGTTCACATGAAAAAGTGCGGCAACGGCGGGAAGATCGACACCACAGGCGGAGCGCTATAATGGAAATTGATACAGGATTGCAAGAAGCTGTGTACTTCCATGTGGCCACGAAGAGATGTATCTAACCCTTGCTCTTACCAGTTCTCTCCAATGCTCGCACTCTCTTCGTTTCTTTAAGATGGCTAGAATTGGCACAACTACGAGCAAGGCCTCCGCGACGTGCGTCGCTCATCACTAGTGTTCTGGTCTTTTGGGTTTTCGAAACTCGTTCCAATGATTTCTCTTCCAGCTTCTGGCTGGGAATGGCTAAGCAGCTGTCCCGTGGGTGAAGCCGGACTGTAGCACTATAAGGACCAGGAGGAAGACGAGGTAGGTCAATCACCAGACAGAAGGTGGCTGGGAGGAAGATGGTCTAGGTCCGCCTACCTGACAGCGTTTGTTGAGAGCTGATGTTCAAGAGTGTCGATAGAAAGACCATCAAGCAGAATGCACTAAATCGCCGCTTTACTTGGACAGCGACATCTAGTCCTCTCTAGCAGAAATGAGAACAACTTTGTGAGAACGTTTGGATTGATATCTATGCTATACTCTGCCAGTGTCTATTCCAACGCCATGTCCAATGCTGATACCGATGCTGATTAAAATTCTGATACTATCGCCAACCCATGCTCAATGCAGGTGCTTTCTGAAAACTCTTCCTTCACAAATATGTTGGACCTTTGACAGTGCAACAGAAAGATGTCAGCGGCCCATCGTGTCAAAAGCACTGGAGAGTGTACTGGCCTGCCGGCCACTGAATGGTGCGAGCACTCGCAAGTGATCATACTAATGCTGGAGATTGGATGCTGTTGCAGGGTAGATGATGCTGGAGGACAGTTGGAATGGAGATCGGTCGTTGGTGATTGTACTGGCCATCTCTGATGATGCTGATTGCTTCTGACGCTTTGAGTGCTCATGCCAACTTGACACTCATTGGAGTCCGATGCTGCACTTCACGAATCCTCCTGCTCATTGTGGTCTGCTTGGTCGACTTCAGCCACTTCTGGTTCGACGCCGGGACTGCTCTGCTCAATGAGCCTACCGCTAGCAGTTTCAGGTCTGTTGTCCGCGAATTGGTCCCCAGTAGGGTCAAATCTGTTGTCAGCAGATGGTTCAGTGGCCGTCTCGAATTGGTGGTCGGCATCAGCGTTCCGCTGTTCAGGAAATCGTCGTTGATGTCCCCTTGACGAGCAAGCGTCTTGAGATCTCCAAGTGTATCGTTGCTCCCATCGCTGGATGTCTCATGGCTTCCGACACTGCTGGACTTCGTGGCACAGCGTGCTCGCGCATGCCGTCATTGAATTCTGCGAATGAGGCCGGACCTGCATCATCATTAGACTTATCTGTCGCCTTGCGTTTGCTCACTGCCTCCTGCAAAGGGACTTCACGGCGACTTTGCTGATCGAGCAGCGTCAGGCTTAATCTCTGGATTAGTATGGCCAGAAACGACACGATCACCGGTGGTGTGCGGAGCACCAGCCAAGAATGGAGGAGAGCCAGAAGTATTTTCAGTCTGACCAGCTTGAGCAAGATTGCGATAACGACCAGTCCCCCCAGGCTAGGCAATATCGTGGTGAGGTCGCCGGCTGACTCGCGAAGATTGGCCAGCTTGTGGACGATCTTGCATCTCTCCACGGCTGCCATCCGCTTTGCGTCTCTCCTTGACCAAGTTCGCGATCGTCTCACCCTCTTGCTCGGAAAGACAATTGTCACGCGCGAAACCTTGCTTGGAGACTACAAAGGCATGTGTTTCTGTTACCAGACAAGTGTCGAGCTCTCTGACGGTCTGTACTGCAACTTCTCCATCCTGAAGCTTTCTGTCCGCGGGCCCACGCGCGGTGTGATAAGACCGAACTCAGTGAGTTGAGAGCAGTCGGAGCTTCGAATTGGAAACCGACGGGTTGAGTCGAGTTCTAGGCTTTCAGGTGCCGTTCTATACTCCCTTAGGCACTAACGTCGAAGAGGACGCTACAAAGCGTAGCTAGCACTTCTACGACGGCGCTAGAACGCAGCTGTAGGGATCGGCGTGCGGTTCCGAACCGCTTCCGGTAAGGCTATCGACCTTTACTCGTTTGCCTTTCAAATACTTAGAAAACAATATACCGCTCTGCGCGGACGCTTTTAGCTACGTTCCCATATCGCCCGCCGTATAAAATACGGCTATCGACCTTCTTGTTTTGAAGTCGTATTCGACGGTCCTTCGGTAGCTAGTATAGTTGGCTCTAGCTATGTCGTTAGTACCACGTTCTTCAGCGAGGTTTGTTGTGAACGAACGGTCACATGTATTGGCTGATACACTGGTCGGAGAAGTATATGAGCATCAGGTGGTGGTCATGTGGGAATCTAGGGTTTTGCATTTGACTCAGCGACATCTGCATCCGAACTTCTTATCAGAGTGTCCGTTCGACCAGAATCTATCACGACATCAACAAAGGGTCTCACATAACATCCGCACACGCCAGGCATGCACGTTCGCGTCTAGAGGAGGTAGTTCCCCTCCTTGGAAGCCGATACCCACACAGCAACGACATTTTCTAGGTCACTATGTCACGCACTCATAGACGTTCCTGCGGGGACACATTCGCTCTCCCAGCTCACGTGGAACCAAAGGCATGATGTGTGGACTCTCTCCGGCTGTACACTCCTTAGCCTGCACCGCTTCAACGAATGTGCAAAGCCATTGCTGACCACAACAGCTCCTTGCACCACGCCATTGACGGTACCTGCTGTATGGCCAGCCATGGCCGCGCTGTGCATCACACTGAAGATCCAACTTGAATCAAATGATGCTTGGTATCAAGAGTCGAGACTTCCTATAGAAGGCAGATGTCAGCATATTATGCGGCCTATGGCCCACATCATTTCTGGCTCACTCACTCACCAACGACAGGACCAATACTGCTGAACCTGCTCAAGCTGAGCACTAGGGCAACCATAAATCCTAGACATGTTAAGGTGTGAGTAGTGGAACAACGTGCAGTGTGCTAGGTCTCGCGCGCCCTTTGATGTACTCGCGTACCGGCTGAGGCACCTATTCCCATCTCATTCCTTCGGCGCCGTGGATATATTACGCGTGTTCCGCTCAGGCGACATTGAATGCCTTTTGTGCACCTGTCATAATCGTTGAGCCGATGATCGTTGGGCCGGCCTGCGAGCATTTGCGTGTCTCCAGTAGCGAGCCGTCCTGCAATATCTCGATTTCTAGTGTAGGAAAGCTTGGTGAGGCAAACGGGCGGTAATGTAGTTCCGCAGGCCAAAAGAACAGGAAAGAAAGACGGATAAGGCTGCCTTTCTCATCCTCTGACGGCGGCATGGGTTGATGTGCGTGGATAGGCACAGGGGTTCCAGGGATCTGCCGTCTCGTGATTGCTACGCGAAGAGTACAAGCATGATCGACTGAACTGTGGTAGCATGAGGTGTTGCATTGCTGTCATGAAATAGTGCATCTCGTAAAACGTATAGAATCGATCAGTTTTCAAACACCCACTGTATGGCTTCCTTTGAGCTTGACGCAAAACCAGGTCGACTTTCGCAAAGGAGACGGTCTCACACTCCGCACGGCGATCTATTCGATCCGGCAATTTTCCTTTTAGGCCGTATCGACAGAACTTTGCCCGTCACGACGACGTTCCTGTCGACGATTCAAATCTCTGCCGTGGAAAGCTCGCGGTGTTCGTTAGGGTACTCTGAGTGAGTCGGCGCATCTCGCTAGTCATGCGGATAATCATTCCTAGGTGCTCCAGTTCGGCATCGTCTGCCTTCCCGCACGGAGGTAAAGGTCCAGGAGGACGCCACTGGACCCAGACGTTGCCGTGGCTTGGCCGATCTTGCATTTTGGCTGGATGCAACTTGATATACATAGAACAACAAAAACACGAGCGCTTGCTGCATCCCACGTAGCGGTCATTGTTGACAAATTTTGCCCGTTGAGCATAGAACCAGTGTATGACGATGGCTTCGGCGTGAGGCTGACAATTTAGTGATCGATTGCTGAACCAACGCAGCAGACTCTTCGACTCTTTCATCGAATCGACCAGCGCCGAGCAAAGAGGCGTGCTACGAAAGTTTGGAAAGACTCTCAAAGCGAGCCTCTCGAGGTCCTCATCCAGCCTTGGCCTTGGTCCGGAGCTGTTACTAGCGTCAACGTCTAGAGACGCCACATGAGCCACGCGAAGAACGTCTGCGAAAGTCGACGAATGTCGAACGAGTGAGAGCGAAGCTTTGTGCCAGTAACCCAAGCGGCCGATGAAGTGGTGAATCCTGGAGAACCGATCTGCCGAGGGTTGCGCCATACGCATCCGCAGCAGGTTGTATGTCGGACTGTGACGGAGCTCATAAGCCCACGAGCAAAGGTCCCAAAGCCGATCGCAGCTGGGCATACGCCGGCCTATTGTTTCCAGGAGTTCGAAGTCTAGTAAAGTCAGCACTATGCGAAGCGTTGGAGAACGCCGAAGACGAACCGCCATCGAGTGTTGTGTTAATACCCAACAGGACATTGCGTAATCCGTTGTAGTAATTACAAATCTTCTCTTTGCTGCGTTCGATGGTATTAGAAGCGAGTGCTTCTGCCGTTGCAAGCTTTCCGCCGTCTGTGAGGTCCAGGCTTACTTTGAGCGAAGCGATCACTCTTCTCAGATGGACCTCAGCTTGTTCCCGGTGGGTCGACGGAGCACTCAGTCGAAAGACTATCCCGTCACCGAATTCTTCGGCGCCGATAGAGACCACAGTCTTACCCGCACGTTTCCAGTCACATATGAAGCAGAGATTGTCGAGAAATTTGTGCCACTCGTTGTACGCCCTCTGGGCTTCTCTTCCGGGGGCTATGCAGCTCGATGTCCCACAAGGCGTACCTGCGTGCTGCATAAGGCATTGAACAAAGAGGTTGTCATAGAAATCGCTCAAGACCGTTTCTGCATTCAGACGGATGATCGAAGCATTGTTATCGTGATCCATGGTTCATCGAAATGGGCACAGTGCATTAGGAGGACGAGGGAAGGCGCACATAAGACCTTCCGAATCGCGGGTCCTCACACTCCAGGGCGCTAATGCAGTCTTCTGCAGGCGCGGGAGACCACACGGGAGACTACACACTCGGTAAGCCGGCCGGCCTTCTGCAAGTTGTGCTCACATCTGCCTGTAGACTTCAACACAGACAACTTTGGAGAGGCTTAGAATCTTCGTGGGGTAGCTTTGGAATGATGGTGTTGCTACATCGACATAGTTCTCAACATTTTATAGGAAAATATTGAGACCATTGCATGCGTTTCTGGAGGCGAGGTGCTTCGCTTTCTTCTTCGTGCTGGCTCTGCCTTCGTACGTAGAACATCGAAATTGCACCACAGCTTCGAAATCTGGGGGCACTAGGGAGAGTTGCCTGATGCTGTAACAGGGCTGGCGACCTTCAGCATCGCCGACCTCCTTCAGGGTCATCGTATACCTGGGGAGGTTTGAGTCTTCTCCAGATGAGGAGTCTGTATATGCATCACGATCCACCGCGGTTCGTACATCATTTCCGTTTGATGGTCGGTCTGCACTGTTAGGCGGAGCGCGTGCCGCTCGACCTTCTTCGGCAAGGAAGTTCGAGATCCATTCGGATCGGTCGGTATTTCTCAACGCTGCCGACCCAAGTCCCACGACGCATTCGAAAAATTTGTCATCCTCGGACAGTGCAGAGGATGAGAGGCCATTCTGCAATCCGTTCTGCTGTAATTTTGCAAGGATATCCGAGTATGGGAAGGTTGCCACGGCCTGAGTGAGGGACCACTGCAGAAGACAACTTAGCCTGCGTTCGCACAAATACAAGCTCGCATCACTCACGTCAAGGCGACTGACGGGCATTGTGACGCAAGCGTCCTTCGCAATATTGCCCGCAAGGTATTGATACAAAAGTTGTCTGCCGTACCAGAAGTACAACGACTGTGCTGCTTCTTCTTGTCCGTCCCTGCTGAGGTATTCGAACTCAGACTCGCTTGGACCGTTGTTCTCCCCTCCATCCGTATCACTTTGAGTTGCACGAAGTATGAAAGGTAAAGCCATTGCTGATGAGTGCAGATGGTGTACACGAGCGGAGTTGAAAGTGCATGCAAGAAACGATCAATGAGAGGACAGTCAGGCATTATATGCACGGTGGTGGTCCGAGCCCGGTGTTCCGTGCGTATGCAAGACCATGTTGATACCCTTGTTCGGCGAGTAGCAGCCCGCGCGCAAAGCCAGCATGCACCATGCCAGACTCATGTGCGCAGTAGCTGCTATATTGCATGCATGGAACTTCAGGTAGCATTGTGGCAACTATGTTGTTCCAAGCATGGCATCAGGTATTCTCGGTGTTGAGGTTAGGTTACAGCGTGCATGAGCACGTCACCCTAGCCCAGTGGCTATTGGCTAGACTGAACTGGCCAGCCGCTAACGTACGTCAGCTTTACCGAAAGCGATCTCGCGACTTTCTTTTGCTGGCGCTGTACATATCTGAGCCAATATCGTGCGCAGGTCTACACATCCGCTGCCACGTCCGGCACACCTAAAAGTCTGGTATGTCTTGCATACATGCAGGGTACTTGGGCGACACGGTGGCGTGCGGCTCCCCATCCATCCACGAGCACAGTTCGGCGCTAAAATTCAGCGCGGAATAACAACGTCTCACGCTGCGTGCGCACCAGCTCACTTTTTGGATGATATCGTTCCTTCCTGGTGCCAGACAATTCCTTACCTCCCAACACTCATGGCAGCTCCACGGAAGTCCGTAGGTTCCATCGAGCGGATGGTAGTAGAGATGGGACAAGAGGTCAGTTAAAAACTACACGCTAGAGTCGCATGTGGGAACTTACCGCCTGCTCCTAGGGAGAAGAAATTGTCCTGGATTTGCTACGACAATTGTATGAACTTCGCAGTATCCGACCGTCCCTTTTCCGTCAGTCACCCTACTCAATCGAGCAGAAGGGGTCAAAGGATGCTGCGCGTGTGAGCAAGCTCCTAAAGAGTTGTCAACCCACAGATGAGGCAATACTATATCTCCGGCAACACAAAGAGAGGTGGATGCGCGAGCCAGGAGAGTTCTGGAAGTTTCAGAACTCAACTTTCCCGACTGGACGTTGTCTCATTCCGCAGGCAAAGATAGCAGGTCTTTACGTCGCTGCCATGCGTTTAGACATTTAGTCACGCATGGTGAAGCGCCTGACCTCGATCATGCTTTACGAATACCAAAAGTCCTCTGACTCGATCCCTCTAGACACCATTGCAGTCTCGATGTGCGAATGCGATCAGCCCAATCTCGACTTTGCCCATTCCTTACAAGTGCTGAAAAGCATGATCGAAGAAGGGAGCCGTTTCGCCAATTTGGAAAGAGTCCTCGGCCAGGGTGCAGTGTTCGTCATGTGTCACCCTGGCTCCGATGCGCTGTAAGTCACTTCCCTTCATCGGTCACGATAACCTGGATTGACATCGCAGGGGCACCAAATTGCTCCCAAAGGGAGGCAAAAGGTTTAACGAGGTGGTTGGAGTGCTTCGGGATGCAGGCGTTCACACTTTGGCGGAGGAGTACGCCGAGCTCCGCCATTCTGTCATCTCCTGGTATCACGATCACGTGTTGACAAAGGATCTTCAGAGTGATCTCGGGCGCACTCCTCTGCCATCGAGCGTTTACACGGAAGTAGAGCGGGCGGATCTCCTCGACAAGCACTTTGATCAAGATCCATGTCTAGCACCAGCTCCACCGTCTCTGTTTGACCTTTCGAGCGATGACTGAGGACACGAGGCAGGAGGATCATGATGGGTCGCTATGAGTGAGCGTATCAGGTCTAGTTATCAAGTTCAACGTCTTCGAGGCTTTGCAAAATTCTGTTAGCAGATCCCGCACGTCTTGAGCGGATCGGCGGTCTATCTGGAGTAAGTCGCTGCGTGGGCGGTGGGTGCCGCTGCAAACTTGATTACCGACTCTCAGGACCTACTGCTCAGCCGTTGTAGCAGTATGCCGCATCATCCCCTGCCTGTAAGCTGACAAGGCCGTTGTTTCCGTGCGTTTTGCCGTCGTTGTTGACCGGCATGCATATAAGCATGCTGTCTCAGCACCTCGAATGTGACTTTACGTCTTGTGACGGTCTTAACAGAATGGAAGACCTATCGCAGCAGATTCGCACCCTACGGCTTGGACAAGCTCGTCCACCGAGAGTGAGACGAGCACTTGACCTCTCTGCATTGGCAGCCATGATGGGCTTGGACACGGCCGAGACGCAAATACTTGACGACGTGATCTTCCTCTGCGTGGACTGCGAAGCCTACGAGCGGGCTCAACATAAGGTCACAGAAGTTGGGGTTGCCGTCCTTGATACCCGGCGTATCGAACAGGATGGCTCTGGCTCTGATCCGACCACGATTGCCTCTGCGATGCAGCACGCACACTTTCGACCTGTTGAGTACTCGCATCTGGTCAATGGGAGATTCGTAAAGGGCTGTCCGGACTCTTTCGGTTTCGGACGAAGCACTTGGATAAGGCTTGCAGACGCACCACAACTGCTGGCTCGCATCTTCTCCGACCCTTCTAAACTCTCCCAGGCGGCAGCATTCGATACGCCTTGGCCAGAAAAGCGCAACGTGGTGCTTGTCGGACACGGGCTTGCGAATGATGAGTCGTATATGCGGCGACTAGGTTTCGACATGCACGATATCAGCAATATCATCGGTTACGCGGACACGCAAAAGCTTGCAGGAGTGAACATGATCGCGTTGACGAAGATTCTGACTGGCTTAGGCATACATGCCGTGAATCTCCACAACGCTGGTAACGACGCAGCCTACACATTGCAAGCCCTGACGAGGATGGTGACTACGGAGCTTGGGCAGGTGGGAAGCGTCGAGAAGCGACTTCGTCAGATTACAGCGAAGCCTCCGGAGGTACATACAGATTTGCCGCGAGCAGAGTATGTCTGGGGCGGGACCTGCTCTCCTGGCGATGAGAGACGTGACGGTCCATCGCGTCCTCGAAAGGCGAAGCGCAAGATGAAGAAGGCCACCACAGAGCGTAAAAATCTTGCAACCTAGGAGCGATGGCGGGCCTCGCCAAAGAACGAGGGTTGGACATGAGGTATTGAGATGCCGTTAGCTGCTAGTGCGAGCGCATAGAAAACAAGGCACATTCACTAGCACGATCTCGCGCGACCTTCTGAAAGGAGAAGATAGTCTACGGTTCTAACTTATGCCAAGAAGTAGTAACGCCGATTTTAAGTACGTCGCCTGGTATACGTATATGAAGTATAAAGATAAGCAATTAGAGAGGCTAAACTACTAACACCTAAATACTCGTTTCACGCGTAGTAAATCTCTATAGCTAAGTGCTAGCATCAGGCGCGCGTAGCGCATCCTGAAGGAACATCGAGTCGGAGCTGTCGTTTTCCTAAACACTACCGTGCTACTTCGTGATAAGATAAAAATTGCCGAGAATTCCCTAGCCTACTCCAGTTGGCTCTGTCCTATGCTCCTCAAGCAACTCACGGTCCAGGGTGCAGGACCAATCTGAAGCGCAGCTGTTAACGCTTCAAGATCGGGAACTCAGAATCAGGCAATATATTGGTTACTAGTAGCTACTAAGAGCTCATACTACTGTTGACTAGCTAATTAAAAGGCCTTGCTACAGATGTTATCAGTTAACAACCATTAACTACACTAATAAAACCCGAACCAACAAGACCACTAGAGCAGTCGAAGTACGTAGTAGGAAGAGGGAAAATGGTCTGAATAACTTGTACTACTACGGAGGTATTTGTCCTTCGATTTCCCACGTGCATTATCTGCAGGAGGTGTTAGACCACGACAAAGAGACAACACTTACCTGTCTCAGCGCTACAGGTAGCAAGCGAGACGGCATCGACTCCATTGTCCCCTTAGAGCGATGCAGGCTCGAACTCCTGGTTATTGACGGCACTGTGATACTTGGCTGCGAAGCATTGAGCTCCCGTCGAGCATGCCGAATAGTTCGACGGGCTTCGAAGCAATGCCGTGGTCTGTTGTGGACCGTTGTCAGCCGCGGGGGAGATTACGCGTGATAGCAGCGGTTGAACTGTATGCTCGTGCTCGCTCATGGCGGAAGAAGAAACATTGAATGCAGGAAAGGAGAGCGCACCGACCCTCTAGGGAAAGAAAGCCAGTGGCAAGCGGGACAGGCAAAGGACTCTCATCCGATTTTGTGCTCATAACACCATTACCCCTTCTCCCCATCCGTACCACTCCATTTCCACCTTCACCTCCCTCACAACCTCCCCATCGCCCTCGCCAAAACGTACTTCCCTCACGCCGGCGCCTCCACCACAGAGAACCCCTTCAACGTAGCACACTTGGCCTGCGGCTTCTCAAAATACGCCTGATCGACCTTATACCCAAACACATCGCTCCACACCGTCTTCCCCTTGACCGGGTAGAAAGCCTTCAAAATCGCCACCTCGCCTTCGAGATGCACGCCTGCGAAGGCGCCTTTGCTGACTTTGGTGGCGGGCAGGCGGGTGACGGCGTCGCATTTGCCGTTGCTGGCGGACGAGAAGAGGGGTTGGTTTGTGACGTTGCGCCAGCTACACGCAGCAGAGTTAGTGGGGGAAGAGAGGGGTGGGAGAGGGGAGGGCGTACAAGTCGGTGCTGTAAGGGGACGAAGCAGTCGGGTCGAAACGGTACGCGATGCTCGGGTTACTGAGATCGGTGTTCGTGTTCGCCCAGGCCGCTTGGTCGATGCCGCGCTGCGCGGGCGGGAGGGCGAGGTTCGCGGTGCCGTTCTCGTACTCGTAGGCGTTGCAGGAGGCCGTGAAGCCTGGGGCGACGATGCCGCCGTAGGTCTGGAACTGCGCGATGGTGTCGGTGGCGGCCGAGGAGATTATCACGGCCTGGTTGTAGAGGAAGGAAGAGTAGCCGTCGTTGAGGCGGTCGACGAAGGGGAAGGAGATGGAGGCGCGGTTGAAGTCGGCGCTAGGGCCGGCGGCGACGCCGTTGTGGTAGAGGTCGTGGTTTTGTTCCATTTGGAGGAGGGCCTGCGATCTCGTTGTTAGAATAGTAGGTCCTCATTATGGAGAGGCGGATCGATGGACGCACCGGGTACTCATCAGCCGCCAGACTCGGCAGCCAGGCCCTATACTGCTCCTCCAAAATCGGGTACTGCGCCGGGATGATGCCGCGAGCAGCGGTAAGCTTGATGGGCAGGATGGCGACGGTACCGTTGACCGTGCCGGTGGTCTTGTAGTTCTTGTACTTGTTCATCTTGCCGATGGGGTTCGGCTGGACGGCGTCCGCTGGGTCGCAGTGGCCCTGGATCTGGGCTGCCACGAGGGGCGCCAGGAGGGCGGCGGTGGTGAAGAGGGAATGCATTTTGCTGGTCTTTTGCTGTTGCTAAACAAGTGTGTGAAGTGGGTAGGGAGTAAGGAAGGAAAAGGAAGTGACTGAGATAATCGAAGAAACAACTCTTCTGCTTGATGAACACCAGACGGGAGTACGAAATTTGGAGAACGAGGCAAGGGCATCTATATACAGACAGCGCCCTCATCTCCCCACCTTACCTGTTCCTGTCAGATCGCCAGTAGTGCGTCAGGGCGGCATCTAGAAGAGACAATAGCGCCATCGCGGCCATTTCGCGCACCCCTGCTCGGTCGAATGAGGTCGCGAAGCCTCGTGTCATGAAACCCGAACGACGGGACGCCTGCCTTCAGCCCCATCGTGTCGCCTGCCGTGTTTATGTCCCAGACGCGGGACATGAACACAACAGGCAAAAGCAAGAAGGGATGAAGAGAGAAACAAGAACGAATCGAGATGCTTGGACGCGCTGCTTGTGCGAGGCTTCGCCCGCCCCGAATCCTGGAGAAGGGGTCTGGCCGACGAACCGAAGTGCCGTGGCTGGCGCAGACCCCCTTTTTCGAGGCTCTTTCTAGAGCGCTTCTGGACTGTGGGCAATAAATGGCTTCGTATTTGTTCCAATTCCTGGGAGAGGCTGAGATATATTTGAGAATGTCTGTCTGCGACTGCCAAGTTGGGCCGTTGTCAGTGCCGTTTTGAGTTCGGGGTGAGCGAAAACGGCTGTGGAGGTGAGACAAGACCGGATGAAAGCTGGAAGAGGTCTTTGACTTCGACAAGTTCTACTGCGATAACATCCATCAACATCATCTAGCAGATGGCACCGTAAGGAAAGGTCATGTCTCGCGATGAGTATACGACCTGGGTAGGAATGCTACCTGTCTTCAATCACAAGGACGACACGGGAGATCTCGGACACAAGAGGTAGGGATGGTAAGACTCATTGCTCAGCTTGACCGTCGTACTTTCGTACTCTCGTATGTGCGCCGCTGTTCCACATATTCCGTTTAACAAAGGAAGATGCAGTGAAACTCGCAATATCTGTATGACTTGGTCTTGTCCTACCACCACCGTCATGTCAGCAACACTGACCCGCATGGCCGCCGCCAGCCTCCGCGCAACATCACGCTGCCGCATCCACGCAGTACCAGCGCACACCAATACTGCCCGTGTCACAGTGAGACACATGTCCGAATGCCGCAACCCCCCACCAAAGAAAGGGCAGCAGCAGCGTCAAACGCCACAGCATGGCCAACCGGAGATGGTGCCCAAGACGCACTTTCGAGCGATGTTCGAAGGAGCCCATCCGTTGGTCAAAGGAGTGGTCTATACCATGGTTATCGTGATGGGCACGGTGGAGACGTATACTTATGGGCTTTGGGCGTGGCATTACTTCTACCCGAGAGAGGGGTTGGATGGCCAAGGGGACGAGGGAGAGGGTGCCGTTGGTAGATGAGGAGAGAGCACTGGACTGCTTTCTGAATCTTTGGCGACGATACGCTCTCCGCTCAATGCTTCCCTGGGACGGGATGGCCTTGCTGTCTGCAGCATCCAGGGGTTGGACAGGACGAGATGGCTGCTCGTTCTTGAGCCTTTCGAAGCGAAGTTTTTAAACGGGAGAGGCTAAAGCGACATGGAAACTCCCCGTAATATGATTTATACTATACTGTATCTATATTCACGAAGGAAGACGACTCAGTCATCAATTCCTTCCTCTCCCTCTCCCTCCACCCAATCTCACCCCGCGTCGTCATCTCTCGTTCCCCACTCAGCTTCCAAACTTCCTCAGATGTAGCCGAATGAAGATAACCACCATTTCATCCACCTCCAATTCGCATACCCCCTCCAGTCTACATGCGGCTCGTCAGTAATGCTAGAGTCCGCCGGCGCCTCGAGCGATGACAACCCCCATCCAGGCGCACGCAGCATTACCGACATCACCTCGCAACAACCCCCGCTACCTCTCCCCGAACTATGCGCCCAGATTCACGACCGAGTCCACGCCTTCTTGAATGCCGAGCCGAAAGATGACAGGGTCAGAGCGGTACAGAGACAAAGTCGGATAAGCCTGGGAGTCATCGAGGAAGCGCTGAAGCGGTACAGGTGAGTAAGCCCAAAGCGATACCACATCCACAGCAACCACTGACACACCACCAGCCCCGCCGAAATCTCCCTCTCCTACAACGGCGGCAAAGACTGCCTCGTCCTGCTCCTCCTCTACCTCTGCGCTCTCCACACTCACCACCATCCCCACCCCTCCACCTACCCTTCCACCCTCAACAGCGTCTACATAATCCCACCCCACCCCTTCCCCGCCGTGTCCTCCTTCGTCACCGCCACCGCCAGCACCTACCACCTCACACTCACCCGCCTCGCCCTCCCCATGCGCGAAGCCTTCACCGCCTACCTATCCTCCAACCCCTCCATCCGAGCGATATTCGTCGGCACGAGACGGACGGATCCTCACGGCGCCGAGCTCACGCATTTCGACCCCACGGATCGCGGGTGGCCGGAGTTCATGCGCGTGCATCCGGTGATTGACTGGCGGTATGCGGAGATTTGGACGTTTATAAGGGAGCTGGGGGTGGAGTATTGTGGGTTGTATGATGAGGGGTATACGAGTTTGGGGGGCAGGGAGGATACGCATCGGAATCCGGCGTTGAAAGAAAGGGAAGGGGAGGGATTTAGGCCGGCGTATGAGTTGGTGGAGGATGGGGAGGAGAGGTTGGGGAGGGATTGGGGGGAGGGGCGGCCGTAGGCAAGATGGGGGATAGATATGGATTGGACTGTGTGTATACGGGTGGAGAGGACCATGTATAGACTCTATATTGGCCAAATGCTGCAATGCCAAACTCCTCTCAGCCAAAGCCCTAACCCTCCGACACCATGCTATCCGAATCCTAGGCTCTCACCCAGCAGCGTTCCTAGCAGCAGCCTCCTCACTCGCCTTCCTCCAACTCGTCCTCCAAATAAACAACCCCTCACTCCCCGCCTGCACGCACAATCCAATCGCCGGCCCCGCCCACAACCCATACAGCTCCCAACCCAACCCAAACCCCGTCCCAAACGAAATCGGCAGCGCCACCACATAGAAAGCCACCAGACTCGCTATCCCACCTACACTCTGCTTGCCCAGCCCTCGCATTACGCCGTTGCACTGCGCAGCGAGGCTGTCGAAGAGCTGAAACGCCGCATTAATCGGTAAGATCTTCGCCGCCAAATCAATAACCTCCTGATCCCCCGTGAACAACGTAGGAACCCAGTGCCGCCCCAAACTCAACGCAAGCATATTCGCCACCCCAATCAGCGCTCCGCCGACAAACATCACCCTCGCCGTCACCTTCGCAGCATCCGGCAAACCCGCCCCGATCAAGTTCGCCACCCGCGTACTCCCCGCTATCGCCAGCGGGAAAGGGAAATTATACGTAAACACCGACAAACTCTGCAGGACCGTGTTAGCAGCCAGGTGCGTTGCGGAGAAGTTCGCGGCGGCGAGGGTGAGGATTTCGAAGGCGAGGAATTCGGCCATCACCATTACGAGGCCCGGAAGAGCCAGCCGGATCATGGGGCCCCAGTTGTGGAAGATTGCGCGGGTGGGGGTGGGCCAGCATTCGAGGCTGGTGGGGTGCAGGAGGACGTAGGCGGCGAGGAGGAGGGGGAGGAGGGTTTCGGTTATTACGATGGCGATTGGGCAGCCGATGAAGCCCCAGGACAGTTTCTGCGGTGGGATAGCTGTCAGGACCTGGACACGTGAGGGCAAAGGGGAAGGGAGGGGAGGACAGGCCTACCCAGACGAAGAGCCAGTGCAGGAACACATTCAACGGTGCGGCGATGAGCAGCACATACAACGTCGCAGCAAACCGCCCCTGCGCCTGCACATACCTCTTCCCACTCTCAAACGCCGCATACCCCGGCGCCCCCAACACCAACACCCTCAAATACCGCCCCGCCAACACCGCAATCTCCTTCTCGGGAACAATGCGCATCAAAATCCCCTCCGCACACACCCACACCACCCCAATCGGCACCGTCACCACCCACAAGAAAACCACCATTCGCTGCAGACTCAGCCCTACAAGCGTCTTCTTCCCACTCCCGTACGCTTGCGCGCATAAAGTGTCGAGGGAGGTAGACAGTCCGTGGAAAACGGCGTAGCCGGTTATATTCGCCGTCATGGTCCCCAAGGACACGGCCCCGAGGGCTGTCGGGGATATGTGGCCGACGGTGAAGATGGAGGTCAGGGTTAGGCTGTTTTGGAGGAGGAAGGTGAGGATTAGGGGGAAGGCGTAGGAGAAGAGGGTGCGGGTTTCGCGGGAGAAGGTGGTGGTTAGGGAGGCGGACGTGAGGGCGGATTCCCATTTTTGGGCGAGGGCTTCGGGGTCGGTGGGGGAGGGGGTGAGGGTTGAGAGGAGGGGGGTGGACTCCAAAGGATCCGAGGGAGAAGGTCCGTCTGTCGAGTTGTGCTGCTTTGTAGTAGAGTGGTGAGAAGTATGGCTAGCCCGCCGCTGGGAGTGCTGTGGCGAGATGAGATGGTTGTCCTCCAGCAATGCTCTCTCCTCTTCGAGGGCCGTATGGCGTTCTTCCTTGCTGGGCTCGACAAGCTCGGATCCGGAAGAAGCGAGGCCCAAGAACGGGTGTGGGCCACTGGGGACAATGGAAGGCTGTCTGTTCTTGCCACCAAGCGAGTGTTGCGTTATGGTGACATTGGTGGAAGGAGAAGAGGGTGTTGCATCTTCTGCTTCTTCGGCGACATCGCTGTCTTCGAGATCTCGGGCAATGGACTCTTGAGCAGTTGTTGATATGCTTTGCTGTGTGTGCTGAGGTGGAACTTGGCCGGAAGTGTTGTGTCCCCGTGAAGGGTCCTCGTTCTCTGAGTTCATACCGGAAGTCTCTTTCTGTCAAACAAGGCCAATAGGAATACGGTTTCCAGTTATGCTTTGAAGGACTCTGTGGCCATATGGAAGGCACTGCAGTTCTGAGCTTCTTGATCACACATATAGCAAAAGCGAGATAATGGAGAAACTGAAGTAAGACAACAAACCAAATCACACCTACGTTTGCCGGGCAAGCTCTTGTCTTGCATGCACATGCATGTTCACATGGAGCGGTGACCGAGCTACCTAATCGCTTGGAGAACAGAGCTGCAACGGGTGCTTTAGCTGCTGTGAGTCGGAATTGTTGAGTGGGTGAGGTCGAACTCCGCACTGCAGACGGGACGGAAGCGAGTGAATGCCGCCGAAAGGCTTGCCCGAATGAGGAAGGTAGATGGCATGGCAGGAGCTACGACATATTTGAGAGCCGTGGGTTTGGAGGGACACAGCAGATTCCACATGATGATGGGAGAAACTGAGCTACCGTGAAGAAAGGTCCAGCACGGTCAAGGAGCCGGGCGTTATTCGTCGGTCCACATGCATTCCTCTCATATCAAGCACTATTTGATTCTCTACTAACGCCCTTGTTACATAATCACCGAAGTGTCTACTTCCTCAAGCATATCACTCCTCCCGCTGATCCTCAGACTCCTCGCATTGACCCAAAATGTCCGGAGCGCAACCCATCATCGAAGCACACATCGTCCTCTCACCGTGAGGCCCGTAGTAGCAGCTGAGCTGCGCACCCTCGAACGGCTCATTCTCGTCCCCTCCGCTCACTGCGTCCCTGGTAATAATTACGCTGCCCTTGGTCTGCACCCTCGTCCCCGCCGGCAACAGCGCCTCACACCCCTGCGGAATACAGGGCAGGTTTCTGAGCTTAATGCCCAAACCCGAATGGTACTTCAGATACCGATGGGCTTGCTCGAGGCTGTACGGGCAGAAGTCCTTTTCGCGGTACAGATACCTCGTGCCGTATGTAGGGCAGTTGGTCAAGAGTTGCTCGTAGGTGTCGCGCTTCTCGATGGCTCCGTCGGACTCGGCGATTGCGAATGGGCTGTATTCGAGAGTGGACAGTGCGGGATGCGGCTCAGCGGTGGCTGAGTGGTATGCCTGGACTGGCTCGGATTCGGAAGTGAGAGGTGTGGGCTCCAGCTCAGGGACGGCTTCATCGGATTCCTGGCCTGGATTGAATTCGGAAGTGAACAACAGTGTGGCCTCGGGCTCCGTGGGAGATGCGTCCGTACCAGTGGGTCGGGCGTCGAAAGTGAACAGTACGGCCTCGGGCTGTGTGGAGGATGCGTCCGCACCAGTAGGTAGGGCATCGACGGTCCGTGCTGGTGCGCCGGCCTCCTCACGTTTCGTGAGAGTGAGGGTGGTGAAGGTCTCGGGGTTGTAGCTATACGGCATCCAGATCCAGGTACGGGGGGGACGGGACGTCGTCTGGGGCCTGCCGGGCAGGAAGTGAGCGATCTCGGGGCTGAATGGCCAGGCTGCGACGTCCCCAGCCTCTCGCTTCTTATGGGGCCACTCGTTGGAGTCGCCTTTGGTCACATAGACACCGCGGGAATAGTAGCCCCCGGCAGGATAATCGTCCGCGGCGGAATAATCGTCCCCGGCTGGAGAGGCCTCGGTGGGCGCAGGAGTGGCTGTCACGGTGACGGTTGGCATGTCGACAATACACTTAGTACCGATTCCGGGGCACATGGTCCTGATGAACGGCTCGGTCCACTCCTCATCATCGCCAGGCGATTGGTTCAAAATCCCAATCCAGGGTCTGCAGGCGGTCGTAGTAGGGCTCGGGCTGGCACTCGGGCTGGCGACAACCATGGTGGACGAGATCGAAGAAACGTCTTCAGCAGTCGTCTCAGGGGTGGTACAACCCATTACGTGGTCCTCGTGGGGACAGTGGTTGCGCTTCTCCAGGGCCTGGGCAGTAGGAGCGGCCTTCCCGGCCTCCGTGAGGGCCTTGAGTGGTCTGAGGAGGTGTCAGTGCGGGTTTGAGGAGCGTGCCGGAATGGGGGAATACTCACTGTGCGCCAACCAAGGCGGTAGTTGCGAACGCAGCGAAGAAAGTAGAGTACTGCATGGTCGCTGCAAAGGAGGTGCGAGGATGGCGCTGTGAGTGCTTCTATGCGGAAGCGGTTTGAGAAAACGAGTGCGGACGGTGTGGGAGCGAGCTGTGGATGTCTTTTCTTCTCAGAGAGGGGGGGCGACCATACTTATGCAGAGGCCTCTTACCCAGAACTTCATGAGAGTTCAAATACGTGATCTGCTCGAGAGCAAAAAGGCAGCTTACCTTCGGCCAGTCGAGAGTAAGGCAATTGAAATCCTGATGGATCAAGAACTTGGAAGGCTTACCTGTCTTCCAGTGGTGTGATGCATGAATCTTCTTGGAATTTGGGCGAATGATCAAGCGAAAGTGTGGTAGGTAAGTGGTAATCCCGGTAGTTGGAAGTCTTGTTGCGAAACTTAGTGTTGATATACCACTCTACCGGGAAAGTCTGCTTGCCTTAGTAAGCCATCTTCCACATCCGCCGCACTCAACGCCTCTTGAACCCACCCCCTCAGTACTCGCCCGGCATCTTGACCTACGCGCGCTCGTCACGGCCGTGCATCCCGAACACGTGCCCGAGACCACGCCCAAAATCATTCACCCCCTTCACCAGCCATTCCGGCAGGGCGCGCTTGACAACTGGAACCGCGGCGTCACGCCCTTCGAGATTCTTGTGCGCATGATGGTCGTGCTTGCCGTATGGGTGGCCGGGATGGTGCTTCATCTTCTGCAGCCAGTCACCGAAGCCGCGCTTGACGACAGCGGGATGGCGCTCTTCTTTCTCATCCTCATCCACGATGATATACTCCACAACCTGCTCCATCCCCTCCTCCACTCCTGATCCAGCCATCTCCTCCGCGACCTCGCGGCCAGCACGACTTGACGTTGCCTCCACTACCTCAGCTGCTTCATGCGAATGGCGGCCATGCTTGCCGAGCCTCTTCCCCAGCTGCCCGAGCCCCTTCACTACGCTCGAAATCCAGCCATTGGCTCCGCGCTTGGCTGGGGGCACGGAGACGGGGTGCCCGACGGGGAATGGCTCGAGTGAAGGTGGGAAGGGGAGTGGACCGATATTGATGGGAGGAGGTAGGTCTGGAATGCCATTGCCATTGGCATCCTCGTTCGTAGTAGGAGTCGGATGATGCGGCGCGCTGGGAATGGTCGGGTAAGGAAATGGACCGAGGGGACGAAAGTCTGAGACAGGGCCTTCGTTCGTCGCAGTAGGGATCGGATGATGCGGCGCGGTGGGGACGATGGGGAAAGAAACCGGACCGTGGTGATCAAAATCCGGTCTAATCTGGTGGAAGTCGTCCCTCTTGGCGATGGGACCGGCAGTGGGAACGAGCTTCTCCCTGCCGAAAAGGTCCTGCTCGACTGGGCTGCGGTAGTAATGTGGTCAGCAGCGGTCTTGCGAGTTGGGAGATGAGGCGTGGGAGGGTGGGAATGATGAGGGGAAAGGACAGTCAGCACTGATGGGTCAAAGGTTCTCCAAGACACGATGACACCACAACTGACGCGCTGAGAGCTTTTCAAAGCCTTCTTCGCCATCGAGAAGGGAGGACGTACCGAGCATCGACACCGATGAACACCGTGGTAGTTGCAAAGGCAACGAAGATGGTGAACTGCATGATTGCTGTTGCGTTAGTGTTGCTACTGCGCTGTCAGTCAACTGATTGAAGTCACATGTGATGGATGTTCAGCGTACCTGGATTGGAAGTGATTCTTGGTAGTGGTAGTGGTTGTGGGTGTGATTGAAGTCAAAAGTAGGTGAGTAGTGGATGGAAGTAGTATGAGATCAGAGAATACCGAACGAGAAGAGAACAACATGAGCGGGATGCGAGGCCTACTTATACAGAGATCCCGTACAGCATAGATCAAAAGAGTTCTTCGAGTAATCTATCGTCAGTAAAGTTCAGGCAAGTTGAAGGCGGCGAACTTTAATAATCGCTGACCTGTAGCCGTCGAGGAGGTGGACTTGCGACCATGTAAGCTGGTTTCCGAAAATGCGTGATTCGTGGTCCTGGTGTCGTTGCGCGCGAACTCTGCTGTATACGTTGCCGGCCGTCCAAGTCCTGGAGTGTGGTAAGCAAGTTCTCGAAGAAGTTTTCTGTGGATGACTTGGGTAAGCAGCCCAACGTTACCAGTTACGCGGAACAAGACCCTTCTGGTGTTGATATGCCCTTCCATCTGACAAAACAAGAGGGTTCGAAAGAGGAGATTGACAAGAGGTCAGTGTGTCCGCTCCGGCCGCTTGTCGAAATATGTAGACGTCGGTCGGTCTGTACATCTCTACCACATCTATAACTTCGATTGCGACTTCTTCCTATACAACGAAAACACACCAGCCTACACGTCCCCGTCAGCCACGACTCAAGACCGTCGATGCATAACAGTCGCCGCAGCCTGCGCCCCCACATCAGCACCCCCTCGTCCCCTCTATTAGAACTGGCACTCACCTGATGGTTCGGAAAAACAAGCATATCCGCCACAACAACATTCTCCCCCCTCCCGGCAACAAAAACCACCGTCTCCGCAATGTCCTCTCCCGTCAAGGCCGTGACCCCCTTATACACCGCGTCCGCTTTACTCTGATCACCTCCGAACCGCACGAGCGAAAACTCCGTCTCAACCTGTCCGGGGTCGATCTCCATGATCCGGATCCGTGTCGCGATCAACTCCTTTCGCATAGCGTCGGTGAACGAGCGCACAGCGGCTTTGGTGGCGCAGTAGATGGAGCCGCCGGGGTAGGGTTCGCGGCCGGCGATGGAGCCGATGTTGATGATGTCGCCTTGGCCGCTTTCTCCTCGCGACTTCATGACGGCAAGACAGGCTTGGGTCATGTTGATCAGGCCGGTGACGTTGGTTGCGAACATCTCGTTCATGTCGGGTTCTTTGATATCCCCCGCCTTATCCACACCTTTCACCATGCCCGCGTTGTTGACCAATACGTCAATGTTCTGGAACTCTTTGGGCAAGTCCCCAACGAAAGAGCGCACGGAGTCGGCGTTCCCAATGTCCAGCTGCACAGGGTGGATCTTGACTCCATCTCCAACTTCCTTTTTGATTTCTTCAGCGAGCTCGGTGAGTTTCTCTTTGCGGCGGGCGGTGAGGACGAGTTTGAGGTCTTTGGGGGAGGTGCGGGCGAATTCGACGGCGGTCGCTTTGCCCTATGGCAGATGTTAGTGAGGAGTTCTGAGTGCTGGGTTTGCGCTGCATGAGACAGACGATGCCGGATGAGGCGCCAGTAATAACAATAGTCTTGCCCGCGAGGCGCTTGCCCATGGCGGTCGTCATGGTGCGCGTGGTGTTGGGGGTGAGGAGGGGTTGGTATAGCCGAGTTGAATTGGGTTGCTTGAGGCTTTTTATTGTAGATCTGAGGGTACGAGGAAGAGCCAGTCGATTGAGAATGGACATACGAAAGAGCTTGAGACAGAAGGAAAAGATTTTGATGTGGACAAGATTCAATGGCGGGTAATGTGTTGTTGCTCGGCCATTGAAGGGGACTGGAGCTCGAGTGGGGTCACAGAGGTGTTGGCCGATGACGGCATAGGTGAATTGTATAGGCGAAGTAATTGCCGACGACAGCACTTGTATGAGAGTACAGAGATGCAGAGGGCGCAATCATTGATTCGTTGTATCGTTATTCCGTCGCTTCGTTGTAATCGTAACTCATTCAGAGTCCAGCAAGAACAAGCAAGCCTCCCCCATCAGCCCAGCGCAGCTTCCACTCCCAAGTTCCCTCCCATTCCTCTCTCGCCATCTCAGACACCACAATCCGCCCCAACGCCCTCCACTCCCACCCCCCCATCCCCCTCCCTCTCCTTACAATCACACCCCCACCGCACCCTAAACTCCCAAGGCGCCAGCCCCTCCAGCCTCCCCAGCGCCTCTTGAGCAGCCCTCAACCGCGCATACCGCCCACTCTTCCCCTTCGAAAAAGCCACCACAGCCTTATGCACCAGCACCGCGGCCACGACATCCTTCCGTTCAACCTCCACTCCGTCGGCGCCGGGAACTTCATGGGCCATGAGGCGGTACTCCTGGCAGCCGTAGGTCGTTTGCATGAGGTTGTGGAGGTGGGTGCACGGGTGGTTGTTGGCGAAGGAGTCGTAGAGGGACATGTCTTCGAGTACCACGCGATGTGCTTGTTGAAGAAGTCGAGCACGACGCCGTAGTCGAAGTCGGAGTCGATGAACATCGCGCCTACGTAGCTCTCGACAATATCCGGCAGGCACTTCGGTGGGTCAGAGACGGTGGTCCAGTAGTCCCTCGAATCGCCAGCCGTACGTTTAGCTTCCAGCAATTCAGTAGCGTACTCACGAATCTGGTGTTCCAGGGTCTCGGAGGCGTAGCGCAAATGCCGGTGGAAGCCGATGTTGACGCACACGGCGCCGAGGAACTTGTTGCCGACCATGGCCATTTTGTGCTCGGTCAGCCAGCCCGGGTCTTTGTTGTGGAAGCGGTAGAAGAGGTGCGTGATGCTGGCTTGGTCAAGGAGGGCGTCGCCGAGGAACTCGATGCGTTCGTAGCTGGGCACGCTTTCGTAGGAGCGGGGTTGCGAGGGGTGCATGAAGGCGGAGCGGAGGAGGCGGGGATACTTGAAGTGGTAGGGGTGTTCGAGTTCGACTTTCTCTGCGAGGTCGCGTTGGGAGGCAGTGGAGTCTGCTGTCTGGAACGCGGGCTTGTTGTAGGCGGCGCGGTAGCCGGCCCAGTTGTCCATGGCGTGGTCAGGCTTGTCGACCAGCTTGGTGACAGCGCGGACTGCAGGGTCAAACTGCTCTGGATTCCACTTCTCGTCAAGCTTATCGTGGCTGACAAATGCCGCACCGATCAATGCTTCACACACATCGGCAACAGTCTTGTCACCCAGCGAATGCTTGATCACTGCAGTCGCCTCGTCCTTGTTCTTGCCTTTGCCCTCAAGCAATTTCAAGCCCTCAGGGTACCACGTCCGACGTGAGAAAGCCTGGCTGCGCACGTACTGCATCAAGTCCAGCTTCTGAGCAGTCTCGAAGAGGTTCTTGTTGCACAGCATCAGCATGCGAATGACGTGCATGTCCGCTTCAACATCGCTTGGATTCTGGATGTAGGTCGAGATCGTCGTAGCAGTCTTCAAGAACGTATCGCCAATGAACTCCAGCCGCTCGTAGTTCTCGCCCATGCCGCGCTGAAAGTTGATGCGCTCCTCGCCGTGCTCGCCGCTATTGTCGGCGTCTTTGGTAACAGCCGCCAACGCCATCTCGGGGATGCACTTCACGCCCACCACATCGCAAGCCTCCAGCGCGATGAGGTAGGATTCCAGCCGATGGATGATGGCGGGAAACACGAAGCAGGACGTCACCACCTCAGGCGGCAGCATCGAGATGATCAGCGGCTCCGGGCAAATGTACGCCAGTCCACTCGGCCTCTCTTTGTTATCCTTCGCATCGGGAGTCGCCAGCTGGTTCAACCGCAACCACAGCTTCTGTGCTCTGAGGACAGGCTGGTTCGGGTGCCACGTGCTCATCTCCTTCTGCTTCTTCCACAGGCTGACGGTATTGTTGATGATGGTAGTAGCTCGCTTCTGCTTGGATGAGTTCTCCGGTGGCGGATCTGATGGTGAGAGTGTGGGTTCGAGAGCAAGTGTGACATACTTGTTGCCACCGCTGTACGGATCAACGATGAACTTGCCAACTAGGCTCTCGGGCGGCGTGTTGGGTGTCCACTTGCTGTCGTCGCTGGCTACAATCTCTTTCAGCAATGGCATGTCCAAGATATCGGCAGTTGACTTCTCATCGCCCACGATGGCAGCAGCTTTGAGTGGAGCGATCCAGTAGGACAGCCCGGCCGCATCTTGTCCGAACGTCTTCGTGAACACATCCTTGAGCACCCGAAACGTGAACGCGCTCAGTTTGTCCAGAAGACCGTCGTCAAGCTTGATTGCCCGCGGCAACCGTCTGCAAACCACAGTCGACCTCCTGCCATCGTTCAAGAAAAGCGGGAACGGCGGGAACTCCGGCATGCGGGTCCTGGTAAGCAGAGCCAAAGGCTGGTGATCCCTCTCCAGCCCGTCCGGAAATTGCAGGACAGTAGCCCACAGCTCATCCGGCAACGTCCCTCTCGCTTCAGCCCATACGCTCGGCTTCATGCGCATCACATAGTTGCCGCCGCTCTTCATGTTCAGAGCCAGCTCAGCATTCCTCATAGCATTCACCCGTCTGCGTTGAGTAGACATCAGATTCTCGTCCAGATGACCTTTCTTCCTCAGCTCCATGCAGGCGTCAAAGGCCGCGGCGCGCTTGGCGAGAGTCTTCTTCGTGTGCACACGACCGATGACGGAGCGTACTGCTGAGCCTGGAGGCAGCAGCACCTCGCTCAGGAACTTGGCACCTCTGGTGAAGACAACGTAGGTTGGGTGGAGAGGCTCATCGGAGTCGGTCGGAAGAACAGAGACATAATTTGCCAGTACTGCGAGACAGTTGCCGTACGTCAGCTTCGATCCGCTGATCTCGTCGACGAAGACGCGCAGGTCCTTTTCCTTCTCCAGCAGCGCCTCGAGATTGTCCTCGTGGCCGATGAGTCGGCGGTCCTCAGGCAGTGATCCGCAGAACTTGCGCATGGCTCGCTCTTGGAAGCGGACTTCGGACACCAGCTGTGCGTGGACGGAATTGCCTGACTCCATCATGTGGATGAATCTTGAATTCTGCTGTCGAGCTCTGCCGCGAGACTGGACGTACTGGATCATGGTCCGGTACATGTCGAAGCGGATGACGAGGTTGCAGTCTGGCACATCAAGTCCTTCCTCGGCGACCGAAGTGGCAAAGAGGCAATTGATCTCGCCTTGCCGGAACTTGATGAGTGTCATCACTTGAGACCGGAAGCTGATGTTGTCTTCTTCGCCTTTGCCACCGCTGCCCACTAAGAAGCTCGACTTCATGTGAGGTGGCCCGATCTTCAGAAACAGAGCATGAAGCAGTCTTGCTGTGTGCCGACGCTCGACAAACACGATGCAGCGCTGGGAAGTTGGCCGCTCGAAATGGGTAGCGAGATACAGTCGGAGACTCTTGATCTTCGAACTGATCTCGTCCTCTTCCATGGCCTTGCCATACAAGCCGCGTGCTTGCTGTTCCAGAAAGTCGATGGCTGCTCGCAGCTCGGCCTGCTTATCGTCAAGTTCCTTAACATTGGGATTAGCATTCCGAGCGTAGAACTTGCGTTCGGTCCTCTCTTCGTATTTCTTCATCCGCTTCTCAGCAATGGTGTCGACAAGAAACATATCAGCACACCAAGAGCCAAGCTGTCGAGCGATCTCTGGTGTTCGCTCGAAGGTGCGGCGGAAGGCATCGATGTGGCCGTAATTTGCTTTGACGGCCTGCAGCAACTTCGTTTCGAACGGCTGAGCAAGGGCGTCGTAGCGCAATATGCTCTCGGCTGGCCGCTTCACTGCCGCCGTGAAGCTCATGTCGTCGGTGGTTGCAATCCGAGAGTGAAGCAGAGTCTCCAGCTCCAGCGCAGCTTGGGTGACATCCGTCTTCGCATCGATCGGACTTGCTGTCATGCCGAAGACTCGTGGACGCAAGCTTTCATCTGCGGTGAAGTAGAAGTCCTTGATGATTCTGGACAACCGTTAGCTGGTTCACACCATGGTAGCGTGGCTGTAATGACCTACCTAGCGTAGTTGTGATTCTTCTTCGCGTGGTGAGCTTCGTCGAATATAAGTAAGTTGATCTGTTTCATACTTATATAGCTGTGGAACAGGCATTGGTGCAAGATCTCGGCAGTGCACACAACGACCCTGCTCTCTTCAAACAGCTTTGTCCACTTCGCCTTCTGCCAGAAGTCAGTATTGTCAGCTCCGCAAACACGTGCGATCTTGTGGTCGAGGTTAGTCTCCAGCACGGAGAACTGCTGGTATACGAGTGTGACTGAAGAGACGAGGAAGAAGCTGATACGGGCTGCTTTGCCAGTAGCTCGGTCTTCAAGCTCCTGGTCGATGATGTGGCGGAGAAGAAGTACGGCGATGAGAGTCTTTCCGGAGCCGGTGTCGAGGACAGCGATCTTGTTCTCGTTCTTGGCTCTCTCGAAGAGCTCCATCTGGTACTCTCGTGGGTTCTTGATGATCTGGGTGCCTTCCTTGGCCATGAGTGAGTGAATGGAAAGCTCCTCGTCGGCAGCATTCTTCAGTCTGGCTTCCTTTGACTTTGGCTTCAGCGCTTCCTGGCCGACATCACTGGTGAGCCAGGCGTCGAAAGCAGCCTTCTGTGCTCTGCGCCGCTCCGAAAGATTGCTGGGGGCGTGACCAGGCTGCGGCGCCTCGTCGTAATCGTCTTCGTCAGAATCCATGACTATGGAGTCCTTGGGTGATGGTGGCTGTATGACGGGTTCCATCGCCAGGTTGAAAAGCGAGTGTATGTTGTGTGAGGTGAGCAAGGGAAAAGCGATCCGTGTTCTAGACAAACGCGTGACGCTGCATAAGCGACTGTTGCACGTGTTGAATCGTGGCAGCTGTCGCAAACTGCAAGAAAAGTATGCAAACTCCACCGGCTCGCCGGGTGGATGCAGTGTCGACTGTATACCCTTCCTCCTCAATGAGGGTCGTTAATGTATCTCTGTGTTGGTATAGGTGAGATTCGGTTGTGAGGTGAGATTGAATCTGAAGGTGCGGTGGATGTATCGAGGCAAGATGTGGCGGTGAGTTGCTCACGTAAGCAGCCTGTGGCTGTTAGGTGAACCTCGCTCGATCGAAGCATGTGAAAGTCTTCACAAGACTGCTCCGTCACACCTTCACAAACACAACCAACACACTCAGAACGCCATGGCCGAAGTTGACAGGAGCTTGCGATCAGTCTTCGAAGACGCAGAGACCAAGCGAAGTAGCATCGAGAACAGCTACGACTCCAACTCGTCGACCTTCCAGGACAACGTCCGTTCCGCACTACAGCTGTACGAACAGTGTCTCCAAATAGCAGATCGTATATCGCTATTCAGCCCCAACGAGACCCTCGAAGACATCAACACCGCCGACCTGCAGTACCTTCTCCTGAACTATCGCCTCGCGGATATCGTGTTACGACTCAACAACCTGAGCCAGCGGAAGGCGAACTTACAGCAAGCACAAGCACGATATGAGCGATACCTGAAGCAGCTGGACAGCTACGACATCCTCCCCAAGACCGACGCTGCGTTGCTAGAGCAGTACCAGGATGCACCAACCACTTTCTCCACAGCCTCGACCTCGGATCCAGCAGCAAGACGGGATGCAAAGATCAGACGCTTCAAGGAGGAGAAAGCCCTGAAGCAAAAGCTCGAGTACATGCGTCGAAACCCCACCGTCCTACACAACGACGACAGCGCATACCGCGAACTCCAGCTCACAGAGATCGCCTACTGCACCCACCAGACTTTCCAATCCCTCGAGTCCATCGGCCAAGAACTCCACATCCTCTCCCTTGCTCCTCCCTCTCCGCCCCCAGAATACCAACAACGAGCACCCGATACCCGCGAACGCGATTCCCGCCTCGGAGCACCCTACAGCGAACGCCTCGACTCCTCCCACCTCTCCGCCGGCATGCGCGGACCTCTGCTAGATCCCAAAGGCAAGCCTCTCCGACCTTTCACGCTCACCTCGAAGCGCCAGGAGCTGCGCGGTGGGGTCTTCAGGCCTGATCACAATTTGCCAACTATGAGCATTGACGAGTACTTGGACGAAGAGCGGAAGCGAGGCGGCATGATCGAGGGTGGCGGGCCGCAGAGCGGGATTAAGCCGCAGGTGGATGAGGATGATTACGAGTTGGCGGATCGGGAGACGATGAAGGCGAGGGAGTGGGATGAGTATGTTGAGGCGAATCCGAAGGGGAGTGGGAATACTTTGAATCGGGGATGAGGTGGAGTGGAAGTCGTGGCAAAGATGTCGCTTGACACGGTCTCAAGCGTATCTTACTTGCTCCTTCTCATGAGTATGCTACGAGTCATGACGTGGCTCACACTCTTCTGCGCTACATCTTTCGGAAGTGTCGCCTCGTCGACCGCATTATACCCTACACACACCAGCGTCCTTCTGAAAACGTAGTCAACCACAACAACGAGAGAAAATCCACCATGAACTACTCCGTACCCTCTGCCAAAGACGAGAAAGCCATCCCTGTGTACGTGGCTATGCACCACACCGGCTCTCTCACCCACGCCCTACAGGCTCCAGCTCGAGACTGGGCCGTCTCCAGCTCTAGTAAGCATTCCACACTCTCCTCTCTACCTCTACTTCCTCACCACTTCCCCTCAGCCCGTCCTAACGCAACCAGTCCACATAACTCCCTCCCCCCACACCGCCTCCCTCAAAGCCCGCGCCTTCCTCGCCCAGCGCTGCTCTGTCTTACTAGCCGACCCCGTCCGCGACATCCGCCCCCTCACGCTACGATCCAACCCGCAAGACCAATCTGACGCTATGTCCCGCTACCTCCGACAAATCGGCTTCAACGACGATTCATCGGGTGAGTGATGTCAAGGCTGGGAATTCACGGTGCGCGAGCAATTGCCGACTCTGGCGCTGGAGGGGAGGATGTCGAGGGATGTGGTGGAGTGGAGAGGGGAGGAGAGGGAGGTGGTGGGGTGGGAGTTGGTTTGGGTTGAGAAGCAGTGGTGTGAGAGGGAGGCAGGTGTGGTAATTGAGTTTTAGAGAGGGAAATGCTTTCAATTCTAATCCTTTATCTCATGACTTCTATGCAGGACTCGCGGGTCTCGACTGGAGCGGGTGCAGCACTACCTTCAACGGAACCGATCGCTTAATGGACTCGGTTGTTTGCTACCACCATGAACCACCACCGACTCAAGGCGTGGCTCACACCTTTCTGGAGAGCATACATCTTCGAGACCTGTCCATAACTTCAAGCAGACGCCAGTATCGAAACCACTCGGATCTTACAGACTCAAGCACATCAACTTGCCAACCATGCCGTACACACTACCAAACATCGACAAGAAAACATGCACACCAGTCTACGTGGTCATGCACTACAGCGAATACATCGACACCCCTTCGCCTATGAGTGCGGACGGGTATAACATCGCGCGCTCAGGTACCGTCACAAAACACCTGTGCCAGAAATCTCCCACGACATCCCCCATACTAACCATCTACTTAGTCTACGTAACCCCAACCCTCGCCAACGCACTCACGGAAGCAGGAAAATTCTTCGCCTACCGCATGCCCACGATGAGGCTGGTGGCCGAGGTCAAATCCCACGCTTCGTTGCGCGATTGGCAGGAGACGTTGGTTGGGGATAATGTCTGGGAGCTGGTTCTGCGGGAAGAGCCTACAGAGCCTACAAGTCCGACCATGCCAGCTACGCACGTCCAGATGGAGGATTTGGTGGTAAAGGAGATGCCGGTGGTGGGGAGGGAGTTGGTCTAGGTGGAGATGCAGTGGATGGGAGCATAGGGGGAGTGTCAGGTGAGTGACTGAGTGTTGGTTGGTTAAGCGTATTCTTCTTATCTTCTGTCACTTGCACCACGTTTTTCAACTTGACGTACCACAGCTGAAACGTCACAGGTTTCACGAGCATTTCGAATGTTTGCCGCCATTTTCTTTACGACTCATTCACCGATGCTGTAGCTACATTGCTTGCCGCCGACTTACATTCGCTGACGCTATAGCCACATTACCTGCCGCCGACTCACGTTCAATGTGAGCTTTTGCGATGTCCTCTATATATAAAGATGGCAATCTTCCCGGTATATACAACCTTGTCATTCCTGGACTGGCTTTTACAGTAACGACACAACATCCATACGACCAGAGCCACTTTCGATAATCACTCCGACGACCATGGAACGCGGGAAGACTCCTGAAGCTGCAAAGCTAGACTCTTCTTTCTGCCAGGGTAAATCCTTCGCCGACCAGCTCTCCGAGCTCCCTCTCGCCTTCGCCATGCCAGACCGTTACTACAGGGTCATGCACCAGGTCGAACCCCTCCCCCTCAACGCATCCTCGACATCACCTGCCCACGCCATAGTCCAAAGTTCTCTATCCCCCAGCCCCCACGCTCGAAAGATGCACTAATCTTCTCCCAGTCTACGCCAGCCCCTCACGCCCCGAGTGCGAAGCGTACACAGTCCAATTTGCCTATCAACGCGCACATGAGTTGGCTGTGGCGCCCTTTGACTTCAACGTGCATGAGCCCTATACCGGCCCGGATCGGGTAAGGTGGAGCTGGGGCGCGGAGCTGACGGTGCGGGAGTACGATCGTTAGCATCAGCCAGCAGGGATGAGCATGACGGAGTTTGCGGATTGGTGCATGGCCAGGCCTGACTACGTGCAGTGGTTGAGGAGCCATGAGCCAACCAGGAGAGAGATGGTTGTCGTGGCGGAAGTCGTTGCGTAGATGTCGGGACAGGGTGGACTTGAAGCGTTTGGCGCATGGCTTAGCTCGATGTGGTATGGTTGCTTTCCATTCTTACTATTTTGCGTCCCCTTGCATCGGCCGCTGATGAACAGGCGTTGTAGTATAGCTTCAGACAATGAAGGCGGGTGCTTTCATGGCGGCATCAGGTGTGGATATCTTCTTTGGCCTTCAACATTACCCTTCGATTTCTTGAGCGGAGTCTGTCCTTCATCGGGCTTGCATGTTTGCTACTCAGCCCCTCGAATCCGATCTGTGAGAAGTGATTGCAGAGCGGGCCCATGACGGGGAAGGAGCTGATCTTTAGATTGGCTACAGGGGCGTTAGACAATAAGGACGAGCTGTCTAACAACCGAATCAGATGAGTGACGCCACTGTTTGTTACAGACGTGAGTCACCTCTTGCTCGAGATCCGACTCAAAGGGCTTTGCTGAGGAGAGTCTCCAGTATATAAGGGGGTGCGATCCCTCGAGCACAGGCTAATCCCTATTTCAAACACTACCTACAAGTATACCGCCAAATCAGGACTTTACGCCAACCACGGACATCACCAGAATGAGCGAACAGACTCCGCCACCGCCCTCGGGTTCAAACACAACTTTCCGCAGCCAACTCAATCCATTTGTACAACCATGGGCGCCCAGCTCCTCCTTCAGTCAACGCGCTGCTCGGCCCGATACGTCGGCGGGCACACGTAATCCGATTATGGTCGATTCGAATCAGGCCGCTCTACATCCTCGGGTTGCTCTGCATCCCCAACCCGCTCTGCATTCTCAGCCCGCTCTACTCCTTCAGCTCACTATACCTGCAGCCACAGGTGCTTTGACTACAGCCGACCATTCCGCCGCGCAACCTACCGATATCTACACATATGTTGTAATGCACCACCGCGAGATGTTCGACATCGACCCGGATATCCCCGGACCCATTGTCTCCGATCCCTGTAACCCTATTCCTTCTGGCCTTTGCTACTGTACCGCTGACTTCTATTATTTAGTGCTCATCTCGCTTGGCTACGATGTGGTCATGCACGAAGCACGTCGCCTCGTGAAATGGCGTTCGGACGCCGTTAGGGCGGCAAACATTGATTGCTTTGAGAGAGAATTCTACGGTCCGTCAGGGAAGCTTGGGCAAGGGTGGGAGTTGACGGTAAGGGAGCAAGTTGAACCAGACCGCGGGCTATGGAAAACGATCGATAATCTGGAGGCATGGCTGAAGCAAAGGAAGATTATCGGGCGAGAATTTATCTGGGTGACGAAGTTGCGGGAGGAGCGAGGTATGGTGCCTTGATGCTGTCTTTTCTTAGACTGGTATATTGTTCATTTCCTCACCATCTTTCCGCATTTGCTTATATACCGCCTTGCTGCTGAGAGAATTAGGCCAGCTGATGATGCTGCTTCTTCAGACAATAATACTGTTGCCTCATTAACGTCTGCCGGGCCGACTGTTGCTAATGTTTGCTACTGACATGACTACTCATTTGCTCGCGATCTGGCTCATGAAGCGACTTCGAGGGCGTTTGGTATATATACCTGTTGATCTTCCTGGGTGGACGAAGGCAAACCCCCCCCCCAAACCTTCTACGTACACTCAACAGCTGTTACTAACCCTTCCTTTCCAGCCTACCAGCCAACAGTTTACTACAGCGAACACACACGAGTATCACCGTATCTACTCCTTTCAAGCCGACCAACAAGGATACCGCCACCCAACGAAGGTACAACCAAATGGATCGAAAGCTTCACTCAGTATACCAACATCCAAAATCGCCCTCCCGCCGCCTGCCCGATCCAAACTCGCCCTCCCACCGCCAACTCGATCCAACTGCACAACCATGGATGCCCAGTCGTCTTAGCCAGCCTGCCGCACCTGGACCTGATAATAGCAATTTCCCTTTCAAAGTGGTCCTGCTCCGCTCACGCGCCGCCTCGGATCCCAACACAACCTACGTGGCAATGCACCACAGCGAAACTTACGCCAATAGGGCGGCCGAGCTCCCTCCCTCGGCCGGCTTCGCTGTCTCTCACCCCGGTACCTACTGATCCCTACGTGAATCTGTTCGATTGTTTCACCGCTGATCAAGTGTTACCAGTACGCCTCTTGCGCTCCCGTGCTGCAGCCCATCACATAGCATTTAATCTTGTGATAGAGCGTGCGAAGCACTGTAATGCATTTACCCAAGACTGGGTGGCCAGAGACTTTCACGATAAGCAGAAGGTGAAGTTTGGTGAGGGATGGGAGCTCAATGTAAGAGACCAGAGCGAGCGTCCCCCAGGTATGAACGACGTCGAGGTCCACCTGTGGATGATGGAGAGGAAATTCATTGGACGGGAGCTGTGTTGGGTGGAGGAGGTTGTCGATGAGGAAGTTGGTGAGTCGTGAGCGACGTAGGTCTTGATGCTCCTTTTTCTCTAAGTATGTAATGGTTGTCGTTCTGTCTACATTTCGGAAATTCGGACTCGCCGTGTTAAGAGTTGCTGTCGTTATAGGCTGACTCAGTTGTTCCATGGCCCCGTAGTCCTCCGTTAATGCTTCCACAGTTGTGAGAAGTCTAGCTGTGAGAGAACTGTTTGCTCAACCATGACTCCTTCGACAGTCGTGCCCTGGCTCATGAGCAGACTCTATCAACATATAAGTGCCTGTTCCTTCCAGGAGCAGGCTCATTGACCTCCGACATCCCAAATCAGCCTTCTACAAGACCTACAACAGAATCTCGATCCCTCCGCGATCTCACAGCATAACATAGACGATTATGTATCCCAACAAACCGCCCTCGAGCCCCGGCGACCCAAGACCTACCCCAACTGGCTGCTGTGCAGGGGTGAGGTGAGAAGAGCTTGTTGTGAACCATCCCGTAGCATTATTGCGTAGGTCCGACCAGTATTCTCTATTCGTTTTCTTGTGTTACGGGATCAAGCGCGGCTCCTTCGAGGCCACAAGCCTTCAGATATCCGGGGGGCTCCAGTCATTCTTCAATGCTGCGAGCCCGGCAGCCTTCCAGAGCCATCATTCACTGGTGGGTTTGTTTGCTGCACGAAGGCCAGCTGTGCGCTGACCTGCTTTGCTTATAATCAGCTCACATGTCCGCAATCTGCTCTTGTACTTCCCTTCAAATCTGCCTTCTCTGAATCTCGGATCATCGTTCGTCACCATCCTCTCCTTCCAACCATAACCATGAGCAGCAACAACCCTTCTTCGCCACGAAGATACTTCATCACTCCATTACCGGCAATTTCGGCGGTCTACCCTTTCCCAGGGTCCGTCAAGAAAATCAGAATGATCCAACTCCAGGAGCCACCCCTGGTGCTCCGTCAGCATCGACCTCCACGCCAACAATAGAGAGGGTCTACGTCGTGATGCACCACACCGAATCCACCGCCCCACCCCGACAATGAATCGAAACACCCTCAACCTCTCAGACACGGGTAGTCCACGAACCCTTTCCCAAAGTACACATCACTAACAATCTTCAGTTTCCTTCGGCCACGACCTCAAAACAGCAGAAGCCGACGCGCAGCTATTCGCATCACATCGGGCGGAGAAGCTCGGTGTCAGGGTTTCGGAGGTCCTTGACGGGCATATTTCTGGCTTGGATAACCGGACTCTGGGAAGGTGCTGGGAGATCCTTGTGCGAGAGCGGGCGGAGGGGCCCGCAGATATGGACGACAAGGAGTTTGACCCGTGGGTCGCAGGGAGGAAGGTTGTTGGGAGGGAAGTGATTTGGGTGGACAGTGTGAGGGAGATGGGGTATGTGGGTGACACCGCGCTTTGCACCACATCTGTGATCTTGTAGTGTAGATTTGCTTTCTCCTGTCCAAAAGATCAATGCCTCCATCTCACCAGGTTGGCTTCTAGACAACGAACCTTCCCGTTTGCTCAGACCACGAGCCCTCAAATCTTTGATCACAAAACTGCTTGCTGCAAAGCAACAGCCCATGCACTTTCCTGTCTGGCGTACCATCAGCTCCAGCGCGCCGGAACATTCGGTGATTCCGGTCAATGCAATTCACCTCCTCAAAAGTCCACTACCATGGACCGCACCACTCCATCTTCTAGCCGACAGCCTTAAGCAGACGCACCTACAAGCAATGCCTCCAACCAAACGTGCCGGAGATCTTGCTGCCGAAGCCAGAGAGTGCGATGGCGGCGGTATCGTTGGCTGGAATCATGCTAGCTCGGGCGTTTGCTGGGAGTTAATTGTGCGCGACCTTGCTGCGGAGAGGCCGGTGGGGATGGATGAGGAGATTTTGAGCAGTCGCAGATGTTTTGGGCGGAGAATCGCTGGAGTAACTGGCAGTCTATGTGGCCGTTCCTTCCTGATTGACTGACTAACGATGGCTGTGTCGGATGGCCATAATGTTAGCTGCCTCTTGCTTATTCCGCACGAGTACTCAAGTCTTCCCTCATCACCCACTGAAGGCACACTCATTTCTTCGGTCTTGTGCCGCCCGTCGTATACCATACTGCCGCATCCCCATGTCAATAAGTGACCCATTGAGGAGGCCGGCGGTGGGGGACCAGATGGGATGGGAGAGGGAACGTCAGTTCATGTGGGCGTGGGAGGGATTGGTGAGGGAGAGCTGGTCTGGGTGGCGCATCGACGACGATGAAGTGATTGAGAGGTCAGGCCGAAGCGGCAGTTGTCCCTCCTGCTGCAGCTTCTTGGTCTCGAAGGCTGAGTTGCATTGCCACTGTATCAGTTACATTGTCGCTGTACAAGCACTCACTCACATCTCCCCCTTTCCACCTCCTCTGCCACTACTTCGAAGGATCCAACAACAACTTTCCTGTACTCCTCCGCCCCTGCAAATCCTCCTGCGCCCTCTTGACCTCGCTCAACGGATACGTCTCATGGATCCTCACATCCAAGCCCGCCTTCACCACAAAATCAAACAACTCGTTGCTCCAGTGCTCAAACTCCTCCCTCGTGACCAAGAAGTTGAACAACGTTGGCCGCATGAGCCGCACATTCTTCGGGCTGAGGCGGGAGATCGTGACCGGGTCCACAGCGCCGGAGGCGTTGCCGAAGGAGATCATGGATCCAAGACGGGCGACGCATTCGAGGGAGAGGTCGAAGGTGGATTTGCCGACGCCGTCGAAGACGGCGATGCAGCCGGCGTTGTTGGTGAGTTCCATGACTTTGGACTTGACGTCTGCTTCGCTGTAGTTGATCATGTGTGTCGCTCCCGCCTTGCTTGCTAGATCCACCTTTTCTTTCGTGGAGGCTGTGCCGATGGTGTTCGCGCCGACTGCTTTAAGCAACTGGCAGAGCCATAGTCCTGTTCCTCCTGCTGCGGCGTGGACGAGGACCCAGTCGCCTTTCTTTACGTGGTGTGCTTCCCGAATCAGAGTAAGAGCTGTGAGGCCTTGGAGGAAGGCTGCGGCGCCGACTTTCTCGCCCACGCCGGAGGGGAGCTTGAACGCTGTTTTGGCGTTGACCGCGGTGTATTCGGCGTAAGCGCCTTCTGCCATCCACACTACTCGATCTCCTGCCTTCATGCCATACAACTCTCCTCCAGGGCCGGTCGATGCGATTGTGCCTTCTCCTTCACGGCCGAGGATGTATGGGAAGTGGGGAGGGGGATAGAGACCGGTTCGGAAGTATCTAGACAAGCATGAGGGATCAGCTGGAGTCCTGTGAACGAGCGAGGAGGAGACCTCACGTGTCAATGAAGTTGATGCCAACAAAGTCATTCTTAACCAGCAGCTGGCCCTCTTTCGGCTCAGGAACAGGTAGGTCGGTCTTGTACTGCAAGACATCTGTGCCACCGTTCTTCTCAATGATCACACCCTTCATCGTCTTGGGGATCTGGGACGCCATGGTCCTTGCTGCAAATGGAGATGGACGGGCTAGATGGGATGAAACGGTAGCTGCTCTGCGTGATGCAGTGAAAAGGCGAGGTGTGAGGCGCGTGAGTGACATTCACGATATTGCTACAGGAGTAAGGAACGGGGGAGATGTGAGGGGACTTTTGTAGAGCAATTGTTTTCGGGAGTTGTAGTCTCGTGCGAGCTGTTGGAGGATGTGAGCTGAGCTGTTCATCAAGCTGACGTCGTGAGGGGCCGTCGGAGTTAGTCCCGTGCTATGTCCGCCTTGCCATATGAGGCAGGTAGATATCCATCTGTTCCCTTTCTCTCGGCTCGCTATGATTGCCGTCAACCAGGGGAGATCAATGTTCCCTATCACCAGCCGTCCGTCCACTCACCTACCCCCGCTTCATAAGCAAACCTCAATCGGGCTCCTCATCATCATAATCATTCTGTCCGTCGCCCTCATCATCCCGCGATACCTCCGCAACCTCCATTCCCATCCCGTCCGGCTGCCTCGTCATGTACCCCTTCGGCAGCCCGGGCTCCTTCCACTCCCGAATATCCTCATTCACCAACCACGTGAAGAAGCTCGCATACGAAGTCTCCAGGTAGTCGATCCACTTGATCCCGATATCCAGCTCCTTGACACAGACCTCCATCTTCAACCCGGGATAGCAGGACTTGAGAATCTCTTCGTCCATTACGAAATCGAACTCTTGGCCCTTCTTCGCCTTCAGCGCAGACTTCGGCATATCCATCGATGGCGCATGAGGGGGGTCCCAGCGGACGCAGTGCAGGCGGCCCATGGGCTTGACGATGGTGTTGCTGAGGCGGGAATCGTCGTAGATCTGCTTAGCTTCTTCGGTCATGAAATCCATGCCGGTGATTTCGAGACCGAGATTTTCGGTAGAGATGACTTGGAAGGGGTGGGTGTTAGCGATGTTGTTCTCGACGGCGGCGAACTGCTCTTCGGTGCCGTAGGCCGCAACGCCGGTGAGGAAGATCTTCTTCGCATCTGCCATGGTCCAGCCTACGTCGTCGCCTTCGACTACCCAGTCGCCCTCAGCGTGGAGGCCGGCGTAGTTGCCGCCGAAGAGAGTGGAACACGCGGTGTTGAAGCCGCCTGGCAGGCTCTTGTCGACGATGGCAAGCTTCGGCAGCTCTTCTTCAGCGAGATCGCAGACTTTGCGCGCACGCATCAGCTGGTCCTTGTACTTCGGGCAGACGTCATGGAGGAGCAGGTAGTTGTAGAAGCTCCGCAGCACGTTCGTCGCCGTCTCGACCTTGGCCTGATCGTGCCAGTTCAGCATGTCCATGAGCTGGGACGACAGGAAGCCTTTGGCGGTCGCTTCGAAGTCAACGTGCCAAGTGTCCTCCCCTTCAAAGACATCGAACCCATCCAACACCCGCTCAGAAACGCCGTAGTAAGCAGTCTTCTCAGCAATCTCCTTCCTGCTTAAGCCTTCCGTTTCCTCTTTGCTCAATGCACCCCCAGTGAACATGTTCTGCCCACCCTCCATGCCGCCATAGATCATGTACCGGCTGAAGATCTGACGAGTCTCTTGGTGCATTTTGCGTCTTGCACTGAACCTCGCGACTGCAGTCTCGATGCGGGTAGTGAACGACACGTCTTCGGCATAGTCCTCGCGATCCTGTTCATACTCCGCAGGTCTGATGGGGCCATCGGTAGCGTACTCCTCAAACCCCGTCGCCTTCATCATGCCCCTGGTCAGCCATGGCTTGTCTTCCGGGATAGTCTTCTTCTGCCTATCCAGGTTGATCTTCGGCTTCACCGTCATGCGCTTCCCGAGCGGAGTCTTGCGGCGGATACGCTTGCCATCGGCAGAAAGCTCAAGGAAGGTACTCTGCTTGAGAGCTTCTCTGACAGCGGTCTTGGGCCTGAACTGCCGCATCTTCCGGAAGCCGGTGATCTCGTTGAGGCTGACGGTGCCTTTGCCTTCGCGGATGAGGCCGAGAAGGTGGGCATCTTGACTGAGGTTGTCGTCGCCGAAGTAAAACTCGACTTGGTGGATGATCTCGGCTGCTTTGGGGTGCGCGGCGGTTTGCGGTGTTTGCCAGTTGGTGATGGGTGGGTTCACCGGGCCGCCAGTCTTGTTCGTGCCGTTGGTGCCTTGCTCTTCAGAAGTGACTGCGAGGTCATCGTTAATGGGCTCTCCCTCGACGGTGATGGTCGGCACGGTGGGTGGCGCCTCTTCTTCAGCAGTGGTCGCCATGTTGGTTGGTGACCCCTTGGAAATTGGTGGTTGAAGGGTCGATGAGGAAGTTTGCGAAGGTTGCAAGTGAAAAAGGACTTGAGTGGTCTTTGGACTTCACCAACCTTTAGTGAAGTGACGTTGAAGCTCACGGCACGTTAACATGTGATCAGAAACAGATGGAAGCCATCTTCTGATGTGAATCTCCTACCTGGAAAGCTCTTGCCTTTCCATATTGATTCTGCACAAGCAAGCAGCTGCAGCAACTTTCTACCTCACATCATCTTTGAAACGGTCAGTCAGTGACACTTCACCTCTCTCTAGCGCACAATCTACGATGCAATCCAGAACTTCATTGTATTAGGACCACGAAGGGATAGAAGACCGAATGGAAGATATGGAACCTGCGCGAACGAGCGTACGCTCACCTCCAGGCCAGCTCTGTGACCTCCGGACCATAGCCGCTGTCTTTCCGCCATCTTGAAGCAACCCGCGCTATGCGATGGCGAGCGCACTGCCAATGCCATGCACTCGCAGAACGATGGAAGGATTGGGAGGAGAATGGTTAGGCTGCATGTCCCAGTTATTGCCGGCAACTCGGCTGGTCGCCTCCGCATTTGCTGGGGACCTTATTCCCGCGAGATATATGTACTTCCTCCTCCAACTCAACTTGTTATTCAGCCTTCATTTCCTATTCCTACATTTCTTGCGGTCCGTGGGCATTGAAATAAAAACAAAATGAACTCTCGAGCCCTACTCAGCGCCCCTGCCCTATGGACTGAAGCAGCCACCGCAACAACCAAACGGTGTCTGGCCATTGGAAGTAGAACACAGCAAAGGACCTACACCGGACCCAGGCCAACAGCAGCATGCTCACAAAATGCCCATCCTGCTCAACGGCGCCAGTTCCACCGATCTCCCCAAAACCGACAAGCCTCCCCCGTAGCCACCAACCCCAACTCCACCGACCTCCCCCTCGCCGGCACCCTCGTCGTCTCCCTCGAACAAGCCATCGCCGGCCCCTTCTGCACCCGCCAACTCGCCGACCTCGGCGCCCGCGTCATCAAAATCGAACGTCCAGGCTTGGGCGACTTCAACCGCTACCACGACAAGCGCGTCAAAGATCAATGTTCTCATTTCGTCTGGACGAACCGGTCGAAAGAATCTTTAGCCCTGGACCTGAAGAAACCCGAAGACCTGGACGCTCTCAAAACGATCCTAGGGAAGGCGGACGTGCTGGTGCAAAACCTTGCCCCTGGAGCGACGGAGCGAATGGGACTCGGCTACGAAGCGTTGAAGTCTCAGCACCCAGGCCTCATCGTCTGCGATATCTCAGGCTACGGCAGCACAGGACCCTACAAAGACAAAAAAGCCTACGACCTCCTCATCCAATCCGAATCCGGCTTCCTCTCCGTCACCGGCTCGCCTGGCCAGCCCGCGAAATCGGGCATCAGCATCGCGGATATCGCGGCGGGAACTACTGCTTACAACAACATCCTCGCCGCTATAATCCGTCGGTCCAAAACCGGTAAGGGTTGTAGACTAGACGTGAGTATGCTAGAGAGCATGGCCGAATGGATGAGTTTCCCCATGTACTACGCCTTCAACGGCGCGCCCGGGCCGGCGCTGGCAGGGGCGGAGCACGCGAGTATATATCCTTATGGGCCGTTTGAGACGGGGGGTGAGGGGACGGTGATGTTGGGCATGCAGAACGAGCGGGAGTGGGGGATTTTCTGTCAGCAAATCCTTCAGAAGCCTGAACTTATGGAGGATCCGAGGTTCGAGACGACGTCGACCCGTTCAACGAATCGGAAAGAACTCAAGAAAATCATCGAAGAAGTCTTCGCCGCCTACAACGCCGACGAAATCCTGGAGAAATTGCAGAAAGCCGGTATTGCGAATGCGAAGGTGAATGATATGGCCGGCTTGTGGGCGCATCCGCAGCTCAAAGCTAGAGGGAGGTGGAGTGAGGTCGAGACACCTAACGGACGGATACCGGCGTTGAAGCCGGCGGGGGCGGCGGAGGGGTTTGAGGTGCGCATGGATCCGGTGCCGGGGGTGGGGGAGCATCAGGAGGGGATATTGAGGGAATTTGGGATTGAGCGGTAGGGTTTGACTGGGCTCTTTTTGGGAGGTCTACTGAATAGGGGTATCACGCGCAGTCATCAGCCAACTGACCACCACATTCTCCATCTGCCAATGATTGAAATCTAGTCAAACCGCGCAATCAACTGGTCCATACACCCCTCCACCCCCTTCAACCCAGCAATCACGTTCTCATCCCTCCCCTCCCCCGGCGTCCACCCGGCATGCGCAAAATCAATCATCTTGACCTTGAACGCCACCGGCGGCAGCGCCTCCTCCTCCTCTTCCTCCTCCAGACTCTTCTTCACCTCCAACCGCGTCGGGGCCCGCTCGTCCACGCGCGGGGTCTTGGGCTCACTCCCCATCAGCACCCCGAGCTCGGAGGAGTCGCCTTCGTAGACGACCAGGATGCTGGCGCTGAACATGCGGGACTCGTATTTCTCGAGCATGTGGCGCGCTTTCGTAATTTCGGCTAGGATGGTTTCGAGCAGCTCCTGCGCTTCTTCCGCTTTGAGGCCGGAGCTGAGGCCGGAGAAGAAGGTCTCGAAGCCCGAGATCACGTTGGAAGAGGTGAACTGCCGGCCGTAGAATTTATCGTAGATGTCAAAGTCGGATTTCTCGGGGTTGTAGACTTTCATGCCTGCGATGCGGAAGCCTAGGCTGCCGGTCGTGGTTTCCGAGGCGACTTTGTCGAGACGGGCAGCTTTATCGTCTGAAGTGCCCGGGGCGTACAGGCGGGCGCCGAGTTTGAGATCCAGGACGTTGGGGCGCTTGAATCCGTGCTCCAGATTCTCCAGCACGATGGCAGTTTTGGTGGCGATCTTGGCACCGTGCAGGAGTTGCTGGTCTTTGCTCTCCTGGCTCAGCTCGGCAGGCTCATGGGCAGCTGTGGGAGCTGCTACTTGGGCAGGACTGCCTAGGGACAGAGTGCCCATGAAGGTCGGCATCATCTCTGAGAAGTCCGGGTGCAGGTTCAGCGTCTCCTGGTAGAAGTTGATTTCGGCGTCGACGCAGGGTTTGATGATGAGTTCGCCGGACGGGTCGGAGAGGACGCCATCGTGGCCTGCGGCGGCGTTTTCGAAGGCTTTGAGTTGGGATTGGTCGAGTTTGGGGTGTTTGTTGGTGGCCATGGTTGGTTGTTGATCCTGTCAGGTGGGTATGGTGTTCGAGGAGAGTGTGTTCCTGAAGACGTGAGGTCCAGATTGTGGTGGAGGCGTGGTCCGCGGAGGATTATGTCAATTGGATGTGTGATATGACATGATTATTCTTGCTGGCTCAATCAGAAGGATGAGGCAGGGTTCAACGTCGGAGGTGTGTCCGACTCCTCGTGGCATGCCGCTAAGATAAGGCGATAAGCACGGCGGGCTTTCGTCATGTTTTGAGAAAAGTTCAGATGCTTAGAAAACACCCGACAACACAAACCACACAACTACAACTATGGCACAACAACCCAACGGCCACCCGCCTCAAGGCGCCTCCCTTGCGACCGACCTCTTCGAAGACATGGGCCGCAAAGTCTCCAGCTATAACACCAACGGCACCACCTCAGACAACGAGCCCGACCAGCGAGTCACGGAAGAAATCGAATCGCTATGCATGAACTGCCACGAAGACGGCATCACCAGACTGCTGTTAACGCGAATACCATTCTTCCGCGAAATCGTCATCATGTCTTTCTCATGCACGCACTGCGGGTTCCAGAACAACGAGATCCAGTCGGCGGGGTCGATACAGGAGAAGGGCGCAAAGTACGCTCTACGAGTTGAGAGCGAGGCGGATTTACAGAGACAAGTAGTGAAGAGCGATATCTGCGCGTTCAAGATCGAGGATATTGATCTAGAGATCCCGCCTGGAAAGGGCCGGTACACGAATGTGGAGGGGTTGATCGCGAGTACACGGCAGGATCTGGAAACGCACCAGGATGAGCGGATGAGACAGATGCCGGAAGTCGGGGAGAAAGTGGCGGGCGTGATCAGGACGTTGGCGGATATGGTGGAAGGGAGGAGGTTTCCGTTCATGATCTCGGTGGATGATCCCAGTGGGAACTCGATGATTGAGCCGAAGCCTGGGGAGGCGGCAGGTAAGTGGGCGAAGAGTGAGTACAATCGGACGGCTGCGCAGAATGCGGAGTTGGGGCTAGGAGATGAGGTCGAGCAGCCGACGCAGGAGGAGCAAACGAGTACACGACCCGAGTACCACGCGGAAGGCCTAGTAGGCGCCCAACCCACCAACGGCGTCCAACCCAACAACGTCGACGACGAAGACATCATCGAGAACCAAATCTACGAATTCCCCGCCTCCTGCCCCGGCTGCACGCGCCCTTGCTCCACCAACATGAAAATGGTCAACATCCCCTACTTCAAACAAGTCGTCATCATGAGCACCGTCTGCGAGCACTGCGGGTACCGGAGTAACGAAGTCAAGACGGGCGGGGAGGTGCCTGAGAAGGGTTCGCGCATTACGCTGAAAGTGTCGAGCCGCGAAGACCTGGCGCGGGATATTCTGAAGAGCGAAAGCGCGGCTCTCGCCTGCCCCGAGCTCCAGCTGCGGGTAGAACCCGGCACGATGGGCGGCCGCTTCACAACCGTCGAAGGCATCCTGACGCAAATCCGCAAAGACCTGCGCGGCCAAGCCTTTGGTCTCGAAGACGGCGATTCCGAACTCCCAGATGGCGGTGGCGACTCCATGACCGAGGGCTCAAAAGAGGCCTGGGACGCCTTTTTCGCGAGCTTGACAGAGGCGATCGAGGGCAAGAAGGAGTTTAGCCTGGTGCTGGAGGATCCGCTGGCGAGTAGTTATGTGCAGAGCCTAACGGCGCCGGAGCCGGATGGGCAGATTGAGGTGGTGGAGTATGAGAGGACGGAGAGGGAGGAGGAGGATTTGGGGTTGAGGGATATGAAGACGGAGGGGTATGAGGAGGACGGGGTGCAGGCTCGATAACATAGAACGGTACCAAAGCCACGTCTCTCGTTCGAGGGCAACTTGAGGACCTACCTGCTCTTTCTATTTCTGTTGTTCATCTACTTGACTTCGGCAGCATTTGTGCCCTAGATCGTCTGACTTTGTGTATTCGGTGAGCTGATCATGTGCTTGGCCATCAGAAAAGAGTCGTCTTTGTCAGACAACCACACGCTACAGAGGAACAGGAAAGCGCATCAGCACCAGCAACAAGTCCCCCCTTGGCTTGTGCACCATCTGGCGAATGCCGTCGTCGTAGGGCTGGCTGATCTACGCGTGTCGGTCGGCCCACTTGCGACGAGATTTTCACATGTCAACCAGACTTTTCTCGTTGGGAGTGTGTTTTGGGAATCACGAAACATTGTCAAAGTTACGACGAAAACGTGTCCCGAATTATCATCGAAACACACCACGACACGAGTCTTTGACTTTGCTCGTCATCGCCAATCACACCCCATCGTCGACGCCGGTGTCGGATCCGTCTGCACTCGATTTGCCCCACGCTGCGCCGTTGAAAGGGCACTGGCGGCGACGGCGACAGAGCTTGCTGCTTCCAGTAGTCCGTACCTCGTGCACACTAAGCAGCCACTTCCTTCTCTACTGCTCAGTCATTGCGACGTCTTCTTCGGTCGTTGATTCATCCTTCCTGTCCATCGTCAGCTCCATCATCACCGAGAGTATTGGTACCATCGCCCGCCGAACAACGTTGACCGCCGACCCCGAGTATATTACGACACCGCCTGCAGCAAACCTTCCCAGCTCGCTGATATCTCCCCAAGTACTCGAAAATAATACGAGACCCTCCCGTCCGGATCGCGGCGGAACAACCCAACAAACAATCAGCGTGACTCTGCTCAGCCCGGCCGAGACAGCAGATCGTCCAGTGAAGTGAGACCGGCGCTCTGGGAACAAAGGGAGCCCCCGGTCATCAGGCGGACACCGCGCAGGATAGGACAGGCAAAATCCGCAATGGCCAGTCCGATGGAGGACACGGACATGGAGAGGCACGGGGTGCACTTTGCTTCCCGTGACGTCGAGATTGCACCTGATGAGAGGGAGCCCGAGCCGAGTCTGGAACCCGTGCAGACCATTACTGGGGTGGGCGATCAGAGGGAGGATTTGAATGATCAGGCGAAGCAGGAGCTGCAGCAGTTGAAGACGACGTTGAAGAACAGTATGCAGTCGGCTAGGGCGCAGCATCATGCGTTTGAGCCCGTGTCGTTGCCCGGGTCGCAGCCGGCGTCGAGGGTGGGTCTGGTATGCTAAGTAATGTGAAAATGCAATGCTGACGTAGTGTATACAGATGCATTCGGGCACGACGACACCTAGTAGAAGACACCTCCCAGCTGGCTCCGCTGAACCTTCGCCGAAGACTTCACCTCCTGCGACAGCCGTACACTCACCACCCCTCACACCGGCAGCGACGAAGTCGAGAGATGGAAAGGCGTCTGTGGGTGCGATACCTGGGTACGCACGCCCAGGAGCAGAGGTCATGACTCCACAGCGGTCGGCATCACCACAGCGAGGGGAGAAGCCGGTCGATAAAGCGGCGATATCCAGCCACCCACGACAACAGCCCATCTTCTCCATTGGCTCAGGCGGCGATTCACAGCCAGCATCTAAAGATCAAAGTCCTGCTGGGACACCTGCGAGCACTGCACCTGGCACACCACGACCCAAGACACCCGCAGAAGCTGCACCGAGGAAAGGCTCGGGCGTGCGGCAGACACAGTCTGATGACTCGCAGTTCCGCTTTGGCAACAGAGACCCTGCAATAGGCTTCTCGAGCTCCGGACAAGCCAACATCTCCTCCCCTCTTCCGAGTAATGCTCCCACCTTACCACGCTCGAACGCAAGTGGGACGAGTTTGTCGAATTTCGACAACAAGCGGTCAAGCTTATTTGGTGGTGCGAAGAAGGAGCATGATGATAGCTCGTCCAAGCTTGGCGATAAGGAGAAGGACAAGGAGAGCTCGCACAGCTCGTCAAAGTCGAACCTGAAGCGCTTCTTCAAAATTGGGGACAGACATCACCACCGGGAGAAGTCGCAGCGGTCGAACGGCGACCACCGCGATGGAACAAGAACACCAGAGCGAGAATCGCTATCCGGACCTAGTGTGCCTTTCGCCGACGACCACGGCCTACAGTCGAAATATGGCAAATTCGGGAAGATGCTGGGCTCCGGCGCTGGTGGGTCGGTGCGGTTGATGAAACGGACCGGAGACGGTACGGTGTTTGCAGTCAAGCAGTTTCGCGACCGTCATCCCTATGAGAATGAGAAAGAATACAACAAAAAGGTCACGGCTGAGTTCTGCATCGGCTCGACGCTGCACCACGGCAACATCATCGAGACGATCGACATTGTGCAGGAGAAGGGCAAGTGGTACGAGGTGATGGAGTATGCGCCGTTCGATCTCTTCGCCACCGTCATGACCGGTAAGATGGGACGGGAGGAGGTTACGTGCACCACGATGCAGATTCTGGCTGGAGTGCTGTATTTCCACAGTATGGGACTGGCGCATCGAGATCTGAAGCTGGATAATGTCGTGATCAACGAGCATGGGATTATGAAGTTGATTGATTTCGGCAGCGCGGTGGTGTTTAGATATCCGTTTGAGAACGAGGTGGTGATGGCGACGGGTGAGCGACCCCAAAAACCTTCACTACACTGAATCTATGCTGATAACATGTTTCGCAGGCGTCGTCGGCTCCGACCCCTACCTCGCGCCAGAAGTCTACGATCAAGCTAAGTACGATCCACGAATGGCCGACATCTGGTCCATCGCCATCATCTTCTGCTGCATGACGCTGCGGCGCTTCCCCTGGAAAGCTCCCCGGTTGTCGGATAACTCATACCGTCTCTTCATCTCCCCGCCCGACCCGGAACAGGACCGCTATCTCGACGCCCAGCGCCGCAGCTCTAATAGAGGCTCGGTGGCTTCCGTCGATGGAAGGGGCGTGCAATCCGAACCCGCGTCGCGAAACGCCACCGGCAACGGCGCCGAAACCGACGGAGACCACAAACACCATCACCACCACCAACACAACCCCTCCACCGCCGACAAATCCGACTCCGTCTCCCGCCAATCCACCACCAGCAGCGACCAACCCACCATCAAAGGCCCGCTTCGTCTCCTCCGCCTCTTACCGCGCGAGAGCCGCCACATCATCGGTCGCATGCTCGAGCTCGACCCGAAGAAACGCGCGGATATGGATGAGATTTTGGCGGATCCTTGGGTGCAGAATTCTTTGGTGTGCAGGCAGGAGGAGAATGGGGTGGTGGTTAAGGCGCCGGGGCATACGCATGTGTTGCAGCCGAGTAATGCTGGGAAGTAGGGGGATTTGGTTGGGTGGTTCGAGTGGCCGGATAGGTGGCAGGGGTGGTGAGGGGGTGTGGTGGGGGCTGGGGGGGAGAAAGCGGATGGAGGCAAAGGGGGGAGGGGAGGAAATACTAATGAAAAAGTACCAGCGATGGTCGTCATGGCGTCTGTAATGATGAACGGGATGGGCGGGTGGACATGTGCAGATCGGCGTGGATGGGAAGGGAGAGGCGTTGTCTTTGTTTTTCGGTCGGAGGAAAGAACACGAGGCTACGGCTGGAATACAGTACGTTATGCTGCTGGGGGAGGAAAAGGGCGGACATGTGGGCTCCCCGTCTTGAGCTTGCTAGGCGTTTCGGGGAGTTGTAATGGTTTATAGGGCTGGTTCGGGAGGATCAAGTTAGGTAGTGGTTGAATCTTTGATATTAATGGAATGCATGCGATTCAGCGAGAGGGTTTATTGATCCTGATTCCTTTGTTCCTCTAGCCATGTTGAAGGCTGTATAAGGAATGGGATTGATCGCGCTGTCAATGCTTCGTCTTGCTTGACGTCTACGGCTATTGGGGGGTAAGGAGGCCTTGTAGGAGTGGATGGAAGGGTGGACTCGTGCTCGAGAGCTCGCATGGCTCGCTCGTTCCATTCGGCCATAACTGACGTGCTGATAGCTCGAGGTCTGCGGTCTGACGGCGTACTAGTTGCTAGTGGGTGTAGTAGAGGATTCCTGCACCACACGGCGAGAGAAGCTTGACGAACGATACGGAGTCTCGACACCGATCGTCGCAGAGCTCGTTTCTCTCGCACCACCCATACCGCTCACGATTCGCCCGTCCGTCGTTAGAGGTCGGAAGTGGAGTGAGTTGGTGTTTCAGCAGCTTAAGCAACACGCAATCCGCCATGCACCTCATCGTCCTCATCGTCCTCATCGTCCTTCTCCATTCCATCAGCAGCGGAACTCGTTCCTTCGAGCTCGCTATAGCTCCGCCCTATCACATGCAACTCTCGGCATCCGTCGACCGTCGCACTTGGAAGGATACGCTATCGCGGCTAGGTATCGGGTGGCTTTTTCCCCCCAAGGCTCTCATCATGGCCGGGCATGCCACCAACCACTGGGCGCGCGCTATAAGGCCACGTTCCCTCCCCCCAGTATGCGAATCGAGGAAGATGGTTGAACGGGTGATGTACGAACTGCCTGCCGCCGGCGAACGATGGGCCGGCCACATTTCCTGGACGTGCGGCTAGCGAATGGTGCTGGTTCTGGTTCTACTGGCGGGCAGAGTTTTGTTTTCAATAAGAATTTTTCGACGGCGACCCCGGTGCCGCCGCCGCTGAGACTTGATAATCATCCGCCGGCGTTGGGACGGGAGGAGAGCACGCGAGTGCAGTTGCAGAGGCAGAGACTGAAGGAGTCGGAAGAACATGCTGTTTTCGTCGCGCAGAGTGTGAATGTTCCCGGGTTGAAGACGAGCGCATGTAAGTATTCTGCACGTGCTCTGCCTACATACTTCCCTCTCGTCTCTCTTTCCATTCAAAAGCAAAGAATCTCTCTAATACTTTCACAAAAGCCTTCTTCGCCTCCCTCCGCACCAACCTCCGCCTCAACGCCTCCCCACCCTCAAGTCCCCTCTCCACACCCCCCTCCCTGCGCGCATCCACCGGCACCCTCCCCCCGCCCTCCCCCCTCTCCTTCGCAACCATGGACCCCGCCGACGCCGAACCCACCCCCGCCCTCCCCGAAGACCCCCTCGCCAACGTCCCCGAACTCCACACCTACCTCACCGCCGACCCCGCCGAGCGCACCGCGGCTCTCAAGCTCGTCGCGGACAGCATCGCGCAGATGCGGCAGACCGCTAATAATAGCCTGATTTTCCACCCGTTGAACCTCGCGCTCTTCGTTGGTGTCCTGGCGGTGATAATCCGGTACATGATCAACGCTGGGCACGAACCGTTCATCGTCGGCACCACGTGCACGGGACTCTTGTGCATTGAACTGGTGCTGATACGGTTCTTGACACAAGATTATCTCCTAGCGGCGGAGGAGATCAATTGGGCGTGGTTGGGGGATGCGGATATGATAGTGACGAAATTCGGCGACGAGGTAATTGGGACGGTGGTGGTGGAGTGGGTTAGTGGGGAGGCGAGGGGGAAGAGGAAGAAGGCGTGGAAGGGGGAGATAAAGGCGTGGACGGTGCGGTTGCGGTATAGGAGGAAGGGCGTGGGGAGAGCGTTGTTGGAGGAGGCGGTGAAGGAGTCAAGGAAGAAGGGGGCGGAGGGGATTGAGTTTCAGGAGGGGCATGCTAGTGAGTTGAGGTGAATGAGTAGAAGAAGTGATGGAATACTGACCTTCTTGCAGATTCAAAGCGTGTGCTCCCAGTGTTCTACAGCGGGAAATTCGACAAGGGAGACAGGAAGGCACGGGAGAAGCTGCAGGACCTGCTGGGGAGTAGTCCCACGAAGACTAGAAGAAAGAGGGGCAGCAGCGGATAGATGACTTCAACGTATTAATGATCATGAATCTTGGAACCTCACCGACTTCAGCCCGTGTCTTGAGATTTCGGTAGGTCCACGTGCTTGTACCTAACATCCCAAGTCCAGTGGTCAGGGTGCTCGTCCCAGTCGTTCTGGCTCCAGCCATCGGCCGACCAGCCCAAGAACGGCAGCGCGACCACTTTTTCTGTGTTATCAGAACTCCTCGTCACGACCAGCGCTGGACAGGTGAAGCGCTTGTTGCCTTTGACTAGATGCAAGGCATTGTCGAACCGGTTGCCGTCGCCAGAGACAAGGGACTTGCGAAGGTCCGCGATATCCGCCTTGTCGAGAAACCGTACTCGAACTGTGCAGCCCTGTGTTGCCGCCGACGGAGATGCTGCAGGGTGGACGCGGAGCCAGTATCTGCCATCCCAGAGTTGCCATTGTGTCCAAGAAGCTGGTTGCTCTTCATTTCCAAGATGAACAGGCGGACAGAGTGTAAGCTGCAGTGTCTCTTTCTCTTTACTCGTCGGCAGACGACGGCAAAGGGTAACAGTCCGATAAACAGCGGCGCTGCGGTTAGGCACTCTCTGGATGTCGACCCCGGCCACTTGAACTGCGTGTGGTGAGGTCTCCAGATCGAACCCAAACGCATACTCAATAGCGCGATCCAGGCTCATCAGAGGCACTTCTCGAGCCGGAGTCACCAGGTTGATGATCTTGCGAAGCAGCGCGGCCTGCTCAATTCTTCCCATCATCGATATCGGCTCGGCGGACAACGTGAAAGTAGCTTCTCCGGCGCTGATGTCTAGTTTGATGTCCATTGCATCAAACATATTTGTTGCGGTTTCCTCGAGAGCGTCGCGTTCGCTAGCTTTATTCTCGGCCAATGCCAGGAGTCTGCTCTTATTAAGCGCCCTAGGTAGGGCATCTGAGCTGAGCAGGGAGCGAATAGTATTCCGCATGGTCACCGTCACATCCGTGTTCGTACGGTCCTCGAACCAGCGCACACCGTTCTGTTGGCAGATGGAGACGAGCTGCTCCTTGTCGAACGCCAGCAGAGGCCGAGCAATCCTTACGCCACCTTCTTCAACGGGGTTTGGCGCTTGAGTCCTCGTCTCGCCGAGCTCAGCATCACCGGAATGGTCTACGCCATACAAGCCAGCGCATTCCGGAATCGCCGCTTCGAATTTGATGCCGCGAAGTCCTGATCCACGGTAGCCCGCAAGCATCCTCATCATCACCGTCTCCGCCTGGTCATCACGGTGATGTCCTAGAAGGAGCGTGTCGATTCTTTGCTCGTGACACGCGTGACCGAGCGCCCGGTAGCGTAGCTTACGGGCTATGGATTCCATGTTGTTGACTCGTTGTGGGTCACCGTATGCCTTCCAGTCCAGGTCCAATATTCGTGACTCGATGCCTAACCTGGAGAGTTCGGAGGAAACCTTTTGAGCCTCGTGTGCACTGTCCGAGCGTAGCTTGTGGTTGACGATGAACGCTGTAAAGCCTGGTGGCGTGGCGGAGTACTTGTCTGTCCACGCCGACCTCGAGCTGGAATCAATCGCCTCTCTGCATAAGCTCGCCAGAGCCATTGAATCCACGCCGCCGCTGATGGCCAGCCCTGCGCCTCGTCAGTACTCGTTCAATGGCAGGAAGAACTTTGACGTCCTCACCTAGACGTAGCTTGCTGCCGTGGTTCCGCCATAACGCGTGGAGCGTAATGGCAAACGCGTGACGAATGTCCAGTCTAGGATATACTGCGGTCTGTGAGAGCCGAGCGAGGGACTGGACCTTCATACAAGAGCACTGTACGATGCAGATTTGACGTTGTTGATGTCGCCTTGCAGAAGAATGGAAGGCGCCGGGCTGAGGTGCCAGTTGCAAGTGTTCAGGGTTAGGGTTGGGGTTAACAAACGGACTACGACGACGACGAACTCTACGCTCCAATGTTGAAACAGAGATCTCTGTGCGACGGCACGCTTGGCTATTCGAATCGATACCCGAGCGGAAGGGGCCCGAGTGGGGTGTTATGTGGCAGGAGCGATGTGCGTGGCTTTAGCAGTGGACGATCAAATTTTGGTCGTCGGTGCAGGATGTTGACGACAATGACCACTCCCGGCAGTCACTGTGGACGAACTCAAGTACAAGCAAGGCATCAATGTGAGAACAAGTGGAAGAAGCTGGTATGGATCTCAACCAATCTGATACACACATAGCTAGAACTCACTAATCCCACCACCTACTAAAATAAACGACATTCTCAATGCCCACGGGTATAGCGCTGTGAATGCAGCAGGCCAGCAACGCCATCCGCAATGCACACTCTACACAAACCCAGCCCATCCACCCCGTCACCCTCAAACGCCCACAAAGCACAACATACGAAACACCATCTCACACCTCCTCAACCTCCGCCATCACACTCTCCCCCTCGTCCAACTGTCCCATAACCGTCTTCAAATTCTTCAGCATCTCCTCCGCATGCGCGACCAGGAGCAACTTCTCCGCATTCGCTGGCAGGCCCAGGTACGTAGGAGGCTCGCGCTCCGGCAACGCCTTCACCCACTGCAGGAAATCCTTCTTGGCTGTCCCGCTCGGCAGTACCATCCCGACGTCCTGATCTCCAGCCACTTCGCCGATGACGTTGAAACCCTCCTCAAAAGCGTCAGCCGTTAAGGTCTTATTGACGAGTGCAATGAGCTCCGCAAAATCAGCGGCGTCGTCAACCTTGCCGCCGTACATCTCTGCGATCAGCACACGTAGCATATCCCATGGGATGGCTCGAGGAGCGATGTTGGAGCGGCCGCGCGCAACGTGGTCGGTCCACCATTGGATGATGAAGGCGGAGCACTCGTAGTCGGCATCGTTGAATTCCCAGAGGCCTTTCCAGCCGAGGAGAGGTGCGTAGCGGAGTCGCTCTTGGACTACGGCGTGCAGGTAGGAGAGGAGGAAGTGTACTCTCGCTTTCTCGACTGGCTGCTGTACTGCCTTGTCCGGTAGTGACGAAAGCGAGTCTCGCATATTGGCGCGGATGCCGGCTGGCTGTTCGTACATCAATACCCGCGACGCTCGCAGTAAGCTCGAGGAGATCTTGGGGCTGGTCTCCATCGACAAGAATAGGCGGAAGTCCTTGTTCGGCTTGAGAGAATCGATGCGCTTGACCAGGTTTTGGAGCCAATCCGCGGCCAGATGTACGTTCTTGATGAGGACCCAAGAGCCATTCGCCGCAGCACTGGCCAGAGCTGCGTCGGCGCTGGCGACGCTCTCATTTGATCCCATCGCCACGCTAGTACAGTTGGCCTGCATGCGCTCGACGAGCTGGTCGACCTTGTAACTGGCGTCGAAGCCTGGGCTGGAGCACAAGGCGATTGGCGAGCTGGCTGCTACGCTCGTGGCGATGCGGTCAAGATCTTCTGCGACGTCCAAGAAAGAGCTGCCGAAGACTGTGTTGACAAAACGCTCGGTGGCGGGCACCAGACGGTCAACTCGGAATAGCTTAACCAGCAGAAGTTCGTTCAGCGCCTTGTCGTTGTCGTTACCAGTCACAGATGAGATACCTGGCACAGACTTTTCAGCCTCGTCGGCAGCGAGGAATGCATCCCAATCAGCATCCGAGATCTTCGCCACCAGATCCTTGACTGCTGCAATCCGTGACGCAGTCGCCATTGCCTCCGACCTGACCTCTGGCGATGAGATGGTATCGCTACCAGGAAGAGTTGGATCGATTAGAGTGTCAACGAGGCTCTTGTCCATGGCGTAAGGTGCGGCCTGTGCAAGCAACACTGCAAACGTCAAGCGGTCGCGCTGTAGAAGTGACGCTGAGGTTTCATGGTAAACTCTGCTGAAGAGATTCTGAACGATAGCATCTACCCGACGCTTGCCATCTTGTTCCGACGAGGCCCGGGCAGTTGCAAGCACCGACTCGAAGATGTCGACAAAGGACTGCAGCGAGAACTGGTAAAAGTGGTGGACGTGGTACAGCTGTTCCAGAACAGCGAAAATGGCCGAACATGATTGAGCGATCTTTTCGTAGCTGGTCATGATGTTGTTGACGTCTGTCATGACACCTTCGGTCTCCGCAGCCTTTGCAGTGATCTCTGCGGCCTCGTTCTTGAGCGTCTCCAGTGTTTGGATGACGTTCTCATCGTCCAGAATATTGCCACGAGATTCGTTGAGGGCCTGAAGCAGCATACGCTCGAGGCGGCGCAGTCGCTGAGTGAACTCGCCTTGCAGCTTGACGAGATTCGACCTCCGCTCGTCCACATCTGGCCGCTCCGACTTCAAGACGTCGTTCAAGGTCTGAGTCTTCAGACTGCTCTGGGTGACCGTGAAGTTGACAAAGGTCGTCCTACTGCAGACGTCTGGAGCGAAGCGTGCTGATGGATCTCTAGTTGAGAGGTAGAGCTTGAACGCTGGCGAAAAGTCAATCTCTTGCCGGCCAAGTTGAATCAAGACACGACCTCCAGTCCTCTGGTATTCCTTGTTCAACACATGGTTGAGTATCGGATCAATGTGCTCTGCGTCCTGGATCAAGATAGGGTTGCCGAACCGTAGTGCACTCTCCAATTGCTTGACGAAGGAGCTGTCCAGGAAGCTGGTCACCGTCAACTTGCGATCCTTGCTCTCGTTCTGCAAGAAGTCGGTAACACGTCCGGAGGGATCGATGATGAGAGGGTACCGGTTGTATCGCTTAAGCATGATGGCGTTCTCAGTGCATAGCTCATCCACCGGTAGAGCGTTCTGGTGCCACTGCTGCCGCTCGTCTGCCGTTGACAGATACTCAGAGAGCGAATTCTGCGACTTGAACGCAATGCCGGAAGCAGAAAGATGAATCGACCAGTCCTCAACCATTGCACGGCGGTACTGTTGGTCATACAGCCCAGCATACGCCAGGAACGCAGCGGCAAGGAAAACATCACCGATAATGGTCTCCATCTGCACTTCAAATGTCTTGCTGCTCTCTTCCCAACGGCCGCGCTCGGACGAGAGGCTGTTCAGCAAGCGCATGCTGCGGTCGACTTTTGATTGCACTCGAGTCATCTCGGCTTTGATGGCCTCAGTCTGGCTGATCAGAGCAGCGTACTCGGACTTGTACGTGGCGATACTCTGCTCCAGCTCAGTCAAGGTATTCTCGATTGCTTTCGCTTCGGCCTTGGTCTGAAGCGCTGCTTCTTCTAGCTGGTCAACCTCGTCTCGAAGAGGACCAACGCGGTCCAGGATCTCGGAGTAGTTCACCTGCGCCTCGACCCATTGGACAAGAGGCCCGCAGGCCTTACTGGCTCTGTTCACCTTCTCGAAGGTGAAGTCATCGTTCGACAAGTACTCCTTCCGCATCCGCACTCTCTGCTGGGGCGTCATCTGCTTCTCATTGTCGTAGCCAACGATGCTGGCGATAAAGTCGTCTCGCCGAATGATGCTGCCAATGCTCTTCCAGTCGACGATCTTGTGCCCAAGCAGGGTACATACGGCCTCCAGTGCAAGCTTGACACCCGCTGGAGGGTTCTGCATAGACCTGACCTCTGTCAGATGCTGGCGCTTGATGTTCTGAACGCTCCTCTGTGCTTCGACGACAGCAGGCTCCGCTTTGGCAAGGTCCTCCATGACCACTTGTCGCCTTGAAGCGACCTCCTTCTCTTGCTTCTCAAGCGCAGCCTGGACCTCTAGCGAAGTAGCACGGCGCTGCTCGGCCTCCCTCTGGTCTGCGACCATACGCTGCAGCTTCTCGCCTGCTTCTGCGTCCTTCTTTTCAAGCTCAGACTTCTTCTCTGCAAGGCTCTTCTTGAGCTCAGAAACCTTGTCAACTGTCTCGCGGAGTTTGTCCAATCCAACGTTCAGATGGCGTTGCTGCTCCTCGAGGTCATCACGCTTCTCGTTGAAGAGCTTGACGAACTGAGCCACAAAGTCCAAGAATTGTCGGGGCGTCAGGTAGGTCATCTTGTTCTGCTGCCGCTGGAGGCGTTGGTTGAAGTGGCGAAGAGAATGATGGACGTGAACCATGCCATTGACCACAGCATCACGGTGCGAGAGCGGCATCTCGAGTTGATCAAACTCTACAGGCAGGCTGTCCGGTGCGTTGTAGTTGCCTTTGTCAATGTCGACAGCTTGGGTGAGTTCATACGCCACCTGGTAGAGCGCCTGATCCGACCAGTCACCGAACCAGTTGAGCACACATCGATTGAAGAGCGCAGGGCTGGTCGCCGCTTTCGATGATAAGCCTTCGGTTGGCGGGTTCATGGTAAAGACCACGTGTAGATTTCGTACGATCTGCTGAGTGAACCACTTGTACAGCTCTTCTTGCGAGTCCAGAAGAAGGCCCTGTCGCTGAGCGCCTTCTTTGCAAGCTGTCATGAGGGTTGCATATTCGTCGCCTTCGAACAAGCCAGGCACTTCGCCGTTGGCCAGGAGAGTGTTCATCCGCTCCAAGAAGCCAGAATCGAGCACGTTAGACTCGTCCATGATGAAGCAGATCTTCTCTCCCTTGCACCCGCATCTCCTGAGCACGTTGCGAAGATCTTCATCGAAGTCTTCCGAGGAGTATTTGCCGTGGACCTTGATCTGGAACACTGACAAGCCGTTCATCCAGGCGACGAATCGTGAGAGGGTCGTCTTGCCGCTACCACTGACACCGATGAGGATGAGATGGCCCTGCGGCTGCCGGAATACCCGGTCAATCCGAAGGACATGCTCCAGAACGTCGTTGAACAGGACCAGTGGCACGTCCAATTCCTCTTCACAGAATGTGCGCAGTCTGGCTTTGACAAAGTCCCGCAGCTGATCGCGGCCGACTGGCACGTAGTTCTTCGACAGCCAGTTGGAGAAGAGGATCGGTCTCTGTAGCGCCGCGTTCTCGTCGATGTTCGGGAAGAAATCCAACGCAGCCTTGTTGACGGCGTCTTCGGTCCACTGGCGCTCATCATCGGCTATGAGTCTGTCGGAGAACAGTCTGAGCGCTTCATGAGCCCAGATGCGAACCAGACCTTCGAGTGACAGCGTCTCCAAGGGTCGGATGGCCTCGTAGATTGCACGCACCCACCTCGTCAGCTCACGAGGCGAGTAGACGTAATGTGGTTGAATGTCTGGTGTAAATCGGCGTTGCGATTGAAGATACACGTGGATCATGGCTTGCGTCAAAGCATCGGCGTACCCGCGCAGCGTTGGAATGATCTTCAGGATTGCATTGTTGAACGTTCCATAGATCTGGTTCAGCGAGAGCTCTCCAGGGTAGTCAACCATGACCAGTGGTGCGTGCCGTAGGAAACGGAGGCCAAGGGGAGTACGGCCGGCATCCGTAGGCGGATTGCAAGCACCAACGAACTGAATGCGCTCCAGCGTGACCCAGGTCTTGGTTGTAGTGCGCCAGAAGCCTCCGTGCTCCACCAGTTGTCGGAGGAAGGAGATAACGCGCTGTGTGCCATACTTATCAGGCGCTGGCAAATTGATCTCATCGCAGAAGACAACAAGCCACCGGCCGATCTGCCTTGGTGCCATCGTCACACCGCTAAGAGACTTCTTGTAGTCGCAGTATTGCTCCAGCGTCTTAACGAGCAGGTCGGGGGTTGTGGCGCTGGAGAAGTTGAGTCCGACAGTCTCCATGTTTGGCAGCTTCCTCAGAGCACTGAAAAGCGTCATCGTCTTGCCTGACCCAGGAGGTCCGCACAGCAGCAGTGGCTTATGTTCAGCCAAGAAAGAGTAGAGCACATCTTCGTGTCGGACGGTGTCCAGGGTCGGTATGACCAGATCTGTCTGAGTAACAGAGTGCGTGTTCACCTCGATCGAAGGCACTTGGTTTTGCCACGGCGTCCAGGCGCCATCGGGAAGCGACACATCGTAGTCGATCAAAGACGACTGCTCGGTCAAGACAGGCATCTCCACGGCAGCTAGGCCTGCTAAGAAGTCGCCGAATGATTTGCGGTCGAGCAGTGGACAGTCGCCAGTGAAGGACCAGACTGCGGCGACCAATACCTTCTTGGAGAGGTACGTGTCGATCTGCTCGTCGCTCAATGGGAAGTCCGAATGCTGGATGTTGTACTCAAGGACAGATCTGCACGCCTTGCGTAAGAGCGAGAACAGCGTACCCAGAGCCCGGATGGAAGTGAACTCCATGATGTGCTTGAGCGGCTGGCATTGCTCCAGCGCTTTCTTGGTGAAGTCGTCCGCTGTGAGTCTCTGCCTGAGTATATCCGCCATGAGCGACTGCAATGCCAGCCTTGTCTCGACGGGTGCGGATGCTGCAGTGTCGTCTTCGAGGTCCTCGAACGCGGCGGTGGCTAGCTGAGCCAGGTTTCTTGACAGCATTACGTCCAGTTCGACAGTATCGTCGCTGAACCAGACCATACCACATCGACTCACAGTCGCAAGAGTAGCGTACTTGAGTGTCTCGACCTCAAACATGATGCGGACGTTGGGAGGTAGGCCAAGGCGCTCACCGTTTGGCAGCGTCAAGAGCTTGTTGTCGTCGAGCACACTGTTGAGGTTCTCCACCCACTCCGGATCGACGTCTCCGTCAAACACGATCCAATGCCGCTTGCTGTCCTCGCCACGGAGATTGTCAACGACCTTCCTGAGAATGCTGGTGAAGAGGCCATCGGTCCATTCCCTTGTCGTGCTGTCCAAGCTGCCGTACAAGCTCTCCTTCGACATGACCTTAGGGTCGATGACATGGCAGACCCCTTCTACACCATTCACCTTTTGCAAGGCTGCCAGAAGAGCCTGCCAAGCTGTTGACTTGCCAGTGCCAGAGCTTCCAACCATCATCACACCATGATGCAGGCTTTGGATCTGGTAAAGCTGGATAACCTTCGTGATCCATGCATCGGTAGCGACAAGCTTGCGCTCTTCTACAACTTCTTGAAGAGCCTTGCGAAGGTCATCCAAGGCTGCGGGCATGTACTGCACTCCAGGAAATGCTTCAGCTTCGATTTCCTGCATCCTCAATGCGTCATGTCGAACCAGCTTGGGTGCGATGGTCTCTCGAATACTCTGCACAATGATCTGCGGCTCGACAACGGCGTCTGATGCTTGCTCGCTGCCAGCAGCCAGTCGGAGCCTCTTAAGCCCACCAGAGCTGACGAGCACGCTCTTCAATGCACGCAGACCGAAATCGTAATGTGGCTGATCGGAGAGAGTAGCTTTGCAAGTATCAAAGAACGGCACTGTTTGTCGTGACAGCGCCTTCGCCTCTGCAAAGCCCTGGGAGAACAGCATAACTTCTGCAATGACTTCCTTGTCCGGCTTGGACATGGCGACACTGCGGAACAGCTTCTTCAAATTGTCTGGCAGATTCGAACGACCAGCGTAGCCCGGGTTCATAGTGATGAACATGCCGGTGAGCGGGTGGACTTTGAGCTGGCGGCCGATGAGCTCGATTTGTGCATTCACATCCTGGACACGCTTCCGCAGGCCGACTTGGATGTTCTGAATCTGCTGCGACACAGCGGACAAGATGCGCTCCTCCAATCTGTTGAACTCATCGAAGCACCCCCAAGCACCGACCTGCGACAGCCCGAGGAAGATACGGCCCATAGCCTGGAAGTCGAAGGTGTCGTCACAGTTGAAGACCAGAGTGAATCGTCCCAGCTGTACACCGAGCGCCTTGACTGACTCAGTCTTGCCAGTACCAGCTGGTCCGTAAGGCGAGCCACCCAGGCGTTGACTCAATGCCTGGCTCAAAGTGAGGAAGCAGCGGTCTGTCAAAGGAGTCCTTACGAGTCTCTCAGGTACACCCAAGTATTCGAACCCGTAGGCGAGCGTGGCATTGGCGACCTTGATTTGCATACGCTCCAGCGGCGCCACACTAGGATCGAAGTCGTATCGCATCTGCAGCAGCCACATGTAGTGACCGAGTGAATCTGCACTGCTCTCCATGAGCTTCGCCACCACATCGCGCTGGTGCACAAACTCAGTGATCAGGTGCTCGCACTTCTTTCTGTAGATCGGCTCAAGGTCTCCTAGCACCGTCGCGGCCAGGAATTTGAGACGCACCACTAGGGTGTCGAACAGCTCTTGCAGTGCTGGGCCACCTTTCTGGAGTGCAGCGTTGACCTGGTCGGTCCAGCAAGCTTGAGATGCGAGGACGACTATCTGAGCCGGGTAGTTGGTGATGTAGTCCTCGAAAACAGATGTGTTGTCTTCAGTGATGTCGGCAAACTCCTTGACTGCATCGACCAGCGAGTCTGAAAGCGTCTCCCGCATGCCAGTCTCCAATGCCTTCAGCCAGTCGTTGATCTTCGGAGTAGCTGTAAGCGAAATGGGCTTTCGCAGCATGATCTGCTCTCCTTCCTTCGACGTCAATCCCAGGATGTTCGTTTCCGTTTCCTCGTCCATGACAAGGCCGGATATACCAGCGAACATCTTGCGCAGGTGCTTCGCGATGCGGAGGGTGTCGTTGCTGTTGCCGATGATCTCGAGCAAATCCTCATCACCAACGAAGTAGAAGCGTGGGAACGATACTCTCTCCTTCTCGAGGTACTCACCGAGTGCTTTCTGGATTTTGTTCAACAGATCCGCCAGACGCTCCAGTGACTTCTGCACATCCGGGATATTCAAGACCTCGAGGACCTGCGGGGAGCGGTAGACCTTCTTGAGCACATTGGTGAACTCGCTGTTGATGTTGGCAAAGCGCGCCGACTCGATTGGTAGCAGGTGCTTGATGTCGGCATTTCCAGTGAAGACACCCTCGAGGTAGACCCACTGCCGTTGGACGTCGATCCAGACGTCGAACAGCACGTGGATGCGGTTGAGCTTGTCTTCCCAGGACGATGCCTCTTCCTCAAACTCCTTGTAGTATGGTGAGTGTCTCATAGCCTGCAAAGAATTGAGGTGATCACTGCACTTGGTGAACAGCTCGTCCCAGCCGCGAATCAACCGGCATTTGTTCTGGTAGTTGACCAGATCGAGCGTGTAGTTCTGCCAGTGCTCGCGCACAGATCGCACGAACTCCTCAAGAGCCATCTCGCCTTGCGCTTGCGTGATGACATCTCGGATGGCTGACTCGTTAACACCCAGCTGAAGATCCCAGACGTCGCCAAGTGTCATGGATATGGCAGAGTACCGCTTCGATGGCTGCAGTGTCTTGAAGATCTTGACCCAATGCCGCTCACGCACAGCATCTGACCGCAGCTCTGTCAGCAACGGGTTGATCTTGAGCAGCTGGCGCAACACCGACTGGACATGCTCGAACGCAGCATACTGTCTCATACGGCTCGGCATCTCTTTCGTAGTCTTAATGAGGTTGTCGAGGGCCTGGCGAAGCTTGCGCGGCTGGATGCTGTTCCAAGGCTGGTCACGAAGGTCGTTGAGCTGATCCCAAACAATGGTGAGGTTGGCCCATACTGACTTGAAGTCTTGAACTTCCTCCAGTAGCGTCACCAGCATGTTGTCAGGACCTGCAGGGAGCTCCAAGGCCTCTTTGGCTCTCGACACCATCTCAGACTGCTCACGAAAGTGGCTGAGCTCCTTGTCGAAGGTATCCAGCGTTGAGACAGCTTCAGCCGGTGGTATCGAACCAGACACAGGTCGCTCCTCGTTCCATCGCTCGGTGACTTCGGCGACCTTCCTTGAGACCACACCATCTTCCGCGATGATCTTGGCTTTCAGTGCGTCGGTCTGGTCGGCAATGAGCTTGCTCTTCCTCTCGAGCACCTCCACAAGCGCCGTCCATTCGTGGTCGACTTGCTCTACGTAAAGCCAGTCCTTGGGGTACTGAAACCTCAGCCTTGACAACGTCTGCTGTCCCTGTCGGAACGTCTCCATCTCCGGTTCCCACACCTTGGTCTGCCGTTTGCAGTTCTGGACAACGGTGATGAAGGACACTGCTTGCGATGTTGACGAAGCTTGCATTGACTGTCCCTCAAGATCCTTCCTTGCCCGCTGCAGCTCGGCATAAACGTCCACCAAGCGTGTAGCATAGAGGCCGGAGAAGTGGGCAAGAAGATCATGCTGCCATTGATCGTACTTGGCATTGACCTTCGCTTGCACTTGCTCGTAGTTGATGACCAGATGGCCGAATGAGCGCCGCATCCCCGACGTGTCGAACGTGTCTCGCTTCTGCCGGATCTCCAGAATGAGTTGCAGCCATAGATCGAGCTCTTCGCCCAAGTCATCCTGGATCTGATCGAGCTGTAGATCCCAGAGACTCTGAAACTGCAGCCATTCATCCACGTACTTCTGAGCAACGGAGAGCTTGAGGTCAATCTGCTCGTACAAATCACCAAGAGTCTGAATGCACATCTGAGCAAGCTCGGTGTAAGCTGTCGCTTCCCTCGCAGTCCCCACGGTCAAAGCACTTTCGAATCGTGAGGCCTGCAGTTTGGGCAAATTGCATACTATGCCGAGCCAGTCGTGCAGATTGGCCAGCCAGCCAGCTTTCGCATCTTCCAGCGGAGGCTCTAGCTGGATCAGCTGATTCTGCATGACGATGTCATGAGCAGAGGTTTCGACGTTGGGCGTGCCCGGCTCCTTGTTCTGTTGCTCGTCCGGCACACCAAGATCGAAGTCGGCATTCCAGTCCTTCAAGGCTCGTTGCAGCCTCGCTAGTAGCGCGTCGACGACCTTCTCATTGGTCTTCGTCACCCAGTAGCCGATGTTGGCGTAGCCTTCGAGGTTCAGCTGGTCGATCGATCGTTGCAACGACTCAAGAAGAGACTGGAAAGCATCGTGAGTGAAAAGGCAGGTCTGCAGCTCTCGCAACGCAGCATCCACCGCGACCTGTATAGTCGAGAGCGTCGAGACTTTGCTTTGAAGAGTCGCGACGGCGCTCCCAAGATTCCGCACGAACTGCACATGCAGCTTGTCGTCGCCTGAAGATCGTCCAAGCACATCGTCTGCCTGATGTCGGACGTGGACGTCGTATGCCAGCACGAAAGTGTCCCACCGTAAAGGCGTTCCTTTTGCGATGAAGGCCTGCACATCATTGCGGTAACCACTCAGAAGCATCGTGACGCCGCTCATGGTAGCGATGGTCTGGTTCGTTTGGCCAAGTGTGTTCAAGCTCTCCATCAAGCTGACTGCGAATGGATACACACGCCGAGCCTCTTTCGAGACGTTGCTGATGGCATGGGGCACGTTGAAGTTCAGCCAGAGCAGATTACGGACCTCCTTGAACAAGGTGATGACCTGGGAGTCAAAGTTCACGTAGATCTCAAGCTGGTTGCCCTTCGCACGGTTTTGGCTGATAGCGAAGAGTCGTCCAGAGATGGAGAGATGCCGCCGATTGATATCACGCAACCAGTCGTCGAATACTGGCCTGGTGTCGAGCTTCTTCCGGAACCCTTCACCCAGATTGTAAAGCTTTTGCCCATCCGTGTGCTGCGCCCACTGCGCTCCCAGAATGTCTTCCACTTTGCCCATGTAGCTGTCAAGCTGCCTTTCGATCTGGCGAGCTCGGATGATGGCGCCAGATATAGGAGGAAGATCGTGCAGCTGTGCCATGGCGTGAGATTCCGAATGGCCGTATTGATGAGTGAAGCGCTCCTGCAGCGATTCGATGTCCTCCCTGACGTTGCTAATGAGCTGGACCTGATACTCTGCGATAGCACCGCGAATTTTGGGCCGGACAAAGAGTGCGTTGAATTTGGAAAAGACACGGAACATTTCGTTCGCAGTCTTCGCAACAGCCAAGCGGTCTCGAAGACGGGCGATGATGGAGTTCTCGACCCGCGACGTCCTCTCATTGTACGCCTGCTCGGCCTGGGTCCAGAGCCGAGTTCCTTCAGCTGAGACGTCGAGCACATCGACGTCCTTAACGACCAGATATGCTTGCGAGATCTCCTCGATGGCATCAACATCGCCCATCTCTTCCACAACGACGTTACCATTCGCGCCTTCGCCTGCGTCAATCTCGCTGTCGTCAGGACCCAAAACATTGACGATTGTCCTCTGTAGCTGCTCATGGTTCTTGCGGAAGTTCTCGATGTAGCTCAATCGGTCCTCTGTGAGGTTGTGCCGCTTCTGGATCTTGATGGGAATGAACTTGCCGCCTCGCCTTCGAGTGATGTCTCGCGCGACGTTGGTGAACTCTTTAATGTCGTCGTCCCAAAACGCCCAGATCTCGCCCACTTGCGCCACAGTCCGCTGGAACTCGTCAAACGCAAGGTGCATCAGTGTTCGGCCGTGCAGTAGATCATGCAGACGGTTGTCGAGATCGGCGGAGATGGCCTCCACCAGAGGCAGTGCTCTGTAGACCGGGTATGTACACACACGAAGCTTCTTGTTCAGGTGCGAGAAGACATCGTCTAGAGTGTCCCGGAGCTTCTCGATCGATGTGGCCGATAGCATCTCCTCGATCGGGAAGCCATTGAAGAGTTGGTTGTACTGCTGTACCTTGTTCTTCGTTTCTCTCAAGCCAGTGTCATCCCTAAAGCTCGCTGTGGTACCATGTCTCTTCGCCTTTTTGAGTATCTCCATCGTCAGAGAAACACCACCAGCGCCCATCTGCACTTCGATACTGTCGATGGCGTTTTCCATTGCTAGCCAGTAATTCTTCTCCTGCGTGGTGGTGAGCACAGGCCGGTCTTCAGCCGTCTTCGTGAAATGCTGTATCTGTTTGATCCACTCGTTCGCCGTGCCTTGTAATCGGTTGAGGAATTGCCCATCGGTGACCAGCTCATCAGGTATCCGTGTAGCAGCCTCTTGCCAGTTGCCCTTGCTCTCAGCGAGCTGTTTCCTGACTGCGTCGTGGACTTGCAGCTGAGGTCCCTCCACCTCGATATTCTGCTGAAGGTTCTGCAGGCTGACCTCAAGGTCTGCCAACCTCCTCCGAGCTCCAGACACACCTGTCCGTGACTCTCCATCTTGCCTCAACCTCTCAGTCGCCGATTCGGATCCTCTCGCTGCGGCCTCAAACAGGGGCGTGAGTGCGCCGCGCACGAGTGAGTGAAGGCTCTCGTATGGTGAAGCCGCCGAGCCTGAGTCTGCGCCACCCAAGCTATTGCCGAGTGGGATGTTGACCACGGAGACCTGGCGGCTGATAGGCACATCAGGCGAGAGTGGTATAGGCCGCTTGAGAAACGCCACGCAGCCAATCGTCTGTGAAGAGTATGCAACTTCCGAGCTGAGCGTATACACCTCCTCAGCGTGTGGGCCATCGCCGTTCACCTGCCCATTCTGCTGAGGGGTCGCGGCCTGCTTCAGCACATAGAGTGCGACTTGAGACTCGAGCGCGAATCGTGTGCATCGTGCGACAGTGTCGTCGATGACTGACTCATGCAAGAGGTTTCCAGGCTGCTCTAAGTCTTCTCTTGCCGCACCAAGTGTCACTTCGAGAACACTGGCAAGATATCTGATGATGTCGTCCGGATTGACGGTCGGCTGCGATGAGGATGTCGTCGGTGTCCCGTTCGCCAGCCCGTTGACACCTTGGACCAAGGGGTCCTCCATGATGTCTATCGTCCTCCAGTCTTGTGATGTGTCTTCATCGTTCTCCTTCCCCTCCAAGTGTTCAGGAGATGCTGTTTTAGTGGCCTTTCGCCGATTGCGCCAATTGTGTTGATGTCGATACGCTTATTTCAGCAGCGACGGTAAGGTGTCTTCGAGCGAAAAGTGGTGCGTTGGCCGTTCGTTGTGTTGTGCTGGTTGATATGTACAACCTACATGTATGATGAACCGCGTTCAAGAGTCGCGTACACTTTGGCTAGTCCGGAATTAGCCGAAGCTAGCTCGCTGTCACGTGCGACTTCAGATCGCCTTTCGTTCTAACCGGAGGATCGAAAGCTTCCATTGCACGCAGGACGAGACAAGATGCGGTAGATATTATATACCATTTATCATTCGTCCTATATACCTTTCGCTAGCTACGTCAAACCCAACCACTCGAACAGCACTGGGTTGCCCTCTACTGCTAGCCAGCCAATGCCTTCAGAGGTCAGTAAAGCGCCACACATAAGTCCTGGAGAGGGCACATACCTGCATATACAACGAGCTTGGTGATGACTTCGGCATCGTAGCGTATTCGCGGTTTCTCAAGAGCGGAGAACATCTCGCGATCGTTCTTAGCCTCCTCTCTACTCCCTTCGCTTGGCGTGCCAGCGTCGCTTCGTGGAGGCGTAAGTAGACTCTTGCTAGCTTGCTCGACCTCCATAGACGGTGGAGGGCTCTGGTCTGCCGTACTTCCGCCCCCGCCATAGCTTGAAAGCGGTGATGGCGGGTGTTCGGCCGATGTCGACAAGCGGCTGGCTCGAGTTGCGGATCTGTCGTCCTTCCGCTTCTGTTCCCGGTTGGCGAGATACTCACGAGCATCAGCTTCTGACTGTGGACCGACGGAGATCCTTCGTCTGCGCGCTGTTTTAAAGGAAGAAAGCATTGAGGGAATGTCGGCGGCAGCAGGTAGGACGTTGTCGTCTCGCCTCAGTTGTGGCACCTGCTTGTAGTCTCTGCAGATGGTTAGAGGGTCGATTGAGCAAAGCAATGTTCTTTTATCAGACCTACCTAGCTTGCAGAAAGTAGCGACGAGGAATCATAAGACCCCACTCATCCACAAATCGAAAAGTTGGGGGTAGAGTCTTTAGTAGTGATGGTTTAGCGACGGCTCGCCATAGGAAGATCACGACAATGCCACCCAGCAGACGCAAGCCAGACCTAAGCAGATCCAGGTTGGAGAACTCGTAATTCGCTGAGAAGGGCCTTTTCACAGCTCCGCTCGCCGCGACGCGCTGCCAGATGCCAATCGCGATTCCCATGATCACTCCGTTGAACGAGACACTGTCGTCGAAGCAAGGACAATTGTCGGCTGGCTCTGGGTGAAAACGGACAGCAAGGCCCAGAGCCACAACCGCAATGCCCGGACGGGACCAGCCGTCAGCTACCACCCAGGTGGCATAGTCTGTTCCGAAAGCGATCCAGAGCCAGGTGATGAAAGCTCCGAGTATAGCGCCGATCGCTACATCGAAGAAGCCGTGCATGCCGCAGTACATCCTGCCGAGGGTGATGGAGATCGCATAGCAGTAGCAGCCAAGAGACAGCAGCGTGTAACTCGTACTTGATAGATCATCCTTCTTGAGATAAAGCTGGTAGACGAAGTAAAGCGCTGCCGACACCGCATTCGTCGTATGGGTGGACGGAAAGCCATATTCCAGCGCCGTCGACCCAGACATGGTGATTCGCTGTAGAGGTGGCGACAATGGCCGTGGTAGGCACAGCATATCCTTCATGACACCGCTAAGATAGACACCCATAGCCAGCATGTGGACTAGTGCAAGTCCAAGATCAGGGTAGCCACACCAGAAGCAGATGGGGAGGAAAGCCATGAAGAATGTGTGTGTTCCTAGATTCGCTGTCACCGAGAAATAGGAGTCCAGGAATGACGAGCGACAGACATGCTGCATCTTCGCCAGGTATGGCGTCTCCCACCTCACAACGGGGATCAGCCTTTGGCGCAGTCGATATCGCCATCGTGGCAGTCGTCGCTCGTAGTGCGTAAGCGCTCGCAGTCCAGCGTCCGGGTCTCTGCTTGGTGATGGCGAGATTCCCCTCGCCTGCGTTGCAGCGCCTTCATCTTGTGTCGCGGCGGACATCGAGAGGGCAGGGCAGCGGTATGCGGTTTTGCGAGTTCATGGCACTGATAAGCAACTCAACGCCTTGATCGCGACTTGGGGATTGGCGTTGACGTGTCGAGAAGACGGTGCCTGGTTATTCAGTATCCATACTGCAAAGCGAGTTTGCCTTGGGAAAGTCTACTGCAGTGGTGGTGGTGGAGCAGGTCAATCTTGTTTCAACTGATATTCCCGCTTTTGCGCGGGGTCTTGGCTATCACATGCAACTCCAAGTTTGGTACATTCACATCCTGCTGTCGCTACAGACAGAGACACATTGTCGCAGTAAATCAATTGGATAAGGTGATATCTGCAAATTACTGCTGTAGAGAACAGCAACAGGTTCGTCCAACGTTAGAGCAAGGGGATCGAATATAGCATGTGACGCAAGTTGGGTCGCGGTTTCCTTCAGTTGCTTTGGCAACCACGAGTCAATAATGGCGAACTTTCGCATCTCTTCTTCGCAGCCAGCCCAGACTCGACACCCGTCCCAAACACCACTCCCACATTCCAACACCCCGAGACATCCATTCCATATCATAGCAGCACCACTACGCAACCATGTCCGTCGCAGCGGTCCAGAACTACGACCATCTCCGCCGCAAAAACAGCTCCAAGTCCTTCCTCACACGCGGCGACAGCTACCGACGGTCGGCGCGAGGCTCAGATGGCACAGTGAACACCAGCGCCAGCTCGAGCGCGCGGACGAACATCACGGCGCCTCCGGAGTATAGCAAGAAGTTTGTTGTGGTCGGCGACGGCGGGTGCGGGAAGACTTGCTTGTTGATCAGCTATTCGCAAGGAGTGTTCCCAGAGGTGAGTGGCCGTTCGCATCGCAGTAGTTGATTGATTCGCTAACGGGATGCAGAAATATGTACCGACAGTCTTCGAGAACTACATCACGCACGTCGAGCACAAGAACACCGGCAAGACTGTTGAGTTGGCGCTATGGGACACCGCAGGACAGGAGGATTACGACCGACTGAGACCGCTTTCATACCCAGAGACAGACCTGCTCTTCGTCTGCTTCGCCATCGACTGTCCCAACTCGCTCGAGAATGTTCTTGACAAGGTATGTAAGGCCTCAACAGATAATCGAGCGGTCCCACTAATGATCTCCCAGTGGTACCCCGAAGTCCTGCATTTCTGCCCAACGACCCCCATCATCCTCTGCGGCCTCAAATCCGACCTTCGCGGCAAGCGAACATGCATCGAGCTGCTCAAAACCCAAGGTCTCACCCCCGTCACACAACAACAAGGCCGCGCGGTCGCCGACAAGATGGGCGCCATGTACATGGAGTGCTCGTCCAAAGAGATGACCGGCGTACACGAGATCTTCGAGACAGCAATCGACACCGCCGTACGAGGACGAGAGGAGGAGCATGCGCAAGTGAGCGGCGCGACAGGAAAGTCCGGCGTGCCTGCGAAGAGGAAGAAGCGGAGTAACTGCAAGATTCTCTGAGTCGGTGTGCGTACTCGTTATGAGCCACTTTCGTTGACAGGGCACAGGCGAGGCGGTTGAAGCGATGCCGATGCTGATACGACACATTGGATCGATGCGGTTCTTTCTGCGCGGGATGCGCATGCTCCTGTTTGGCGGTCCGGTGCGGCGATGAGAGCATGTCCATTCAAGCATAGGTATGAGGCGTTCATGGTGTTGAACGAGCGCTGGTAGCCGCGGGTTGGGATTTGAGCGTGCATAACGGCCTTGAGATGAAGGGAGGACTGTCGCATATAGCGGTCTGGGTATCATTGAACATTCATCATCCGTGTCACTTTTCGTTCCGCCATCTTCTCATGCGGCATCGTTCGCCGCGCCCTCTTTGCTGTCCTTGGTGCCCTCTTTCTCCGGCTCCTTCGCCATCACATTCTCGAACTGGGACCACAGCCCTTCCACCTGGCTGAACTCATTGCCAACCTGGAGCCATTAGACGAATCTCAATAGCAGGAAAGTACATGCAGCGTACCGCTATCACGCCTTCCAGGCTGCGATTCAGCTTGTTGAGGTTCTGCAGCACGTTTTCTAGACTCTGCCTGGCATCAGTAAAGCTCTCTAGGCGTGAGTGTAGCATGTCTCGTACCGCCGCCACATCGCTGATCACCAACTCCCGCTGTTGTTCGAAGTACGTCTTCTCGCCAGCACCTGCATTGGCCGCGCTCGACATGGTGAGTTTGGAGATATAGGTAGGAGGTGTCGTTAAAATGGGAGACGGGAGACGCGCTGTGGAACGCGCCTGCCTCTTGAAGTTCAATGAGCCTCGGCATGAGGACTTCCGTCATGTCGTCCGGCCTCTCATTCTCCTTCTACAAGACTAATACAACGACAGAAATTGCAGCCATGGCTCGATAGGAGGATCGCAGGAACTTCAGAGAAAGACCGATGCCATGGAGTTCATGACCTCCCTCCAGGGCGGCTTGGACGAGCAAAAGCCATCACTCTTCGAGCTGCTATCCGAGCAACAACTCGGCGCCCTCATACCACCTTCGCTGCGCTATCTACTTGCCGTCGCAACCCACAGACATCCTCGATATCTTCTACGAGCGCTCAACTCCTTCGACGAGCTATACGCGCTCCTATCGCTGGTCGCTGAGCGCTATTACCTCAAGATCTACGGCGGAGGCTTCACAGAGAACTTCTATGGCCTCAAACGAGAGCGCGTACTACGGATCAGAGGAGGCGAGATCAGGAGAGCACAGCTTGGAGCGCCTCATGAAGTGCGCGAGACGCTCAAGCTTCGGAACAATGATGTGTGGAAGAACCTGGCGGTCATGGTAGCGCTGCCGTATGTCAAGAGGAAGCTGGATGAGTCCTATGATATCCATGCGGCATCGATCAATATGCTGGGTCCGGCTTATCAGGACCGGGAGAGGTGGCCAGAGGAGGGCACATTGCGACAACGCATTATGTGGTTGTACAAGTGGTTCTTGAGGAAGATCTACCCCAGCGTGAATGCGGCGTACTACTTCTCCTTGTTGGCATTCAACCTGGCGTATCTCTTCGATGGGTCGAAGCATCATTCGCCTTGGCTTTGGCTCATAGGAACGAGGATGCGCCGACTCAACGAGGCAGATGGCAGAGCGATAGCTCTGGCGACCCAGCCAAAACCCGCGCCAGCTGGACCAGGAGTACGGCCCGGACAGACGAGGTCTATCTTCAGCCCTCGCATGATGACCGAGACAGTGTATCCGCGGTTGCTGTCAAGCTTGAAGATCCTACTTCCAACTTCAATATTCGCTCTGAAGTTTTTGGAGTGGTGGCACGCATCAGACTTTGCCCGGCAGCTGTCAAGAAAGGCGAACGAAGGCCTCGAGCTGCCACCGCCAGTCATCTCTGGCTTGCTCGCGCTGACCAAGCAGAAGGCAAAGCCTACTGCGAACGAGGAGAAGGAGAAGAGCACGCTGCGCCGCGATTCTGGCTTGGGCAGCCCACCAGTATCGTCAACAAACCATCTCCCGATCCTCACCGTCCCAGCACCTGCACGCACCACCAATGAGAGTTCAAATACCACCTCTGTCTGTCCCATTTGCCTCGCGGACATCCAGACCGCTACAGCGGCCCAGACCGGCTTCGTGTACTGCTACACATGTATCTACAAGTGGGTCGACGGCACGCATCCCCGTCAAGAAGCTTTCATGGAGGGCTCTGGTGACGAGGAAGGGGCAAAGGGCTGGGTGGAAGAAGGCGGTGGCAGTCGAGCCGGGAAGTGGGAGAGCGGTGCCGGACGAGATGCGGTCACAGGGCGAAGGGTTCTCGGTGGCACGAGTGGGCTGAGACGAGTTATGGTCTGAAGAAGCTGACTGCTGGAGCCGTGAATGCATTGGTGATGTGGTGGGAATGTTTCGACATGAGCGCACACGTCAGTGGTCAAGCAGATCATCACGGGCAGACTCGACGATCGACGATCCAACCTACCTTTGTTATGCGGATAATCGTGCGATATGTACGGTCGCAAACCCTCCCACGCGAATGTCGCCGCCATACGATACCGCACCGTAAGGCTGGCTGTTGGCAAGCTTACACTCACCATGAATCAGCCGTCGAGCCCGAACCCTAACACCCAAGATCGCGATCTCCGGTCGACTGGCGCAGGAAACCACTATACTGAGATCGATCAGGCCAGCAGTGTATTCGATTTTGTCTTTTGGCGAGCGTATTGTCTGCTAATGTTGGACGAAGAGGCGCCACTTTGGCGGTCGGGCGCTTCAGCCGCAGGAAGGCCAAGCTTCTTTCACCGCTGCGCATACTAATGCTTCACGACTACATGAGCTTACAGTACTGTGCATGGAGCACATAGTCGGTGTGTTTTGGCGGCTTAACAGAAGCATAAGAATTCACCATGGCCTCCAAGTCAAAAGCGCTCATTGTGCTCTTTTCTTCACGGCCCAGGAAACGCCGCAACACACTTTCTCCGACATCAATTCCGACAGAAAACAGCTCGCATATCTCCAATGGGTCGTGGATACTATGAGCTGCCTCGAGACCGGGCACCGTCGCCGTATGGACCACCGCGACCGCGGATAAGGTGCACGCCTTCGAGCGCTCCCGTCGACAAAGTCGCCAGCCCACGCACACTGCCAGGCCAACGCAATGATCAACCCCATGTGGTCGTCCTTCCTGCAACCGGAGTGTCACCGTCGGCCGATTTTCAGGACCTGGTCAACATGAACAGCACCGCTACTATCGAGACCATCGGCGACGTCGCACAAATCTCCGTGGCACTTTCACGAAGCCCGGACGTTGTATTTGCGCCTGGCCTTCTTGCGAGCCACAGCATGTCTCCAGACGTTCGATCAGCGCTTGGTCGGTATCTGGCATCTGGCGGGAAGCTCGTCACCGAATCGAGCCAGCTGTCCGCCCTTCTTCAGCAGCCCCGCCGAGTCACCTCGCCTTCGAGCGATGAGGAGAGCGATGGGTCGAAAGAGGGGGATGGTCGGTCTGGTACACCTTGAAGATGGATGATATGTGGAGCAGGTGAGCGGTGCGGCTGCTTAGGGCGAACAGCTCATGGATGTGGGTCTGACGCAGCTCTGACGGTCACTTGCTCAATCGAAACGGACCATTGGAGAGAAGAGCGAGGAGGTATTCGGGCAGCTGGCTGTTTCAGCGGCTGTGCATGGAACGATGCTTGAAAATATGAGGTTGAAAGGGAGAGAAGAGATCATCAGGATAAATTCGACAGGGCCGCCTCGCAAGCGTGGTCAGTCGGATCCAAACGGCGAGAGCACCAATGGTTACAATGCAGAAGGGCTCATCTGAAAGAGGCACTGGTGGACCGTCAGACCAGGATCTCGAGGAGTCTTGATCATGCACCCGTCGCACAACTATCAGCAAGTCTCGACCGCTGGACAGCTCATTGAAGTAGTGGAGGTACTCAACAATTAAAATCAACCAGGAGAAGACACAGTGCGCTCATACTAGTCATGGTTCACGAGCGTCCATCTGTACCATCCAGAAGCACCCACAGCACCTACCACGTGCACAGCCTTTGCAACGACAGTCCCGACGAGCTGTCATCACGAGCCTCTGCCGCTGCCATTGTCAAACGTGAGGCGTATTCTGAAGCCGTCCTCTCTCACATCAGTGCTGTTCTTCTTGAGTGAGTGAGCTGAAGCTGAAACTGACTTTCTTCACTTTCAAACCATGACATGCACTTTTACTAATTCTTTGAGAACCTCAGCATCTGCCGAGCAGCCACTTGCTCCACGCTCACTCTCCCGAGCGGTCCATTCGTCAACATCATCATTTGCGCGCCCGCTTACCTGCTTTAGCCTCCAGCGAATTTCGACATTTGCCCCGCGTTTTTCGTCTCCACGCGTCTCTTCACGTCCTTCGACTTCTCGTGTCGTCTCCCACTCACACCACAGTGGAGTTCATTAAGATTCTTCCCTGCATCTTCAGGAACAGTTCTATTCGAAGAGAGGATGATGTGATTCGAACGGCGCAAAAAGCTCTCTGCACGCTAGACGTCATGCCGGCCCATAACAGCAGCTGAGGCTTCCAAATCGCCCACTCCACTTCCGCCGGTCATCCGCCGTACCTCACCCTCCTTCACTATGATGCTCCGCCACGCCCTTCGCTCGAGAAGAGGCTCAGTCATCACCTCACTGCCGGCTCCTCGGCACGGGACGTGTACCTGGCTGACATTCGCTCCGAACTGAAGCTGGATCTCCGGACGCTTGAACGCCCTCGAACGCTTGAGTCGCCGCTCACCTGCTGGTTGAAGGCTAGACTCCGCAGAGGATTACAGCATCGTCTGCAGCTGCCGTTTGATGCCTCTCATTCGCGGGACTTTTCGTCATGTTGTGTAACCACAAACTGTACAAAACTACAGGTAGGTCTGTTTCCTTATTCGTTCCCTGGAACACAATCTCTTACCCTATCGCTATCTCTCTACTCGCTGCAATGGGCTCTCTTGGCGAGCAGGCCGTTGCTCCTCATATCATTGATATCAGATCTGATGCTGCAGGCATTGAGCTTAAGCAAGAGATCTTGTCCGGATTGAAGCCCGAAGATGGAGGAGAGAAGACTCTGCCGACGCTCTTGCTCTACGACGACGAGGGGCTGAGACTTTTCGAAGAGATCACGTACCTGGACGAGTACTACCTGACCGAAGAAGAGATCGCCATTCTGACGAAGTATGCCGACCGCATCGCGGAGCGGATTCCGGAAGGGTCCAACGTGGTCGAGCTTGGGAGTGGGTACGTACCCCTAGATCTCTCGCTATGCGTGCGCCCTTGTAGGTCCTTTTAGGCAGTGAGTGACTGCCTATCTAGGAACCTTCGAAAGATCAAGATCTTATTAGATGCCTTGGAAAAGGCTGGAAAGCAAGTCCATTACTACGCCTTGGATTTGATGTACGATGAACTGGTCCGGACGTTGCAACTCGTTCCAGAAGGGACGTACAAGCATATCCGATGCGCTGGTCTGTGGGGTACGTACGACGATGGCCTTGCGTGGTTGAAGCAGCCGAAAAACGCTGCCAAACCGAAGGCTATCCTGTCGATGGGATCCAGCATCGGCAACTTCCCACCAAGCGAAGCAGTCGAGTTCCTGGCCCAGTTCGCAGCGGAGCTGAAACCGCAAGATTTGATGCTGGTCGCTCTGGACGGCTGTCAAGATCCGGACCGGGTATACCGTGCTTACAACGACCGCGGCGACGTGACGCACAACTTCACTTCGAACGGACTTAAACACGCGAACAGGCTGTTGGATTACGAAGCATTCCGAACAGACGATTGGGAAGCGACCGGCGAGTTCGACTCAGCTGGAAGCCGGCATCGTGCCTTTGTGACTCCCAAAAAGGACGTTACTATCGAAGGAACATTGATTAAGAAAGGAGAGAAGGTTCGCATCGAAGAGAGCTACAAGTGTAAGCGCAGCGATATTCCCTACCTGAGTATTCTAACATGAGCTGATCGTCGGGTGCGATGAACTTTCAGGGCCATTTCGCGAAGCCGAGAATCTGTGGCGGCAGGTCAGCGCGAGCGCCAAGGTCGGAGCGAATCGATCTCGCATCATAGAAGGCACGTCGTTCGCTAACGACGAAGGAACTTACTGTGCGTGCTTACCATCCCGTCTTGCTTTGGAATCTTTGTTTCCAAACCAACTAAATTACACATACCAAGGATTCATCCTAGCAAACACCTGTTAATCATTATTCAAACGCAGATCTACATCTCCTACAACGACCGGAGATGATCAGCTCGTCGAAGCCGGAGCAGTACGCTGCCCATCCAGTGCCAAGTCTGGCGGAATGGCATGAACTATGGAATACCTGGGACAATGTCACCAGGAAGATGATCCCGGATGAGAAGCTCTACGATAAGCCGATCAAGCTGCGGAATGCCTGTATCTTCTACCTTGGCCACATCCCGACTTTCTTCGATATGAAACTCACCGAGGCGACCAAGACGCCGCCAACAGAGCCGAAGTACTTCTACAAGATCTTCGAGCGCGGTATCGATCCGGATGTCGAGAACCCAGAGAAGGTGCATGCGCACAGCGAGGTGCCGGATGAGTGGCCGCCGTTGGATGAGATTCTGCGTTTCCAACAGGGTGTCCGCGATCGGGTGACGAAATTCTACAAGTCTGGACAGGCTTACGATGATCTCTGGACCGGCCGTACGTTGTGGCTGGCTTTTGAACATGAGATCATGCACATGGAGACATTGCTGTACATGTTGATCCAGAGCGACAAGACGCTGCCGCCTCCTGGAACGATGAAGCCGGACTTTGAGCAGTTGGCCGCTCAGGCCAAGAGGGATGCCGTTGAGAACCAGTGGATCGATGTCCCGGAGCAGAAGGTCACCATCGGCCTCAACGACCCAGACAACGGGGATGGACCGGTCAGGTATTTTGGTTGGGATGTGGAAACGCCTCCTTACACCAGGAACGTGAAGGCTTTCAAGTCGAAGGCCAGACCGATTACTAATGGAGAGTATGCGCAGTACCTTGCTGCTACGGAGAAGCACCAGCTGCCGGCTTCTTGGATGGAGATGCCGAAGACCAATGGGACGAATGGTGTCAACGGTGTCAACGGTCACACCAATGGCGATGCTGGACTGCACCACTTCTTGGAAGACAAAGCTGTCCGCACCATCTATGGTCCTGTGCCGCTGAAATATGCCCTGGACTGGCCGATCGCGGCCTCTTATGATGAGCTGAATGGCTGCGCCAAGTACATGGGCGGCCGCATCCCGACGCTCGAGGAGGTCCGAAGCATCTATCTCTACTCGGATGCCTTGAAGAAGAAGGAAGCTGCAAATGCCCTGCCCAAGATGATCCCGGCAGTTAACAGGTACATCCTCGCCTTCAACCCATATATGCTACTGTGCTGACGAAACGACAGCCACCTTGTCAACGAGGGCGTGCAGGAGACCCCGCCACCCCACCCTTCCATCAACGGCGCGTCCAGCGCCAAAGCTGGACCCAACCCGAGAGAGTTGTTCGCTGATCTCACGGATGCCAACGTGGGCTTCAAACACTGGCACCCGATGCCTGTAACGCAGAACGGCGGAAAGCTTGCAGGGTTGAGCGAGATGGGAGGGCTGTGGGAGTGGACTGCTTCGGAGCTGGTGAGGGTGGATGGGTTCGAGCCGATGAAGTTGTATCCTGCTTATAGCGGTGAGTTGACTCTGGAGTCGAATGCGGCAAGCTGGATTGAGATGCTGACGTTGGGACAGAGGACTTCTACGATGGCAAGCACAACGTCGTGCTTGGTGGATCTTGGGCTACCCACCCGAGAGTTGCTGGACGGAAGACTTTGTGAGTTCTCTTTGTTGCCCTCGAATCCCCCAGCTGGCAGATCAGATGGCTAACGTGTCGATTCCGAAGTGTCAACTGGTACCAACGCAACTACCCGTTCGTCTGGGCGGGAGCCCGCATGGTCAAGGACGCCTAACCCCTGACACCCTCCGAGTCTAACGACACATCAAAAGTTCTTACCTGTTATTCTACAAAACACTACAAAAGCATTCCACTCGCTTCAACCCAGTCTCACGTCTCAACATTCTCACGTGCACACCCGCTCCTGCCCAAAAGAACATGCTTTCCCCTTTGCACGTGCATCGGCCCGGGCACAAGCCGAAACGGACCCAACGTCATCGCAATGTTATTTTGCAAACGGAGAGTGTTTACAACCTCGAACATCACGTGGAGCTTTTCTACCGACACCACCGACTTTCACTCGTTGGGAGGTCAACAACCTTTGCTACGCCACGCCGCCACGCCTTGCCGTGCCTTGCTTTCTTGCTTGCGTTACCCACACCTGCTGATATCAAGAAAGGAGAACAGTAACTTCGAGGTCCAAACGGTACCGCGCGCGTTTTCGAGGAAGACAAAGAAGAACATAGGACCTTGCTACGGCTACCAGCGACCATCGGCGGCCACGACAAAGATCACTACCACGGCTACCAGCGACTACAGCAAAGTTCACCCTCGACTCGAAGAGTATGTACTCGGTCCTGGACACCGCAACAACATCGTACACACCCTCTTTGTCCTCCAGCAAGGACGGCAAATATCACGTTCGCTTCCAAGGAGAGACACAAAGTCTGTGCGCCACCACCACCACCGCACGCAAAAGTACCACAGGCAGCACCGCGAAGAAACGATTGCGCCGAAACCGACGTCATGACTAACGATCTCTATGTGTGGGAGGGCACGGGGGCGACAGGTAATGTTCTCCCCTTTTCTGACACTGTCTGGAAAACCTCACCTCATCTCCCGACATCTGATCCTGCCCCTGATCTCGCGCCTGACCTCACCTCATCCCTTCCCATCCCTGCCCCTGACATTACCCATCTCCCCAAGTCCTACACTTAGACTTGCTGCTAACCGGACTATGCTGCTGTCTAGTCCACCACTGCCCACAATGCCAAAATCCGCTCACCACCCCGCAAGCCCGGACGCGCTGCCTCGGCGAACACGTCGAATGGTGCAAGCGCTATCACACGCAGCTCTTCAAGAAAGGCACGAGCTCGAAGTGTCTTCCCTGCCACATGGCCGAGGGCGAGCACACGAAGCGCCACCGCGAGATCGCTATCACCATCACCGAGCTCAAGATGCTCAAAGCGGCAGTCGAGAAGGCAGGAGGCAAGGTGAAAAGTCCGACTGGCGGCAAGAAGGGGAAGAAAAAGCACGTGATCCTCCAAATCGCCGTCACGCAGGTCCAGATCGAGCATGTGGCGCGGATCCTGCACCCGGAGGAATTCGTCGAAGTTGAAGTTCCCGAGGGCGGCAAAGAGGAGATGGACGAGGAGATCTTCCAGCACCTGTTCTTCAACAAAGCCACCTCTTCCGTTCGCGAAACACGCAACCAATTCCTCGAAAAAGCGCACAACGCGCACCGTCGCCGCTCGTCCGCAGCCAGAGAAGGCTACCACCCCGAGAAGGAACAAATCGACGGCCTCCTCCAACTCCTCGACATCTCCCCCGCCACCAAGCACACGCCCTCCGATCAAAAATCACTCATCAACACCCTCCGCACCAAGATCGAAGAAGATCTCATCCAAGTGCACAACGAGACCAACGGTATCCGCCAGCGCAAGGGCGGCTTCTGGCGCTGGGCGAGCAAGAAGGTCTATAAGAAGTTCATGAAGAACGGGGGGTTTTGGGGGAAGAGCGAGAAGCAGGTGGAGACGGCGCTGGAGGCGGTTGAAGAGGAGGGGGATTTGACGACGGAGGATGAGGAGTGGAGTAAGGAGGATGCTGTGGGTGGGGCGGAGCTGGAGGCGGAGCTGAGTGAGGAAGGGGAGGGGGAGGGGCAGTACACCTTCTCCACCGCCGACAACACCGCCGCCGACCCTGCCTCGTCCGCTGTGGTGGCGCCGACCGACCTCTCCGCGCCGAGAACCCCCTCCACCCTCGCCACCGCCGACGACACGGCTGGCTGGAGCACCGTCGCCGCCAAGAAGGGCGCCAAGGCGAGCCCGGCTGCTCCCGGCTTCACGCTGAAGCTGGTGAGCAACGGTGGGCTCGCCAAGCTCCTGTAGGGTGGCGGCGGTGGTGCTGGGGGTTTCCCGGGGGAGAAGGAGGGTTGGTGGTGCTGTGGGGTTGGAGGTGGTGTTCTTGGGGAGTTGGTGGGGCGGAGAGGGGTGAGGGGTGGGAGGGGTTGGAGCGGGTTCTCGTTGGTGAGCGCATTGGCGCAGTGTTGTTGCAGGTCATACAATAGCACGAATTGAAGTTTTGAAACTAGAGAGTGGGCGCATTTCGTGTGTTAAAGTGTCCAGCTTCTCCCAATCTTTTGACGTCGTCAACATGTCAGCAGGTCGTGCAGTGGGGTGAGCGGACTTCCGACGGCGGAGGAGGGGGATCGTTGACATTGCTGACTTATAAAGTACCCAAGCTTCTCCAGTGGGAAGGAGATGGTTGATGCTACTGCAGCGGCGGGAAATGCCTTTTGAGGGGGTGGGTGGGGCGAGAGAAGGGGGGCGGAATGCCCCGTTAGGAGCCTTGTTCTCGTGGGCATGCGCATTGGCACAATGCACTATCAGTCGCTACAACAGCACAAGACCTCTTCCCTCCTTTGAGAAGAAACCATACCTCGTATCTTCGCTACGACTTATCCTCAATCCTCCTCCCCTTCCGATCAACCCGTTCATCCCTCGGATCGAACCCACCCCTCCCCCACCCCGCCCACTCAGGTGTGGCAGCCCCCACATAATCCTCCGGTCCAAACTCCTTTCCACTCTCCAAACACTCAAAGAAAGCCTGATAATCAATAAGCGTATGCCACCTTTTCACTCCATCCCCGTCTTCAAGGAAATACCGCTCCCGGTCCGCGAGCAAAATGCAGCAGCTGTGAGCGTGCTCGGCGCCGATGCCGTAGTCCAATCCCTTTCGTTTGAGAGCGGATTCCAGTGCGAGCACGAAGGAGGAGACTTCTTCGTAAAAGGGAACGTTCTGCATGCTCAACCCCGCGCCCTGGGAGGTAGAGGTGCCGCAGTACGTGACGCCTTTCACTTCGACGAAGCTAGGGCGTGCGCGCTCGACGAGCGCGGCGTAGCCTTCGGCTTCTTCGTCGATGTTGAAACCTTTGACTAACGTGAGGCGGAAGACTGTGCGTTGGGTGCAGCGCTTCTCGCGCAGGATGTCCATGCAGCGGAGGAAGCGCTGCCAGTAGTCGCGATGTAGAGGGCGGTCGATGCGTTTGAGGGACTCAGCGTTCGAGGCGTCGATGCTGACGTACAATTGAGTGACGTGGTTGAGAGCGGCGAGGTGGTCGGGGTGTTGGGCGTTGCAGACGAGGAAGGTGGAGATGCGTTCGCCGTGGAGGAGGGAGAGGAGTTCGTTGATGCGGGGGTAGAAGATTGGTTCGCCGACTAGGGAGAGGGCGCAGTGGCGGATGCGCATTGCTTCTTCGAATCTTTCTGCTCGGACGCCAGGGACACCCCGCAAGGTCTTGATCTTGCGGAGATGCGCGCCTTTCATCCCATCGAAGATGTCGTTCGGGTCATCGACTTTCCACCTCCAAGTGGTAGAAACAGGATTCGTGCCGTGGCGCCAGCAGAAGACGCATTTGTTGCTGCAGCTCAGGGAGGGCGTGGCTTCCATGCAGCGATGCGAGGCGATGCCGTAGAAGGAGTACTTGTAGCACGAGCCGCGGCCGCGGAGGGCGGATTTGGTCCAGCGGCAGGTTTTGACGCCAGAGTGGGTGCCGATGATGCTGTAGCCTTGTTTGGTGAGGGAGGTGTAGGTGGGGGAGGTTGTGGGGACCATTGCTTTGGGAGCGGCGGTGGTGAAGTCGACGGGGATGGGTGCTGGGCCTTTGAGGTCTTCGAGGTCGGATGTTTGGGAGCGGGTGGTGCGTTTGGGGCGTGTGGGTTTCGATTGGGTTATGGCGGGAACGTCGTCTTCGTCGTCTTCATCGCCGCTCTCGATGGCTTCTCCTGCACCTGGAGCGCCTTCGCCTAACCCTTTGCCTTGAGACACCTCTTCCAGTATACCACTCACACCAGTCTTCCATTCTTGCAGCCTCTCCTCCACGTCTGACCGCACATCTCCCATGCCCAACGGAAACGCCCTCTTCCCACCCGTCAACCTCGCCATCCATTTGTCCACAGCTACGGCATCCTTCCCAAACCCTGCCTCTTCGCTGGGCCATTCTTGTCGATCTCCAAAGCCAAATACAGCATATCCTGCCAGTCCAGATAAGGGTGCTGTATCAATCCGGAAGTCGTGATGCGTCTCCTTCAAGTGGTCGAGCAAGTTGTCGAGCTCGGTACTGATGTCGTAGGACGGGATGAGGAAGTAGTAGAAGTATACTGTATTAGCACTCGTGGACTTTGGAGGTGAGACGAAGAAGTCGTCGTAGTCGATCTCCGTCAAGTCGTGGAGCACAGGCTCAAGGATCCTCTGATTGTTTGACAGAACTCCTCGTAACTGCTCAGCGTAGGCTTTCGTGCTGCCGCCGAGGGAGAAGTAGAATATCAATGGCTGTATGGTCACCTCGTCGCCGTCCTTCGAGTCTATCGAGTCTTGCTTGGCTGTTCTCCTTGTCTTCTTGACGCCAGTTACTCGCTTTGGTCCGGACTTCTCTGCTGATTTGACCGCACCTGGCGCTGTCGGTATTGGCACGAAGTGCTCTGCTTCCACCAGATCATTCTTCGTCACTATCGGTACCTTCTCATCTACTGGGGACCCGAGGGGTGGTGTCAGGACCGCTTTCCGCCGAGTCTGTCGCCAATGGATCGCGAGACGGGCGCAAGCTATCAGGACGCCGGCGGAGAGGAGGATTTCCAGTCGATGGGTATGCCAGAGGAAGAGTAGCTCCTCCGGGAGCGAAAGCAGGCTTGAGGACGCCATTACTGGCAGTTGTTGGTCAACAAGCACTGTCAAAGCACTGAAGTCTGATATTCTATCCCCGCGATGGTGGGGTTGAAAACAGTTTGATTAATGCTGACTCAACATTGATGGAAGCTAAGTGATTGCGAGCGCGGGGATGGCCGATACTCCCCGAAGTCTTACACCTCACCTCCTCAGACGCGTGGGTGCTGGACATGGAGGGTTTATCAGCACCATCTGATCCACCCGAGGACAGCGTTGTCAGGCACGAGGCTGGTGCAGTCGCTGCAAACCCTCGAAAGCGGCCACGGGGTGACCGAACCGGGTTGACCTATGCACGAAAGCGAGCTGTAACTGCGTGCGAGCTCTGTAGATTACGAAAAGTAAGTCCAAATGAATCCTCTATGGTGTACCTCTAACAAATCCTCGGCTCCCAGACCAAGTGCGATAACCAGCGGCCGACTTGTGGTACTTGCGCTGCGTTCGGTGCAGACTGCACCTTCAAGGACCGAGAGACCGACCACTCGACGTAGGTCCACGGCACTCACGCAAGCACTACCCTTGCTCATGTGATCAGCTTCGATCAAGCCAGTCTAGCTATCCTCGATCGTCTCAACTATGCTATCCAGCTACTGGAGGACCCACCAGGAAGCCGAAATGCACCTGCTACAGCCACTACTGATCCTGGATCGTTACCGCACCATGAGCTTAGCAGTATCAACACATATGCTTCTGACAACGGCCATGGAGGCTCTAATGGCGCCGTGGACGGCGTCAACGCAGCAGCGGCAGATGCGCTCACTGTCAACACCCGATGCGCCTGCACTCACGTAATTGACTGGCCGATCTTTGCGGGCCGCATCAACCCAGCTTCAATCAGTCCCGGGTTGTCAGACTCGCCCAGTATCAAACGTGGCAGCTCAGCAAGGATCTCGGAGGGAGATGTTGATTTCCTTGTCCGAGACTTTCTCAACAACGTCCACGTCAAGAACCCAATCCTCGACCGCGGCGACCTTTTGGACTTCACCCGTACCATAGCTGAGGAAGGCTTCAAGTGGGATTCATCTTCGTGTCTTGTGCTCATTGCTTGCGCCCTGGGAAGCCTGTCGACTTCTTGGGAGGCAGCTGTTCCCAGCGCATCCGAGACCTCACTTGATGATGCAAAGTCCTACATGCTCGCCGAAGCATACTACACCGCCGCCCGCAAACGGTTGGGTCTGCTCGAGAACACTGCCCAAGCCACTCAATGTTGGTTTCTCGCTGGAGTGTATGAAATGTACTCAATGCGGCCTCTGACTGGATGGACATCGTTTAATCGTGCTTGTGCCCTCCTCCAACCGCGACTCTATTTACAATCGCAGAGTACTCCTCATAGCTTCGGTCAGTCCGACCGGCGCCTATACTGGTCTTGCCTCAAGTCCGAGACCGAGCTACGGGAGGAGTTTGACCTTCCACCACCAGGTCTGGCTCAGATGGAACACCCGGATGTCCTCCCGTCCCCACCAGAGAGCGCCGCACATTCCGGGACGGGCGGGATCGCCACTGATGGTGTGTGGGAGTCCATGCAAGAAAAGAGCTGGTACTATTACCTCTCGGACATAGCCTATCGAAGAATCGCCAACCGCACCGTGGGCGCATTGTATTGTGTACCGAAGGAAGAATGGCTCTCTATGCCGGTGCGGCAGCTGCAGCGCATCGCAGAAGAGCTTGATGCACAAGTCGTGCAGCTGTGGGATCACATCCCAGGCTCGCCCTCTTCCGCTCCCCAGATTGACACCGACGAACTCACTTACATGCTGTACTTGGATTACGCAGACCTACGGGAGCGCATCTGGCGGCCATTCCTGTACATCGCCGTCCATGGGCAAGTCTCCGAAGCCGACCAGCTCATTGTCATGGCAGGCGCGAACAAGTGCTTGGACACGAGCTTCGTGATGCTCGAAAAGGCTTTACTGAAACACAGGCATCATGGTTGTTGGCAAACGATCAGGTGCATGATCACGAAAGCCTTGCTTGTGCTTGCAGCCGCAAAGTCTCGCCGTGGAGAGATCAGGAGCGACTGGCGATCCGTTGTGCGTTCTTTCCAGGCGTATTTACAGTATTGGGAAACTGAAGCGCCCGATCTTGGAGCGGCGAGAAGCGCGCTGTCGACACTAGTTGCGGAAATCGACTAAGGTAGAAGCAGGAGACCTCTGTCAATGCTTCGAAAACCGCTGCCTTGAGGCTGCATGCAAGCTCAATCCACCGCAACGCAACAGCCTTAAGGATCCCAGGTCATGGTCTCCTTGAGTACGACAGGCTCAACGACCATGTCCATCGTCCCAGCGTTCTCGCCAATGCCCAACATATATGTACCGGCCTCGAGTATCCAGCGGCCTTCCCGCCAGTGTGCCATGTCTCTCAGCTGCACCTGCAGCGTGACTGTCTCTTCGGCTCCAGCAGCTAAGGTCCTCGTTTTCTCAAAGGCCATTAGCTCTTTCGAATCCACCCGATCCTGCGGCCACGAATAGACCTGCACCACCTCTCGACCCTCCACAGATCCGGTGTTCTGGACTCTCACTACCACGTCCCAACCTTGCCCTGGTCGCTCCACGACCCTCAGCTCCTGGACTTTGAAACGCGTATACCCTAGCCCATGACCGAACCACCACTGCGGCTGCACTTGGTTCTTCAAATACCATCGGTATCCCACATCCGTTCCTTCAGAATAATGCACGTCTCCGTCGACACCTGGCCACGCCTTTTTTGAACCGCTGAAATGTAGATCTTTGTATCGTCGAGGCCAGGTAAACGGCAGCCGCCCGGAAGGACTTGTGACGCCCAGCAGGACGTCCGCAAGCGCATTTCCTGCCTCTTGGCCGCCATACCAAGCTTGCAGGATCGTGTACGCCTTTTCCGCCCACGGCATCTCCACCGCAGAGCCGGATTGATTGACGATGATGACGTCCTCCGCTTTTGTCGTCTGGTCCAACAGTGCTTTCACGAGCTCGTCTTGAACTCCCGGGAGACGCATCGTCTGGCGATCGTAGCCTTCGCTCTCCCATTCCTCGTTCAGGCCGGTCACGACGACGGTGTAGTCGGACTCGTTGGCCAGGGCGACGGCATCGGCGATCAAAGTCCCAGCGAGCTCTTCGAGGAAGCCCAGTCGGACGGAGGGGTGCGTGCTCCATACGTGGGTGGGAGGAGCGTCGTGTTGCGACGTCGGCCCCGTCTTGGACGCGGCTTCGAGCACGACTTCATACCACTGATCCGCATCCATTTGAACAGACGCGCATGCCTCGGTGCTCGAAAAGGCGTAGAAGGCCTCGCCACGCTGCGTCCAGTCGTAATTATCGATCAGGCATTGCCCGTCGACCCAGAGCTTGGAGTGGCCGACGCTGGCGATACCAAAGGCGTGCTTGCCGGAGGTCTTGGGCCTGACGTGCGACGTTACCCGTAACGAATACGGTTGTCCGCTTTCCCGCAGAGATGGAGGACCTGAGTCTGTCAGGTCAATGCTTGAGATGCTGCGGTATTGCGTTTCGAAGATTGGACCCCTCAGATCAGGGGATGCGAAGAAGTCGACGCGGAGGAAGTTGGACTCGTGTTCTGCTTCTGGTGTCCGCGACGGAGATGTTGTCCACTGGTCGCAATGCAAAAGCGGCAGCCATTTCGTTGTGTACGCACCAGGGGCATGATGTACCTCCGCGTCAATGCCCCTTCTCGTAAGCGCCTGCTTGAATGCTTCGAATGGATGGCTGAGATACTGAGGATTCATGGTCGCCGACCCGCCTCCACCGGGACTGCAGACCTTCGAATTCGGACCGACGAAAGCAACCTTCTTGCCCTGCAGAGCAGAAGGTCTGAGTGGAAGGGTACCAGTCGCATTCTTAAGCAGCACGTGCCCACTGGCCGCTATCCTCCGCAACTCCTCCAGATCCAGCGCGTTGTTCGCGGAGATCTCGGTGCGGTTGCGTGATTCTCTTACTTGCTTAGGGGAAAGGCCGAGCAGGTTCATCTTCTTCGCCAACGACAGGACTCTTCCGCACGACCGGTAGATGGCATCTCGTAGCCCGGGATTCGGCTTGGTCATGAGCGCATCCATGAGTTTTTGTCCACGGTGGACTGAAGGTCCGGCCATCTCGAGGTCGCAACCTGCGATAACGCTCTCGACGGTCGAGTTGGTACCGCCCCAGTCGCTCATCACGAGGCCGTCGAATTTCCACTCGTCCCGGAGTGTTTTCTGGATTAGGGTTTTGCTCATATCCACGTGAGCGCCGTTTACCTGGTTATACGCCGTCATCACGCAGCCTGGTGGTGTGGCCGACCGGATGAGCATTTCGAACGGACGCAGGTATATTTCTCGCAATGCGTGCTCCTCAATTACGGCATTGATGCTGAACCGCTCGCTCTCCTGCTCGTTCGCGACGCTACACCCTCATCATTAGCTCTTGCCTTTCCACTCAGGAAACCACAGAACAGAACCCACAAATGCTTAACCGTAGCCACAACCTCCCGACTCTCCTGCACCCCAGCCACATACTCAATCCCCAGCGCCCCATTCAAGAACGGATCCTCCGAAAACGTCTCAAAATTCCTCCCGCCCAGCGGATTCCGCACGCAACACACCGTCGGCGCGAGCAGGATGTCGGTCGATTTGGACCGGGCTTCGCGGCTGAGCAGGCGCCCGAGGGCTTTGAGGTCGGCTTTGCACCAGGTGGCGGCTTGGGAGATGGGGGCGGGGAGGAAGGCGGCGAGGGGGCCGCCGACGAGGAGGTTGCCGCGGACGCCGGCGGGGCCGTCTGAGGTCTAGGGGGGTGTTAGGTCCATCGTGGAGGGGCTAGGTGGGAGATGGGGGTTCTTGCCTTGAGGGCGCCGATTCCCAGGCGCTCGATGCTGCGGGTCTGCCACTCGTCTGCGCCGGATAGGAGGGAGATCTTCTCTTCGATGGTTAGGAGCGATAGCAGGTGCTCGACATCTGTAAGTGAGCTCGGTTGGGTCGTGGGGTCAGCCATTACACAGACTCTCTCCTCGATGGATCTGGTTTGCGTGGAAGTGGCCATGCGTCAAGCAACAAGTCGTGTGAAGAGGTGCTCTTCAGCCAAACGGTCTCGAGGTGCGAGAGTGGGCGGCTCCATGGCAGGGTGAGGTACTGGATGCCGGTCGCTGGTTTCTAAATGAACACTGTCCCGGAGTGGTTGAGACGCCGTCGCAGATTCATGTTTGCTGCAGCGTCGGCCGGGACCAAGGGTGGGTCGGACTGTTATCAGCGCGACCGAACGATTTCAGGACTTCGCATCATTCGGTGCGGCCCAGAGGCACTACATGGACAAGATGGGGTGAATGGAAGCCGACACTCCCCTGGCCGCTGTGTGCAGTGAGCGGCCATTGAGTCGTTCGCGGTATCGGCGTTCAAGAAGCGACAATGTGGATCAATCGGAAAGTCAAAACACAATCTGGCCCGGGGAGTATCGGCAACGTGACCTCCAACAACCTCTTTCGCACATCTCTTGATCTGGTCTGGCGGTTCTGCCATAGGCCTTATCTAACCATGCTGTCCTAAGCTAAGTGTCCAACCTTCCATCATGCTGTCCTTTGTGCAGTATATATGTCGATAGGTATTCCTACCGTGCAGTCTTTCCTTAGCCATCATTCCACGCTGGTCTCAACGGCTTCACACTCGCACACCATGGTCTCCCAGATCGTGTCTACGTTCTCGAAATTCCCGTCATGGGTTCCTCGATCATCTGCCGTCGTTAACACCCTAGTGTTGGCCACATCGTTCAGCACGGCTGCAGTGAGTGACGAGTCTGCCTCGAACAGCCATGATCGATTACCCGACTAACACGAACCAGGTCCTGGGCTACGATGCATCCATGATGAACGCCTTGAACATCCTACCTTCATACACCGACTACTTCCATCTCAGCGCCGCCACTCTCGGACTGAACTCAGGCATCGTTTGGATCGGCGCCATCGTCGGCCCCATATGCTTGGTCAAAGTGCCCGATGTCATCGGTCGCAAGCCGGCAATATTCTACTGTGCTCTGGTGGCCATGTTGGGTAGCGGGCTGCAGGCCGCTTCGCAGAATATTGCGATGTTTTTGGTCGCACGATTCATACTGGGACTCGGGATTGGAGGGACATACGTTTCGGCGCCGCTGCTCATCGCTGAGGTCTTGCCCCTGAAATACCGATCCATTGGTTTGGGAGCGTTCACGGACTTGTACTATGTTGGTGGCTTGCTTTCTGCTGGTACGTGGCGTGAAGTTGGTGTCTTGAGGCGACCGCTAACATTCTCAACACAGGAATTACGTACGGCACGGCGCAGATGAACTCGACTTGGGCATGGCGCCTGCCTTCTCTTTTGCAGATCTTCTTCACGCTCATCTCGGTCATGTGCCTCCCGTGGGTGCCAGAATCTCCTCGATTCCTAGCCCATCAAGGCCGGCAGGACGAGGCTCTCCTCGCCGTGGCCCAAAGCTGTTCCAACTCCGACACCTCCGCTCCAGAGGCTCAGGCGCAGCTTCTCCAGATCTGTCAAGCTCTCGAGCTGGAGAAACACGTCGAAGCGCCGTCCCTCAAGCAGATCGTCACCACACCCGCGCTCCGCAAACGCATGATCATCGTCTGGACCGTCGCCGCGTTCTCCATGCTGACAGGCTCCAACCTCTTCTCCTACTACCTCGGCACCGCCCTCACCAACGCCGGCATCACCAACTCCACCACCCAGCTCGAGATCAACATCATCCTCAACTCCCTCTGCCTCGTCATCTCCATCGCCGGCACCTTCCTCGCCAACCGCCTCGGCCGCAAACTCCTCGCCATCGCCTCCACAGTCGGATGCATGGTCTTCCTCTTCTGCATCGGCGCCCTGACCAAGTACTACGGCACCTCGACCAACACGTCCGCCATCTACGCCACGGTCGCCATGATCTTCCTCGCGCAGGGTAGCTACAGCTTCGGCTGGACCCCGCTCGCGGTCATGTACCCGCCGGAGGTTCTGAACTACTCCATCCGCGGGATTGGAATGACGTGGTTCATCGTGACGCAGAACTCGATCCTGCTGATTCCCATCTTCGCCTTTCCCGTGGCTATGGAGAAGATTGGGTGGATCACCTACGTGTTGAATGGAGGCTTTGATGTCCTGGTGATTGTTGTCGTGGCGTGGTACTGGGTGGAGACGAGGAATTTGTCGCTGGAGGAGGTGTCGGGGTTGTTTGAGCCGACGGTTGGCGAGAAGCTTGTTGGTGTTGAAGAGGCGATGCGAGAGGCGGGCGCGGAGGGGGTGGAAGTACTTGAGTTGAGGGACAAGAAGGTTGCTGAAGCCCAGGTGGTCACTGTGAAAGGGTCTGAGAATGCATAGTAGAAGCAATCACAGTCTTTAGCTTTGGCTTAGTCAATGGGTGCTTTCAACGCCTAGTCTTCTATTTGACTTCTTCGGCCTGGCTTGCTGAAGCGACTCTTAGGATTGCGTTACGGTGACATTTGATTGAAGCTGACTCAGTTTCCATTAGTGTCAATCAAAGCTCAGTGCGGGGACGCGCCTGCCATCTGTTTGCCTTGGACAACAAGGCGACGACGACCTCCCACACCCCATCAACCGACCATGTAACAACACCACCTCACCACCACCACCACCACCACCACCATGGCCTCCCTCAACCCCCTCACCACCACCGCCTCCGACCAATGCGCGCACCTCCAACACCCCAACCCGGCCACCGTCACCCTCGCCTCCATCATCCTCGTCGGCATCCTGATCTCCTACCTCCCCCAACACATCAAGATCATCTCCCGCCACAGTTCCGAGGGTCTGTCCCCTTGGTGGGTGCTACTCGGCGGTCTGTCCAGCATCGCCGCGATCGGGAACATTCTGGTGCTTCCGGCGAGTCGCGAGGATGTCAAGTGCTGTAAAGAGGTGACAGGGGGAGAGTGTGCGGCGGCGTTATTGGGCGTGGCGCAGATTGGGCTGCAGTGGGGGTGTTTTATGTTCATGTGCGTCTGCCACCCCTCCCTCAAGTTCTGTACTGGACATGGCAGGGACGAGACAATCAAAGCTAACACCGCCTACAGCGTAATGCTCTTCCTAATCTTCTTCCCCACCCGCTCCACCCCCGCCGACCTCTCCATCTCCACCCCCTCCCTGTCCTCGACAACAACCCCACCCCGCCGCCGCGATGCTTTGCTAGTAACCCTCCTCATCCTTGCCGCCTTCCTCGCAACCGGTCTCACCTCCCTCGCCACCCTCGCCGTCTACCCCCACCACACGCAGTCCCTCGCCAACGCCCTCGGAACCATCGCCGGCACGCTATCCGGGATCCAGTATCTGCCGCAGATCTACTTTACGTGGAAATTGAAGTCGGTCAAGAGTTTGTCCGTGGTGACGATGTTGATACAGGTGCCGGGGGCGTTTCTGTTCGCGTTTAGTCTGTTTTTGCGGGTCGGGTGGGAGGGGTGGAGTACGTGGGGGGTTTATGTGGTGACGGGTTGTTTGCAGGGGGTGTTGCTCGGGTTGGCTGTGTGGTATTGGTGGGAGGCGAGGAGGGATGGGGTGGTGGAGGGAGAGGGAGAGGTGGAGGAGGATGGTGAAGATGTGGATGAGAGGAGTGCGTTGTTGGAGAGAGAAAGAAGAAGCAGAAAAAATGGAACGGCCAAGAAGGGGAGGCCGATCAATGGGACGCAGAGGAGTGCTGGGAGTGGCAGGGGGCTCGATTTACTCTATGCTGCAACGCCTCCAGAGCACGACTCTGATCGGAGTCAGTAGCCTTCGCTGGCTCGAGAAAAGAGCTTGGCTTGTCGTATTGCGCTCGCCCCAGTGATGAGATGAGAGCATCGATATGCCAAGCATTCCACGACCACGTTTCCGGCGACAATGGCAATTGTGTGAACGAGGTACAGTATAGCTTCCTTTGTTTCCTCATCACAGTTCTCAATGCGATGGATGTATACTTTCACCCTTTGTCTCTCTCACTTCCATCTCATCGAGACCAGACGCATACCGGATCCGGCCATGCCTCCCTCAAACAAAGACGACGCACGGCGTAGGCCATACACAATGGCGACCCCCAGTCGCCACGACGATGCCATCTGTACACCACCGTACGAACACCTTGGTAGCCGTAGAAATCGAAACAGAAGACAGCAGCCATGCTCAACCTTGCGGACCCAGCAAAGCCTTGGAACGACGTCGCCTCTCCGACGTCTCCCTCCGCGGCGGCCAGCGACAAGACCGCGAAGACGCCTCGCAAAAAGTCTCCAGCTGCGGAAAACGGCCCAGCCGTCCAAAAATCGCCATCACCCGAAGATGCCCCTCCAGCAGCAGAACCCACCCCAACCCCCCGCCCCCACTACGACCCCAACGCCATCGGCTTCCAACCCGCTCCCTTCGCTCCACCCTCCTCCCCCTTCACCCCGGACACCAACCTCGAACTAATCCGGCACCGCTTCGAGCACCGCCCGAACCGCCCCCGCGTCTCCACGTCCTTCTACCAGGAAATCTACGACGAATTCGGCGACATCGGCGACCGGGACGAGTATCCCGAGTACCCGCGTACGCCTACCCCTACCACCCCACAATTCAGGGAGGTGTTGGATGGGTATTGGGAGATTCCGGAGCAGGATAGGGATGGATTGGCGGAGCTGGCGCTGCCGACGGGGGGAGGGGATGAGGGGGCGATTGGAAGGTTGCAGGGGCGGTTGGAGGGGTATACGGAGATGACGGGGGAGGAGGTGGGGAGGTTGGTGGGGATGGCAGAAGTTATTGCGCGGAAACGGGTTGAGAGGCGGGAGAAAGCTGAGCGGGATGCTGCGAGAGCTGAGCAGGAGACGCGGGAGGCGGAGGAGAAGGACGCTAAGAGGGTTGAAGAGGAGAACCGGGCGGCGGAGGAGGGGAAGAAGAAAGGGGAGATGCTGGCCACGACGAAGAAGCCGCAAGACATCAACCTCGAAGCCCAAGTATTGAAGCTCCGCAAAACTCAGCAGGAAGCGCTGAGCCAGGCGATGAGCTACCGCGTGCACGCCACCCTCCTGCCCGCTAAACGGGTGCTGAAGGGTGAAGGCGAGATGCTAACCGCCGAGCACGCGCAGACAGCCCTGCTGTACGCTTACGAAGCTTTGCGAATCGCGAGGTCGTTCGTTACGCCCAAGCTGGCGGATGATGGCGAGGAAGCTGCGGATACCCCTCTCGCGGGCTGTGCGGCGAACGACGAGGTGCTGGAGAAAGCGGCCGTAGCGCTGCAAGGGCGGTGCGCGTATTACGTCGGCGTCGCTGAGTTTGTGCTCTGGAAGACGGGGGAGGGGAGCGAGTTGGCGATGGGGAAGGAGAGGGATGTGGTGTTGGGGTATTTTGAGCTGGCGTTGCGGGCGGCGGATGGTGGATACCACGAGGGGAAACAGGCAGAGGAGTGGGTGAAGTTTCTGGAGAGTGGGGAGGACTCTGATGTGGAGGATGATGTGGTGCAGAAGGAGAAGGGAGAGGGCAGTTGGAGTGGTTGGTTGGCGGAGAAGGTGCTTAGGCGGTTCTCGACGCGGTCGGCGGCATCTGAGGAGGTCGCATCAGAGGATGATCGTCTCCAAGGCAGGAAAACGAAGGGCAAAGAAGCAGTCAAAGACGCTGAGCCGTCGCGCGGAAGAGCACGACGCAGAAAGTCCTCGGAAGCTGGGCCTTCACATCTCAACCGGTGGCGGACATTGGCCGATATCCCTAGCGGCTCATCCGGCTCCAGCTTCGCTGACGGCTATGCCTCTCCCTCATCGGAAGACGAAGACGGCGCGGATTTCCTTGACGACAATGCTGCGGATGTCGCGACCCCAGAGACCTCATCCCGATTATCTGACCTCAACCTGCGCTCCTACACCGACGACGACGAGAACCCCGGCCTACCTCCACCTGTCACGTCACCTCAATTGCGAGCGAAGTCGATCGTGATCAAAGTCCCAACGTCACCTACCAGCGCCACGTCCTCGCCGAAGTCAGATTCGATCTATGACCGCCGCCATAGCAGGAAGTCGTCGATATTGGCGAGTTGTGCCAAGGTGACTGGACGGGAGAAGCATCGGTCGGAGTTGGAGGAGGCGGAGGAGGGTGAGAGTCCGTTTAGAGATCGGTTCCAGAATGAGGAGAAGCGGCCTGGTGGGTTGACGAAGAGGCGGGTGAGCCAGGGTCGGCCGGAGGATATGGTTTGAGGTTGTATTGATGCTCTCTGCACGTTCAACCTGCATGTCTCAGCCAGTCGAAGGGACTACCCTCATCCAGCAACCTCGGGCTCCTTCCCTTCCTTCAGCGGTCCAAAGATATCCTTCCACAACTCACTCTCCTCACCCACAGTATACGTCAGCTCCACCCCACTCATCCCAGCCTCTCCATCTCCACCGATAGTCTCCAGCTGACTGATAACATCATCTAGTCCCAGCGCCTTCCCCACAGCCTGCGTGGTCGTTGCGTCGAGATTCACATGCACCACGTGTACGTGGAAATGATAGTACGTCGGCTGATAGTGCACGTAGAACTTCAGCATGTCCTCCTCCACACCCTCGTAGAGTTTCGTGACTGTCGAGGCCAGGGTCGAGCGTAAATTCCGCAGCCACGGAACATCTTTCTTCTTCAAATCCCTCACGCTCCAGATGTCCCTCCTCACCACCAACGCAAGCAAATGCAAAGACCCAACCGTCTTGCGATCCCAGTTCAGATCTGGCAGCAACAAGTAATCATCCCTCTCCTCCCCAGCTTGCGATTTAAAAAGCACATTCTCCTGCTCACTCCTCCCCTCCAAAATATTAAACACCCAAGTCAACCGTCCCTCCTCCCTGCACCGCCGCATATACGGCCGCACAAACCTCTCATAAACCTCCGGCGTCTCCCGCACACTCCGCAGCTGCTGGAAGGAGTACTTCCGCACATGCTTCTCAGTGCACGGATAGATCAGATTCAATTTCAGATCCGGTGGCGTGGGCTGGTCCAGCGTATTGTCCGGCAGCGAGTTGGCGAGGTACCAGCGGTATATGTCGTTCTCCCCGAGATTCTTGACGTGCGCGACCAGGCGGGTTAGGGAGGAGAGGTAGTATTCTTCTGTGCCGAAGGCGCTGCGTTCGGCGATTAGAAGGGCTGGTGAGCCGGCGATGGAGCCGCGGAGGATGATGCGGCGGCCGCCTTGGTCCTGGTTGAGGAGGGAGTGGTATTTGAAGCGCGTTATTAGGGCGTTGACAGCGGACATCTTGGTGGTTTCGTTTTGGAAGTGGATATGTAGGATGAGTGCAGGTGGTGGATTGAAGACGTGAGGTCGGAGTGTTCGCTAGCGCGGTGGGAACCCTTCTGACGAGACTGAGATGAATGATGTATTTGCATAAAATGATTGCAATGCTTTCGAAAAAAGACTCACTGAATGGTGAAGAACAGGTGGATGTGAAGCATTCATAAAAATGTAGTATTTCATGTCGTAATAGCTACCATATTATTTTTGAAGGTGAATGTTTCACTCCGAGCTGAATCCATACATGTAGTATGGAAGCACTACTCCCAGAGGATCACAGACAGTATAGACATGGTCCCTCATCACCCCTCCCTTCTCATCACCTTCTGTTTCCTCAAGCTTACTTCTTCAGCGCCTCCAGAAATTCCTTCGGCGGCTGCTGCCTGTACCCCTGCGGATTATTCTCCGTCCACCGCCACAAGTCCGCACAAGCGTCCTCAAGCGTATGCTTCGCATTCCACCCCAGCTCCTTGTTCGCCCTCGTCGGATTGGCCGTCAGGTCCAGCACATCACCCTGCCTTCGCCCTACGACCTCATATGGCAGATCTCGGCCAACAGCCGTAGAGAAGGCCTTGATCATGTCGTACACCGTCGAGCCCTTGCCAGTTCCCAAATTCCAGGCTCGGACGCCAGGGTGGTGGTCTCGGAGGTGGTTCAGTGCGATGAGGTGGCCTCGTGCGAGGTCGAGGATGTGGATGTAGTCGCGGATGGCGGTGCCGTCTTTGGAGCTGTAGTCGTCGCCGAAGACCAGCAGCTTTTCTCGCTTACCCACAGCGACTTGCGCGAGGAGTGGCAGGAGGTTGTACGGCACGCCTTGAGGGTCCTCGCCCATGATGCCACTCGGGTGGCTGCCGGCTGGGTTGAAGTAGCGGAGTAGTGCTGCGTTGAACTCGTCCCCATTCTTGCCGGCCTTCTTCGCGTTGTATCGCTCCGCGTTGATGTGGTCTGTGATCATCGTCTCGACCGCGAACTTGGTGTTGCCGTAAGGGTTCGTAGGACCAAGCGGGCACTCTTCAGGGATCGGGATCATGTTCTCGAACCGCGTAGCATCCCCATACACCGTCGCCGACGAGCTGAAGACAATGTTCGTGACATGATGCTTCTTCATGCTTCGCAACAAACACAGCGTCCCGTACACATTCACGTTGTAGTAGTCCAACGGGATCTCCCCGCTCTCCCCCACCGCCTTGAGCGCTGCAAAGTGGATGACATTGTCAATGTCCGGGTGTGCAGAGAAGACCTCGTCAAGCTTGGCCTCGTTGGTGATGTCGCAGGAGAAGTACTCGGGTCGCTTGCCGCAGATGAGCTGGATGCGGTTGAGGACTTCATCGGAGGAGTTGTAGAGGTTGTCGACGATGACGACTTTGTAGCCCGCTTCGAGGAGGGCGAGGGCGGTGAAGGAGCCGATGTAGCCGGTGCCTCTAGTTGGTCGTCAGTATGCGAGCGCTGACCCATTGGACGTTGGCGGAACAGATGTCTCGCTTGCTCGGATAGGCGCATTCTAGATGCCTTCGAGACGCACGTACCCGGTGACAAGCACTGATCCAACGGCCATTGTAAAATTCCAGTGATATGTGATTGACAGTGTCTTGCTGGCGCAATCAAGTCGTTCTTCAACAGCGTTCTGCTACACGGTAAAGGAACGAGCGTCAAATCTAAGCATCGCTCTCAGCGGGAAGTTCGTCGCTGCTCAGCGATATATTTTAACTCGCAAGGTTTGAACCTGCATAAAGCTGACAGGGGTTGTGGGTAGATCCGCTGCACGCAAGTTGAGCGAACCTAACGCCTTCGAGAGCTTCACCTCTCTGGCTCAAGGTTAGGCTATCTTGATGTGTGGTGCTACGTGGTGCAAAGTAGAGGCTTCAGTGTTTGACGTGGTTCATCCATCTCAAACCCCACCATCCCAGCGTAGCATGACCAGACTTATTCACACCCCTGCTATCACCTAAAGCCCATTAAAGATTCCCAGAATGCTCGCACCAAACCTCGACGCAGCTGCCGCTATTGCTTCTGCAGTGGTCAACGCAATCTCCGCCTCGACAGTAGCAATCACCCCATCTGCTTCCAGGAGCTTCACAATCTCCCCAATCCTACCCGCCGCCGCAGAGATGTCGATAACTTTGTCCGCTTCTGTAACCACAACCTCGATCGTTGAGGTGGCGACTATCTCCAGCTCGATCGCCAGCGGCCGTGGGTCTACGATGACTCCTTGGATAACCGCCGCCATCCTACACAAAGAAAGACATTAGGGTTAGCAGGCTTCTCTTTCAGACTTGGTGGGTGTGGTGTTGCTCACGATGCAACCCCAGCGACTCCCCCAAACGCTGCTGCGTATTTCAACTCGTCGGGAAACTGGCTCCTCATCACTTCCAATGTCGTGCCGGAAACGCCTTGGCCGTTGATCGTGGCGAGATTGAAGGACGAGACGTGGCTGGCCGGCTGGTTCCCCAGACAATCATGGGTCATTCCGTCGTGTACGTTCTGGATCCAGATGTTCATCTGTGTCTTGCCGACTGAGCTGTCTTTGCCAACCGCTGTCCCACCCCCTGACACAGGAGTCTCCAGGTCGAGGCGGCATGCCGAAACGAAGCTGCTGAGCGCTGCGAAGGCCTCCGCAAACGTCATCGTTTGGTCGCCGAACGACTGCGGGTTCTGGAAGCAGACGCGTGCGGTGTTGTAGTCGATGAGGAGGGAGTGATGTGCAGGAACTATGAAATCACCGTTTCTGTCGACCGCATCCCCTCCCATGTTGATGAGTTGCTTGTTCCCGATGCTCGAGATAATGTTCTGCAGGTCAGGCCCAGCAAGCGGGTTGATAGTATCACCGAAATGACCTGGATCATCGTTGAAGCACACCTCGTTATCGCCGAGCACTTGTCGCGTGAGAGCGAGGAGCCCGAAAGCGAGTGCTGGGAGGTAAATCATTTCAGCGGTGCGGCGGGCAGACGACCGCGTCTCGAGCAGCTGGTTCACTTGAAGAGGGATGAGAGGTGTTTCAGTGGAAGGTCCTTTGCTGTGGCTTGTCTGAGTGGTAGAAGGGCAATGAAGGACAATACGAAGAATGAAAGTATGGCTCTCCACAAGCGAGTGCCGAGCACATACTATGCCTTGTATATGTACCTCTACCGCTGGTACAGAGCTCTGCCTGGGAGCAGCGGTGTCGAGCACTGCCGTCTCAGGTCTTACCTTCGTGTTGCATGATCGCAGCTAGCGGTATGCCGGATGGTAGGAGTCCTCGATGCAGTCGCCGGTCTTCCTCACGACCAACATCTTCAAGGCTTGGCAGTCACCTTTTCCGGGCATTGGAGCTGCTGGGGGTCTTGGAATGAGAGAAGCTACATTGAGTGGCGGTGCTTGCAGTAGAAGGGAAAGTAAGCTGATGCGGACGAGACCACAAAGTCCTGGTCTTTGAGCGGTCTATGCACTTGAACAGTCAGCGGTCTCGAGAGCCTTGGCAGGTACCTCATCCCGTTTCTGGGTCGAGGTGAATGACTCGCAACCAGCGAACTATACCTCTCATCTTGCCTGTAAAGATGCAACTGCTGCTGCTGCAATTATAGTCCAAGTCAAAAGCTTACACTGCCCGTCGTGAGCTTACTACGAACGGCCGAACCGCCAACAATAGGTCTCGCCGCTTTGCTTTTGCTTACGCTAGGTCCATATATTCTTTCATATGACTGCCGCCACGTCTTTCAACCACTATCTCTCCTCATTACTCCCAAGGTCTTTTCTCATACCAAGACGACGACAACATGCAGTTCTCTGACTTCACAGTGATATTTGCGCTCTCCGCAGTGGTTTGGCCTGCCGTCCATGCCGAGCTTCATCCTTCGTACACAATAGACCAGGCTCCTGAGTTCGCTGCCATGCCAACGTACGCTTCTCAACTCACCCTCGAGACGTACGGTCAACTGACTTCACCACCAGAATTGTCGCAAGGGATTCAAAGCCCCAGATAGGAGCTGCAATTGGTGCCATCACCATGTTTGGCCCACTGCCCGATGGCTGCAATCCGGACGGTACCACCAACATCATTCCCATCGCCGACCCAAAATTCGGTCAGTGCTATCGTGCAGTCGGCGGCGACCTCCCCATCGGAGCGCTTCACTTGGAAGGCGATTACCCCTGCGACAACGGACAACGACCAGGTGTGATATACTGGCTCGAAGACTCCGCCTGTGCTCCCACAACGAATGCCACCAAGATGGACTCCAAGTTCTTCAAAGCCGGCGACTGTGTCACGCGGACTAACGAGGCGTTAGCGCAGTCCTTCAAGCTGGGATGCATCTTCGAAGAGCTGGAGACGCTGTTCCCTGAGCACGCACCGCCAGCAGTCGTTCATACGGTCGTCCCAAATGGGTTCACACCAGGCGCTCCTGTCCACAGGTCAACGCCTGTCTCTTCCTCTGGAGCTCTTGATACCACCTTGACTCCAGTCGCTCAGGCTACCCAGCAGAACCCGGCCGCTCCGGAAGTTCCAGTCGCTTCACCGGCTTCATCACCGCAGCCGAGTGCTTCGGCATACTAGACTAGACCATCTGGTGTAGGGTTGAAGGCATAGAATGGGCAACCGGTGTGGATCTTGTCCTCTCGACTTCGACGCGACGTTGTGGACCATGGCTCAGTACTACCACAGCGGAGGAGGAGGAGCCAGAACTGCTGAGTTCTCCAGCCATGAGCTTCGAAGATGTGAATGATTATAGGGGAGCCGAGTATTGTAACCATGAGCCATGCAAAGAAATGCTTATCTGTTCAATATTGTTCAATGGTCTCCAATACCCCCCGGACCTCGACACGTCCGGCTGGTTCAAGAGCCATTTGGCATCGCAAGTGTGTGTGACTGATCTGCTCGTTTCGGTCTTATCTTCTCAAGTTATCGGCGGCGCCGTCCATTGCTTCTTTGAATCTCATTGTCGACCTTATTAACAGCCGAACAGTCGCCACTGGAGAATGGAGAATAGGTTTAGCTCGGACAATCGACGGGGGCCCGCGGGTAGATCCGCCGCACGATCGTTGGCGAAGCAACAGCGAGCGCGATCTGGGAAAGCGCGATCTAGCACGAGCCCTCTGTAACTATCTCTTGGACGTCATCTCAAACATTCTTCTAGTCAACAGCAACTCTTCCGCAGCTCTATAAACACAGCACCACAGTCAACATGGCGCCCAAACGCAGAACAGCATCCTCGCGACCAGTAGCCGCAAACCAGCAGTCCAAACTATCGTTCACAAACAAGGTTACCAAGCAGGGTTCAAAACAGCAGTCTAAGGGCACCAAGGAGGATCCAGCTCTCGTAGAGCACATCGTACGCACAGATGTGAAGGCAGAAGGCGATCCAGACATCGAAGAACCCACTACCGCTGAGAAGGCGATCCAGCAGCAAGCAGAGGATGAAGCAGCCTCATTAGATGCTGCGCAGGATGCCCTGGAAGCGGATGGAGAGGCGGTGACAGCAGAGGATGTGTTGGGAGGTCGGGCAGAGCAGAGTGACATCGGCGCTGTAGGTGGCAAGGCGTCTGGTTGGGTTGGCGACGAAGAGGAGAAGGCGCGCAAGACGACGGACACGCAGATCAAGAAGTACTGGCGGACGAAGGAGCAGGAGAGATTAGCGCCAAGAGTGCATCAGGAAGACTTGACGCTTTACGAGAAGGTGCTGCGGGAATGGGACATGAGCGGGCAGTACGGCGTAAGTGTAGGCGGGAATTGTCACAGTGGGCTTTGACTAATAGATGTTTGCAGCCCTGCATCGGCATAGCACGCCTCAAGCGATGGAAGCGCGCGAACATGCTCGGCCTGCATCCTCCAATCGAAGTGCTTGCAGTGTTGCTGAAGCAGATGGATGCTGGGGATACGAACTCGCAGCGAGCGCATGTGGACGAGCTGATGAGTTCGCGGTTTGTGGCTGATAACTGATCGACTCTCGTTTGCGGCTTACTTGACCTGTTCAGAGCGTGGTAGGCTTCTGAAGGACGATGGTGTACGATATATGATGAGCTACTGCAGCCTTGCTTATTACTTGCTTGGGTATGCGGCGCATGCAATACCTATGTAGGCAAGAAACGCCTCAAATGACTCATATCTTTATTCCTTTTCTACGTCAAGAGGCAGACAGGTACATGCATACTTCTGACCAGATGTCCAATCGCAACGCTTTATCACCTTCAAGTCCACGGAGTACGGCACGGACAGGCTCCAGCTATGACACAATCTAGGCTGCATCTATATCCCAAGGACATCGTTACAGGCTTTGGCACTTCAGCGGCATCACTGCAACCATGTCGCATACCTACCACGTCGAGAACGCGGACGAACTGCGCTCAATCATAACCCAACACCCCAGCCCTACATGCGAAGATGAAATCAACATCACGCTCTCCCTATGCAAACCTTTACTCAACCCTTCCATCTTGTCTGCCTGCCGCCGCCCAGACCCCCCCTACAGCCAACTCAACCGCACTCCCCGACGCCAAGAGTTCATCGACATCAACCCTTTGGCAAAAACCTGGCGTACCGCCTGGATCGACCTCCTTCGCCACCTCTCCTACACCCAACTGCACATCATATTCGACCCCACTCTCCCACCTGGCTACCAAAGCGATCATGGAGACGTGGAGGGGTTCTGGTGGAGCGTAAACGCGCCTTACCGGGAGAAAGGGCCGGTGGAATTGATACTAGTAGACCGGGAGTTTCTGGCTTTTGTAGTTACGCTGGCGACGGAGGGGAGGATGATCAGTAAAGGCAAGATCAAGTTTGAATTGGACGAGAAGGGGTTGGTGGGGTGGAGGGAGGAGATGGCGGGGCGTAGGAGGGGGGTTCTTGAGAATTTGTCGAAGTGAGGTAATTGACGTGTGATGGTTGGTAGATTTAGTTTGTATATCGATTGACCGCATTTGTGTGTGGAACACGGCAATGTAAGGAGGTACATCTCGATGATTAACGACAAAGGTCTCAATCCTTCATAAGAGCTCGACTTCCATCTCCAGCATCCGCCACCTCAACCGGACAACATCCAAAGTCGTCCATGTATCATGCCCAAAGAATAATCCTCAAAATACCACATCAACCCTCCCTCAGACAACCACGCCTCCTGGACCGAATCATCCATCAACGCCGGCAACCAAGCAGGCAAGGCAATCCAAAACGCACCATTCATGCCAGAACCTCCGACCGGCCCTTCAATGGACGCAGACGTAACACCCTACTTCAATCTCGGCTCATACTGCTCTCCACTCGGAGACAACTCCAACCCCATCGGCCAAACCTGGTTCGACCGCGGCCTCGTATGGTGCTACGCCTTCAACCACGAAGAAGCCCTCTACTGCTTCCGCAAAGCCATCGCCGAGGACCCGGGATGTCTGATGGCGTACTGGGGCATCGCATACGCGCTGGGGCCGAATTACAACAAACCCTGGGAGATTTTCGATGCTGAGGAACTGGAGCGTAATGCCAAGGAGGCGAGAGAAGCGATCGGGATGGCGAGTCGACGGGGGACGTTGGAAGGGCAGTTGATAGCGGCGGTCGGAGAGCGGTGGGGGGTGGGTTCGTTGGAGGGCGAGGGGAGGGAGAAGTGGAATGAGCGGTACGCTGAGGCGATGGCGGAGGTGGCGGGGAGGTGGCCTGAGATGTTGGATGTGCAGGCGTTGTATGCTGATGCGCTGATGAATCTCACGCCATGGAGTCTCTGGGATCTGAAGACCGGCGAGCCAACATCCGGCTCACGAACGCTGGAAGCAAAGGAAGTTCTCGAGACCGCCATGGCAAAGGAAGGAGGCGACTCCCATCCGGGCCTCCTACACCTCTACATCCACCTCATGGAGATGTCCTCGTCCCCCTCCACCGCCCTCCCAGCCGCCAACCGTCTCCGCAACCTCGTCCCGGACGCAGGACACCTGCACCACATGCCCACGCACCTGGACGTCCTATGCGGCGACTACGCCTCCGTGGTAACGTCCAACACGGCAGCTATAGCCGCCGACGAGCGCTGGGTTGCGCGACGCGGAGCGAGGAATTTCTACTCGTTGTATAGGGCGCATAATTACCATTTCAAGATCTACGGGGCCATGTTCGCTGGTCAGTCGCAGACGGCTCTGGAGACGGCTGCGCGGCTTGAGGAGGCTATTTGCGATGACTTGCTCCGTGTCGAAAGCCCGCCGATGGCGGATTGGCTCGAAGCGTTCTTAACAATGCGACTCCACGTGCTCGTGCGTTTCGGACGCTGGGACGACATCCTCTCCCTTGACCTCCCGGAAGACGAAGAGCTCTACTGCGTCACCACTGCCATGCTCCACTACGCCAGTGCCGTGGCATACGCCAACACATCCTCCCCCGCCTCCGCCTCCTCTTCCCGCGAAGCCTTCCTTACCTGCGCCCTACGTGTCCCGGAGTCGAGGACGCTCTTCAACAACACCGCGCGCTCCCTCCTCGCCGTCGCGCGCGCGATGCTCGAGGGCGAAATCGCGTATCATGCCGGGGAGACAGCGACGGCTTTCCACCACCTCAACACGGCCGTCCGGCTCTCCGACACTTTACCTTACGACGAACCGTGGGGGTGGATGCAGCCGCCGCGGCACGCGCTCGGGGCGTTGTTGTTGGAGCAGGCGAGCCGGAGCGCGCAAGCGGACGTTAGCGAGGAGTCAAAGGCGAAGGAAGGGGCAACGCAGGAGCACGAAGTATTAATCGCGCAAGAGAGACTCCACCAAGCGCTCTCCTTATACGAAGCCGACCTCGGCCTCAACTCCACCCTCCCGCGCGCGCTGCGGCATCCGGGGAACGTGTGGGCGTTGAGCGGGTTGCGGGAGTGTTATGAGCTGTTGGGAAGGAAGGAGGAGGCGGAGAGGGTGGGAGTGGAGTTGGGGGAGAAGATGACGGGGGCGGACGTTGAGGTGAGGGGGAGTTGTTATTGCCGGAAGGATGCAGAGCGCGGTGGGCAGGGGGTGAGTAGGGGGATTGAGCCGTGGCGGTTTAATAGAGGCAAGGAGAAGGATACGTAGCTCATGGTTGAAACCATGCATTGAGATACCTTTCGGCGTGTGAGATGCAGCGTCAGCTATCCTATTCATGCCATGTCCTACATACCATCTATAAATCATTCCCGCCCCCCAAGATGCCGATAAACCACGGAAAAATCCCTCCCCTTCGTCCCCTCCGCGCCTTCACACGCAGCATAAATCTCCCTCGCATGCGGGCCCAAATGCGGCACGATGTCCGCCTGCGCGCAAGCCGTCAATGCCAGTCCTAAATCCTTCAGCATCAGACTCGTGCCGAAACCGCCTTCATAGTCCTTCCCTGCTGGTGCTCCCTCGACCACGCCTGGCACGGGGTTGTTGGCTTCGCTGGGCCAGCATTTGCCTGTCGCGCTGTTGATCATGTCCGCGAGGACTTTGCCGTCGAGACCCCATTTGATGCCCATGTTCATTGCTTCGCAGGTGGCGATGTTGTTTAATGCCAAGAGGTAGTTGTTCGCCAGCTTCCCTTTCAGGCCGCTTGTTTGGGGCCCCAGGTGTACGGTGCGACGGCCCATGAGCGAGAGGACTTCCTTCACGCGGTCCACGCCCTCGGGAGGACAGCCGATCATGAAGGTGAGTGTGCCGGCGGATGCTCCTACGACGCCTCCAGACATGGGCGCGTCGACGAATTTGCCGGAGCCGCTGGAGTGGGTTGCGTTGGCGACTTCGGCGGAGGACTTTGGGTCGATGGTGGAGCAGTCGATGAAGAGGCGTTCGTGGGTGTTGGGGGTCTCGGAGCGGAGGGTGTGGGGTCGGAGCATTTGCTGGTAGACGTTTTGGACGTGGTGTGGTTCGGGGAGGACGGTGATGATGGTGGTCTGCAGTACGTCAGTCTCAGGCTTCCATGCTAGGGCTCTTGCGTGCTCAGTGGAAGTGGTGTATTGTCAGAGGATTGGCTATATGTGTTTGGGTAATCAGGACAACAGCTTGCGCTGCCAACTTAGATCATAGATAGAACAATTGGTTCATCTTGCAAGTGCTAGAAGAGGTGAATGAAGGTGTATGACATACCGCCGTCTCCGCGACCTCGCGCACATGCTCTGCTATCTCGACCTTGCCGACCTCTTGCTTGAACTTCTCGGTGACCGCCGGGTTAACGTCGTGGATGAGCATCGTGTCGGATTCGGCTATCTTCGCCCGCAGGTTCCTGGCCATGGGGTAGCCTGCCATCCTCGTCAGTACAGTATCCTCTCGTACTCTTCGACTGCCATAGCATACCCATCCTCCCCAGCCCAATGAAACCATAGCTAGCATCGCGCCTCAAGCTCGTTGCGAACCCTCTCCGACTCGCTGGGCCAGCCAGGCTGCTGATCGAGTGCTTCAGTGAAGAAGCCGCGGCCGTCGTCCTCATCGTGCCTGCAGAGTGTGTTGGCGGGATGAGGTAGGACGAGAGATACACGACGGGCGAGAATGCATGGTCGAGCCGCTAGTCAGGCACACGAGCAGAGGTGCGGCTATTAGGATCCTGCGAACAACCGAGGACAATTTGCTGATGGTGGAGCTGCGGGTTAGCCCCAAAGCTTCGTTTCGTCTCCTCCATTCTCCGCTGCGCCGTTGGAGAGGGTGTTGCTAGACTTCGAGTGACCACGTTGCCATCCTATACTGTCCAATGGGCAGCTTGTCGAAGGTGTGTGAAGAAGACGGCTTCATGTCTGGTAGAAAGATTGTAAATGCGTCAAAGGTCGGTCAGAACTGAGTTTGTGGCCTTAGTCAGCACCATCACGTGCGCGTTGACCTCATGGGCTAAGGTACACGTCTAGAGAAGTAGGAGAGGATCACAGTAACACGTGGTAAAGGCCTTGTGGACGAAGCGGCCAAATTTAGACGGCAAACAACACCGTCCCGTCTCTACTCCTTCAACAACTCCAGATACTGCCCAACCAACCCGGGCACCCACTTCTCCATCCCCCCAAACTCAAACCCAACCTTCTCCTCACTCCCTCTCAAATCCACCGCATCCCCCACAACCTCCTCATCCAGCGTCCCAGGCCTCAGCACTCCCCTCTCCACCTCCTCCGGAAACAACTCCATAACAAGTCCCACCACATCCCGCCACGGCGTGCTCATCCCTCCATTCCCGACCGTCAAGATATTGTCCAGGTGTCTCACCTTCTCCGCCTTGAGGGAGACAATGTGCGCCCGCGCGCAATCATCCAACCACACCTGCAACTTCGGCCTCGGACCCCCGGCGCCAGCCCCAGGGCCGTGAGCATGGTCCCTTCATTCGAGCCTAAGCGGGACGGATCGCGCATTTGCTCGGCGGAGGTGTAGAGTTCGTTGGGCCCCTGGATATACCCGGGAAGAATGCAGATGAGGGCGTAGTGCGGGTTGTGCTGGGCGATGTACTCGGTGCTGCGGACGTGGGCGAGAGTTTTGGACAGGACGTAGGCGGCTGGGGCGTTCGGGGCGGAGGCGAGTTTTTGGGGGGAGGGGAGGGGTTTGATGTCGTGGGCTGGGAAAGGTGTTAGGATGTGACGGTATTCGAGCTGAGGGACGACCCACGACCAGCGCGTTCGGCGCCGTTCTTGGGCTCGATGACGATGATGCTCGAGGTGATCACCACACGCTTCACGCGAGGCTCTTTGCTCGCTGCCTTGAGAATGTTCAGTACGCCTTTCTCGGCTGGTTCGTACATCAGCTTCTTCCAGTCGGTCTGGGAGCAGTCAGTTCCCACGAACAATCGCCCAGATGCAGGGGTCAGCCTACTTCTCCAGCTCCAAACGCGCTGTAAACCGGCGAAGCCACGTGAATCACATAGTCGACGCCCTGTATATTCTCACCGTACGCTCCGTCGGAGGTGATATCCGGTACGTGGACGAACTCAACGTCGTCCAAGAAGGGCTTCAGCGAGGCTGTCGCTTTCAGCTTATCCGCCTGCTCGAGCTTCCGCAGGGGGACACGAGCCTTGAAGCCATGCTGAAGGGTAAAGACAAGAGTGCGGAAACCTAGGTGTCCTGTAGTGCCGGTGACGAGGACGAGTTCTTTCAACATCGTGGCTGGTGGAGAATTTTCGCCGTGGATGGCAGTGTATGACCGGTGCGAAGCCGGCGCACCTTCTCGGACGCCGTGTGATTGAGATATATGTCAATAGCTTCCCACATCGAGGCCTTCGGAGTTAGGGCATCGTTGCAATCAATCAATCATCTCTTTTCTCCCTGCCCTAAGAATCCAACGAGCCGCGCTCTCAGCTGTCTTTGGCCGCATTCGCGTTGGTCTCGGAGAACCCAACAACTTACGAACCCGGCTCGTAAAACTCCAGCTCGTCAGCATGTTCAACCTCTTGTTCATCCCACGGCGGGCGTATACTCGTTTTCTCCACTGGCAGGTTGGGGCTCCTAATTTTGACTCCTGCCATGTGCCTACCGTTCCAGGGCATGCTCAAAAGGTATTATACGCCCGTCGGAACAATTCCTTGGGCACCAGCGCGAGGGATCCTTCCTCTGGAAACCAGTGTTGTCACTCAAGCGTCCTGGAATCACTAGTGTGATCGGTCAACAAGATATACCGGCTTGGCGAAGCTTTGCAGACGCCTCCAGACATAGCCAAGAGTGCTAGTCATGGCAGTATTCCCTTCGTCCAACAGCAGGAAATCCGTATCACCGACCCCAGATATCATTCCAACCCTCAGGATTCAGCTCCAACGGTCCAGGCAATACACTCGTCCGCGGCGCTCGCCCCTCGCCAGGCTCAGGCAAGCAGATCCACTCCCGCAGACAGCCAGGGACATCTTCTTTCGAATGGCTGATGACCAGAAGAGCCTGTTCGGGCGCCAGTCCAGCGAAGACGACCTTGTCAGCCTTGTCGACGGCGCTTTGCTGAGCTTCGCCATTCACGACAGCTGCAACCTTCTCGCCGTGGGATAGAAACAGCAGCGCTTTGTCACGTGTTGCTTCGTCGATGCCGCTAAGAGCTTCGTCGAGGATGACCAGGTCGGGACTTGCGACTATGGCTCGCAAGAAGAGGACGAGGCGTTGGTTCGAGAAACTGAGTTCTGCGAAGCGGACGTCGTCTGCCCATCCTAAGCCTGTGCCATCCTCTGAATCCTTGCTAGTCGCATTGCTCGTCTGCGAGCTCGGGTGTAGCTCCTGTGCGAACCACCGCAGACAAGCGTCCACACGTTGTTTAGCAGCATCGTCCAATTTTGGCTTCGCCATCGGCGCATCTGCCCAAGCCGACTGAAGCGCTCGTCGTACTGTCAGACCTTTCGGGAAGAAAGCATGTACTTCCGGGCTCGAATGACCCATCCGCTTTTGAATGTCGAAGAGACTGATACCTGCTTGTCCAGGTCCAGGGAGGCGAGATCGTCCAAATAACTTGATAGGCAAGCTGTATGTTTGGGGGTGGTCGGAGGTTATGAGACTGAGCATTGTCGTTTTCCCAGAGCCATTAGGCCCGAAGATACCGCATCTTTGACCGCGGTGAAGTGTCCAGTGAAGGCCTTCCTTTTCTTCACTCCCATGACTCTGCTTCCAGCCTCCGAGCACGACTTTCTCACCGTAGGCGACCTTAACGCCATCCATCTCCACTAGTGGCTCGCCTGGTGTAAGCGGTTGAGAAGCTTTGGCGAAACCGTCTCGACTCAGCTTTTGCTTAGAAGTGGCATCGTGACCATGTCGAACAAGGTCCAGAATAGCGTTAGCGACAGGCGCACTGGCGCCATCCCGTCTTTGTGAAAGTACTTCGTTCTTGGGACCCTGCGCCAGTATTTGCAGCTGATCACCGATGACTACGAGATGATTCACCCACTCCGGTACGCCATCTTCTGGCCTTAAGCTCATGATGAGTCTAGGCTGCTGTCGTTCTGCCAGATGCCTTAGAACTTGTGACATAGTCGATAGCGTCCGTGGATCGAGTCCCATGAACGGCCCGTCCAGTAGTAGAACTTCCGGTCGCGCCATCAATGCCTTTGCAATGCGGGCTCGCCGCGTTTGTCCATTGCTGAGGTTGGCCACCGGCATCGACATTAGCTTCCCAAGGCTCAGCTGCTGCGAGACCTCCTCAAGCATTCCCATCTCGGCCAAACTGAGCTTATGCTCGAGGGCATTGAGCTCCGTATGCCCAGTCAAATAGTCGTACACCGAAAAGTCAGTCTCCTCCCTCCGACTCTCATACCTCGCGCTCAAGTAGGCTCCCCGAACATTCGTCCCACCCACGCTGCTGCCTCGCTCGGCGTCGAAGCCGACGTACTTGATAGCATGTTGCGGCGACTCCGCGAGATCAGACAGATAAGGATACGATCGTGCCGTAGGTGGAAGACAAATATGCTGGCCAGCCAGTACCTGGAGGAATGTCGTCCTAGCTAGGGATGAAGGCGATAGGATGGACCAGTATTGAGGTGTAGCCTGTGGGCCGGACGTGTTGGATAGCGAGAAGTTGAGTCTTGGGAAGATTGGTGGATTGGAGTCCTTGGAATCTGTAGCTGATGGGTAGCGTCTGTAGAATGTGCCGTCCCTAATATCGATGACAGGCTTCGACGTAGATTGCAATCGTCTTGCGGTGTGGTGTAAGGAGCGTGAGTGCTGCCGGGCAGCCAACTGTCTCTTCCACATTCCCAAATGCCTGGATCTTGGTGATGAAAGAAGAGGTGAAGTCCAACAGGAGTCAATGTGTTGCCGGGAATAAGCGATCGGGGATAAACTCGCGTGAGGTGCACGAGACACACAAACGTCACATTGCGGGGTGAAGACTTTCAAGGACGGCCGAGGACGAGGAGACCATCATCTCTCCAATCCCACCAACATGCTACCGTCCATGCAACCATCGAGGCCAAAGGTATGCCATCCACACCCATGCGTGATCCTGCCATGCTAACGCTCGAGCGCAGGCACAACAACCACGTCAACATCAAAGCCCACTATACCAGCAGCAGACCCGACAGCAATCCTCCCAACCATCATCCCAGATCGAAGCCATGCCGCCGCACAAGACACCGGCACCCCCAGCGCCGGTGGCAATGTCAGCTTCAATGCCAGCACCGATGTATAATCCTGCAACAATGCATCCCGTCTTCTTCGCGCCGTGGAGAAAGGCGCCCTTCCCCATGCCCGGCAGCAGTGGTTTCAGCCCTGTCGCGACGGGCTATGTCTTTGGAGATGGGAGGAAGCGGAGCCAGTCTATGACCAAGTTGTGACGGGGAGGCCCCGGGAGTGCTCACAATGCGACCACATGTACACCAAGACGGCGCTCGGCCAAGCAACTCGACTGGAAGCCTTCTGAAACACCGACGGCCGCTGAATCCTGCAGAGGATGCGGTGCACATCTTGGCGTCTTCCTGGACGGATCTAACAAATTGACAACAGCCTCGGCTGTCCAGAAACAAGGCAAAGGAATCGAGCCGTTCACGCGGCGGTGAGTTTGGCATTCCAGCAACCGTTCCTGGGGTCTCAGAACCTGGGCTTTGTATCTGTCGGTAGGGATGTCCCAGCTATTTGCTGTCCCGCCATGGATGCGCATAACAATGGCACTCCTACATGGCCAGTGCCGACAACGATGAAGGAGCCTTTCGACCTGGCATCCGGCCATGAGTTGTATACAGGTCTCCCGCCAGCGCTGGTAGGAAACGGGGCTGTCTGTACTCTACTGGTGTCCTTCCGGTGTTTACTTCGGGTCGCCTGCCCGCCCTTGTGCGACATGCTCCTACCACTGCTTCTGGCGGCATTGTTGGCAGACTTTGCTGCTGCCATCCCAGTGCCACAAGATAGCGGCTCGTCTGCCCCCTCGACATACACACCGATCATGAACGGCCAGAACTTCCCCGACCCTAGCATCATCCGAACGAACAACGGCTGGCACATCTTCTCCACCAACGCCGTCGTGGACGGGGAAAGAATCAACGTCCAAGCAGGCTACTCCCCGGACTTCACAGACTGGACTTATCGCAACAACTACGATGCCCTCCCCAGCCTTCCTCCATGGGTCGACCCCATCTCCCCTTCAGTCTGGGCACCCGACTTGATCCGCCGCCCCGACGGCACGTTCATAATGTACTTCACCGCTCTCAACAGAAATATCAGCCACCACTGCCTCGGCTACGCCACCTCCAAAACTGTGGAAGGCCCCTACTACCCCGACAGCCCCGAGCCCTGGATCTGCCACGCGAGTCAAGGCGGCGCCATCGACCCGAGTGGGTACCATGACCAGCGCACCAATAAACGCTATGTTGTGTACAAAGTCGACGGGAATGCGATTGGGCATGGGGGCGAATGCGGTAACACTGTCGAGCCGATTGTACCGACGCCGATTATGCTGCAACAGGTAGCAGACGATGGACATACTTTTGTGGGAGAGGCGAGGCAGATCTTGGATCGTGATGACGGGGATGGGCCGTATGTGGAGGCGCCGTCGTTGTCGTTCTTGGATGGGAGATACGTCTTGTTCTTTTCGTCGCAGTGTTACGTTTCGCCGAAATACGTAGGTACCTTACCTCACGCTGATGCAGAGATGTCATTGACTGATGGTCGTATCAGGATGTCACATACGCCATCGCCGACGACATCACAGGGCCGTATGAGAAACACGGACCGTTGTTCATCACGGGCGACTATGGTATGGTGGCGCCAGGTGGAGGTGATATTGCCATCCACGGTGAGTCAGCGAATCTTTCGGGTATCGTAGGCGGACGCTAACGTCTGTTGTGTCCCAGGCGATCATCTCATCTGGCACGCGGATTGGAATGGAGGTCGGGCGGCGTTCACTGCGATTGTGAAGTTGGAGGGGCAGGAGATCAAGGTTGAATGGCCGTGAGACAAGACCGGGGCATTGCTCGGGCCTGTTGACTCGGTGCATTCAATGGCGAATGGTAGGGCATTGGCCAATCTGCTGTATGGAAAAGCACTATGTGGGTATCTATCAAGCCAACACCGCGCTTGCTATCACGAGCCAACCCATCCACCACCCTCCAGCGGTCAAGACGAAGTCTGCATTCCCTCCCCCTCCTCCTCCTCCCGATCCACAAGCACCTCCAAACTCCCCGTCCTCCTCCTCTGCAACCGCATCTCCAACCCCATCCCCTCCTTCGTCGACACCACCTCACTCGCCCGCCGCCCCGCAACCCCATCACCGAGTTTCTTCGCAATCTTCCACGCCTGCTTCATCAGCTCCGTCACTCCCGCGGCGTCTTCAGGAAGTTTCAATTTAGAGTCCATGTACGAGAAGAACGACGAGCTGTCCTCGCATTCGAGTATGCCGTCGGCGTTCTGCGCGATCAGTGCGAGGGCGAAGGCGAAGAGGTATTGTTTTTGGCTGGGGATGCAGAGCCAGATGTCCCACAGACGCATGAGCAGGGTTTCTGGCAGTGCGGACGAGAAGGCGGTGAAGAACCATTTCATCGGCACGGTGTGGCCGGGGAGAATACCGAGTTTGTCCATGTGGTTGTGGAGTAGAGGTAAATGCTCTTTGACGTATTGTCGGAGTAAGGCGTTGTCGGCTAAAGGAGAGATCATGGCGTCTGTGCGGGAGAAGTAGTCGGGCGGGAAGAAGTTCTCGACGATGTTGCAGAGGACCCAGAAGGCGTCTTCTTCGGACGGGATGGCGAGGAGCAGGTAGCCGGCGATGGTGTTGAGGCCTTGGGTGTAGCCTAGGTTGGGGTATTTGGCTACGAAGGCTACGAGGAGGTCTTTCAATCTACGGCACATGTCAGCATAGTGCTTGGACGGAGGCAGAGCGAGTTGAAAAGAGCACAGCAGTGACTTACCTCTGAAATCCTTTCCCAGAATAAAAGTCATACTTCGTCGTCAACGTCCGCGGCACATCCTTCAAAATCGCCTCCATCTCCTCCTCCTCATCGTCATTTTCCCCCAAATTGAGATAATGCTCATAATCCTCTGGCTGCATCATCGCCTGCGTATTCGACAACTCCATCCACAACGGATGCCGCAGCTTCATCGGTATACCGCCTATGACAAGCCGCGTGAGCGTCTCCATCTTCTGTCGTCCAGCGCTGCCTTCCTGGCCGAATCGAGAGGCGCCGATGAGTTCGCCGCCGTTGGGGTCTTCGCCATTTTGGGGCCGCAGCTCGACGAGTTTGAGGATGAATTTGTTCCACTCGGCTTCTTGCGGGTCGTCGGCGTGGTTGGAGAGGGTGGGCGGGAGTTGGTCGGGGTCGTGGCGGGTTTCCATCTCTACAGGAAGCCTATTCCGGAGGGAGTCTGTCCGCTTGGGATGGCTGGCGCCGAAGATGTTGTTGATGCTGGCTGTCCAAGTGTTGCCGCTGTCGATACTCCGGATGCTTTGCGTGTCTATTGATTTGGGTCTTTCTGAATGTCTTCGTGGCCGGGAAGGCTCTCGTGATGTAGCATTTGATATTGGCAAAGGCACAGGCGCAGGCTTCGCTTTGGCTTTCTTAATAGTCCCGCCGCCAAATAACTTCGTAATGCCTTTCGCTGGTGCCGCAGCTGTGTTTTGAGTGGACTTTGAGATGCGAGACTCGCCACTATCAGAAGTCACAGACTCAGCAACACTCGGCGGCCCTAGATCTTCAGACGCAGTGGCAAGTGACAACCGTCTCCGCTCCGCCTGCTTGGCCCTCGACGCAGTCTCCGAAATCCTCTGTCGCGGGACTTTGTACTCCTCAGCGAGACGAGTGAGAGCCGTGATATGCGCGTCCCTCTCCGCGAGCATAGTGGAAAGCCGCTTGACCAGCTCTACCGCGCCATGGTGGTCGATCAGATTCTGCAGCACAGGATTGGGCGCCGCGGACAGAGATTGCGGGTCGTTGGCATCGATTGCGTTGTTCTCGTCAAACATGGATGGTCCAGCCCGGTCCAGCAGGCCATGGAGTGGTACATTGGAGGGCTCTTCGACAGGGAGTGAGGCCTCTGAAGGGTCCGGGAAAGAGGTGAAAGAGGCGGTGTCGTCGAGTACCAGAGGTCGGCGGCTCGATTGCCTGCTCAATTCGCCCATGGTGTATTCAGAACCCTTACATAGTGGTGTTGTTGATGTCGATGAGAGTTTGATATTTGTGGTGGCGTTGAAGTCGAGAAACGAAAGGAGCTAGACTGGGGATCCTTGCTCGTGGGCGATTGCTACGATACAAACCCCGTCACGACTTGATTCTTCACAGTACTGTAGAAGGCGAGCCATCGAATCTGCGAAGGAGGAAATGCACGCGAAACGTTGGGTGTAGTAGCAGTTGCTGGACATGTCAATCTCGTTTCAAAGAAGACTCTGTAATCAATCTAGCGCTAAACAACACGCTCGAACGCAACACACCACCATCAACCACAGCAATCACAGCTGCGCCCCAGCACCACCCAACTTCTTCACACAAAAGGAACCAAAGTACTGATTCAACGCATCCACCGTCCCACTCCCATGCACCAGCTTCACCACACACCCCACATACCCATCCGGCCTCACCACCACCACACCCCCCTCATCCTCCGGCAACCCCATCTTCGCATGCGCCGCCGCCTTCGCATTCGGCGCCCGCTGGTCCCAGATATCGTCCGCGTAGACGTGGTCCCAGTACCGCACCAGCGTCTCCGGGAGCATTTCGTGTATTTCAATGTCCGGGCGATGCGCGTTGAAGATGGTGCAGACGGTGAAGAAGTGGCTGTGCGGGAGGTGACGTTCGTGGTAGTCGACGCTGTCGACGTCCGGGCGGGTGTAGGCGGAGTAGAAGGAGGATTTCTTCGAGAGGTTGTAGGCAAAGTCCGCTACGGCGTTCTTTGTGACTGAGGGCTTGCCGGCGAAAAGGTAGATGCGGTAGGAGCCGTTGAGCGGAACTTCCTGCTCGAGGTGCACGACGTTGGCGTCCGCAACGCGAGTGACGGTTGCGGGGGTCATGATGCGGCCTGTTCGGGCTTTCGTGCGGCCTTTGGCGGGGGAGAGGAAGAGGGAGTGTTGGGCTGGGTGGGACTCGGACCAGTTGAAGATGTTGGGGTCGTAGGCTACGCCGTAGCCGGAGGTAAATTCGCAGGACTCTTTGAACATCTTGACGAATTCGTTGTCTTGATGTTCCTCCTTGTCAGTGTTCTTGGTGGCGTCCTGGACTTCTCCCGCTGAAGGCTGGCGGGCGGAGAACAGCTTTGCGTACCGCGAGTCGAAGTTGAGCAGGTTCTCGGCGATCAGCTTCCTCTCAGACTCGTAAGACTTCAATATCGAGCGGTCTGCGAAGCCGCTTTCGACGTGATGAATCTTCCACGCCAGGTTCTGAGCATCGAGGAAAGCGGTGTTCATGCCCTGGCCAGCTTTGGGGGAGTGCGTATGGCAGCAATCACCACCCATGAAGACTCTCTCGTCAAGCGTGTAGCGATCTGCAATGCCTTGGCCGATAGGGTAGACAGAGTACCATTCTATTCGGTCCCACTCGATCCAGTAGGGTGCGAATATCCGCTTAGCAGCAGCCTGCACCTCCTCCGTGGTGGCGGTCTTCCGAGGGTCCCAATCGGAGTCAGTCGACGTCGCTATCTGAATGTACAGCCGGACCATATTGGCTTCTCGTGGTATCACCATTACAGAGCCAGCGTCCGAGTGGATGGTGCATTTCATCTGGTTGAAGTCAGTAGCTGCGGTACTTGAGAATTGAAGAACACTGACCTTGATATCAGGGAAGTTTGTCCGCACAACACCGTCCATGACACCCCATACGTTCGCGATAGGATCCTTGTGCGTGATCTTGACTCCCAGCTGCTCTCGTACAAAGCTCCGTGCGCCCTCACCGCTGAACAAATACTTCGTCCGCACCGTCTCCGACTCATGCCCATCAACATGCCCCAAGCTGACCTGCACCGGATACTCCTTGTCTTTCCCATCGTTCTCGAACCCTATCACCCTCCAAGGCCGCTGGATACGTACGTCGTTCTTGTTCAGGTCTGCGATGAACACTCGCTCGATCAAGCCTTGGTGTAGTAGCGTCGTGAATGGGTACCTCGCATCAATGAAGCTCGGACATGACGGCCAAGTTCCAGTCCTGTGGATGCCGCTGCCGTTCTGTCGGGGGTCCCAGAAGGCCACTTCAAACACTTTCGCAGGACCATTTGCCATGATCGCGCGCTTGAGGCCCATGTTTCGTAGCAGATCTAGGGATCGCGGCTGGATACCGTCTGCGCGTCCGGTCACGGTTGGCTCCGGCCGCATGTCGATGTGCTTGATCTTGTAGCCCCATCTCGCCAGACATGTCGAGAGAAGCAACCCGACTGGTCCCGCGCCGATGATGACGATGTCGTACTTGTCCATCTTAGGACCGGTGGCCATCTTGAGAGGAAGTAGGATAACTAGGAAGGATGTAGAAGGGGGGCTCCCAGCCTAGATGCAATACTTCTACGATCTTTCCAAGAAGACAAACCAATGGATGAAAAACGGTATACAAACGCGTCCGTCCCAAGAGGTGTGAGAGATGACCAGTAGCTCCATACTGGCGAGACGACATGACCTACCTTATACACCCACTCTCCCGCGAAGTAGCTCACGCGCTTGCCCACGGCTGATGGATCGGGCAGACGTATTTCTTAAGAACAAAAGTACCTTGTCCAGTATCCGGGGGGTTGGCGTGGATGTCGACCCCACCGTGCCGCCCTCACGTCACCCCGGATGCTGCAATCGGCAGCTTCTTCGCTGATCTTTGCATCTGTTCCAGCTCCGTGGGCGCCGGGATATCGCCTTGTTTTGCTACTTGAATAATGCGAGACGGGGCTTCCGCTGCGATCCGTGAGTGGGCTGCTGATGATGCTGAGATGGAGTTGACGGTGCAAAGTCAAGACTGTGGCAAGTGAAGACGGGACGGAAGACTTCCTTCCCGATTGGGTGATTGCTTTGGACCTCACCTCCTCCGATCAACCACACGGTCAAAGGTAAAGACCTCGGCTGATCGTAGTCTGGTTCCAGTAAGTTGGAACGCGGCCGTAGGTACAAGCTACATGTTTCATCGGTGTCAAAGAGCTCTCAATCGGTGCACCTGAGCGGCATCTAGTGTACTCGTACCTTTAGGTATTCTCCTTCCATGCACCCTCTCCTCCAAAGCATTGCCAGGAACTCCGACCATTTAGATAGCTCGACGGCCACTTGAAAGACGTCCTGGGCTGTCTAGAACTCCATCGTAGTGGCATAGTTGTCTAGAGCTATCTGCTGTAGGACAGATACACCCGCGGATCCCTCCATCTGCTCATACAATGGGCGTGGCACTGCCAATCCTCAGCCCCTACGGCAATCTCCAATGGCAGTGGCTTCTTCCATTCGGCCTCATCGCAGCATTACTCGGCTACATAATCTATCAACGCCTCCTCCACCCCCTCTCCTCCACCCCCGGCCCGTTCACCGCCAGCCTCTCCCGCCTATGGATCACCAAGCACTCCTGGGACGGCGACATGAACACGCAACTCATCTCCCTCCATGCCGCGCACGGCTCCTTAATCCGCACAGCTCCCAACGAAGTCTCCGTTTCCTCCATCCCAGCGATTAAAAAGATCTACGCGCCGGGCACGAAGTTTTACAAAAGCGATTGGTACTCTGTCTGGCAAGGACATCGCAAGTTTGATCTTTTCGCCGAGCGGGACGAGCGGATCCATGGCGAGCAGAGGCGCTTGGTTAGTCGGGCGTACTCGATGGATGCGCTGAGGGATCTGGAGCCGTTTGTGGATGATGCCGTGGGAGCGTTTATGGAGGCGATGGAGGAGCGGGTCGGGAGGGTAGTCGATATGGGCAATTGGGTGCAATTGTTCGCGTTCGGTATGTCACTCAGATCCAGGCAGAAGCACAATTCTGACGCGGTGCGCAGACGTAATCGGCGAAGTCTCCTTCAGCAAACGCTTCGGCTTCATGGACGCCGGCCGCGACGACGGTAGCTTCGCCCAAATCGAAGGCGCCCTCAAATCCGCCGCCTGGCTCGGCCAGATCCCCGCCATGTAAGCCCTCCCCTGACCCCCTCCCTAACCCGGCCCCTCACACCTTTACCTCCCAGCTACTGGCTCCACGACCGCCTCATGCCCTACATCGGCAACCACCTCGGAATCACCGCCCGCCACGGCACCCTCCGCGCCTTTGCCGCGCGCGAAGTCGCGTCCCGCAAGAGTCGAACCGACAGCAGTAACCGCGACATCCTGTCCAAACTCTTCGCCACCCAAAAAGAAAAGCCGTACGAAATGGACGAGAACGCCGTAACGAGCATGGCGACGTCGAATATCTTCGCCGGCTCAGATACGACTGCAATTTCGACGCGGGCGATTATTTATTACTTACTCAAGAACCCCGAGGCGAAGCGGAAGTTGGTGGAGGAGATTGACGGAGTGAAGAAGAAGGGGAAGCTGAGCGATCCCGTCAAATTGGCGGAGGCGGATGCGATGCCGTATCTTCAGGCTGTCATGTATGAGGCGCTGCGGCTGCATCCGGCGGTTGGCATGACGCTTCCGCGTGTGGTGCCAGCGGATGGGTTCGAGGTGGATGGGACGTATCTCCCTGCTGGGACGGTTATTGGCGCTAATCCGTGGGTCGTGCATCGGGATAAGTCGGTGTACGGGGAGGATGTCGATGCGTTCAGGCCGGAGCGGTGGTTGAAGGAGGATAATGGCGACATGCACCGGTTCTTCTTCGCTTTTGGCGCTGGCTCGAGGATGTGTCTTGGACGAAACATTTCGTGGCTTGAGATGAGCAAGCTGATTCCGACGCTGTTCTTGCGGTATAATTTGGAGCTGGACGAGCCCGAGAAGGAGTGGAGCATGAAGTGCTGGTGGTTCGTGATGCAGACGGGTGTGAATGTGCGATTAACTCGGCGGCATTACTAAATCTCAATGGGATAAGTGTATCGGATCTAACGATCATGAAGTCATCTTCTCATACCCGGTCTCAGGTCCATATTCATAGCTCTCGACGTCATCCGCGTATCACCCAAACATCCACACGGAGTGTATTTGCATACTCCAGGCGCCCTCGACACCATCATCCCGACTCTATACCACCCCACCAAAACTCCCCTCTTCGTACCATCTCCTCCTACATAGGCATCCTCCTCATCTCCTCCACCGTCCAGTACTTCCGCATATTCTCCGCCCCCAACTCCCTAACCTCCTCATCCAAATGCTCCCAAAGCACCCCTCCAAACCCATCCATCACCTCCCTCAACTCCCCCATCCGCAAATCCCTCTCCCCTCGCCGACACGCCGCAATATACGCCTCGAAAACGTCCAACCCGTCGTGGATCTTCTTATGCTGTGTGAGGAGCTGCATTTCCTTTTTGAAGACGGGCATCTTTTTAGCGAGCACGGGGAAAATGTGCTGTTCTTCTATATTGTGGTGCAGCGTCAAATGTGAGACGAAGGATTCGGCGGTGGAGAGGAATTGCTTTATCGACATGTTGCTGGGGCGTTTGCCGGAGGAGGCGGCGGTGTAGAGGAGGTTCCAGGTTTGGCGGAAGTTCTCGTGCTGTGTCACTCCTTATCAGCAAGGACTCAATGGCAGGAGGGGTAACAGAGGGACGGACGAAGTAGTTCATATGCTCAGCCATATGATTGTACTTCCTAAACTCCTCTTTGCTCAACTTCGGCAGCGCTTTCGCCTCTTCCTCCTTCTGCACCTCTTCTTGTCGTGGACCGGTACATTGGGGTAGCCCTTCCTCTGCCATCTCTTTAAAGGCGCCTTCAGGCGGGTCCATACCGTTGGTCGCCATGTTGTTGAAGTGGTTGTTGAGATTCCGGCACGTAGAAGCGAGCGAGCGACTATGGAGGATATTGTGGGAATGAGCGAGGGTTGTCGAACGTCTTATGTTTGATATCAAAAGGCCTGAAAGCAGGACTCGAAGCATTGGGTTGGGCCATTGCGAAGGTGGTTGTAGAGATAGAAGATAAATGCCGTTAATTGCCTTGCCCTGTGGCGGCGAGCTTACGGAAGCGTGTCTCGGGAGGCGGACGGACGGGTGTGGTGATCTTCCAGGTGCCGAAGAACATTCACATGCCTCAATGCCTGATGGTTACCAGAGATACATGAGAGGTAGAGGGAATCTCCTCAAATCGTAGCAGATCCGGTACGTGAGATTCTGCAGACACTCGAACTTCTTCGAGCGAGTCAGAGACCCTCCGCCCTCGTACAACCTACCCCCTCGGTCCTAGGTAATCCCCAAGGCAGTTCCACAGTAGCAGATTGGGAGGATAGAAATCTGAGAACACTGCACTTCTTCGAAGAAGCCTCCGCCCTACTACACCGAGCTGCATGCACTTATCCGAGATATGTCTTGATTAAGCTGCACGCCCTTCCTCATCCCCCATACCCTCGAACAACCCCTTCAGCTTCGGCTCCACCTCAACAAGCACCCCCCACTCCCTCTCCCACTCCACACCTTGCCCCAGCACAGCACACCTCAACACCTCCACCACCTCCCTGATCTCCTTCTTCAACCCCTCCAGTCCCTCCTCGCCCCCACCAGTTTTCCTCTCAACGTCAACCACCCGAATCCAAGCCCCAGTAACGCCCCTCAAAACCTCCCCCCTCCACACCCCCATCCTAGCCCACCCCATCAGCACCACCACTCTCAAACACCTTAGCGCCTCCAGCATAACAACCCTCCATCTCTCCTCCCCCGGCGCAGCGAGCGGATGCGTAAGCGTGGCGGTGAGGGTGGGGAGGACGTATTTCAGATGCTTGACGCTTTCGATGCCGAGGTCGCGGAGTATCAGGGAGGTGTGGCGATAGAGGCGGGCGGCGAGGCGGGGGAACGTTGGGGCGGGGCAGAGAGAGAAGGTGTGGAGGGGCCCGGAGCGGAGGAGGCGGTCGAGGGATTTGGTGCGTAGGTCGTGGGGCGGTTGCGATGGGAGAGGTGTGGGTGCCGCGGGAGCGGTAGACGCAGGTTCGGGGAAGCGGAGGCGGGACAGTGTGAGCAGAGCTGGATACGCTTCGCCCAGCAATTTTACGGAGTCTTCTTCTGGTGTGAGAGTTGGGATGTAAGTGAGACAAGGCATCAGGGCCTCCTCGAATACCTCTCCCAGCCCTGTCTTCTTGAGCAAAGCCGGCGGTGTCACGAGCAAGACTTGCTGCACGAGCTTCACGCCCAAGGTCTTGTACCGCACCTCCCAGTCGTCTACCAGCGTCAAGAGAGGCGGGATCAGCAGATGCCAGACTCCTTCCACCTCCTTGGTATCGAGAGCAGCTACACACCAGCGTAGCTGATCTAGGGCATAAGGATCGTTCTTCCACGGCCGGGTGACAGAGTCATCGAAGCTCTCATTCGTCATCTTCTTCGGCAGAACGGTAGTGGTGTTCTTCCGCCCTGTATCCGTCACACTAGTCGGCTTGGTCTTGAGGAACAGCGGGCGGATGGTAAGCTTGAGGAAATGGTGAAGGAAGGAGGAGGAGAGCTCACCTCCGTTCTGCTTCGACTTTTCGTGTTGCAGATGCTGCTGAACTTCTTCGATCGCGTCCTTTGAACTGGCCGTGTCTGGGTTGCGTAGTTGGTACGCCATCACGACGTCCAGAGCATCTTTCATCCACGGGCCGGGCGATGTGTTGAGCGCTTTGGCGAGAGCCTTGCCGTCGAGAAGGGGCTTGAAGGTGTGGGCTTCGAGGATGCCAAGCTGTTGGAGATGGAGCGTGAAGGTCTGGTATTTCTTCTCGATCGCTGTGACATGTGTTAGTGCTGCACTGCCAGTGAAAAATGGTGGTCGTGCATACCTTCAGCATCGCTGGTCTCCTGCGCCACCTCGACCAGCATGGCGTAGGTCGCCTGGGTTCTCCAGCTCGAGCCCCATCCTCGGATAGCCATACCCAGTGTATCCCTCGCTGCCGCCGCTGAGTTCTGGTCCACCATGTCCCGCATCTGCCGTCGCCTATGCTGGTAGCACTGATGTACGACCTCGGAAATCTCGGACTGATGACGCAGAGACGAGGCGATGATATCGCAGACCTTGTTCGTCGACTTGATACCTTCTCTTGCTACTTGCGCAGCAATCGGAGGTGGAGCCTTGCGCCCTGGCTCTGGAGGCTCGGGTTGCGGAGCGTCATTGTAAGGTACCATTGCTGCGATCTGCCAGGCCAGGAAGCGATCCTCGTTATCTTTGACCAAGACCTCAGGCATGACCGACTCGCCATTGAGCGTATCGCGAAGACAGTCAATGACGGCTTGCCATCCCCTGGTTTCTGGCGTATAGGCGTCTTCAGGCTCGATAGTAGGGTCCGAGAAGATGGTGTCGTACAGATCAAGCGAGTAGATCAGCCGCATGGCCTCGTGCGGGTCTGGCCCTCGCAATGCCTTTTCCAGCTCGATACCAACCCTTTCCCTGCTGATCTTCCTGCGTAAAGCGTCCTTGATTTCGGAGTCACGCATCGCCTTCAGTGCTTTCGCATCGATCTTGTAGCCCAGCCGACTTGCGAAGCGGATCAATCTTAGAACTCTCAATGGATCGTCTTTGAACGTCTGGTATGGCTCCAACGGAGTCCGGATGATTTTCGCCTTCATGTCATCGTGTCCGCGTCCAGTGAAGTCTTCGATTTGTGTGGTGTTTATATTATAAAACATGGCGTTCACGGTGGCATCTCGGCGCAGTGCATCCTCTTCGGGGGTACCAAACTCCATGGCAGGGTTTCTCGAATCGTCAGTGTAGGTCTCCTTCCTCAAGTTTACCAGGTCAATATCCAGGCCCATGATCTTGGTCGTGACAGTCTCGAGGTGCTTCGACTTCTCCGGGTTCGCCTCAATCTTGTGCAGCCCGCCTACAACCTTGGACTTGTCTGCGCTTCCAGCCTTCTGGTTCTGCTTGTCCGTAGTCGCCACGCCTTCAAGTCCATACTTCTCAGGGTTGCCGGGAATCTCCAGATACTCCTTGAGGCGAAGGCCGAACTGGTAGCCGGTCATTTTGTTGATGGCAAGATCAATATCGTGGCTAGGGACGCCTAGCAGCTTGTCACGAACCCATCCGCCTGTGAAGCGAAGGACAATCTTCTCGTTCGCAAGTTCGGGGGGAAGCTTGACCTGATTTTCTGGGTCCGGCGAGTTTGGGTTTTCGTCGATGTACTTTGCCACGTCGAGGAGGAGAGTCCGCAGAGTGGCTTCTACGGGTGTCAGTTCCAGCTCCTTAGATGGTGACGTAGTTTCGTCATCCTCCACTTCCTGGATGAGTGCTGGTGCCATCTTGCTTGCAGAGAATGGCTGGGCTTGAATGGGTGCTGGAGGGCTGCTCAGCTTCCTTCGTTTTCGTCCTTCAGGTGATGCCGTGACCCTTCGGACTGTTGACATGTAAGAGCAAGCCCGACATTGGGTACGTGAAGCGAGCTGGAGGGGTCTGCTTCGTAGCTTGAATGTTTCTGCTGCACAATGACTCAACCTTTGACGGAGTAGGAGCATTCACTGGTTGGTATGGTTGATCTGTGAGATCAAAGCAGACTGTAATGAAGTTGATTTGTGTTGATGAGACTCGTAGTATTTGGCCGTGTCGTTGACTGGTCAAAGGGCGAAGATATGCCTTCGATGTTGTTCTCTTCGCGGTCTTGGCGGATGAAGTTGGGGATGCTTGGCATTATTGATCGACGTCGGCCGGATGATGTGAGAGACGGAGGAGGATAAAGTCCCGAACACTCAAAGCGCGGAATACCAGAAGAAATCTACCATTCTGCGAGACTACTGGGTTAGACGACCGATGCACCACCCGCGACCACCGCCCTACCCGTCCATCCCGCCCGCACCTCTCCCATGCCCTCGCAAGCGGCGAGCCCAGTGGTGTCACCTCACGAATCCGACAGCGACGCCAGCATCAGTCTCCCCCAACAACGACGGCCGGATAGATCCCCTCTCGCCTCCGTCGACCGCTTGCCCTACCGGCGCAGCAATGCTTCGTTGTCCAACCTCTTCGCCTCGACATCCTCCTTGCCCACAAGACCGGGCAGCGATGGCACCCAGACTCCGCCGAGCGCCGCCTTGAACGGGTCAGTCTTCTCGCCAGGTGGATCTACGGTGCGTTCCCCTTCGCCGGCGTTACCAGGGGTCGGAGCAGGGAGCGCAGGGAGTGAGACGAGGAATATCATCGTCCGAGCATTCTCTCCGCATGTCTCCGTGCTGGCCTCGCAGGATACGGAGGAGTTGATTAGGCACAAGGGGATCCACGGAGGACTACTGGAACTTTTACGGCCATTTGGAGAGCGTGTGCCGGGCAAGGTCACGATTCGAGACAGTAGCGGGGCGAGCAGGTCTTACGAGGACTATGCTGTACGCTTCGTTGGAGTGAAGGATGGGCTCGAGAGCTCTAGGGCAGCGAACAGGAACAGTACCGATTCTATCAGGACTGGCCCTCGAGCGTCGATGCTAGAATACAAGCCCGCGCGATTGCGCACCGGCGGCGATGTCCCTCAGATCGAAGACCTGGTTGAACGGCACCTGACATTCGCCGAAGAGCAGTCTGGTCCCGTGCAGCCCGACTACCTCAACCACAAATCAGCCGCCACCAAGCCCGCAGACTCAAACAACCCTTCCCCTTTCTACCACCTCTACCTCCGTCGCCTGCTGTCCGGCCTTCCTCTGGTCCCGTCAGAAACACTGTCTCACCCTCTCGCCTCGATCATCGCCATTTCCTCCCGCTCGCCGTCTCCAATCGAAGAACTGCGCACGCTCTACGCCTCATCCAACAACGGCGAGCACCGCCTGCCTCCCTGGGTTCACAATGAATTCCTACGCTACTACGTCCTTATCCACGACGAGGACTACGACTCCCTACCCCAATCCACCGCCCTCTACGACCAGATGAAACGCCACTTCGGCCTACATTGTCATCTCCTCCGCTTACGAAGCACGCAATGCTTACCATCCGACGACGACGCCCTGCTCCTCCCGACCTGCGAATGGACCGCCGCAGCCGAAGACCTATCCGAAATCACCCGCCGCGAAACATCCGACGACGACGACGACCCCGACATCACCGGCCCCTACATCTTCGACACCGACGCCGCCAACCTCCGCGCCTTCGTTCGCGAACTTGTCACCCAATCCCTCGTTCCTGCCCTCGAACGCGCCTCCGCAACGTGGAACGACCAAGTCGCTTCTCGTCGACGGGGCATAAGCGGCCGCTTCATGTCCCTCTCCAAACGCTTCACCACGTTCGGCTCGTCCTCTTCCAGCACCAGCAGTGCCAGCAACCGCAACTCCTCCGTCCCCTCCTTCGGCGCCGCAGTCGGCGGCAGCACGAACTACGACCCCAGCACCGGCGCTTACCCACCTTCCGCCAACGAAGCCACGATGCGGCGATTAGCGGACTACGCGATGGTCCTGCGCGATTACAGACTCGCGCAATCGACGTTCGAAATTCTCTGTCAAGACTTCAAAGGCGATAAGGCATGGCGGCACTACGCCGGTGCGAACGAAATGGTCGTCGTGAGCTCGCTGATTCAAACTGGAGGGGCGAAGGTGCGGTATGAAGCCATTGAGACGGCTTTGAGGGAGGCGTATTATACGTATGTTTCTCGGTGTCAAGCACCTTACTACGCACTGCGGACGCTTGTTCTGGGGGTAGAGTTGTTAAGGCTAAGGGGTGGAGCGGCGCTCGATGAGGCGGCGCGGTGGGCGGGGAGGGTGTTGGAAGATCGGTTGGTGGGGGCTGTGGGGAGTGTGTTGGTTATGGAACGGATTGCGGCGTGTTATGCTGAGCGTAGGGTTGCAGGGGTGAGTGTGGTTGAGAGGAGGAGGAAGGCAGCGTTTTGGAACGCTTTGGCTACGGAGGCGTGGTTGCGGCTGGAGAAGGGCGGGCGGGCGGAGGAGTGTCTTGGAGCTGCGGCGCGGCTATATCAGGCGTTATATGAGTCGGAGTCGTCGGCGGCGGAGCTCGAAGAGAAGATGGGCTTCGAAATGGAGAAGCGGCGGTTCGAAGCGATGCAAGCACATCTCGCCTCCCTGCACGCAGCAGTGCAATCGAACCTCTCCGGCCCACACCACCTCTCCGACGAAGACCTCCTCGCGCAGCAAGATGCCGACGAGCAAGGACAACTCGCAGAACCACTTCAAGAAGACTCCGACAAACTCGCCTCCCTCCGCCGGCCTTCCCTGCAGATCCAAGCATCCAACCAACCACCCGGACATCGGAGAAGCATCAGCGTCTCCGCCAGCGCAACCAGCCCTGACCCGCCACCGCAGATGCAGACGCTCTTCGATCCGCTGGGAGCTGTGGGAAGCGCGTACGAGACTACACCCTCGACGCAGAGGCGACCGAGTGGTGGGGGCACTGTACCGCTGAGTGCGGGCGCTGGGGTGGGTGATTTGCCTGGGATGAGTAGTCCGATGGGTGAGCGAGGTAGTGGTGGGAGGGATGACGGGTTCGAATGAGGAGGCTGAGATGTCGAGATGTTGTGCTGGGTTTAGCGATGGCGTGTGGCGTTTAGGGAGGAGTGTAGACTTTAGATCTATCCTCGAATCGGGAGACTTCCTGTGATATCTTGGTCTACTTCAGCCATCCATGGCGCACCGTTCCATAACTTGGAAGACGTGCGAGTTCGGCACTGTGCAGTCGTCGCTAGTGTTGTGACAGCCTAGTTCGGTCTCGATGTCGCAGCGCAAGAGGGGTCGCATGTTGCGGATCGATGTTGCGGCTATGCGGCAGGATGTTGTGCCTGTAGCGTTGAGAGATGTTGTAGGAGGTGGTGTGTTGGGCGTAAGCGTTTCCTCGAGACTGTTCGACCAAGTGGTTGTAGGGTTGTCATCCTGCATTGTTTGAGCAGGAGGCATGGCGCGTAACGACTGCAAAGTCGATGTGAGATGTCCGGGGTAGCGATCACTGGATCCAGGTCTGCCGCCGAAGGAAACCAAAGCATTCGCTCTGGCGACCATGGGTACGTACGAACGCTCTCGCGTCGTATCGTCTGGCAAGCCATGTGAGGATGTGTTGAGGGGTGGGAGATGGGACGATCGCGAGTCGTTCTCAGAGTACGAGGAACCCTCACAACACTCCCGTCTCGTCTTGAGCAAACTTTCGAGCTCATCAGCAGCACTCCTTCTTGCAGATGCCTCATCTACATTGCCGGACTGGATGCCATGCTCTTGCAGCAGTCGCCTCAATCGTCTATTTTCGTCCAGCACTCGCCGAGCAGCCGTCTGAATCTCCGCTGATGCCTGGACACCACTCTGCTCACATTGCCGGTACTTGACTTCCAAACTTTCCAGATACTCCTTCCGCCGGGCCCGGGAGCGGCGTTGGTTATCTCTTACGCGAGAAAGATCTGAGCTTTGCTGGTTTGACATGTTAGCATGTGATGATGGTGAAGAGACAGGATCATCGAACCTTCTCGGCCCTTTTGGTAGATGACATTGCTTTACCAGCCATAATATGAGATTCTCGATTACGGATTGGGGCGAGAATGGCTCAAATGTCAAAATCCATTCATGTTCATGTGACGAGGAGATTCTTCTTTGTGGCGTGGTTTGACGGCGAGTCGACCGCGTAACAAGCACTGCTCAGTGATTCGACGACGTCAAACGAATGGCCAGCCCATGCACTGTCGACCGACGTCTACAGTTGTTTTCGAGCACATGTATATTGATGAAGAAGTGTAGTCGTCGTAGAGATGGCAAGGTTTCCACTAAAGAAAGCTTAAATCAACGTGAGTGCAGATGAACATACATGTAACCGCTGCTCAACGTTTTTCAACAACAGCTCCCGTTGAAAGTACGTGGCAAGTCCCATACATTATCCTAGCTATATTCGTGCCCTCATAAGTCATACCACTCATCAACATTGTACCCGACATTACCGTACCCAAACGCCCCATTCCCCCAATCCATCCCCGGGTATGCATTACCACCCATCCCATACATCCCCGCTTGCGCAGCAGGCATGCCCATCGCAGGCGCAACCGACGCTCCGGTCATTGGCGCTGCCATAGGCATCGTGCCATTCGCCCACACGGACGGATCGACGTCGAATCCAGTCCAGTTCTCAAAACCATTGGCGAGCTGTGTCTGGTCGCGCTCGACCCATCTGTGGCTGTCGCGGACTAATTGCTCCACACCGCCGAACATATCGCTTGGACTGCTTGTTTTGGGGACTGAGAAGCCTTGCGTACGAGGCTCTTGAGATGCGGGTGGGTTGTAGTTCGCTGAGCCGCCGTTCGAAGGCATCTGTTGCTGAAGACCAGGCATCGCGTTCGATGTCGGTGCATAACCAGAGTATCCGTTGGTCGTAGGAGGTGGTGCGGGCGCCGGCTGAGTCTGCTGGACCGCAAATTGCTGAGGCTGCATCGCTGAGCTCCGTTCAGGCGACGGCGTATCACTCGCGTAACGGCCGAATTTGCTATCAGTCCGGGCCAGGACTGTTGCCGCCTCTTCAGGCAACTCAACCTTCCACTTCCGAGCCAGCATGCTCAAGATACCTAGCGTTCGCCGTGCGCAGAGCCATCCCTCGGCGATCTCTTCGAGGTGTTTCACACCGTGCACGAAGTCTCTGCGAGCATTCTTGTCGGGGAGGTTGAGCAAGTGTATAGTGCATGCGCTGTGCACAATGTAGACACAGATGTTGCATATTTGTCGTAAGCCATGACCTGCTGCGAAGTCAGTCATAGCTTTGAAGGATTAGTCGGTGAAAAGTGCATACTTCGCTTGTAAAGCCGCATCAACTTCGAAATCGTCTGAGCCGCCTGCGTACACAGTTTTCTCGGGCTGACCGTCTGCGGCAGTGGCGATGTGTTTTGCGTATACTTCAGAAAGGGTCTAAATAGATGAATGAACAACAGCTGGAAGAACATGTGCATCGTCAACACACTTGACAGTCCGCCTTCTCTCGGTTCCATCTCCTTCGGTAAGTCTCTCCGCCATGATTCTAATCGGGTGTGGATGGAACTGAGCATCTTGAGCTCCGCTGACCGGCCCCGGGGCTTGTCCATGTCCATTGGATTGTAGAAGTAGTTCATCAAGTCACTGCTGATCTCGCACAGCTTAGAGATCTGCAGTGCCACTGCTCGAGTCCTTGCGGGCTGAGCATGTGCTTGCGAGAAGCCGGAGTCCGAGTATGGCGTCCACTGGGCAGAGTCTTCTTCCGGAAAGACTTCGGGTTTGGGCGCAGTGATGATGCTTGTCGGTAGCTGCGGCAGACGTCCAAGGTAGTTGGACCAGCATTTGTCGAACAGAAAGCAGCCCCAGAATGTTATCCGCCTGACGTCCTCTTCCGCTTCAGCGTTATCGGTGTGTTTCGCCTTGGTAAGCTGGCCGGTGTTGAGGTTCAACCCCATGTCGCAGGCCATGCGAAACGACATCCCGCTGTACACCCAGCCCTTTGCTTCTCGTGCACAGCCAGCTTCTCGTACGGACATCAAAGCCAGTGCTTGGACGGTTGTCAGCCTAGGGACTTCATGAAGGTCGCCTTCCAGTATTAGGCGCTTTGCTTCCCGAAAGAAGTGATCGCCAGCAGTGGCCGAGTCACTAGGATCTTCCCGAGCACCTCTCCGACTTGTGAAGTGGCAGCCGAGGGCAAGCATAGCGTTGACCAGCAGTGGTGTGCAGTAATGCGTCTTCCGTTTGGTGCTCGGTGCGTATCCCAGCAGAAAGTCGCGGTAGAACAATGTCTTCGTCAGTGTGCAGAAGTAGGCGTAGTGCCAGGTGAAGTACATGTTCAAGAGGTGTAGGACGAGCTCTGGGTCCGAAGTCACACGTGTCCAAGAGGTGACGGCGTTCTCCTGCTGAATATAGTCTTCCGCATCGTCCGTCAACTGATCCTCGTTGATGTGCAACAAGTGGGATGTGCCTCCAATGTACCGGACAGACCCGTCATCTAGCTGCAAGTCTGCCATCTTGCCATACACCTGTCTCTCGAACGGCGGCAGCTGAGCAACGCCATTGTCGTCGACATTTTGGCCCTCATCATCCGCTTCAGGCGTGAGGCCGTACTCCTTCTCCGACACTTTTGCTGCAACAGCGTCTAAGCTCTCGCATGCCCTTATCTCTCGCACAAGATCGAACGCTTCATGCTCTTGAAGATTCAGGATCGCCGAGACCAGGGTGTTCAAGGTCGAATTCCGCGTCTTGGAGTCATCGGCGTCATGCTTGTAGACGCCCTTCCGCCGGTGGTCTGAGTTCGGGTCGTATATGCATTCTGTTCCGTACACCTTTATCTTCCGTCAGTCCACACCCCGAGCAATCTCTGCCAGCCAAACTAACCTGAAGACAAGCAGCACAACTAGGCGTCGCCCCATCACACTTGCTTTTCCGCTGCCGACAAGCCTTACACGCCGTGCTCACACACTTCCTCTTGCTCGGATCATCTTCGACCTCATTGTGCTTGCGCCTACTGCGCTGTTTCGGCTTCGGAGCAGGACCAGACGAACCGGCGGCAGTAGTAGCAGTAGTCTCTGATTTGATGCTGCGTTGATCTGCAGATGCAAGGTCCATGTCACCTCGACATTCTCCCGAAACAGGTGTCGTGCGATCTTCGTGCCGCGGAGATGCGTTATAATGCGGGCGGTCCAAGGCTGGAGAGTCTGTGAGGTGCAGCTTTTACGCGGGATTGGCGTAGGATTGCTTGTTCGTCCTCGCGACTTCAGCTCGGAAACTTGTGGTATATTGTTGACTTTGAAAGTATGCTCTACGAGAATCGGATCGACAATGGCAAACGTAAGTAAGCAAATCGAGGCTCACCTGTCTGGCAGATGCGGAGCTCTGAATTTGCACCAAGCTCTCACGTCGCCGCCCGTGCTAGACTACTGCGAGCCATGGTACCTTAAGCCCCAACCATATGACAGCAGCATCTAGCATACCGAGGTCGATTGATAGGTATGGGCGTGAGAAGGGGTTGTTGTAGATGACAACGGACGGTGGAAAGGAGGACGAGACAAGATGACGTGCAAAATCGCTTGTTTCATCTCATTTCTGCTTAGTCACGGCTCAATTGACACGTGCAAACATGGAGGCACGACGATGGTGTTCTCCTATCGTGCATCATCCCCACGTCCTCCGTGCCACCTCCCAGCCTCTTATGAGATGGAGTCCGTCTCAAAGTACGGATCGTTAGGATCGTAAGGAAACTTCCTTATAACCACATCCCCCACATACCCACTCAAATCCTTCCCTTCCTCCATGGAGCTCATATCCAGCTCACACTTCACTTCGTCCTGTCAAGCTATCAGCACTGCTCCAGCGAACATCAGACCTCTCGGAGTTTGATCAACTCACCTGTCCAAACGTCTTCACCTCCGCCTTCTTTCCCTCCCCATAATCCACCCTCACCATCTGCCTCGTCTCCCGACTAACGTCCCCCTCATAATAATTCACCGGCATGAACTGCACCCCCGAATGCGCCGTCGTGAAAACCGTATTCGGCAGATCCCCCGTATGCGGCAAGTGGTGCATCCCTAGGTTGAAATACACCACCAGATCCTCTTGCTCGAGACTCTCGTCGTCCTCGAAGAACTCCGAGAAATCGATCATGGGGTCGTAGACATCGAAACCGTTGTACGGGTGGCAAGAGCGCGGCTCGGTGTCCTTTTGGCGCAGGACGTAGAGGTCGTGGGTGAAGGGGTGCACAGCGGCTTCGAGGTTGGAGGAGTTCTGCACGGTGAGGTGGCAAGTGCCGTCGGAGGGCAGGATGCGGTACCCCCGGTACTCGCCGTACTTGTTCGGCTTGTCGGTGTTGACGACGCGGTACTGGGTGGCGCCGTTGCCGGTGTAGAAGATCTTGCCTTCGCTTTCCGATTTGAGCATGGTGCGGTTGACTCTCATGGTATTGCGGGGGCGGTCGTGCCAGGGATAGGTCTCCATTGTGGGCACGAAGGTGGTCATTTGGAAGGAGTTGGCTTTGCCGAGGATCTGTGGGCAAGGAAGAGAACATGTCAGTACTATCGAGGTTGGGTGAAGGCTGCTGGGTAGAACGTACGTCAAAGTCCGCTTTGTAGTTGAGCACGTGGTCGTGCATTGAGCCGGAGAGGGCGTCACTGGAGTCTCACGTCAGTACGACTGGAAGTCCGGTGTTCCAGAGGAGGTGTTGTCTCACTGGATCTGATACCCATAGTCCTCATTCGCAGCAAAGTACGCCGACTGGATATACCCACTAGCCCTCACAGTCACCTTGATCGACCCATCCAAGTAAAACTCATACGAGAACATGTAATCGTAGTTCCCAACCGTCGAAACCGAGCGCACAGTAAAATAAACATTCTTCGTATTCGCCACATACGTCCCCGTCGAATGTCGCTGCATCGGATAATCCGCATCGAACTCGAAGAAGCAAATCGAGTTGATGTGTGTATGTGTCGTCTCGTCGATGTAGAAACTCGTGTTCATGTACGAAGCGTACGCCGGGCAGTCGTATCCGGGGACGAGTTCCTGTCTCTCATCAGCACCCATCATGTCTCCCCCCTCCGCCAGGTGTGAGATGGGACTTACAAATGCGTACGGACCAAACCCATAAAACGTATCCAAATACGCCGTCCCGCTTTGCGTAGGGTCCCCACCTGCATAATGCGCCAACGCCTCCTGCAGCGACAACTCATACAGGATTCTCTGTCCCTTGTGTCGGATGTCATACAACGCCATCCCTCTGTCACGAGTAAAGCCGATATAGAAGCTAAAATCCATCCACTCGACGTACTTCGCTTCCTGATCAACAGAGTACCTCGCCGGACCCGCCCTCACGGCCTGCGGGGGTGGCAGAGCGTCCATGGGTAGTTCGGATCCACGGCGATCAGTGCCGGACCAGTCGCCCGCGACGTTGGGAGGGAGTTTGGTGAAGTTGGCAGAGAAGTATGCGGAGCGGAACTCGGCGGTGGTGGGGTAGAAGACGTCGTTGTAGAGCCAGCCTTCCAGTTTCCAGGCCGAAGGGTCACGGCCCGTCTCGTCGGTTTTGAAGTAGAGGCCAAGGGGGAGGAGGGTGAGGGCGTCGAATTCGTCGGTGGGGTAGTTCCAGAATTGGACCCAGCGGGTGACTCTGCCGTCGTATTGCCTGTAGAGGGAAGGGAGAGGGAGTCAGTGGAAGTGTGGGAATGGTAGGATATTGCGTACCAAACCGGGTCAATGCCCCAGATTGAGAGACTGTCGTTCTTCTTGCACATAGCCGTGCCGCCCCAGAGGTCCATGGTGATGTCGGCGATGGTGGCGGAGATGTTGCAGCGGAATTCGTAGCTCAAGCCAGAGTCGGCGTCCAGGTTGCGCGTCTTGCCACCAGACTTCTTGGTGTATGGGTACTCGAGTGGCATCCAGGTCGTAGCACTGTCGATAGGCAGTGGTCCAACCAAGATATCTGCGAGGACAGGATCCTCGCTGGCTCTCATATCAAGCACAGCATGAGCCCATCTCTCCGGTGCACTGGCATTGCCATCGATATACGGCAGGACATCAGTCTTGTTCGGGACGTTCAGCTCGACGAGAAGTAATGTGTTGTCCCACTCGCCAGCCTTGCTGGAGTTGGTCAAGTTGAGTCCACTCATCCGGAAGAGCCATTTGGTGACACTGGCGGCTTCGACGTCCGTGAGCCCGCTCCAGACGTTCGCTTTGGGCGCTTTGAAGTCTTCTGGTCCGGCAGTATCACAAGAGCCGTTAGTGAAGCGTTTGCTCAAGCTGCCACTCAGCTGTGAGGACTTGGCCAGGCGGGAGCGAGCTTCGCGCATCCATGGGGAGTTGGGGGCGGCGAGAGATGATGATGACAAGATGAGGAGAAGTAGTGAGATGTGGGAAAGTGAAGAGATCCAAGAGTGGCCTGCCATGTTTGCGATCGAAATCGAGGCACTGAACTGATGGCGTACTTAGACGGTGTATGCTGCATATATACTGCAGTGCAAGTGTTCCAGAACCCAGCATGCTGGGCATAGTGGTCCTTCATGCAGGCACCTCGTGGCCGCCTCGTGGGCCAACACCGCTTGGAGGTGCCGTAAATGGTCGTTACAATGGGCCATTGTCTCGCTATCTCTCAGGCCTGAAGATAGGGAGGTGATCGGCCGGCTGCCCATGGGGAAGCTAGTACACACCTTTGAGGGAGAAGGCAAGTCTTCCGCAGTAGTCGGTATAGATACAGACCCTTGCGGAAGGGCGTATGAGATCCGATCCGTGAGATTTTATTGAGATATGTGGTAGGCGTCTTAATGTGTTGCCGTTGCCAAATAGACCCAGACGCCCTTTCAACATCAACACTTGATGACTACCTCCAGATGTGCTCATGTTGGAGGTTCTAGGCCTTCGGCACAGCACGTCGAGCTGGCTACTGCCGCATGAGCCAAGAGATAGGCGGAGAGTAGAAGAGATAAGAGACATTGGGGAATGCTCGACTCACGGCTGGAGATGTACATGTCTGTTCATCTGCTGTATGCGAATGCGGATGGGTTACATACCTTACGCTGTAGCATCGGCAATAGCACGTAGTGGGCATCCAGTAATATATGTTGTCACTTCCAACTCCCATCCTTCAGTCACCGGCGAGTACTTGTCGTTTGGCCGTTGGATATAAAGATAAATAATCATCCACCTCCGGTCGAGTATATACCTCGTTCAGGACGAAAGGGTGTTTGCCAATTCGTCGTGCTGGGTCACCTGCAGGCAGTCGAGCTGTTTGAGACTTGTCAATGCATGCGGCCTCATCTGCAACCCACCCGGCCACCATTGGCCGCCGAACTTTGACAGCTCTCGTTCGGACGTGTTCGTCGCAAGATTTCACCTGCTGTGAAGACTGAAGAGGTATTGCGCCATTCGAGAGCTGCAATAGCACATCGACTATCGACACGCTATAGCAGCCGGTCTGACTACATCGATGGGTCCTGGAGAAGGGGATCGAAGTAGCGCAAGCAAGAAGTCCACTCCTGCCACGCCTTTGGTTCCATCGGAGCTCGAAGCGTGCTCGACTGACGAGCGATGACGGACGAAAAGCTATAATTGAGCGATGCTATGATCGACCGTGGGAGCAAGAGGAGCCACAAGTGTTAGAGACCCGTCTGGGGGTCGTAAGTGGCTGCACCTCCTCGCTCAACTCGCTGCTGATGACGAGGGTCCTCGGCGGTACCTGCCTGCTTGTGCGTTTCTCGGTACCCTCCAGCACGTGATAGAACGCAGTCGCATGGCAAAGCAATCCCTTGCCTCCATGTCATTTGCCCGCAGCCCCAATCACACTCACCCACCTCCGCCGTCCACCACACTTCACCACACATTCGCTCTCTATCATTTCGGCTGCAATCTGCCTGGCCCTCTCGATCGCCAGCATTGCCAGCGCCGCCAAACCAATCGACGTCGATCCCCGAGCAGCGCTAGCAAGGACCACACTCTGACCTCCCTCTGTCAACGTGCGCCACGCCCGTTTAACGAACGCCGCCTTCGTGTCATTGTGGAACTCCCGGTCCAGTCTCTCACTTTTTCCTCGACGCCCTTCTGACCCCCCTCCGTCCCACCGTAGCGACGCTGTGCGCCAGACGCGGTGCTCGGCATGCGAAACACCACCCCCGCATGCCACCACGAGTAACATGCCCATCTGGCCGTTCCGCAAGCGTCGGCGCAGTGCGAAAGACGACGTCCAACAACAGCCTTTGAGTGAAAAGGCGCAGCCGGAGCAGCCACCGACAAGGGCAGCAACAGACCCGTCGCCACCCTCAACTCAACCCATCGCCATACCTCGCAAGACGAGTAAACGCGCGGACGAGCAACCACGAGCCGCAACGTTTGACGAAAAGGCCACCGAAGCGTCGTTGATGAGGTCCAAGCAAGCTCGTGAAGCCTCTCACAAGGAGAATGTGCCACCGAGCTCGTCGTACCGGAGACACAGTCGCGAGGACATCACAGCGCTTCCACTGAGCCGAAAACTCGACTCGAGCCCGCATTTGCGACCCATTGACTCGGAGCGACCGCACATTCCTTACAACTTCCGACCGTACTCGACTTCGCAGACTAGCATTCAACCAGAGCCTAACATGTCGCCACCACCGCGCCAACCGAACAAGCTGCGATCGCGTCGTAGCCAGTATGACAGCGCAACCCCATCGCGCAGGCAATCGAGCAAGCGTCGCAAGGACGATCGCGTGCGCGAAGAGGAGATTAGAGCTATGGGAGCGCAGTCGCCTATACCGAAGAGACCAGGTGATGGACCTCTTCGCAGGGACAGCAAGAAGATGCGGAGCTATGGCATCAAGGACTCTTACGTCTCCCTACCTCAAAGCGACGACGTCGACTCGAACATGACCGGCATCGCGGAGCAACGAGGGTGGGAGCTTGGAAGCTTTGACATGTTCAATCCCAGGCCCGCTGTTCGACTGTCGGGGACACCTCAATACATCGCGCCGAGCAGCATGCCTTCGCCTTCCCCGATCGCAGAGATGGTGGAGAGGGATAAAGAGAAGATGCCTGCGAAGAGTGAGAGGACACGGAAACGGGAGACTATTGGTGTTCGAGCAGATGATCTGGACGCGAGTGATCTGAGGATGTTGATGGAGCGCGATGCAAAGAGGAGAGAGCAGAAGAAGAAAGAGCAGCAGGAGAAGCTCGATCGCAAGCTGCGGAACAGGAATGGCAGGAATCGCGGTGACAGCGATAGGAAACGTAGGGAAGCGGAAGAGGAGCGGAGAGAAGATGAGGCGAAACAGAGGGCAGAGGAGGAAAGGAGAGGGCGGGAGATGCTGACACCACCTACAGACATCCACCCAGCGCTGCGGGATAGAAGCGAGGATAGGAGGCAGTTGGTGGATGTGCCAGTTCCAGTACCTCAGACTGAGCCTCCTGCTCGAGAAGGCGCAGAAGAATATGGCACTCCTGCTGAGCAACCGGAGAATCCATTCACAGATGCCGCTGTTGAGCAAGAAGCAGCAACACCGCCTGTCGAGCAAATGCCAGGAGCATTCTCGCCGGTCCAGACGCCAATGGAGGATCCAGTGATCGAGACGGCACGAGAGATGAAGATGGCCCAGACTGCCACGCCACCTCTGTCGCCAGTACGGACCGGAGCCACTGCATCAAGCCTACCGAAATCAATGGACGCCCGCCGCGCGAGCGAGACTCCACTGCCCCCGCCTCCCATTACCGATCAGCGAAGGCATTCGGACCAGAAGATGGAACGCCGAGCTGGTGCATGGGCGACGTTCTTCCGCCGTGGTGGTACAAACTTGAGGAAAGACGGCACTGCACCATCAGAAGCCTCATTCTCAAACACCTCCAGGGAGTCCATGCGGAATCAGCCACTCCCAGCACATCTCGTCGACACGCAGGCTCAAGCACCGCGCCGCAAGTCCGGCACCCCCGCCCGCACTCAAAGCAAATTCCGCGAAGACCTCCCGGAAATGCCTATCTCACCCCCCGACTCACGCATGCCCTCCCCAGACGTCACTCTCGTCTCAGCAGCGGCCGCAGCCGCACGCAGAAAAGCCCGCTCCTCCGCCCCCAACACTGTCCCCGAAGACGTCACCATGCCCGACGCCGACCAACCTAGCAGCTACCGCAACGACACGCCCATCAGCCCGTCCATCCGCTCCAACCGCATGATGTCCATGGCCTCGGTGGATAGCGAAGGCTCCTGGCTGGCGTCTGGCGCTACGAACAGGCACTCCACGCAGTCGGGCGTGAACCGCAGTATCGGATCGCTGAACCAGCGCTTCACTGGCAGTTACGAGGAGCTCGGTCGTGATGCAGATGGCGAGTACTTCCAGCGTGGTCAGGCGAGTAGTCCGGACACCAAGAGGACGAAACTCTCCACCCTCGCCGCTTTGACCGGCGATAATGTCCCCGACGAAGAAAGCGACGAAGACGGCGTCCCCGACCTCTCCAACCCCAGCGATCCTATGACGATGCACGAGTCTGTGCGTCGGCAACCTACTCTCGTCCATCGCGATCCGCGCGTCAAGTCCCGCGAAGGCCTGCTTACTGAATTCGCTGGCGCAGAAACCCCAGAGCCCGATCCCGAATCCGCTGCTACGGGCGGCAGGGGCAGTATGTTCGGTTTTGATACAGAGGAGGAGGGGGAAGAGGAGGTGGTGGAGGTGAAGCGGGCGGGGAGTGTGGATTACGGGAGTCGTGGGCACGCGAGGCAGATTTCTGCGGGGAGTGCTAGGTTGATTGGGAGTTCGAGGGGTGGGAGGGGGGAGGGGATTGAGGAGGAGCCGCCGGTTCCTGGGTCGACGCCGCGGTGAGGGGGATGGTGGGAGTGGAGATGACGTAGATGGTCCTGGCTGGCCTATGACGCTCGTTTGAGATTGGCTCTCTCTTCTGCTGGCGAAGTTGGATTGCTTAATGCCTTGGAGGACTGGAGCTCGACGATACCCCATCATTCGCTTGGGAAAGAAGAACTGACTGGCAATGGCAACTGCTTCAAGGAGTTGGAAAGCGAACCCAGCGCTTGGGTTCGGAAGTGCCTGGGGCACCAGACTGTATATCAGTGTTACAATAGCGTCCATGGAAGAGAGAGAGAGGAGAAGGAGGGTATGGAAGTGGTGATGGAGCACGTGTTAGAGACGAAAAGTTGGAGTAGTCAGTCGATAGGGAGGGAGTGTAGTGAGTGTAATGAACTGTTTAACATGTCTACTTCGTGCATTCTTGCTGTCTCTTTGTCGTCCCAGCAAGCACATGCTATATTTCATCGCAGTGAGTTGGAGTGAGGTCTGACGAAGTTCTTGGCGGGGTTGCGTTCGCGTGAAAGAGAAACGCGACGTCCAAAATTTTGTTGTACTTCGACAACCAACCGCCAACGCCCACAACAACCCCTCAACTAATTCAACGAATACACAGGATTGTACATCGGCTCGTAGTGTACTGAAGAAAACTTCCACCAGCTTGCGAGGCCCACTACAGCCTCAGCACGCCCACACGCCAACATGGCAGGCATCTTCGAACAAGAGCGCAACAGCGGCACCCTCTTCCTCGGCGGCCAGAAGATCAGTGGCTCAGACATCCGCGACCAGAATGTCCTCGCTACGCAAGCCATCGCCAACATCGTCAAGTCCTCCTTCGGCCCTAGCGGTCTGGACAAAATGATGGTCGACGATATTGGAGACGTGACCGTGACCAACGACGGCGCTACGATTTTGAGCTTGCTGAGCGTGGATCACCCGGCCGGCAAGATCCTCGTGGACCTGGCACAGCAGCAAGATAAAGAGGTTGGGGATGGCACGACAAGTGTGGTGCTCATAGCCGCTGAGCTTCTGAGGAGGGCAAACGAGCTGGTGAAGATGCGCATACACCCCACCACCATCATCACCGGCTACAGACTCGCTCTCCGGGAAGCGGTACGGTACATGAACGAGAACATCAGTACGAAAGTCGAGACGCTAGGCAGGGAGTCGCTGATCAACATCGCTAAGACGAGCATGTCGAGTAAACTGATCGGCTCGGATTCGGATTTCTTCGCGAATATGGTCGTGGATGCCATCTCCAGCGTCAAGACGGTGAATGCGAGGAGCGAGACCAAGTACCCCGTCAAAGCTGTCAACGTGCTGAAAGCGCACGGGAAGAGCGCGACGGAGTCGGTGTTGGTGAAGGGGTATGCGTTGAACTGCACTGTCGCTAGCCAGGCGATGAAGACGCGGGTCACGGACGCGAAGATCGCGGTGCTGGATATGAATCTGCAGAAGGCGAGGATGAAGTTGGGGGTGAATGTGGTGATCGACGATCCTGCACAGCTGGAGAAGATTCGAGAGAGAGAGGCGGGGATTGTGACGGAGCAGATTGAGATGATTTTGAAGGCGGGGGCGAATGTGGTGTTGACGACGAAGGGGATTGATGATTTGTGCTTGAAGCATTTCATTGAGAAGGGTGCGATGGCGGTGAGGAGGTGTAAGAAGGAGGATCTCAGGCGGATTGCGAAGGCGACGGGTGCGACGATGGTTTCGACGCTGGCAGATCTGAACGGCGACGAGACGTTCGACCCGAAGAACCTGGGTCAGGCGGAAGAAGTTGTGCAGGAACGGATCAGCGACGACGAGTGCATTCTGGTCAAGGGGCCAAAGGTGCATACTGCGGCTTCCATTATCCTGCGAGGACCGAACGAGTACAGCTTAGACGAGATGGAGCGCAGCGTGCACGACTCCCTGTCCGCCGTCAAGCGCACGCTCGAAAGCGGCAGGATAGTACCCGGTGGCGGCGCAGTGGAGACGGCTTTACACATCTACCTCGAAGAATGGGCGACCAGCGTCGTATGTCCCCTTTAAACCCCCACCCTACCATTCCCCCATGCTAACGATCACCCCAGGGCTCCCGCGAACAACTAGCCATCGGCGCCTTCGCCGCCTCCCTCCTCACCATCCCCACCACCCTCGCCGTCAACGCCGCCAAGGACTCGAGCGAACTCATTGCCAACCTCCGCTCCCGCCACGCCCTCTCCCAACGCACCTCCGAACCGACACCGCACCCCCATTCGCCCAAAGACGCGCCCCGCCCTCCGCCATCCCAACAACGTCCTTCTTCCTCCTCCGCAGACTCTCCCGACGCCAAGGCGCTGCAGAAGGCGAAAGCGTACCGGAATTACGGGTTGGATTTGGCCAAGGGACGGGTGCAGGATAGTGTCAAAGCGGGCGTGTTGGAGCCGAGCATGAGTAAGGTCAAGCAGTTGAAGTCGGCCGTCGAGGCTTGTGTGGCGATTATGCGCATCGATACGCTGATTAAGCTGGATCCGGAGCAGAGGGGCGAGGGCGGGGATGATGGGCATGGGCATATGTAGAGCCTGACCAAACGGACAAGGGCACATGATCGTGGGACATGTGCCGAGCTGGATGAAGTATGTTGATGCTGATGTGTATGCTATGCTACAGTATGATACAAAAGCCCTGACTGAGTTCATACGCTGCATCAATTCGTCCGTTGCCTGTGCCTGGTTCGCTTTTCCTGTCTTCTCCTGTAACACTTATCATCGCAAGCCTTCCCAAGAGAGAAATACGAGAGTCATAACCTTCCACACACCCTCTTCCCCTTCACGTCTCCTCAGCTACTCCTTGAGTTGAGCCCTCAACCCAACGTTCTCCCTCCTCACCCGTCCCAACTCCCTCTTCAACCTCCCATTCTCTTCCCTACCCTCCCTAACCTGCCTTTTCAACTCCTCCACCCCTTCGCCACCCTTGACAGCCTTCAGAATCCGTCCCAATTCATCGTTGAACCGCGCGTAGAGAGCCTCATTCTCGGAGTTGGCTTCTCTATACAGTTCGTCGAGTTTCTTGCACTTCGCCTCGGAGACAGCGAGAGAGGAGCTGAGATCGTTCTGGATAGAGGAGAGGCGGTCGTTCAGCCCCTCCATCTGCGTCGGGAGGGATCCTTCGAGCTTGAGGACGCGTTGGGCGATGTCCATGTTTGCCGGGGGGTTGTAAGCGGAAGGCGTGGACTTCGTCCGACTATGCGAGCCAGGGGCGCGAACGGAGCCGATACGGGAAGGGGTGGAGGTGAGCTCGTCCCCGATTTTTGTCAACTCGTCTTGGAGAGAGGTGTGTGTGGCGGCGAGGGCGGATTGTTCGTTTTGCAGGCGTTCGCGGAGTTTTTGCGGGGATTGCATGCGGAGCTTTTTCGGTGAGCCTGCGTCCGTTGTCGTTGTGCCTGAAGCCATCGGCATGTCCGACTTATCTGGTTTGGGGGAGGGTTTCTTAACGATATTCCCAGCGCCAGGACGCTCCGCCAGGCCGTTTCGAGGGGGCGGGGAGGTGTGGGACTTATGCAGGGTGAGGGGTTTGGGCGTGAGGGTGGGGATGTTGGAGAGGGGACGGGCGGTGATGGTGACTTCGTCTAGTTTTGCGCCGCTGCTCTTTGGGCGCTGCTCGGGCGTCGGTGCGAGAGCTTTGCTTGGGCCGGGTGAGTTCTCTTTGCGGAAGGAGGATGGCAGCCGCGAGCGAGGTGTCTCGCGTGTGGGTGAGCCGAACCTGCCGCTTCCGCCTTTTGAAGATGGTGTTGAAGGAACAGGCGAGTTGGGCAAGGACTTCTCGTCTAGATAGCGTGGCGCTGTTGGTGGACGACGAGCCGCTTGCGGTGACCAAGCGGGCTTCGGCGACGCCTGCTGTGCAGCTTCGAGAGCCTTGAGGTCGGAGAGCGAGCTACGCCTCTTCTTCCTCGGCGGCTGCGTAGGGATGAAGCTGGGATGCTCTCCAATAGTCGAGAGTCCGAGATTGAGAGCAGAGGTGGTTCCGTTGAACGATAAGTCCTCCCCAAAATAGTTCGTCTTGTGTGTCGGAGAGCCATCTTGAGACACAGGTCTCGAAGGCACATCACGTGCATCCATGTCGGTAGACTGCGAGCGGTGAAGTGTACCCCTGGAAATGCTATTTGCAGGGCTGGCTTCACCGCGCGTGCTCTTGCTCAGTGTGCGCCACACGGAGGCCATCTTGGAGTCTTGCTCCGACTTGCTGTTCTCGCGCGACAGCCCAAGGCCGAACTTCTTTCGAAGCGAGGATGTGTTCGAGCTGATGGACGCCGAATTGACGGATCGTGCTCGCTTGTGCGGGTTGAAGCCGGCCTCAGTAGTCTTGCTGACCTCCTCCAGCGGCTCACCAAAGTAGGTGTCTGGGTCGTCCACGAAGCGATCAATCAGCGCAATGTAATCATGCGGGTTGCCTTCAGTAACCAGGACTTCTGCAAAAGCAGCGGTAAGGATACCACGGTCTCCATCGTTGCCAGTACCATCAAGCAGATCTGCCAGAAGTTTCATAATCCCCTTGAAGGCCCGCTGATTCTGAGGCGAGAGCTGTCCGATGGTCACCTTGAAGTACTGATCGAACTCAGCAGGGAAGAGCGTCTCTGCCTTCGACTGGATCTCCTGAAGTGTGGAAAAGGGCAAGATCTGACCCATCTGCTCCCTCCAAGCAACGTTCAAAAATTTCTCGAACGCCGCGAAGAGCACGTCAACGGTCGCCTGCGCAGCGAACACCATCATGTTCGGATCCTCAAGCACGCTGTTGTAAAGCTCATTGACCGCCAGCTCGTCGGCAGTCGCTCGCATCTTGAGGCTTCGCCCGACAATGTTGCCCTTCCGAGCCTGCAGAGCGAGCATGTAGGTGGCAAGCGTCTCCTCAAGCTTCTTGTGAGGGCTGGCGAGTGGTTCCATCGAGCGCATTGAAGTCATCGACTTGAGCGTCGGCGGGTCTCTTGATGGCGGACGGCTGTCTCGACTTGGTGGCAGACTTGGTGGCTTCATGGTAGAAGTGTTCGACTGCACGCTTGGGAGGCGACTGGGCGGTGGCAGTGGCGGCAGGTCCTTCTTCAGGAACGCCGGAGGTTGGCTGCCTGGTCCCGTGCTCGACAAGAAGCTCGAGAGAAACTTCTTCGGCGACTTTGGTCTTGACGTTCGCTCGGAGCGGCTATTCACTGATACCGCGTCATCGTCCGCAGCAGCGGCCTGGAGATTGAGTGTCTGCAGAATGGCGCCGTGCTTTGCCAGTAACGCAGATGTCATGGAGCTCTGTTCAATTGTGTAGCGGAAGCTCGAAAGTGTCGTGAGCTGCCGCCTCAGTGCACTAACAACCTGTGATGTATTGACAGATTCGGGAGCGGCTTTGCCGTCCACCGACTCAATCGTCAACCTCCAGGTGCCGTCCCGAGAAAGCGATGCTGCCATGATAGTGCGGATCCCATCTTCGGTTGCGCGCGGTCTCTGAGCATGACGATCAATGTCGACGATTAGTCGAATAGGAGCTGTGGACGTCCGGGTAGAGACGTGCTCATGGTTCGAGTCCTCGAAAATGGCGCTCAGCAGGCTGGCGGTGTCTGCAGAGGGATCCGAAGCACGCACCTCCCACTTGGCTGCCTCTCGCTCAGCTTCGCTGAAGCGGCCTTCGATGCGAGCTTTTGTGACTTCTTCGACGAGCCGTTCCAGCTTGCGCTCATAGAAGCCTTCGATGCGCAGGATTTGGCAAGAATCGACCATCGGTAGCTGAGGGGGATACACTGCACCGTCTAGCTTGAACATCGTTAGAAGTTGAATGCACTTGCCATCTTGCGCTTCAACCAATTGTACAGCATCGAGTTGCACTCTTCGAACGAAAGTCAGGTCGTGTGGTGTGTGCGGCCGGCCATGCATTTGTCGCATCGGTCCATGTCCACTGTCGAGCTCGGTCAACAAAGCTTTCGCCGATACTGACTCTGAGCCACGCTTCTCAAGCATGACGATGCTGTCGGTGAAGACGAGAAGGATGCCGCGATCAGCATCGCAGCTCTCAGAAGCATAAGGTGGAGCAAGTTCGACAAAGTCTGTGGCTGTCACTAAGCGGCCAAGGGCGGTAGAACCAGATGGCCAGGCAGACACTCGACCCTTCAGCTTCTCCTGGAGGGATATGCCTTCCAGCTCTGACCCACCATGATCGCAGATTTCAGTGATCATGTCTCTTGCTTTCAATAAGGGCTTGATGGCCGGATGGCGAACTGGCAATTGCTTGGCAATCGTGTCGATGTACAGATTGTATCGCGGCAGTCTCTGTACCGGCTCGATGAGGAGAGAAGTGAGCTTCTGCTCTCCAACGTCTTGCAAAGAAGCAACAACTGAAGGATCACCAGTCTTGAGGATATCCCGGAGAAGTGCTGTTGCGCTGGCCTGACTCTGCATGTAGTTGCTGTACGCCTCACTGAACTTCGGGAACCAGTCGCAGAGACACTTCGCAATGGCGCCGACTCCCTGAGTGTCTGCGACGAAATCTTGCCGAGCTTGTTGAGCCGAAGGCTGAATATCCTCCATTGCCTCAATGTCCTGCAAGGCAGTAGTCTCGGTAGCCTCAAAAATCTGCTTAAGATCCGTAAGGAATTCCGAGTTGAGCCGAGCGATGTCTGCGATCGATGCTGGGAATACACCCCGTAGCTGTGAAGCCTCAGAACCGCCCAGTCTGCTCGACAGCTCCGCCAGCTCGTTGATGCGGTCGACATAGTTCACCTCAGTATCCAGCAGCTCATTCAGCTCCTTCCGTACCGTTTCCTTCTGATGCCTCAAGAAACTTGCAGTCCTCCCCACCGACGTCGACTTCGACGGCGCCCTCCTCATCTTCGAAGTCGGCATAAACACCAAATCTCCCAGCGAATCGACCAACTCCGCATACCTCCCATACCGCTGCGCCAACCCTTGCGACTCGTCAAACTCCTCAAGCCCTGCCGACCCAGCACTCCTCTGCGACGCCTTGATCGACCCAGCAGGCAACACAACATCCGCATCCAACCACGAACACTTCATCTCCCCAAACGCCACTCCAACCTCCCGTATCACCTCATCCACATTGTCAATCCTCGTCATCCGACTCGCCAAAATCGCAATATGATCGTTCCCAAACAACGCAGCGGGTGAAGGCGCTTTCGCCTCCTTACACCACGTCCTCTTCACCCCCTCATCCAGCTCGTTGAAATACTTCTTCAACCCAAACGCGATCCCGCGCACCACCTCGTCCCCCTGCTCCTCCCGCGGCAAGTTGCTGACGGCAGAGTACAGCGGCGAGTTCGGCGAGACCGCCAGACGCGCGTAGGAGGCATAGCCGGCGGCGGTGAAGATGTGGACTTGGATGCGCGAGCTTGTGGCGCCGATGGAGGCGGCGGGGCCGTGGAAGACGAGGACGGGGGAGTTGGCGAGGAGGGGGTCGGTGGTGTGGAAGAGGAAGAGGTCGCCGGAAAGGGCGGGCGGGGCGGGGATGACGGTGGCCATTGCTTCAGAAGTCGTAAGGTCGTGGCTCATATCATCATCGTGGGTGTTGTTGTTGTGTTAGAACTGTCTCCGGCGCGTCGAGAGATGTCGGCCAGGCGCAAGCTCAATGGGGCTGTCAATACTGCAGTAAACAACACGAAAAGTGCAAGGAAGAAGGTGCAGTGGTGCAGACGCCGTGACCCGCAGGCCGCATCACACAATGGCTGAAAAGAGGTGTGATGGTAGTGGTACAGACCGGGATGCAGCTGTCGGATGTCGCTGAGGTGGATGCTTAGCTTCGCCCGATATGAGGGGCGGGATCACGAAAATAACGCGACTTCATGCTTGACTTCAACACTACACAAACTTCTGTAGGAACAAGACAAATGGAGTAGCGAACATGTCGACGCAACACGAAATCAGCATCCCCTTCTCCCTCCTCCCCGAAGAATCACAACAGCACTTCCGCCTCCTTGAACTCCCTCCAGATCTCCTCGACGTAATAACCGCAGACAACGCCTCCCCGTACGCCCCCATCCCACCATCCCGTCAATCCAACTAACATATCTCCAGCCTCTACCTCAAATCCCCACCAACAGCTCAAGGAACCGTCGTCATCTGCACCGACAATGACACCTATCCCATCCGTCAAGTCAGCACCTCCAACAGCCTCTTCATCACCTCCCCGTCCTTTCCCCTACCAGATTCGCTATCCAGTCCGGGAATACAGGCGATAGCGCAATGTACCACCACCCTGGAACTCCTACCCCCTGACTCTTCCGCATCCGCTGTCCCGTTTATTAGAGCGGCGGTGCCTGTTTATGCGTCTACCGGTTCAAAGGGGACTGGGAAGGCGGTTACGAAGCGGGAGCTATTCGATAGTATCCCCCTAAGTGAAGCAGAATGCGAGACCGTCTGGCGGAAACTCGCGTGTTTCGAACTTGAGGGAGGGGTGGCGGTGGTGCCGAGCGAGAGCGTTCGGCTTCAGGTGTGGCGGGGGATTCTAACTGCTGCGCGGGCGGAGGGGGCGGATTTGACGGTTGCTGTTGACAACGAGCAGTGTGAGGGTTTGGTTAGGGGTGAAGACGACTGGCCGGAGGAGTTAGTTGGGGCGTTTTTGAGGAGTATCTCCGACTCTGCGTACGATGGGGAGGGGATGGTGGTGGATGGAGAGAAACTCGCTCTCTCCCTCGGCCTGGCGTTGCTCAAAGACCGCACAGCCAACGGCCGCAACACGGTGGCAGTGAACGACATCCAAGCAGAATGGGCGGACCTCATGCCCGAGCCGTGGCGGGAGAAAGCATCGCTCGGTCGATTAGAAAGCACCATCAGACGCGAGAATGGCGGGAAAGAGATCACGCTCGTCGACAGCGACAGCGTCAAAGCCGCTACAGCCGTTGCGGGCGCAGCCACAGAAGCGAAATCCACCCTTGGAGCGAAGAGGAAATGGCACGAGAAGTTTCGGGCGGCGAAGAAGACTGCTTGAATCGCAGATAGCACTCTATCAAACATCCTAGCCGTCTGGCTGTAAAGCCAAAACCATCTCCCTAACCTCCCTCACGCACCCCTCCCCTCTCCTCCCCTCAAGCATAGCCCCGATACACCTCCTCACCCCCTCCGCCCTCTCCCCATCAACACCAGCACAGAAATCATCCGGAAACTTCCCCTCCTTGAGCGCCTGGACGACGACCCGCCGTTCGTATCCCGTGTTGAATTTCTGCAATAGCTCGAAAGCCACGACTCCGAGCGCGTAGATGTCGAGACATGGGCCGATGGGCTGGGCGGTTGGGGGGCGGTAGATTTGTGTTCCGACCATCTCGGCAGAGGATCGCGGGTATGCTAGGGCTGTTCCAGCTCCTTGGGATGCGTCGGCGGTGTTTTCAGAGGCGGAGGCAGTGAAGGAGGGCGAGGTGTTTTCGACTGCTGGATCTGCTACGGATACGAGACCGAAGTCTCCGATGCGGACTTCGAGTTTCGTAGGATTGGCGGTATCTTGAGCCTGACAGTCGCCGCAGCTCGTCAGATCCACAAGCCCACTAGTGGCTCTCGGGTTACTGTGAGGGCCGAGAAAAATATTCGCCGGCTTGATATCTCGATGGATGATGCCTTCACCGTGTAGGTACTCCAGTCCATCCAGCACAGCCAGCAGGATGCTAGCCGAAGGCGCGAGGTGGAAGCAGTGAGATGGCGGGGCGGTAGCCTGATCGGAGGAGGGCGGAGGAGAGAGGAAGTCCTCTAGCGTCATTGGGTGCAGCGACATCTGCATGTGGAGTGCCAGGGCGGGTTGGCTGAAGTTGACACCGCTGGCTGCAGACTGCATGCTGAATGAGGGGTCGATTGAGCGGTCGACAGACTCGATCGACTCGTCTGTGCCGGTGGCGACGGTGCTCTGAGTATTCCTCCGTCGTAGCTGGAAGCCATCGTTGTAGTCTTCACGTTCCGAGGGAGGTTTGTCGCTATGCTCGAATAACACATCTGGTGGGTCGTCGCTGCTTTCGGTACGAATGCGGCGGAAAGAGAGATCGCCGTCCTGAGCACCGGACGTTGCGTCGTCGCCGTCCGCACTGCCGAACACTCTACTGTCCGACGCATCCTGGTGGGAATTGGCCATGCCCTCTACCCACTCAATCCATCCGTTGAAATAGCGGACGATGTTCGGGTGGTCCTTCAAAATCAACATGTCAGCCACGTACTCTTGCCGTTCTGTTGCGTTTTCGACCGATCGATGATATGGTGAAGGGAACCTACTAGTCTGGCCAGGGTACGCAGTTCTCGAAGCACTTCGTCCACCTCAGCTTGACCCCTCTTCTGAATGCGTTCCAGTCTTGCGGCGCTCAGGGGTACCTTCTTTATGGCGTATTTCTGGTTATCCAGCCGATGCCGTACGTGGTAGACAATACCGTACCTGAATGTGTGCTTAGTATCATGATCGAAGTGATTCTCAAGGTCGAATCGAGTCTGATGTGAAACCAATTGTTCTTGTCAGGGGTTGGCTACTCACCCGCCATGACCAAGCGTACTAAGCTCCTCGAATTCATTGCGGTATCGACTCGCAAGCAGTTGAGTGGAAACTGTGCGTCCATAATGTACAGGCAAACCCAGGGTCATAAAGAAAGGCTCTGTGGGGATGTCATCCGTGTCCCTGCCTGTCAAGAGCCTTCGGGAAGGATAAGGCAATGGAGGTCGATGGGCATGGATGTTCGACTCGAGTGGTTGGACTGGTGAAGTCGGTAACGATGCACTATCCGCATCGCCTTCTGTCAGCATGCGCCCAAGCGCCGGTGCTACCGTCGCAGGGTTGGTCTGCCGGCTGAGAACGTCCAGACCGTCGCGATAAGCTTGCCTGGCATTGACGTTCTGGTCATCATCCAGGCCTGTGGATGTTGCGATCAGGTTGTATGAAGCCAGTTGTTCGCGCAAGCGTTGGTAGCGTCGCTGTCCTTCTGCGAGGACTTCGGGCGATGATGGAGGGTGAGTTGGCAGCTCCGAGCGAGCTTCGTTGAGACATCTTTCTTCGAGCAGAGCGTGCAAGAGAATGTTCTCATGATGGCCAGTATCTGCCGTGGGTTGATTGACGGCATTGGCTCTCGTAAGCTCGGTGCTTTCTTGGAGTTCCACAGTGTCCTCGTCCTCGCTGTCGTTCGATGAGCCGGACTCCGAGCTTGAAGTTGAGTCGGCAGAGCGGAAGAATCTCGACATGGTCGTCGAGTCCGGAACGGCCGAAGGTATATAAGAGCAAGCTTGATAAAGTGAAAGAATGTACTAAGTCTCGTACGGAGCGTAGAGTCGAGATCAAGGTGCTCCAAGCTGATGTGGTCTGAAGCAGTCTCTTAACGAGAGGCCTTTCAATCGTTCCTTCCAGTATATAAGCATCGTGTCAAGTGTATAGTGAATAGCAGGTGCATCAAGGAATGGGAGGAGCTTGAGGGCCATTCACTGTGGGCTCGATGGGACTCAGGCAGCGTCGAGTTGTTTGCTCTCCATGTCCGAGTGCGCCCTACAAGCGTTTCTGCACTGTTCCACGCAGTTCTCTGTACAGCTGTACGTTGGGCCAGGTCCGAGTCAGTCATTGAGAGGGAGAGGAAGAGGTGTGGCTTGAGCGAGTTGCAGCCACTCTCGCAGTCCGAAGTCCAACCTCCGGTGCTTGGCGCTGACATCTGACATCCAACGATACCACCCCAGGAGCTTCGCCAACATCCCTATGATAGATAGTAATGAAAGCCCGATAATGCGCGCGCAATGCAAACCATCTGGAGCCGGGTTGCGCAGACTCGGGGAACGTGCAAATGCCCGCAATGCCTCTCCTACGCCAATGGGGTCACTCGACGAGCTACAGCATCGGCAACGAGGCGCACGCCGAAGTATCTCACCTCATCGACATTATGGTATTCTGGGATCTTCGCGGCGGCAGCAACCTTTGATGCTGGTGTGAAGAAGAAGCGGAGAGAGCAATGGGATCGGGCCATTGGGGATCTGAGACAGGAGCTTGGGCAGCCGGAGAGGGCGAGGGAGGAGGTGCTTGTGGAGGAGAGAAGGCAAGATGAAGAGCAGGAATTGGAGCTGGAGGAAGGGCTGGGTCAGGCGGTAGAAGTCGGTGAGGAGGCTATCGCTGGCTATGAACCATTTGGGAGTGCAGCCGAGGACGGCAACGTCTTCAGAGACGTCGACCCAGAGGACTCCAAGGCAGAATGGGCAACGAATACTGGTCCTCCCCTGGATACGTTCAATCTTCCACCCCAATCAATATATGCGACGGATGAAAGGAGGAGTCAAGCCAAATTAAGACGATGGACCACGAAGAAGATATTGACGGTACAGGGCTCGACAGAGAAGTTCCTGGGTCAGCTGTTGCTTGAGCTGCAGCGGAGAGGATGGTCAGCGGAGGCTGCGCAGGCAGTGCCAGAGAACTTCGCTCAGCTCATCCTGCAGAATCAGGGCGACCTGGAGCAGCACTACCGGGAGACTTGCGCAAGACTTAGGGTTACGAAGAGGGTTGATGAGCCATACCTCCACCCAGCGGACTTCAATGAGCTCGTGGATCGTGAGGCCGGCCCAAGGCGCGAGGATACGCAGATATGCCGCTTCGGACAAGACGGCCTTGGAGGACATCATATCACGACGAGGTGGCTGAACTCTTCCCTGCAGAGCCTTTTCGAACAATACGTCAAGGCCGATATACAAACACCGACTCTCCTTGCGAAGATAGCGTACAACCTGGCCATCTCATCCGCACCACCGAATCTCGAAACCTATAATACCCTCCTCCTCGGCCTATCCAAAGCACAACTCCCCACCCTCAGCAACGCCATCATCGCCTCCATGAACGAATCTCACATCCGACACAACGAAGTCACCACGGCTGCCGTCCTCGACCACTACATCGCCACCGCCAACGACAGCGGTTTCTGGCGCTACGTGTCTCTTATGCGCGGCAAGTTCGGCGGCATGGCACTCGCCCGGAATGACCTCGAAATCAACGAGCAGAACAAGTCCCGACTGGTCCGCCACCCCGACGACCCGGAGAAGATCATCCAGCTCCCCTACCCCACGCCCTACGTCTTCCGCGCCATCATCGAAGGCCTGATCAAGTTCTCCGACTTCGACCGCGCCCTCCGCATCTGCGAGTACATGCGTCACGAAGGCTGGGGCGTCTCCATGGCCGGTCTCACGCCTTTGCTAAAAGACTGCGCGGATCGAGGGGACTGGGAGAATGGACTAGCGATCTGGAAGAAGATTCTGATTCTCAAGGGCGAGAGCACGAAGAAGACGAAGAAGGCTTGGGTATCGGAGCGAATAGGCATGACAGCTTTCGCGGCGAAGCTGCGGCTTTGTCTGCAAGTCGGGCAGAGGGAGGTTTACGACGCTATATGGGAGCAGGCATTGAAGGCGCATGGAGGAGCGAGTGCAGCGAGGCGGTTGACGCAGTTGGTAAAGGAGCAGGCTGCGGTGCGGAAGGAGCGGTCAAATACTTTCGACCAGCTGCCGCAGGTGGTCAAGGATGAGATGCGGGGTGGTGCTGTGGCTGAGAAGCCGAGGGTCGTTGAGGAGCGGCAACCGGTGGAGGGGTCGTCGTATACGCCTTTCCAGTACGAAGACCCTGAGGCGGGGTTGGAGGAGAGCGGGTATGTCACGACGCCTGCCGCGGGGTTGGAAGTGCTGCGGCAGGATGTCGATGTATTGGCGGCGGCGAAAGCGGAAGCAGGCGAAGGTGCCCATGTCACTGCACTCGTGCCCACCCCAGAACGGCAGGAAGCAAAGGAGGAAGCGACGACGTCGACGGAGCCTATACCGCAACCTCCTGCACCCCCGAATGAGAGCCAGAAGAAGCTGCTGCGAAATCTACCGGCGAATTATAGGCTGGAGCGTGATCGAGACATGACCGTGGGATCGATAGGGTTGTATGGCTGAGCTTTTGTTCCTGAGGGACAGGCGGAGTTGGGTCTTTGCTGCATAGCGAGGGGCATTGGGTTGATTTTCATGATACACATAGAGCGACCGATGAGATTTATGTACAAATACCGTACAGCAGATGTCTAGCCACAGCACCACGCGCGTGTCGTCCCTGGGCAGCGGGATGCTATGTATACTCGGCCCTCGCAATGGCCTGTCGACGGTCGGTGTGTTCTGCCCAAAACCATGGGCCGTGGCTCGTTCGGATGAGCCCTGCTCGAGGCGTTCTGGGCCTGACGTGAGGGGCCGTTCTATACTGATCGTTCTTATGATAAGATCTGCTTCTGTTGATCAGCATAACGACCGGCACCCTCGCATTTAACAAGGCGGAGCATTTCCCCAATGTCTTCTTGAGCATCCGCAACACAACATCAAGTCCTCATGATCCTCGCGCACTTCGTCCTTCTGCGGCCCCAGATGTTTAGAACTCCAAGCTTCGCAATTTCCACCACCCCCGGCACCGACCGCAATCGCGCCAATGATCTTCACGTTTCATCGCGGGTACCTTGCAGCTTCGAGTTAGAGCACCAAATTAATCTACGACTGCGCTCTGTGCGCAGAGAGAGTCCGGTTGCCGAACGTGCTCTGTTGCTCCGCAAGGGCAGATTCGGGCCCTTGGGGGTACAGCTTCCCTTGTGCCCTTGTCCCTTGTTGTCACCTGCGATCATCACCACCTCTGCTGAAGGTGCTGCAGGTGCGACTGCGTTGTGCTGCTGCTGCTGCAAGGGTTTCGGAGGAGGAGAAGTCACTCGTTTTGATCTTTGCTTTCTTGCTTTTGCTTTTGAACGGTACAGCATGCGCGTGGGGAGGAGCCGATAGCTATTTCCGCCGCCGACGCGAGGCCACAGTCGTTTCAGAGGTGGATGTACGGATTGCAGAACGACTGGGCGACGTGCGACGAGGGGAGGATGTTCGTCTTTGGAAGTGGTATGGGGGAGGACGATGGTATGATAGAGAGGCAGGCGAGCGGAAGTGGGTGCATGGAGGATGCAGCAGAGATGAGGGTGGAAGAACGCAGTACCTCAAGAACACACCGGGCCAGGAGACGAAGACGGCGCACACAACCACACCTCAGCACGACAGCAGCAGCATGCGTACTGCTCGCTGCCGGCATACCCACTGGCATGGCCCAAAATTGCATATCGTTGTCCGACTCGACGCAATGTCCGGCCTTCAGCGCGGCGTCAGTCTCGACCAACGACAACCTTACTGGATTGTTCCCCTTCTTGTCTTCAGTGACAGATACATCCTCATTCGACTCGGAGCTGAGGTCCTACGTTGACAACGAGTTCGCGCAGCTACGGTATGCATGCGTGATGAGTCTGTGTCAGATGAAAGTGCTAATTAATATCCAGGTACCGTCAGTTGATAGGATGTTCTGACTTCCAGTCAGACAACACCACCGGCTTCTACGCCAGATACACAACCAGCGTGCTCTGCAACGCAATTGTACAGAACTCCATCAACCCGTGCGGACTGTCTGGAGGCGCGACTCGACCACTGTGCGCCGAATCATGCGCCTCATACGCGGAAAGCGAGCAGGAGATCACCGCAAGCAACATCTGTGGCTCCACGGGCGACAATGCGCTCAGTCAGATACGGGCCGACTTCACCAATTGCGCACTCCCGGCGAACTCTCTCAGTGAGAGCTGCATCGAGGCTGTCGAGAATCAGCCGGACAATTGCGGCTACACGTCAAACCTGGGCCAGCTCTGCAGCTATTGCGCGGGCAGCTCGACCAACAGCACCGACTCGTGCTGCGTCTTCTCCGACACCACCTCGCGATGTGAGAACGTGGCATTGCCAGTCATTGCCTCATCATCGCTGAGGCCAGTGACCGTGACTGGATCGTCGTCCACGACATCGCCAACCGGCACAGGCGGCGCTGCTGCTGCTTCCTCGGGATCGCATCGAGGACTGACGGGAGGGCAGATTGCTGGTATCGTGATAGGCGCGATTCTGGGCGCTCTACTTTTACTCGCTCTCATCATTGGAGGCTGCCTGCTGTTCCGGAAACGCAGCAACAGTAGTCCTGCCACCAGCGTTTTCAACCAGCCCGCAACTTCCCGACAGCCACCAATGGTCTTCCACGATGGTGCACGAGACCAGGAGCGTGCCGGACTGGCTGTCATGCCAGGCGGTAGAGTCGCACGGATGGCAGCGCTAGAGGAGTCAAGCGGTGACGAGCAGGGTGCTAAGTACACGCCGTACGGCCGCAAGTCAGACGACGAAGATGATAGTCCAGGCTCTGCACATGGCAGAATTGCACCACCGCAGAAACGGAGTGGTTCGCTTTCGAGCGGCTCGCAGCTCGCAGTCGTGGCAGCTGGTGCCGGTGGTAACGACACCTCACCGAGCACGAATGGGGACTATACCTCCCCTGAGTCACACGGCCAGAGCGAGCAGCTTAACTTCTTCAAGGACTACTATTCACAAGACGAGATCCACCCTGGCAACCTCGTGTCAACATTATGGGCGTACGAACCGCGAGCAACCGATGAATTTCACCTCGAGCGCGGCGACATGATCAAGGTCCTCGGCATCTGGGACGACGGCTGGGCGACTGGCGTACGTGTCCGACAGAAAGCTGAAGACTGGCGTGATGAGGGCAAGATTCAGCGGGACAGCGGTCTGAGCAACGATAGCTCACCACGTCTGGAGGACGAGGGCGAGGTGAAGGCTTTCCCGCTCGTCTGTGTTTGTTTGCCACAGCACTGGCGGCAGACGATCGAGGGCGAGACGACGGAAAGCACCAACCCCATGGGCTATCCGGACTGATCTTAACCGGCTGCTTGCTTGCTTTGCTGAGCACTTGCTGCTACGACACTGTTCCGGACATAGCGCGGCGTTTTTGGATACGGCCTTCTCCGGCGCCTTCTCATGCTTTCTGGCGTACGGCTCTCACTCCCTCGACCTCGACTCCCGCATCCATGCTTTTACTACACCACCACCGACCTCACACCTTCTCTCACCATGCTACATTTCATGCTACATTGAGGACGGCACTCTGCTTCTTGCGCTTGGAAGTTTTATACCCAGCCTTTTACGGCTTTAGCATTTACACCACAGAGATTCCTGCATCTGCTGTTTACACGCCATATCTGCGAGTGGTGTTGTTGCTTCTTGCTCGTGGATTGTGGCTACGTTTGAAAGCGGATTTGGGGGATATGAGGAGATAGTGTATATAGACGCTAATGTGTACATAACATACCCTCCAAGTGCCCAATGTGTCAATCATAGACACGATCACTGTGAGAGGTAATGGTATGTTGGTCATGAATTGGGTACATCGGACCTTCTCCAAGCAAAGACAAAGCATCATCACATTCGTAGACATACTTGCCAAACCCCACGCAGAACGCCCCGAAAGACTACACCGCTGTATCCACATCACATCCCGCTCACTCCCACCCTAGCCACTCCTCACATACTCCGACGACGTGAACTTCCCAACCGTAGTTATGAGCTCGAAAGTCTCCGTGTTCGGCTCATACGCAGCACCGTCCAGCGAAAACAAGAACGCCGTCAGAGCAGCCTTGCCCTTCGGCATCGACGCCGGAATCTCTACGTGAGCGGTGAAGTTGTCGGCGATGTTGCTCATATCCGGACCCAAGAACTTCGACGTCAAGAGCTGGCCCAGCGAGTTCGGAATGGCTTTGCCGGACTCGAGGCCGAAGGAGATGGCGACGTCTTGGTTCGCTTGGATGTCGTCTTCGGCGATGATTTGTAAGACCACCGTGGAGCCTGCGGCGACTGTCCTGGGTGCGGCGATGGCGATGATGCGCGCGGAGGCGCTGGCCGCGAGGAGGGAGAGGGCGGAGGTGATGACGGCTGCGTTGCGCATTTTGTTGGTTGCTTTGGGTTATTGATGGGAAGAGGCGTGTGAGTACGCTGTCGGTGAATTGTGTTGCTGGGTTAGGTGGATATGATATGCCTGTACCTTGTTGATGGACGGAGAGACTTGTGGAAAGAGCGTCGCTGATTATATACCAGAACTCACCACCATACTTAGCTGCTGCTTCCGTCAGCACGTATTGGGATGTACGATGTCGCCCTGTCGTGTATTGCGACCGTGATCATCGACCCGTGTTCGCCAAAGACAGTACGAGCTGTATTGACAAAGCGGCTCATAGAAAGTGCTGGATTGCTGAGGTGAGATTGAGCCTCCGTTGCTGACATTCGGCTTCGAATCAAGCTCGCTGGCTGCCACATCGCCACCGCGAGAATACTCAATGCCGTGTTCTGTATACCTGCTGCTGTCGGCTGATGTGGCCGCTGCGTCTACCTGATTAGCCGATAGAATGTTCCACTGTGGACTTCTAGAGCGTGCTTCGACAAGCTCTAGTACTCCTGTTTCACCAGAACAACAGGTCCCGAGTATGTCTTCCGTCCCCAGATCAAGAAGTACACCACAGCAAAGATCACCGTACCTCCGTACATCGCAGAGCTCCAGTTCATGTAGGCGAGCGTCGGCTGGTTGACGAGCGGCCAGAACGTGAAGAAATAGACCACGATCAGGAAGAGTATCGCGCCAATATTCATTGGCACAGCGGCTGCGCCCAAGCTCCATCTCTTACTTGGTAGAGGACGGTCCTTTCTGATCCTGCGAAGCAATACGCAGGAGATGGAGATGATGTAAGAGCTTAAGATGGCGCCGACGGTGAGAGAGGCAATCGCGTTGAACGCAACGGCCGAGCCCAGGTTGATCAGTGAAAGGAGGCAAGTGATGACGAACGAGACGACCACGGCGTTGAGTGGGATGTCCCACCCCGGACGGACCTGTGAGCGGTGGTCAGAAAGTGGACGTACTCATCGGGCCCCAGAAGACTTACTCTGCACAGAAAAGCGCTGAAAGGGAGCCCTCCATCTCTGGCAAAAGCGAACATTTGCCTCGATGAAGTTGCAACGGCGCTGATAGTACTGCAAAGGCACAGTGTAGCGATAAGCGCGGTCATGACACTAGCTGCTGCTATGCTGCCGGTAGCGTTGTAGAAGGTATCGATGTAGGCGAAGAAATAGGCCGGATTGCCAGTGACGAGTCTGTCGGGGAGGCAGAACGCAAATGTGACAACCATGATGAAGCCCGTGGTTCCGTTGATAATAAGCGTCCACATCATGGCGAGTGGGAGGACGCGAGACGCATCGCGAATCTCTTCAGCTGTTCGAGGATCAGAGGTTGTAGTGTCAACCTATCAATGTACTTACACATATGCACAGCCGAATCTGGGCCTAACAGCGAGTACATGGGCCCGACAATGCCCACGAGGCACGCCAGTCCTTGCGACGGCCAACCATATGCGCTCGTGAAGCTGGTAAAGACCTCTTTTGCAGGCTGGATGGGAGATAGAACCCAAAGCGGTATCAAGATCGCGAAGAACCCAAAAACGTGTATGATCAGAACAAGGCCTTCAATCAGCGGCAGTCTCTTGGCGAAGAAGGTGTTGAAGACAATGGCGAGCGTCGCGACGGCGATGATCATAAGCGTTCCATGCCACGGCTGAGGCACGTAAGCGGAGTCGTTGAGCGCGATGATGCCTTGCAATTGCAATGTCACCAGATAGCAGCCACTGGCGATGTTGACCTGCCATCCAAGCACCTAAGACAATGCAAATGTCAGCAAATGTCTTTGGAAGTATGGTTGTGTCTGGTTCATATCACGCACACACAACCAACCGCTGATGTAGCTGAGGAACCGTTGGCAACTGCGTGGACTGAACTCGGGCACCCTACCAAACAGTCAGTCTAAACCCCGGCGACGCTGGTCGTGAAGTACTTTCCAGTCTGTTTGTGACGAGCGCAGATGTTAGCAGTCTTCTTGGAAAGACGCACATAGCACGTTTTAATTGCTATACGTACGGTATTGACCGCCCGAAGTGGGTGCCATGCTTGCCATCTCCGCCATTGACAGAATCGCTAGACCAAAGCCGAACAAGCAGATGACATACATCCAGACCATTCCGGCGCGGCCGCCGTTGGGGAGGATGTAGCTCGCTGTAAAGAGGATGGCCTCCCAAGTACACATCAACACCGCCGTGAAGCCCAACACAGAGATGAACCTGAAGTTGCGCCGTAGCTCTTGCGTCTTGCCGAGTCGATCCATGTTCTGCTGGTCAACTACCGTCCCAACCTTGTCCGAGCCGCCTTGGACCTCGTCCAGCGTGATTGACACATGGCTGTGCTTCGACATCTTGCTGGTTGCCAAAGAGCAAGCGAATGGAGAAGCAGCCGAAGAGTATGGCAGAGTTCAATGGATGGAGAGAAGCTGTAGAGGTCGGAAGGTACAGCAGGAGGAGAGATATGGTCCCTCTGCCATCTCATCAAAGCTACAGCTACTAGTACCGTAAGGGCAGGACCTTTCAAAAGCCTGGGCCGTCGTCGTTCCGTCGATGACCCCCACGCATACAACCATGCTCGCACATCCATGTCGGTAGGCGTGGTGGTCGAGACACGAAGCGAGTGATTGATGCCGCGCCAGGTACACACATGCCGGTCGGTTGGCGGCGAGGGGAACTGCCGCGCGATAAGCTAGCGTCGGGGACCATGGGCGCACGGCGCTATGTGGCTAAGACCCAATTTAAGCCAGACTAAGAGGCATTATCGCAAGGATGAGCAATGCCGGAACAAGGTCCCCGCAGAAACGACGAAAGCTTTGGCTTCGACCACATTCAATTCCAACCACACCCCTCCCGTATGCTTGCCCTCTGGCCTCGGTCATCGGCTAGAGCGTGCCGGCATTGATGCCGGTTGTGGTGTCTGGGGGACACAGCGAGAGCTCTCCTCACACTATTGCGTTCTGCATACAATTGGCCGACCCAGGCGAGGGCGCCAAAGCTGTTTCTTGGAGCTGTCGCCGACAGACAGGCACCCTCGCCTGCCCTCCATTACTGGTGGCGTGGACATTCTCCTTCTGTGGGGGACGAAGACAGTGCCGTTGTGATCGCTTGCTATCAGCACGCTGCACGCACTACCAGGGAAGGGTCCCTGCTGTGACGGATTGGGAGGACTGCCGGGCCTAGCACAGATAGGGCACATGTACTGTGACTGACTGGCACATGGTCAATCACCATCTTGCGTGTGATCGTGAAACTCGCGTACCCGTCCCTTGCCAAAGCCTCTATCTGACAAGACCAGCATTGAAGCATGGCAGTTGCGTGGGGATACATGTATGACTTAGTCCGTGAAAGCACTCTTGAGATCTTATCATCTTGTTGCGAGTCTGCGAGTGACTGTACGATATTGACGTATACGGTCCGACGATTAGTCTGCGACGATGGTTGCAGACAGCCATCGCAACTTCATTGTATCGCCAACCGATAAGGGTGGTGTCATTGTCATTGTCTCCAGCCTTCTCACGACATGGAGCATACTTTGTATGTTCATACGCATATACACGCGCTGGACGACCAGTGTTGCGCTTGGGATTGACGATGTGCTGTGTCTTGCAGCAACGGTCGGGTACCCCTGGAAAGAAGTCAACTTGTCTGGCTGACGGTTTCCCGGTAGGTCCTCGCATCAGTCGCTTCGATCCTCTTTGGCGTATCTGTCAAGTTTGGGTTCGGTCAAGCAGCTGAGTATGTCTCAATCAGCGAAGTATCTGTGGTCGAGAAGGTGCGTTATCGAGAGAAAGGACAAACATGTACCTGGAATGCTCACGCTTGTAGTATCTATTTGCGGCCACAATGCTCACCTTGCTCGCCATGACCGTCGCCAAGTGCACGTTGGTATGCTTCTACCTTCGAATCACCCCCAACAAGATTCACCGCACGGCTGCATGGGTCCTTATGGGTCTCAACTGCGCAACTGGAATAGCTTGGGTTGGGATTCTGGCTGGACGTTGCGCCGGTTCGAGAGCATCCTGGGGAGTACTGGACGGACAGTGTCCAGGATATGTGAGAACTCTTTCCTCTGCCGTGAGCTCGGGCGCTGACCAACACCAGACGGCTGGATGGTCGGCAACAGCAGCAACAGATGTCGCCCTCGAAGTACTGATCTTCTTGATGCCTGTCTGGATCGTCTGGGATCTACAAATGGCAGTGCAGATGAAGACCATAATCATCTTAACCTTCGCGGTGCGCTTGCCGTGAGTACAACTTCCGTTTCAGCCCAGAGGATTTCATGCTAACAGAACCGTCAGCATCATCGCGGTGTCTCTCGTACACCTCCGCTTGGCCGGAAGATGGAACGATCTCTCGGAGGGCAAGGTGGCCGCAGTTATCCCCTGTGTCTGCCTCCTGGTTGAGCTACACTTCAGTACCATGTCGTCGACATTTCCAACGCTCGGTCCGTTCATGAAATCTCTGAACACGAGATGGGGCGCGATCGATCCACAGACGGCTAGCAGCTATGCGCTAGAGTCCTTGAGTGGCAGGGAAGGAACACAAAAGTCGCTAGCCTCTTATTCCAAGAACACGGGTTATTACTATCGGGTGAAAGGTGATCCTGGACGAAGAGCTAGCCGGGACAGTAATTCTAACGACTCGTCTCGGATGATCATACATCGTACCACCGAGACGACGGTCGAGTACGACAGGAGCGTCCGCAATGCTAGCCAGATGTAGGAGGGAGACCGTTATGTTGATGTCCGAATGAATTTATCTTCCGTCGTGCTCATGTCCTTCCTTCCTGTCGTGCAGCGTCTGTACATGTCATCTTCTCGCCAGGCACAACGGTAGAATATGAGGAGACAATCAGCCACTGTTCGAGTTCAAGCTCTGACAACCCGCCAGCAGGCTTGCGTCAGGCCGCCGCAAATATTGCGGTCGCAGGCTATTGCCCGCAACTCTGCTCAGCAGAACTTCTTCTCCGTGGACCTCGAAGTATGCGAGCAAGGGAAACATCAGACTGGCGACGCAACGTGTAGAGTGTCTCCAGCTCGGGAGAGAGACGTCTGCTAATGGACCTGGTTCGGCAAGACGGACCGAGTCGGGCGGGAGCGGGGACAGCCTCTTTGCACTTCACCGCCTCCGAGCCACTTCCGATGCCGAACTTGGCGCGGAAATTGTTGCGCTGGCATCGTGTCACGTCCAAGTCCTTGCGGCTTCTACTCGGCCAGCTCCAGGATGTACGGGCTCACCAGATGTAGCGTTGGCACACACTTGAGGCAATCAACGAGCCTTGCTTTGTCGAGTAGCTCGTGCTGAGGAGACTGCCGGATAAGCCACCGCAACCTCGCCCGTTCGAATCAGTGGAAGAGACGCAAGCTCGTGAAGAGGTGTTCTAATATCTCGGATAGAGGGAGGGGTCCCTAGGACGCAGCTACCGACTTAAAGCTGTCGAGACCAAAGGCTAGATGGTGCGATGCAACGACGTTCTTCCAAGCTTTCATGCTGAGTCTGTCCAAGGCGGCCAAGCCTAGACTCTTCGGAGGGAGGAATCTCCTTGCTTATATTCCAGCCGTTCCTTGCTCTCTGGAAGGAGGCGCAAGTGTGTCCGTTACGCATTCGTCGCAGTCGGCCATGTAGGCATTGTAGTGCTGTCGCAAGGGCAGTTGTCTGCGGTAGAGCACAGCAATATGCAGGTCAACAGCGGACCGCCAATGGGAGAAGCATCGCAAGCCTCATGACGGAGATGTAGCCAAGTGTACCAAGTTTTCGTTCTCGCATCTTGCTTGCGCTAGTTAAACGTTGGCATCTGACGATGTTCTCGATCGTTGCATGGCCAAAATGGTCCGTCGATCCTCTCCCTTTCGTCGGTGTATAGATTCCGAAAAGATTGATTGCCACATTCTCGAATGCCTGCCTGCGCCACGTTTGCGATCGGGTGAAATGTTGTGGAGTTTGGAATAAGGTTGATCGACCTGCATCATCATCAAACGCGCGAGGGAGGCGACCAGCGCACAGCCACTCCTCATTTCCCACAAAGAAGCCCGACTCCTGCCACGCGATCGTGCAACTTTCTATTCACCGGTCCCTACGTTGGTGATACCTGCCATTGGATCTTACCGCGACGAGTCTGGATACTGTCGTGGAGGAGTTGCTGCCCAAGGAAACGAATAACACCAATCGCAAGCGCATTCGCGCGTTTGCACCACACGTGCCAGCGTCACAACATCAACGTCAGCCTACGTTCCTTCGACCTTTTACTTCAACATTCAATCGATCAATATGCATTCCGTCAAGAAGGCGGCGCGGAAAAGCGCATGGTACGCGGGTGAAGATGATGGGGTGAAGACGTACAATCCCTTTGGGCGCACAAGCAACAAGCCCAGGAGAAAGCGGGATGAGGAAGCAGGAGGGCTATACCACGCCAACACCGAGAACGATGCAGTGCCATCACCAGTCGCGGAGCAGAGAAGACAGCAGTTTCAGGGCGACAACGACGAGAAGATCAATGGCGTGGCCAAGGCAGGCACATTCCCAGCCGGACCATCTGGTGGACTACCGCGACGATCGAACGAGAGATATACGGAGCCAATTGAGACTTCACGATCAAGTGAGGGAAACACTTCGAAGAATGTTTCGTCAGAGGATAGCGGTCCAGTAGAGAAGTCAGTTGGGCCAGGAGACGGCGAAGGCAAGCCGCGCAAGCGCAAGATGCGCAAGTTCATGCCGTGGAAGAAGAACGATGAACCAGAAGAAGAGCTTGACAGGGCAGAGACTGAAGACTCGAAGAAGAAGAATTGGCCAAAGCCGACTATCATGGGTCAAGTTCGCGCGGTCTTCTTGTCCTGGATTAACATCCTGCTCATTGCTGTGCCTGTTGGCATTGCGCTCAACTATGCTGGTGTCAATAAGATTGCGGTGAGCCCTTTTGATACAAGATGACGGACGCACTGCATGGCACTAATATCTCTCCCAGGTCTTCGTCGTCAACTTCATCGCCATCATTCCACTGGCAGCCATGCTGTCCTTCGCCACCGAAGAGCTCGCTCTATACGTCGGTGAAGTCCTCGGTGGGCTTCTCAACGCCACCTTCGGCAACGCGGTGGAGCTTATTGTCAGCATCATTGCCCTCATCCAACACAAGATCCTCATCGTCCAGACATCTCTGATCGGCAGCATGCTGTCCAACTTGCTGCTGGTTCTCGGAATGTGCTTCTTCCTAGGCGGCATCAACCGCAAGGAGCAGTTTTTCAACGTCACAGTCGCCCAAACCGCAGCATCCCTGCTCGCGCTCGCGATCGGAAGTCTGATCATTCCCACCGCGTCCAGGATCTTTGCGAGCGTCGACACCGGTATTGCGCCAACCTCGCGCGGGACTTCCGTTCTACTTCTCGTCACCTACGGCTGTTATCTCCTGTTCCAGCTGCGCACTCATACCGACATGTACAACGAGCCCAGCCAGAAGGCGCCGAAGCTGTCATCTGGAAAGAAGTCCAAAGGCGATGCTTCGAAAGGTATTGCCGCCATCGGCGCCGGTACAGGTGCTGCGGTTGGCGCAAGTGATGCCACGCGTGGGGATATGTTTGCAGACGATGAGGAAGAAGGCGAGGTGCCCCAGCTTACCCGTCTTGGCGCTTTGGTCACGCTAGCTGGCAGCACTGTGCTCGTTGCTCTGTGCGCGGAGTTCATGGTAAGTTGCAGAGCCGTGCAAGACTTGGTTCGGCGGCTGCTGACATCAATCCTAGGTTTCTGCTATCGATGCCGTCGCCGAAGACGTCCCGGAAGAGTTCATCGGCCTCATCCTTCTGCCCATCGTCGGCAACGCCGCCGAGCACGCCACTGCCGTCACCGTTGCCATCAAAGACAAGATGGACCTCTCCATCGGAGTTGCCTGCGGCTCCAGCCTTCAGATCGCCTTGCTCGTTCTCCCATTCATGGTCCTCCTCAATTGGTTCGGTGTCGGTGCTCTTTCGCCGGGCGACCCTCAATGGATCAGCGCCGAGGCGAGTGTCATGACTCTGGCTTTCGATGGCTTCCAGGTTTCCGTGCTGTTCATCAGTGTGGTGATTGTGAACTATCTGATACAGGTAAGCTCGTCCTGAAGACTCTTGGCGGGTGCGGACACTGACATGAATGTAGGACGGCAAGAGTCACTGGCTCGAAGGGGTGCTGCTGATGGTAAGAGTCTAACGGGCAACACCCTACCATAACTGAGACCGCTGACCCATTTCGGCCAGATAACTTACATGATCATCGCCCTCGCCGCATGGTTCTACAAGGCCGATGGCGAAGTTGCTGGATAAGCGCGGCGAAGCATGGGCTGCATGTGCTTTCTTTTGTTGAAGTCCTCGGATCTCAGACTGGCAGCGGAGGGGTTCGGTGAACATGGCGTCTGGGAGCTGACTTGCATACGTCGGCTGGCGACTAATATACGAGCGAGGCTCTACTGTACTGTCGCGCGAGCCTTGGGATGATGTGGTGTGCTCGAAGGGATGGGACCTGAGCAAATGATACCCGACGGCGCGGGCCGTGTGGTCCGTACTGAATAGTGCTTTACCTTACTAAGACTGTTTCTCTTCAGGTGCCTGCGATACTTCTCCGTGTTCGAAACCAAAGGAATGGGAACTACTACTGTTGCTACGAAACGTGAGGTTATCAACCTTGAGAGCAGTGCGGCGCAGCTTCCTGGACAGGACTTCATCCTTTCGGCGGCAGAAACAGCTTTCGTAAGACCATCCGGATCGACAAGCTTATCAAATTGTTATCTGGTCTCTGAGATCGAACCACCCGTTCTCAAGGTCGGAGCCAGACCTCGTGAACGCAATTGAGGTGACATGACCATGAGCGCCATTTCTGTCTGGGAGAACAGCGACCTGTCCCCTCGGCGGCTACTCTCGAGGAGGCCGTTCGCGCTCGCGCATGCGTACGACCGGACAGTTGTATCGGGGCACGTTCACTTCGCGGAGAAGACTCAGAAGAGCGCAGAGGCTTGAAGCACCGGCTCCAAGAAACTCGGGGCTCCCGCGCAGCTTTTATGGTTTGGTAGCACTACGAGGAGTTCTCACTATGCTGAAGAGGTAGCCCAGTCGAAAAGCAGGAACGCCCTTCTCGAACACCGCTGCCTCTCTGCCCCCGCCGTACGAACTGATATCACCATGTGAGCCCTCCGCGTCTAGGAGAAGGGGCGCCACAGCCATTCACTACCGGCTCACTGCCCTTTTACTGGCCCTGTCACAAGGCATCGCGCCTGCCTCACCGGGTCTAGTGCATCACGTGTGGCTCACTGGACGTTGATACCGAGGCGCACTGACCACCCCTACGGTCTATATAACCTGGTCTTCCACGCCCCCCAACCTCTCCCGACTACCTCAACATCCACCACCCCCCTTCCTCAGTCAACATCTTCCTTCAAGCCTTCCATCTTCACTTCACCAAGGACTCACTGCTGGCGAGCACCTGCCTCACAAGAAAGCAGACTGTTACTGCTCCTTCCTCATCGGGAGCTCACGTACCCACGTGCGCTGTGCTCACGCGGACGACTGGTGGTCAGTGCTTGGGCCTGATATATCTTCTTGATTCCTCTCAACTAATTCCTCCTCATAGACACAACATCCCTCTTCCCTCTCACACATCTCTTCACACCCTTCCACTTCATATCAACCTTCTCACACACCTCATCATTCCATATCTCACAGCAACACAGAACACTTCTCACCCACCGCCAACCCACAACTTCCCACCATCATTCTCACCACAGCATTCACACTATGGCAGGGCCGGAGAGCAACTCCGGATCGCCCATCAAGCAAGAAGATCAAGGCTGCATTTCGAACCACATCGGCGAGACCATCGACCTCATCAGCGACGACGAGCACGAAGACACGATGACGGCTATTCTCAGAAGGCCAGCCCCCCCGGCGAAGAAGACTGCAGCATCTCCGAAACAACGATCCGCTCAGATGAATGCGGAACAGCCCACGAAGGTTGTCGAGACGGTCGAGAACCCGCACCCACCCCCTCCGACCACCGAAGAGATCCTTGCGCTGCAGAAGCGGCTTGCGGACAAATTCCGATCGGGTCCACTTGCACCCAAAGCTCCCATCCCGCCGCCGCAGGAGTCAGAACAAGCCGCCCCTTCCCCAATCCCGGAATCAGCAGGAAGCGAGATCGAGATGCGGTATAAAGCGGCGAAGGTCGTTCACGAGCAGAAGAAGCGTGCAGACGAGCTTTCGGTCGAGGATGAGGTTCGCTTTATGAGGCTGGAAGCCGAGTTCAATACCTGGGTGCAGAAGCAGGCCGCAGACAGGGAGTATGAGGCGGTCTCGGACGATGAGAGCGGCTTATTCGTACAGCAGAGCGATGCCTCTGCTGTGCCACCGCCAATGGCTTTTGGAGCTAGCGAAGAGGAGGAAGAGCCTGAGCGCCCTAAGAAGGGCCGCAAGCGCGGTGCTGCTGCTCCAGACAGCGAGCAACCAGCCACCAAGAAGGGAAAGGCCAGGAAGAACGCCAAGAAGGTGTTGGGAACGAATTACAACGACGGCGACGTGGACGATTTGCTCAACTTGACCTCTCGAGCAAAAGCCGCTGCGAAGGGAGCCAAGGGCAAAGCATCTGGCAGCAAAGCAAAGCCGAAGTCTCGCAAGAAGCAGGGCGCTCAACTCACGAACCTCGATTCAATCACGACTGCGAACGTCTTCAGAGATGCTGTTGCGGCGGCTGAGCTGCCGTCCCAGCCCAAGTTCTCTGGCACAAGACGCAGGAATGAGGCCCTGAAGCAACTGATGGTAAGCAATGGTGGGCAAAAGGGCCCCTCTTGCCTTCGGGACTGTGCACCACAATTCGAGCCGTCGCTGACACTTCTGCCAGGCGTCAGTTCCAGATGAAAGCAGGGGAACTGCTCGTAGTGATAAAAAGTTCTTGACGGACGCCATCGAGGCCTTCAATGGTGGAGGTAAGAAAATGAAGGGCAGAACGGTACCTTGTGTGAGACATTCACTGACCCCTTACCCTTCTCTTGCAGGTCATGCTGTGAAAGCTACTACTGATGGAAGTGGCAACTGGGAGGTGAGGGGAATGAAGGCTACTCTCAAGCCTTATCAGGTTTGTGGCGTGGTACGTCCTCATGCCTCGCATGCTTGCGCTTGTCCTTTAATCACTGCTGACACTTTTCACAGGCTTTTATGTTGCAGAGGGTTCGTCAACCTCCCCTGAGACCATCAAGACACCTGCTGACCCTTCTACCCTTCCCTCTAGGAGCGAGCCTCAGTCCAACCGAAGGGTGGACTCCTCTGCGACGAGATGGGGTACCAAACTTATGAGCAAAACCCTACCATGTCTGAGTCATTCGCTAACCCCTTTGCTCTTCTATTTGCAGGCTGGGAAAAACTATCTCAATGTTGACGTTAATAGTTCAGCAACTTCCTGGCAAGGACAAGCCAAAGAACCGGGCCACACTGATCGTCGCCGCGCCTGCTCTGATCGCGCAGTGGGATAAAGAAATTCGGCAGCATGTCGCAACGAAGTCCGATAGCAAGTATGGACTAGGGCGCGTGGCTCACCATCGCGCTGGCCACAAAAGCGACATCAACGACCTCGAAGAGATGCTAGCGAACTCAGACATCGTTCTTACAACCTACTACGAAGTCATGAAGAGCTACCCGAAGTGTCTGCCGCCCCCAAACCTCGTCACGGCTGCCCAGAAGGAGGCGTACTGGAAGGAGACATGGGAGAACGATCGCGGTCTGCTACATAAGATAAAATGGCTACGTGTGGTCCTGGATGAAGCAAGCGCCATCAAAAATCATCGTTCTCACACAAGCATGGCCTGTCGTGCCCTTGAGGCAAAGCATTACTGGGCCATCTCAGGCACTCCGGTTCAGAATACGCTGCAGGTACCAAACCCATGGGCAAAACCCTACCATGTCTTAGACACTCGCTAACCCTTTTGCCCTTCTGAACAGGAATTCTATAGCTACTTCAGATTCCTGCGGGAGCCTCACACAGGCACATTCAAAATCTTCCAGAACAACTTCTGCACAGCTTCGGATCCAACGGGCAAGGAGCGCCTGGCTGCCTTCTTGAGAAAGGTAGGTGATCTGCTTAAACCATGAGAATGCTGTGCTGACCAAGAGGTTAGTTCATGATCAGGAGAACGCACATAGACAAGATGTTTGAAGCCAGGTACATGAGAAAGTCCATGTTGATATGTCGGAAACACTCGCTAACCGCTTCGCCCTTTGGTTTGTAGGCTACTGGACCTCCCGACTCCCAGCCAGCGCACGGTGTGGCTCGAATTCAACGATATCGAGCGGCAGGTTTACGACGTCGTCCGCAAACGGTTCATCGCCAGAATCAACTCCACCATGGCCAAGGACGAGAGTGTGGGCAAGAAATTCGCAGGTAGGTCGTACCAAGCTTCTCCTACATAAGGAAACATACTGATTTACCAGGCATCTGGACCATGGTGCTGAGGCTCCGTCAAATCACAGCAAGTGTGCTTTTAGTCTTCGATTCTTGCCTTGATTTGTTCGAGAGAGAAGACTTCGAGAAGTATGTTGGCCCGTCCGCAGTGCTGAGATATTCGCTAACCCATGCGCTCAATCCTTGCTTAGACTCAACCAGATCACCGCATCAGAAATCGAGGGCCACGACGACGGTGTCGCCTTGCTGCTCCATCTTCGCCACATCTTGCGTTTGAGCAAATCGTCTGAAGTCATCGAGGGAGGCATCAGTGGCAGCGTGATGCTGCAAAGCGAAGTGGAAGCACTTCCCATCGGGCAGATTGACTTCAGCGGCCATAGTGAGGGTGACGAAACTGGCGGCGGCCATGGCCTGAGCTTCCGCTTCCAGAAATGTAAGTCATTCTAGGTGGCACACTTCACTGCTATGTCTAACTTTCATAGATCTCGACAAGTGGAAGACCACGGATGCCTGGGAAAAATGCAAGGATAGGGCTGTTTGCTGTGGATGCAGACAGCCCCCCGACAACCCTTATGTGACAAGCTGCTCCCACATATACTGTCTGGCATGCTTGGAGGACCTTACTCATCTGGCGGCCAGACGAGGGAGAGACTTGGCCAAGTGTAAAGAGTGCGGTGATACGTACACGTTCAGCCGGCCTTGCGTATCGGAGGGGTTTGAGGCAACGAAAGCGAGACCCACCTCGACATTTTCCTCCGAAGAGCCAGCCACGCAGTCGTCCAGCACTAAGAAGAAGAAGAAGGAGGACCAGATTGACTGGCTCGGGCTCAATGGCAGCGTACTACCTTCTGCAAAGACAGTTGCGGTCAAGGCTCAAATCCTTGAGTGGCTCGAAGAAGATCCAGCGGTCAAGATCATTTGCTACACCCAGGTTCGTTGCCCTCATACCCCCATCTCTCAGGCAAGCGGCTAACTCAATTACATCAGTGGCTACCTATGGTCAGGCCAGACTGCCCCAAATTTGGAGCAACAGTACTGACCAGTGTTCTTAGATTCGGCTACTTGGGAAGGTGGTCACTGCAGAAGGTTGGGGATACAGCGAATATCATGGAAAAATGGGTCATGAGCTTCGTGCAAACTCGCTAGAGGACTTTCAAACGAACCCAAACAAATCCATCCTGCTCTGCAGCCTTCGCTGCGGGGGCATGGGTAAGACATCAATTGCCAACTTATACCACTTTCACTACGTACGCTGACCTTTACACCTAGGCTTGAACATCACAGCCGCTTCTAGGGTCATCATCATTGACCCATGGTGGAACGCAGCGGTATTCAACTCATGAGTAAAACCATACCATGTCTTAGGCATTCGCTAACCATTGGTGCAGGTAGAACAGCAGGCGTTCTGCAGGGTGTTCAGGATCGGCCAGACGAAAACCTCAAGCATGACCCGCCTTGTGGTAAAGAATACTATTGATCAAGCGATGATGGTAAGCTATCTGCCTTCCGCATGCCCTCTGGAGCAGAAGCTGATTCACAAAACCTCAGAACATGAAGGAACTCAAGCTTACTGAGATCGAATCGGTGATGAGCGTCAGCAAGCTTCAGGAACATGTCTCACTCAAGGATCTCATGAGACTTTTTGGCAACGAGGTCGGCGAGGACGAGGCAGGGCAGCGTAAGAACCCCAGTTCCTTTATGGTCTACCCAGGATTCCTGCTGATGAACCTATGCAGCCTTCATATTTGCGGACGATGACGGAGGTGACGAGCGGCTCAGGGTGCCCGGTGGGAGCGATGATGAGGACAACTTGATGGGCGATGAGGCTTAAGGGGTGGGTTTCTCTGGAAAGCGGACAATCTTGGAGGGCATGTCAGGCGTTCTGGGGCAATTTTCAGGGGACTCTGAGCTCGGAGACGGGTCACCTGGGATACTGGACATGGAATCACTCAAGGCTACTTAGGTAGTTCCAAAAAAAAAAAAACCTCTGTATGGCTATACCTTCCGAGACTGATGTGAATCCTCTTAGCTGGCCTGGCGAGGGAGGGGAGTGGACAGGACTCTCCGATTCAGCGCTTTGGCCACAGTGGCAGATGACGGCTATCGGGGTTTCTGAGTTCCTCCCCGGGCGGAGAACACGGGCGCTGGCAAGGACGGGTGGACAGCTTCTCCCATTCCACCACAATCTCACAAGGCCAGACGTTGACCCTTGAGCCCTTGAGAACAACCGCGGCGCCGGAGAACACGGGCAGTACTTAGCTTAAGGGCACTGCTTCTCCCATCGAACGCTCTCTGGACAAGGGCAGGTTACCGCTGTCAAGGCTTGAGAAATGTTGATACCGCGGAGAAAACGGCCGTGGCCTTGACTTACATGACCTTACCTTGGCTGATTTTGCTCACGAGTCTGCGGTTCAAGAGCCCATCTAACTGTAATTCACCTACCTTAGACTGCCACTGGCCACTCGACCTTGCAGGCTTCTCTGGAGTGGGGGGCCTTTGTGAGCAGCAGATGGTGTAGGTGGGAGTTTGCGAGCCGTCCATATCTTCGAGAAGCCCTCCGCCGTTACATAAACCAACGTTGAGTCTTAACCCCTGAGATCGACCCAGCCGACTCCGCCCTCCCGGCCTCTGCACCATTGAGTGCCAACAGCCAGACATCACGGAGCTCTGTTTGGCCCTTGAATGGCTCGGCCCAAGGTGAGATCGCGCATGAGCAAGCGAAGCGGAAGGATAGAGCATACCAGGCGGCATCGAGGAGTAGGAAGGCCCAAGATGCCGAGCTCATGGCGAAGATGAAGCCTATTCGGTGCTTCTTCACGAAGGACTGAAGGGCACGGGAGATGTGCTGGCTGGAGGGTTGGACTTTGCTGGCCGAGGGTGCGATTTGCTCGGTGTGGCTGGTGTTGGAGTGGTTTATTTGCTGAAGAAGATGATTTATCTGACTGGCATGGCTGTATCTTAGCTACTTTGCTCTAGCTTATTCAACTCATCTATCTACCTCAGACCCCCCTCTTCGAGCTGACGGGCATCTGTGAGTGGCAGATCAGACGGGTAAAAGTCTGAAAACAGTCCACTTCTTTGAGAAGCCGTCCATTCTCGCATAACCAACCCCCTGGGTCTCAGGCAGGTGGCCTCCGCCTTCGTCGATCCCTGCCAACCTGTAGGCACTCCATGTCTTCGAGATCCTCCCCGCCGCCCGATCCCCGCCGCCCGATCCCCGCCGCCTTGGTCTCATGAGGCGGTCTACGTCTGGAATTGATTCTACCATCTCCAATGTTCAGGCTTCTCCAAAGCAAAGGGCGTCCAAGAGCAGCAGGTCAGGCAGGCGAGAAGTTGAGAACACTTCACGTCTTGGAGAGTCTCCGCGCTCCAAGGTCCGTCTCCCCTACCCTCTCGCTCTTAGTAGGTAGACTTCTCGAACCGGCCTTGAAGGTTTGAGTCCAGGCATCTCCCGTAAAAGAGCTGCAATTGCCTGTGAAGATAAGTGGTAGTGCCGAATGCTTTGGCCGATGCGATTGCTATCCTCCTGCGTGCCTGCTCATGGCAATCGCAGGAGTGGGATCACCCGCTCGTAGGGCTATGAAGGTGTATCGCAGTGATATTCATGTCGTCCATGTCGGAAGTGCAGTGATGTACCTTATCTAACCTCAGCTCAGCCCTACGTCGATGCCTCGAACGCCTCCACTTTAACGCCAAACTTGCGCGCGGAGACAGTGCACTCGTCGATCCGGCAGTCCAGCCTTGAGATATCGCCATCTCCATCGAATCAAGACGCCCGAAAGACCAACATGTCTCAACAAGGCAAGAGGAAGAGCGAAATTGGTGGCGCTTTTAGCCCAGAAGGATGGCCTTCATCTCCCAGTTAGGCCCGCGGCGGCCGTTGGATCGCCCTCGTCGAGACCACCTCGAGCACCGCAGGCATGTCTGGTGGTTGAACACTCTCCGTCTCTTCTATCTGCGACGTTTTGCTTCATGTTCATACGCTCTTTCATAATCACATTCGTTTAATTCATGGACCCCGATATGGGGATGTCGTTCCTTACTCGCCGGGTGCTACCGGCTGCCACTCTTTTGATTGTTCTCGCGAATGCGCAGCAGTTTTGCTATTATCCAGATGGAAAGACGGTTTCGGATGATATACCGTGCGACGGCGGCGCGGCGACTTCAGCATGCTGCAGCGCAGACTCGTTTTGTCTAGCGGGCGGGCTATGTTACAACGGTGGTTTGGTGACAAGAGCGAGTTGTACGGACAAGACGTGGGGCAGTGAGGCGTGCGCTGGGTATTGCAGGAATGGTATGGCTGCTTGACAAGGCTATGGAGGAGCGCAGAGCTGACTGTTGTGCTCGTGGTAGTGGACACCTCCAGCCGAGCCGTAATCACACCTTGTACGAGCGGCGACAGCAGTAATACATTCGCATGCGGCCTGAACACAACCGACTGCCAGACAGATTCGAATACCTTCTCTCTACCCAATGATCTGGGCATCGTGCTGCGGCCGAATCAAATAGCACAACTAGTTGAGTCTAGCCTTCAGAGCACAGCACCATCAGGAGGAGCAGACACGGATGGCTACTCAGCAGGCGTATTAGCCGGCGTAGCCGTTGGCATTGCTGTGCCTCTATTGATCGCGCTTGGGATCATGTTCTTGCTCCTCCAACGCGAAAAGCGCAGATTCAGCAAGCCGAAGCTCATGTACAAACTGCCGGACGAGGTGGCTAAGGAAGATTTCACCTTCTCGCCCCCACCGCCGGTACGAACGACGACAGACTTCTCCTCGGTACGATCATCGCAGACGTCTCGCGCAACGGTTGGGAGCGCAGTAGCCAGCAGGAGAGGAAGCGGAGGCACCATGGGGACGCTGACGGTCGGCGCACCGCAGTCATTTATGGAGAGATACGCGACGATGAGGAACAATTCGCAGGCGCAGATGAAGAGCAAGGAGACGGTGGCGGTGTCGCCGCGGCATGAGCTCGAGTCACCTTCGAGAGAGCCCGCGCGGTATGAGCTTTCGAATAGCCGGATGTCGAACAGCTCGAGATGAGTTGTTTGGTTGGTATGGTCACGCTTTGCTTCCATTTGCGCGGCGTTGGTGGATGTGGGTATGAACACCTTCAATGTATATATTGTTAACGACATTGGCAGTAGCCACCTCTTCTCAGGTGCGATGACCACGGCCTTCACCTCCAACTTGCCGCTTTGAATTGACCTGATTTCAGGACATGTTACAAAATTGAAAGATGCCAAGGAGATGTTGGGCTACCCCATTGCAAAACAATGCTCAAGGGAGTCTTACTCGCAGAAGCAAAATAACTCTACATGCAGGAATGAGAAAGAATGGAAGACGAGCTCTTCACCTGGAGTACAAGCCTTGACTCGACTGTCGAGAGGCGGCTTCCAGCTGGGCGTGATCTCGTTGCAGTGATGTCTTCACAGCGTTCGTGGCTTCTTCTCATCTACGCGCTGCAGCCGCATGGCCACGATCGAAAGCAACGACGAATAGTGGCGTGCAACCGAGTGAAAGAATCCAAGACATCTCGAATAGGACGACCAAATCCCAACTCGACACCCCCAAGCCCTCAACATGCTGCGATATCTGCTGTTGGTGCAATTGTCCATGATTGCGGTGGCGTTGCCTCTAAACACGCCACTTCTGCCCAGCTACGACTACATTGGTGAATAATTAAGCGTACAGTCTCGTAGGGCTTTCTGACAAGTTTCACAGTCGTGGGCGGAGGTCCGGCTGGTTTGGTGGTCGCCAACCGCCTGTCCGAGGATCCTAACGTTAACGTGCTTCTCCTCGAAGCCGGACCGGCTGACAGAGGAGAGCCTGCGGTCGAGATCCCGGCGTTCATCGGCAACGACATCGGCGGCATCTACGATTGGAACCTATCGACCGTACCACAGATCTATCTCGATGGCGTCTCAAGGAGCATCCCTCAAGGTCGGGCGTTGGGAGGAGGCACAATATTGAATGGCATGTTGTGGAACAGAGGCGGACAAGGAGACTATCAGAATTGGGTCGACCTTGGAAATCCTGGCTGGAGCTGGGACGATCTATTACCGTACTTTGCGAAGAGTGAGACGTACACACCCGTGTATTCTGAGGAGGTTGGCGAGCGCTTCTCGATACAAGAGTGGCCCGACGTCCATGGTCACGCTGGGCCGGTCAATGTCAGCTTTCCGAAGAACTTCTGGAACTCGAGTGCTGTGCTCTTCGATGCACTGAATGAGGTTGGAGTGCCGACTGCGTACGATCCAAATACTGGTCTCGTGAGTGCCTCTTCCTCATTGAACCTCTTCCTCGTGACCTCACCGTCCCACGAGTTAGTAGGTTGAAGTGGGAGAACGTAGGCTGACTGAGCACATCAGGTAGCAGGGGCAGCGTTCCTGCCGATGGACATTGATCCAATCACCCAGCAGCGCTCTACTGCCCGGCGAGCATACTATAATCCTTACATTGACAGACCAAACCTATGGGTCTCTACAGGGCAGACTGTAACGCAGATTCTTTTCGAAGGACGACCAATGAACGCCATGGCCAGCGAAGTGAGCGTCGGCGACGATTCTGATGGCGATGGTGGCCACCCAGGCATCCCGACTGGCATATTTGGCGGCACGACAACGCTGAACTTCACTCAAGCTATGGACGACGGAGAAGATGAAGTGAAGAAGTGTGGCATAGCGGGAAGAATATGGAGGAAGCTTTGGAAACGCTTCAAGCGCCAGGTGCCCGGCACTGGTTCGCCGAATATGGTCGCAGTTGGGGTGGAATACGCTACTAATGCCGGAGGTCCAAGACAAATTGTGTCGGCAAGCCGCGAGGTCATCGTTGCTGCGGGTGCACTGCACTCACCGCATTTGCTCATGCTCTCCGGAATTGGTCCTGCGGCGGCCTTACAGGAACTCGATATCCCGCTCAACGTGGACATACCAGGCGTTGGCAACAATCTTCAAGAGTATGTCATACGACTCGATTTCTTTCACATGAACGACCAAGCTGACCATTCGAAACAGCCACGGTCAAGTGTGGTGTTGGTATCCATTCTACAACGCTTCGTATATGAACCCAACAATGCTTACGCACAACGAGAGTTTCGTTGCGGCGGCATGGGAGGAGTACTGGACCAATCATACTGGTCCCCTTACAACAGGAGCCATCGACGGAGTGGCCTTCCCAGCACTACCCTACGTCGTGAACGGGTCGGCCGCCATTTCGGACGCAGCAGCAGCTCAGTCACCGGAGCAGTATCTCCTTCCAGGCATCGACGGCTCCATAGTGTCAGGATATGCTTTGCAGCAGCAGATGATGATCAGCGCCCTCGACGACGTGACAAGAGCGGCATACGAGATCATCAATGCGAATGACGGCGTGCTCACCGTAGCAAACATGCGGCCGTTCTCGCGAGGTACAGTCTCGCTCAACTCAGCCAGGCCGTTCGATCCTCCGACCATCGATCCAAGGTACGGCAGCAATCCGATCGACCTGGAAATCCTCCAAGCCGCCATGGATTTTAACCAGCGTTTATTGTACACTCCAAGCATGTCACAGATGAACCCAGCTCAAAGGTTTCCACCCCCGGAGGCCAGCGAAGGACAGATCACCTCGTACATCCACTCGCGATGGCAGACTGAGTACCATCCTGGAGGCACTTGCGCCATGATGCCGTTTGAGCTGGGCGGAGTGGTGAGCCCAGAGCTGCTCGTGTACGGAACAAGAAACTTGCGAGTGGTAGACTCCAGCATCATTCCGATGCTGCCGGCGGCGCACCTCCAGGCTGTCGTCTACGGTACTGCTGAGAAGGCGGCGGATATCATCAAGGTGGCGCAGGATGGGAGCGGATCCTCGCAGACACAGACGAGCTCATCACCTCCTTTAGACGCGTCAGAGACTGGTGCGGGCGTGGACAGCTCGCCAACCCTCTCTCCACCTGTGAGCGTCTACTCCGAGCCGGCGATGAGAACTACTTTTATCACGGTAGTATACACGCAGACAGTGTATGCCTCTTGAGGAAGTAATTTGATGAATCAACACAGCATAAAATGTATGTCCAGGACTTGTATGTACATAGAGCTGTATTGCAAATACTTTTGAGTTGACGTTTCCTCAACGGGCCGAGCAAGACGGAAAAGAGCACAATCATTACACAATCAACATTACATTATACTCAATCTATAGCTACGTTCTCTCAATAACTACCATAACACTCCACACACCGACGCTGTCTCCGTCTGAGCCTAATACCGCGGATCAACGCGCGGCCCCAACCCCACCACCACGACTGCGTGGATGCTGGACTGTAGCGCGATCCAGGCGAACCGCGGCTCAGAAGACGAGCCCCGGCAAAGACGCTCCTGAGATTCTTACAAGAGGAAGAATGCCACAAGCGCGGAAAGCACGAGAGTGGAGAAGCGAGACACGTTGCTGACAGCGCCCGATGAGACTGGCGGCACAACTGTTCCTGCTGGCGGGGAGGCGCCAGGGACCGGCGGCGATGCTGGCTGCGAATTGACTGGAGAGCCTGCGTTTGTTAGCACATGAGTCGTTTCTACGGTGAAGAGAGGCAACTCACTTCCAGCTGGGGGCGCAGGCGCCGCCGGCGAGGATGGCTGGCCGTATTGCTGGCTTGGAGCAGCTGGAGGTGCGCTTTGAACGGGCGGCTGACCTGGAACAGCCGGTGGTGCGCTCTGAACGGGCGGCTGGCCTGGGACTGGTGGAGCACTCTGAGCTGGAGGCTGGCCTGGGACAGCTGGAGGTGCGCTTTGAACTGGTGGCTGACCTGAACCTGGCGGTGCGCTCTTGCCAGGCTGGCTCGGGTAGGCAGTGTCCCCGCTCTCCTTGGGTGGGCTCGAGTATGCCGGGGGGGCACTTCCGGCTGGCGGCTGACCACTCATCGGCGGAACCACTTCGGGGATGGGCTCGGTGTAGTACACAGTGTGGGACTCGTAGATATACGAAGTAGGCGAAGCGTAAGTCGTCGTCATGGTATAGTCCTGCGACTGCGGAGGGTAAGAACCTGGCGGGGGTGCAATTGGCGTGGTCTGCGACTGCGGCGGGTAGGAGCCTGGTGAGGGTGCAATTGGCTTGGTCTGCGATTGATGAGGATAAGTACCCGGCGGCGGCGCAATCGGCTTGGTGGCATTGTTATAAGGCGGCAGAGGGCTCATTGGCACGTAAGTCGGAACAACCGGAGGACGCGTGATAGTGGCCGGGCAGACAGTCGTCGAGACGGGGATGGAGTATGCGCTGGTAGTGCTCTGGTAGACAGTCGTCGAGTAGGCATAGCACGTGGAGGTGGTGTACTCCGGTGGCGCCCACTCAGTCGTGTGCTCCTCGTAAGTGGTCGGCACTGGTGGTGCATATTCAGTCGTATGCTCTCCGTAGGTGGTAGTCGCTGGTGGTGCATATTCAGTCGTATGCTCCCCGTAGGTTGTAGGCACCGATGGCGCAGTCGTGTGCTCTTCGTAAGTGGTGGGAATGGGTGGCGCGGGCCACTCCCAAGTGTACGATGGTGGCATCGTGTACGTATCACAGGTCGATGTCGGGGTGGTGTAGATCGATGGCGTGGCACGGCACTCGTCGCACTCGTAGTCAGTCACGACTGTCTTGGCCCGATAAGTCTTGGTGATGTACGACTCGGAGCAGAAAGAGCTCTTGCTTGCGGTGATGGTGTGAGTGGTGGACTCGCACCACGTGGAAGTGCTGTAAGTTGGCTCGGTCTGCGTGCAAGTTGGGTGATAAGTCTCGCAAGGAACCACGGTGATGGTGATGGTCGAAGTGTGAGACTCGGTCATGCACGAAGATGGCGGCGACGGGTGAGGGTAGTCAGTTGGGCGCCAAACAAGTGGTGTCGACCTCCAGATGGGAGAAGTGCAAGGCGTGGGCTCCGGTGACGCTCCCGTGGGATGAGGGTACGGGTGAGGGTTCCATGGGTGCGAGGAATAGCCTCCAGTGGGCATTGGGTAATGCGAGTAGGAGCTGCTGGAGCCAGGAGACGGTCCATAGCTGGATGCGGATTGCGAAGAGTATCCGCCGGTGGGCATTGGGTAGTGCGAATAAGACTCGCTGGACCCAGGATACGGTCCATAGCTAGATGCAGACTGCGAAGAGTATCCTCCGGTAGGAATCGGGTAGTAGGAGTAAGACTCGCTGGATTCAGGACATGGTGTAGAGTACGAAGAGTATCCACCGGTAGGCATTGGGTAATATGAGTAAGATTCGCTGGATCCAGGATATTCGGAGTAGCTGGAATAGCCAGTCGGCATCGCCCATGAGACCGAGGACGACCACGGACCATACGAATACGACCAGGACATCGAATATGAGCTGGACGGGATCGGCCAGATCATAGAAGACGTGTATCCCTCTGCCGAGGATTGAGAGTAAGACCAGATCGAGGATGGTTCATATATCCAAGAGGAAGAGGCTGGCAGGCTTGAAGATGACACTCCGGTGGCATATGGTGCAGAAGATGAAGGCTTCGGGCCAGTTGAGCCAGTTCCGTACACCATGGACGAAGATGGCATGTAACTGGCACTCCACACCATGGAAGACGAACCTTGGATTGGACCGGCGTCGCTGCTGTACATCACGGATGATGAAGAGACGTATGACGGAGCCGAGCCAGTTCCATATGGAAGCGAAGAAGACGCACTCATCGAGCCAGTGGCGTAAGGGATGGAGCTTGACGGGTACCAGTATGACCAGTACGACGAAGACATGCCCGTTGCATATGGGAGAGAAGATGATCCTTGGACTGGGCCGGCATCGCTGCTATACATCACGGAGGATGAAGACACGTATGGCGGAGCGGAGCCAGTTCCGTACGGGAGAGAGGAGGACGCAATCATCGAGCCCGTGGCGTAAGGGATGGAGTACGAAGAGTAAGACGACATGCCTGTTGCAATCGGGCGGGAAGACGATCCGTAGATCGGGCCAGCATCGCTGCTGTACATCATCGAGGATGAAGACACGTATGGCGGGAACGAGCCAGTTCCGAACGGAAGAGAGGAGGACGAGACGATGCCAGTTCCATATGGAATTGAAGAGGACGACATGCCCGTGGCGTAGGGAGCTGAAGAGGACTTAGGACCAGCAGAGGAGCCTGTAGCGTAAGGAGCGGAAGAGGAGTTCCTGCCGGGCATAGATCCAGCGGCGAAAGGTGCAGAGGATGAACTCTGGCCAGGCATGGAGCCGGTACCAAGTGGCATCGAAGAACTGCTCGCGGAGATGGGGCCTGTCGCGAAAGGAGCTGAAGATGAGCTCTGCGCTGTTCCGAGTGGGATAGAATAGTAAAAGCTGCTGGACGGCGCGAAGCCAGTTTCGACACTCGAAAAGTAGTTGCTGCTCGAAGGCATGTAGCCCGAAGCGCTCATGCCGGTGCCCACGCTGGAGAAATAAAAGCTGCTCGATGGTGCAAGGCTGGAGCTGTTGACCGGAACCGGGACACCAGTGCTCATGACCATGGAGGAGGATGGCGTGACGCCGGTGCTCAAAACTATGCTGGAAGTGTAGAACCCGCTGCTTGGGAAGAGCGAGCTGCTGGCCAGCGCGGACGATGATGAGGCAGCCTCCGAGGAAGAGACAGCTGCGCTAGAGGATGATGACTCTGCTCCCGACGAGGATGCCATGATCGAGGAAGACGCCACTTCAGACGAGGACTGACCTGGCGCAGAGGATGAACCTTGCTCAGAGGATGACTGGGCCGGTACCGATGTGAATGACACCGGACCAGAAGACAATGGGCCGGATGCGGATGACGAGGCCGTGGCAGAAGAGACAGGCGGGCCTGACGTTACTGGCATAGAGGAAGACGCCGCCAGCGAGGAAGAGGAAGATGCCGCCTGAGAGGAGCTGGGAGAGGCCGCCTGCGAGGAAGATGCTGCCACAGAGGAAGACGCAGCAGATTGAGAGGATGAGGCTCCTTGAGATGAAGATGTAGCCCCAGACGAAGGCACCGCCTGAGAAGAGCTGGAAGACACCTCAGAGGAGGAAGAGACAGCTTCAGATGAAGAGGCAGCGGGCGTCGAAGAGGAAGCTACCTCAGACGAGGATGCTGCCGTCGACGAGCCAACGCCCTGATGAGAAGATGATGAGTTTGCTGTGGAAGAGGTAGCGCCCTCAGACGAAGACGCCGCAGTAGACGAGCTGGCACCATCAGCGGAGGAAGATGTTGTCGCAGACGAGCCGGCACCCGTAGAAGATGATGTGGCCGAAGCTGAAGAGGTGACGCTCTCCGAAGACGATGCGGCGGTAGACGAAGTGGCACCATCGGTGGAGGAAGATGCCGCCTGGGTGGAGGAACCACCGTTCGCGGGCTGCGAAGAAGTAGCAGCTGCTCCCGACGATAAGGTTGTGCTGCCATCGTTGTTGGGCGCGGAACTAGCGGCCTGCGATGCCGCTGCGTTGGAAGAGGCAGCAGCTTCTCTTGACGAAGCAGCGGCGAGAGAAGACTCCGCCCGGGAGGCAGCCGCGGCTTGGGAGGACACGGTGGACAAGAACGTGGACACGGAAGAGACGGTGGTCACGGACACGGACGAGGAAGCTGCGTCAGAGGAGGAAGAGCTTCCAGCAGCGGCCTGGGTGTTGCTCGTTGCCTGCCTCTTGACATGCGCCTGTGCACTCATTGGCCAGTACCCGATGGTGTGGTCCACGTGTCCGGTCGAGGTCGTCGCCGGAGGCTCGATGTGACCCCTCCAGGAATCATCCGTGTACGTGATGTACTCGGTGTGGGTGACCTCGGAGTCGTGCTCGGGGTGCGTACGGCCCATGATGATCTTCTTCACGATGACAGGCCCACTGGTTTCCAAGACGCTGCCGTCGGCGGCTGTGCTCGTCGCATGGTGGTCCCAGTTGGTCTGCACGACTGTCTTGCGCGGGGCTGTAACATATCAGCGTCGACCATTCACGGTAGAAGCGCAGTGCTGTGTACTCACTGAAGTTGGGGTCGTCTTCAGCGTTTGCAGCTCCGACGACGGCAAGCACTGCCAGCGCCGTGAAGGTCTTCATAGCGAACGAGCGTGTGCGTAAAGATAGAGCGAGCGGTGAGGAGTCAGGAAAGAAAGAGAAACGCGGAAGAGGGAGGAAATAATATAGCACCCGGAAGCTGACGGCTCGATCGTTTGCACCTATCTTACTGGACCTAGCCTGCGGTTCTGTAAAGTGGTTGAGAGGGGAGAGTGTGTGGACTTCCTTGGTAACACCCATTGGAAGCAAGTGGAGTAGGACACCGACTTGGCGGGTGTCCGAAAAGCATCGTGTTTCTGAAGGCGATAAAGAAGGTCTAGTTTCTCAAGAATCCGCCCTGGGTGCATGAGACCATGGCCAGATTTTGACATGCGAGATAGCTTGAATAGCTGACCTATACCAACATTTCGTGCAGCGAGCAATTGCGCGACACATCAAGTGGTATGGCGACATAGCAGAGGTCTACGAACAGCTCGAAGGCCAGGGGTGGGTCTTCAGACATAGTTCTGCGTATCAGCTCGGGCGAGCGTGGTAGTCAAGAGAATAGTAGCTCGTTCTGGCAAACGACACCAAATTGGATGCGTGTCAACGGATTCGTAGTCTTGGTTGTGCGGAGCGAGACCGAAGTTTCTTTATCGAAGATTTTATCTTTGGTAGCAACCAGAGGGGACGATGAGGTGGGCCGACATACAAGAGCGGGGTCATGCTGTTTCTGTAGGTCCTGATTGTTCGACCCGTGGTTCATCGAATGAGGATCCGGCCATTGCTCATCGTCGCCGGACACAGGCTCGAGTCGCGGAAGATGCGGCGTACTCCTTCCTTTTAGGATGGGCGTGTCCGTTGTTTAAAATCCGAGATGGTGGTCCTGGCCAATAATCGATAACGGTGAGGGTGGTGGTGGATGGATGCAGGACTTCACGGAGGTCCGAGCAGATGAGGTCAAAAGTAAGCCTCGGATCTGCCCGCCCACCCCTGTCTTCTCCACATTTCGCGCAACGCCGAGTGTTGATCGGTAAACATTGCTCCAACGACGACCACTCCTACACCACCACCATCTCTAATACAAGTTGTTGTGCGTAATCGCAAGCCTCCAAGATGCCCAGCATGGACTTCAATCCACGCATAAGCATTGCTCGCGGCTCACAACAATCCAGCCAGCAGAAGCGCACCAAAGAGCAAGACGAAGATGCGTTCATGAACCTGGTATGCATGATTCCTACAAACACGCATGGCGCGCACTAACAGTGGGCGTAGTCCGACAGAGAAATCGCCGGCTGCATCTCAGACATTGGCATCGCATTCACAATCGAAGACCTCCGCAACCCGAAAGCCCCCCAAGTCCAGAAGATCTTCGAATGGTTCGCCGAACTGCTCACGAACACTACGCGCGAAGTCGTTGCGCCGGCGATGAAGGCGGCCGCGGAAGATCTGTGCGGCGCTGACGACGCAGAGCGGATCTTCACAGCAGACACGCGCGAGCTGATGGGCTTCTTCGTGACGATGCGGAGGCTACTGCTCGAATGCGGGATACGCGATTTCACATTCTCGGACTTGTACAAGCCGCAACATGGGAGGCTGGTGAAGATCTTCAGCTATATCATCAATTTCATTCGCTTCAGGGAGAGTCAGACGGGGGTCATTGATGAGCACTACAACAGCAGCGAGAACACGAAGAACCAGATCGAGCAGCTGTACCATGAGAACCAGGAGAAGGAGGAGCAATTGGAAGAGATGCAGCAGAATCGGAAGAACGTGGAGCAGGCGATTCGCGACAAGGAGAAGAGAAATGAGGATCTGAAGACGCGGTTGTACGAGCTGAACAAGGCGCAGAAGGTCGTGCATGAGAAGCTGGAGCGCGTCAAGGAGGAGCAGAATCGGCTGAAGGTGGCATTGCAAGACAAGACCACGGCGGTGATGACCACACGGCAAGAAGCCAGCAAGCTACGACCATATACCGAGCAGTCTCCTGCAGTGCTTGAGCAGTCGCTGCAGACGCTCAATTCCAACCTCCACAACGACCGCGCGGAAATCGAGCGTCTCGACAAACGCACGCGCGCTTTGCAGACTTCCTGCGATACCTTTACACCTCTCATCGCCGACATCACCGCTCTCCACAACCTCCTGTGCAACCTGCATGCCGATCTGGGTAAGGAGGACGAAGAAGCGAAGAGCGCAGCGAAGAACCGAGAAGCCCTGGCGGATAAGTCGTACAAAGTGCGAGAAGTAGGTCGTGAGGAGCGGTCTTTGCGAATGCAGCTGGAGCAGTCAAAAGCGAAGACTGAACGGTTACGGCGGGATGCGGAGGGCAAGGCTGCGAACACGAATGCGAAGATGACCGCGTTGAGACAGACGCATGAGGAGTTGACTGCGGAGCGGCAGGATCGGCATCGGGAGGTCGAGAGGCGGAGAATAAGGATCGAGCAGACGGTGAAGAAGGTATGTATCTTTTGCCTTTTCTGGAGAAGTTATGGTCATGCTGACGTCGCTGGCAGATGGATGATCTGAAATACAACATCGAGCGCGAGGTGCAAGAGGCGCGCGAAGAGTACATGAAGATGGAGAGTCACATTCGGCTGTACATGACCGAGATGGAACAGAGCATATGAGCGGGACTTGGATACGTCCCTTTCAAAGGACATTGGGAGCTATGCGGTTGTTGTGATACCCACACGGCGTTTGGAGTGAATACAAATTGGCCAGCACAGTAGCTTTGGCTAAAGATCAGAGTATGATGAGATGAATGCAACCTGTCAGGCAATCGAAACCTTCATCGGCCACCGGCATGTGTTTTTAGATACAGCCCCTCCTCATGTTAACGGTACAGGACGAACGAAAATCTGGTAACCCAGTATTCGATCAAAGTCTGTCCATCCGTCGGACTTTCACGAGCTTGCCAAACATCGATTTAACCTCGAAGTCCGCTCTCTACGCCAGAGATTCTCGATTCACGTACCTAGTTCACAGGCTCTACTTCGGGTTGTCAGACCATTGGAATGGAACACAGTACAATATACATCACGTACCTAATGATCGATCTTCTCGAACGGACAGATCTTGTATGCCAAGGAATCGAGTAAGAAACGCAAACACGTCGATGATGATCATGAGTTCATACCCAAGCCAACGTACATTGAGAAGAACGACCAAGATTACCACGCTCGGCAACAGAGGCGTGGACGCCATCAGACGGTTCTGCGATATTGTCAAGAGCCGATTCGACGCCGCGAAGACCACGCGATCAGGCCTCCTCCGCCTGCCGAACGAACTAATCGACCTCATCTTGGGCTACCTCGACAGTGCTGAAGCAGCATGCTTCTCGCTCGTCAACCGCTCGCTTTGCGCCACCTACGGTCCACTTGTATGGCCGTCAGTCGCTCGTGGAGAGGAGTCCGATGACACCCGCCGAAGATTCTTGCTCCTCCTCGCGCGAGACATTCCGCGATTCTTCCTGTGCCATACCTGTGTACGTTTGCATCTTGTAGCAAAACTCGAAAGGCCCCGGTACGACGATCCAGACGCACCCGTCCGCATGCAGTGGGTGAGCAGGGCGAGGATGGAGGATAGGCCGATCGACTGCTTCACCACGCATTTCAGGACCAAAGTGTATCGACTCACTTTTCAGCACGTCCAAACATTGTAGCAGATGGTCTCCGTTTGTGCGTTCAACAATGGCTCGTGCTTAATGATGGAAGCCCTCCGGAGCTTGAACATTCAGGCGTGTCAGTGTATGCACACACAGCATGTTCTACTGTCCTTTACGGAACTTCACGGAAGCTGCTGAAGTGCAAACTGCAGCACGACGGATGCGAAGAAGGATATCCGACCTGTCATCTTTTGCTGCGATGCGAATTGTGTCTTGTAGAGTTCCGAATCGAGATGCCGCCTTGCGGGCCCAGACAGGCCTTTGTCCTGACCAAGTGGCTGGATTTGGGACGTGGAGAAACGCCATGTGACCCGTCGTGGCGGCCACATCTCTGGCGTCCTTGGCCGCCGGAACCGCAATTCGAGGTTGTCAATCACGAATGCGGCGTTCGTCATGAGGTGGAACTGTATGCTGGCACCAGTGAGAGCAAACTCACATCCATGAATCGCTCGATGCTGCTTGAAGACAAGTTCAGGTCGAGATTGCGACCGTTTCGTCATGAGCAAGAAATGTGGACCACTTTGAGGAAGAATGAATAATAGCTGTTGGAATGGGAGGAGGGAAAAAGCCGTATGACGGTGGTCATTGGTGGACTGTCCAGACGACTCCCAGCCGGAAATCTGTTTGGCGAATGTCAACTCTTCGATTGAGTACGCATTCACGCCTCATAGTTCTTGAGATACCCACTCGGCGTTTGCGGTACGACCTTGATAGTTTCAATGGCAGTCTAGAAGTGACATCGGTTAGTATAGCCACGAGCTTGGTGTGCAAACGAGGAATTATTGTACGTGTGTAGCTGTCAGGTAATCGAACTCTTTTCGTTCCACATGTATTGTTCGGAACAGGTCTGTGAAAGTAGGTTTCTCATCATTGGGGTTGTGCTGGAAAGAAAGGGGCTCTTGGACCTACCGCTTAGCACGGGCCTGACAGTATCGACTGCATGGATGCGTTGGTATCAGTCTTCCGCAGCCTCCCTCATGTCGACAAAGCGACACCACCTTTCAGCAATTCTCCTTGGAGTCACCGTGCGACCGACCCATCCTCGCTCGCCGACGCCGAATGACTTGGTCGTGACATTGAGGATCGACACCGGTTGATCCCACGGAGCCATCTCACTTTGGGGATCAGCAACTGCCGGCATATCTTCCCAGGGAAGGACGCCTTCGGTATGAGAAGAGTCGTCAGCCAAAGGGCACTCGGCCAAGATGAGCTGGCTGTGCGTGCAGTATGCCGCGTCAACGGCCGTGGCGAAAGTACGATTGATGCCTTGAGCCGAATACGCTGACGTTGGTTTGTGAAGCTGAATGGGGTTGAATACTGCCAAAATGCGAGGAGGTGACGGGGTATCGAATCTTTGGCTGCCCGGAGACATGTCCTCTGGTCCCCGGTAGGCGTAGGTCGCCAGGTATGCTCGCAAATGCGCGAGCTCGGGACAGAAGACAAGTCGTACTGTACGAGAAGCAGCGAGTAGGCGGAGCGTTGGCTTTGCCCATCGTTGCTTTCGTGATGCTGCTTGAAAATCTCTACCGTCTGCCTGGGCTGAGGACTCGTCGGCGAGAGAGGTCTGCAGTTCCTTCATGAACGCGTCTTTTGTGCAGCAGGTCACAATAGTTGATGGTGCCGTGTGTTTGTCAAGCACATATTGGATGAAGCCAGGTAGATTGACTCCCTCGAGGACTAAGGGTGAGCGAGATGCCATGCCTGCGGGTGGAGCATCTTCATCGCGCGGCAAGGCTCCGCGGCAGTGATTTGCTGGTGAACGGGTTTCATGCCAAACTCTTCGAAGTTCAGAGTGGTTGCATTGACCTCGATGAATGTTCGCGGCAAATGTTAAGGTATGGTCTTGAGATGTCAAAAACCTGGAAGACATCAGCAAGGTGGACGCGATGGTCTTGGCGCTATTGCACATGACTCGGGTGTCGACCTCGAGACTTGACGTCGAACCTCTTAACAGCACATCCACCAAACCACTTCTTGCATATCTCAACCATGGCGGCACCGGAGAAAAACCTTGATAAGCTACGTGCAGAGCAGGAGAAAGACGACTCCGACATCCTTGCCGATCTGGACAAGGAATCGAAGGAATTCGACAAGGTAGGACTGGTTCGTAGATAGTATAGCACGGTACTAACATACGATAGGACTCTGAAATCGACCGCATCGTCAAGGCTTTCCGCGCCAACGCCTACGATGTCCTGGACCTCACGCCCGGTGTACCCGAAGACGACATCAAGAAGACGTACCGCAAGAAGTCCCTTCTCATCCATCCGGACAAGTCGACCAACCCCAACGCTTCCGATGCATTCGATCGTCTCGCTATCGCCTACCAAACCCTACTGGACGAGAAGAAGCGTGCACATCTCGACGAAGCTATCGGCGATGCACGGATGCTGCTGATCAGAGAGAAGAAGCTCACCATTGACTCGGAGGAAGTCAAGGATCCAGATGTGAAGTTCATGAAGGAGTGGAAAGACAAGACCAAGTGGGTGCTGGCGGACATGGAGGATCGTAGGAAGCGACAGATGAAGGCTCAGATGCAGGAGGAGGGTCGGCAGCAGAGGAAGGACGAGGAAGAGGCCAATGAGAGGAAGCGGAAGCGGGAGGCTGAGGTGAACTGGGAGAAGACGCGGGATCAGCGGATCGACAGCTGGCGGGATTTTAGCAAGAAGAAGGAGGGCGATGGCAAGGCCAAGAAGAAGAAGATGAAGACGCTTGGTTGATGGTTCGCAAAAGCGTGGCAAGGCTACGACAGCAGCAAGTACCGAACGACTGACGAGACTATGAAGCAACGAGATTATGGCAGTGTATCATTAGCGAGGAGTAAGGATCCAGTCAAGGCTGCTGCTAGCGAATGCCGAGACTACCATGACGACCATTGACATGGATGTGAGTGTTACCAATTCGTCCACCTGGCTTCTTCAGTGCCACGAAGGTCTGGTCTAGACGACGCCTGTTGCACCAGTGACATTGCTGATGGCAGTTGTACAGCCTGCCTGCCATCGTGACCACCTGCTGATCGCAGCTCTGTTGCACGATGCGTCCAGCTCGTCGTGCTGATGGCGCAGCTGTGCAACATGGAAGAGCAAACTACCATCTCATCTGGACTATTGTTATGGTGTGTGATTTTGGTCTCATCCTGCCTTAATCCGTTTGTTCTCACTCGGTCTGATCTTCTTGTCGAAACCAACGTCCAGCATGGCCACGACAATGCCGAGCAAGTCTGCTCAAAACGCTCAGAGTCCTAGAGCTCCTAGCATGGTCTCACTCTCGTTGAACGAGCCGGACAAGAGTTCTACGGACCGCGAGGAGACTCCTGATGAAACCCCCAACAACACTCCGCAACCCAACCTTCTAGGCCTACCACGCGAAGTGAGAGACCGCATTTACCACTTTGCGCTCTACGAAGAGAAACCCATCAAAGTCCAGAAGTATGGCAAGGAACGCCCAACGCCGCCCCCGGTCTACAGATGCCCCCTACCATCAGAATGGGGATCGCCCTCTCAACTGCCGTTCGTCAACCACCAAATCAGGACAGAGTGTCTTCCGATCTTCTACAGCATCAACACTTTTCAGTGAGTGAGAGCGGTTGCGTCATTGAGACCTATACTGATCTAACCGTCCAGGTGCGTGACCTATCCAGCTGCCGGCGATCTCCTCCGGTATCTGCACAGAGAGGACTATCTCAAAGGAGTGACCAGCTTACGCCTGCTCGACATCAACGGCATGGAACGCTATAACCATGACTTCCGCAGCGACTATCGCGCGAATCACAAGATGTGGTTGCGCAACGCGCATAAGGTCTTGGATGAATTCTCGGACCAGGGGTTGAAGGACACTGCTTTCAAGATGGCCATACGTTTTGAAGCCAATGACTCGACAAACGAGAAGTTGCATGTCGTTAGCAGATATGTCAGTCTGGCGGAGCTGAGGGATTTGGAGTTCGCGGGCCATCATATTCTTGACCGGGTGGTACGCCTCAGGTCGAAGAAGGTTGAGGTGAAGGAGGCAGAGGCGAAAGACAGCGTTTGAAAGGCACTGTCGAAAAGCCGGTGGCAGACTGGATTTCGGAATGCCTGTGAGTTGGTGCTTGGATTCTGTTGTTGCGAGTCATATCGAATGTCATATGCCTGAAATCATCCATGACATCACAGCTTCGCCTTGCTCATCTCTTAGCCTCAAAAACGCTTCCTCACACTCACGTCTGCGACCTAGACCAATACCTGTGCATTGACACGTTTCCTCAAGACCCACCCTCACCTCTGCTCTTGCGAACGTCTCTGCACCGCCATGGCTACCGAGGAACTGCAGCAGACTCCACAGGAGGTGATCCCAGCGACTGAAAGCGAGACCACGTCCACAGGGAGTCGCCTACTGGATCTCCCAGCTGAGCTGCGCGCACAAATTTTCAGCTTGGTCATGGCCGAAAAAGGGTGGATCGGTGTGCGCTATGTTGATATGTCGAGATTGCGCTTCATCAAATGCAAGGAGCTCAGGCCAATGCGAGACCTACATGCGGACTTCACCTGTGCTGGCCTCGTCCTCGTCAACCACCAAACTCGGAATGAAGCTCTATCTATGTTCTACGCACTCAACGAGTTCACGTAGGCTGATCATCATCACACGACTGGAAGCGATCTTTGACTAATTCGAGAGACAGATGTACCCATCACGACATCGATTCAATCTTCAACATCCTGGCCTCACGGAAACTCCTCTCAAGGCTGACCCGCTTCTATTTGCACACCTGGATCGCTAGGCCCCCACCACAATTGCCGTTCTTACTTGACAGTACCAACAACGGCGTCGAGGAGCGCGTGCAAGCTACAGCGAACACATTCGCCGCAAGCGGACTGACGGAGGATGTCTTGAGGTTTCCAGTGGATGTGCAGGACCTGCCCGAGTCAGGCGGAGGTACAACTCGCATCTCGTGGTTGTCACTGGCAGAGATGTCGCACTACGAGCCGACAGACGATGGGTGGGACCGATGTTTCAGGAGAAAGAAGGCGCATGTCGAGAATGCTAAGCAAGAGTAGAAAGGGGTCAGCTGGATGCTTCAAATGGTGCTGGAGCGTTATCGGGACGAATGTCTCGAGTTAGCGACCACGATATCTGCTGCTCTACACACGCAACTAGGTCACTCAAGGCCCACTTGGCGGAGGCGCAGGAAATTACGGACGGCGTGAGCAGGCGAAGACATCATGAGTGGCGTGCACGAGATCGGGTGTGAGGACGAGGGCTGCGACAGTGAGGATAACGAGCAACGGGTATGGGCCGAAGAAAATTTCTCAGGGCGCATGTGAGAGCAAGGACGACGACGAGACAGTTGTTGAGAACATAAACTAGGTTGAGCCATTTCTCCATGAGCGACAACGTTGTCTTTCCATTCGCAAGTACCACTATCAGTCCCTTCAGTTCTACATGCTCAGGGCTGAATTTAATGAATTTAACAACGTCGTGCCGAACCGAAACCGAACCCATGAACCTCGTAGCAGTCTCCGTTCTTCCCGAAACAGTATTTTGCGCCGCAGCAAGCAAGCAAGCAAGCAAGCAAGCAAGCGGGACATTGGACTGCTCTGAGACATGGCGAACAAGCTCTGTGGTGCCCACTTCGAGGACCGTTAGACAGGTATCGCTGCTTCTTCATACACAACATGAAAGCGAACATCAAGGCGTGATGCTGAAATTGGGCGGCGGCCGTGTGGGCTTCCCGGGAAGATCGCAGAGACGACGAGGTAGGCGCTGGTAGACTTGCTTGCACCACATGCACCTCACGATGGTATACGTCTTGTTGGACGGACTGACGCTGCAAATTCATTTGCAAGGTAAGCCGCAGGCATGGTGGTGTCGCCCAAGCTGCCAAAGGACTGGGACAAGCAGGAGGCGATGGAGTCTGCCGAATGAGGCTGGTATGGAAGCGGTTTTGGAGCCCGTATTGGCAGATGCCGTTTGAGACAATCATACCTCAGAACCATATCTTGATGAGCTCCTCACTCACCGCAGAAGGGAGCAATACCCCAGACTCCGTGATAATGCCCGATATCAGATGCGGAGGCGTGTAATCGACAGCCTCGTGCGGCGCGCTGATAGCACCCTTCGTCCCACTTCTCTCCGTCCCTTCCACGTCCGCGACGCCCTCGTCGTCCCCTCCACGCACATCAGCAGCACCGTCGTCCTTGACCGAACCCTTCGACGTCTTGAAGTCCACTACATCTTGCTCAATCCCTAGGTCATGTTGGTTGATCGGATACAGCCGGACAAACTTGTGGCTCTCGCTGACCACGTAGAAAGGCCTCCCAGCCGCTTTCGCCAGCATGCCGATCTGGTACGTCCCCATTCTGCTGACGATGCCGCCGTTCTCCACCACACCCTCTGCGCCCACGAAGCACTGCGTGACCTGGTCGATACAGTATGCCACAGCTGTCGATGGGATAGTAGCCACAGGGATGTCCCGCTCCCGCAAAGCAGCAATGTTCGCCGTGCTCTCGTCCTCCTCCGCCGTTTTGTTCGGTGAGATCACGTAGATGACTTTGAACCGTATGCTTCCGCGATTGTTACTCGATTCCGCAGCGCTTCTTAGCAACGACCCCACTACTCTTGACCCTCCATTCGTGAGCACCACGTCTCCGTCACGAATGAAGTGCCGACCGAAGCCCGCAATAGTCTCCCTGGCCGCCTTCGCTCGCTCGACAAACAGCTTCCCATTCTGTACAAGGTGCGTCCGTATCTGGTCGAAGTCTCCTCTGTCGCTGGGTCGTTGGAGGTTCGATATGAGGTACTGCTGAAACAGGTCCGTGCCGGCCGAGAGGGAGATGGAGTTCGGTATCCTTTGTTTCAGTTGCGCTGTGAGCTTCTGTACCAGATCGAGGGTCTCGGAGACGGTACTAGCGGGTGTGTTGGCGAGTCCTTCGATCAATGCCTCAATGGCAGCTACGGGCATGGTGAGTTCTTCATCTTCGGCGAGGAGGCGGCGGTAGGTTTGGACGATGTTGAAGTCGCTGGGTGTTCCTGAGGATCTTGCCATTGTGTTTGGCGATTGGGAGGGTTGTTACATTGTTCCGTGGTCAACTCGAGGTCGAGTCATTCTTCACATGCTGTCCAACAGTGTACATTGCCGAACTGTTTCTCCGGCGCCGATAAATTCTCTCGGACGAGTCCGCGGACTTCTTCTGCTGACATTCGATTCGGACTCGTAATCTGGGAGCGACAGCAGCTGAACATTGGTCTTGCAGGGTGGGTCCTCTGAATGATCAAACGGCACCTGCAAGGTGAATTGCTCTCCGGCTTGTGGACCGCCAGCACTCGACAGACTGATCGCGATTGTGCGGTCCCGTATCGGCCGGGAGGTAGTATGCCCCGACAACACCGTTCCTAAGTCCATTACGATGCGGTACATATAACAAGCACTTCCCTCTTCTCTCCAGCCTCAAGACTTCATTTCGTACTCTATCGAAAGCAAGAACGTTCAACCCATCAATCAAGTCTTTCTTCCCACAACCCTATACCTTACATCAGAGACAACACCATGGCCGTCAACAACCGCATCGTCTTCATCACGGGAGCCAATACTGGCCTTGGTTATGAAGCCGTCAAAGCGCTCTACACTTCTTCAAACACCTACACCATCCTCCTCGGCACCCGAGGCCTCTCAAAGGGCGAGGCAGCAATCGCCACCCTCAAGCAACAGAACTCCTCCAGCCAAAGCACCATCACCCCAATCCAGATCGACGTCGAATCCGACTCCTCTATCGAAGCAGCCTTCTCCACCATCTCCAAAGACCACGGCCGCGTCGACACCTTGATCAACAACGCAGGCGCCGGCTTCGACCGCTCCATCCAGACCGGCGAGCTATCCATCCGCGACGCCTGGCAGAAATCCTGGAACGTGAATGTAGCCGGCACCCAAGTCCTGACCACCACTTTCATCCCTCTCCTCCTCAAGTCTAGCAGCCCACAGCTCATGTTCGTCACCAGTGGCACGTCTGCGTTGAGCGAGTCGGGGAGAATGGATTATCCGCCGCTGGCGAGAATTAATGCTAGCCCTGCTGCCGGCTGGCCGAAGCAGGAACAGATGAATCCGATCACCTGCTACCGCAGCACCAAGACGGGCTTGAATATGCTGATGCGTGAGTGGACGAAGATTTTGAAGGAGGATGGGGTTAAGGTCTGGGCTATCAGTCCTGGATTTCTGGCAACGGGATTGGGAGGAGTTGGGCAGGAGCAGCTCAAGAAAGTGAGGCTTCGAACATGAATTGCAACGACTTGAAAGCTGACGCGTGTGCAGATGGGAGCAAGGGACCCGTCTGAAGGGGGCCAGTTCATAAAAGATGTGGTGGAGGGCAAGAGAGATGAAGACGAAGGCAAGGTGATTCGGGCGACCATGATTCAGCCGTATTAGGACCAGAACGGTGCATGCGGTTTTTAGAGTATTTGAAAATTGGGCCAATGCGTGCAAAGTGGTAATGGGGTACGTAGCTTCTTATGTAGCAGCATGCAAGAAACCTCTTCCCACCGCTCGACTGTAGCAGCATTAGTATCCGCGCGTCCACCTCATTTTCAGCAGGTTTGAGGCGTTGAATTCTCACGCCTCGGTTCCGTGCGTGCTGAGAATGATGTGTACCTCCGCCATCCGCCAAGGACTAACAGCATCATATCCCTCTACTGCCTCTGGTACGTGACCTTGACAGCCTTGCCCTGCAACTCCAGACCCGCAGACTTCTCCTTCGCCGCAACAGCAGCCCCTTCATCCTCATACTCCACGAACGCAATCGTCGGCCGAAACGGCACCATACGCGCCTCCTTGAACCCAGGGAACTGGCTGAAGTGCTGGGCGATACTATCCTTCCCAAAGTCTTCAGGCAGATTCTGCAAGAACAGGATCTTGTTCGGCGGTAGGTAGTCGTCGGGCAACTGGCCAGGGGCGGCTTTGGCTGACTTGGCGGGACGTTCGGCGAGGTTCTCGGGGGCGGAGCGTTTGGCGGCGTTTTGCTTCTTGTCTGCTTCTTCGAGGGCTTGTTTGCGCTCTGTTTGAGGCGTCAGTATATGAGTCTGGCGCCCTTTTGTAGGTAGAACACACCCTTCTCCGCCAATCGCTTCTTCTTGTGCTCTTCCAGCCCCGTCTCTCCATCCTCTCTCAACACTGTTGCATCCGACCTGGTCTTGGCGAAAGCCAACGTCATGGGCTCGCCGAACAAGTCGAAACCCTGCAGCTCGTCGATCGCAGTCTCCGCTTGTTCACGCGATGCCATCACCACAAAGGCCTGACCGCGCGCCTTGATGTTCTTCTTCGCGATGACATCCACGACATCCCCGACTGCTTCGAAGACCTCTTTGATTCCATCGATGAGGGCGGGGATCTTGATCTTCTCGTCGATGCCTTTGATCTATATCTATGCTATCAGTATGGCGCTCACGTCAGTTGGTTGTGGCACTCATCAGCGTACGTAGATGCTGTGTCCATAGTTAGCATTCACATGGCGGCCTTACGCTTGTTCGTACGGAGTGCAATGTACGAACGTTGCGTTTGGCGGCTCGTCGCCGTCGGAGGACGACATCTTGCCGCCTCAAGATGATGTCTTGATGTGTGTCTGCTTAATATCGTGGTGTGCTATGTACTTCAAGCTTGTGGAAGACCAAAGGTGGTGAAGTCGCAAAGATCTATCCTTAGAAACTCAGATGAGACTAAGGCTCCGCTGGCGGCGGGAGCTGCCTTGAAAGAAAGCTTGAATCTGCTGATCAGCGGTGTTCGAAGACCGGACCTTGACCTCGACTGCTTGACGAACAGCTACGATTGAACCAATTCGACAATGCGCGGACCTTCGACTGCGGCACTGCTCGTGCTCGCGAGCATATGCTACGACACGACCTTCTGTTTGGCGCAACAGGACCCATTGAAGGAGCAAAAGTCCAAGGACAAATACAAGGCAGCATGCCCGGCTTATGAGCACTATGCTCGCACTGCACAGTAGGTCACTCTTTTCGAAGTTCTAGTCGACGATTCGTACTGACAGTGTTCTAGCCCGCCATACAGCAATGGCCCGGGAAAGCTGCCCTTCCAGCGACCATCGGAGCATTGCAGGACATTCGAGTCGGACCTGGTAGAGAAGACGATCCGGGACCTGAACGCAAGCATGCTGGACCGTGACCTTGCAAGGATCTTTGAGAACGCTTTCCCGAACACACTGGATACGACGGTACGGTGGCATGTCGACGGCAAAGAAAAGCAAAAGAAAGCCCACATCTTCAGCACGGACGACGAAGACGCCTGGCAGGGGGCGCAGAGCTTCATAGTGACAGGCGATATCAACGCAGAATGGTTGCGGGATAGTACCAATCAACTCGCGCAGTATCAGCGGCTGGCCAAGCACGACAAGAGCATCTTCAATCTGATCCTAGGAGCGATTGGGACGCAGGCGGAGTATGTTATCGATTCTCCTTACTGCAATGCTTTCCAGCCACCACCGCCGAGCAAGCTCCGGCCCAGCGACAACGGGCAGGGCGACTACGTGCATCCGGCATACGAGCCGAACTCCGTCTTTGAATGCAAATACGAACTTGATAGTCTGGCTCACTTCCTCTCGCTGGGAAACCAGTTCCACGCTCATACTGGATCAACGGCCTTTCTGACACCGCGCTGGTACAAAGCTTTGGACAGTCTTCTGAAGGTTCTTGATGAACAGAGCAGCTCCACGTTCCATCACAAGGGCGGTTGGCTTCAGCGAAATGAATATCGATTTCAGCGGACCACTGTTACTGGCACCGAGACGCTCAACTTGGCGGGTATTGGCAACCCGCTGAACTACGGCACTGGTCTTGTCAGGTCTGCTTTCAGACCGAGCGACGATGCGACGATTCTTGGCTTCTTCATCCCAGCCAACGCCATGATTGCTGTTGAGCTCAAGCGGGCAGGTGAGATTGTGTCTTCAGCAGGCTCTTCCGGTATTGGCAAGGACTTGAAGGCCCGTGGCGAGACTATCGAGAAGGGCATCTGGGAGCATGCTGTCGTCGACCACAAGAAGTGGGGAACGGTGTTCGCTTTCGAAGTTGATGGCTATGGCTCCACTATCCTGATGGACGACGCTAATCTGCCTTCGCTCCTCGCATTGCCTCTCCTCGGTTTTGTGGACAAGAACGACGAGACGTACCAGAACACGCGCAAAATGATCTTGAGCAAAGAAGGCAACCCATACTTCTTGACCGGCCGCGTCTTCCAAGGTATTGGAGGACCGCACGTCGGCTTGCAGCATGCTTGGCCGATGTCTTTGCTTGTCCAAGCAATGACGAGCGACGATGACGAGGAGATTAAGTCACTTCTAGCATACGTCAAAGAGGCTTCGCCGCTCGGCCTCGTTCATGAAAGTGTGAACGTGGAGAGGCTGAAAGACTACACGCGCAGTTGGTTTGCGTGGGCCAATTCTGTCTTTGCCCAGACAATCATCGACCTCGCCGAGAGAAAGCCGCACCTTCTCTTCGGAGCTGGAAAAGACAAGTATCTCGTTGGTGGATGAAGCTTTTATGCTGCTCTCGATCTGTTATCTGAGTAGCCGCGACGCATCGCCAAACCGCATTATCTGTCCTTCCTCCACGGCATTCTCGGCTTCCCACCGATGAACAGGAAACACAGCACCGCAGTGATCCCGCATATCACCGCAAGGACGATGTTCATGTTGCCGTACCCGATCCGCTCCTTAAGCTCCCCGGCCAGCTCAGGACCGATCGTCAGGCCGAGGTTAAACATCATGCTGTTCAGGCCGTACAGCTGCGCGTAAGGCCCGCTCTGACCGAAAAAGTCCTTGTTGTGCTCGTGGAACTTCTCGACGACGGAACCTGCCTCCACAATGCCTGGCGCGCCGGTCCCCGAGAGTCCGATGCCGAGCAGACCGAGCAGGCCGCCGTAAAGCAGGATTTGATGGAGTCCACCCTCGTGCGGTAGGCGGAGCAGGACGAGTACCGGAACGAGGTAGATGAAGGTGATGACGCTGACCCATTTGGTCCCACTGCGGTCCACGATCCAGCCGGCGAGAGGACTGCCAATCAAATCCACCAGGCCGAGTGGCAGGAACATCAATCCCGCTTTCAAAGAATCAAAGCCGAAAAGCTCTCGCGAATGGGTCGTGACAGTCGCGTCGCAGCTCCCAAGCAGCATGGCTTGGATCAATGCGAGCCAGAGAGACGTGAGGAGAGCTGGGTTGGCGAGACATGGTATGATCGGGGCGACGCGGGCGATCCTGGATTTTTCCGCAGGTAGTCGGTACAACTCAGCTTCTTCCGCCTTGTTCTTCTGCAGTAGTGGCTGCTGCTCTCCATCCTCCTCAGTCCCATTCTGCTGTTCTGTATCATCATCATCATCGTCCGGCGTAGTCCCAGGCGTCCACTCGCTCGTTGGGTCCTGCGTCTCGTACCTGTACGCCACTTTCTTCTCGATGACCAGACTTCTCAACAAGAAGTCCACCATCAGCACCGCGAGGCTGACTCCTAATACGCCGAGATAGCCTGCCTTTTCCCATAGCAGACCTCCAATCATCGGGGCCCATATCGCTCCGGCTGAGAGGAAACTGAAGAGCGTACCGACCGTCTTGCCCAAATTCGCAGGGCCGACAGTTTCAATGCAAAGCGCCAGTCCAATAGTCCATACGACTCCAGAACTGACACCCTGCAGCACCCTCGCGATCACGAGTACCGGTACCGTCTCCCCAAGGAAAAGCAGGATAGTAGCGCCCAGCAGTACAGCCAAACCAAGCAGGAAAGGCGACTGCCGCGTCGAGACCTTATCAGCCAGAACTCCAGCTACCGGAGACGAGCAAACGGACGCTCCGGCGTAGGCGGCGAGGAGACCGGAAGTGTAGCTTTGGACCTGATCCGGTGGGACGCCGACCCTCGACTCAAGCAGAAAGGGCAGGATGGGAACCAGAAGGCCGTAGAGGAAGAGGTCGGTGAAGAGGGCTATGCCGATGGTGAGGAGGATCTGTTCAAACGTGTTAGTATTTATCTAGACTTGGATGATGTTCTGTGTTTGTGGACTTACGAAGATGGTATTACTTCGCCATTTCAAACCAAGTGGCGGCTGGGTGTAGTAGTTTGTGATCTGGAGAGTGTTGAAGCACTTCTGCCATACCGTCAACTCGCCCATCTTCGCAGCCTTGACAGGGCCTGCGGATATACAGTTGCTGCTCCTGAAGCCACTTGTTTGAAAGAGGTGGAGATGTGATGTGAATATTTCGCAAGTCACCAAAACTTAGATTTGACGCCTTTGATTGCGGGCGTGGTCGTTCCTGCACTGTAGACGTCACTGAATCTGCGGGCACTCCTCTCCAAAACTTAATTCCTCTTCCTCATGTTCAACTTACGATGATTACTTAATAAATTAATACTACAAGCCGAAACATGAAGAGCAAAATAGTTCATCTGTACAAGAAGTGGCTGGTAACGAGTCCCAGTTGTTGGACTCATTTCGGAGGACAGTATCAATCGAAGCCTGTCGAAGCTAATTTACAGAAACAGGGTGCGGACGAAGGCTGAAAGGCTGCATAGAAAATGAATGCCTCTGAGCGAGTCGATGGTACTTTCCTCATTTCACTCCCATCATTAGAAGGTGTCAACCTGGCCCGATACATCAAAGCGACATGCCCAATAACCTTGCTTCGAGCTGGTCTAGAACAGTGCATCGTGGCATTGCGTGGTCTCGGTTATTGCGAAGCTATGTGAAGCGTTCGAACAGGCAGAGCAAGACGCTTGCAGTCATTCTAGCAGGTTTGGATCCTGAGCACCAGGTTAGTGGCTGCTACAACGATGGCGTGGCCTGGTGGCACGTACCATCGCCCGCAACTTCGCTGTCCTCAGCAGCAAAGCAAGACGGCCGTATCTTCTCGCGTCTCCTTCCAAAATCATGACAGCTGCGACGCAAACCAGCTTTATGCCTCCCCCTCAAGCTCCAGCAACTGATCCAGGTTCACCCATTTCCTCAGCCTGTACCCATCGCTGTACTGGATAGCATCTCTGCGCAAACCAAGGCTGCTGAAATCCCCCTCCAGCGAACGAAGGCTCTTGATGGCGTGCTGGCGGGTGTGCTCGTGCACGGGATTAATGTGCACCATTCGCAAAGCGCGCATTTTCTGCCGATTCAAAGTCTTTAGATACCTTCGCAGCATGACTACGCTGTTGGCCTCGAAGACATTCGCACCGTAGAAGACCGGGAGAGCCTCATCTCGGACTTGCCGGCTGACGCGGAGGAGTGAGAGCTCACCGGGGTGTGGTTTGTAGACCTGGAGAAGAATGGGGTGGTCCGTAAGGAGATTGTAGCTGTAGATTTCGTTTCTGAGTTCTGGTGGCAAGCTCAAGAATGTCGTGGGGCCTTCTGCCTGCAGGGCGTCGTGTCCAGCAAGAGGTGCTTCATCGTCTGGAGGAATTGACACTGCTTCCAAGTCTGTAGTTGCCTTCGCAGTGGCTTTGGCAGGCTTGCGTTTCTTCGGGATTTGTTTGTTGACAGCTCCAGCCTTCCGCTTGACGCCCGCCTTGGAGGGTGCTTTGACTGGGGGTGCTGCCTTAGCAGGACTGCTTTGGGGCGTGACAGTCTGTGTAGATGCGGCTGCTTGGTCATCTGCAAGTGTCGTCCTCCTCGCAGGGAGCGAATTGGTCTTTGTGCGCGTTGACTGGCGGTGGAGTCAGTCGTTGTGATTATGCGGTCAATGAACGTGAAGCATACCACCATCGTGTACAGACTCAATGGATCATGGAATCAGGTAGACGAGTGTATCGCTGAGCGCATCACGATGGAAGACTAATGGGTGTAAAGGTGCCCGTTAGTGAAGTTGATGCAAAGTCGAAGATCCAGCAGGCAGTCGCGCTGGCTTCACCCCGCCATTGCGAACCACACCTCAGTCCGCCAAAAACCACAGTCTATCACATCAAGGGGTACAGTTGGCAATGTTGATTTTAACACAGATCGTGGTTATCTGAAGTTTGGCTAGCTTTTAAGCTTCATCTGGAAAAACCGATCAAGAACGTTCCCAGGAGCGAGGCGTTGGAAGTAATGGCTACATGTAGGCTTATAGGCGGCGGACATGAGCCTTCAGTAATTGCATTCGGCGCCTGACCGTTCTGGAAATGGACACACGTATTGCTGGTGAGGGAAGCGTGGAATGGAGCAGGCCGGATGGCACTTCTGATCATTTCGCCATGTGTTCGTAGTAGAGTAATTTACCCAACGCCAAGTAGGCTCTCCATCCTTTCGCAGACGCACACTCCTTCGCGGCTTGGAAGGCTTTCCGATCTAGTCGCTATGGTCAGCCATCCCAGCGTTGATCGAAGCCTCACGGTAATCAGATTTTGTCCCCACCTAGGTCTTTACCTCGCCTGGTCGCCCGGACTGGCAGAACGATACCTTCTGTAGGAAGATTTGCGAGAGGCTGCCAGAGGTCGCCCAACTCGCTTTGTGAGAAGGCGGTTGAGCCATCACAGGTGTCGCTCAGACAGTCCGCTGCTGCTTTTGATCAGATCGTAAAGCTGGGCAGGGCGGAACGGCAGCTTAGTCCTCCTCACTTTCTTCCTCGCCTTCCTCATTGTCCTGGTTGACCCTGTAGTTCCCCGTCCTCTGCTGGCTCCTGGCTTGCTCTCTCGGCGCTGTAATGGCAGGACGAGGCTGCTGTCCCCTTGATGACAGCGCACGTTGATCATGCCGTGTTGAAGGCTGGCGCGATCGGCCTTGGTGTGCACCCCGCGCAGAAGATAGATCTGCTGCGTGATTCACGTCTGCGGCGGTCTGTCTTCCTCCAGCAGGATTTCGGTTTGGCGGGTTATACCTGCGATTCTCTTTGGAGACATCCTCATCACTGGCCTCCTCTTCATCATCTTCGCCACTATCAGCTTGTCGGCCCTTACCATTGCCAGTATTTTCTGACGCAACGATCCTTGTCTCGTGACTCATGAGCTTCTCCAAAGCCTCTCGAGTTGCCGAGCCTCGTGAAGCTGTTCTTCCAGACTGGTACACCTGATACAGTTCCCCGTCCATGGCGCGATATTGGAACAGTTCGCCAGATTTTGCGTCTCGGTACCATCGCTCAAGGGCTGTATCCATCTTTTCGATATAATCACTGCCCTCCGTAGAACTGGCATTTCTGGCATTGTGCCGGTCCGGTTGTCCGCTGGAGGAGCCGGGGACTTGTTGGTCAGACATGGTGGAATGGTCCCGGCTACGGTGCCGGCTGTCTTGAGGTGGTTGATCGCTGGTGGTTGCATCACTTAGAACCAGCTCTTCCGGCGGGGAGATATTGATCAGTTCACGCGTGACATCATTGGCATATTTTCTGCTGATCGCTTCCGCCAGTCGGGCGCGAGCACTCTCGCGGCTTTCCCCTAAGATCAAGGGCATGAAAACCCCGAAGAGACCGAGCATGCTGTAGGTCTCGTCTTCAGGCTCCTTGGTCTTTCGATACCTAGCCCAAGACATCACTTCGCGAACGGGATGTCTTTTGATCGCTGAAATGTCGTGTAAAACATCCAGAGGTACGTGTGTGATGCTTGAGACTGCCTGATTCAACGGTGATTTTCGGTATGTATCCGCTTCGGCAGGATCGAGGGACAACGTCCCACTCTTGTGGCCGATGACAGACAACTTCGGTTCAGAAAGACTACACTCTTGGGAGCAACAAGCTCTTGCAGAGTCCACCCACGTTTGAACCACACGCTTCTAGCAAACTCTGAGTCGACCTCTGTAGAGAGAGATTCGACATCTCTCAAGTAGGCAAAGCATTCAACTGCATTGCGATACCACCGGAACATGGAGTTGATAGCTTTGGCCACCTCGGCTGTGTCTCTCTTGTCGATGCAACAGCTATCTAACCACAGCCATTCGGTGTCAGGCCGAACCTTGCGGATGAAGTCGCAGAATCCTTTCACTTTCATATAGCCTTCGCTCGTCCATATCTTGTGGCTTTTGAAGTTTTCAAACGTTGCCTCGTTGTCACCCCATCGATGTGACACGATGATGTAGGGCGGGGTGTCTTCGGTCGTGAACGTCGCGAACTGAAGCGTTCGCACGTTGAGGAGGCGCATGGTGTATAGATCTGGTATCGCAGCAGCACGACTGAGATCTCGTGCTGGGAACTGTCGCTATCGAGATATACGGGTCATAGTAGGATTGAAGTGGTTTTTGGTGGTTCGACAATGGCAGTGCAAGAAACAGCGTCTTGAGGCATTTCAGTGCGGCACGAGAAGGCTGAGCTCTCGGACTTCAGCTGCGCTCGTGATCATACCACAGCCTTGTAGCCTTGCTCTTCATGCATAAACCCCGCTGTGGCGGATACTGACCAATGGATCAGGAAGCACAAGCACAAGTTCGGCGGCGAATTTGATGTGGCTTCTGGGAGATGAGATGAGATGGCTGTAAGGCATCTTCTTAGAGCGATTGGAATGCGTCAAGGGCGAAGCGAAGGATACAGCCTCCGACCGGGCTACTTCTTCGACTTTGAGCCTCCCTTCAACCTCTTCACAAGCCCCTCTAGCTCTCCCTTCCCACCAGCACCCTTAGCCGTCTTCTTCTTGTCACGAGGCTCGCCAACCTCATCATCTTCATCAACCTCCCGCAACTTCCTCTTCTTCCTGCCCTCCTCCAGTAGCTTCGACATCCCTTCCGTCTTCTTGAACTTCGGATTCGTCGGATCAATAGCATACTCGTGACTCTCAAACAATGCCTTGAATCGTGGGTCTTCCGTCTCCATCGTGAAGCCATCCTCGTTCTGCTCAACAATCCTCTTTTTGCTTTTCTTATCCTTCTTCTTACCTTTCCTCCGAGCCTCCTTCTCTGCCTTCTCGATCTCGCGCATGTCAAAGTGCTTCGTGCTGTCGCCTTGGTCTTCCACCATGAGCAGCTCGAGCTCTGCACGCCGTGAAGCTGCTTCTTCGTCCTGCGCGGCTTGAGCTGCAAGTTTCTGCTTGCGAGCATCCTTCTTCGCTTTCTTCTCCGCAGCAGCGGCAGCTGTGGGGTCAGTAAAGAATGGGTCATCGAAACCTTGGTCATCAATCGCAGCATCTTCCTCTTGATCATCCTCCTCTGCTGCCTCAGCAGGTCTCGAAGCCTTCATCTTCTCCTTCCGCTTTTGCTTCCTCTCACGCTCTTTGCGAATGTACCGATCTCTCGTGCTTTCCTCATCCTGCGGCTCGTTCTCGAACACGCTCTTCTCACCTGCACCGCTTCCGCCAAGACCCGAAGTGAAAGTGATCTGCATGTCTCCGACTACCTCGTCGCCCTTCTTCTTCGTTGCTCCGTCGGCCTTGTGCGATTCCGCTGCCAGTCCGAGCGCAGCTCTCATCTTTGCTCTCTCAGCCTCCCGCTTCTTTGCTTTTCGATCTTCAGCTGTGGACTTTCGGGAAGCCGTGCTCTCAGCATCACTGGAGTCACTACCAATGTATGCCTGAAGATCATTTTCATCCATCTCAGCTCGCGAGAAGGCCCGCTTCTGCACTTCCTTCCTTGTCGGATCATCGTCGTCCCAGGTTAATCGTACGTTGGAATGCGTCAGTGCCTCTGTGCGGAAGTCGTTGGGCCTGTAGCCGTCTGGCAGCTTCGTGCACTCATCTCGAGGCTTATCGTCATCAAACGAGGTCTCGTCAGGAATGAAGCGGAGGTCAAAGAAGTTTGCACTGGTAAGGTACTCGCGACCATCCATGGAGTCGTAGATAGCCTTGGCGGTTGTCTTGTTCGAGCAAGTCAAGACGGCATAGTGATACCGCAACCGTTCAAGCTGATATTGCCGAAGCTTCGCAGTGTCGAATTCATCACCTTCGTTGACCTGGTCTTGTTGTAGCTGTCGTTCGATCTTCGTATCTCCCTCTTCGTCGTCTTCCTCGTCGCTGCCTGATTCATCATCCTCCGCATGTCGCTTAGAGCTGGCGAAGATCTCTCTCGGTGGTCCCTCTAGCTCCTCGCGCTGCATGCGCTCTTGTCCGAACTCGCTTGGGTATACTCTCACACTCTCGATCCGTCCGTCAACTGGCACAAAGCTGGAGGCAACTGCCATAATATCTGAGGCTCTGAGATTGTCCCAGTCCAGATTGACAGCTGCGATTCTTCTCGACACCTCGCCCATTGGGATGCTCTCCGTCTGCTCCTGGCCGGCAGTCTCCTCCGCAAGCTCTGCTTCATCTTCGCTCTCCTCGTCCGATGCGCTCTCTTCTTCAGACTCTGACTCTGACTCAGAGAAGCCACCCTCTCTGGCCGGATCCCGCTTCTTCACCGCCGCCTCGGCTTCCGAGTCCTCGTCGTCTTCGCTGTCTTCTTCTGAGCTACCAACCACTTCCCTTCCAAACCTCTGCTTTGACTTGGACTTTCCGTCGTCCTTCTCTACCCTGTACAGCCTTTCCAGTTTCTGCTTCCCGCTTTTCGGGTCAACCTTGCGTCCATATCGATCGACAGTGGCCTTCTGGCGGAAGTCTCGGTCCTTGAATATGCGCTTGAAGCGTGGATCGACTGCTGTACGACCTTCTTTGCGATTCGGTAATCGATATCGTGGGTCAGTCGACAGAGCGTCGAAGCGTGAGTCAGCCATGTTGCCAGATCGCAAATTTGTGAGCATGTGAAGTTCTGCAGCTTCTTCTTTGGGAATTATGGCTCGGAAGTGCTTTTTGCCCCGCAAAGTTTTTCACCGCCCGCGGCTCCGTTCCGCTACTTATTTCACGAGGACAACCATTCACTGCAGTCAATCTACCTCTGCGGCCACTTGGATCAAGTAACCATGCGACATGGCGAACTTCCGAAGAGAGTCTTGAGTCTCTAATCTGGCTCACAATGGTCCGCGTAAAGCATCGTTACCTGCTCGTCAACATTCTATACCCAGACGACAATACATCCTCAGGCGCAACGACATCAAAGGGCCAGAAAGATGTACCGTACGCCGTTCAGTTCCACAAACCAACGTCAGACCGAGTCGATACTAGAATGTTCATGCAGATGATCCGAAATGGTGTTGCGGACCTCTTTGGAGACTACGGATCAGGCATGACTGCTGCCAGTCTTCAAGGTACCCCCGATTAATACACCGACTCACGTACCACATACTGATTGAGCCTCACATAGTCAAGTACTTCTCGCCCGCAACAAGTACCGCCATCATCCGAGTGGCAAGGGACCATTACCGTCTGGTCTGGGCAGCACTAACGTTTACGACGCAACTGCCCAAGCCTGTCAACCAACCCTGCTCCATCCAGGTCGTGAGAGTGTCTGGGACTATCAAGAAAGCCGAGGAAGAAGCTATTCGCAGAGCTCAGGCTAGTATTCGCAGAGCCCAACGAAGCGATAGCTCGAAGCCTTTGAACTCTGCTTCTGGGGCCCCTGCCACGCCTGGAGAGATGCTGGATTCTATGGGTCTTGACGACGACCGATTTGCCGACGGCATTGAGGATGCAGATGAAGGCAGCGATGAGGACGACAGCGGATGAGGCAATGACTTCGTGAAACACTGGTGCCAAGTATCTGACATGAACGCCAAGCGAAGGATTCTCCTGTTGCCTGGGTGATTCCAGGCCTCAGTCTCACTCTGGGCGGGCGGGACGACGGCTTTAAGAACACCATCGTCGCCGTTGAGGGCCTCTCCGATCGAAGACTCACGATACTATTCGAGCCAAGCCTGAACATTCAGAAGCATGGCAACAGAAGCACATACACCACCCAACCCGGCCATCTGCGGACAAGACCTGACCTCCCGTGTCGCTATCATCACTGGAGCGTCCAGAGGCTTGGGACGCACCATCGCCTTCAAACTGGCGAGTCGTGGGTGCTCTATCTTGGGCACCTGCTCCAGCAGAGAAACTCTCCACCATCTGGACACTTTGGCGGACGAAATTGCTGCCTCGCACCAAAGCTCTTCGTCCACCACACCCCCGCCCAAGGTGGTAGGCATAGTTGGAGACGTCTACTCTCCCACCTGCGCTGAGCATATTGCGGACGCCCTTGAGAAGCACTTTAGCAGCGGAGTCGACATCTTCATTAGCAACGCTGCGCCAAGATCGATGGCCAGAGTTGGTGCGCTGAACGCCGAGCACATACAGACCTTCAACACTGGTATCATCCAGACGCCTGCGCTGATTGTTGATGAGCTGGTGAAGCGCAAGATGTTCAAGAGGAACTCCAGGATTCTGCATATTTCTTCCGTGAGGTCGAAGAAGGTTGATTTCAGGACGTAAGTTCCAATCTCCAAAAGGTGCGACATCCCATGGCTTAAGCTAACAATAGAGCAGTCCGATGTACTGCGCAACTAAAGCCGCCACAGAAGCACTCGTCCGATGCTGGGCCGATGCCTTTGGCGGCAAGAACCCGGAGTTCGAGTTCATGGCCGGAACAACAGCCAACACAGTGTTGGTTGGCTTGACTCGCACAGAGCCGGTCAAGGAACTACCTCAACATCTGCTTGATTGGGTCTTGAAAGAATGGGAGCCCTTATGGTCGATGCCGAAGATGGCGGAGCCGGAAGATGTGGCGGACATTGTGGGCTTGCTGTGTAGCCACGAAGCCAGATGGATTACGGGAAGCGTCGTCTCTGCCGATGGTGGAGGGATGAAGATACTGTGATTGACGGGATAGTACTTAGTATCTACATCTCGCTCACCATCTTGCCCATCAAAAGCGCATCGCACTTCTCCCCCTTCCCCACCACCCCATCCTTCATCGGCAAGCACAACAGCGCATTCGCACCCTTGAAACTCCCGATCGCCGAGCTGCGCTGAAAACCCGTGCTTGCCGCCCAAAGCTGCCCGTCCGCTTTTGCCTTGACCATTACACGATGATACTCCGCCCTCTTCCCATCACACCGCACATCCTCCTCCAACACCACCTTGGCATTCGGCAAGCCCACGGGACTGATCCCGCTCATTCGATGCAGCGCCGGCAGAACAAAGAGATGGTACGTCACCACCGCGCTCGCCGGATTTCCAGGCAAGGAGAAGACTACTCGCTTCTCTCGCTCACCGGTTGAGGAGGGCTTGAAGGGTACAGTGGCGAAAGTGGTAGGCTTGCCAGGTTTCATCGATACACGGCCGAAGTGGATCGTGCCGCCCAGCGAGCGTTCGAGGGTGGGCTTGAGGAGGTCGAGTTCGCCCATCGAGACGCCGCCGGTTGTTATGAGGACGTCGCAGGTGCGGAGAGCGGTGCGGAGGGTGGATTCTAGAGCGCCTGGTCTGGGGTAGGTGTAAGCAGGGTGACCAAAGGGCGGAATGGGGATAAACTTACTTGTCTGAAGCAATTCCGAGATTGATAGCCTCGAAGCCAGAGCCACGAATCGCAGTGAGCAGGGTCGGACGATTAGTATCTCTCACTTCACCTAAGCGCAGGTCGCCGTCTCGATCATGAGGTACGATCTCGTCGCCCGTGCTCAAGACGCCCACGACAGGTTTCTTGTAGACGGTAACCTCCTGCGTTCCTACTGAAGCCAACAAGCCGAACTCGCCGCCTATCGCTGTGATGCCCTCACCTTGCTTCATGATCGTGGTGCCTGATTTGACATCGCTGCCGACTTCTCGAACGTTCTCGCCAGGTTTAATGTCGTCGGTCAGGATCTCGACCTCTTTCTCCTCTTGGCCATCGTCGGTCTTGGAGCGGAGGACGGTGTCTTCGACCATAACGACTGACGTAGCTCTGGGCGGTAGAGGTGCGCCTGTAGTGATGCGAGCGATCTCTCCTGATTTCAGCTCCGGTACCTCGCCTGGCTGTGCGTGCGAAATGCTTGTGACCGGGAATATGCCTTTTGTTCTCGGTACTAGGACGTGACTCGAAGCAATGACCGCGTAGCCGTCGACTATGCTTGCTCTGAAGGCTGGCACTGCTTCTCGGGCGACAACGTCTTCTGCCAATACAGAGCCAACGAGATCCTCGTTGACCTTGTGCTTGACTATCTGCGGGACAGGAACGTTGTCTGCGATCTGCTTCAGGGCATCGTCGACCGAGAGCATTGGGTATGGCGACTCTCGATATCGCCTCGATGGCCCGGCATTGGGGTCGTTGGAGACTGCTGGCCGATCGCTAGGCGCGGTGTGAGCTTTTGGTCCGTGGTGCCCGTGTCCGTGGCTATGTCCATGTCCGTGGCTGGGAGAATGATTATGACTATGCTGGTGGCCGGCTGACTTTGGTTTGTTACCTGGGACGCCGGCCTCTCGCTCTAGCTTCTGCACACCACCAGCGTGGAGCGATCTGGAGTCCGCGCCGGCAGCCTGCTGACAAGCATGTGGTAACTGCTTGATGATAGAGGCCAGATTCTCCTTTGCGCCTTTTGGTGAGCCAGGTAGGGTAACGATCAAGGTATTCTTGCGGACTCCGGCTACAGGACGAGACATGATGGCGACTGAAGAGTATGAGCGTAACCCCATTTAGGTGAATACAGTGATTCTTACACGATGTGACTGCTAAAGATGCTGCGAGCATACCGTGCCTTGTTCTCATGAGCACGAAGTAATGAAGAAGGAAGGGAGAGACTCGTACTCACACCAATCCAGGAGCATGCTTCTGTATCAGCGGCGTTACTGCCTACCTTTCATCAGTGACCGTGGTCGCTACTAAGATTCAAATAAGATATACGTACCTCAGGCGTAACATCCTTCCTCGCGAACCCAGTGCCGCCGCTGGTGATAACAAGGTTGGCATACTGCTCGCCATCGGTTCGCTCGGTAATTGCTCGTTGGATCTCTAAGACGTCGTCGGGCACTATGACAGTGTCGCTGGTGTCAAAGCGGCCACTGGCTTCAGATTCAAAGGTCTCGCGGAGACCCGGTATACACTTGTCTGTAGAAGGGTCGTTACTGGCAGTCTCGGAGATGACAATGATCGAGGCTCTTAGTTTAGGAGGTTCAGACATGGCTTTGTGCTTACAACCGGTCAGACAAGTAGAAGCCTTTTGAAGACTTCGAAAGATGAAGTCGACGTCCAGGCCTTGGCGACTACCAGATTGAGAAGGCATGAACATGGAAGAAGTGAATACAACCACACATTTGTCCAACGTTTGATGCTTCAAATCCTACATACAGTACATATACACATCTCAAGAGCCCGCTACGTGCTTCTAATGCTCCGCACACTCCACCAAACGCCTCCGTGTGGCGACCTCCCCGTCCAGACCACACCTCGATCTCTTCATCCGTCTTCTCCTCATCATGAGCTTGAGAACTCCCCTGCAGCTCCGCTCAACAGCAGTCCGATGATGAGTCCGAAGAGTCCAAGTACCGACGAAAAGATCTCAATGACCAGGATCTTCACGAATCTACGGCATGTCAGCACTGTCCGCACCATGACTTGTCCGTCCCATCGCTCTTTCGGTGCGAACTTACAGACTCGGATCCGCAGCGTCCGCCAATGCCGCACTACTCCCATTGATGCCCACGCTCACACCACAGATCAAATTGCACATGCCCACCAGCAGTCCTGACCAAAACAGCGCGTAGCCCACGAAGTAGTTGTCTCCGCTGTGTACCGCTTCGGTGCCGACCTGTGATATCTTGGAGGAGAAGACGATGGACATGATGACGCCGTAGATGGCAACGACTTCGCAGAAGATGATGGAGATGAGGTTCTTGGTGCGGATGCGGGGGGCTTTGACGCCGCCGCCGAGGATGGAGGTACCGGTGATGAAGATGCCCCTAGGGATGGTCAGTAGGCGACCGTAGAGGAGATGTTGGTGGTTTCTGGACTGACCATGCTGCTCCTACTACTGACAGGCCTATGCAGAGTCCGATGCCCATGTCTGCCCATGCGTAGGGGGATATCGATTCGAGGAATGCGCCGACCTATCGTGCTCTTGTCAGGGTGTTGCTTCATCGTATGTGCTGCACATGATATCCTCGTACGTTGAATGCCTCTCCCTCGCCATTGAAGAGCATATCTAGATACCTGTTAGCTGGTCGACCATGTGCGCGGTGCTGCATGCCACGTACACAGCCCAACAACGACAAGAGCGGAGGTGACTCCATAGCCACCGTATGAGTAGCCGCTCATGGCTTCAGATGTCGAGATAGAAGTGAAGAGAGCAAAGTGAATGTCGCTGCCTCCCTCTTCGTCGCATCTCAAGACGAACTGCTCTTCGAGATGTACTAGCGCATCGGAAGCGGACTCTCCCGCGCCGAGCCGCCGATCTGCCCGCAGTCCACCATATCACTTGCGCTTCAGTGACTACGACCTCTCCTCCTTCACACCACCCCCCTGCTCAGCAACACAACCGCCGTCACAGTATCATACTCTCCAGCAGCGGGAGGACAGCAGGAAGAACGCAGAGAAGATGACGGCACAGGGCCAGCACTACGAGCTGTACCGCAGTACATCGTACGCTCACTGCCTTCACAAGCAGTCATAGAACCTACTAACACCGTGCCTCTGCAGCGTTGGGATCGCGCTGGCTGACACACTCGATGACCTGATCAGCTCCCGCCGCATCGAGCCCCAGCTCGCGATGAAGATCATGGGCACCTTCGACGAAGCCATCGCGAAAGTGCTGAATGAGAAGTTGAAGGCGCGAATGTCGTTTAAGGTGCGCCTCGCTGTGGCTGCTGGAAAATCTGGAAAGTGGATAACTAACAATCTATAGGGCCACCTCGATACCTACCGCTTCTGCGACGAAGTCTGGACCTTCGTCATCAAGAACATCCACTTCAAGATGGAGAACTCGAACACCTTTGATGCCGAGAAGATCAAGATCGTTGCATGCATGGCGAAGGAGAAAGTGTAGAGCGCTTCTTCTGAGTGGGTGCAGGCGGTGGAAGCTGGACAACGGGCAGAGGACGCTCGACAGCAAGCGGAGACCGCTAGACTGGAACGTGAAAGTCAACGTGGCCTCGAGTGGTGGTACCCGGAACCGAAACGCGCACGCAAACAGCAATGCGAACGGGACTACGGACAGGAATGGCATGAGCAGGTACTGAGATCTCAAATTGATCGTGAAAGCAATGAGCAGGCGTTGGCACATCAACCATTGAAGTATGAGAAGGAGGTCAAACTGGAATCGCAGTACGAAAACGTGCCCGTCTTCAAGCTGGATACGGGCAGTGGCAATCATCAAGGCACAGGCGCCCCTCCCGGCCTGAAAAGGGAAAAGGACGTGAAAGATGAGAGTGGCGTCACCAAGCACTCGCTCTCGGACTCGTATTGGATTGAGATCAAAAAAGAGAGATAGCTTCGAGGGTGCTGCAGACGGGGGTATCGCTAAGGAGGCACATTCATTTCATAGCGTCGAGATGCCAAGCTAGAGTCAGGAACTGATACCCAGGAATCCATGACAGGAGGATATGCGTGCATTCTCGTATGGTCTGCTTCATTCCTGATTTTTCTAATACCGTCAATCGTTGTGCATGCTCCTCACAGGGGTTGCGCCGCAATCGGGCAGGCAGCAATATTCCCATCCGTCAAGCCATACGCATTCCACGCTGCGCGACAGAATTCAATGAGACCGTTGAAGTCATACCCTCGTGCATCCCGGCAGCCAGCATCATATCTTCGCCGTGTGGGCTAAGCGTCATGTTCATAGTACTGGACAGAACAAGGTAAGGAGGAACTTCGTCCACCCCCAGTAGTTCCATAGCAAAAGGCCAGGCACGATGGTAGCATCTCATCTTCCCGTATGCCCATCCGCCCCAGGTCCGGAATGATGCACTACCACCTCGTCATCAACATCCATGCGATCCCCACCCTCCCCCTTACTCGCCCCGTTCGTCGCCTGCGCTTCCACTTCGAGCTCACTCGTCGGTATGACGACCTGCGGGTACGCAGACGTAGTGGGAGGTCCCTCGGGCGCAGGAGCGCGGCTGGGCATCTCGTCTATCCGCATCTGATCGCCTGGACGTTGCTCCCCGGGTGCTTGTCCCTCTGCTGCCTCGCCTTGCGGCCTAGCTTCGGCTTGTTGCTGGGCGCGTCTTTCGTTCGCTTTGTGCTGGCGGAAGGTGGTAGTCTTTGGTACGACGTCGGTGAGGAATTCGAGGTTCTCGACGCGGGCTACTGCGTTCGCTGTACCAGTCTCTATTAGCACTTCCCGTCGTGTTCCAAGTAAAGGTATAGGCATACCTATGTCCCGGTATTGGATGTTCCTCCTCGGCTTCTTCTCGCTCTTGACGACGTTGTGGGACTGCTCGACGAGGTGCTGTAGGAACATTTCGGCGGCAACCGTGATCATGAAGGCGGCATTGTTGGAGCAGTTGGAGATGTCGTCGTCGGTCGCTATGATCTTTTTTACGCGAGCGACTGCGAGAAGCTGGTTAGCTTGTGGTCAAGTTCTCATGGGGGAGAGGCATACGAGGGAGCGCGACGGTGCCTGTGACTTCTTTGGAGGGCTGGATGGGGGTGTTATTGTAGGGCATCGTTGCGGTTGGTGGGTGGCCTTGTTCTGTAGCAATTGGTATTAGACACAACTCTACATTACGCGACACGATGAAGCGGCTTTGACACGTCGATCGCGTGTGATTGATGGCAACGTCGCGTGGTGGGATGTTCGTGTGAGGTCCCGCTCAAGTAGGCAAGAGGCTAAAGCAGAGCTTGGGCCTTTCACATGCAAGACCCTGGATCTCACTCACTCCTAGACCTCATTCCTCTACATACAGCACACCAAGACCATACGATCCAGCCTTAAATCTGTAGCGACAATATGACGAATGACAACCCCACCTAGCGAAATTTCCGAACAATGCACTCACGATGAACCGCCGCAGCATCTCCTTCTCCGAACCCACCCCCGTCCCGCGCCGCTCCAACAGCTACGCTACCTCCATCTCCCGGAACTCGCGCAACCTCACCCGTCGCATCTCCGGCCTCAGTACCAATGATCTCGAAGAAGCCGAAGTGCCCCTCGATCCAGTAGAGCATGCGGTAGCAGAAGAGATCGCGGAGATCAAGCGATATGAGGACTTTACGACCATCGACTGGGTGCAAGATGCGGCGCGAGAGAACTTGAGACGGAAAGCCAGACGCCAAGAGCGCGCGGGATTCTTTGATCAGAAGGGGAAGTTGGCGTGGAGGAGGACGGTGTGGGAGGCCTACGATGCTGGACAAGGATGGATCGTGGTTACCCTGATTGGGATCGCTATTGGATTGAACGCAGCTTTCTTGAACATAATCACCGAGTGGCTGTCGGATATCAAGCTGGGATACTGCACGACGGCTTTCTACCTCAATGAGTCGTTCTGCTGCTGGGGCGCGGAGAGCGGGTGCGATGAGTGGCATGAATGGAGTGGATGGTGGGTGATCAACTATCTGCTGTACATCGCCTTCAGCACGGCTTTTGCGTTTACGAGCGCGAGGTTGGTCAAGTCGTTCGCGCCGTATGCGGCAGGCTCGGGCATCAGCGAGATCAAGTGCATCATTGCTGGTTTCGTGATGAAGGGCTTCCTTGGATTCTGGACACTGCTCATCAAGTCAATTGGACTACCACTGGCCATTGCATCTGGGCTGAGTGTTGGCAAAGAAGGACCAAGCGTTCATTACGCGGTGTGTACCGGCAATGTCATCAGCCGGCTATTTGGCAAATACCGCCGCAATGCTGCCAAAACGCGCGAGATTCTGTCAGCAACCGCCGCTGCTGGTGTCGCTGTGGCCTTTGGCAGCCCCATCGGAGGTGTGTTGTTCAGCTTGGAAGAGATGAGCAACTACTTCCCGCTCAAGACGATGTGGAGGAGCTACTACTGTTGCTTGGTGGCCACCGCAGTGCTGGCTGGCATGAATCCCTTCCGGACCGGACAGCTGGTGATGTTCACTGTCCGCTACGACCGGGACTGGCACTACTTTGAAGTCATCTTCTACATCCTCATCGGCATTTTTGGCGGTCTGTATGGCGCTTTTGTCATGAAGTGGAATCTTCGGGTGCAAGCGTTCCGGAAAAAGTACCTCTCCAAGTATCCGATTGTCGAGGCTAGCTTCCTTGCTTTGGCTACTGCGATCATCTGCTTCCCGAATATGTTCCTGCGAATTGACATGACGGAGAGCATGGAGATTCTGTTCCTCGAATGCGAGGGCGGGCACGATTACGACGAGCTCTGCGACAGGCAGAATCGGGTACAGATGATCGTTACGTTACTTTTGGCGACAGTCATCCGCATAGCGCTGGTCATCATCTCTTATGGCTGCAAAGTACCGGCTGGCATCTTCGTGCCTTCAATGGCTATCGGAGCTTCTTTCGGACGAATGGTCGGCATCTTGGTGCAAGCGCTGCACGAGCGGTTCCCCGACGCTGCTTTCTTCGCAGCCTGCGAGCCGGACGTTCCATGCATCACTCCTGGAACGTATGCCTTCCTGGGCGCGGGCGCGGCATTGTCTGGAATCATGCATCTCACGGTATCGGTGGTCGTGATTATGTTCGAGCTCACAGGTGCTCTGACCTACATCCTGCCCACTATGATCGTCGTCGGCATCACCAAAGCCGTCTCTGAACGCTTCGGAAAGGGCGGCATTGCTGACCGAATGATTTGGTTCAACGGTTTCCCATTCCTGGACAACAAGGAGGAGCATACCTTCGGCGTCCCTGTCTCACAGACCATGACCGCGCATCCCACCGCTCTGCCAGCCACTGGCCTCACCATTCAAGACGTCGAGAAAGTGCTCACCGACTCCAAATACCAAGGCTTCCCTATCATCGAAACTCCCGAGAGCACAGTTCTGATTGGCTACATCGGCCGCACAGAACTCCGCTACGCCCTCGACAGAGCTAAGCGCGACCAACTCGCGTCTCCTCACGCCATATGCAACTTCACCCCTCCTCCCAGCGGTGCTCCACGTGCCTCTATCACCTCCGCCACCTTACCACCCATTGACGTTGAGTCCTCAGAAGACACTACTGTCGACCTCTCCCGCTTCGTTGACCCGACACCGCTTTCCGTGCATCCTCGACTCCCACTTGAGACTGTGATGGAGGTCTTCAAGAAACTCGGCCCTCGCGTCATTCTAATCGAGCACAGGGGCCGGCTTATGGGGCTGGTCACAGTGAAGGATTGTCTGAAATACCAATTCCAAGTCGAGCATGCGCACGAAGGGAGCCGGGAGGCTCTAGGGCGGAAAGAGAGGCAGGAGGAAAGGGTCTGGGACGTCATGAAGCGAGCGGGTGGGTGGGTTGGCGGAAGGGTAAGGGGGTTAAGTGGAGGGCGATTGAGGCTAGGCGAAGGAAGCCCTACGGCAGCGTCGCCGGCGGGAGGTATTAACAGAGGAGAGCGCAGTCCAGGCTTGGATGGAGAGGTTGAGTTGGAGGATCGGAGGAATGTTGTATGATACTGTATTGACTTTGCAGGGTTAGCGTGGTGTACGTGGAATCATTACTTGTACATCGTTCGGGTCGAAACTACGTTTTCGGCTTTCGTCTTCTAGAGCTCGCACTATCTGCTCCACCGACGCCAGTGCTGCTTGCATCCTCTCTCGCTTTCAATTCCTCTTTTCCGGTCTCCCTCTGCTTCTCCCCCTCTGCAGCACCTTCATCCCGCCTTCCAATGATCACAGACCCCGCCACCAGCAATGCAGCACCTACCCACCACAGCCCTACCTAAAGTCAGCACACCACTCTCCCCAATATTGCAAAGGCGGAAGACTCACCAGGCAGAGTCTCCCCAAACACCGCAGCCCCCAGCAATGCGGTCAAGACAAAGTTCGCACTCGTGTTGAGCACGCTTACTCGCACAGTACTATTCGCCAGTGTAAGGGCGCGGGTGAAGAGCGTCCACATGATCCCGTTGAAGGTTAGGTTTAGGAGGAAGAAACCCTGCGAGCCTCATTAGCAAACGAATGCTTGCAGTCGTTGAGACGTTGGTTTGCTTACAATGCGAACTACAGATTCTACTACATAGCTTGATTCATCTTGTCCTAACAATCGGGACACGCTGCTTGCCCAAGAGGTCGTGAGATGCGTTGTGGTGAGTTTGGCGAAGACGCCGTTGAGGGCTGCGCAGCCGCCGGAGAGGATGGCGTAGAGGAGCCATTGTGATTTTGAGGAGGACATTGTGGAGAAGGTAAGATGGGCTGTGTTTGAGGAGGATTGGAAGAGATGGAAGGGGATGTTGCTGCTATACCGTCTGTGCTTACGCTAGCTGAGAAAGGAAGGCGTGCTGTTGTTCTCGATGAAACACATGCGCTTTGTAAAACCCTATCAACCGAACATCAATTGGTCTTTCGACTACGACCGTAAAGGGTGCGAACGTAAAGGATCCTCGGCCTTTCTACCGTCCATCGACGGACTCCATGCGTACCTCGACTCTTGATCACCTGGGAGGACTGTCTGCCCGACCTGGATCCAACATCCGTTACACTTCCACGCCACCATCAAGTCAGCGACCTTCCTGTCGCTCTCTCAGCACCGCTTCAGACCCTCCTTGTCGTGCTCGTGTGCAGCATTCTGGCAGCGGGTGGCGTCGCTTGGAGCCCCCTGCCTCTGGTACTTTCCATAATCCCTCTCTACCCTGATCAAGTTCAACCCGTCCCCATCGACACGCGGAATGGAGTCTTTGACCATAAGACCGATACGTCTGGTCGCCCACGAAGAGATCCGGAGCATTTCAGTATCGCTTTTGTACGTGGCTGCATCCACCAAGCCTTGCCACACGGCAGGCGGAGCGCTCGGTACCATGGTGGCCATATGACCGCACATGTCGTCCGTCTCATTGGGGTGCCGCGGGTACTGCCACAACAGGAGATACTGTCCGGTACTCAAAGTGATCTGGTCTGAGTCGCCCTCCTCTGGACCCGAGCCCAGAGCCTCATTGCCAATCCTCAGCCGGTAGTCGACGAACATCTCATGTCTACCGTCCCACTGGATACCTAGGTGAATAGGAAGATTCTTCCAGGCATGCAAGTGCTCTGCGTTGTCGAACTTGACGTACAAGACTTGAGCGTTGTCCTGGTCGACGGAGACAAAAGGTGTCTGCGAGACGAACCCGGGCTGGTGCGTGACCAGCTCAGAGAGCGTCTCATAGTACCCTAGTGCCTTCGGGACTGATTCGGCATGGTATTTGCCCTCGAAGCAAATGAAGACTTCCTGGTTGTCCGACTGCGCCATGACGAAGTGTTGATAGAGCTGGCAGGAGAAGAGAAGAAGTGTCGTGAAGATACCCATGACTGCTGGTGAGGTGTTGGGAGTGTACTGATTGATTGCAGTTGGGATAGTGTCAACACGAGGCGAGCAGATCGAGTGGGAAGCACCCACATAAATAGGCACAGTGAGGAGAAGGCAGCTCAGCGCTGGAGCCACAGGAAGCACGGAAGAGCGCAACGGTATGCTTCGCTTCCTAAGCGCATCTCGATTGTTCATTTTACGAGCTGTCACTGCACTGACAGCGGCACGACCATTGCCATACTACCTTCCAGGACGGATCGGCCGCTGATCGTTGCCGTGTCATCATCAATCTACGCTCCCAGTGGTCTGTTGCGACAAGTTGGCTGTGGTGACTCAGCACTCAATGGTTTCCGATCGCGACTGTACGTCAAATCACGTGAAATGATTACGGAAACATTGATTATGGAATCGACTTTCGGTCCCCTTCCAAGAAACCTGGTCTCACACTTCTGGGGAGCGTTACTACATTGACGCCATACTGGACGGCACATCAACCACCGGCCAATGGCAGACTACTCTCGGGCTACGCGCAAGGTACGGGCACCCGTAGTACCATTACCAATGGAAAGGACTGGTATGCACAGCGATTAATAACACACAAGCCAGCTCGGCACCGTAGCGATGTTGCTAGCAAGCAGGAGTCATAAAGGGCGGTTGCCAGTGACTGCTCAGAACTTTTCATTTCATTCACTGCTCGATCAAGGTTTGGCTCCCCTATACACGACAGGAATGTACTCTGTCTGGCCCATCATCCTCTTCGGGTTCACGGTCACCAAGACAACCTTAGCACTACCTCAAGACACCACAATGAGTTCATCGTACAACAGATTCGACGAGGTAAGCATTGATGGGCAAGAGGGATTCTCCGAAACGGTGAAGATTCATTGGCACTTCGAGCCTTTTTTACTCCTGTTCACAGTGCTGAGATCACTGCTGACTCTTTTACTCTTCCATTCTGTAGAGCTATACGGCAGCAGTCCGCCGGTCACTGGCAACCTTCCACGAGAACTTAAGCAAAGGCCGACTGCAAGACAATGGACCTCTGTTCACGAAAGATGTACAATGGAACTTTGACGGGTCACTTCTCATCTCCAGGCAGTCCGCTATCACAACCCTGCAAGCCGTTGTCAATGGCATCTTCGACGATGCAGAGGCAAGCGATTTATACCTCATCGTGGACGGCGGAGTGGGTGCCGTTCTATTCGAACTGCGTGGTACTCCTAGTGTGCCGCAGACCGGCCCGTTCGCTGGACTGGATGTTGTACCCGGAGCTCCGCTTAACGTTCGCAGCGCTGAGCTGATGGTGTACAACGAGGAGGCATTGGTTGAGCAGATCAATACGATCGATCCATTGGCTCTGCTCCAGTCGCAGCTCACTGGCGCATCTGAAGCGCCGCCATACGACAGCACTTTCACTCGCCCAGCGAACTCACAAACGTCATCTGCATACCGCGATATGCTTAGACGCCGCATGGTCGCACTTCATGAGAACGTCAACTCGGGGCAGGCTAGTCGCAATGCGGAGATGGCTGACGAAGGTGTCGAGGTTGTCAGCACCGGAAGGGTTTCGGAAAAGGGAAGAGATGCCTTCGTTCAATTGGTCTCCTCGCATAATGCTGGCCAGGGTGCTTTCCTGAACAAAGTCTTCCACGATGGCTACACTCTTGCCGATGGCCATCTTGGTGCGATCGACTACGTCTGGCAGGCAGCACAAGAGAGTGCCTACATGGGCATAGCTGCCGATCAGTCGAAGTCGGTTCGCATGAGAGGCATGTTGTTCTTGGAGTTCAATGAGGAGGGTCTGATTGTCAAGGCCACCGATGTGAGCGATGAGAGTGTTATTGGTACCCAGCTGAACTTGACTGGGCCGTTTCTGTACCCTTGAGCAAGCTGGAGCACGATATGTTCGGTGGAACAGCAACTGACCAGGCGGGGCTTCTCCTTTTGCTCGAAAGATCATGTGATCAAGTGGTCAGTGCATCAGTGCGCCATATCTCCGAGGTTTATTGGCAAGATGTTGTATGTGATTCTCATCTCATCTCAAGATCATGGTAGAGCTTTCAGTATCACTTCCATTCTCCAGCGGTATTCACGTCCGCGCATAATCAAGACCAACTCGCTGCCCGGAAGAATGGGGAGGGGTATCGTTGCGAATGTACCTCCCTTTAGGCTCAGCTGCAGCTATACCCCTGCCTCTTGTCTACCTCAACTCGTGCTATCTTGAACGGTTCGAGAACGTGCAAGCGACCATGTCAAGGCCATTCTCATTCGGATGAGGTCTGTTTACGAGGACATGCTGTACAGGGCCATGATCCAATTCACACGCCTGGGCTTATAATTCTGCTGGAACACGACTGTTGAGCAGACTTGATTCGAGGCATGGCGAGTGCGAGCAACTCACGAGATCAACCGTACGAACGCCGGCGAGAGCAAGTGCGTAGAGCGCAACGGTTCGTAAAGCCCCTCAAGTGCAGTTTGCGGAACGTAATGATTGACACAATTGACTTCCAGGACACATCGCGAGCGCAGGGCAACTTATGTCAAGGGTCTGGAGCACGAGGTAGCAGAACTTCGAGCTCAGAATGCTGTCCACGAGGCCGAGACTGTCGCTGTCAGTTCGCTGATCCGTCAACTGCACCAACTGCTCACTGCCAACGGCATAGCCATACCACCAGAGCTGCAGAGCCGTGTTGATGTTCGAGTCCGCATGGCCGACGCTGAACTACACGGCGACACGGAGGCCACGCAACGGCTTCGGGTGAGGCTTCCAGCGACTGCTCCCACAAGCTCGTCTGGCTCCAGTGCCACTCTATCACAAGCTTCTTCCGATGCTGCTACGGTCGCGGAAACCAGCATCTCGGTCACGGCAGGACCCAGCGATCTACGTCCAGAGTTAGATACGTCGCTAGGGGGACAGACGGCTGTCCAGCCACGCTTACCCACCACTACGCAACTTGGCGTTGATTTCGTACTCGCCCTGGAGCATGTCTGTCTACACCACCATGACTTCATCTCTCCTGAACTCGAGGAGGAAGGAGACGAAGGCGCCACGGGACACGCGAGCATGCTTCAGCGTCCCGTGATCCGCTACGCTCCTCCAGCTGCCTTCAGCCCGATGACATTTGGTCGTCCGGCAACGACACAGTGGGGTGTACCAGCCGTTGAGCTCGAGACGTTGCTGTCTCTGTCGCGAAGGCTGGAGTTGTCTGATGAGATCACGCCGGTGCAGGCCTGGCAAAGGATTCTCGCTCACCCGAATTATAACGAGCTCCGGCCCGGCGCTCTGGAAGCTTTGTGTCAGCAATTGGTTCCGGAAGTGAGGTGCTACGGGTATGCTGTTGGAAGGTTGAAGCACTGTGGCTGTCTTACTGACCGATCCTTAGATTCGGTGCAGCCATTGGAGAGGCTGTCTTTGTAAATGCGTCAGAAACGATGTGGTCCTCCGTCGCGATGGAGGCGAGAACTTGATTTGGACGAACATCAAGCCATTCCATTGTCGAAGACTACTTCAGATGCATCAGGCACGGCCTCGTCTCATAACGATTCCTCCAAGAGAACATCACGGTCAAGACCTCCGATCCACTTCCCCGGGTGGTTCAGATACGTCTTCAGCACTGTATCTGTCTCAGTCTTCTTGCCTGACCCCTGGGGTCTCGCTTGGTGCTTGACGCCGCTCTACCTTGGTGTAGTCTCTTTCCACCCGAACGCAAGTCACCGAACCGCTATCAGCTCGAATAGCATTCATGAACCGTGCTGCATCGAACGGCGTTCGCCAGCCCGTCAACCACAGCAGGCCGGTCTCGCCTTCGTACTCGTCAAAGTCGACCAAGCCGTTCCACCCATCACCTCCAGCGTCGCGGTCGATCAACGCTTCAATGCCATGCGCAACCTGTTTCTCAGCGTCCTTGGGTTTATGCACCATTACCATGATCCTAGCCATCCCATCCTCGTCATGCTCAATGCCATCGTGCGTTTCGGAGGGCCCAATTCGAAGTCGATACCAGCTGTAAACGTCAGAGCTGGCTTTGTTTTGAATCCTCAAATGCGTCTCCTCGTTCCGCCACCGCTTCAAGGCTGCTACGTCCTCCCATCTTGACAGCGTCAGGCTGGTGTGCTTGTCTGATCGAGACACAAAGCCGGACTCATCCGTGAAGCCGTCGATTTGCTTGAGCTTTGGTAGCAAGGTGTTGTAGAAGCGTCCAGAGAGTGCGTTCTTCTCCTCTGGGACTGTTCCTTCGAATGCTGCGTAGTACATGATGAAGCAGACTGATCGCTATGAGCATGACTGAGGAAGGTCGAGGGAGAACTTCGTTCATCAAATACTTATACATCGGCGACGGCGCAGAGAGCTTACGCCAGTGGCTCGAGAACATGATTCCGTAAGCTTGGGGCGGTACTTTGGGTACCGACGATTTCGTAATCTGCTATACCGAACCAAGCAGGAGCTCTCCTCCCTCGTGTAGCTCGTTGGGAGACGGTGCAGGCTCATGGACGGGCAAGGCTGAGCGTGAGCTGGCTAGTGGCAATGAAGAGATCATGTTGGTCTTATGGAAGCAGACGCCCGCTGACTCATTCAGATGAAACATGATACATTACAGTCGTTACGCTTAAGTCCTTGCAATATTTCACTCCAGCTCATGAGACGTATTGCTCCACATTCGCGAGTACTTCGATCCGGTTGTTGCCGATGATATACTCTGCGTGTCAAGCGTGGCGTCGTCGCCCATCAGAGTAGACGCTGGCGACGGAAGTTCTGACGGCGGAGCTGCAGATGTGTTCGCCCATTCGACTTTGATAGGGTTGTCTTTGCTCAGCTTCTGGCCGTCAAACCCTGCGACAACTGCGTCAGCTACACATTTCAGCGGGAGGTGGTGGCGGAACTGACAAAGCTCGAAGATCAGATCGGCCGGCCCAATGATGACCTGTACTTGATATGCCACCTGGTAGTAAAGCCGACCTGGCTTCCAGAACTTCTTGTTCTTCTCCTTGAACCGCTTCTCATCCACTTGAGATAGATCTGATTCGACCTCGCAAAGCTTCTCTACTCCGGATTCGAGCTTATTTGGGAGATGTTCTCGATCCAGATATGAGACCACAACCTTGGTCGTGAACACCCTCGAAGAAGCGGCAGGGTCGACTTTGCGTCGAAAGCTATGCACCACCGGTCGATCGAGAGACACAGGCATACCCTAGATTCCGTCAGCTGGAGTCGTCAATATATGTTGGCCGGAAAGACATACCTTCTCGATGAACCAGAAGACACATTCTGGGACGTACAGCTTACCGTCCCGCGGGTCCTTCTCCGTGCGTCTTCCGAGGTGTCGGGGGTTAGATTTGTTGTACAGCTCCTTGCAGATGAGACCGTAAGACGCTCGGCAACATCTCCACCCCAGCACGCTTTGGCCGCTTCTCAACTTGCGAAGCCGGTCTGCCACAAGACCCTTACAAACGGACAATTGAGGATCCGGAGCCACTCTGACTTGCATACCGTGAGCGTTGGGGATGTACGAGCCTTCGCCGTATTGCTCTCTTAGTCTCTGCTGGACGTATGCCGACTGGCCGAGACCGCCGGACAGGATGAGGTGGGCGACGTTTTGGTTTGGCAGTTTGCTGGCGAGACTGTACAACTGTGTGTCTATGAGTCGGAACAGCTTCTCGATTTGATGATCGAAGAGGTCATGGAGGTCGTCTCTGTGCTAATATCAGCCTCTGCACACTCCGTGTCTGTTCAACGACGTGTACTTACTTCGTGAACATCATCTCGCGATTCTCAATCCGCAGCGAAGGATCTGAAAAGTCAAGAGGTAGACCAGGTACCGGAACCGAGAACGTCGGTGGCTCATCCGGCGCTCCATGCTCGCACTTCGTGTTCTGGAAGTCTGAGCTCTTCGACATGACCCAGGCAGCATTGTCTGCATCGATGTTCAGTTCCATCAGACCTTTAGCATCTTTCAGCCGATCTCGAGCAAGCACCTCAAACTCGTAGTCGATTGCAGCGGAGCCGACGGTGTCGCCTGTTACCACGTCCACTTCGCGGAGCTGTTTTAAAGATAGTGCACTCGCTGCGGAATCAGTCACTTTCAGAGCTGAGAGGTCAGTGGTACCTCCCCCAGCGTCACAGACCACGAGGATATCGTTCTCGTTAAAGATCCCAGGTGCAGCGGTTGAAGTATAGACTGCAGACGCCTCCGGCTCTGTAAGGCTGATGGTAATGGAGTGCCTGACGTTTGCTCCACCGAAACCTGCCTGTCTCAAGATGACCTTGAATTGCTCAACCGTTGCAGGACTCCACGTCGTCGGCACCGAGAACAGGAACTCAATGTTCGCCAGATCCCATGCCATCCCAGGCACTTCTCCGACCAGCTTGATCTTGACGTGGTCATACAGAAAGCAGAAATAGTCGAGGAACCATTGCTGAACATTCCCATGGGTGTAGTGGTCGTCCGGAAATCGCGCACTTTCCCGAGACAGATAATCGTCGTCAAGAAGAGTCTTAAACCACTCACGCACTACAGAGTGATCTTGGACATGCTGCGATTGAGACTCTGCTTTAAAGCCCCAGGCTGACGGCTCATCGTGACCTTTTGGATACAGCAAGATTGTCGGGACTTTGTTCTCGTTCGCTTGACTTCGGCCTGGCCATCGTTGAATCCAGCGAATGTTGTCTGTTTCGTGTGCTACGGTGTTGTATGCTACGCCTGTTCAATATGTTAGACCGCTGATTGTTGGCTGCGCGAAGAGATCATACCAGTGCACGTCTGGCCTAAGTCAATGCCTACAATCAGATCAGGCTTGTTAGCATGAGACATCTCTGAGTGTGTAGAAGTAAAGCAAAAAGAGAACAATCGCAGGCAACAGCAGACATGAGAGTCCGGGTTAAGAGAGCATAGAAAGTCCAGCTGCAGCTATGCCAATGGCACAAGGGTCATCATGCGGGTCGCTGCGACGATGATAGCTTCCGCCTTCCTTTACAGATGCGAGATCTGTTGTAGCGCTCCGCTGACTCGGCCATCCGGCAGCTGTAGGCCGCATACACCTACAATCGAAAAGCTTGATCTAGTAAAAGTACGCTGTGACTTCTCTGATTTGGTTGGTGTTGCGCCCACTTTGTGACGACGACGTCGAACAAGCGACCTTGCCACTGTTTGCAGAGCGGCAGCTAAACGAAAGCGAATGACTTCGTGCCGACGATTGGACGACTCGTCCGAAAATCTCGAATTCTGTTGCCTGAAAGCATCCTTGCCAGTGGCTTGCATCGCGGGGAGCGCTACTGCAGGTTGATTCCATGTGTTCAGCCTCGAACCCATTTGGACCCCTGCGAATAACTCCACTGAGGGCTTGTGATAAGCTCGGCAGGTCGCACATTGAGCTGTTGCCCTCTCGTCCTCGTCTCGTGAGACACTTGCACAACAATGCGCGCGGTTCAAGATATTTAAGTGCTTTCGTCCTGACACCGTGCCATTGACCCAAGATGGCCACCACCATTACCTCTTCGACATCTTCTGCGACAACCACAGGTCCCTCAGAAACCATCACCGGCAAGACATACACTGATGGTGTGTCTCCTGGAGCAGCCGCTGGCATTGGTGTTGGCAGCGCAGTCGCTGGCGCAATAATTGCTTCCGGTCTGCTGTATTTGCTCTGGATCCATCGTTTGCGAGCAAGGCGAGCTTATGGTGGCCACACGGTAGAGAAGTCGCAGTACGGCGGAGGTATGAAAGGTCCGTGCGTCGCTGCAACACCAGCTAAAAGCGCAATCGGCACGCTCGATGCCGCTCTGCCTCAACCCATGCAAGATAGCGACATAAAAGGCGAGATGAGTCGGCTTGGTACCAGCATAAAAAACCATGTGCAGAGCTATTACTCCGGCGCCCCGCTGTCGCAAGATCTCTCGATCTCTGCAGAGCAGTTATTTCTGGTAGTTGGGACGGACGCACCATCGAGTAAACGCCTGTATCCAAGGTCTTCAAGTGTCAGAGCCGGAGCACCGCCGAGCGCTACAGTCGCAGTGATCCGCTACATCGTTGGCTGGACAATCTTGCAGAGCATTCAGCTGTTCGATCCCACAGAGACCAATCTGTTACCTCTCGGGCTTGCGAAATATCTGAGCAGCATGGTTCCAGAGGCACGAGAGCCAGGTGGAAGGTTGAACCCCAGTAGCTCAGGTAACGACATGCTACCGTGTGCATGGATGAAACACTGCTAAATTCACGTGAACAGCAAACCGTGCGGTAGTATCGAAATGGCGGCAGCTTACTGCCAAGCTGCTGCAAGACAAGACCAGTGCAAGCAACGCTTTCCCTCTCAGCGATCCTCGAATACACAATGTCGAAAAGCTGGCAAGCAGACTGGACGAGCTCCTAGCTCCTTATGCATCTAGTACAGATGGCGGCCAGAGGCGGCAGCAGTTGGAAGAGCTCATCAAGCGTGGAGCTCGGTTTGGCTGGACGCTGTTCTCGCAGCCGACGGAGTGGACCTTTGATTGGGAGGCTGCAAGTGCAGGGCAGACTGTCGTCTATCCGTCTTTGCTGCAGACCAGCGATGACCAGGGGCATGTGCATCGCGAGCCTCTCCGTTTTACGGATGTCCAGACCGTGGCCTTGCAGCGTAGCTAGTGCCGTAGTCACTGTAAAGCGGTTGGGGAGCCTTTGCGCATTCGCCAGAATGTGGCGCCGTTCATTAAGTGAGCATGATTATCAATCAGAAGTACGTGTATGGCGAAAGGAGGTTGACAGTGGTGGAAAGAAGAGGAAAAAGTTGACGTCGCGTCGCGTCGCTCCTGCCTTTTCTCGTGCCTGCACGTGTCGATCACATGGCGCCAGACCTCACCTCTTTGAACAACACCTACGTTCTTTCAATTTCAACACAAGTCATGACATTTAGGCTTTGCGCGACTGGCGCAAACATTGTGTAGTTCTCGAATCTCCAAACGATAGGATGTCCGACGCGATGGAGCAAGATGCGCCGCCATCATCCCCGCCACCGCGCGGTACCAAGCGCAAAGCAGACGAGATGACTGGTCCACGGCGCATTCGAGCGCTGCACCAAGACGTCGTCAACAAGATCGCAGCAGGCGAAATCATAGTCTCACCATTTCATGCACTGAAGGAACTCATTGAAAACGCTGTCGATGCTGGCTCGACAAGCCTGGAGATTCTGGTCAAGGATGGCGGACTCAAACTCCTGCAGATGACCGACAATGGCTGCGGCATTAACAAGGACGACCTGCCCATCCTGTGTGAACGCTTCACGACGAGCAAGCTGAAGGCGTTTGAAGACCTGACGAGTATTGGAACGTACGGCTTCCGCGGCGAGGCGCTGGCCAGCATCAGTCACATCGCTCATTTGGCGATTACCACAAAGACTGCGGACTCAAGCTGCGCCTGGAGAGCCCACTATGCTGGTGGCCACCTCGCACCTGCCAAAGCGGGCCAGACCTCCGATCCTAAGGCTTGTGCTGGCAGGCAAGGAACTCAGATTGCCGTTGAAGACCTTTTTTACAACGTGCCCACCCGCCGCCGTGCATTCAGGTCTGCTAGCGAGGAGTACGCTAAGATTGCTGACATGGTTGGCAAATACGCTGTCCATTGCAAAGGCGTTGCGTTTTCGTGCAAGAAGCATGGCGAGGCGGGCGCTGGTCTGGCTGTGCCTGCCAATGCAAGCGTGAAGGACCGCATACGAATGGTCTACAACAGTGCTACGGCGAACGAGCTCATCGAGATCGAGCTTCAAAACGATCAATACGGCTTCAAAACGGATGGACTGGTCAGCAACGCCAACCACAGTTCGAAGAAGACGACGTGTCTGCTCTTCATCAACCATCGAGCCGTAGATTCCAGCGTCATCAAGAAGGCCGTCGAGCAGACGTATTCTACTTTCTTGCCGAAGGGTGGCAAGCCGTTCTTCTACTTGAGCTTGGAGATCGACCCAGCAAGAGTGGACGTCAATGTCCATCCGACGAAGCGAGAGGTCAACTTTCTCAATGAGGAGGAGATCGTTGAGATGATCTGCGACGAGATCCGAACTCGACTCGGCAAAGTAGACACAAGCCGCACTTTCATGACCCAGAGCTTGCTCAGCGGCGGCAAGACACCCAGCATATCCAAGGCTGCCACTCTGCCGGAGGACGATAGTATGGAAGTCACGCCCACAATTAAGCGCCCTTCGACCGCGAGAGCAGCCTCACAGCGACCTTACGAGAACAACCTGATTCGGACAGATGCAAAATCCCGCAAGATCACATCCATGCTGCAAGCACAGAGCACGCTCTCTCGCGAGCCTACTTCCGACGACCTGCAATACGAGTACAACGACAAGGAAGCCACAATTTGCCGCCTGTCGACCGTCAAAGAGCTCCGTGCCGATGTACGAGAAAACATGCACAACGAGCTGACAGACGTCTACACCAATCACACATTCGTTGGTATTGTCGATGACTGCAAGCGCATTGCTGCCATACAAGGCGGTGTCAAGCTGTTTCTGGTCGACTACGGCATGCTTTCGGCAGAGTATTTCTACCAGCTGGGCTTGACCGACTTCGGCAACTTTGGCACTATTCGTCTGGGTCCTCCGCTGAGCTTGCGCGAGCTGCTAGAGATGGGTGCAGAGCAAATGAGAGCTCAGGAGCCGGATACAGTAGAGCTTGACTGGGACGAGGTCGTTTCAGCGGTATCAGAGCAATTGATATCCCGACGAGACATGCTGACCGAATACTTCTCTCTCGAAATCTCCGAAGAAGGCGATCTGCTTTCCCTCCCACTTCTGATGAAAGGCTACTCACCATCCCTGGCCAAGCTACCGACCTTTCTTCTACGACTGGGACCACACGTCGACTGGAATGACGAGAAAGGCTGCTTTGCTAGCTTCTTGAAGGAGCTGGCGAGTTTCTACGTACCGGACGCTCTACCACCGCCACCCGCTTCGAAGGATGCGGACGAGGATGAAGAGCTTGCGAACCGGAGGGATGAGCTGCATAGGACGATTGAGAATGTGCTGTTTCCTGCGTTCAAGGGACGGCTCGTCGCTACGAGGGGGTTGCTGAAGGGCACCGTGCAGGTGGCCAATCTGAAGGGACTGTATCGAGTGTTTGAGAGATGTTGATGCTGAGATGAGAGATGCCGTGATGTCTCGCGAGCGATTTGTGGCTGTAGCTTGACATGCTCGAGGAACGAATGATGTACAGTGAAACTCCTTCGGTACCATGTCACATGTATTTCCTTGCGCCTAAAAGTGAATCAGATGCTTTCACATGCCAGAGACTTCCTCGAAGTGAATGTGTCTTTGGAGTCGTGCTGAGAACTGCACGTCGTGCTGACGAATTTATCTCGACTTCAAACAATTCTCGCAGACATATTCAAAGCACCTGCGTCCGCGACGAGACCCCTTGACAGTGCCACAACACGCATCGAGTGCTCCACGGCGCATCGACTAAACAGTCTCTCCACGCCGCACACAAGAGTACCGCCACCATGTCCAACGACGCAACCCTCTACGAAGACCACTTCGAAATCACCACACTCCTCGACAGCACCTACGACCGCGTGGCGCGCGTCATCGGCACCTCGCGCTCCTCCTCCAACACCTCCGGCGACACTTCATTAACCCTCGATATCAACTCCGAGCTCTACCCCATCCAGACGGGCGAGACGATCCAGATGCTGATCGCGACGACGCTGAATCTGGACGGGACCAAGGATACGACGGGCCAGTGGAGGGAGAGGAGGGGGGAGGAGACGCTGGCGAGTGCGTTTGATTATGTGTGCTATGGGAAGGTTTATAAGCATTTTGATCCGGGGGAGGGGGGGAATATGTGAGTTACATTTTCCAGATATTGGGAAGTTTGTGGGTGGTGTTCTGACGGCGTGTTGCAGCAAGGTCTACATCTCGTTCGGCGGGCTGCTGCTGCTGCTGGACGGACCGTACAAAAAGCTCTCGCCGCTGCGGCAGGACTATGTCTACATGCTGCTGAAGAAGTGATGCCGGTCAGGTGGGATCTACATGGAACGAGTTTGCGCGATGATATTAGCGAGGCGTTGGTGAAGACAATGGGCTCTCAAATGCTGACGAAAGCATATGCGAGGCGCTCAACGATTCAATGGGTATCCTCTATCTAGATGCAACATGCAAGCAAAAGACGGCAGAGCTTGCAAACCTACTCCAGAACGCTCTCCGGCTACAGCGTAGGGAATTCAAGCCGCCGGTGGAGCCGCGAGACCATCTCAATGTAGCCCGGCTCGTCTGGCGTCAGGATTCCGTGCCGCACAAAGAAGTCGAGCAGCACCATCGCGCAGTTAGGCTTGAACTCTCCATCCTTCAGCGCCTGCTTGACCTCCTCCACGTTCTTCAGTTCGAAGCCAGCAACTTCGTCATCACTCGGCTTGGGTACCACATCCTCCGCCAACTCCAGATCGTACACATACTGGCACTCCGGTTGCAGCAGCCTCGTCTCACCGCCAGCCCGCTGATCGCGAATGTGGAAGTATGTCACTGTCCCCACGGCTTTGGCGTCCCTTCGTACGACGTCTTCTGGCAAACTGGCCTCCTCTTGCGCCTCCCGTACCAACGACTCAAATGCCGACTCTCCCGTCGCGATTCCACCAGCAACAGTGTTGTCCAGCATTCCACCATATGTCTGCTTGGTCGCGGCTCGTCGGGGTACCCATATCCGCATTTCCTTCTTCTCTCCTTCCGCGCCTTCCCGCTTCCCATACGTGTACGCGCTCATGTGCACCCCGTAAGTCACGATCCCAAACAGCGCGCTCGCCGCCCTCTCAATGCTGAATAGCAGCTCTCCATTCGGGCCATACACCGGATATAGCTCATCTCGCCACCCCTTCAACACAGCAAAGTGATCCGTCTCACGCATAGCTTTAGTAGTCGCCTCAATCGCCTGACTCCGCTCAGCTTCATTGCTGCCCGCAGTCAACGTCAGACTCCGCGCCTCATCGTCTAGCTTCCACCCCGCCAGACCCCGGAACACCTCAGCAACCGAAGGCAGGATGTAGCCTAGTTCCGTCTCTGGGTATGCAGCAACGAACAGCCCATAGTAAGTATTGACATGTGCGAGGTAGAGCTTCGGGTTCGTATGATAGTAAGGGAAGTTGTCGCATTCGTTTATGAGGTCCAGATTTGATTTGGGCCCGGGTGCAATGGGCTGTGGGTCTGCCATTGTTATGGGTGAATCGTCGTCTTCTTGTGCAGCGGAAGCGGCGGGATCGTCGTCGTCTTCATCAGCGCCGGAGACTTCGCGTTCGGAGTTGGCGGTGTTCCAGGTCGGCATGCGTGGGAGGTTGGAGGGGATGTAGTCGCGGAGTTTGGTGAGGTTGAAGTTCGACATGGCGGCGAGTGGGAGGGGGAAGGCAGAGCGGGGCGCGGAGAAGAAGTGGTCGAGAGAAAGGATGGTGTAAGATTCAATGCTGCAATGTTGTCTTCAACGGACAGCCGCAGCTGCCTCCAACGTCAGGTCAGCAATGCAGGGTCTCGTCTGGAATGCTGGATGCTGATTGGCTGTGTTCGACGTCACTCTTGCTTTGCCTTCTTCCTCTGCAGCAACTTCAACTCTCTCACCGTACGACAACAGGACAAGAGTAAAGAAAGATGTTCGGCCTCATAATTTCCGGCCGTCCGCCAGACGCCTCTCCCCAGGCCATCACCGAGACGCAATATGCCTTCCGCATCCCTCCGGAGCCTCCATTCCATCACATTGTCGTCTTCTTGCTTCCCGGTACCCAGCTGCCCCCGGGCACGGCCGCAACCGTCTACGTGCAAATCCCGCCATCTACAGAGTTCAAGCTGCTCGGCGGCATCGGTCCGGGTAAGGAGAGTGCCATCTTCAAAGTCAGTGGCGTCAAAGCTGGGCCTGGAGCTGGAAACGCTGGTGATGAAGATGCGATGGTCGACGACCCTTCTTCTGCTCCCGCGGGATCTTCGCAGGCTGTCGGTGGGGATATAGCGGTTGGTATCTCCATTGAGCCCGCTGCGCAGGTCGAGCAACAGCTGGCCACTCTTAAATCCTCTCAAGCATCCACTACTGATCCCTCAACGGCCATGGTTCGGACCAATGCTGGACCACCGGGCCAAGTAACTACGAAAGTGCTTGCACAAAGGATCATTGGGAATGCGTTTAATTTCCTGGCAAGCTTTGGGAGCGAGACGGTGCCTCTTAAAGCTTTCCAGGACTGGTGGACGAAGTTTGAGAAGAAAGTCGAGCTGGATCCGAGCTTTCTTGAGAGGGAGCAAGGATGATTTCACTCTCGCCTTTGCTGGTTCATTTTGCTTCAGAGCATCTGGCGTGCCTGCTAAAGCCAGAGAGCAAGAATACACTGAGGCTCGTGGTCCCGACGCATAGAATGACACATCGACAAAATCTGGGTATCGCTATTCACACCTCCATCAGCCATCATTAAACGATCCATTACAAGAAGTAATCCGCCACCGGCTTCTTGGCAGGCATCCCTCTAGAGTCCTGCGGCGCCGCCTCAAACACCCGATACCTCCTTCCAGGTCCCATCCGCAAATCCTGCCCCCTTTCCGCCAGGGGCCCGCCAACCCTCCCGACATCCCCGTTCGTCCTGGGCGCGTAGCCAGCATTACTTCCATCCTCACCCAACTCCAGAATTGCTGCCACATTTCCGCAGCGATAGCAGTAGTTCGGCGCCGACCACACCGTCACGATGGTGTTGTCGAACATTTCCTTGAAACCTTCCATCACCAGCTGATGCGCGCGGCATATCAAGGAAAGGTCGTTCTTTTGGTTGAAGCACTTGACAATGTCTGCGCCGAAGAGGAAGCCGGCGCCGCGGGGTGACAGACCCCAGCCTTCAATTTCGTCAGGATCGGACCAGAGGAGGTCGCACATGGCGCCTTCGTGGGGTACTTCTTGTTTGCGATCGAGGAGGCGGATCTTGTCGATGCTGTCGATGAGTGGTGACAGGCCGCCGTGGACGCAGAGTACGGCGCCCGAGGAGTTCGAGGCGCTGCCGCCGCTGTTGGAGGTCGCGGAAGTGCCTGGGGCGCCGCTGCGAGTGGGTGTTTGGTCTGGCTGCGTTTGAGATGGGGAGGAGGGTGGGTTGGAGAGTTGCGAAAGGTCTTGCGAGTTGCCGCTCTGTCGAGGCTGACGCTGGAAGCGGTTGATGATTTGGCCGGACGAGTTGAGGATTTCAATCTCAAGGTCGGTGGCGTCGGATGGAACGTGGGCTTGAGAGTTCGGGTCGACTAAGGGTGCGTCGGTGGGCTGCATATCAGTGGATGCGCCAATTATGAGCGCGCCGAGGGCTAAATAGTCGAAGACTTCGCAGCAGTATCTGAAGCACAACATTAGCATCGACGCTCTTGCAAGGGCAGCGCAGATTTTGAGACCAACCGCCAGACATTCGCACTTCCATATTTCCGCAAACATTCGTCATAGAACCCATAAACTGTTGTGATCTGTCGTGATTCGTGATTCCCTCGTATCAGCGTGATCCGGTCGGGATACCGGACTTTTAGGCATAGCAGAAGGAGGAAGGATTCGAGGGAGTAGAAGCCCCTGTCCACGAAGTCGCCTGCTATGCGTCAGTCTTGCCATCTCTACGCTTCTTTGTTCGCAGCATTCCATACCCATGAACAGATAGCACGTCTCCGGCACATCCCCGCCTACGCGAAACAGCTCCATCAGATCGTGGAACTGGCCATGTATGTCGCCGCATATCTGTCCAGCCGTATGTTAGCCTTGTCCCATCTTGCGTCCAGCCTTCCTCCAATAGCCCTTGTGTCCACTGTATGTACAACTCTTTCGCAGACTGGCTGGAGCTCGACGTACCGTCACCGGCGCATCCACGCACACTACATTGCCCTCCTCGATCAGCAGCTCCCGCGCCTTGTAGCAGAGCTCGCGCACCTGGCTCTCGGGTATGGGACGGCAGGCTCGGAGTTGGGCGATGGCTCTGCAATGCGACAAGGTCAGAGGTGGTTTGTGGAGAGGTTGGAGGTAAGCGTGCTGCCTCTTACTTATCGAGATCGCTCATCTTTGCGCGTGCGCGCTACAGCGCGGCGGTTGAAGGTCTTGTGTCCCGCTCCTCCCTCTACCTTCTGTTCTATTGATCTTTAAGATGTTGCGACGACTCCTTGCTGTAACGAAGGTCGGTGGAATAAGGTTGAATGGCTCGATACGGTTTCGCGAACGGAGGTGGCGGGGCTTCGCTCTAAGTCGTTTCTGGCGCCGATACGTAGGATGCCAACGCTGCTGTACCGTTCGTGATATGTTTGGAAGATGCGTGGTCAAGTACGGCCGTCTCTCTAGGCTTTACCGGAGTAAATGTCGTTTACGCGCACGTGAAAGTCTAGACGCGGATCGAATTTCATGCATGACGCCCGATTCGGCAGGAACCGTGCGAGCTTAAACTATGCTATACTTGGCATGGATAGGCAAGTGATCGAATACGGAGCAGATCAGGTGAACATGAATGGCTCCTGAACAGTGATTGATTCTTTCAGCCGAGCAGTCTAGCAGCTTCCGCCTCCAGCTCATCCAGCGTCCCAATCTCTCGCTCCTCCTCGTCCCTACTGACTTTCGGGTCTTGCTCGAACCACTTCTTCTGCCGTTTCGCCTTGGGCTGTTCCTCTTCCTCATCCTCCTCATCCATCCCATCAGCATCAGCAGCAAAGTTAGCAAGCAGATCCTCATTGCTATCACCAACCGCACCGTCCTCAGCCTCGCCTTCATCCTCCGCCCTCTCCCTCTCCTTTCTCCTCTCCTTCTTGATCCGCCTCTTCTCCCTCGCAAGCTGCTTGTCAGCCCTATCTGCCTCATCGACCCGCTCTTGCTCACTCCGCAAGAAGCGCTCTCTCTGCTCATCCGGCGCTCCGCGTGCCTTGAAGGCGTCTTCATCCTCGAGCTCGTAGATCGGATGAGCCTGTCCTTCGTCGTCGAATACGACCTTGCTGCCTTTGTCTTTGAAGTTGAGCAGCTTCTTCTTGGATTTCAAGAGCTTCTCGCGACGCTTAGAGTCGAGTACGAGAGGAGCAGAGGCACCGGGAAGGTTGATGGCTTTGGGCCCTGAGCCACCTATCTCCCCACCTGTCTCCTCGGCGTAACCGTTGGCTGCCGGGACATCTCTTTCGTCTGAGCCTGATGCAGAATCCGCAGGAATACGCCGCTTGACGTCAAACAGTGCGTCGTCGCCTGCTTGTTCACCGTCCAGCCTTCCGAAGTCAACATCATCCTTGTCGTCATTCCGGACCATCTTCGCATAATGATCGGCCAAGACGTCTTGGTTCTGCCGCTCGAACATACGATCGTATTTCGTCCGCACGCCATTCTTCTTGGTGCTCTTGTCTTCGCCTCCTTCTTCAGCATCGCTACCCTCGTCCTCGGACTCCGACACAGCCGTCTCCATCCTTGACCTGTTCTTCAACTTCTTCACTTCAGCCGGGTCTGCTTTCAAGAACTTGATCCTCGGTGCTCCAGGAAGCCCTAAACTTGCCGCAAATTCTTCCAGTGGATACTTCTCCAGCTTGAACACCTCCTTGTCCTTCTGAATATGCAGGCTCCTCACGTACGAACTGAATGCCTTCTGACCCAGATACTTCAGACTTGGGTCCTTGAAGCACATACTCTGCAGCTGATTCTTGATGGACATCTGCTTCTTGTTTCGGACGTTGATCCTCTCGATGGGCACCCGCCTCTGCTCCAGCCTCGAAAGCATGCCTTCTTCCTCGCTAGGGTCAAGAAACAGTACGGCTCGTCCAGCTTTCTCATACCGTGCTGTCCGACCCACGCGGTGGATGTAAGTATCTCCATCTTCTGGACAATCGACCTGAATCACCCAGTCGACGGCTGGAAAGTCCAGACCTCTGGCGACGACGTCTGTAGCGAAGAGGCAGCTGTGTTTTGCATTCGAGAACTTCTGGGTGATCTCCAGACGTGCAGTCTGCTTCTGGCGGCCGGTAAGGTGGAGAAGCGGGATACCAGGTTGCATGTGGCGGAAGGCTTCGTAGACAAAGCGAACTTGCTTGCCTGAAGAGAGGAACACTAGGATCTTGGACTTCTTGCTGGCTTGCAGGAAAGACCAGAGTGTATCCAGCTTCTCTGGTAGTGGCGTGACGGTGTAGTTCTGCTGCAGTGACTTCGGTGTTGAAGTGCTCGCCGCCTCATGTACAGAGATGTATTCAGGCTCCTTCAGCGCAAGACGTGAGAGGTCTGACACTCGCTTCGTCTGCGTGGCGCTGAATAGCATCGTCTGCCGGTCCGATGGCAAGTATTCAATGATCGCATCGACGTCCTTCTTGAACCCCATATCCATGATCCTGTCCGCCTCATCCAGCACCAGCATGCGCAGGTTGTCCACGTTGAAGGTTGAGGTTTGCGACAAGTGCTGCAATATCCGTCCTGGCGTGCACACCACGATGTTCATCCTCGACAGCGCATCTCTTTCTTCCCGCAATCCCTTCCCACCGATCACAAGTCCTGCCGCAAACAGATGTCCCTTCCCTCCGACCTTTCGCAAAACCTCGAAGATCTGTATGGCCAACTCGCGTGTCGGCGATATAATCATAGCCCCCAGCCCCGCATCTGCTCCGATACATTGTGCCCTGTACAAGTTCTCCAGCACTGGAAGCAAAAAAGCCAAAGTCTTCCCACTGCCCGTCTTCGCCGCTCCGAGAATGTCTGAGCCTTGGAGCGCTCGGGGGATAGCCTTGGCCTGGATATCGGTCAGGGCGGAGAAGTGCGCTGACTTGAGTCCCTCTTCTGTCGGTGCCGAGAGAGGTAGTTCGGAGAAGGAGGTGAATGTGCTCTTGACATCGATCTGGTCGACGGCTTCCTGAAGTTTGTTGGCGTCGACATCGTCTCGTTTGCGCTTCTGCTTCTGCGCATTCTTCTTCGGCTTCGTCGGCCGTATGCGACCGGTGTTCTGTGCTATCGCCATGTTGTAGTTCGTGTCATCGAGACATCGTTATGTTTGGTGAAGAAGAGAAGATTTGCACGTGAAAAGATGTCGATCTCGAAATCTTGGCTGGCTTCGAGATGTCGAGATGGCCCCACCGAGAGGCCGACCTCACTTCTTTCAACCTGACGCCACCGTCTGGAGACTTCAGTCAACCAGGAAGATGGAGAGTATCTCCCGCATCTCCTCGCTACTGGAGACAGCCCGTGATCTTACTCTAGAAGCAGCACAACAGGCCGGCCCACGCAGAGCAACCAAACCATTACCAGCGCAACAGATCAAGAAACTACTGGACAGCCGCAACGAACGAGAGGTCCTCGATGGCTTACGGCGAGTTATTGCCATGCAATATGCCAAACCCGCTCAACCCACCTTGACCTTCTTCCCATCCGTCTTGAAAACATTGTCCAATCCCTACCCATCGACCAGGCCGTTGGTGTACAACTATCTCATCCACCATGCGGAGGCGGACCCGGATACGGCGCTGCTGGCCATCAACACCATCCAGAAGTCGCTGTCAGACTCTAATCCACGGGTCCGCGCGATGGCGTTGAAGACTATGTCCGGCATCCGCGTCCCTGTCATCTCTCAAATCGTCAGCCTGGCCATCAAGAAAGGCGTGAGCGACCTCTCGCCACTGGTACGGAAAGCGGCTGCGCTGGCTTGCGTGAAGTGCGTCCGACTTGATCCATCTGCGAGACCACAGGTGGAGGAGTACTTGGCTGCGTTACTTGCCGACAAGCAGTATTACGTTGCTGGAGCCGCTGTCCAAGCATTCATGGAGATCTGCCCTGATCGGCTGGACATGATTCATCCGGTGTACCGGAGACTGTGCAAAATGATGGTTGACATGGACGAATGGGGTCAGCTAGCTATCCTACGACTGATGACTGTCTACGCCCGCAAATGCTTCCCCCGCCGGACCAAGACCGTCAAGCGGGCAGCGCAGACGCAAGAGCAGAAAGCTAAAGACTTCTACGAAGATCTCGAGCCTGCAGAGGCCGACGAAGACGAGTACGAAGACATCGAGATAGTCGACCCGGACCTTGATCTATTCCTCACCTCGACCAAATCACTCCTTCAATCTCGCAACTCGGCCGTCCTCATCGCCGTCGCCCGTGCCTACCTCTACCTCTCTCCCACCAAGTATCTCCCTCAAGCAATCGGACCTTTGATCGCTCTCCTCCGTTCGCCTCAGGACATTCAGCAAATCGCTCTCTACAACATCGTGCAAGTCGCTCTCCATGATCCAACGCTCTTCGTCCCTTACCTCCGCCACTTCCTCCTGAAGACCACTGAGGCGCCTTCGATCCGGACCCTGAAGCTCGAAGTCCTCACGCTCATCTTCCCGCACACCGACAAAGAGTCTCAAGCTTTTATCCTCGCGGAACTCGAGCACTTCTCTCACGCGCACGATGCGGACCTTGTTCGGGAAGCCGTCCGCGCAATAGGTCGATGTGCTCAGTATTCTTCAGCCCTGACGTCTCGCCGTTGTCTTTCGCTCCTGCTAAAGCAGATCCACTCACCAGACGAGAATCTGGTCGGCGAGAGCATAGAAGTCGTACGGCACCTCATCCAGCGCCACCCCGAAGACCATCGCAAGACTGTCGTACGGCTGGCGAAGAACCTTGACTCTTTGACTTCGCCAGTCGCACGGGCAAATGTGGTCTGGTTGGTCGGCGAGTTTGCAGGCCAGGAACCGGAGTCAGACATTGCGGCGGACGTGCTCAGGATTCTGGTGAAAGGCTACGCAGGTGAGAGCGAAGCAGTGAAGGCCCAGATTGTGTTGCTGGCTGCGCGAGTATACCTGCACCATCTCAACCGCAAGAACGAGAAGCAGAAAGCTCTCGATGCGCTCAATGCACCATCTGAAGAGCAACTCAAAGACTCTACGCCAGTCTTCGATTACACTGATACCGATGATAACGAGGGCTTCCGCGAGCCTCAGCCCTCATCACCCGAACCCGAAGCAGAGCCCGCCCAACCCATCGAGCACCTCTACACCCACACCCTCCTCCTAGCCCGCTACACACCCTCCTACGACCTCCGCGACCGCGCTCGCACCTACCGCGCCCTGCTCGCCAACCCTGCCTCCACCGAGCTGGCGTCCCTCTTACTTCTAGCGCCGAAGCCAGTACCACAAGCACCGTCACCGAGTCAGGCACGGAAAGGCTTTACGCTTGGGTCTGCGAGCTTGGCGGTAGGCGAGGCGATGCGAGGCGAGGAGGAGATACCGGAGTGGGTCAGAGAAGGCGAGGAACCCGATGTGCGGTTGAGAGATGATGGGGTGAAAGAGGAATACGGCTCCAATAAGGGCGTGGCGGCTTCGGCAGGGCAGAGGTTGGACGAGGCATTGGCAGCGGATGCGGGTGGAAAGGGAGTGGTGGAAGGAGCAAGGAAGGAGAAGACGTTGGATGCTTGGTTGGACGAGGAGGAAGAGAGTGAGAGCGACAGCGAAGAGACGGAGAGTGAGGAGGAAGAGGATGAATCGGAGTATGAGACGGAGAGCGAAGAGGATGAGAAAGCTGGTCTGGTCCGATAGTAAAACATTAGAGAACTAGAAACGAATCCTTGCAGACTGGGCAAGCAGCCTACTCATGTCATGTGAGCGTCCTTGCTCGTCAAGCTTATCGTGCCTGCGAGGTGCACAGTTCGCTAGAGAGTCCACCAGAAGCCGAGACTCGTGTGCCATCAAGTGCGGTAGTCGGAAGCCAAGGGACGCGGTTGATCGGCTGCCGGGACACCGAAGAGCGGTATTGTCGAGGGCGAAGTAGAACAGTGAGAGTGCATCACCAGCGGCGACTAGGGATGTCAGGTCAGCGTGATGTGGCCAGTGTTTGAATAATTACTTACTTGTACACATCGTCCACACGCTGCTGCTTCCGGCGTGGTCGTGGCGTAGCCTCTTCATCTTGTTCCGGGATCCCATGTAGCGAGCCACTGTTCGATTCCTCGTAGCCACGCTTGCGGCGTTGTGAACCATTCATCTCAGCACGTGGAGTCTTCTCGCCATCGTCCTCGCTGAAGTCAGACCCAGCTGCTGTGTGTTGGCTCGAGTTTGAGCCCCGGCGTCCGTTGCTGAAGGTGTGGTTGTCCGCTGCCCATGGGTCGTACGAGCCGGAGCGGCGCATAGAGCCTGGGGGCGGATGTGAAGGCGGCGGAGGGGGTGGTGGGGGCTGGTGCGCAGCTTGGCGCCTGTCAGACATGCCAGAAGCAGAGTTATCGCGGCTGGGACGTGACAGGCTGCGCTCCCGCTGCGGTTGCGAAGGTCCGATGGCTGGCCCAGGAGTCTCATACACGATCTTGGGCGAACCAGTGACTCCGAGAGCGGCGAGAAGGTCTTCTTGTGCTGGATCGCGAACCGGGAGTAGTGCTCGTGGCCTGCTTAGGCTGCGTGTGGTGGCTGAGCTGTTGGACATCGTGCGAGCGTGATGGGCGGATTGTCTGGTAGGAGCGTCGTCGTTGAGCGCTTGCTCGAGATTGCCCAGCATATCCGTCGGCTCGTCGTCGTCAGCGTGCTCATAGCCATTGGCGTCGACCTGCATGTTGCTAAAGTTGTCCTCGGGCTCTGGTGTCGGTGTTGATGCCCGGTCCTCCCACTCGGCATCATGACGGCGCCTATACTTGTCGACAAGCTCTGACAGGGCCAGGACATTTGTGGGACCTTGAGCAAACTCCCTGAAGATGATGTCATCCTTGAGCTCATTCCACCTCTCTGTTTGACGGATGCTGAGAAATGCCTCGTGTCTCCTCTCGTAGATGAAGTAATCGCTGATAGATTCATCGTCGCTTGGAAGGGCCTTGCGAGGAGCAATGGCTTCTAGCTCGGCTTCTTTGTGCGTTGGGGGCAGTGGTCGTTTGGTCGGCAACGGAGGAAGCCATGTTATGGTACCGAGACTCAGACTTGGGTCGATCTCGTCGGGATGGGTGGCGGAGTAGCCCTCGTCGAGGTAATCCTCCTCTAGAAAAGCAGTGTTGAGGTCATCGACCTCGTACCGGTCGACATTGGCTTGACCTGGGACATAGTCCTGGTTTTCGCTGAACGGGTCGGCGGATCTCCTGATGGAAGCGGACGTGGCGGAGCTGTGGCGGCTCTTGTGAGAAGGCTGCCATGGTGCCGATGAAGGACTGTGTGTTGTGCTAGTGGGAGCGGACCACGCAGGCTGGGAGTGTTGAGGCTGCTGTGGGAAGCTTGTAGTAGGGTATCCCGGATACTGCGGCTGTGGGTAGGGCTGATGAGGTTGTGCATAGGATTGATGAGGTTGCGCGTAGGCTTGTTGGGGATGCGGGTAGGTCTGCTGAGGTTGAACGTAGCCTTTAAACCCGGGTTGAGCGTAGCCAGGATATGTTGTCTGACCGTGGGGACCGGAATACGTTTTCTGGCCGTGGGGACCGGGATATGACTGTGTAGGTTGCTGCCACTGCTGCTGCTGCTGCTGCTGCTGCTGCTGGTACTGGGCAGGTTGAGCACCAGGTCCGGTATACCCTGGTGGAGGCGGATAGCGAGTGATGATCGGGTTATTCTTAGCTCTCTTGGCAGGCGGAGGCCTGCGAAGCAACGTTAGAGATGAGATCGAGGGGAGCTTGCCACCACTTACCCGGAGCGATGTGAGCCATGGCCCAAAGCCTGGTGGGGCTGCTGTTGCTGCTGGTGGTGCCATTGACCCTGCTGGAACCCCGAATGAGGGTTGTACATTGCGGAAGAAGTTGGGAGAGCTGAGCAGCTCAGAGGGCGAGAGAAATGGTGGAAGAGGAACGCCCTTGGGCGCTAGAATTTTGCCAACATGCGAGAAAGCCGACAAGAGAAGAAAAGCGAGCCTTCAGGATGTTTCTTTCGGAGTTTGTAAGAGACAAATGACGCTCTCCACCCTTGTCGAGAAGTTCTCGCGGCGCTGCTGCTGCGAGCGGCTGCGAACGTGCTGTGCGCGATGGAACCAGGGGTGATGGCCTCCGGAGCGCAGACAGTATCAGAAACCGACGAAGGTCATCAGATGTAGGATGAAGTTAGTATGAGCAGAGTGCAAGACAAGTACAGCTGCAGGCGGCGGCGACGGGCGGAGGTGGTGTCACGATATTTGTGGCATGAAGCGACGTGTAGACAAAGGGATGCAGACGCAAGATGGAGAGCGGGCGGCGGACGTTGGACGTCGATCCTGACTCGCGTGGCCTTGGCACATCACGAGCAAACCAACCGCGAGATCCCCGATGTCGACGACAATACGACACACGGCGTCATGTCTGTTCTTCCACCCTTTATCTGAACCTGGAATCCACGATGACGGTGGATCTTGGCTGGAAACCCCTTCACCCGCTTCCGCGACCTGTATCATAGCCCCTCTTCGACTGGAGAAGCGATGCCCGGACTTCCAGGTGAGCATCACACGTCCTTCGTGCTTGAAAGAATACTGACAAACATTCGTAGCCAGCGTTGACCTCGACGAATGCATTGCGCGACTATACAAAAAGGAGCTACTGGCGGACTCGGTCATCGAAGCAATATGCGCCAAGACGAAAGAGCTGTTGATGAAGGAGAGCAATGTCGTCCACATCCAAGCGCCCGTCACGGTCGTCGGCGACATCCACGGCCAGTTCTTTGACATGATAGAGATTTTCAAGATTGGAGGGTATTGCCCGGACACAAACTACCTGTTTCTCGGTAGGTCACGCGACCACATATGCTGCGGCGTGCAGCAGGCTTTGAGGGCGTGGGTTCGCTGATACAGAATGTAGGAGACTATGTGGATCGAGGTCTGTTTAGTATCGAGACCATTTCGCTGCTGGTCTGCTTGAAGCTACGGTATCCGGACCGTGTCCACTTGATCCGTGGCAACCACGAGTCTCGCGGTGTCACCCAATCCTACGGCTTCTACACCGAGTGCAGTCGCAAGTACGGCAATCCGGCAGTCTGGCACTACTTCACGGACATGTTCGACTATCTGAGCTTGTCGTGTGTTATCGACGACAAGATCTTTTGCGTGCATGGCGGCCTGAGTCCGAGTATACACAGCATCGACCAGATCAAGATCATCGACCGATTCCGAGAAATTCCTCACGAAGGACCCATGGCTGACCTGGTATGGAGCGATCCGGACGGCGAACGGGATGAGTTTAGTCTGAGCCCTCGAGGAGCCGGCTACACATTCGGCGCGCAGGTGGTCAAGAAGTTTCTGGAGGTCAACAGCATGAATCACATTTTGCGGGCGCATCAACTTTGCAACGAAGGATACATGGTCATGTTCGATGACCGGCTGTCGACTGTCTGGAGCGCACCGAACTACTGCTACCGATGTGGCAATTTGGCGAGTGTGCTCGAGGTTGGGCCTGGAGGGGAGCGGAAGTGGAATGTCTTCGATGCTGCACCCGAGAACGAGACGCATAGGATCGAGCAGCAGCAACAGCAGCAACAGCAGCATGCTGGAAATGATCCGGTGAGGGATTACTTCCTCTAGATGTACAGTATGGAGGGCGGCGTTTCAAGGGAGGAGTCGCATGAGATACCAAATAGACGGCTGCATTACTGGCGTTTTCCGGCACCACGTGGCAGGACGGCAAGACGAAGATGTTGATGTGATCGGGGCGGACTGGGGAGGAATCAGAATCAGAAGGATAGCCGACCTTATCGCCAAAACACGGCGTCCAGCAGCTGCACCAAGCTTGCCCCGCGGGTGGCCTTCAGCCGAGAACGAATGCCTGTGGAGAGTTCTGGTACCCCGGTCAAAGATGACCACCAATCTTGACCCTTTCGGATCATGCCATGCACACTCCTGTTTATATCCTCGTTTCTTGCACAACGTTACTCCCGACGTGGAACACAAGAAGCTCGCTGTCGTTAATGAAGGGTGCGACCAAGTGATCTCGACCATGCTGACTCGTGATTGGGCAGACTGCAAGGCTCTCAGTGGTGCAACAAGACACCTTAGGAAGGTAGCGAGGGTACATGTACACGTAGGTACTGCAGTCTGCGGTGAACATGATCACAGGCAACAGCATTCTTTCACTTCAATGTCACTCTTTACCATTCGTGAGGACCCCTGCCGCTAACTTCACTGACTTCACACAACCTACTTCATGGAGCCACGAACATGGGCCTAGCCGAATGACCGGTCCTTTGCCATGCCGCGCTCAGCCTTGCCTCTCCTCCAGCGACCGTCGGTCATCGCAACGTCTTTCTTGACGTTCTTCGCTGTTTCATTCCTGCTCTTCACCCCGGCATCTCCCCTGGGGCGCGTGCACAACTGGCTCCACTCAAAAGAGAAAGAGCACCTCGAGGCTAAGAGTCAAGAGTACGACATTGTCCTTCCAACGCCTCTCCTAGAGGTCTCAGGCACTTTCGGCTGGCAAACGACATCTTCCTTCAACCCAGTCCGCTTCGAAGACGTCACCAACAAGTCCATTTCAGAGCTATGCGCATCATGGCCGGCGAATCTGCTGTCCGACATCCAGCCTGTCCTGAAGACCGGCCACGGCGTACTCGACGCCCGCGTTCGACCGTAACTTCAGGATGTCTCGGCCTGCCTCGTCAACCTCCTGATCTTCTCCGATACGGAAGAGCACTACGAAGGTCATAACATCATCGACTTCATTCAAGACATCCCTTCACATGTTCGCGACGGTGAGAGACGGCTTGAAGCCTGGCGCAACGGCTCGCTTGCGGATGGTACTGCAACGCGGAAGCAAGCCTGGAAGACCGACAAGTTCAAGTTCCTTGCCGGTGTCTGTCGCGCCTGGAAGATGCGGCCGGTGCGGAAATGGTATGTCTTCTACGAGGCGGACACCTACATTGTCTGGGACAACATCTTCCGCCTGCTCGAGAACTTCGACCCGGATGAGCCGCATTACTTCGGTGCGCCGTCGAAGGGACGCCGCGGGACGTGGTTTGCGTACGGCGGGTCAGGATACGTCATCAGCAGAGAGGCGATGCGGCGGCTTATGCGCGAGGACTATGATGATAAGGGGCAGTACCTGAGCTCGAAGCTGAGTGAACATCATTGGTACAACATTCAGCACGACTGCTGTGGTGACAGCATCTTGGGATGAGCGCTGGTCCACGTGGGCGTTTTGCTGGAGGGGCTGTGGCCGATGTTCACGCCGCATCCGCCGCACAAGATACCGTTTTCGGGGAAGAAGAATCTTTGGTGTCAGCCGGTGATCTCGATGCATAAGCCGTTGGAGGATGACCTGCTGGGGTTGTGGCGGTGGCAGTGGGAGCAGCGACGAGCAGATGTGAGTTTAAATGTCAGTGAGGCTGACATGTGCTGACGTTTATCCAGCGACCACTCCTCTACCGCGACCTCGCAACGTCCTACTTCAACCTCACGAACCTTACGATCCGCACCGACTGGAACACTGCGCAGCATGACGCCCCTGTCGCGGAGTACCCGAGCGATCACTACACCCACGACCCGCACGAGTCGATCGAAGCATGCAGCTCCGCTTGCACAGCCGCGGAGAAGTGCTTCACGTGGACATATCACCTTCGACAATGCCACCTTGGCACACGACTGCGGGCTGGTTTGCATGCCGAGCCGAGTCTGAAGAAGGTGGGAGGGAAAACCAAGCTGACAGAGGATGATGGGACATGGACTGACGAAGACTTGAGATTTGTGGCAGGCTGGAATCACGAGAAGATCAAGAAATGGGTGGACGAGCGGCCTTGTGAAGAGGTGGAGTGGGTGAGACCGAGCATTACGAGGATGTTCTGATGCTGTTCGAGTGGCGTGTTGATGATGCCTTGCATGGACAGCAGCGATGAGATACCCCATGAGCGATGAATTTCCACAGCAAAAACACCACAACTCGCTCACCCTCACTAATCCCAGCCAAGAAAGCGAGAAAGCGAAAAACGTCTGGTGTCTTGATGGCCCTGTGCAGCGATCCGGGTCCTGTCCCATCACTGTCCTTTTTGGTTCTCATGTACCCGCACCATTGCAGCGCCTGAGCTTCGAATCGGCGTGCAGGACTTGTGCTGAGGCCTCTTCACTCAACCGTATCATCAAACAGCGTTTCTCACTCGTCCAGCCATATCCTCCACATACCGAGCATGATCGCCAACGCACTGAGCCCCGTACTGACATATCTGCGAAGAGGCCCGTCCGGCTGTAGATCGAGCATTACTCTCTGCTTTTCAAGTAAGGCTCTCTCGTTTTCGTGCAAGGATCGTTGCGGCGCGGAACCATCAATCCGAACCAGAGCATCCCCAAGGTAAGGCATCCGGTGGTACATCCGACGTCGCGGAAGGCCGTACTTCACTGACAGCTCGACCTGTGAGTTGCCGTACACCTTCTTTTCCGCCGCTCGAATGCCTGACTCCAGGATCTCGAACAAATTCTTGCGCTGTGGGAACTTGTGGCCGAAGGCGTCAATCGGCCCGCAGGTGAGCGTGAGCGACTTGACACTGCGGCCAGGCACCAGATTCAAGAACGCATGAAGCGGTTCGAGGTGCAAGTCTGAAGCTCCTAGCAGTGCATCGTCGTTTGACATCCTGCCCAGCTCGATGACGAATGAGTTGCAGGAGTAGAACAGGGACCTCATCTCGTCTCGGAGTTCATGGCAGACAGAAGTCAACGCAAACGTGTGCTTGCCTTGGCCCCCAATTGCCACCGGAGAACGCTTGCTCTTCCGCACCGTGGGTCGAAATTCGATGTAAATGTCGTACGGCTGCGCGAAGACCATCTCACCAATCATGTTCAACAGCTCAGCCGATAGGAGGCGAAGTGGTGAGTTGTCCATGATTGTAGCAAAGTGAGGCTGCTCGTGCCGTCAGCGGATGGTGTCGGGAGTCTTAGAAAGGGGGACAATGTACTGAAGTCTTGCAGATTTCGGTGATGGGTGCGCCAGGCTATAGGTACTCGCTCAGTCTTGCAGCGGCTCTTACAGAGAGCCTCTACGAAGCTGCGGAAGCAGTCAGTACCCTTCCGTGCAGAGAGACGTTGTCAGAAGTCACGATCGGAAGAAGCATACCAGGTTGTGTCCACATGCCGGTCTCAGGGCAGGAGGATTAGTGAGGCTTGGTGTTGCGTTGTGCGAAGGTGTGTGTGAGCATATGAGGTCAAATTCTGTTTCAGGCTGCAGGTTCACGAGGCTGGACAAAGACGGCAGGAGCGATGCAGCTGGGTGGCCCCTTCCTCTTTCGAATTGTTCAAAGCAAGAGCTTCGCCATCTGCTCCCGATCATATGCACAGGAGAAACGGGAAGACCAAACTGCTATTCTTGTTTCATTCTCTCTCCCTTGTCTTTGTCCACTGCCAGCCACAATTCCGCACACAAGAGGAAAAGGATCACCCTCACTCAGATAAGCTGTCAAACACCCCCCCTGGCTCTCATCTACTTTGATGTTCCGAGCTCGTGGGTACGCCCCTACTCGGCCAACCACTCCAACCACATGACGAACCACTCAGCCATCAGAGTCGGAGGTCCCAGGACAAACCGATATTGCAAGACCGTGTCCAACTCCGTCATCGACTTCTCGTTCTCTTGACAAGACTCGAGCGATTACGCCATGTGGTGCTATCGAGAGGCTCGCCGATCGGAGAAATTGTGACTTTCGCTTGGAGAGGCTCCGGGAGCGCCAGTACCAGCTCACTGATCCGGTTCCGCAGCTCCGCGGGCAGCTTCCTGAGTGGTGAGTGCTCCATTGTGGTGATGATGCCGGTGAGCGGAGGCTGACGTGGAGACTGGTACCGGTTGAGTGTGCTTGTGCCCCAGTCCCTGCTGTATAGAAGATTGTGGTCAGCGAGCCCGTTCAAACTTCACTGGAGGGTTGCAGATCTCCGAAGTTATGACTCACCTGAGTGGTTTTGGGAAGACCTGCTAAGCTGTGTGGAAGTTCATCAGCACTTTTGAGGGTTAAGAGTTTAAGCCGTGAAGACGTGACAGGTGTTCTCCAAGGGGCGTGCACTACGCGTGTGATGAGGTGAAGTGAAGACACATTGAGATGAGTGAAGTGAAGACACAACCGAGACTTACGTTTACATCAGGACAGTAAAACAACATGCTCGCTCAACTCCCGACTTTGCGCCTTGAAGATCTTCCACCCCATCGCCGACGGTTGTTGCAACCCTCGCTCGCCCTACTAGACCTTCCATCATCTCCTCCTTGCCTGATGTGTTCCATTCCACCATAACTCCCCTCGGCAATACTTTGGCCATCAGTTCCACCAGCTCCGTCACTCTGCAGCAGTCTCGGACCTCAGCGTCGACGCCCAGTACTCCAGCATTCCAGCCACCTTCCCAATATAATGATGTTGCCAAAGGGGTCTTTCGGGAAGCTCCGCGATCATCGCCTCTAAGACTCCGACACCTACTTGACAATCTTCAGCGGCCCTGCCCGCACTGAGAGAGACAGTCGCGAAGTGGTCGCGGTCCAACACTCCCTGCACATCAAGACCGCATGACGACCTCCCGGACACCACGACTTGTGCTTTTGCTACCGCTAACCGCATCAAGTGGAGCAGCTATGTTTGGCCCATAGATTCTTCCGGGAAGACTGCGACGGAGCAACGCGGGTTGAATTGGAAAATGACATCTAGCGAGGCGACGTGTTGAATATCCAGTTGCGCGAAGGATTGTAGAAGGTTCTCCAGCGGCCCAAGGACAACCTCGTCCTTGTGTGTGTTGCAGCATTTTTTCTCGCGGGGCCCGCCTAGATGGTGATCGAGAATGACTTCGAACGAGTTGAGCGAGAAGAAGTGGTCCTTGGTTTCGTCGCGCAGCTGCTTGCATGTCTGTGACAGAGCGCAGAGAGCGGAGTACTCGTATTCGTGGTCGTGATCGTAGAACAGCAGGGGCCCGCGCCCTACGTCTGGAGGCTGTGGCTTGAGACGTAGAGGGAATGGCAGAGTAAGAGCGAGCTCGGAGATCTGGTTGCGTATTTCGGCCGGCAGCCTGTTGAGTGGAGAGCTCTCCATGATCGCTGCAGCGACGAGGGTATCAGCAGCTGGAGCCCTGTCAAGGCGCTGTAGTGCTTACCACGGAGAGCCGTCAATGCGGCGATCGTGCGGTCGGAGGAATTGGCAGACAAAACCTATTGAACGGAGTCAGCGGGGTGCGTTGTAACGATCGGTGAGCCATGCTGGTCTAGAGCTTACCATGCGACCCGTGGTCGAATTCTTTCCTGTGACGCCGGCGACAATCCGAGTGTGCAGAATAATGTTCAGGTTGTCGCAGTAGAAGAAGCCACAGCCAAGTTGCTAGCGCGCATCGAGCCTAGTGCGTCATCACATGAACACAATTGTGACCTCACCTCACAGCACCAGGTGTTTCCACTCAATGATCGATGGTAGAGAGAGGCTTCAAATTCAGCAGCACTGTACAGGTGATGAGAAGTGGAACGAAAATATATACATACCACAAAGGCGGACAAGCACGGCACCCTAAGAGACACATGCTCCGCCAACGCCACGCTATCACAATTGACGCCGCACCGGTACGCTGGACAACACGTGCTGCACGCGCTCGCCCATTGAGTTCGACGATTCCAATGGTGTTGGCATTATCAGCAATTACATCCGCCCTCGCTCTCCGGTTTCTGCGGGTTCACATTGACATCGATTGCTGGGTCATGCGTGTCAGTATACATCTTATCCGCGAACATCCCAACGATTTGCACTCACTATTAGGCTGCCCCTGCTGCCCCTCTCCCTCCATCCCTGGCAGCGCCTGCGCAATCCTCTTGAACAATGCCTTGACATTATGTCCCACCTTTGCACTCGTCTCCACAAACATCAATCCATGCTTTTTCGCCTCATCCTCGCCCTGCTGTGCCGTCACCTCCCGCTTGTCGTTCAGATCTGTCTTATTGCCCACGAGCACAATGATGACATCGTTCCCTCGCTCCCCTCGCACATCGTCTACCCATTTCCGTGTTTGTTGGAAGGACTTTTGAGATGTGATGTCGTAGACTACAACCGCTACGCTGGAGTCGCGGATGTATGAGGGGATGAGAGAGCGGAATCGTTCTTGGCCCGCCGTGTCCCAGAGTTGCAGGCGCACGGTGCGGTCTTCGAGGTACATTGTTTTGGAGAGGAAGTCGATGCCGATGGTGGCCTGGTAGGTGCTGTCGAAGGAGTCGTACATGAAGCGGGTTATTAGAGAGGTTTTGCCGACTGTATGTCGTATGTCGAGGGTTAGTCTGACGTTGGCGGTCAAGGCAGGCTTCTGGGGATGTGCTGACCTGACTGCTCGCCCAAGAAGACCAGCTTGAACTTCTTCAATGGGTTGGTGTACGATCCCACGCTTTGCGCCATGCTGGCTGTTGTGCTGCCCTCGGGCTACCCTCGATCGTCGGTGGTTCAATGCTTTTGCTTATGATGCTCCTCCTGCTGATACCCGGGATGGCGCTCGTTGCGTGGGTTTCCTGTAAGGAGAAGGAGGCCACCGGATTGACCGAGAAGAACTATGTGTTTTTGTGGGATGTCACGATCGCGTTGATATAGGAGGATGAAATGAAATGTCGATCCACTCGCACGAGGTCGACAGGGTTGCCGCTGCCACGGGACCCTGCTGCTGCCGTCCCAAGCGGACTGTTAGCGCCGGATCTGCCCGACGATAAGACAAGCCAGATCTATTGCTGGAATTTCTAAATCTTCTCCCTCGACTTCACGCAGTCGCTTTATACTCCACAGAACACCATCATGGCCGAGACCACCGCACTGTCCCCGGCAACGCATCGCCAGCCTTCCCGAAAAGGCAAGAAGGCATGGCGGAAGAACGTCGACCTCACCGAAGTGCACCAGGGTCTGGACACTACGCGAGACGAGATCATCAAAACCGGAGGCGTGATTGCGGAGAAGCCGGCGGACCAGCTGTTCGCTACTGACGTATCCGGCGATGCGGAGATCTCGAAGCTGCAGCACGGGAAAAAGCTGCTGAAGGCCGATGAGATTCTGGCACAGCGCTCCGCAGTACCTGGTCTGGACGGGAAGAAGAGGAAGGCCGCTGAGCCAGCAGTCGTGCCCAACAAGAAACAAAAGAATGGCGAGTTTGTCTCACGCAGGGAGCTGGAACGATTGAGAGCCGTGGCAGACGGGGCAAATGGTGGCCTAACAGTGGAAGACCAAGCCGAGCACGACCCGTGGGCGCAGCCCGTGGTGAAGACCGACCCTCAACTGAGCTTTTTGGAGGACGTCAAGCCCGCACACGAGCCGAAGACTCTTAAGCATGCACCAAAAGCGCTTACGGCCAATGGCAAGCGTATACCCAACATCCGCAAGCCAGATGCCGGCAAGTCCTACAATCCACTGGTCGACGACTGGAGTGCGCTGTTTGAACGAGAGGGTGCAGCAGCGGTTGAAGCTGAGAAAGAGCGCCTGGCAACAGAGGCTCAGGCTGAGGCAAAGGAGGCACGGGCATTGGATGAGGCGGCAAAGGTCGATGCAGCAGAAAAGCTGGAGTACGCTACAGACTACGACTCTGCTTGGGAGAGTGAGTGGGATGGATTTCAGTCCGAGGCAGAGGAGGCTCATCTACAAAAGCAACGGCCACGCAAGACGCCGACGGAAAGAAACAAGGTCAAAGCAAGGAAGGAGCGGGAGGCGAAGGAGGTGCATGAGCGCAAGGCGAAGGCGAGAGAAATGCAGGAGAAGCGGATCTCGCAGATCGCAAAAGAGGTGTCAGCGAAGGACAAAGCTCGCCGCGCGCATACCATGGCCCTTCAGCCTGCCGACAATGGCCCGTCAGACTCCGAAGACGAGGGCAAAGATGTGCAACTACAGCGTCTTCGATATGGCAAGGTCGCTGTGCCAGATGCGCCACTCGAAGTCGTCTTGCCCGACGAGCTGGAGGATTCTCTTAGGAGGCTGAAGCCGGAGGGCAATCTGATGCAGGAGCGGTATAGGAATATGTTGGTCAGTGGCAAGGTGGAGGCGAGGAAGAGGAAGTGGCAGCACAAGCAGGCGAAGAAGACGAGGAGTGAGAAGTGGAGCTACAAGGATTGGCAACTAAAGTGATGGGCTGGTTGTAGGAGCTATGGAGTGCATCAACGATCGCGCAATGAAGCGCTTCTGCCCGCGTAAGCATACGATCTAGTCAAGGGAGTAATGTGCCAATTGTTACTCCCTATATCAAGCAGGTTTGAGCAGCTCTCTTTCACAACCCTGCTGCAGGTTCTAAGCACTGGCGACTGCTGGCGTTGTGTCCTTGATGACGGTAGCGTCACCAACCATGTAGCCTACACAGTATAGACCTTCTATCTCTTCTCGATTGAGTATCCCTGGCCACCATTGCCATTGACTGGGAACAATGTCACCAGAGTCCCGAGCTCCATGTCGTTACGATCCAAGAGTTTTGTCTCGGCAGCTTGCTCTTCTCCAAGTGAGGCTCGCTCTTTGCGGAAATAGTCGAGTGCGCGCTGCGACGTCTTCCTGCCGTCCCTGACGACAACATCAGCACGCCATTTTGGGCTCCATTGGTGGCGCAAGTTGCAAACCGCGAGGGTGAAGGCAGTTGCGTTGTGCTGGTCGAAGCGATCCGGAAAAGGTACACTGAGACGGAGATTGAAAGCTGAATATCCTGGCTGTCCCAAGAGCCGTTTCATACCCCATGCCAGACTATACGGCAGTCGAGAAGAAGTCACTGGTTCCTGAATCTCTAGCACTATGGACAGCGGTGGCTGACCGCGCCATGTGCGAATGAGGTCTTCCAGAGGGTCCAATTCAACGAGCTTGGTCCAATACCCGCTGGGTCCGTAACGCGGAGTATTGGGATGGCGCAGGTGCCTGGACCACGTTGGTATCACCACATCGTTCACAGCGAAGAGCAAAGGCTTTGATTCCTGACGGACCTGTCGACATGTCTTCAAAAGGCCGAAGTGGTCGACTGCGTCACCCTTGCGATCGGCCTGGAAGCGGGAGATACGTCCGCGGCCAGGCAGTACCGCAGGACCAGTGAACTCAAGCTGCGCACCATTGTATCTTTCAACGAAAACGCCATTGGGGTTTTGGCGGGTGTGATAGTCGTCGTGCAGCTCCCACCCCGCCTGCCCAGTCGGATAGTAATACAACATGAAGTGTTCGTACACGATGCCTTCAGGTTGGTGCAGTACGAGCCTGTACACCATGTCACGCAGCTCGCGTGGGAGGCGGCTCAGTGGTGAGTCGTCCATGGAGTGTGACGTGAAGGCTGGTGTGGTAGAGAGTCGAATTTCTACCAGGAAACAGCTGAGGTATCAGAGGCAAGCTCCTTTTAAGCAGGGCCCCAGCCAGCAGCAGCTTGCCTTAGCATCGTGATGTACATCTCTTCCCGGAGTTGTCTTGTATGAGAACAACGATAGGCACCATACCAATGCTTCTTCGCTTGTCGAAAGAAGAGGCCGTCGCAGGAGCTACGCACAATCATTGTTCGCCGTCGTGAGCAACAAAGGACATTCCGGTGACATGAAGCAGGCACCAGAGTTTCTGGGGGCTCATCGGGTAAGGGGGAGCATCAGAAGCAACGGAAGGGGACCAAGTTGATGACTCTTGCAGCATGAAAGTCCACGGCAGGCCGATCTTCATATTCCGTCGGCCCAGTCGCATGGAAAGGCATGAGATGCTCGTCTACTCAGCCTTCCGCATGGCAGACGCAAAAAGCAACCATCAGCAGAGGCGTTGGAAAAGGACAGGCAGGCGAGGCATCTGGTAAGACTGCAGCACACATCCGGAGTCACGATTAGTCTTTTCTAAGACTGATCTGGTGAGCTATTCCAGGTAGATGATCGTCGAGAGAAGGCCTCTGCCGCCGTTGAGTCGTAAGAAAGCGCCCAATTTGCCCGAGTCGCTGCCAGTCGCCCGGTGGCTGCCACGTTCCTGCCATCTCCGCATTGCAGGGTCGAGATCTGAGATAGGGAGAGCCGCGCTCGAATCGTGCTTGGAACTCTATGTCGACTGCGTCAGCTCCTCAACCGCTTGCTGTGTATCCGTAGTCGTTCCACGGCCCCATATTTCAAGACAGCAGCTTCCAGCACTCTGGCCCGGGCTCATGCTCCGGTCGTCGCCTGTGCAAGCTGCAAGATTGTTTCGCGGGAGACATGCGTTCGTATGTGGCGTGATCAATCTGTGGAGGATTCGGTGCTTTTTCCACTGAATCTTAATGCACTCAAGATCCAAGTCGCGTGGCCATCCTTCTAGATCCTTGCCAGCTCCGCATCTCCAAACGCTCACGACTCAAGATGAGGTGGGGATAAGCTTCGCATGACTTTGGGTGACCAGGAGGACCAATGAAATGGGATGCTCGCTCGGAAGAGCAGGCGAGAAGTCGGCAAGGAAGCTTGGGATTCTGGGGAAGTGGCCGGAAAACGAGATCCCCCAGACCAGGTCTGGACGAGAAAGTCTAGATGGGACGGTCTTGGACGGGGTACAGACAGCCCCCGGATCCGTCAATGAATCGTGGTACTCTTATAACATCGTCCGACACCCACATGGTAGGAGAAGTTGTCTTTGTCTCGCCTTCCGCTTCTGCTCTCCTGCACCCTTCTTCACCCCTGTTCCCATTCCGTTGTCACGCAAGCGGAGTGGACACTGCGGCGACACACGTCCCGTAGCACAGACGCTGTGCACTCGAACGCCGTTCGAGGATGTCAGCGGACCATAAGGCTGCAACAGCAATGTCATCCGAGCACAGAGAGGGGATGAGTGACCACCACGACAAGGACCGCATAGCGGTGACACACGCTGATGGTAAGTTTATCCCTTCAACCCACCAAAACGTCTTCTAACCTTTGGTTTAGGCACCGTCGATTACCTCGCCCGCGAGATTGTCGGAGGCGACGTTGACGAGCTGCCCAAGGGCTACTTCCTCAGCTGGCAATTCATCGGGACCGTGACGGCGACATGCACAGCCAGCATCTGCGCCTACCTCGGCTGGGTGCTCCCGGCAAACACCCTCCTCCTCATCAACGAAGACATCGGACCCAGCGTGAACCTGAACTGGGTGGCCACGATATGGACACTCGGCAGCTCCATCGGCTTCCTGCTCTTCGGCCGTCTATCGGACATCTTCGGTCGCAAGACCATGGTCATGGGCGTCAACGTGCTGGGACTTGTGGGCTGCATCGTGGGCGCCACCGCCACGAGCATCAACCAACTCATCGGCGCCAACGGATGCAACGGTCTCGCTGCTGCCGGCCAACTGTCGTTCGGTATCATCCTGGGTGAGCTGGTGCCGAATAAGCAGCGTGGACCCATCGTCACGCTTACCTTTTTCTCCTCCATGCCGTTTGCGGTGTTCGGGCCCGTCATCGCACGCTCGTTCATCCTCAACACCTCATCCGGATGGCGCTGGTCGTACTATTTGGGCATCATCCTGCAGGTCATCACCCTAGTTCTGTACCAGTTTCTCTACCACCCGCCACACTTCAACCAGCTCCACGAAGGCAAGACCAAGTGGCAAGCGTTCAAGGAGCTGGACTTTGGCGGCATCTTCCTCTTCGTATCCGGCTTCGTGGTTCTCCTTATCGGCTTGTCGTGGGGTGGCCAGGCCTATCCATGGAAGAGTGCTGAGGTCATCGCGACCATGGTGGTTGGTGGTCTGCTTGTTGTTACTTTTGTAATATATGGTAAGTCATGAGGTGTACACCTTTGATCATTGAATGTTGCTAACCATCTTATAGAGGCATACATATTCAAAGGCGTCCCACTGATGCCGCCGCGGCTCTTCCGCAATGTCGGATATGTCGCCATCGTCGGTTGCGCGTGCATAGGCGCCATGGTCTACTACGCAATGACGATCATCTGGCCCACTGCAGTCGGGACACTCTACACCACCGACGTAATGGAGATTGGCTGGCAGAGCTGTCTTGTCGGCGGCTGCATCCTCCTCGGCCAGATCATCGGTGGTCTGTCCCTCAGCTACGTGCCAAAGGTCAAATGGCAATCGATCGCTTCTTGTGCCATCGGAGGGGCCTTCATCTCCAGCCTGGCGTCCATCTCCCCTGGTGGCCATACAGCTGCGATCGTGCAAGGATTCATCGGCCTGACTGCCATTGGCATCATCGACAACATCACGTTTCCTGGCGTGACGCTGCTGTGGGAAGCTCAAGACATCGGCCTGGCGACTGGCGTGCTGGGTTCTATTCGCGGCATGGGAGGCGCCATTGCACAGTCGCTCTACGTGACCATTCTCACGAACAAGGCCGGCACATACACGGCTGAGTATGTCACCGAAGCCGCAACGGATGCCGGCTTGCCCGCGAGCTCGTTGGCTGCACTATTCGCCGGGCTGACAACCGGCGACTTCTCTGCCGTGCCTGGCATCGACAACAGCATCATCGCAGCGGTCGGCGCGGCCAGCCAGCAGGCGTATGCGAGTGCGTTCCGGATCGTCTTCCTGGCAACGATTCCCTTCTCAGTCCTGCTGGTTGTTTGTGCGTGCTTCGTGCCGGACATGGACAAGTATCTGCACAACAATGTGGCGAAGAAGCTCCAGGGCAAGGGAATCGGCAGCAACAAGGAGGTGGTGGCCGACGTCGAGAAGGCTTGATGTTGAACATTTGCTGTTGTTCTATTGATTGTATATATGATTGCAAAAGCATGATCGGATCGATCGCAACGCCCTTTGAATGGTCGATTCACGTCAACATTCGTCTGTTAACAACGTACATTACCTGTTCCGACTTGGGGTTGTGAGATGTGGCAATTGTTCTCAACTCAACCTCAGGGCGTCTGGCCTAATGGGCTCGGTCAGCTCTTCGTCTGTCTGGGCCTCATTGGAGTGTTCTAACTGCTAAATTCGAATGGTACATCATTGTCACCGAAAAGTACGTTGTCGTGCTGCTGGTAATGTCGATCCAACGACTCGGTGTAAGGCTGAGCGTGAGACCCGGCGGAAGGGTGAGGCGAAGCGAGATGACGGGATCTTGGCGCGGATGCTCCGGCTGGAAAGAGGAAGAAGAGGCAGGCAACACCTTCACAAGACTTCTCTCTTCCTATACCACCACCACCACTTCCACGATCATGCGCCAATAGCCACAATAGAACAATCCCACACACACATACGCGCACCCCCTTGCGACCACGATGTCGCCCATCCTACGCTTCCCCAAACCGCAAGTAAGACACCCAGCAACACCCGCCATGCGACAGGACATACTTACAAAGCGCCGCAGTCCTTCCTCCACATAGTCTCCCTCCGCACCATCACCGAGCTCGTCACCCTCATCCTCCTCTTCAACAAGGTCTCCGGCCTCTACGGCATCCTCGCCCTCTTCACCGGCTACGAGCTGAACCCGCTACAACTCTCCCACTACATCTACTCCCTCTTCGTCCTCGGTGCGGTCACATGGCTGTACCCTAGCATACGAAAGCCCGAGGAGCCGCTCAAGAATGTCGCGCTGGCGTGGATATACGTGCTGGACACCGTCATCAACAGCGCGTACACTGCGCTTTTCGGCGCCGGGTGGTTCTTAGTGCTGGCGCGGGAGCTGAATCAGCCGGTATCGTTTGAAGGCGACGTGGGCAGTGTGCCTGGATCCGGAACGATTGACGACACGGCTGGCTTCACAAACCCACAACACAACGTTACGAAGGTGGAGATTTCGGCAGAGCCAGCGCCTGGTATGCTTAGTGGACAGAAGGCGATCGCATACGGATCGCAGTACGGTTCTCTTGGCTCCGCGGTCTTCCAGTCCGGAAGTATGGCTTCTTTGACTGTGCTAGGTCTGCTCTGGATCGTGCGAACATACTTCTGCATTCTGGTGATGAGCTACGCCCGGAGCATGCTACGCAAGTACGTGGCGTCAACTTCGACAGAATACAGTCATGCAGAGGACCCGGCACTTGCCGAGAACCCGTTCCGCATCGAACGCGAAGAGGGCGCTGGGTGGAGAGGCAAGCTTGGACGATTCATGCTCAAGTTCCCAACGAAACGGTACTGGCTGGGTAAAGATGAATCAGAGGACGAATGGGTGCGGGCTACCTCTGGCAAGTTCGAGAGCGGAAGGGGCACGGGGCTGAGGATCAAGGTTCCCGAGCACGGAGTAGGTGAGAGGGAGCGGAGGGCGAGGAGTGGGACGGGGCCGCCACTGCCTGTAGCTCTGAAGGGAAAGGAATGATGCTGGAAGATGCATAACTGGGACGAGTTGGTTATGGACTGGTTGTATAGCATTGCGGCGGGCGTTCGGATCCAAGTCCTGTATAGACCGTGGAAATACATAATGTCACGATACCCTATATACCGTCACAAATCGTGTTGTTCCTGACGCTGCTCTCTTGCTGCCGGGAACAGATTCATGGGTTGATCTGATAAGGTAAGATCTCACTCGCACTCATGTCGAGTGCCCCGCAGAAGCCGGCTCTCGGAGACCTTAACTCCAGCATCACACGGAAGACGATGAGATCAGCACATCTCCCATCTCCCCGGCAGTCTTGCGACGACAGCAGCTTCAATGCTGTCTTCCGTCAAACCACTCGACACTCCATGATGCTGGCCCGTTGAAGGAACGACCAACCCATCCACCCACCGACCAGCCATGGCGTGCCTGCTCGAGCTCAGCCATGAGCTCCTCCACTGCATCTTCACCGAGATCGAGCCTGCAGACATCGCGAGCGTCAGTCGGACGTGCCGGGACTTGAATGCGTACATCAATGGCAACCGGCTGCTGCACAAAGAGCTCTATATCAGGCGATACGATGAACTGGATGGCAAAGCGGGCGAGCCCGACTGGGAGGCCGAGATGCACAAGGCCGTACTACTCGAGAAGATACTGGAGAGCGAGGACAAGGAGACAAAGGCCGAGCAGCTCGGCTTCGTGGCAGAGCAGATCGATGCCATGTTGATGAAGGCCAACCCGGACTGTGACAAGTCGCTCAACGTCGAGCTGCTGAGGGAGTACTTCTCCGACACCGCCAACATCGACACCTTCCTGTGCTCGAGCTCGCTCTTTCAGATTGCCGGAACAGAGGACCAACGGGCGGCGCTGACTGTAGAGCTACGGCAGGCCTCTGCGAAGCTTCACTGTCTGTATGGCAAGCCCGTGGATCCAGTCCCGAGCAAGCGGTGTTCGGCCCACTACTCCATCTCGCCCTTCTTCGCCATCCGGAACATCGACAACAACACCTCTCCTTCTGCGAACACTCGTGGTCAGACTCGAGCTTTCCCGGCGCATACTGTGGCGCGGAGTAAGGTCTATGATCTCCGGCAGTACACGGATCATACGCTTTGGGGTCCTTTCACGGACGATGGCACGCAGACCGTTGACTGGGAGAAGGTCGAAGCCATCATGCTAGTCCTAGGCTTCAACCTCAACAAGTTCACCGATCGCTCTGGCGGACGCTTTGAGCGAGTGTGGGATGATCCGTTCGTCGGCGCGATACCACACTCGTACATCCCACCTCCAGCCATCACCGGCCCGACTAAAGAGTTCGATCAAGAAATCTCACTTGCCCGCGAGCTTGAGCCATCGATCGATGACCTTGACCCATACGGCGTGAGCGGGACGTGGATGCGCGTGGTCTGCTTCCTCGACTACAACGACCTCTACGCCTTCAATTTCAGCTCGCGCATCCCGGACGACGAGCCGAGAGAGCCCATTGACACGGAAGAAGGTATCATTTACCTTGAAGAGACCGTACGTTTACCAATGCTGATTTTACAATGTGTTAGCGATTCGACTGATTCGGATCCAGCTGCAAGTCACGAAGGTTGAGCCGCCGAGTGACGGGGATGATAGTGGGGATGAAGAGGAGGATGGGATGGACTGGAGTAACTTTGAGGGCGAGAGATTGCCAATTGTGCATTTCAGGGGCAGCTCGAGGAGTTTGCATGCGAGTTGGGATCCGAATGCTAATAGTCGGATAAGAGGTGAGTCTCTCGCGGTATAACCTCGATCGGAGGAGGACATTGCTAAACATGAATCCAGGCACTGTGAGACAGACGCCCGAAGGCGAGATTCGATGGACGACATTCTCCATCTTTCACGGCGAAGAGCGGTGGCGTTCTGAAGGGATCCAGGTCGGTGGTATCCGGTCGTCACGAGGCATACTGGGAAGCTGGTTTGATAAGTATGTTCAGCATCCACCAGCTTTCATGCGTTGCACTGCTGACCTTGAATAGGGACTACGACAGGCATGGACCAGCAGGTCCGACCGCTTTCTGGAAGATGTCAGATGATGTGGCCGAGGAGAAGACGAGCAGTATGCCGATCGCTTACTTTTGACAATCCCACGTCTGATCGCTTCACCAGCTTTCCTCCCTCGGTAGTCAGATGGTTTCAGTGAGGGGGCTGGACGTTCTTGCTGTAATGTTAAGAAGATGGAACGGGTATACAACGGATGATGGTCATGATGTACACGAGCTAATTCTGAAACCATTCCAAACTATACTATCACCCTCTACACAAACTCCGACCGAAGCAGAGGAGGTCTCATCCTCACATGCGCTGACCACCCAGTCTAGCCCTTGCTTGCTCAGCCTTCTCCGCCGCCTTCTCAGCCTTCCTCTGCATCCGCGCAGCCCTCTTCTCCGCGCACCTCGTCTGGCACTTGCTCATCCCGGGAGCTGCGTTGCTGCTGCTGCTGCTGCTTCTTGGCTGATCGACGTAGCGCTGGCGTCCATCAACGACCTCCTCATCGCTCGAGTCCTCCAGCTCAAGCGCGCCCTTCTTCTCATCACCCACTGCGTAGTTGTGAGAGTACTCAGGCAGCTCCGCGCGGTTGACAACCACATCGTCGTAGCTCGGTGGTGGGATTCCGGCTTTGGAAAGAACCTCGGCGTTGGCGTTCTTCTCTGTGAATAGAGCGGTGGTGTTGTTGGAGGAGTGGGAGGCTTCAGGGGCTCGAGCGGCTTGCTTTTGTTGGTACTTGTCGTAGGCCATTTTGCCGAGGGTGAGGAGGAGAGGTTGGCGGCGGGGCTGGGAGCAGCTGGAGTTGTATTGGTTGTAGCGGCGGTTGGAGCAGCACATTTTGGGTGGTTGTTTGGTTGGTGGGTTGATCGAACGGATTGATCGTTGGTTGAGTGATTGATCGATTGGTTGACGGATGGATTGATCGAGTTGCGTTCTTGCTGAACGCTGAAGATGGTGTTGCTGTTCGATGATATCCCAAACTTCGAGGAATCGAGCCCAGTATATATCCTCGTTCAATTACGGCCTGAAGAAGTCAAACTACATCATTGCATCGGCGCATTGGTTGTCCGCTTGGCGTGGTTTCTCGGGCGAGAACTTCGCATTGCGAGACCGAAACGGAATGGTGGCCAAATCCTTCCACCATTCTTTCTTCCAGGTTTCTTCCCGCCTCCACGATCTTGGTTCTCCGCAGGCAACACCGGGATCGACCTCAACAACGTGGGATCACTGACGAATATCGCGCTTGCTCAAGATGGAGAGGGTGTGCGTTTGAATGGAATGGAGGCCGACTTCTCGCACGTGAGCGCAAGAAGTGGCACGTCTAATAGTCCGCTGCCATGTACAGGTGGATGGTCTGCACTCGTTGACTGGCTATACGATTAAAAAGACTGGTTGGATTACTCTATCGTGTCCATACCTCCGGAGGTATAGATGTTGAGCAACAGTGAGCTACACATACATGCCGACTCTTCTCGCAACGGCTGGTCTGGATGTTACCATCAGCCATCACCCATTAACGGCCTTCTCATCCTTCGCTTCGACATGATCCGCCTCATCGGACTCTCGCACGGCATGCTTCTCGACGTCCTCCGCGATCTCTTCCGCTGGCCGCAGGCTTTCCTGTACCGGCTGAGAACGGGCCTTGAGCTGGCCGACGCCCTTCTTGCCATCTTTGATGAACAGGTAGTCGATCTCCTCGAGCGTCAGGTTTGAGGTCTCTGGGTAACTGAGAGGACCGTTGTCAGTAAAGGATACCCCATGCTGGGGAGAAGATGACTCACCAGAAGAAGACAAGAGGGATGAATGCGAGATTAGTGCCTGTTCCTAGGGTCAGAGAGTCCTGCAGCACGGTTGAGAGCTGTTGGCTTACACATGAAGACAAGATACGTCTGCCAGTTCAGCTACACAAAGGTGTCAGGACTTCAATGAGGTAAGAGGGGGGGTCGGGGCCCTCTCACATTGCTGATCATGGACGGGGTAATCATCACGACCACAAAGTTCCAGAGCCAGTTGGCACTGATACCGACAGCTGTTCCTTTTGCACGGGCGTGAAGGGGAAGGATCTCTGGGACCTGTTGTGGGAATCAGTCGAAAGATGCCACCAGCCTTGCAATGCTCGACTCACATAAACCCAGGGGATGCAATTGGCAGAGGCGCCAAATATGAACATGTAGGTGAAGAAGAAAGCAACCGCAGCTGACGAGGTCGCCGTGCCCAAGGACTTGGAGTACTTGTCTGGCATGGCGTGGAAGGAAAGCAGGACAGCAATCAGCATCATGGAGATCGCCAGCCCAAGACTGCCCCACATCATGGGACGACGTCTTCCCATCTTGTCGAGAAAGAAGGTCGGTATAAGAGAGCCGAAAAAGAACATCGTCTGCACACATCCGCCGATGACGAGGGATAGGTTTGGTTTGAGGCCGACGTTCTCCTCCAGGGCAGTTGGTACGTAGTAGACGACCAGGTCTGGGACGAACAATCAGCCACATGCAAGAAGCACCGAGAGGTTGACGGAGACGTACTGATACCGCCCATCTGGTTCATGAATTGCATGCCGTATGCGAGCGCAACTCGACGACCTGTTTGTACCTCATCATGCTTGAACAGCTGGCGCCACTTGTACTCGCCGTTCTTGCGCTCCAGTCGAAGCGTCTCCAGGATCTCCGTATGCATCTTGTGCACCTTTTCATTGTCCGGCGGAGCGTCCCAGACATCGCAGAGAACTTGGAGCGCTTCCTCCTGCCGGTCGTGGTAGTACAGCCATCGTGGGCTCTCCGGTACACCAAACACCATGAAGATGACCATAAAGGCAAACACGCATTGGCAGGCAATCGGGACTCGCCATGCTTCTGGTCCGCCGACAAAGGACATTCCATAATCGAAGAAGTATGCGATCACAATTCCAACCCCAACGAAAAGAGGTTCGGACGAGACCAGGCGGCCGCGTTTGTCTGCATCGCACAGCTCGGACTGGTACATGGGCACAGTGCTGGTCTCGATACCTGTGCCAATGCCGGTCACTGCACCATTGTCAGCGAGCTTCGAATGATGGATGTAGATTTGGACGACTCACCGTATCTAGCAATCAGTATCTGTGGGACAGACCATGATGTGCATTGCAGCACCGCTCCGACAATCTGATGTAGTCAGACCTCAGCCATATCCGTCAGCTCTCGCATAGACGACTTACAATCCATCCCATAGCAACCCACATACACAACCGCCGTCCCAACTTCTCACCGAGCAGGAAGGTCAGAATGCATCCAGAAAATGCTCCAAGGTTGTAGATAGAAACGATGATGCCCTCCAAGCCCGAGCCTGGGTTGCCAAAGGTCTGCTTCCAGTTCTCGTTCGTGACGATGCCCGAAAACACTCCTTGGTCATAGCTAATAGCATACAATCAGTCCGCGTGGTTACAAATGGTAAATATGTGCTTTACCCAAAGAAGATGAATGCGATCTGGCAAGTGATGGTTATGGCAACCTGCAGCTTGAAGCCGCGACCGAAAATGTTGTACTTTAGCATTCTTTCAACCGTCTCATCAAACTGGTGAATGGGGGAGGAACTGATTGACGTGAAGAAGAGAACCCCGGCGTCGACCACTCCGCATCTTGAAGGTGACGCATGAGGCGGGGATGGCGTTGATCGATCTGGGGCGTAACTCATAGTCCGGCTATATCCCCACGCGAGCGTGAGTATTGATTCCACCAATCCCACACCGTCTCTACTGCTCCTATTCGGAGCCTGCACCGCATCAGCGATCAGATGAGATGGAGGAATAGAGGTGAAGACTGCTTTCATTGTCGTGCAAGGCGTGGTTCGCCTGAGTCACTACAAATCGATCATGCTCGATCTTAGAATCAACGGATAGAAGCTGTCCAAGCATACTTGCGAAGCTTGTATTGGCTTGTTCGGGGGAGGGACGTTAAGCCGCTCCGCTGAGATAACAGGTACAACGTATGTTTTCAGACGAAGTCGTGCACATGATGAGGAAAAGGATGAGTGAGACGCGGTTTTTGCGTGGAATGATTTAGAAACGGACCTCACCTTACCGTACCTTATCAATGGAAGCCGCTCTGACGAAAAGGAAAGGCGTGCGTATGTGGGAGATTCTTCTGATGCATCTTTCTGGCCTACGTTGTATCACAACCATAGAAAGTCCTCGCCTCTGAGTCGTATCTAGCCGTAGTCATCAACGAGCGTTGCGTTCCCAGGAGCTCACACGCTCCCTTTCACGATGATAAAAGTGCCCGCCCAGCGCCACGCTGAATTGGCCGCACGACAGAAACATACATCGTAGCAAAAAGGTCCATTTCTATGCCACTGATCGTCCCGAGCGTCCTGATAGCCACGCGAGCACAGTCAGCACAGCAGTTTGAGCTCGGTCAACATCGCGACCTGCGCGTGGTCGAGCAGTGTTATTGACAGTGTTGTGTTCGATTGTGCTGAGAGGAATCCGTGGTGTGCCGAAGTTCATAAGAACATGAGCTCGTGATCCGGAACGGGCGGCGCCCCGCCGTGGTCGAACTGTCGGAGAGGCATCCACTGCAGATACATCCATACGGTGGAGTCTGAAACGTCAAACTTCCACGGACCCGCTGAGCCGACCATCGGGGAGACTGCTGATCTAGAGAGCGAAGGGGTGACGACCATGGGACCGCCCATCCCAAAGACTCTTTCGTAGGCTTCTCCGCTCCAAGCTCCTAGCGCCCAGGCCCAGGTCCGCCAATCCGACCACCGTTGTCGAAGCCTCCTTCGAAGGGCCGGCCGCTGCGCATGTTCGGCCCAGCACCCGCAGCCATGCCGTCGGGCGGACTGCGCATCTGCATGAAGCCTGGCGGAGGGCCTTGCGCGTAGAAACCGGGTGGGACGTTTGGTGGGGACTGCATGCCTCCGGACTGAGCCATGCCACCGAAGTTAGATAGATCCCGACCCTGAGGAGCTTGCTGCTGTGGCGCCGAGAACATGTTCGGCATGTTGTGAATGCCCGGCGGGTGACGTGCCATTTGAGGAGGGAAGCCAGGAGGCGGGCCTTGCTGTACATTGGGAGATTGCAAGAACTCAGGCGGTGGACCAGGTTGGTACTGCTGTTGGTGGTTGGGCATGTGCATCGGTGGCAAGTTTGGATGCCCGCTCATGCGGCGGCCACCAGGAGGCATCTGCGGTACGGGGTCGTTGTAGATGCGCCGCTGAGCAGCCGCTTGGGCTTGTTGTGCCTCCATGCGCTGGATATTTGGCTCGTCGTAGAAGCCTGGAGGCGCGCGCTGTGAGGTGTGCCGCTGAGGCATACCAGATCCGGGGACCTGCTGCGGCATCTCCTGTCTCGATGGGTCTTGTGCCGTATTGCGCAGAAGTTGGTCCTCAAACAAGCCAGGGGGCGGCATCGTGCGTGGTTTCGGCGCGTGTGGTTCCTGCTGCACATTTGGAGGTTGATCCAGCCAGGGCGAGAAGTTGTCATCTTGGCGAGCTTGCTGAGATGGCGGCCGGGAGCCTTTGGTCTGCAACAGGCTGAGGAGGAACGCCTTCTCCTTGTTCGGCCGCTGAGCGGCAAGCAGGTCCTCGATGCTATTGTCAGGTGTAGCGGCACCACGCGATGGAGGCAGCTCTTGATAGACGTCGTTGGCACGTTGATGCTTCGGCTGAGATGGCTGATCACGCGAGCCGGCCGCATCAGTGGCTGGGGGCAAAGACTCGCTTGCCGCTACGGTCTTCCTGGCAGGCTGGTCGACCATGCGACTCACAGGAGCTCCTGCGCCGAAGATCGGTTTATGCTCGTCGAAAACGCCGCGATTGGCTTGAAGATTTTCCGCCTGCTGGGGTCTGAAGCCGACAGCTGGGGGCGATTGTACCGTCTCAGGGCTCTTCGGTGTTTGGTCGAAGAAGGGCGTGAATCGACTCTTCTGCCTCGCGCTTCCAGCCATAGTCTTAGGTGGCGGAGACGAAGGCGTATCGTGGTTTGGGGTGGTACCCTTAGAGATGTTAGTCCCTCCAAGCATTTGCATGATGCGTTGGAAGCCGGCCTGGTCTTCGGAAGACCCGTGGCTTCCACCAGGTCCAGCTTTCGTATCCACAACAGGCTCTTCCTGAGGCGTAGGATCTTTGTTCCACAAGGTTGCGAACCTGCTTGACTTGCCCTTCGATGGCGGTTTTGCGACGCTCGTCGAGCTTTCCACCGTGCTCGCCGATGCCGCAGGCTCTCCCAAAGCGCCGCCAAACGGTGTCAGACCTTCAATGTTGAGGGTGGCGGCCGGCTTGTTCGCGATTGTCGGCGCCGGGGGTGGCTCTGGAGGCTCAGTCTCTCGTGGAGGTACAGTCTTGCCGTGCTGTGCATCCTTCCACCGCTGAAATGACTCGGCGTCGCGAGGGATGCCCATTGTCTGCAAGTCGTCTTCCACAGCGGCTGGTGGCGGGTCGTCCATCCACTCTGGCTTCTTTTCCGCGCGACCACCCCGGTCCCAGTCTCTGTCCTGCTTGTCGCGCTCACGGTCCCGCCAGCTTGTCCTGTCGCCATTCTGCCGCCTCTCGTCTCTGCCACCCCACCGGCTGTCTCCATTGCGCCGCTCGTCGTCTTTGTCACGGTCACGTCTGCCGTACTTGCCCTCCTGCCTTTGCCCATCTTCACCGCCATTCCTTCTCTCGCGTATGGTAGTCCATCTGTCCCCGTACTCCTTCTCGTTTGCGGACTTGCGATTGCCCTTGTCACCAAATGTGCGTGTCCTCGGCAGCTCCTGTTCGTCCCCGCCATTGCTCTCGCCACCTTTCTCGCCAAAGTCCGACAGCTTCGCTACGTTCCTGCTCGATGGGAACATGGTCCTGGGGGGCCCGAGCGAGACATCCTCTACAATGCCCGTTAGTCTGGGATTCTCCCCTTATGGAAGTTGCATCTCACTCACCGCTGGTCCTGCCTGTCCTCGCCGACATCAAGCTGGGCCTCAAGCCGGCGCCGAAGTTGCCCATGGGTGATGCATCTCCGGCTCCTGCTCCTCCCACCTTTGACTGCGGGTTGCGCGAACGAGGGTTGGTTGAGTTGCTGCCGCCGGTCTGATTGGGGTCACTGTGGGGGATCCTTAGCTTCTCCCGCGAGTCTTGATCGGCGTAGACGTACTCTAGCCATTGCTCGATGGCCGGCAGGTTCTCGGGCTTCTGGGCCAGCGGGGACGAGCGGAGGAAGAGGAGCTGCTCTCGCGTGTAGCGGCGGACGGGCATTCTCAAGGCTGCCGCAGCCTCTTAGGCGGGGTGGTGTGAGTGGGATGGGAGGTGGCCCGCCAGACGATGGTGCGGCTGTTGGTCGCTTTCCTGTTATGAGCGAGTGGCGAGTGATGGTGGCCAAGTGGGAGCGCTCATGGGAGCTGCAAGTGTCGTGGTAGAGATGTGCGGGCGAGCAATAGCTTGGTTGGATGAATGTCCAGAGGCTGACGCTGTGTCGCAAGTGCCTGTTCAGATGTATGGATCCTGGAGAGCGCATGTATCATGTATCATGTGCGACTGTGCGAACGACGAGAATTATGGTTCAGGAGACAACCGTGTTGCAGAGAAGAAAGATGTTCGAGGTGTGTAGTTGGAGGAAGCTTTCCTGTGTTCCCGTCCTTCCACTTCGAGAGCCAAGCTTCGACGTTGCTGGCTTCGGGCACGCACGTGATCATCATTCAAACTGGTCGATCATGCAAAGATACACACACTATCCTGCAATGCCTCGACATGCTACATGATATCAATGGACACGCCTCCCCACTCCTCAATCTCCTCTTGATCGCAAGTCTCGACAATCCTCTTGCGCAACCCCTGCATCAAACCAGCGATCCGCTCCTCGCCAGGCACCATGTTCAACCAGCTCAGCGACCCCGTCCGCTTGATCAACGTCGTGCTCCCTCCTTCAATGAACGTCACTCGCCACAGCAACTCAAGCACCCTCTCCTTGACCCGAGCCCCAGACCCCGGCGAAGAACACAGGCTCATGATTTGCTCGAACACTTTTCCCTTCCGCAAGATCTCGAGGTCGTCGACGGTGCGCGTACCATCGACTAGCCAGTCCAAGACCCACTGTACCTCCTTCCAGTATGAATCGTCTTCCTCCGGCTCGCTCAATACCGTTCTCTTCAGGAGGTGAGTGGGCAGCTTGGAGGGGCGCCACGCCGGGCCCTTGTTGAGGAATCTGTTGATCTTCGGGTACAGGTAATGGACCGGCTGTATCTCAATCTCCAACGCGTGCGTGGCGAAGCAGGTGACGAGATAGGGCGTCGCGTCGCTGCTGGTCTCAATCGGGTGTTCGTACGTCTCAATCAGCTCGCCGAGCAAAAAGTAGATCTGCATCTTGTCCTCCAGTGTCGACTCCAGGACCTTCTCTAGGACTCTGTGTAGCTGCACGAGTGCCTGCGATCGGATTTCAGGATACTGTGAGCTTAGACAGAGCATGAGAGCAGCAATATCACCATCCTCGATCGCAAGCCCAAGATCTTTTTGTGACCACTTCAATAGTTCTGGGTGGTTCTCTGACTCCGCAGATGGTGCTGAGAACGGCAAGACATGCACCGGTCCGGTTGCTTTCACGTTCTCCTCTGTAGCAATGGGAGCTCTCGATATCTCCACGTTGAGAAGGGTGGACTTTGGATCATGCAGCTCCTCGAGAACCTGAAAACGGTCGAGGCTCTCAAAACTCTCGCGGATGAGCTCAAGACCATCTTTTGCTTCTGCCGTCCATCGTAGCAGATCGAAGTAGCCGATAATGAAGGTAGCAATCTCACTCTGCTCCTTTCTCGGCCTGTTACCGACGTAAGCAGCCTGCTCACCTAGCACTGCGGGCAGGATGCTCGGGAGAGTCCTTGGTCCTTCATGGTCATCCGCATGTTTTGCCACCATCGCCTCCATATCGTCCAGATACTTGACCGGCTGCTTGTTGGCTCGGCTGAAGCAGTCGTCCAAGAAGGAGGCCACTGCTTCTGAGACCGGCGCGAGGTGGTGAAGCACGGCAACCAGAGCATCTAGGCCTGACGCGGTGCTCAAAATGCTATGCTCCGCCAGCACCCCGCAAATGAGGTCTCGAACTTGCCTGTCGTTGACATTCTCGGCGTGAATCTTCAGCAGCGTCATGAGCGGAGAGTGCTCCAGCGCGCCTTGCTTGGTAAGCCAGCGCATACCCGGGCTGCGACGGGCAATTTGCAGGAGGTGCTCGAGACGTATAGACTGCAAGGCCTCCTCCGCCGTAGCAATCGGGTCTGTTTTGACCAAAGCGGCGGTAAGCGGCGCGGAGATATCGAAGGGCTCAGCCGCCGCCTGCAGAGGCAGCACTTCGTAGCATAATCGAAGCAGATGTGTGACTGCCTCTTGTTGCAATAGATGTTCGTCGTCGTTCGGGATCTTGCGAAATGCGCCAACAACATCTTTCATGGCCGGAAAACGCTCAACAAACGCCTCGTGCAGCCGCTCTGATGCTTCTTTCCAAAGCTCTGTCTTGCTCACCGCGGAGTCGCTGCCCTTTGCAAGTTGCAGCTGGACCTCCGAGAGCTTTTGGAGCGCCATAACCAGTATACGAACGGCAAAGAAGCGAATAAGATCGTTGCTTTGGTTGAGACAGCGGGTCAGTACTTTCTGTGTCAACGAGCGTGGCAGTATGCTATCGAGCATGATGTAGGTTTGGGGTGGAAGTTGCGCCCAGCCGTCTTCGTAGCCCAGGAATGCAGGCAGATCGAGCTGGACCACTTCGAACAACAGTGACGCATAACCGATCCAGGTGTTGGAGAGCTTTGGCTCCAGCTGCATATTTTTCTCGGCAAAGTAGGCAGCCACCAGCTCTGGGGCAGATCGAAAGCAGGTGAGTAAGAGCTCGCGCTCCCGCAAGTTCGAGTGAGGCCGCAATGTCTGTATCCACGTGAGAAGCACAGTATTGCGGACGTTGGGTTTCTGGTCACGGTCGTAGAAATCAACGCTATCCAAGCCGAGGTCAATGGCGTCTGCACGGAGAGTGTCTTCGGAGAATCTGTCAGTGCCAGGAGGGTACCAGCCGCTGATTCGCAGAACGCCGCAAGAAGGCTCCGAGCAGACAGCCTTCAGCCACGCAAAAGCGGTTTGGAACGCGGCATGATCGGCTGATGAGCGGGTGGCTATGTCCGTCACACGTTCGAGATTGTGCTCGACCAGCAGTGCCGCCTTTGCCGAACGCGGGAGGTCTGCATCCTTGAGTACGTGCTGTTCAGTAGCGGAGAGTAGCTCAGCAATAACATCAGCTGGGTCATCTTGTAAAAAGTGAAACAAAGAAGTGCACAGTGGCCTATTCTTCAACAAATCGGCTTTGCCTCCTTGATGGAGGTATTTCAGATGAGTTAGTATGTAGCGAATCGTCAAGGTTCGGATAGCCGGTCGTCTTCTCGCTTCTTCCTCGGACTGGCTGTTAGAACTGTCAGCTTAGTTCCTCTAACAATGCCATTGCAATGCGGCGTGAAAAAGTGTAGGGTAAATACTCAGTCTTGAAAGCGCCCAGATTCCTCCTCAACGCCATCGGCTCGAAGGTCTGCTCACGCCGCTTATAAACCTCCTTGGCCAGCAGTCCTCCGTCGAAGCTCGTGACTTCTGTCAGTAGCCTCAGACATGGAGAGATCAAGAAATCCTTGTGCTTGGGTGCATCCAGACTCCGTCTAATCATCCGCAGATGCTGGTGCTGCAAGATTGTCCGACATAAGAGGACCCCATGATCGCGGAAGTCCAGGATGCTTGACAAGGTCTTGACGAGGAGGGCGAACAGAGCACTGATCTGGGAGCAGAGGTGGTCGTTGTTGTTCTGGCTTGCAAACGACCAGGCCTGCCATAGCTGTGCTAAGAACGGGCGTTCAGTGTCGTTGGCATCGGCCGGTTTCTCGCTATCCAGGAATTCATGGAGGATGGCAAGCTGTCGGCTGCGACGGTCTTCATCTCTGTGATAGCATACGCTCTCCAGAAAGGCTTTGAACGAAGCGATGCCGCCGCGTAGCTGCTGGATGCCGTCCTGGCGGAAAGTCAAGAGCTCCTGGAGCTGTCGAGCGAAGTGTATCTCCTCGACGACGGCCTGTAGGACATGGTCCGGCTTGGGTCTCTTCGGTGGTCGCGAGTCGTCGTCAGTACGCCCTCGCTTGGACATTGTCGCGGCATGCCCGTGGTGGTCAAGAGCGAGACAAAACAGAGGTTGACGTTTTGAAAAGTTCGAGGATGCTGCTTTGCCATGTACGCTCTCATTGGCTAATGGGCGATCGCGCTAGCGTATGTCAAGAAAACGACCTCTCTCCAGGATCGGACCACTTCCACTGTCGCATGTTGAGGTACCTATTACATGCCTCAGAACAGACTGCGAGTATGTATTTGACAGCCTGAGTCTTCCATATACTGCGAAGATGGATATTAGGCGTGCAACACGATGAGGCGCATGGTTCTACCCATCACACGCAACTATTCAACGGGCGCCAGAAGTCCGATCACCCGGACCCATCGTATCTTGATACCCATGACCTTTCCAGCTGCCCTCCAACTCCGATACTACTCCGTTATCCATGTCCACCGGCTTGTGCGGCTGCTCCATCTCATAAGCACCTTGCTCGGAGTCCAGCTCGACCTTGGCCTCCCCCGTGGAGTGTGAGCCTCTTTCACTCAAGTCCATGTACTCCGGGCTCGCGCTCTGGCTTGCACTGGTGCTCTTGCGCTTCCGCAACACTAACCAGATCAACGCCACGATGGCTGCAAGGCCGACAACCCCCCCAACCACCCCTCCGGCGATCGCGCCAACGTTCGTCGAGTCGTCGGAGCTATTTGAAGACGATGTCGAGGCGGAGGAAGAATTCGCTGATCCAAACACCGTCAGTCACTTGTCGAGCATGAAGTCAGCAACATTCATGCACTCACGCTCCCCTATGAACCAAGATTTCACTGTGTCGTCCGACCAACTGGAAGGGTAGCGCCCGCTGCTCTTCAGGTGAGTCCTGACCGCTTGCGGCGTGACGTACTCCGAAGCGGATGGATCGTACGAATCGCGCCATTTCATGTCCGACAAATCGAATACACCAACGCCAACGGGCCACGGATCTTTGGTAACATTGGAGTTGGCGGTGATGATCTCGCCGCCCACGACAATCATCTGCCGGTTGCCCGCAAGATTGCACGTATGAAGCCTGCGAGTGTTTTGTGGGGTATCATCCTGTCGTGTCCAGTGAAATGAGGGCAAGGAAAGCACGTAGACGGCGCCAGAGCCCAAGCTTAAGCTGCCGGCAACGTCGTCTGAGATTCCGCCGTATACGAAAATCTTGAAGATCTTGTGTCAGCAGACGAAACATTTCTTCCAGCTGGTGATGAACGCACTTCGTATGTATCGTCGTCACCTTCTAATCCAACAGCACATGGATATTGCACGCTTGCTGGTGCTTGACCCGAAGTCGATTGAGATAGCCATTGTTGTGACCAGGGGTCAAACATCCAAAGACTGTCGAAAGGGAATCCAGGATGATCAAATGTATCTGGCCAGGAGACGATACGCCTGTTTGCAGAGAGTCGGGGGTGTCAGCCAGTGTCTCACATGATATGATCTCGCTCTTTTCTACGCACCCAGAAGGAGAGACTCCGCCGAGCATGAAAAGCAGGCCTTTCGGACCGAACGAAGGCACGAAATGAGTCGCGCCATTGACTGCAGTTCCGAAGTAGCTGATGGCGTCCGTCGAAAGATTGTACCAATTCTGCGAGAATGTGTCAAACATTACCATGCCTGGCACACTGATGGTCACGAGGTTGACATCGTAAAGGCTATCGGTGCCTAGGCGTAGGAGGTCCCACCACCGTAGGCAAAGAAAGTCTCCCCTGATGAGTCCAGCCACAGGCCTTCGTCGTTGAGGACGGGCGCAGAACCCTTTGAGATCTGCTTGAGAGTGACTGTGTCGATGGTCCATGGTGTGCTCATGTCGAGGCTGTATGTGTAGTTGTCTGCCACGGTCAGAAAGAATGCGTATAGACGGCAGCAGTCGAAGAGTGGCAGCGCGTACCGGGAAGAGTGAGGAACACCCCCAAATCATCATTCACGTCTTGGTAACCATTTCCTTTCCCATTCCACTTGGTGATCTCCCCTCCATCGACGTATATGTGATTCCCGACGAGGATGGCTTGTGAGAACTGTCAGTACACGCTGCTTCCGATGGACGCGATGTTTTACAATTGTGGAAGGCCCGATGGTGGAACAGTGACAGGCTGCTGTTGAAGTTCTGACCCGAGCAAGACACCACCAAGGCAAGGCCCAGGAGAAGGGCTGGTGATAGCATCGAGGCCATCTTGACCGGCATCTCTGATGCTATGAGAAGACGAGAAGATGGGAGAAAGAGACATTCCAGGTCCTGTCACGCTCAAGCACACTGTTGATGACATATCCTCGTTCTCGTTCAGCCCATCGAAACGGACTGGTTGGGGGCCACCGTGGACATCCCCCTGCTAGCGGCTCCGGCCATTGACACTATTTTTCAGCTGCAGACGTCAAGTTCGCAGCGTGAAAGACAGGCTGTGTGTGCGCTTGCAAAGCCGCGAGCTGGAAGGAAGGGGCGTTGGATGATGGTGTTGAACGCCTTTCTGATCAGCTTCAGCATGTCTGCTTCGTACGAGCACAGGTGACGGGAGGCAGGAACAAATAAACGGACCCGAGTCGATGCTGCAACTGTGGAAAATCAGCTTCATCATGATCTTGGGGGCGGCGAGGCAACGATCCCCCCCGCATCCAACGCTAGAAGCGCCACCTAGGGCTTTATGTTCCCGTCTTGCAGTACTCTACTCTACTCTTCCACACTCCTTTCCCACCTCATCGACGCGCTCATCGATATCGAGCTCCTTAGAACTCCTGCTACAAGACAGATCCGTACCACGTTGAAGTGCGAGCGGCCTTGGTATGTTGATGTTACTACTGCTTCATGAGCAGCCTTCCATAGACGAACGGTCGATGAAGCGGCAAGTCGAGGAAATTGAGCTGGAATTGTGACTTTGCGGACGTGCTGTGTAGATTATGGATGAAGCCCAGCTAAAACAGTCCCAGCGCAAAAGGCAGCAAAGCGTGACAGCCCAACTGGTTCGCCAAAGGCACAATCGCAGTGAAATCAGAGATCCCTCAGCCGTATGGAGCCGCCACAGCAAGATATATCATGCTTCCGATCAGCGGCATCACGACCACATGCATCCACCTGAAGTCCCTGACAATCCTGTCCAGGCCCACGCGGAAGCCGGACTCCGAAATGTCTTTGGCCGTCGTCCATCCCATGTTGATGCTGAGTGCATAACACGACAACGCCTTCAGCAAATGGAAGGACAGACCACCGAAGACCAGCAGAAGTACTTGGATCGACTCGATCGTCTCTTAGAGAATATTGAAGAAGGCTCCTTTAAGCCCATCCACCATGCGCCTTCGACGGGTCTTGCATACCGTGAGCCTGCTGTCGCGCCCCACGCTTCTCCTGCCGCCGCTCCCTGACCGAGACTATCGCCGACCAAACTGCGAGGAAGCTGCGGCCATGCCGTTAGCAGAGCCTTGATGTATCCGTTGCTGCCAGAGAACCCACAGTAGCACGATGGAGAGAAGGACTACGAAGACGGTGACTGCGGCAGCCGAGCCGAAGCTACCTTGCAGCGACATGGCGGAGAGGACGACGACCGCAAACCAGAAGATCACCTCGAAGCAGTTCAGGATTTCAAAAGCCTGTGACTTGTCAGATGCCGACGACTTCCATCACGAAGGCTAAGAAACCTACCTTAAGACTCTTGTAGCGGGCGAACCGCGGTCGGTGTGTGGTTAAGAGCTGATAGGTGAGGATGGTGAGCGTTTTGAAACCCTGAAGAGAAAGCATTGTCAGCTAGGTGCTACGAGAATAGCTGGAGACACCATTGCCCTTTCTCTGCCAGGGTACTCACGAATGTAATGGGAACCACGTTGATTCGCGACGGTCGGGGATTGGAGATGCACATTCGCCCGATTGCCAAACATATCACAAAGACCGTGAGGACCATCTGGGCGATGTGGACTTTCGTCTGACGGGACTCGTCGAGTACATTGCGGAGGTTCATGTCGTTCTTGTTTCGTGTTTAGAATCTGCTGTTCGCTTGGAACATCGTTACTGTGGAGTCTGTATGTAGAGCATCGCGAGGATACATCCTTATATATCTCCCAGTCTGTAATTGACGAGTCCGCCATGAGGACCGTTATCCCTACGACGTTGAGGCGCAAGACGTCGTCCTCAGGCCTTGGCACTTCGCATTGCATCCGAAACTCACGTGCCTGGAGGAACAAGCAGTAGCCGTGGCTAGACAGGTCGAGGTCAGGCCGCGATGCTATCACATCTCTCCCGCTATCCGTCTCGTCGTGTTGAGTCGTATGCGAGCTCATCCGAGCTTGGCGCTGCAGATCCGAGCACAACCCGAGCTTCCTACACCTGCGTACATGTACCTTACGCAAGAGGCATCGCGAAATGTGTTGAGGTGAGTCGGGCAAGCAGCGTGGCCGCCTGACCACGGACGCTCTTTGAAAGTGCACAGTACGATGAGCGAAAAGGTGACAGATGGCGCGATCAACCGCCCTCCACTAGCTTTCGTTACCAACGACTTAATACATGCACTTCCGGTAGTATCCCACAAGAAGCCGTAGGCGGTAATGCAACAAGGTCTAAGGAGCCTAGGAGCCTAGTGGCCTTCTAAGCCGGAACGAGTATGCTTATCTTACTCTATTCTATACTAATTCACGCTCAAGATGCTCTCAAGGGTTTTTGCCCGGAATGCAACAAAGACCTTCGACATGGCAGCTGGATTTCTTCATGAGCCTCAGCTAGGTACACAATCTGCTCCGAACCGAGCAACTCTTTCTCCAGGACAGCTTTCTGAAGAGGCCCTGCCTCCCCTTGCCATGACCCTCTCAAACCTCCCCTTTCGGTGGAGGAGAATGTAGATCACCCTCGCTGCTGCCCTCTGTCCCGGTGATGAGCCTGCTCGCCTTGCCTATGATCTTGTGGAGTTTAAGGATGTCTTTCAATGCTACAGGCTCCGTACGCTTACACCAGCCCATCTCCGTCGGGAGCCTTTCGTTCTCTTTAACGATTGTTAGTGCTACAACACCTCTCATCCTCGCTCCTGTTCTCTCACTTACCAAAGAAGTAGATCACTAGTGATCTGTTCACAGTCGCGGTCTCGATGTCACCGAAGGCGATGATGGGTGCTAGCACTTCACCGATGCTGAATGCTTCTGTTGTGTTGGTGAAAGTGTATTCCGGATTCGTTGACTTTGATTGTAATTGACGGGCGATCTAAGATCTAGTCAGTGGGATGCTGTTTGAGCTGCGAGGATGGATAATACCTTGCTGTTGCCCAGCATAGAAGCGTTTAGGATCGGGTCATGCCAGTACTTCGTCGTCTCGTCGAAGACGCTCTGGTTGAAGATGTGGTTGTTGCCGAAGAAGGCATCGGTACGACTAAGACAGCATGTAAGCACGATGGTATTGGGATACTTGTACAGAGCGGGTGCTGGCGGACGTACCTCAGGCTTGCATCGTGCTCAAGAACGTTGTGGCGGTTCAATAGACCGCTGCAAATGGCAGATCAGCTATCAAATTCCGCAGTCTCCTCGACGATACGTACAGATCGAACCACGTTGCGTTCGGTTCCGGATTGGCGATGAGAGCTTGCTCAAACATGGTCTCGATGAGGGCCTCGTTGAAGTTCAGGCCGTCCTGCAGGCCCTTCATGACCACGGGCTTGGTGAGATTTTTTCCATCATGTGGTAGGAAGCCATGGTTCGCGAGAGTGTTCATCATCGGACAAGGGCCTCTAAGATCTCCTGGTCCTGCCGGATGCCACTCCGTTTGCGAGCCCTGCTTGCGGGCCTGAAGATGGCACGTGGCGGCAGTGCAGCCCGCAGTCAGAAGGAGTGCGAGCTTCATGGTGTGTCTCCAGGGCGGTGGGTCCTCGGTGGCAGGTGGCAGGCTCGTTGGTTAGCGGCGTGTGTTTTGGTAGAAGCTTCGGCGTAGGTTGGTGGTCGTGCATAGGCATCAGGCACACACATGGAGGTCAGCATTATATGTCTTCTCGGCTTGGGCGTAGGCTTTGCTGTTGCGTCGCCTTCGCATTTTTTGCGAGAAGCCTTCAGGTTCCCGAGAACCGAGTTACGCAATACCTGTCACGCACATACTGCCGGAAGATGCTGCCAATATTGTGCGTTCGAGGCGTTCCACAAGTCTGGTCAGATTAGATAGACTCCCGAGCAAGCTCGGGTTCCAGGTCTTGTGCGACTGTCACTTCTCGGACTGGAACGGACAAGGAAGACATCTCCTCAATACATGTACTTTAGACCCTGCACATCGTGGTTATCGTGTCTCTTGCATGGCGGCGTTGCTGCAACTCTATTCACTCGATCGGGAGCCACGACTGTTATGACAGACGACAAGCGCCGTCAATCAGAGCTGCCGCCGACCTACGAGGAAGCAATAGGCGATGGCTCTCTCGTAAATACAGGTGTGCGAGGTAAGGCGGCAAGCGGTCGAGCAGCAGCTATATACGCGACTAACGAAAACCTCACAGAAGATGGCCGGATCGATGTCGACCTCAACTCGCGGCTTAGTAGAACTCTTTGCCGGGTCGCCAGGTTGCCGCCGACTGATGGGGTAGACGACAAATCCATCGAAAAGCAAGCAGTAGGATCCGACGATCTCTTTCCCATCCGTATCAACGTAACAATCCAAGTCGTCGGCAGTCGCGGCGATGTTCAGCCGTTCATTGCACTCGGGGTAGGGTTGCAACGACATGGTCACCGAATACGGGTGGCCACGCATGCCAGATTTCGATCCAATGTATTGGACGCCGGCTTAGAGTTCTACTCCATCGGGGGGAGTCCAGAGGATCTCATGGCATACATGGTGAAGAACCCTGGGCTCATACCAAGCGTGGCTTCGTTGCGAGGCGGCGACATTGCTCGGAAGAGGGCGATGATCGCCGACATGCTTCGAGGCTGCTGGGACAGCTGCATACAGCCCGATGAAGCAACGGGCGTCCCCTTCGTCGCCGACGCCATCATCGCGAATCCGCCCAGCTTCGCTCATATCCATTGCGCCGAAGCTCTAGGCATACCGATGCACATGGTGTTCACTATGCCGTGGACTGCCACGACAGCCTTTGCACACCCACTCGCAAACATCAAAGGCGGCCATAACAACCGAGGGGTGACGAATCATGTGTCCTACCTCGTGGTCGGATCGCTGACATGGTCTGGGATTGGCGACATCGTCAACGCCTGGCGCGAGAAGCTGGGCCTCGAGGCTGTCCCGGCAACAGAAGGTCCACTGCTTGTAGAGACCCTAAAGGTCCCACACACGTATTGCTGGTCGCCGGCGCTGGTGCCAAAACCAAAGGACTGGCCTCGTTACATAGACATCTCAGGCTTCCTCTTCCGCGAGACGCCCGCATACACACCAAGCAAGGAGCTGCAAGCTTTCCTCGACGCCGGACCACCGCCAGTGTATGTTGGCTTCGGATCGATCGTACTCGAAGACACCACAAAGTTGTCCGCAGCGCTTGTGGAGGCAATTAGCATATGTGGCGAGCGAGCCATTGTCTCCCCGGGATGGAGCCGTCTTCAAGTTCCAGCGGGTCGGCATGACTTCTTTTGTGTTGAGGAGTGCCCTCACGAGTGGCTATTCAAGCGGGTATCGGCGGTGGTGCATCACGGCGGCGCCGGCACAACGGCAATTGGGCTGCGAGAAGCCAGGCCAACTATCATCGTTCCCTTTTTTGGCGACCAGCCATTCTGGGGGGAGATGGTAGCAATGAGTGGTGCAGGGCCAGCGCCTATCCCGCAAAGGGAAGTGAGCGTCGCAAGTCTCACAGAGGCTATCCGATACTGTCAGGGACCTACCGCCCACAGTGCTGCCGCTGCGCTCTCGGAGCAGATCAAGCACGAGAACGGCGTGCAAGCAGCCGTCACATCATTCCACGCCAACTTGCCGCTCGAGCGCATGCGGTGCCGAATGCTACCAGATCAGCCGGCCTCTTGGACGTTGAAGATTGGGAGGAAGAAGGTTCCGATCTCAAGGTCCGCTGCCGAAAGCCTCGTTGCAGACGTGGGGCTGGATCCGAGAAACCTCAATGTGTAAGCCAACCATCTCACACCGCTGACGGAAACCAAGAAGAATCGCTCGGCTGATGGGGCGGTATAGCTACCATGCAAATCCAATATACATCAGTAATCGACGATGGGACCCGGTGACCGGCACTGCGTCTTCAGTGATTGCAACCGGGGTAGGTATGGCCGATGGAGCCACGGGCTTGATCTTCAAGCCGGCCGAAGAGTTTCGGCGAGCGAGGAGATGCACACCAGAGGGCACTGCGGGTAGAGCTTCCAGCTCGGAAGCCTCAGTCGCGGGCCAGCGAATAGTGAGCGTCAGCGAGGAGCGACCAGCCGACAGTGTGCATGAAGACGACGACGACGACGACTCAGCTGCTAGTACTCTTCACGCTGTAGCCCGGCGTAACAGCATTACTCACGTCACGAGCTCGCAGGATGCGACGGAAGACGGGAGCGCTCGTCGATCGGGCTATGCCGTCGCTGGATCCATGGCCGCTGCATCGGGGAAGTCACTCGGCAAGTTCTTCACTTCCTACACTCGGGGCACGCTCGTGGATCTTCCACTGGCGACAGCCGAGGGGTTCCGCTGCCTACCAAGGCTCTGGGGCCAGGAAGTGAAGGAGTATGGTCAAGTCAAAGACCTGCGCAGCGGCGCCGTGGTGGCAGGCAAGACGTTCGTAGGCGGGATGGCCACCGGATTCCGGGACGTGGTGATGCACCCCGTGAGGGGTGGCCAGAGCGCTGGTGTCTTGGGGGTTGCACAAGGACTTGCGACGGGGACGGGCAGCCTCGTAAGCAATAGTGTCGGTGCAAGTCTTTCGCTATTCGCACTACCTGCGAGCGGTTTGACGAAGAGCCTGTATACATTGAGCCACCGCTCCACCGCAAAGAGGGTGATGGAGGCGAGACGGGAGGAAGGAAAGTGGCGTGTGCAAGGGCTGTCCCTCGCGCAACGTCGAGCTGTCGTCGATGCCTACCACGAGAGCCAGCGATGACTTGGATTAGTAATTAGTACAATCCGATATGGGTTGTTTATTCCATATTGAACAGGCCGTGGAAGTGTTGCGTCAGCGTGTTATAGTTGTAGTCTTTCAATCTGAGCTGATACCTCATGTGAGAGATGGGATGGTTTCAGCCTTTAGCCGAGCGGCGATACTGCGGCAGAAATCGAGCTTGACTTGAATCTTCAACTTTCTCTACCTTGGGCGCCCAGCACCAGCGACACCACCTCCGCTGTCTACCCCCTACATCTCCCTCCCTCTTCCCACCGATGGGCTGATGCCCGAGCTCCTGCGCAACTTCACGCCGCCCTTCTCCCTGGTCCTCGGCATGCGCAGACCCTCTCCGCTCACCATGACCACGACCACCCCCGCCCGCCCGCAGGCCTCCTCACTCTATCTGATCGGCACCAGCGACGAAATCTACGAGAACGACATTCTGCGCAGTCCCGGCAGCATCAAGCCCTGGCTCGATTATGCGCAGTTCAAGCGGCAATATGGCACGTTGCTCGAGCAGAGCTTCGTCCTGGAGCGCGCAGTCGCCGCTCTGCCGCGAAGCTACAAGCTATGGAAGATGTACCTGCACTTGCGCACCACACATCTGAATGGAAAGAGTCCTGCACGACATGTGACCGAGTTTCAAAAGGTCAATGCGCTGTTCGAGCGGGCGCTGGTGCTGCTGAACAAGATGCCGCGCATCTGGGAGATGTACCTCACTTTCCTCTGCCAGCAGCCGCTCGTCACCTTCACCCGGCGGACATTTGACCGCGCGCTGAGAGCATTGCCGCTGACTCAACACCACCGGATATGGAAGCTCTACCGCCCCTTCGCCAATTCAGCCGGCGGCGACACGGCGGTCATGATATGGCGAAGGTATGCTCAGATCCACCCGGAGCATGTCGAAGAGTTCATTGAGGTGTTACTACAAGAGCAGCACTATTCTGAGGCAGTGCAACGATACATGGAGATCCTGAACAACCCAAGATTCAAGTCGAAGGAGGCCAAGGGACCATTCCAGCACTGGACCGAGATGTTGGAGCTGTTGATAGATCATGCGCGGCAAGTACCCAGCCCGATACCGCTCGAGAATGGCAGTACCATGTCTGTCGAGACGATCATCCGATCCGGCCTGCAGCGATTCCCCGACCAGCGAGGCATCTTGTGGGTTGGTCTGGCGAGGTACTACATCAATCTCGGTGCTTATGAACGGGCGCGTGACATTTTCGAAGAGGGCATCACCACGGTCATGACTGTGCGAGACTTCAGTGTGGTTTTCGACACATATGCGGAAGCCGAAGAAGCGCTGATAAGCATCAAGCTGGAGGAGTCTGCCGCCCGCCAACAGAAAGGCAAGGTGGATGCAGATGCTGACACCGACTTGGACATTCGGATGCTGCGATTCGAGCAACTCATGGATCGCCGCCCGTTCTTGGTCAACGATGTGCTGCTGCGGCAGAACCCGCACAACGTGCCTGAGTGGCAGAAGAGAGTTGCATTATGGGGCGACAATAGCGCCATGGTGGTGCAGACATACACTGATGCGATTGCCGCTGTGGGTCCAAAGAAGGCCGTCGGGCGCTTTCACGAGCTGTGGACAAATTACGCAAAGTTCTACGAAGCCGGTGGCGACCTTCGAAATGCACGGATCATCATGGAGAAGGCAATAAAAGTTCCGTACAAGTCAGTGTCGGAGCTGGCAGAGATGTGGACGGAGTGGGCGGAGATGGAGCTGCGAAACGAGAATTTCGATCAGGCCGTCAACATCATGGCCACGGCAACGAAGGCTCCGAAGCGAAGCAATGTCGACTACTTTGACGAGACGCTCAGCCCACAGCAGCGCGTGCACAAGAGCTGGAAGCTGTGGTCGTTCTACGTTGATCTCGTGGAATCAGTGTCCAGCCTGGACGAGACGAAGAAGGTGTATGAGCGCATCTTCGAGCTTCGGATTGCGACACCGCAGACCATCGTCAACTATGCCAATCTGCTCGAAGAGCAAGGTTATTATGAAGAGAGCTTCAAGGTCTACGAGCGCGGGCTTGATCTGTTCTCCTACCCCGTGGCCTTCGAACTCTGGAATCTCTACCTTACGAAAGCCGTGGACCGGAACATCAGCATTGAACGACTGCGAGACCTATTTGAGCAAGCGGTGGATGAATGCCCGCCGAAGTTCGCCAAGACGCTCTACCTCATGTATGGTGCTCTGGAAGAGGAACGAGGATTGGCACGGCATGCCATGCGCATTTACGACCGAGCAACACGAGCTGTCGCCGACGAAGATCGCACCGAGATGTTCGAATTCTACATCACCAAGTCTGCATCCAACTTTGGCCTCACGTCGACCAGATCCATCTACGAGCGAGCCATCGCTGCTTTACCGGACAAAGAGGCTGCAGCCATGTGCGTCAAGTTTGCTGAGATGGAGCGGCGGCTTGGTGAGATTGATCGGGCGCGTGCAATCTGGGGACACGCGAGCCAATTCTGCGACCCACGAGTGGAGCCTGGATTCTGGCGGAAATGGGAGCAATTTGAAGTGCAGCACGGTAATGAAGAGACGTTCAAGGAGATGCTGCGCATCAAGCGGTCGGTGCAGGCTCAGTTCAATACGGACGTCAACTTCATTGCTAGCCAGGCCGTTGCGAGACAGCAGCAGCAGGAGCAGGAACAGCAGAATGGCGACGCCGGTGAAGGTGGTGAGGAGGAGGAGATGAGCGGGCGCAAGGCGGATGCAATGGCGGCTTTGGAGAGGCAAGCGAGGGCTCCGATGGGTTTTGTGGCTGCAAGCAGTGGTCCGGATGGTGGCAATAGGCCGAAAGCGCAGGAGGGCGAGACGAACGGTGCTCCGGCGGTGAAGAATGAAAACGAGGTGGATATTGATGGAGATTTGTGATATACCTGCTGATTAGCGACGGCGTCTGGTTGGGGCAGGCATGGGTTGATGCGCATACGAGTATGTTCCAATTTCCACAGGACTTTTTCCACCTTCTCCCGGTTATCTGGATGTCAGATTCTCAACAGTCTCTCCTGATGCGCACGTGCGGTCACATGCATAAGCGCGGTCTCAGCTGCTGTGTAACATGTGCGTTCCCTCGTTTGCCTCACTCATTCGTTAAATCTGACACCTCATATTTGATCGTCTTCACACTCTTTTGCACCTGCACACCGTCGTCACCGACCGGAATAGCAATGCACTTCCACTGCTGAATCTGAACGTTTGAGCTTCTCACGTCTGCTAGTATTCGCTGCTGCTCTTCCTTTCATTTATCAGCTTCGCAAAACTACACCAAGCCGTGGGAATACCAGACTCATACTCCAGTCATGGAGGAGACCAGCCTGGAGTCGGCGACCGAACGACTGGCGATCCGCCCGAAAACCGTCGACTTTCCGCTACCTCGCGAGATCCGAGACTTTATCTACGGCCTCCTCCTCAGCGGTGAGAAGGTGCAAGATGAGCCGTACCACACTCGCAATCAAGGGTCGATCTCGCGCAACAGAAGTGCCGCTCACACATACTCCTTCCAGCCCAGCGTGCTCCAGCTCAACAAGACGATCTCTCGAGAAGCGAGCGAGGAGCTCCGCCGCTCGAACTGCTTCGTGGTGGTCTCCTACAAGTGGCCAGGCCTGGAGGATCTCATTCACACCTGCGACGTGCCAATTGTGACGCAAGACAACTCCGCCGTTGCGAGATTCCAGCACCACTCCATGCGCATCCATCTCCGGCACCGTGACATCTCACCAAAAGATACAAGCTGCCAGACCCGTTCCTTCCTACTGCTGCTCCGCGACATGCCACTCTTCTGCCGTACCATCCGTTGGGCCTCTCTGGACAAGTCTGCGGCAGGCAGGATGGTCCTCAATGTCAAAGATCCAGAGTCTCCCGTGGAAGAACTGAATGTCTTCTACGCGCAGACTAGCAGGAACGTCTTCTGCACGAACGTCGACTTCCGCTCAACAACTCGGAAGCCATTGTCTCCCACGCTTGAGGCATCCTTGGTTCGTGCCGTTGAAGATGTGCGCATGCCTGGCCAGAAAGTGGTTGTTCGTGGAGCAATCAACCTGTCCGAGACCACCACGCATTTGCGATCCACTGCCGGCGCTCCCTATGTCTTCATCACAGCATTGGCGTGGGATCTGCTCGACATTGCGCAAGCCCTCATGAAGACTGCAAACACCTTCGCTGCCGCTGGCCAGCATGCGCAAGCAGCCCAGCGCTATTTGGACATCATCGCACCGTGTCGCGACAGCTTCCTCTTTACTCCGTCTGAGGTTCTCTTCTTCTCCGACTGTGCGACGCCAGTCGTGCTGCTGTTTCGTGTCTTGATGAACGCAGCCGCTGCATACGGCTTTGAGAGGCTCAGAGCGTCGGACATGACAGGTGTACAGGGTGCCGATGACATCGCGCATCACATTTCTTACTTCATCAGTCAGTTCGACGACAGAAACAAGATTCTTGGCTACGGGGATGCAGAAAGGGCGACGTGGTTCCTGGTTACTCCGGCATTGTAGGTGATGGTCGTGATCTTCATGTCGTGCGGAATTGCTGACAGTGTATAGGCATGTGCAATTGCTGCTCTTACTGAGTAAAGATCAAGAGACAGAGAAGTTGAGGTCGCTCGTAGCAGCGTTTGGGCGGATGCGGCAGTACCTGCCGGGTTCAGTGCATCTTGCGCACGATGAGGCACTTGTGCGAAGCTTGCTTGACGGCTCTACGGTATGTCTGGCTTGAACTTCAGGTGTCTTGATGCGCATTCTGACCGTTGAGCAGGTGAGTGGTACAGGTATTATGGAACAGACCAGCGCGTGTGCACTGCCGCCTCCGCTATTCGAGTTCGAGATACCACAGCACACCGTCCGACCGCAACTGAAGGGATGGGTGGTCGAGGACCAACGGGAGAAGCTCATGGAGATGGAGAGGAAGCAGGGCGGTGTCCTGGGATGAAGAGGCACAAGACGTGCATGAGGAATTTTGAAGTTGTTGCAGGGAGTCTTCAGGGACAGACTGTTGTCATAACATGAAGCTTGGGTTATCTAAGACGATAGGTACTCGCTCCTTGAGCATATGTTGTGAGTGCGCAAACATCGTTGACCGCAATGGCATGGTCCTGATCATGGCAATTTCACCTCTTGGCGCTCAAGAGACTAGCTCAACGCTGTCTTCCTCATCTCCAGGGCAGACGTTTCTCGACCTGTCGGAGATTGAATGAGTCGCTACCCTACCAGTGCCGCTGCCAACATGATAAGCCCTCCCATCGCATCCATGCCAGAGCACCACTCTTCCCAATTGACACCACTCCGCAACCTGTTGTCGTATGGGTCGGAGAGCATGATATCTGAGGATTGATCGGCTTTCACCAGGTTACCATTGGTGGTCAAACCGTAGGTCGGCTGAAGTGTTGTGTTCCTCTTGCCCCAGGTGGTATGGTCGGGTGCCTCCCACAGCATCTTTTGTGCTGGCAGTGGTGCAAGGATGAGGTCGGAACCGTGCAGATCGCATAGCGCGGCAGGCTCGAACGAGACCAGAAGATTGATCATCTGATACATTACGCACAGTCTTGCGGATAGTCAGTCTGGAGAAGCCGCATGCTAAGGAGGAAAAGGTTGATTGTTGACCTCTGAAGTGATTCCACGAAAATCCAGTCTTTCCACCTTGCTTGTGTATGAGAGGTCTGCGAGGCCTCTAGACTGTGTGCCAGTCTCGGAGAGTTCAGCTGTTTACATAGTATCTGTAGCTTGATTTCAGCACGATGGTTCTCGAGATGTGAGCTGAAGTATTTACAGTCACCGTCAAAATCAAGAGTGAGTCGAGATCGTTTTCGGCTGTCTCCCCCTCGTCCATCCTCACGAGAATGTAGACAAGGAGGGCTTGCATCGCAGCAAGAACTCGCCACCTGGACAGCTTATCGGTCTAAGCAACCATCAGCTCGGAGGCAGTCTTTGGGTTGTTGGCTCCTTCGTACCTCAGCACGCCATCGCTCGCATTCAGTTCGCACAGTGTGCCAAAAAAGTCGACGTGAGCCATGAAGCCCACCATTCACCATGTGAATCAGGTTCATACAGTTAGAAAGAGGCTCGATTTGCTCGGCGTCTGCGTGCAGATCGAATATGTGCGAGTGTATGAAAGGCGGTAGGTTGTCTGGTTGGGACAACATTCTTTGGTACGACTTCAGGTTGTGGTATAATAGGGTGGCCACCCGTTGGGTTCCTGGTGTATTCTTTGATCGCCGGGTGAGAGAGCGAGGTGTTGAGGAAGGTGATCTTGGTATCTCCATTTGATGATCAAGAAAAGCCATCCGCTGCAAGTTGTCGAAGGTATCGTGTGGTGATGTTGTTGGTGTCTCTCGAGATGACGGAGTTGGGAAGGAGGTTTTCACCAGCTCATCATCTGTCATGAATTCCAAGGCCTCGGAGAAATCTACTGTTGCAATGTCCCATTCAGCTCCGAGCGACGAAGTACTTGTGAGATCAGGGTCGACAATGCCATCACCCTTCGGCGTCGCTGGATTGCCGTAGGTGCCTGATGAGGCCTGCGGGTAGCAACACTCGATGCTTCTGGCGAAACATCTCGTGCAAATTGGTCTACTGGTATCGCACTTTGCTTTTGCTTTGGCACAAGCGGAGCATGACCGGGATCGAGAGGTTTTGCCAGTCTTCCGAGAGCGACAGTAGTATCCATGCCTCTTCAAAATGGAGGCTGGAATCAGTCAGCGCTGGCGGACCATGCGGGCGGAGCAGTAACGTCGCTTACGCTTGTCGAACGGTTTGTTGCAATGACTGCACCGAAGGACAACATCTGTGGTTCGCAACATTTTTGAATTAGTTGTAGCCATCGAGGAGAAACTGCAACGGTTCCAGGTTGTCACTGAAGTCGAATTGAAGGAAGGTTTGTCAGCTGCTGTACGTCAGCTTGCAGATCTCTTGTCGAAAGTCCTCCGATGGGCGGAACAAATTGTAAATGTCCCAGTTCTCCTATATCATGTCATCTCAACATTCCTTCGACCGGAGCAAATTGTACAAAATGTCATTCAACGTGAGGTTCTCCCAGTTCAAGTCTGGCATTTCGGCTCGGAACAAGATGTCCACCTTCAAATCTGCCGCAAAAGAACAACCAAATCGGATCCTACCGCCAATATAAAGCAGTAGCAGCATCTCCCCCAGAGGCACACTTCCCATCTCCAAAATCATTTGAGTTTTGTCCTTCAATCCACATAACAATGGCTGCTCCATTCCCATCGCCGACTGGCACCTGGCACACCAAAGAACAGCCTTCAGGCTCGCCCTCTCGACCTGAAGTGTCCGCCAAAGGCAAGAACGTCCTGATCACTGGTGGGGGAACTGGAATTGGAGCAGAGACAGCTCGCTACTTTGCTCAGGCTGGTGCACCCAGAATCGCTCTTCTCGGCCGCAGGAAGCAACCAATGCTGGACACCAAGGCTTCGCTCCAGAAAGAGTTCCCGAACCTCGACGTCTTCGTGGCATCGACGGACATCACAAAGAAAGACGATGTTGATAAGGCGTTCGCAGACTTCGTGGGCGCGGGGAAGCTGAATGTCCTAGTCAGCAATGCCGCGATGATTGGGCCCCAGGAGTCGGTCGGCGAGGCGGACGCTGGCAAGTTTGTTGATGCCATCCAGCAGAATATCAGCGGAGCCGTGAATGTGGCCCAGGCATTCCTTCGCCACGCAACGGAGGATGCGGTCGTCGTCGAAATCAATTCGTCAGCGGCTCATGTCAACTTTGCTCCCAAGTTCAGGTGTGTTCCTCTGACTTCTCGCTCCCCATGTCCTACTGCTGATTTTCCCGAAGTGCATACAGCGTCGCAAAACTGGCGGTGTTCCGACTTTGGGATTCACTTGCATTTGCGAATCCAGGCTTGAGCGTTTTCCATGTGCAGCCTGGGATCGTGAACACTGACATGAATAAGGAAGCTGGGGGCGTAGAAGCGATCGGTTTCGAGGATCATGGTGAGTTGTGACCGTGTCATTGAAGGCTCGCAGCTGACATTGGCATAGTTTCTCTGCCGGCGAGTTTCAGCCTGTGGCTGGCAAGTCCCGAGGCCCGGTTCTTGAAGAACAAGTATCTTTGGGCCAATTGGGACATTGAAGAGCTGAGGCGGAGGGCGGAGGAGCTCGAGGCGGGTCCGCAGCTCAGCATTGGGCTCGTCGGCTGGCCATTTCAGGATAGAGACTGGAAGGTTCAGCTCGCCCCCGGGAAGTGGTGATTGTTGTGGAAGTCCTGAAGAGTAGCATCGGGCGGCAGGCCGGAACTCTCGCATCTCGGAGAAGATGTGTGCCGGTTCGTTGTATATAGGCTGCCCGTGGCCTGGAAGCTCTGGTCCCACGGCATGAGGCAATATTTCTACCGCAGTGCAAGTACCTTGTCGACCGGTAGCGAAACGTCTTTAAACTATTTCACGTCTTCTGCTGGTCTCTTGCTCGTCTTGTGCTCCTCGGGCCAGTATTGCCAGCGACTCTGAACGTTCAGTGTCATTCCAAAAGTCGTTGTCGTTCATGCCTTGACGGCATGGAGACGAATAAGCAGCCGAACTGGCTTGCTGAGCGGTTAGAGGCTCTAAGTCTAACACACCTGTGGTATTGAAGCTGGAAGTAAGGCATGGCCTGTTTTTGGAGACAAGCAAGACGAGATGACAGCACGTGGGCGGCGGCAGGTTGAGGCTACCTTTCTCGAAGGCAGCGAAGGGTCACTTGCAATCAGAAGAACGCCCATCGCTCTGTAGATGGATGCCAACCCGGAGAAGAAGGCCCTTCGATCGAGGCCATGCTGTAGGTTCGATGAGCGCTTCACGGTTGCGGCAGTCGCTTCTGAAGCTTATGAAACGACATCATTCAAAAGCACCTGATGGTTAGACCATACGTCGCTGGACGTCTTGGACGTGCAAACCCGAGGCCCGAAGATCGTAAGGGTGAGGTTGATAGGGTCATGGAAGGTAGGGGTGCCAAGCCAGTCACGTGCCCTCCTTCCTGATTGTGCCATGCGCCGCGAGCACTTTGGGCGCATCGAACTTTTGTCATACACATGCGATCGCAACGCAAACAATGTCACCGTATACTGCCCGTTCTGGCGCTTCGAACGCTGCTTCTGTCGACGAGATCTACCCATAGCTCGCGGAGATCGTAGCACTGGGCGATCACCACCAAAACGTTTCCAGGCTGCCATCTTGCTCTACATGCAATGCAAAGACATCAGACCGCCTGCGCTGGACTCCCCCCCCTCGAGGGCTCGAGCTAGAACTCATTTCCGCCACCATCGTACCACGGTGAACCGCTTGTCTACTTAGAGAGAGCCTCCGACTGTACGTTGCTGCTACGACCATCTCGGGTCCTTCATCGACCGCTACGGAACCGAATGTTATAGATGCTCCTCAATCCAGTGCGTCCAGTTATTCCATTTGCGATACTTTCGCCCCACAGAATATCGAACGCATGGATGGCGAGTCCACGATGATCACCCCCTCCTCTTGAGCGGACTACATGCCGACCTGATACGAGGAGGGACGCAGAAGAGCAAGGGCACACAATCTTCGGAAAGATCATATGACGAGGTCGTCAGGGATCTGTCGCCAACTTTCTGGATACATCCTGCCCTCGGGACGGCTATGATGCTTGGGCACGCTGGACCGACCGCTACGGAGGCGGCCGCGCTGCATTCCCTCGATCAAGGCGTAGATGTGGCCGTCCGTGACGATCGGTTCACAACTAAGCCCGATCGTACTCTCCCGCGAGCTTGCGGCCTACCTGGCGGAACCAGCGCTCTTGTCAACGCCTGGGACGATGGATATGGAAAGAGCTGTGGGTGTGGGGGTGATTGAAGATTGTCTTTGCTTTGACTAAGGCCTATGTCTTCTTATTACCTGTGGACGCAGTTCCCTGACCTGTGCCGAACACTATGCTTTACCATGGACGTCAAGACGAACCAAGGTAATACAGATCGCGGCGCCAAGTATGACCTCCAACGAATGTTCGCAGCTCTCATGGTTTGGACCCCTGGCCCCAATCCACAACCAGGCGCTAGCGTCACGAGAGTGTTGAAGTACAATCTTACAAGGACTTCATGTAGGCACTTTCTTACGTTAATAGCCGGGGGAGACGGACCGAAGATCCGTTTATCCAGATCTGCCTGTCTAAAACGCAATGATCTTGACGACACCCTCCAACGGACAGAGTTTAAAACTACCCTGACGGTACCAACGGTTCCCCGACTTCTCCACCAACGATGGTCGAACCTTCGCGACACACCCAAGACCTCTAGGACTCGCTTTCTCCCTTGCGGAATACAGTTCATGAAAGGAAGATCTAGAAGACCACTAGTTTTGCGCTGTTCACCAATCCCATAGTGGTCTTCCCCTGGACTGCATTAAGTTCTTGTCGCCAGGAGATGCTCCTCATACAGATGACTGACATCTTCTCCACAGCGGCACAAAGCTCACGCAACCTTTCCGTACACAATTCAACTTCTTCGGCGTTGAAGAGGCTCATGGCTTGGTCTGGACTGATGACGCCGTACTCTGGAGACTACTATAAAATGCGGATGTCTACCAATTCTTTGCCCCATCCTGAAATCATCCAACCTTGTCTTGCAACCAAATTTCAAGATGCCTAGCCTTAACACTATTGTGCTTTTCGCCCTTGCAGCCGCTTTTGCTGCTCCAGCCGCTGGCCAATCGACCTCAGGCGCTGGCAAAACCACCCGCTACTGGGATTGTTGTAAGCCCTCCTGCGGTTGGCCAGGAAAGGCTGCTGTCAACCAGCCCGTCGGCATCTGCGGGAAGAGCGATCAGCGTCTGTCCGACCAGAACACCAGGTCGGGATGTGACAGTGGCGGCAGCGCCTTCATGTGCTCTTCGCAGACTCCATGGGCCGTCAGTAACAGTCTGGCGTACGGCTTTGCCGCTGCTCATATTCCCGGCGGCACGGAAGCTGACACTTGCTGCTCTTGCTATGAGTAAGCCCTATCCGCATCTCATTTGGGGAAAGATTACGACGCGAAAGTAACTGTTTATGTCAGGCTCACCTTCACATCGACCGCCATCGCTGGGAAGAAGATGATCGTGCAAGCCACGAACATTGGCGGTGACCGTGAGTGCATCGATTTGTTTCTTGTCTCGAAGCCTGACGAATAGCGGTGGATTCCATTTGCTTGCCGCTTTTGTGTGAGGAACATCTGCTAACAGGCTTGACCGTTACGTTGTAGTCTCGCAAGGCCAGTTCGACCTCGCCATTCCTGGCGGTGGAGTAGGACTTTTCAATGGATGCGACGATCAATGGGGTGCTCCTGCAGACGGATGGGGAGCCAGATACGGAGGCGTTTCGTCTGCTAGCGACTGCAACAAGCTGCCGCAGCAACTTCAAGCGGGCTGCAACTTCCGCTTCGGCAGCTTCTTCCAAGGCGCCGACAATCCCAACGTTAACTGGCGAAAGGTTGCTTGCCCAAGCCAGCTGACCCAGAAAAGCGGCTGCACGAGGACAAACGGCTGATCGCTGCAATGAAGCATTGCCAGAATATTAACGTCCCTCGAAAGACCCGACTTGTTTTTCTAGGGGAAATGATCTTTCCGATCTGTCGCTACAGTTAGTTACGCGTTGAAATTGAAGGATAAACACTCACGGGTAGGGTATTGGCCCGGGGTTAGGATTTTAAAAGTCGCTCAAATTTTGCAAACAGCACGCCAAATAAAAAGCGTATAGTTTCCTCAGTCATGTGTGAAAGTCTCAAGCTCATGCGACACTCGTAGCGTTGGTAATACGTAGTAGAAGTCGTCGCCATCTAGTGGCTGAAACCGCCCGAGATAAAGCTCTGTAACAAATGTCCGCTGTCGCGACCTTCTAGCCATATAATGGTCAATGTATGTATGTCCATTTTCTGACTTGCTAACTCTGGACTCGCACAGTGTCTCTGTCCTGCCTTCCTTGACTTGGATGTGGGTTGGTCGACGATAAGCAGGTCTCCGGCCCCTTGAAGATGTGGAGCACTCCCGAGCTACCATCAAAAGCACGTCGCTCCTAGCGATTTGTCGAAGACGCCCAGCAGTGTGCTTGCGCCTGCACCAAGCGAGTAGCGGCGCAGAAAGAACGGCGTGCAAGACCTGAAGCTATAATCTCTGCTACGTGTTACGCCAGACCCACCGCGCTTGGCCGATCCTCTTGTTACAAGATATTGGAAAGCGCCCCACCCCTGGGATCATGACCGCCTTGCACGCACGCGGTCGTCTCCGGCTTTCGCACCAGATGCAATGTACCATCTCGCCATCTCCCTCACCACGGCCTCTTCACCGCCGATCGAACATCACACGCTTCTCAAAGCCTTCCCGTACCATCAAGCCGGACAGAGTACACGGCAAGTGGACAAACTCCTTGCCGAGGTGTACGATTTGGGCCGGTGGCATTATGGATGTGATGTGGAGAATGTTCTCGCAAGGCTTCAAAAACTGCGGGGATTCTGTTGGGACGCGGATACGCCTGCCTGTTCCGTCTGATGAAAAGTAAGTGTTGCGGCGAGTGTGCGATGGGTTGATCTGTGCTTTGCTGTAATACCATTTCATTATGCCCTCTGCAGCATCCTGCTCTTGCCTCGCAGATGCGGACCGTATGCTCTGAAGACCAGTGGGATCGGGATCATGATCGTTGCCAGACAGGCCAGAAGCGTCCCCGCCCACTGCACGCCCAGATTCTGAAACATCTGTCTAGCAAACAGAGGGAAGCCGGCGGCGACAGCAGAGCGGAGCATGATGTTGGCTGCAACTGTGGACGCCGCTCTATGCATTGTCAGTCTTAACACGGGCAATGAAGGTAATGTTTCTGCTTATAGTGGCAAGAAAGCATCAACGAGATAATTGAAGCAGGGGAGGAATATGCAGAGGATCCCAAATCCAATGAACACGCCAGATGCTGTCGGTATCATCCAGTGGATTTTGTCGGTGAAACTGGTCCATGCAAACCTGTTGCGAGCGTTAGCTCCTGTGAGGTACTTCATGGTGTGAGACGCTCACCAGAAGAGACCGACAGTAAACACTATCCATGTTCCAACGAACGACCGTGTGCAAGGTCGTTTGCTTTCCCATACAAACATATAGCGCCTTGGCAGAATCGAGAGCATGGTCGTTTGTGTATGGTCGTTTGTCGAGAATAGCTCCGAAAGCTCTAAGAAAATTTGGGGAGCGAGAATAGATATGTTGAAATCGACCATTAAAAGAAGTAGCATCAAATCGAGACGATATGGCGAGAGATATCGCCGTCGCCGTCACATATAGAGCCGTTTCATTATTCCCTAGACTATCGCATTATCGTGTATAAGTCGTACTAGGGTTAGGGTTAGGGTTAGGG